TTTTTATTTTTAGAATTCTGACTCTCACTTTTTTTCACATGAAAACTGATTTTTTTTTTTATATATATATTACATTTTATGTTTGAAGTCAGATTTGTAATATTTTCAAGAATCATTGGGAAAGAAATCAGAATAGAAGGAAAAATGAATAAAATTCGGGTTTTAATAAAAAAATTCTAAGGGAAAATATTTCATTTTGCAAAATTTGTACTTTGTTAACATGTTAATAATATTAAGTCCTACTAAATTCCTCTTACAGTTTGCTCTTGGTAAACGCTGACGCTGGTGTGGCCTCCAAACAGCCCCTAACACACTTCACACACGCTCCAAAAATCACCGGGTTCAAACAGAAGGTTGTTCTGAAAATAGTCTGAGCGCTTGCTGTGTTTCCCAAGAACTAACCTCAGGATTTCAACAAGAAAAAAAAGAAAAACAAACACATTCAAAGTCCTTTTGTGACATTTTCCATGTATAAGACTCCTGTGATGACGCTGAATAAACTGGAATAAAAACTGACTTTAAACTTACAGCCCCACATATATCTTGTGTAAGTTTGACGCTCCACTGACACACAGCCACTCACTGCGTCTCTCTGCGGTGGATCCGGTGGCAGATGGAGGATTGGCAGAGAGGAAAGAGATCTGGTGCCAGAAGCCCGCCGAGTTCACACCGGACCGTCACATCCGATCAGTGTCAACACCCTGGAGCACAGCGGAGGCCAATGTAAGCACTTTGCAGATTTATGTCTGAAGCACAAAACAATGTGAAGGTTTTCATTCAAAATCTAGATGAACGCCACGAGAACAGAGGACTGATCACAGAAAGTAACCAACATTAAAACAAAAGTGATGTTCAAGGCGTTACACAACAAATCATATAAGGAAAAAGAGAATAAAAAGAGATGAAAACCAAATTTCAGCTGCGACAGAGGTGATTCATTGAGAACAAAAGGATGAAAACAGAGGGAAGTGGATACGAGACACCAGAGAGGGAAGAAAAGGCAGGAGTGCCACCTACAGTCAGAGTTCGATACAGTTTTTCTTAGTTGCTCTGGTGCATCTCTCAGATCAGAATGAAAGTTCTCACAACTATTAGTTCAACCTCCACAACATTGAGTCATTTGTGCACATCGTTGTAGCAGTTTCTCATTCCTCTGAACAAATCACAGACGCTCTTGGGCACGTATCAGTTACTGTCATACAAAATTCTGCTGTTTTATAACATTATCATTTACTTCTGTCATGTCAGTCAAAATGAAACATACTTATGAATGCTGAATAGTCATTCCCTATAAAACTAAGTCCTTATTTCACTGCTTGAGTCATGACATAGATAGATAGATAGATAGATAGATAGATAGATAGATAGATAGATAGATAGATAGATAGATAGATAGATAGATAGATAGACTTGCAGCACACAGTTGATGTGAAGAGAACACCGCTCTTCCCTTCTGCAAAGGCAGCACAAGTTGGAGCTTGGGCTTGTTTTTTCAAGTGGTGCTAACCATGGTCGACTAACCACCCCACCGAGCATTGACTTTCAAATTCACCTGTGTAAGATAAGGCTTGAACCGATGACCTCAGGTGTCCCAGTGAGGGTTCTTATCCTCCGAGCCACATGGACACACAGAAGTAGACCGTTTATTTCCTCTTTCACTGTCCCTCTCTAAACGCTAAACTTTAAAATTCAACTTGTCCCAGATAGGGTTTGAATCCACAACCTCTGGAGTCTCAGTCAGTTTCCTTATCGCCTGAGCAATGTGGACACACAGGGGAATTTATTTTTTTTCCTATTTCACTGTCCTTGGTAGACACTAGAGTTTAAAATTCACCTTGATCTGGGTAAGATAAGGCTTGAACCCACGACCCAAGGAGTCCCAGTCAGTGCTCTTATCCTCTGAGCAATGTTTTCACTGTCCCTTGTATAGGTGGCCATGATAGAGATGGAGCCATCTATATCACAGCCACCTATAGCGCAGTAAGAGAGTAAAGTAAGTAAAATTCAGGAAGGGAAATGGTAGAGGCCAATTTTTTTATGAAAAACACCCTAAAAAAATGAATGCAGGTTTTAACGAATCACTGCAACTGACTCGAATTTCAAAACCTTTTTTAATCGGCCTTTGATTTTGTTCAAATCAAGTTTTCATTTTTGTTATCTCTTCACTTCTACTTAAAATCTCTAAGTTTCAACAGTGTCCAGATCACTTTATAAAATGTTTTAGTTGATCTCAAAAGTGTAAAATAAACGTAAAACTGTGAAGCCAAGAAATCAAACTCTAACAGTTTTCTGAAACTTCACAATAAGACTCCGTAATGAGAGACACAGATAGTTTGGAAGTCAGGAGGTTTCAGGAGAAAATGTCAGATTTCCATTTTATTTTTATTTATTTTTTTTATTGCTTTTACAAAAAAAAGCATAATAAAAACAATTTCAACATTGCATACAATTATTCAAACACATTCCTAAAGTTGAAACATGACGTGTTTTTACTGAGTTCAGTTTTCAAGATGTCAACATTTGGACGACAGCACCGTTTCTTGAAATGCAACACTGGAAAAATGCAATATTATCAAGTTTCTACATTTAAAATCCCCCCCAAAAATAGATATACATGACTTCATATTTTGTACAAATTCACATAAACTAAATAAGTTAATTTAATGCAAAAAGTATTAAAAAAGATGTATTTACAAACACAAAGAAGCACCGATGTAACTCATGATCAGTCCTCTGTCGTATGTCAAACGATAAATTTTCTCCTCAGAGGCGTGAAACAACAAATCAACCCGTTTTAAATTAATAGTCAATCTGTTCTTCAGTCGTTTTTTGGCACCTGATGGTGAGCTGGCACCGTTACCATGTTTTTTTTTATTTATTTTTTTACCACAGTTGGTTAAAAAACCAAAACCATATGATCAGGCTTGGCTGGTATTTTTACTGCTGACAGAGCAGAATAGAGGTGTGAAGTTTGGCTGGTCGGCTGAAAATGTTCTGAGGAGAGAACCACAATAAATAAAATAAAATAAAATAAAATAAAAGCTTTTATGCCACAAAACAAGGTTTAAAAAATCAAAAACAGAAACGATGAAGTACAACAGGACCATACACGCAGAAGCTTCCTCTTCAAAATTTCCTGTTGTGTAAAAATAGTGACTCAACAACGGAGGCCTAACACAAACACAAATACTGAACTTACAAGACATCGGGTGGCTTCCTGAGAGGAACTGAACCTAGAACGACTTCTGCTAATACTTCAAAACTGAGCTAATATAACTCAGCTGTTTACCGCCGTTATATGACAAGAAAAGAGAAGAAGAAGAAGAAGAAGTAAACTTTTGGTCCATTTGTTCATGTTTCAGTCCATTAAAGCTACAATCAAGAGCTGTTTTTGTTTTGTTTTAAAGCTACTGTAGGAAGTTTTTGGATAGTTATGGAACAGACTATTGAATAATAATAACACATCTTCATTAGCTGCAAAATCAAAGCAGAACAACTTGAAAAAACAAAGTGACCAAAACCTAAGTAAAAGTTTTTCTTCACATCTTTACATGATGTGAAAAATCGATTTTATTGCATTGGTGCAACTACAAGCCGAAGAATAAGGGCCACCTCACAGAGGCACACAAAATTAGCTACCTTAAAGTAGCAGTTAAGGTTGTTTCGGTTTCCTCGAGAATAGAAAGTCTATCAGTCAGGTGTCTTTCTATGCTGGTGTCATTTACCCACCCAGAATTTTTCATCTAATGCCACTGGATGATCTTCATCATGTCAAGTTGATAATTTTCAGTTTTATGTAAGAAACAAAGCGCTTGAAATCAGTATAGAAAGAAAAAATGTTGTTGCTAATGCTTTTTGGCAAGTTCAGAGTGAATAAAGAATATTTGTAGGTGGGGTGGGCATCCGCCTCGCCTTGGACCCCTGACCCAAGAAATCTCTATGAGCACCTCTGGTCTGGAGTCCTCCGACTGTTTTTGAGGTTGTAAAAGAAAAGTTTCTCACGTCCAAAACTTACACAAAAGACATCCTTTCTTTGTCTCTTTCGCTTCTTTGTTATGTCTGTGGGGAGTTGACACTAGGTGGTGCTGTTGGGTGCCGCCTCCTCTCCTGTTGGGCCACGGTGGTGATGTGCATGGTGTTGTTGTTGCCGTACTGAAGCCCTGTCACATGGCTCATCTTGATGTACATATCAGGCGGAGGTGGACGAGAGTAGCAGGGGAAAATGCTGGAGAAGGACCACTGACGCTGTTGGTGAAAAGAAACACGTAAGGTGAGGAAGAACCACAGGAAGTTATTAACCAGTGCTGAGATGATGTGAACTATCTAAACACTTTAAGTCATCCCAGCTTGGTATTTGAGTTTGTAAACATCGTGAACTTTGTTTTATTAGAGGTTACGATCAGTTTTAACTCAAAAAAGTGCACTGTACCGTATAAAAGGCATCTTGTAAGTGACAGAGAGTCTGAAAATGTGTTGGAGTGGAACAGTAAATAACTTTATCATCCGCATACAAATGAAAATTTGCATTGGAGACACTTTGACTATCACTAATCATGTAAATTGTAAACAACGAAAGTCCTAGTAAAGAGCCCTCAGGCACACCACTTATTATATATTGTGTAATATTGTCGTTTTTCTTTTTACCTTTTTTTTCTAAAATAAATTTTACTATCAGAGGCCAAATCATATGTGTGTATATATACACACACATATATTAAATTATATATATATATATATATATATATATATATATATATATATATATACTTTTAAATATATATATATATATTTATATAAATATATACTTTTATATTTATATAGATATATAGATATATAGATATACATAGATAAAATAATAATTATATATCTATTTATATATATATACACATATATACACACACATATATATATATACACATATATATATTTATATATATATACACATATATATGTGTGTGTATATATATACACACATATATATATACTGTTATATATATGTATATATATATATATACATATATATATGTGTGTGTATATATACACACACACATATATTAAAATATATACATATATTTATATTTATATATATACACACACACACACACACACATATAAAAGTATATATATATATATATATATATATATATATATATTCTTTTATATATGGTTGTGTGTGTATGACTGTGTAGAGTTGAGAAATCTCAACTCTACACAGTCCAGTTGCCCGCTTTTTTAGTCTTCAAAAAACTATGACCTGGATAAATGAGAATCTTCATGGACATTTAATTGTGATATTTATGAAAAAGTTGAAAAAAAAAATTTTGCACGTGTCATTATGTGATGGAAAAGAGAAAAGTAAAAAACCCACAAAGTACTGCTGGGCTGCGTTTCTCGCTATGCTTTGGGACGAGCGCACAGTCTGAGGAGACTTAGGGGCAGAGAGAATAGGGTAAACAGACGACTCCCTCACTTTGTGGTGATTAAACGGCCGGCTGTTGTCAGTGTCACACCAATTTATTGGCCTCTGTGATGGTGAACCTGAGGAGGAAGTATACAAGAGCGTTTAGCAGAATGAAATCATGTCTGAGTGTTTACTTTTGTGGTTTCTGTGCTGTTGCAGCATCAGCTTCCTTTCTTACCTTTAACTCCCGGTGTGTTCGCGTGATTCGCTGACCAACCAGCACCCATTTCCTGCAACAAAAGAAAGCTCAGTTTCACTAAAATAAGCGATAAAGACTCCAGATGTATGAGCTTCACACAAAGTTCACTAGTTGGCCCTTGCAAAATGCTACTTCACATTTTTCCATGTTGTAAGACTCACTATCTTGACCGTTCTTGTATTTCTGTTCTACCACTGATTGCCCAACCTTTACCAAACTTTATGCACTTTATCATGACCTTAAATTTTGCGAAATTAAACACTTCATTTCCCCAAAAAACTCCCCAAGAAGAGAAGGAAATGATGAACGGAATATTTCTCTGTCGTAGCCGAAGGAAAAAAAAGCGTACTGTGCAGGAATATTGTAGCATTGAGCAATCTGTGCCAAAAGAGAGAAATGCACACTCCCTGACCAGACTGTGAGTCATTTGTTGTTGTTGTATTGTAAGGAAAGAAGAGACTAAATGATGGAGAAAAATGTGTCTTTTGTCCATTTGTTTGTTGTCTGTGTTATTGAGTTCGTACCTGTACTGGGCGCCCAGTCGGTACGCTCGTAGAAAGATTCACTTCCTTTCTTCTAGCACCTGCAAAAAAAGAAGAAGAAAGAATAAGCTGAAATGCGGATTCATTTATCGGTTTATTGTCTGATTGTAATCCCAAACGAGGAAGCAACGGGCACATCAAACGAACCTGAAATCTCAGGGATGTAAACGCTCTGAACCTGCTCTACGATTCCTTCCTCCTGTTGATCCTGGAAAGAGGAAGAGTAAGTCAACGCTGGGGCGGAAAGATGAACTGCTGTTTTGCTGCTTCTCAAAATGACTCGAGTATTCATTGATATATATATATCTCACCAGCCTCTTGAGAACTTGATGGACGACGTCAATGATTGCATGTTTATGCACTTTATACAACTCTTCTGTCATTGTCGTACACTCTGCGGAAGAATTTAAAAAGTTAAACATGTTAGGAAAAGGCATCAGAAAAGTAAGTTTTCTTTTATTGAAGTAAAGTTCGTTTTGTGAAAGTCAGAACCTTTGTTGGATATTTAAAGTAGGCCTTTGTTGCCTTTTGTATCACATTTGATACATACTTTTATGGTACTTCTATCAATCAATATGATCAACAAATTACGAAAAAAACACCTCAATACAGTCAGATAAATGATAAAAATGTCCTCTTGTGGTTTATCAGTTTCCAAAAACATCTAATGTGTCAAACAAGATACATAAGTATATTTGTTAAATTTTAAAAATTCAAAAAATTAGAATTTTCTGGCCATAATTTGTGGTTTCAGGCATCAAAGGGTTAAAAAAAGTGCAGTTCCTCAAGTGTCCACTTGGGGCTGGCTGTACAAGCCCAGGACACCTATTCACACTCATAATGAAAAGCTGTTTTTGCAGCAAAATTAAAATTGGATCATTTAGATGATTAGTTTTGCTTGATAAGACATTATTAGCATTATTTGCCCCTAACATTTAGATATTTGGTGCGTTCGAGTTACCTCAGAAGTCAGATGTCGAGTTCCCAGCGTTTCAGTTACCAAGTTGGAAATAAGCAAAATCTGAGGCGGAAACGAGGTGGATCCATCTACCAAGGTTATTTTAGCACTTGCCTTAAATTCGGACAAGGCAAGCGCAAAAATAACATTCCTAAATGGAGCCATCTTGTTTCAGGCCTCCAATTTTGCTTATTTCCAACTCGGTAACTGAAACGCTGAAAACTCGACATCTGACTTCTGAGGTGAATCCAACGCCACATAAGTCAACATTTTCATCGCCATTGTTGGATTCCAAAACACCTCCAGAGACCATTGGGTGACATCACTATGATTATGTTTTTATTTTATACAGTCATTAGTTCAAGTCTTCACAATAATAAAAATGTACATACACACACACATTTGAGTTTTGTAACTACTGTAATCTGTTTTAATTATATCAAGATGGGGTGTGGATCTTTGTTTTTGTTTTCCACTGTGGGAACTTAGGTAGTAAGAACAGCTCAGGTCTTTCTCCTGCTGGGATGTTACACAATATGATCCACCAAACCTACCTTTGGTTTTGTTATTTTTTAGAAAACTTTATTTGACATGTTCTGTTCAATTTAAGTTTGGCACATGTCCAATCTGTTTACATGGAGGAAGTGGGCTTTATGACTGATACCTTAGCCAGTCTGGTAGGTGGAGCTTAAACTCTTGCGGCTTCACTTCTTTTGGGGGGACTCATCACGTTGTTTATCGTGATTGTATGACCTTTACATTGAGTACATCTGTTGCACTAACTGTATTCGCAAAAAGAACCTCGAGCCAACTCTAGCCTCACCTTCACCTTTTTATTCTTTGTGTCCATGTTAGCCAAATGCTAGTTTTAGTTAGCATTTTCAATATGAATGTCGCTATTTTTTGTGATCCACAAATGTCATTCATTGGAAGATGAAAAAGTTACTTTACCATGTGAGGACGGCCTTTTTTTGGAGTTTCCTTCCCAACATTTTATCATGAGGTACGTCAGACCCTCCGAGCCCGCTACTCCTGAAACATGGCTTCGCATCTCATCCAGCGATGGACGCTGTCCTTCTGGGATCTGGAGGCGGACTATGCTGGAAATTGCATCTATTTAAGAGGGATTAAAAAATGTATCTCAGTTACTAATGATGTGACATTTCTTTTTGAGAAGTAAAACCAAAAACCAGCTACAAACTGTCGAAAAACAACAACTTGATAGCAAAGAAAGTGGAGCATATAAACTGCTTTTACAAGAACATCCTGTCAAACAGTTACATAACAACCACAAAGTACACATACTGATCCGTCAATAATATCAAAAACATTAAGGAAGAGTCTTAAACGGAGAAGAAAAGGTCAAAGCAAATATGTGAGGGTGTCTTACTTACTCTCATACGGTCTTTTCCCCGTGACGATGGACCATAAGAGTATGCCGTAGCTGAAAGAAAGAGGACAGAATGAAATGTTTGTAAAATAAAAAGTTGGTGGATCGTAATTCTTCGATTGGTTTGTAGTGTAGGTCTCTCCGGATTCTGTTTCGGTATATCAGGTAGCTGAGGATTGAGGCAGCTAACATAACATTTGGTCCCAAGTGGACGTGTCATGGTAGGATTGCATCGATAAAAAACAAACACGACATGTTAACAGATGAGTCTGAGATGTATTTAGGTAAAAATACATTTTTTGGATTTGGTTAATGATGTGTTGTTCACAGATGATCGCTGTTTGTGTGGTGACCGGGAGTTGATTTAGCCGCACCACCTATGAGAAACATAATATAACCCGGGAATTCCACTGGATCCGGAACGGCTCTGCGGCAGGCAGATCAAATATGCAAGCATATAGCGCCCAACGGATCTGATCTGCCACCGCCATTGGAGAAGAAGCTCTTATGATATTACTGATTTCTTGCAAGACTGGATGAGATCTCACAAGGTCTTGCGTGTTTCCCCATGAGACATTGAATGAGATCCACCAATTGGTGTATATAAACACCCACATCCCACAACCCTGGCCTCTCCTATTATCAAGCTAAGAACAGTTCAACGTGTTAACTTTTCTTTATTTTGAAAATTAACCGGATATTTTACTCGGTAGCCACATACAGCTTCCGCTGCTGCTTGTGCTGCGGCGTCCGGCAAAAATAGAAGCCTTGCGTATCTGATCCGGCAGAGCAGATCCACAGCAGAGCCGGACGGTGGACAGATTCTGATTAGAATGCTCGTATTTTATCTGCCTGCCTTGCCAGAGTGGAGCTGAGTGGAGCAGAACCGTACCGGATCCTGTGAGTTTTGCCTGTAACCCGGGATTTCCACCACATCTGGAACGGCTCCGACCTGGAACAGCAGCGATTTTCACCAATTCCTACCAGATATGTTTGTGACGCGAGTTTTGTGGTGGATTACAGACCGCAGGAATCACAAGAACTCACAAGAACCCGCGGATTCACGTGCAATCGCGCAATAACAAGTTGTCTTTAGCCACATAGGCTAACCATATAAGCAGTAGATTGTGTCCTTCCAAGGGAGGAAATCTACTCTAGACTAGGAGTCAGGCGATCCGCAGTGGAATGGAAAGAAGCCGGTGGAAATTGACACGTTAACTTGAAAGGGTTACGATCAGCTACGATTGGCGGATACGGCCTTTTCGTAGCCATTCCGGATGCGGTGGAAATTGGGGGTCAGATTGTCATTCTCACAGGTTTGTTGTGTCATGTAAAAATTAAGCCAAAAAAAATGTAAGTGTGGGCGTATTCCGAGTCCAAAGGTATTAAGGTGTGGTCTAACGGACAGGGAAGCCATCTAATAACCTGGAAGTTCGACTCATCACAGGAGAAGCTATTAGTGCTTCACACTCTGTACTCAGATTAAACTAATCCCTTCACTGGTAATTGTTCCCCAGTGCTTCACTTTACTAAAATCACTCTATTATCTAATTCTCTACCTTTGAGAATTATTCCTCATATGATGGATCAAACCTTGAATCTGTTCGTACCTGTAGATATCAGAGGCTTTGGTAGGCTTGTACGACACGTCAAAAGCCTCCGGCGGCATGTACGGCAGAGTCCCTCCTTCCTCTTCGGGGTCTTTCTTGGAAAGCTGCGTGGAACTGTGATAAAACCTGGAAAGACCGAAATCTGTAAGCTGGAGAGAAAGGAAGAAAGTTAGCGCAAAGAGGAAGAGAGACGACAATAAGTAAGAGGTAAGTAGAAGAATTGACTTGACTTTGGTTTTACTTCCCTGAATTGAATTTCATCACATAGTTGGAGTTTTGTTTTTATTAATTCTTAAGTTACAACATTTGGGAAAGAACCGTTGACCCTGCCCACGCTGAGGCTGTTTTCTGCTGAGATCATGCTCCGAGTTCACGATAAACAAGAGTGTTTCCCAGTTTCCAAAGGTTATTTAGGGTTTCTGACGCAAACACACCTTGGCGTTGAGGGAGGGGTCCAGCAGAACGTTGCTGGGCTTCAGGTCCAAATGGAGCACAGAGGGTAGCAAACTGTGGAGGAAGTTTATACCCAGAGCCACTTGGTGAGCCAGTCTGAAGACCAGCGGCCAAGGTGGAGTTCCTATGGTCTTCTGATGTCAAGAACAAAGAAATAGAGGTTATAGATGAGTACTATTTCTACAACCACTATCTGTTATATATGGGTTGTTGTTCTAGTGCTGGGTACCTGCAATGAGGCCAGCGATCCTCTCTCCATGAGCTCCATGACCAGACCAAGCTTGATCGATGACGGGTAAAAAGACAGTTCACCCCTGAAGATCCCGAGCACCTGAATAACATGCGGGCTGCTCCCCTGAAGCATCATGTCGATCTCTCGCAGCAAAGATTTACTGTGTGGTCAATAAAATATTAGTAACCCTCGGAGTCCTTTTTGTCGAAGAAAAGAAGAAACTTTTCAAAACTACTGACCTGTTATCGAAGTGAAGCAGCTTGACGGCCACGTTGGAGCACCACCCACGATGTCTGGCTTTGTAGACGTTTCCAAAACCTCCAGAGTCGATCACTTCCCAGTTCTCCAGGTTGGAGGTTTCAATGAACCTCTTGGGTGGACAGCTGGACAGGGCCATTACTCACTAAAGGAGAAAATAACCAATAAAAGAATTACACCCCGAAACGTTTCAAATAAGTTCAACATGGATTTAAAATATTTGTATAAGAAGAACCAGATTCAGAGTGGACCAAAGGTTAAAGCCGTCAAGATACTAGTTTACATAAGAAATGAAGTCAGTATAAAACTTTCTCATGGTAAGAGGTTCTATTGACAACAAGTAGTTCTCACAAGATAATTATCCTGTGCACACAAGATATTTTCTTATTTTACTGTTTTTTTGTCCAACGCAAAAAGTTAACTCTCTTGTTCACCAAAGGATGAATATCTTATGTGTCTATCTTGTTATATATCTTGTAGGACAAGATACTATTTTACCAGATGTTCACTTGTACTCATACAAAAATGAATCAATCTAGCAAGATGGCAGTATTGTGGAAACAAGATGATTAGTTAGAGTGCAAAACATCACTATCTTGTAGAAACAAGATATTTTATGTGAAAAATATAATTATCTTGTTGGAACAAGATACATTTGTCCACAGAATATAATTATCTTCCTACAAGAGCGCAAAAGTTGTTTTCTTGTTGAACAGGGTTATATCTTGTGCAAACAAATCAACCATCCTATGCTTAAAGGATTGTTATCTTGTTGGACCAAGGTAATATCTTGTATGCATCAGAATGTTTACTTGTGATTTTAAGACTAGTTTATTTCCTCTTGGGACAGGGTAATATCTTGTGAAAATAAGATTATTATTTCATTGGCAGAATATAACTATCTTGTTGGAACAAAATATAATCTTGCGCATAAAAGATCATTTTCTTGCAAGAACAAGATATTATTTTGTCTGTCGAATACATTTACTTCTGTTAATGAGATAATAACTTGCACAAGATGATCGTACTGTAATCAAGTTACTTTAATTGTGCACGCAAGATACTATCTTGAATGCACAATATAAAAAGTTTGTTTTTTGGGGCTTCATGGACTCCGTAGTTTATGGTTTGTTATGTTTCTCACCATTTGTCTGAACTTAAGTTCATTCAGACGTGGTGGAAAAACAGACAATAACATTTGGACCAATTAAATCTTGCGCTGTATTGTTGAGTGATAATTCACCACACCTTTTCATCAGCGTTTTAACTGCTGACATTATGAAATACATCTCGTACCTTCAGCTGTTTCCAGTAAACGATTAACTTCAGTTTCATTCTAAGATCTTGTCACACGCTCTCGCCTTTAGGTCACTGCTTCCTCTTTTCATTCCCATCACCTGATTAAACCACTTCATGTAAATACCTGCCTCCTTTATTTCAGGTGGACGCAGGAATGCTTTTAGCCTGGCATGATGAAGCTCTTCATAATATTTATAGATGAACATGTCTGGGCAGTGACATAGGTGAATAAACCTAAAAAGTGATTTGATTCCTGGTTTGCTTTTGTCATATAAAGAAGAGGATCCTTTAAAAGGTATGTCTGCTGGAACTTAAGTTTTTTTATCTTGTGTCTGACACCTGTTTGTGGCATTTGGTATTCTTCAGAAAAGCAGTTGCACCAGATTTAAAAGCATCGAGTAAAAACACAACAGGAAACCACATTTTTTTTGTTTCTGACTACTTTGCACAAGAAAGTCCGAGGGTGGTGGAATGAAGTGGAACATCTCTAAAGGTTAAAAATAAAGTTACGTGCAGATAAAAATGCCTAGTTTTATGTCTCTATTACATTTTGGTTTTCAGTTTACAAGACTAAATACAAACTCCCTGCTACTTTAGCGTAAAGTTAAAGTCCAAATATGCTTCAACTGAACCTAAACTTTTATTCTTAACATTTGAGGCACTAACAAATCCAAACCATAATTCCCAAGTCAAACAAGCGTTAAAGACTCCTAAACCCTGTCTTAAAACAGGAAGATTATTTCTAATAAAATGAGATTATGACTTACCCTGAAGGACAAACTCTCACTCCTCGTGCTTCAGGCGTACAGACTGAGTTAAAGGTACGAGGCTCATTCAATATCTGCTCACAGAGCGGGAAGTGAAACTCCTGCAAACAAACCTTTCCAGTTTACTTCTGCTTCAGGACTGCCCAGCAGCACAGGCCAGTCTGGAGTCACGACAGGATTTACTTTCATTTTAATTAACCCTTTCTCATCACATCTGTTTGTTTTGAAGCTTTGAAAAGTAAATTTCCTCTTACATTACAAGAATTTGTGTCTGAGAAGTTAATCCTGCTGACATCACTTTGAAATAAGGTCCTTGTGTCTATAAAAGCATAATAAACACATCAATTATTACTTATAAGACACTTACGGACTCTCGTTAGAGCTTGTAAACAGTTTATATACCTGTTATAAACATGAATAAGACGTTCATTGATGTTAAGTATTTAAGTATCAATAAGAGCCTATAGAGGAGCTTATAAGCAATAATAAATAAACTTTTACAGTTACATTAATCATTTTGTGAGTACAAGATAAAATAAATATCTTAATTAACCCTTAATTAAAATTAATAAACACCCTATTGATGTTTATGACAGTAATGTAACTGTTTACAAGTTTCTTATAAACAAAAACTAATGTTTTAATTATGTTTCTTTCAACACTTATCAATTAAAAATGCTTAAAAGCTTTGAATTAAGGTCCTCGTGTCTATAAAAGCATAATTAACACATCAATTAATACTTATAAGACACTTATGGACCCTCGTTAGAGCTTGTAAACAGTTTATATACCTGTTATAAACATGAATAAGACGTTTATTGATGTTAAGTAACAATTCAAGTATCAATAAGTGCGTAAAGAGGAGCTTATAAGCAATAATAAACATTACTTTTAATTTTGATTGAAGGCTCATACAGTTACATTCATTATTTTGGGAGTACAAGATAAAATAAATATCTTAATAAACCCCTAATTAAAATTAATAAACATCTTATTGATGTTTATGACAGGTATGTCTGTTTACAAGTTTCTTATAAGCTAAAACTAATGTGTTAATTATGTTTCTTTCAACACTTATCACTTAAAAATGCTTAAAAGCTTCTTATGCGACCTTATTAACTATTGATTAATACTTTTTACAAGGAATTAATGAAGTATGATTGGCTAAACTTACAACAAATTATTCAAAGAAAAATCAAATGCTAGGAAGAACACTTAAAAAGTGACGCCATCAAATTTCTTATTTTGCTGTACATTTGTTGGTTTTTAAATCAGGGTTTTGTTAGTTTATTTTTAGTTAGTGGTGATACACACTCTTACAAAACTCTTCTGCAGAATTTAAAGCAGGGAAGTTGTGGTTACAAGAACTACCCTATAACCACTAAAGTTTTGTTTTTGAATCTAAGTCACTGATATCAAGAAATCACCAACGTTAGTGGTAAAAAAGATGAGTTCACTTTAAAATGATGTCTATAAATATCACCAGAAGACAGTGTAGTCTGTAGTATGAGTTACAGTAAATGAGAGGTTTATAAGATCTCAGTGACTAATCACCTAACCTTTGGACACAACAACCATTAACACCAAGAAGTGATACTTGTAGTGGTTTGCTGCCAAGCTGTAGTAGCAACAAGGAAATAGGTCAAATCTTAAAGTACGGATGATGAGTAAAACGTGGGTAGAGACAATTTGATGGTTTGTAAATCATAAAAACCCCTCATGAATTTGAAAATAGTGCAATGACTTTTCAAATATTGAAAGTGAGAGAAAAATTAAAAGTTCATTTGAAATATGAGGACAGCCACGCATTTTAAGGAAGTTGGTTCAAAGCCAATAAGACACAGAAAGAGTTGTGTAATGTTTAAAGACAAACATCTGGAGAAACATCTCCTAGCAGCTCATGCCCCCCCTTATATTGTGATTCACACCAAAACTTTTACTGTTACGTGTCTTTTATTAACTTTAATTTGTGTTTAAACTGGTATGTTTACTGTTCATGATGTTCCTAAAACAAGAAATGCCCTGACAAGAATTCAAACCCAGGACCTTCTGGTTGTGAGGTAACAGTGCTAACCACTACACCACTGTATCGCCTATCTACACCACTCTGCCGCCCATTGGTTATCTTTCAGCATTGAAAATTCCAACAACACACTTATTTTTGTGTGTTCTGGATCACAGTATCCAGAATTTTGTCCGGATCACCACCAAAATGTAATGGGATCCTCCTGGGGCTGAGACACACCTCTGGTGAAAATTTTGAGGTTAATCCGTCTGTTAATTTCTCCGTAAAGTTCTTCACTGACAAACAAACAAACAAACAAACAAACAAACAAACAAACAAACGCTACCGAAAACATAACCTCCTTGGCAGAGGTAAAAAAGACATGATTCTGTAGTGGAAATCACAGCTTGGGTTTAAAGTCACCTCCAAAAACCATTGTCTCTGAACATGGTTTACAGTTGCATCCACAAATACAGGTTAGAACTGTGCCATGCAGACAGGAAACCACTTATAAACATGAGGTTGACATGCTGGGGAATTCTCCAAGTCTAATCTTGTTTGAGGTAAACTGAGTCAAAGTGAAAAACTGAGATTTGAAGGGTCAAAATTTTGCATTCTTTCTGGAAAACATGGGCGCCATACCCTTCACTCTAGAGATGGGAGGGGGTAACTAACTAACTCCAGGTCAGCATTGGTTATGATACGAGATGCATCAATGTTACTTGAAGCTTACACATCTAGGAAAGCACCACTACATCGCACAATATATGCCGCCATCCAGACGATGCCATTTTTAGAAAGATCTTGCACACTTTAGTGAAACAATGCCAAACCACATTCTGTATGTATTATGATCCTGTAGTAGATGAGTCCAGCTGCTAGATGGTAACAACAAACAAACAAACAAAACGTTTGGGAGCTAAAATCCTATGTAAGGCAAGAACGGGACAACACTTCCCTTTGGAATCTCCAGAAACTGCTCTCCAGAAAAGTCGACATTATCTTTTAAAGAAGAGATGATGCAACACACTGGTAAACACACTCTGTCACACTTCCTTGAAAAGTGCTGCTGGTATCAAATTCAAAATAAGCAAATATTTTTAATTGAGCAATAAGTTTGTCAGTTTCAATATTTGATGGATGAGTTAGCACTATTTTCACTCCCTACCATCACGTCTATTTTTAGTCTACAGTTCAGAAGCATAAAAAATCCCTAAAAGAGCTTAAAAGGCAAAAGTAGAGATAGGCTGTTTTATCAGTCTTTCTCTACTTGGCCAAAAAGTAAACAAATCTGCAGACATTGAAACAGGCAGTTCCTAATTTTTTAACAATTTGTGTCAAACTAAATGAAGCAAATTTTTCAACAAAATTTTGGAAGGCATTGTTATCCCAATGAAATTATACTAGAAATATACATAAAAGTAGGCTAATTTTTTTTAAAAGCAACCTCAGAAACTTTTGATTTGTATCACCTTTGACGCCCCCCAGTGGTCAAACCAGTCTTTGTTTATCCTGTCCTCTACATCAGTGATTTTCAACCTGTGTGACGCAGCATATTAGTGTGCCGTGAGAGACTGTCAGATGTGCCGTGGGGAATTATTCATTTTGTAAATAATAGGCCATTCTCTAGTGTCTGTGCGGGTCACGTAGCCACATTTCAGGGAGCAATTTTTTTTTTTTTTTTTTTTTTTTTTTTTGTAGGATGGTAGGGTAATGTTATGTAATGTTCTGTTCGAAATAATTGCACGTAAAAAATGATCCCGGTGTGAAAGGACTTTTACTCTTGTCTTTTTCTGAAACTTGGCAGCCCTTCTCCTGTAAAGGAAATTTGAAAAGGCATCAGTATAGATTTCAGCTTATTTCATGGGCATCAAAAAAAACTCCTTATAGGAGCTTTAATAGTTCCCATGTTTCAAGCCTAAATGAGTTTATAACCAATCCAGTAGAGATAACATTTTAACTGGAACAAACACAGGATGTAGTGTAGGAGGCACCAACATTTGTCTTCCTGTCTCTGTCACAGACAAACACATTTCGTCGAACTCTGAAAATTGTTCAGTAAACACAAAAAAAGTTTATATTTTTGTGCCTCCTTTTGGGAAGTGTGTCGACACGGTAAATTGAAGCCAAAAGAGCTGAAGAGTCAGCTTAAAAAACGGTTAGTCATGTCTGTAATTGTCAACGAAGGGTTAACAAAGAAAAAAAAACAACAGACAGAAAAACCCCAACGGCTGACGTCGGTGGAAATCCCCTTCATCTTCGGTTTGACTCCAACACAAGCTAACAACGTAAACAAAATGTGCACTTTAAACACGTTAAACCCGTTTAAAACACGGTTATTTACACGAATATACTTTATTTTTCGTAAAATGTCACAATAAAACGACGACATTACCGAGATACATCTCACAATTGAGTTAAACAGTGCGCAGTCGCATTTTGACTCGTTAAACACTGTTCTGAAGAAAATTTTACCCGGACAAAATGATCCCCCCTCTGTGTTTACACATGTATTTATCTCTCAGTGACAAAATACACGAGTGTTTCGTTTAGTTTCGGTTTTGTCTTCGGGGTTTCCACCACCGGGTGATGTGATGTCCAGATCCACGAACACTTCCTCATCCGCCTCGCTTCCTCGCAGCAGTGAACTCGGTTGTTACATCCTGATCTGAAGCCTGTTTTTTTTTTTACAATCCCCCTATTTTTTTCACGATATTACCACATGAGCGGTTGAACTTTGGACCGATTGGGAACATGTCATTGTTTTATTACGGAGAACTCGGAGCGAGCAGAGCCGCCTCCCTGTAAACAAGCTCCGGGAAACGAAACTTTGAAGGCGATCGACCTCACGTAAGAAAAACGACACAAACACAACATTTTTGGGCTAAAATGATCACGTTTCCATCGCTGTAAGTCTTTCGTTTGTACAGACGACTGTCAATTTGGTCTTTTACACTAATATTAAAGTTTCATAACACTGCTGAATTATCGAGACATACATCTAAAGTCGTTGACATAGTTTTCTATTCACAGTTTGGCGTTGTGTTTGGTTCAAAAGCTGAGAAATATCAAATAAACAAACGATAATATGTGTTAGTACGGGAGACCGGGGCATGTTTAACAATTCTTACCCATACCTGTTATTTGAGAATTTATACACAAGAACAGCCATATTTACATATCAAAGTTACATCTGCTTATGAAGTTTGCTGCTTATTAGCTCCTACTATTATAAAGACAACATTCTTCAAATTATTTGAACTTTAATCAAGTTTGACTTCAAGTTATCTTAGCGAGAGGGACAGATACATGACTTTGGAAATGATTGTAGCCTTTTATTGCCTTTTGTATCATATTTGATACATACTTTTATATACTTCTAATCGAATCAATATGATCAACAAATTACTAAAAAAAAAAATTATACAGTCCGATAAATGATAAAAATGTCCTCTTGTGGTTTATAAGTTTCCAAGAACATCTAATGTATCAAATAAGATAAAGAAATATATTTGTTTAATTTGAAGGACATTTTAAAAAATAATAATAATTTTATTGTTATTATTTTTTTATTTTTTTATTTTTGGGGGGTTTCAATAGTAAGTAAAATAAACATTTCAGCTTAAATTTTTTTGAAATTTTCTGGCCATAATTTGTGGTTTCAGGCATTAAAGGGTTAAAAATGACTGGGCCTTTTCACACCAATTTTCAAAAGTATATATTGTAACTTTTTGAATGATAAAAATGTCCTCTTGTAATTTATCAGTTTCTCAAAACATCTAATGTATCAAATAAGATAAATAAATATATTTGTTCAATTTTGAGGACATTTTGATTTTTTTTGGTTTTCAGTACTGAGTGAAATAAACATTTCAGCTCCAAAAAAAATTTGACTGTTTCACACCAATTTTCAAATATATATATTGTAACTTTTTCAATTACCCTACAACAAAATCTTAACTACCAGGAAATCTTAAAATAAAATTTTTTATCACTGATATACTGAAATATGCTCTATTTGAACCCATAGAGTATTGTAGTATATTGAATGGCTGTATCTTTGTGGGAAAAAGGAGTAGATAATCATTAACTTTGCCAGGAATACAAAAAATAAAAGTTATGTTACTTGCAAAAAGAAGCAAAGTAGGGGAGGCTGGGGTCAGCTGTAACAATGTTTACGTGAAAACTATATAGACTAGACAAACCAAACTTTATATACAAATGGTATTTTAACATGTTACTTTACAATGATAAGTAGACTGATCAATTGGTTTATTATTTCAGCCGATTGTTGGCTAATAATACCATCGTATTTCCAGATGAAAATGAGCTTTATTCACAGCTACACTACTTCCTGAATTTAAGGCAGCTCCTTTATTCCCTGTCTTACATTCTTGGACAAACTGATTAATCCAGGTGTGACTGATCACTGTGACTAATAAGACACACCTGGATTTATCAGTGTGTCCAATAATGTAAGACAGGGAGTAAATGAGCAGCCTTAGAAAGTTGAAAGTTAGATGTTACAGCTAACTTAGCCATGGAGGTGGTTGCAACACATGAAAATAAATCAAATTTCACTGATTATCTTTTGTTTGTTTTTCCAGCATATGCATGTTTTACATTTAGATAATGTATCTCTATATTTTTTTGTGAAATGTGTGTATTTTACATGCATCTAAGCAGTGTTATTTACACAAGTATTATCCTTAAAATAAGACAATGACAAAGGTGATCAGAATTTGGAGGCTCTGTCATCCGTGTATCAGAGTGTGTCATGCTTTTTAGTTCAAAACACATAAAAGTTCTGCCAGTAAGGTATTTTTTTCTCCTTCTGCAGAATGTTTGACTCTCTGACTGGAGTTTAAGAAGAAGTGATGGACGGCGAGTGGAGTGATGGAGCGGCAGAAGCCGAGGTGGAGGACGAGTTCGCTTGTCCCGGGGTTCTGCGGGGATCTCTGACCTCCCTGCACGCCACCGTGGAACGGATATTCGGCGTGAAGTTCGGGATCGGGGCCGATGATTTGACACAGGGCAACAATGGGCTGATTTGGCTGAAGCTCCAAGGGTGGAGGAAAAGTGTGACGGCTGCAAAAGTAAGATATTATTTCCTTTTAGTTATTACTTTGCATAAACACTTAAAAGTCGACTCATTTCCCTTTGTAATGCTGGTTAACACATCTGTCCTCTCCTGATTTAGATAAAGTTGTAACCTGAGATTACACTAGTGAAGTTATTATGATTATATAGATGTATATATGAGGGCCTGACCAATATGGATTTTTTGGGGCCGATGCCGATACCCATTATAAGGGAGGAAAAAAATCCGATTACAAATTAAGCCGTGATTTTTAAAAAATTTTATGAAGTGTCAAAATTAGTTAAAAAATGAGTTAAAAAAGCCATCAAATCTCAAAACGAGGCAAGATTATTAAAGCTCGGTGACTCGGATTTAAGTTTCCATCGTAAAAATCATAAAAATGAAAGTATGGACTAAACGGTATTGTGATTCCTGCTGTGTTGCCTCTGTTACAACAGCAGAGCGTGGGCCTAACACCTCTCCTCAAACAGCTCTCACTTTCACTTCATCAGAAACTACATTTGTTGCGTCATTTATTTTCAACATTTTAAACAAAAACTCATCATGGCAAGGTGCGATTATAAGTCCTGTATCTAAGGCCCGTTGTCATGAGTAAACCGAGATATAAGCTGGATTGTGTCGAGTCTTGAGAGGTGTGTGACTGTTTTCTGGACGATGAAGCGGCTATCCTGCGTGACCCCAGAGAGGGGAGAGGGTAAGGCTCGGAGGTCGGTGGGGGAGGGGGTATTTGACTCTGGTCAGGAGGAGACAGCATTCCTCTACTCCGCTTTATTCTCCCTCCTCTCTCCCATCACAACACCACCTCTCACTCAAAAGTCAAACTCCCAAATGATTCAACAAAATATGCGCGGAATAATGTGATTGCAATGACGAGAGGTAGACCAATAATAAGTTGGCTGATTTCAGAAAATGTATCCGGCTTTTATACAGTTCACACACTCAAGTAAAATAGACAATTTTGAGACATTTCCAGGTTTAAACGACACGTACAACTGCATAGAAACTATCATAGACACCTCAAGATATCCCAGGAGAGCAAATGAGAAGTACTCTGGATATTGAACACATCTTTTTAATAGATTTTTTACTTTTAAATCTTGCAGTTGTTTGTAAAGGGAGTTGTGAACCAGGAGGAGCAGCAGGAGGTTTCCTACCCCGGGATCCTTCACTGCGTCTTCTGTGGAGCCAGAGGGCTGTTCATGGACTGCCTGATCAGAAGTACCTCGGCACATATAGTGGTGAGTGTTGCTTTCTTTCTGGGTAGATTTTTGTTGTAGAACAGGTCACATTGATCAGATTTTCATTTTTGGTCACCTTCACAGAGGAGAAGGGGGAACTATGGCTCGATTAACTTTTAAACCCAAATTTATGGGAATTTAGTCAGAATGGTGATTTAAGATATTGGATTTCTTAAAAAGTGTATGTTACACTAAATTTATATTAATTTCCTGTTTTATCTCATTATATGATCCAAAGATTATAGTCAGTAAAAGGAACACCAAACTACTTAAAGGGATATTCCGGCGTAAATTAATTTAGGGTCAAACACATTGTAACACTGAAATAGACACCTCCTCGAGAGATGAATGTTGCCGACGAATGTTTGCTCCTCTAGTTATACCAATTTTAGTAACGATCGCACGATAGCAATACACAGTAGTCTGAGGGGCCATAAACAAACCTCAACCAAAATGCCACTCTATAGCCACAAATAATGCTCAGAACAGCAGCTAACTTCATCAACAGGACATATAGGGTCCTAGCCATAGTACTAGACACCAAACATCTTTTTAACTTTGCCTGATTTCTTAAGAAAAGAGACTAAACACAACTCACCTACTCTCTTCCAGCAGGCGCTTGTTTGTAGCAAGACCTCAGGTTAGTCCATTACAGACTACAGCGGGGTGACGCAGCTCAAGGAAGAACATTTATGATCATTTCTTTATCATTTCCTTGAAGTAATAATCACAATATTAATCATTTTGCACTGCAGACGCGGTAGTTCTTCTGCCTTAGCGTCTCGGTCTGATTGTATTTCCATTCTCTTTTCTAAAGAAATCAAGCAAAGGTAAAAAGATGTTTGGTGGGCAGTGCTATGGCTGGGGCCCTATATGTACTGTTGATGAAGTTACATGCTGTTCTGAGCATTATTTGTGGCGTTTTGGTTGAGGTTTGTTTATGGCTCCTCAGACCGCTGTGTATTTCTATCGTGCGGTCGTTACAAAAGTTGGTATAACTAGAGAAGCAAGCGGTCGGCAACATTCAACTCTCTAGAGGGTGTCTAACTCGGTGTTGTGGTGTGTTTGACCATAAATTATTTTTGCGCCAGAATATCCCTTTAAAAATTCTGCATTTGCATGTATTAGTTTAGTAATAGAATAAATATGCTGAGTAATTTCACATAGAATTTTTTGAGCTACTTCCTTAAGTTGCATGATTATACAACCTACTCTATTTGTATTTTGTGTTATCACATACAGTACAGGCCAAAAGTTTGGACACACCTTCTCATTCAATGCATTTTCTTTGTTTTCATTACTATTTAAATTGTAGATTCTCAAAACTATGAATGAACACATGTGGAATCATGTGCTTAAGAAAAAAGTGTGAAATAACTGAAAACATGTTTTATATTTTAGATTTCTCAAAGTAGCCACCCTTTGCTTTTTTGATAGCGCTGCAAACTTTAGCTGTTCTCTCAATGAGCTTCATGAGGTAGTCACCTGAAATGGTTTTTACTTCACAGGAGTGCCTGAAGTAACCCTGACAAGGTACTTCTGTCATCAAGAGCAAAGAGTGGCTATTTTAAAGAAACTAGAATATAAAACATGTTTTCGGTTATTTCACACTTTTTTTATAAGTACAAAATTCTACATGTGTTCATTCATAGTTTTAATGCCTTCAATGACAATCTACAATGTAAATAGTCATATAAAAAAAAAGAAAAGACATTGAATGAGAAAGTGTGTCCAAACTTTTGGCCTGTACTGTACATGTGTAAAGTATATCGATGGCAGTCACGATGTACTGGTGTAATCATGTATGCTGTTTAAAGGTGCGAGACATGAGACAATCTTTGGAAAACACAGTACACTTAAAACTCCTCCCCCTGCCTCAGGAGAAAAACAGTGCATCAAACTTGGTGTTGCACTTTCGACCGCTGGTGCAAAAGTAGGCGTGAAAAAACATTTAAATGTTTTCATTACGTTTATTTCTAATGAAACTACATTATTAGTCAATATCAGTGCTGTGTCATCAGCAAAGAGATGAGTCACTCTCCTTATGAGGTAACAACGGCCTCTTTATGTAAGACCTTCATCAGTGGGAATTTTTTTTCGATTGTTGGAAAATAAACACAAAGTTACAGGAAATTTTAATAGCGTTCAACTTCTCTTTTATTCGTGACTCATTACTCGGGAATCTCTTGTTATGCGCCCTGAACTGTTTCTAAGAATAACTCGTTCAGATTTTCAAAACTTGATCGACCTGATCAGCATCTTTTTGCGAGATCAAGCACTCTAACTTTGTGGAATCTTTTTTCTGATAGTTGTACTTATATAAAAACGGAGGCATCCAATGAACTCATATGAAAATATTTGTGACATAATCTCACATTTATATTTGGAAACTTTAAGGATGGGTCGACTTATACTCCCGAGCCTCCTCTGTAGTTTGAGTCACGTCATTTTTCAGGTGTAGTCCAACTTTTGCTGCTACTCTATGTTGGGTAACCAAATACATCCAGATCCTTGACAGAAAACTTTATGGTTTGAATCAAGTATTGTTACTCTTTAAACTTCTCACTTGGGAACATGTTTATTGATTGTTTTAAGAAGTGATGTAACAAGCTGGAGGCATGCCGCCGCTTCCAACAGGGAAAAGCCCATATGCGTACATCGAGAACTAGGTCAAGGACTGTACCTTACTGAGTTATAAACCTAGCTTTATCAGACTCTGCATATAAACATAGTCAGTGTATCGGCCTCCGCTGGCTCCTATGGGTTGTATATCTGCCCTTTATCAGCTACAGCATTCTGAAGCCCTCTGCAGCAGATAGGCAAGACTTCAGTTTTTGCAGGATACCGGAGCACGGTGCATCAATTCAGTGCAGAGGAGGTCACTTAACCACATCAACAAGTTTTCTCTTAATCTCTCTCTTTTTCCTGTATCCAAACGTAAGGCTACACTGAAAGTCTACCTCTAACAACTCGACTTATCTGTTAAGAAGATCCTAAATAAAATTCTTTTTCTTCAACCCAAACCAGGTCGGTTCAACTGGGTCCCTGCTCATATCCGGTCTTGCTGAGCCAGTGGTCCGAGCTTACTCCCTTATCATGGACCTGGTGGAGAGGTGTGAGGGCACTCCGTCCAGACGTCCTGAGGCTGGGGACCGCGGCACTGGCGAGTCTTTAGATTCACGTCGGGCCTTTAAAGCACTCGTAGAGAAATGGGAGGATAGGCACATCCTTGATCTTCTAGTCCTACCGGGGTCCGTGAAGGAAATCCTGCTGGACTTGGTGAAAGACTCTGATTTTGGATCAAGCCCCAGTTCATCAGAGAGAGATGGAGACAGTGGGGGGAGGCCACATGGGGATTTGGAGGGTAGATGGGACAGCACTTCTGATCGGTGGGTTGAAGGAATAACTGCAGGTCTGCGGCGAGACTCCGCAGCCATGGACCCTTTCTCCCAGTCTGGAGGCACAAGTAGAAAGACAGAGGGAGCTGAGGAAAGACTTACACATTCTCCACAGGAAGTTGGAGAAGAGGTGCAGCCTGATCAAGTGGCAACAGCAGGAACCAGAGTGACAGATGGCAATGGAGATGCGGGAGAGCTGGAGCTCCAGTTGTCTGGAGGAAACAAGGAGTTCTGGCTTCTTTTAAAGTTCTTCACCGCCATGGGGTACACAGAGGATGTCGTGAAGCGCGTACTTGCTCGGACAGGACTCCAAGAGGCCTCACAGATACTGGATCTGGTTCAACAGGAGCAGGATCGCAGCGACCGGATGAAGACGATCCAGCATGGCCAAGACAAGCAAAATCCAAGCAGTGCTGCTTCAAATCATGTGGAGAGGAACCGGCCTTGTGAGACAGAGCACAGAGAAGATGAAGAACTGGCAGCAGGAGGAGATACCCCAACAGGAGGTGATCCAAAGGCAGAGGAGGGTCATAGTGAGGAGAATGGAGTAACAGGAAGCACAAGACACTTAGATGAAGAGGGTAGCACTGAGGATAAAGAGGACTCAGAGGAGGACTTTGTGTTGGGAGTACTGAAGAAAGCAGCGGCTAGTTGTGGGTACATGGAGCAGAACGTGGCGGAAGTCTACAACCGGTTGCCTGATGGATCCACCCATCAGCTGCTCCTGGAGCTGCAAAAAGAGGGGCACAAAGATCTGGGTGCCTTTAGGGAAGAACCAAGAGAGATGGACGATGTAGTCTTGGAGAAAGAGGGACCAAGAGCTGGACCGTTTGAGGACAAAGCTCTTGTAGAAGTTGACCCCTTTAAACCTACAGAGAAGAGAGAATCAGCTGATAGAGGACAGTTAGAGGGGTCAAATCTACCAGTAGTAGATCTGTTTTGGTTTGATAAACCCAAACAGCTCCCATCCAGTCAAAAGCAACAACCCCCATCAAAGTCCCAAATTCTGCACCAAAGTCTACCTGATGTCAAAGGGCCACCCATGATGACATATTCCTCATCCTTAGATCCGCCGTTAACCAATTTCCAAACCAACAGTCAATATGGCCAACCCAACTATGGACTCAATCATTCCACATCCAAACAGAACCGGCCGAACCAAGACAATGTCTTAAACTCAAAGCCCCAGTCTTTCAACTCTGTAAAACGAGGGCCCCAAGCACTTCATTCCCCGTTCACCAGAGCTGACTCTTCCCCCACCAGAGCGAGGGACAGACGTGGTTTCAACACCCCTTCTTCAGTGGTGGTAACAGGGCAACAGCGTTTCTTGGAGGGCCTGCAGACGAGCTTCAACCTTCAGCTAACAGACCAACCTGGAGACCCGAAACTAAGGACGATCATCATTGACGGGAGCAACGTGGCCATGAGGTGAGAATTGGTCATGTTGTCATGATTTCCTCAGAGCAGATCCATCATGGACGTTAAGTTAAATATCCACTGTTCGCATTCTTCCTAGTCATGGGTTGGGCCACTTCTTCTCCTGTCGAGGAATCGCTTTGGCTGTCCAGCACTTTTGGGATCGGGGCCATCGTCACATCAGCGCCCTCTTGCCACAGTGGAGACAAAAGAGCGACCCGCGGATCAAAGGTCTGAGGAGCAGCTAAGTTGTGATTGTCAAAAGCGAGAAGTTTTCTAAAACAGTCCAAACCTTGATTAGAATAAGGTGAAAACATGAGGATGTGGGCGTTTTTCTCTAGAGTTAACATGGTGTTGTTTGTTTGTTTCAGAGCAACACTATCTGACTGATCTGCAGAAGCTGGGTCTGCTCTCCTACACACCTTCCAGAGAGGTCCAGGGCAAGAGGATCAGCTCCTACGACGACAGGTAGACAGTCAGAAACCCTGTAGTCGCCTGTTTCTTTTCTTTTCTTGGAGTTTCTTCTCAATGTTGCTTTTGCGTTTACAGATTTATGCTGCAGCTCGCACAGAAGACCAACGGAGTGATCGTAACCAACGACAACCTGCGAGACCTTTCAGACGAGACCGCTGTGTGGAGAGACATCATCAAAAAGAGGTAAAATGGAGCAATCACCCGCACATTTAACCTCTAAAATCAGGTTTTTTCATTACTTGTATTTTGGATGAACTGAAGTTCTCAAGTCCAGTTGGATCTTGTATTTTTTTCTGCAGACTCCTGCAGTACACGTTTGTTGGGGATCACTTCATGGTACCAGACGACCCTTTGGGTAGAGGAGGGCCTCACCTGGATGACTTCCTACGCTCAGAGCACAGGTACCACAGTGAAATGATCAGACTCACAAATACTCCACGATGTCAGGTGGTTTTTAAAGCAATATTGTGACGAATCCTTATTAAAGTGTTTTGACTTTGTTTAGGAGCCCTGATCCAGGAAACCACTCTTTTGCCGGATCAGCCACCGCATTCCCCTCTGCAAAACCTTCCCGCCCCCAAACTGAGGTCTTGAACTACCGCGACCGGACCCTGGGGGGAGCTGTGGATGCCACATATGGAGGAATTCGAGGTAAAGGAAGGGGGAAAAGACCGCCGGGAGCTCCGGACTCTGAAATGGTTTTCAGAGCAGACAGAAGTCCGGAAGAAACAGCCAGCCTCAGAGAACAGCTCTGCCAGGTTTTCCTGGGTCAGGACAACATGGTGACGCTGGTACTACAGAGCCGCCCAGCAGAGACGGATATAAACGTGCTGTCTGATCTGATTCTACAGCAGCAGAAGGACTAGATCTTATCATGTTAACGATTGTTATCGAAGTCACGTCAGACTTTTATTGCGCTGAATTTCTCACCAAAGACGAAAACAACACTGGCTCATAATTCTATCTATGACCACTATCTACTATTAGTATAACTCTTATTAATTCGCCCGTTATGAAAATGTTTGTCGCACTTAGATTGTTAGGCAGTTTGTTTTTGGACCAAAATCCTTCGAACTCGGCAGGAGACAAGTTCTTGAAGGTAGGAACTGAGAAACCTAGCAACCTCCCGTTTGTTTTTTCTGGGTTTTGAATTCATGTAAACTTATCAAATCTGACAAATCCAATAAATTTAACCGATTTCTGTTAGAATAAAAACAAAAATCCTAAAATTACTGTTCTATTTCAACTCAAATACAAAGTCGGAGAACAAATTTTTCTAACTAGTTTAGTTTTTTTTAGATCAGACATTCCATTCAGCTCCATCTATATTTTTGTATCACATGACTTTTCTACAAGCTAGTCTTACCTGTGGTTGTGTAAATCTGACCTGCTAATCAACATGTTAGCTTCCCCTGTTTCACATAACTGCTAGCTCTCGTTTTACAGCAATTAAATCTCAAACAGCGCCGAATGATACCTGCTGAACATCCTCCTCCGGGTCGTTTTAAGCGGTTGAAGGTTCGTCTGAGGCAGCTGAGTTTATGCTGCCTGAGTTTATTTCGTCTTCTCTTTTGGTGAGGAGCAGCTCAGTCTTTGCTGGTTTCGACTCGTCGAGCAAATTCAAGCAAATTTTCTAGTTTTGGAATCAGTTTATTGCACCTTTTTCAACTGTTGTAGACTGTTTGCTGATTAATGAGAAAGTTTTATACATCAGCACCTCCAGCTGTTGGTTGGAATCATCTTATCATCATCGTATTTAACCAGTCGTGGCAATATTTTCTACATTCACTTTTGTATTTTTAACTTATTTTTATCAGGTTTGATGTTTTTACGACTAGCTTTGCCCCTGAAAATACAGAGAATGGATCCTCGGACCAGCTGCTCGGAGTTGATTTTTAATACAATTTTCAAGTTGTGATGACTATTTTTCCCAAGTGTGTTGTTTATATGTGTACATTTTAAGACCTCGATGCTGAATTCTGCCTTATTTCTGTATTAAAGAATCTCTTGATTAAAAATATCAACTTCTTGCCTGTGAAATGTTTTACTCTGTGTTTCTGAATGTCTCGGTAACGGTAGCTAAAGCGGTGTTATGTTAAAAATTAAGTTAAATGTTAAATAAAGCAGAGGTGGGGGAAAGTCCCTATGTTGCAAGTCCAAGTCGAGTCTCAAGTCTTTGCTCTCAAGTCCCGAGTCAAGTCCAAGTCCTGAACTTTTTGTTTCGAGTCCCAACCAAGTCCTTACCGTTTCTTTCAAGTCAAAAACAAGTCATATCAAAGCCATAAACCATTTGTTATATGTAAAGATTTACATAAATCATGAGCGTTTTTCACTATTTTCATTTATTATTAAACAAGGGTTCTTGTTTGTGTTAAGTTACATAGTGCAGCTTTAACCAAACATTTTTACATGTCATACAAAAAATAATCAGATCAACTTCAATAATTGGAAACAGGCGGGCAATACTAGCGAGCGATTTATGTTCAGTCCTCCCGGTGTTGTCGTTATGAGGGAGGCTAGAGTTTGAGACAGTGTTGCCAAGTTTCGTGAGAGAAATAAGGAAACAGACCTCCAGAAACAAGCCAACAACAAGCAGACTTGGCAACACAACACAGTGTTACCAACGGCCGTAATTCCTGACTATTAGTTGATGCGACACTTTTTAAACAGTTTGGACTTGCTGGAAGGTATTAAGTGACTTGAAAAGACTTGACTTTTCAAGTCACTGGGCTCAAGTCAAGTCAAGTCTCAAGTCTTTGACAATCAAGTCCCAAGCGAGTCCAAGTCATTTCTTGATTTCATCAAGCAAGTCAAAAACGGGACTCAAGTCCAAGTCAAGCCCCCACCTCTGAAATAAAGTAATAATTTGGTATGTGGAGTGCTGCTGAATGCCTTAAATGCAGAGTATGAGTACACCAGACTCTCCACTAGAGGTCACTCTTACTCAGAGTTAAAGTTTAAACTCCTGCAAAACTTAACTGTAAACTAAACTTAACTTAGTAATTGGATAATTTTATGGACCCACCATTTTTAAAGTCTAATTAATGCATTTATTACATTCAATCATAATGCCCAGGTGATTTTAATCAGCCAAAACAACCTGTATCAATGTTTATTTAGTATGAAAAGCAGGACCACTGGACTCAAAAAGCAGAATAAGTGGTTCTACACATGCACATTTAAAATCTTATTTTCCTCTTATTTAATGGTTTTAATTCTTAAGAGAGAGTGATCACAAGCGTGTAGAATGAATTACCGACAACTGATTCAGCAATTAAGCTCCATATCTGCCACCAGATGTCTCATTTTAGATAAAGCTGCCTGGATTTAATGAACCTGGAGATGTAGTGTTTTGTTTACTAGAGCATATAAACTAAACAAAGGCTGCCACGTTTCTTTTTTTGGACTTCACAGAGGAACAACCCTCTTGTTTCTCAGAATAGATTAGTACGAAACCGGTTTGGTTGGCGGGGAACAATAGTGGATATAGACAGCAGATCTATTTTAGGTACAGGGGTAATTTTTACAAGCAGCTTCTAAAGGGCTTGCCCGGTTTATAACATTCAGTATGTCAGGTAACATCTGGTTGGATTTTGCACAAATATAAATGCGAGTAAGAGAGAGCAGTGGGTGGTGGCGGTAGGTTTATTCTGTCTTTGTAACACGGGTTAATCATTTCCATGCTCTTAAACAATGGAGACAAACAGACAGGTGCATGTATGAAAAGTTGAAATGGAAAATTAGATTGTTGAAAATAGAATTGTTTACTGTAAAGTGCAGGTTGTGAGTCCATTTCATGTCCAAAACTGTGATTTGGACGGTAAACATTAAGTCTTATTTTAAAGCACTGGGGTGAAATACTACTATAGTTGACTTAAATCAACTTTTTGTACGGCCTGATCCATTTGGCATTCTCATCCACATAACAACTGAAGAGTTCTGATAAGAGATTTCTGATTGGTTTACTGTTACGGGAGTAACTAATTGGCTGTTTGTAAGGGGCTCTCTGACTGACTAATTGAGGGGAAAGTTTTGATTCTATTTTATTTTTAACATAATGTATTTTTGATCATACCAAAAGCATCACTCATACATGCAAAAAATAAAAAATATTAAAAATTAATTAAAAATTTGTTTGTTGATTGCTCTTGGGGGCCCCCTATTGGCCGCAGGGCCTAAGCAGGACTTAGGCTATGTTCACACTGCAATTCCACGGCCAATTCCAATTTTTTAATCATATGTGACACATATCTTATTTTCATGTAAGTGTGAACAGTGCAATTCTGATTATTTAAATCCGACCCAGGCCTCTTCTGTATGTGGATATATACACTTACATCGATTTATATGATATATATATATATATATATATATATATATATATATATATACATAGGCCTATATATATATCAGATATGTATTGCATATCCATTTCACCACTGTTTTAAAACACTTCTGAAGACGCACCAGTTCACTTTAGCTTTTGGCGATCTATAGCTACTTTTATTAGGTATTTTATTTATTTGCTATGTTTATCTATATTGTTGCTTTATGCTTTTATTGTTTGTTTTGTTTATTTTGTATAGTTTTTACAGTTTTTTATTGTTTCTGGCTTTTTTACAGTAAAGCACTTTGGTAGGCCACTGGCTGTTTTTAACTTTGCTATATAAATAGAGTTTGTTTGTTTCCACTAAAGCCTGTAGAACTGAATGTGTCCTGTGTACTTCACGGTGTGATAGGAAGAGTTTTGCATAACTGAACACTTCCTCCTCCTCCTGTGGTTTGACCTTTCCCCTGCCCTCCCTCTGTCTCCATCCCTCTCCTCTGTTTACCTCACCTTACATCTATTTGCATAGCTGGACCAGAACGCTCGTGCCCGCCCTCGCCTGCGCGCTCCCGCTCCACACTCACCTATTCGAACTTCACACAGTCTCGTGCACGGTGACTCAGCCGCGCCGACTCTCCAACGTTTATTTCTGAAAGAGGAAAAAAAACGACTTTTTGAGGATATTTTTGATTTTTTTTCCACCTTAAATTGACGGTTTGAAGTTTTTTTTAAGCTCTCCGGTAAAAGTTGAAGAATGACAGAGAAAGTTGAGCGATAATGTCGGAGGGAAATCGAGTTTGTCGTGTGTGAGAGCGAGCTGACGGACGTTAAAAGGACCGAATAAGAGGAGCGTTGATTAACAATGAGGTGAGTACGTTTTATTTTACTGTTTATGACTCTACTAAGAATTTTCGCCTTTTAACTGTTGATTTATAACCCTATAACGTCGTTCATTTCACCCCCTTTACCTCCAATGACTTAACCGTTTTGATGTAATGTTAACTAACAACTCTCATTAACTCATCGTACGAAGTTTGAGATTCAGAGGCGTCTTTTCAGGACAGAAATTCAACAAAAACTGTAATTTTATTGTATATATGTTTTTACATTAAGGTTACCAGCTTATTAAAGTTACTTCTACTGAGTTTGCGCCTGTTTCCATCACCCTTAACACAAGTAAAAGCAGTCAAACCATAAAGATAGTTTGATTAACAAAATAACTGATAAACTTTGCTGTTATATTTTGCATTAAATATTGCCTTTATGTTCAGATCTGTCTTATAATTTGTCTTATAATTTTATAATAATATAAAATCAATAGCTATCTTTTTTGTTTCTATATCTTAAACAAGCCCTGAAAAATACAGAAAAATTGGGATAATGTGCAACATCTGTCCTAGAAGTAATAAAAATCCGAGGATCTGATGTATGGGAGCCCAAAGTGGACATTCATCCACACTTTTAAGTTGATTTTAGTTGTTTAATTTCTTCAGATGATCATTACTTGTGATCACAGAGTCCCAAAAGCGCAAAACAAACAAAGAAGTAAGTTTGATGAGGCAGCATGGCGTGTTGTTTTCACCAGGGGGTTTGACAATATCAGATTTTCACAGCACACTCACATCGTAATGGAAACACAGCTAGTAGAATTAAAGAGGGTGGAGCGACATACCAGTATATAGCAGAGCGAATAGAAGTGCCTTTCTTCATGAAGACCCACATTAAATTCATTACGTTGCTATCCAGGAAACTGCCAGGATCGTACTTAGGTCAGCAGAGGAAGCATTTATAGTTTTTGAGGTATCAATGGACCATTCAAGGACATGAGACCATAGCCTACCTACACACATCCAAAACCAACTTTCATTTACTTATTTATTTTTTTGACACCAAATATACCGATACAGGCAATAACATCGGTTATTGTCGTAAATTTCGGTATTGGTAAATTTTCAGTTTATCGCCCAGTCCCACTGCAAAGACAACGAAATCAGTTAGGGTCAGCTTCAACAAAATGCTTAAAAAAAAGTTAGTTAATGCCAAAAAGAGACATGACTCTGTAGTGGAAATCACTGCATAGGCTTAAATTCTCACCAGCATCCACAAATACAGGTTAAAGCTAGGGCCTGACTGATTTATCGGCGATCCGATTAAATCGGCCAATTTTTTTGATTTTTGAGACTAATCGGCCAAAACTCGCAGAGTTTCGCCGATATTTTCAGAAATAAAATGTGGAGAATAAGATTTGGTTTCTCATCGAAAATGTTCCGCTATTTGAGAAGTTCCCTAACTTATCCTGACATGACCTCATGACGATCTTCATCCACTAACTACCTCACAGCACAGCAGAGTGACGGTAAATAAACCAGTTTGTGAAATACACAATAAGTCAACAATTTTTAGTTCAACCCACTTCACGATGTTCCCTGCTGTGCTGGTCTTGGTCACCCCGATTTAAGGTGTTTACACACCGAAGCCGACACGAATGTAGAATGTGAAATCACGAAATATTCAGAGGCGAATTTTGACACCTGACTATACACGTCAAGCCCGATGCGATTTTGCGACTTTCCAACGGTCAGCACTTATAGCCAATCAGAGGCGTAGGAGGGTGGGACTGTCCCGAGTGGAAGCGAGAGGACAAAAACGGAGTCTACTTCAACTTCAAGTGATGGCGAATTGATACTCCTTTTGCTTTCTCAAAAGAAAAAGAAACGTAGCACATGGGTGCAGAAGAGAACTTGGTGAGTGTCACTGCTTGGTTCAAGAGCTGAAACTGGACAACGGTCGCTGATTGTTTTCCAGTTCTGATTAGACACTAGTGTTGAGATGGCTTTCTGTCATGATAGCAAATACTGAGTCGGGGCCAGTACCAGATAAGCACGTGAAACTATGGTAACAACCCTTAACTTACGTTAGCACAGATGAAAAGTTAAAACAACGACGTTTAGCAAACTGTTAAAGCACACAAACGTTGAAAACGCTTTTCTGGTCCGAGTTTGACCACTCGGTCTTCCTGTCGGCGTGAAGAGCAGTAGCCTACAGTATATCTACAGTATATATATTTTTCATAACTTCATAGAAAATTTAAAAAAATCAGCCGATTAATCTGTAATCAGATTTTTTCCCCCTAATAATCGGTATGGGTATCGGCCCCAAAAAATCCATATCGCTCGGGCCCTACTTTTAAGCACACCACAAGATTTATTCAACAAACAGTTAACCACATTTTAAAAAAAAAAATACATGATCATGAGATAAAAGAGGAGAAAATCTGGACAAAAGTGGCACTTGGCTTTTTTCCTCATTATGTAGCTAGCATGTTTCGGGGACTAAGCAGTGCCAGCCAGGACCGTTGTCATCATTAATTTCTTAGGATGTTAGGAAGCAGGAATGATATATCACGCCTCTGATTGGATTTTGTATGGAATCCCAGAGCGGACATACATCCTTACATTGTGTTTACTCTCTTATCTCTCTGATAATGAGAAACCTCACATGGTTTACTCTAGATTATGACTTTTCTTTTTCATTATCTCAAGGCAACAGCGCTTGTTTTCTCATGATAACAGGTGAATTTTGCTGCCATTGATCACATTAACTTTGAAGATACAAGTTATGATCATCTCATCTTATGCTGGTGCAGAGATTATCTAAACTGATTTTGAAAACAAAGGGGGCAATTTAGTTCGAGGAGAGTCTTGTTTTTCATTCCAAAGAGATCAAAATGTTGAAAAAAGTAGACAGAGGAAGACGACACCAGCAACAATAATTCACTGTAACATGACCAGACAGTGTCTTTGCTTCATAGAAGGATTAAAGTAAGTTATTGTCCAGGCACTGAAAAGAAACCAGGTTATTGTCAAGTACGAAATAGCACAGGAAGTGCACTCCAGGTGAGAAGATAAATCATGAGGAACCACGAGTTTAACCGTCTTTATCAAATCAGATTTGAACCTCTATCAGAAAGAGAAAGCAGGATAATTAGAGAGACAACGTGTGATCATGTCCGCTCAAACTTTCACCTCATGTTCCAGCGGCTACAGAAGCAGATCAGTGCAAAACCTCTGCATGAATAGAAAAAATGTTTTTAATGTGCGCTGGGCGCGTCGCTGTCATGTCATTCCGGTCCACGCCTGAATGAAGTGTGTGTCACTGGGGAAGAGCTCGCAGCCAGACTAACTCGTTCCTGCGTAATGGGGAAGTAACTAGAAAGAGACGGTAATTTAAATGGTATTGAAACAATGCAGGGGTATGACCGCCGCGCTGGGAACATTCGACCATTAGACTCAGCTGAGAAGAACAAGGAAAAAAATCATCTTTAATCTTTGCAGAGATTGTTGTATTGTTTTCTCTGTTATGTAATATTTGAATCAACAAACAGAGGACTGATCAGATACTGAATCTATTATAAATATGATGTTATCAGTGTTGATGAACGGGTTTCTTGAAAAAGCATAGATCAGCCTCCTGATTCTTCTTTCTGTCAGTGGGCAGTTAAAGGCTCCTGCTCGCTCGTATAATTCTAATAAAATTCAGATATAATGCAGATAAATACTTCAACGTGAAAGTCAAAAGCATTGGTGCTACTGTAGATGCCAACAGACTACCAGCAAACACAATGTTTGCAGGACTTCTACAACTAGGATAAAGTGACATAGTCCAGGACCCGAGGGAGGACAGTTTAGCGACGGCGCTACAACACGCTACAGCAGGTCCGTTTGACAAGAAACACTTCTGTTACAGACACTTGGCTTACTTTGTTAAAGAGGTTTACCTGTCCAGTAGAAAGGGAACATTGTGAAGTGGGTTGAACTGAAACTTGTTGACTTATTGTCTACTTCACAAACTGGTTTATTTACCGTTGAGGCGGACCACTCTCCTCCGTGCGTCCCTGAGCTGCCTGCTTCAGATCCATCACTCTGCTGTGCTGTGAGGTAGTTCGTGGATGAAGATTGTCATGAGGTCGCTGCGCCATCTAGAGGATAAGTCGGGGATTCGTGAATCCGAATCTTATTCTCTGCATTTTATTTCTGAAAATATCCGCAAAAATCGGCGAGTTTTGGCCAAGTACCGACTAGTCTCAAACGGGCTAAAATTGGCCGATTTAAACAGCTCGCAGGTAAATCGATCGGGCCCTAGTCCTGATACAACTTTCAACTTCCAATACGATACCAATTTTGTAGCCTTCAATATTGGCTGATACAGATATTGATCCAATATTAGCACAGACTTGTGCATGACAAGTTTTGCACTCAGCCGCAACAACTTTTTTGGATTTGAACAAAACATCACTCCTACTTCTTGCTATTTTGTTCGTACCTCAGTTCACACTAATGTTGTGATTACGTCGTCTCTGCATACTGGATACAATAGAGGTGCCGGAGCAGAATCTGGAATGGACTGCTTGTATCGAAGTGCTGATATCGGAGATTTAAGGTGCTGGCTGATATAATCCGATATTCCATTTTTTGCCGACACCGCTCCGATATCTGATATCAATATCGTATCAGAACATCCCAACTTGTAAACAATCAAATCAAGAAACCTCAACCTGCAAGCAGAAGCTATTTCACTAATGGAAAATGTGTTTTGTCTGCTAAGGCTAATTTTGATTGATTTTGTTTTGATGATGTTGTTAATGATGTTTTTTTTTTCGTTTGGCAGCAAGATTCCTCTCCTACCCAGTATGAAACAGCACCAATCAAGGGAGCTCTTACTGTGGTACAAGAGTCCACATCAGCGACCTTTTGGACCTTAACCTCAGAGGAACCTGTGTCACCTTTTCTTCATTGAAACTTAGATTTGTAATCATTTGGCCATCGGACGTTCACGCTCCCAAGAGTCGAAATGCCAGACCAGTCACAAGTTCTCCAGGATAAGGGGGAGCCTGGAACACCCGCAGTCCCGGACATCAGGGTCATCTCCAGTGAGGGGGAGGGCAAACTCACTGGAGGAGACACCCTGGAGCTATGCGACTTGATTCAATCAACAGATGGTGTAAAACAACAACCAGCACAAAGTGAGGACGATTTGAAACCAGGACTTGATGAATCCCAGGTTTCTGTGGAGGTGGGTGTGGCAAAAACAGCACAAGCCCCTGAACCTCTGCGAGCCAGCTCTTTTTTAAAGGGGGAACCCGTGACCCCACGTGAAGACAAGCAACAAACTGACAACAGCGCCGGTGACTCTGATTACAGCAGCACAAAATCCAGTCCTGGATACACTAACAGCGGCTTTATCAGCGACGAAGAGTTATCCGAGCTCGATAAGACCTCCATGGAAAAGAAAAACCACATCCCTCCTCTGAATTTGTCCGAGCTCAAACTGGACTCTACGAACAGTCCCGATGATTACAAAGACGAGTCCAAAACAGACTGGACTGACGGACCAAACGGAGGAAACTCACTGGGCTATGTTTCACCTGGCGTCTACCAACCGAGGGACAGCATCAGCAGCAGGTGGGACGAAGAGGACGAAGACGAGGACAGGCAGAGCATACGGTCAAGACGGAGTGTGAAGGAGGGGGTGTGTTGCTGCTATCAGGTCTTCCACAGGGCCTGTCTGCAGTGTGTGGAGGAGACGCCGGCCATGCTGTCCGGGCTGGTGCTGTCTTTGGCCTTCTGTGTGGCCCTCATCGTCCTCATCCCCACCACAGGACGGGTGAGACACGGAGAGTGTGTGTTTGTGAGCGTATGAGTGAAAGAGGCAGGGTAAGGTTCAAAGTAGTAGTAGTTTATTTGATCCGCACCAGAGTTCGAGGTCAGCGTTCACACCGACCCAAATGAAACCGCACCAAGGGGGTAAACGCTCCAGGGTTCGGTTCAACCGCACTAAACGAGGGTGGTGTGAACACGCCCTTAAATATCAGTTGATTACACATCACATCACTGAAATCTAACAGTGCTAATTGGTAGCATGTCTTTTGCGATACAGTAAGCTACTGCATCTGTGAGGTCTTTGTTTCTCTTCGATGTTTTGTCGTGAGGCGTTGCGCTAGAGAAAGCGGACTGAAGGGTCGGCTGCACAGGCGCCATGGGCTCCTTCCTCCGCTCGAGGTTTGTAACCTTTTACATTGTGCACGCTCTGCCATGAGGCGCTACTTCAGGTGGTGAAAAAGATTTGAGGTATTCCCAAATTCTGCGAGAACATGTACTCGACATACTTTTTCTTTACTTTTTCAACTTAGGAGCACATGTGATCCTTGTGAAAGAAGTTAGTGTCAAGCCCTGGTGTGGACCCAGGGCAAGTCCCGTTTTCATTGGCTATTCGTATAATCTACCAAAACATGGCAGAATCTCGGTTATCAAAAAGGATATTGACCATGTTTTATATTGATATTGAGAGACATTAAATTCCGATATATATCGTTATCGTTTTATCGCCCAGTCTAACTTCCAAGGTCATCTGAAGTAATTTTATTGATAGATTTCTCTTCGTATAATCTCCAAGAGTAAGAATATACCATATGTAAAATATTACAACCTTTGAATGCTTTGAAAAAAGTCAAGAGAAACCAAAAGCTGGAGAAGATTCAAATGACAGTCGAGGAAACACGAAACCTGTTCCCCAAAATACCTCAACATGATCGTATGTCAGTCACGGTACATGACCTACTCTGACAGAACAGTGACACACATTGCAGCATATGTGATGTCTGAATGTAGGTCATGAAAATCCATGGCAGCATATGTGTTGTTTGTTTGTAGGTCATGACAGTCAAACTTGAATAATACAGACTTTTTAAGATTGTGACGCTGATTTCTAGTTTTTTGGGTTTTGTGTAGGATATCGACGTCCATGTTGGCGCTCTGTCCATCTTGTGTGTGGTTCTCTGTCTGAGCGCCATCCTCCTCATCTGCCTGCCTTGGCTGGCCACAGTGAGGCGCTGCGGGGGAGCCTTGGCCCTCTTCGTCTGGGGGACTCTGTACATCACCGCCATCGTCTTCATCTTCACTGGCGGGCCGGTCACTGCGTGGGAACAGGTGAGAACGAAGGAAGAAAGCAAAGATAAAAGAGAGAAGTCGAATGTTTCTGGTCTTGATGTTGTTGATTCTCTCTGTCTGCAGGTGGCGTTTTTCCTCTTCCTCTCACTGAGCGTGTACACGGTTCTTCCTCTCTCGATGGCGTGGGCACTCATGGTCGGGATCGGCACCAGCGTTTCGCACATCATCATTATCAGTGTTTACGTCCCTGTCACAAAACCAGAGACACCAGATCTGGCTGTACAAGTAAGGACTTACTGTGTACAGCAACACATTTTCAGTTTAATCCAGAGTCTCTGAATCTTTGAATGATATTTTGGGACTCTAATCTGAAATCGTCTGAAACTATTCGCTTAAACAGTTTCAGACGTCATTTGCAAATGGTTTTCCCTCTACAAATACGTGCTTCTTTGCATGCGCCACAAAACAGAGATCATATTCAAATAAAGCGGGTCGAGCTCCATAGAATGTCCAATGATCTACACTACAGGCCAAAAGTTTGGAAGCAAGGCCATGACAGGCCGAACAGTTGGGAGTAACTTCAAGTTTTTGTTCATAATGCTTTTTTTTAAATCCAGCTTGAGTTTTATGTATCTTGGGATGTATTTACTCCATGATCAGATGTTTGCTTTCATGGAAATGCACCATTTTACTCCATTTACCCTTTAGAGATACATTGATGTTAACAGACCATTGCTAAATATATGTCAACAAAATATAATAAGGGCTAAGTTTTAAGGTCGAAAACATTTGCAAGAGTCACAACTTCAAACAAATCACAGTTGGATTATTCACTTCAACTTTTTGGCTTTTGAGAGCCTGCAGACAAAATTCCTAATAAATCTCAACTGCGTTCAAACTACCGCAAAAATGGCTACAAAGAAGCAACTGAGTCAAGAAACAAAAGTACAGATTTGTACATTGAGGAAAAAAGGATACACAGAAAGAGAAAATGCAAAACGCCTAAAGGTGTAAGGAGTCCACTACACTCTAAGGAGACTAGAGGAACCTCGAAGTTATGATGATAGAAAAAGACCTGGACGAAAGAGAGTTACTTCAAAAGCAGAGGATAAACATAGGATTGTCACTAGTAAGAGAGATCGGCGAAAGACGGCACCACAAATAAGGGAGGAAATCAACATGACAGGTCGAAACCCATATCTCTGACAACCGTGAAATGAGGTTTGAGAAAGGCTGGTCTGAAGGGTTGTGTATCTGCAAAAAAACACTACTTCATCCACAGAACAAGAAAAAGAGATATGAGTGGGCAAAAGCTCACAAAAATTTGACTTATGATGACTAGAAACAAGTTTGAACTGTTTGGTTCAAACCGCAGAGTCTATGTCCGCAGACAAACTGGTGAACGTCTGAAAGCTCCATGTGTTACACCCACAATTCAGCATGGAGGTGGTAGTTCCATGGTATGGGGATGTTTTGCAGGTGATAGAGTAGGAGATTTGTTTGAAGTAAAGGGTATCATGAAGAAGGAACAGTATCACTCCATCCTCCAGCACCATGCTGCTCCATCTGGACCCAGACATGTGGCTCACAAAATTGTTTTGCAGCAAGACAATGATCCTAAGCACTTTGCCAAGCTCTGTCAGGGTTACCTCGACAAAAAACAAGAGGAAGGTGTTCTTCAAAAGATGATTTCGCCCCCTCAGTCTCCAGACCTTTCTCCAATTGAGCTTGTGCGGGATGAATTGGATCGATCGGTCAGAAAAACGCGTGTCACGAATCAGCAGTCTCTTTTTAATGTAGAAAGCTTGGAATGCAATCCCTGGAACATACCTTAAAAAACTTCGGATAAGTTACGCTTTACACTAAAGTCATGTTTATTGTGTTGCAAAGTATATTAATGAAACTATGATCTTTTTATTTGTACAAATCTGATCTTGCTTCCAAACTTTTGGCCTGTAGAGTCAGTAATAATCTCCTCAGTTTTCCATTACCCTGTTACCTGTTACTGATTAAGTTGGCTTTTCCTTCGCTGACACTCACACTGATACTCAACAACAATCCCCCTTTTTTTCCCCCTCAGCTGGTGGCGAACGCCGTGCTCTTCGTCTGCGTGAACTGTGTCGGGATTTTCCACCTGTGGATGACCGAGCATGATCTCAGGAAGTCCAACCAGAAGAGGGAAAGGTTCAGCGCCATTCGCTCACAGAAAGACGTGAAGAAATATCAGCAGGTGATAACTCAGAGTCTGTGGAAACTTCAGTGGATTCTTCTGCACTGTAGAAATCAAATCCGGCTCCCCTTTTGTTTGCCTCTCTGAATTAAAAATCATTATGTGTAATCTCTTTCATAAAAGGCTCTTACCTGGACAGCCCGGCTCTGGTTGCTGTGTGCTCTTCTGTCTATTAGGTCAATAGATTAATCATTCACCTGTGTGATGCCAGGCAGCTGTAGACTAGGCAAACCCAGATGGACAATATTCACGGCAGGTAAACAGATAGATGAAACACGCTTCACAGAGTCAACACAGCAGCGCTTCAAAGAGCCTTTTGATGGCCGGCTCCTCTTTTACAGCCGCTCTGAGCAGACTGTCTCCTCTGCGAGATAGACGGCCAGTGTCCAAACATACGAGGTCGAAAAATCTCATCACCCACACCGCCGTCTCCGCACAAGTCTTAACCCCGGTCTTGTCTCTGTTTCCGCGACAACAGGAGCAGCTCCTCCTATCAGTGTTGCCACGCTACATCGCCATGGAGCTGAAAACGGAGGTGATAAAGAGGCTTTCCAAGCCGACGGACGATAAGGAGAACGAATCCAACTTCCACAACTTTCACAGCTTCTACATACGACAGCACAAAGACGTCAGGTGACCATCAAGCTTGTTAGTTTTTCCAAACCCTGTCTGTGGATGTGGATGTAAAGTTTGATGGTGAACAGCTTGGCATCAAGATAAAGACTAATGTCATTATGGTTTTACAAGCCCACAACAGAAGTGCTTAGTGTTCATTTACTCTCTGATCCAGGTTTTCATCACACACATCTGTTGTTTTTGCAGCATCCTCTATGCGGACATTGTGGGCTTCACAAAACTGGCGAGTACCTGCACACCGGAAGAGCTGGTCGCCGTGCTCAACAAGCTCTTCGGGAGGTTTGATGACATCGCTAAGGTGAAAACGATGATAGACCCAGACTGAAATCAAAATTTAATCTCTTCAGAAATGGTTGTTTCGTGTCAGAGATTAAAGGGATATTCTGGTGTAAAATTAATTTAGGGTCAAACACACCGTAACACCGAGTTAGACAACCCCTCGCGAGATGAATGTTGCAGACCGCTTGCTTCTCTAGTTATACCAACTTTAGTAACGACCGCACGATAGCAATACACAGCGGTCTGAGGAGCCATAAACAAACCTCAACCAAAACGCCACAAATAATGCTCAGAACAGCACCTAACTTCATCAACAGGACATATAGGGTCCTAGCCATAGTACTAGTCATCAAACATCTTTTTAGCTTTGACTAATTTCTTTAGCAAAGAGACTAAACACAACTCACCTACTCTCCTCCAGCGGCCGCTTGTTTGTAGCAAGACCTCAGGCCAGTCCATTACGGACTACAGCGGGGTGACGCAGCTCAAGGAAGAACATTTATGATTATTTCTTTATCATTTCCTGTGTTCTTCCTTGAGCTGCGAAACTCCGCTGCAGTTTGTAATGGACAGGCCCTAGGTGTCTAGTACTATGGCTGTGACCCTATATGTCCTGTTGATGAAGTTAGGTGCTGTTCTGAGCATTATTTGTGGCTATAGAGTGGTGTTTTGATCGAGGTTTGTCTCCTCCGACCACTGTGTATTGCTATCGTGCGGTCATTAATAAAGTTGGTTTAACTAGAGAAGCAAGCAGTCAGCAACATTCATCTCCCAAGGGGGGTGTCTAACTCTGTGTTACGGTGTGTTTGACCCTAAATTAATTTTACGCTGGAATATCCCTTTAACGTCCATGTCAGACTCACAGTCCTCTTCTCCTGCTTGTAGAAGAACGGCTGTCTCCGCATCAAGATCTTGGGCGACTGCTACTACTGTGTGTCCGGTCTACCTGACCCCATCCCCACCCACGCTAAGAACTGTGTTCAGATGGGGCTGGACATGTGCAGAGCCATCAGGTCAGTTTATTCAAATCTATGAAAAACACTTTCCCAAAACAGAAACTTTGTTCTTGGTGATGATGTGTTTCTTTTATTCGTATCGACATTTATCTCCAGCCACAGGAATGAAAGGCATTCAGCGTGTTTAATTTGCATATGTACAGCTTGTGCTCTCTTGTGTAACTTCCTCATGAGTCAGCTGGCACTTTTATTTGATTCTGTTTGGAGGACGAAACTGAAAAAATCCCTGCATGTGAGAGAACTAAAGCAGCTCATTTAAGCAGTTTTGAAAGTGAAATGCATCTGGACTCATCCTCTGTACTTCTGAGCCATCTTGTTGTTTGGGTTTATTCTGTAAGGTAGTTAATGATAAGTCGGGGAACTTTTCAAATGGCGGAACATTTTCGAAGTGAAAACGAATTTTATTTCTGAAAATATCGGCGAAAATCAGCGAGTTTTGGCCGATTACCGATTAGTCTCAAACAAGCTCAAATTGTCTGATTTAATCGGCGCACTGATAAAACGGTCCAGTCCTGATTTTAACCTTTATTTGTGGATGCAGGGAGAATTTGAGCCTATACAGTGATTTCCACTACAGAGTCATGTCTGTTTTTTATCATTACCTAACTTTTTTTTTAGTATTTTGCCGAAGCCAACCCTAACTGATTTTGCTGTCTTTGCAGTAGGGCTGGGCGATAAACCGAAAATTACCAATACCAAAATTTACGACAATAACCAACGTCATTTGCTCATATCTGTATATTTGGTGTTAAAAAAAAATAGATAAATAAAAGTTGGTTTTGGATGCGTGTAGGTAGGTTTTGGTCTCATGTCCCTTTAAGACGCTGTCCTACGTCAGAGACGTGACTCCACTCCATATAGTCTTTAACAAAGAGGGAAAGACAGGTGAGGAGATGGAGGACGGTTCAAAAGTTGTAGCGGCTGAAGTAGACAAAGTTAATGTGGGAGGGGGTGAGCAGCTTGTGGAGTAGTTATCGAGGTGAACTGATCAATATATTGTGATATTGATTTGAGGCCGTATCGTCCAGCCCTAGTTTCATCTTGCAGGATTTTTCATTGAATATTAGCTGTAAGTGATTTGCAAACCATTCAAATCTGCTTCATCCATGTTTCTCCTTCTCTTTTCTGTCTCGCTGTAGTAAACTGAGAGACGCAACAGGGGTCGAAGTCAGCATGCGCGTTGGGGTCCACACCGGCAACGTGCTCTGCGGCGTGATCGGCTTGCAGAAGTGGCAGTACGACGTGTGGTCACATGACGTCACGTTAGCCAATCACATGGAGTCTGGAGGCCTACCTGAGTAAGAAACACCTGCCCAGAGAGAGAATCACTCATATTTGTAGAGCTATTTTGACTCTACAGGGTTTAATCGATCGATACTTGTTATTGATAGGCGAGTCCACATCACAGAGGAGACATTGCAGCACTTAGACGGAGCGTTCCAAGTGGAGGACGGGGACGGGGGGAGTCGGGATCCTCTCCTGAAGGGACGAAAAACCTTCCTGGTGATTGACCCTCACAAGCAGTACAGCATTTCCAGGAAACCCAAAGCGGTAAGTCTGAAGTCATCTGAAGTCGATGTTTGTCGAGAAAAGCGGAATCCTGGAATCTCTTTTCATTCATTTCAGGTGACCAATTTGGCGACAGCCGAGCCCAGGCAGCGAGCGTCGGTGCGCATGTCTCAGTACCTGCAGTCCTGGAGGACCATCCACCCCTTCGCAGACCTGAGCAACCCCGAAGCGTCTCCGACCAAGAAGAGGAAACTGCCGAGAAGCATCACCAACGTCATGAACCGATCACATCAGTTCGCTGTGAGTCCTCGATCTTCTTCTCCTGACGCAGGAACACAAAGATGATTCTTTCAAACTTCCTCCTCTTACTGTATCTGTCCCTCACCAGCGTTTGTGTGTGTTTTAGGTGAGACAACCTCGTCAGAGCCATCCCTCCAGGTGAGTTTTTACACGTGTGGATAATTCAGAGAAAATTCTAAAATATGAATAACGGCTGGTTTGATTTTTAAGAGTCTTATTTGGTTTGTTGAAGTACAAAAAATATTTTGTTTATCCGAGATCAACCAGTCAATAATTCTCCGTGTTTAGCCCCAGTTTGGCAGTTAACAGTTTTACCGGGTCACTGGACACTCTGGACACCGCAGGGTAAGAGTTTCTATCGTCAAAAAATCAAGTTCTTGTTCTTCTTTCCTCTCCTTCGCCTCTTCTTCATCTGATTTCTGTTTGTGTCTTTTTTCGTGAAGGAGGAGATTGAAGAAGCTGAACTGTTTGACTCTGCTGTTCAACGACCTGAGCCTGGAGAGACAGGTAGAGACCGCGTTAATTCAGCTTTAAACCACACAGAGACGCTCGTTCATGGCGTGGTAAGAAAAAGACACGATCACTCTGTCTCCCTCTTGCAGTTCCGCTTCTCAGAAGTCACGGGTTTACATCAGTCCATGAGCTGCATCGCTTTAATCTTCGTCACTATATTTGCTGTTCAGATGCTCGTCTCCAAGAAGTGAGTAGACCCAAACACGAGCGAAAGACAGGCGTGTTCATTATCGTTTAGCCTAAACAACGGTAGATTCAGCTCGCTCTTCTCTCTGCTGCGTCCTGTTTCAGAAACTTTGAAATGGCGGTGTCTTACGGTGTGACTTTCCCCGTGATGGTGCTGTTTCTGTCCATCGCTTTCACCGGATACTTGGAGGTAAACACACACGTACCTACACCTAACTCTACTCATTTTCACCTTTTATTCGGTCCGTCTTGCACACCTGTGGCGTAGCTTTTCCATTTTGTGTCATTAATCTGTTTGGGTGTTACTTTTTACACGGCTTTATCGTCACAAAATGACCCAAAAGTTACGCCCAGGCTAGCCCCATATTCAGCCCCGTCGACGTGTGTTAGCTTGTTGATCGTCTTGTGTTTGCTCACAGAAATGGCGCACGAAGATGCCGGTGGGTATTCAGTGGATATCAGGGCTGTCCCGAGGTGTGTCCACCAGGGCGGCGCTGCGGCTGTTTGTTGTCAGTCTCTGCGTGCTCATAACGCTCCTCATGGCCATCCTTAACTTTGTGAGTTTGTCATTCAGAGGTTTTCTTTTTTCCCGATTCCTGACGTTTATTTCAATCGATTTATTTCTGTTTTTCTTCTTCTCTTGTTTTTTTCGTCTTCAGTTCTTTCTTCCGGGAAAAAACTGCACAGCCATCGTCAACAGGACCGAACTGGAAGAACTGCAACTGCACACTGTGCCTGTGAGTACCTGAAGATGACCGACCAATACAAACATCAGAAAAAGCAGATTAGACTCTCACATTTGGATGAACCAAGCCTTCAACCAAAGATTTTAGCTGTTGCTGATGAACAGTTGGTACAAAAATCATCCTGTCACGTGTGACTCATTAAAAAACCACATTTCTCCTCCTGACCCCGCCCTCTGTCTCCAAACATGCAGTACTACCTGTACTGCTGTCTGCTGGCCATGCTGGGAGTCATCGTGTTCGTCCGCACGTGCATGTCGGTGAAAACGCTTCTGCTCACGCTGGCCGTGGTGGTTTACCTCGCCCTCTTCCTGCACGTCTACGCCCCGAGGTCCCACTGCCTCATCGACCTGCTTTACAACGACACCAAGTGAGCAAAAGAGCGAACGCAGTCACATGGAACATCAGTCTTTAAGTTGTCAGATTTTGGATACTGGGAGGAATAAAATACTTTTAGTTTTTTTTCACTTTTTCAGCATTTTACAAAGAAAAATAGTCAGAGAGGTTAAGTTCTAGCACTTTCTTACACACAGTTTACATCATTTTTGTATGAGTTTGCAGAAACATCTTACTATATTTAGATTTAAACACTCTGTCTTTTCAACATCATATAGACTAGGGTCCGACCGATTTATCAGCGAACTGAATTAATCGGCCAATTTTAGCCCATTTGAGACTAATCGGTAATCGGCCAAAACTCGCCAATTTTTGCCGATATTTTCAGAAATAAAATGCAGAGAATAAGATTCACTCAAACGAAAATGTTCCACCATCAACCGAGTTTGATCAGTCGGTCTTCTTGTCAGCGTGAAGAGCAGTAGCCTACAGTAGATATACAGTATATATACATTTTTATAACTTAATAAAAATTTTAAAAAAATTGGCCAATTAATCGGTAATCAGATTTTTTTCCCCCCTAATAATTGGTATCGGCATCGGCCCCAAAAAATCCATATCGGTCGGGCCCTAATATAGACTAATCCTTATTATTCGGAAAACGGATAAATGAATGTAGAAAAATTCAAAATGTTGCAGGTTGTACAGATTTCTTTTTGTTGACTAAAGTAAGTTTTTAATTTGCTGTAAAAACTTCTCAAAACATGCGCCTGTTGTGTAAATGTTACACATTTTTTCTACACTTGATATGAGGCCAGTACAAAAACTTTTGCCTCTGTGGTGCATTTTTACAACAGAGGATTGGACCACATACGAGAAAATTAAGATTTTGAGATTTAATTCCTAAATTTACGATATGAAGTCATAGTTTTACAAAAAAAAAAAAGTTGAAAATTTACCAGATTAAATCAAAATTTAAAGAAAATTAAATTTTGAATTTTTTAGAATAATGTTATAGGTTCACAAAATTTAAGAAGATGAAGTTATAAATTTATAATATTCCAAAAAAGCAGTTTTATGAGAATGAACTCATATATTTGATAATTTGATAAATTAAAGTTGTCAATTTACCAGGATAAAGTCAAAAAGTAATGAGATAAAAATTATAGATTGATAAGAAATTAGCCTGAAATTATGAGGATACCATTTTAGATTTATGCTTATATAGAGTGGTCAAGTTACAAAATAAAGTGACAAATAAAAGCAGTAAATTAAAGAGAATAAAGTCATAAATTTAATAAATATCAAGTATCAATTTTATGAGAATTTTTAAGAATAATGTAAATTTACACGATTAAAGACATTAATTTTACAAGGATAAGGTAGACAATTTGTGAGACGTTCACCAGAATTATTTTTATAAAAACAACTTTTTGTTAAACTTGAGAGTTGAAGCTGAAAGTGGAACCAGGAGGTCTCAGGAGTCCATTTTCCACTCCTCCACGTTCGTTCAGATCTATCTTTAGTCCGTCCGTCTCTCAGCCGAGGTGTTGAATTCCCGCCTTTTGTCTCCACTCTCAGCTCGGATTGTCGCGGCTCGCCTGGAGTTTCACATCAGCATCTTTTATTCAGGAGCTTCTTACAGACCGGAATTACTCTGAGACACGAGACACTCGAGTTTTGAGAGTGATGTAACGGAAGGAAAAGAGAAAGATGTTAGTTTACGAGTGATGACAAGAGTTCACAGAGATGAAAACGTATTTTTGTGTGTTTTCTCACAGACCAGGGGTTCTCAAAGACCCTCAGATCATGTCCGGGGTCTGGCTGGTCATCTTCTACATCGTCTGCCTCGTTCTGGCCAGACAGGTGTGTGTTTTTTCAGTCACTCAACGAAGGAAAGAGAAATGTGTGGTTTTAGATTTTAGAAAGAAAAGTTTCTGATTTCTGTCTCAGGACGAGCTGAGCAGCCGTGTGGACTTCCTGTTGGAGCGTTGCTTCATGGCGGAGAGGGAGGAGATGGAGACCATGGAGAACGTCAACAAGCTCCTCCTGCAGAACGTCCTGCCGCTTCACGTCGCCTCTTTCTTCATGGGCAAAACTGTTCGCAACCAGGTACGCGTGACCAAACCCCGCAGAGAGGAACAGACCGACTTCTCTGTACGCTGTCGTTTCATTTCACAGCGTGTGTGTGTGTGTGTGTGTGTGTTTCAGGACCTGTACAGTCAGTCCTATGACTGCGTGTGCGTGATGTTCGCCTCGGTGCCTCAGTTTAAAGAGTTTTACAGCGAGAGCAGCGCCAACAGAGACGGTCTGGAGTGTTTGCGCTTCCTCAATGAGATCATATCGGACTTTGATGAGGTACGAGGAGGAAGAGGATGTTATAATCAGCCTGAAGCTGGAACATCTCGCCTCTAACTGCGCTCTTTTTTATTTACTTCCTGTGTGTCCTGCAGCTCCTCTCGAAGCCCAAATTCAGCTCCGTGGAGAAGATCAAGACCATCGGCAGCACCTACATGGCTGCTGCGGGGCTCACACAGACGCCTCAAGGCGACGAAACAAAGGTTTGATTAGTCTCTGAAGACGCCTGAAGAGCAGACGGTCTGACACTCAGTCACTCATTAACATGGTCTCTTGCGCCCCCTGCAGAAAGTGGAGATGTCCTACAGCCACGTTCGCTCCATGGTGGAGTTCGCCATCGCTCTGATGGGGAAACTGGAGCTGATCAACACGCACTCCTTCAACAGCTTCAAACTCAGGATCGGTGAGAAAATCACGACAGCTTCAAGATAAAGAAACAACCAGATTATGTTTTTGGAATGAAAGTTGTTGACAAACTTTGATTCTCGCAGGAATAAACCACGGACCGGTGATCGCTGGCGTGATCGGAGCTCATAAACCGCAGTACGACATCTGGGGGAACTCTGTGAATGTGGCAAGCAGGATGGACAGCACCGGCGTCTTGGACAAGATCCAGGTGAGAGAGGAAACGAGGTGGAAATTTGGAAGAAATAGGAATTGATCCCAACAGGACTTTGTCTAAAAAAACACATAAATCTATAGTGACCAAGCCTTTCCTCACCTGCACATCATTCCGTTAAGTCTTGGCTATCAGGAGAAGAAATATTGGGATTGGAACAAACGCAAAACAGGAACTATCTACATATTTACACTCATTCTTGAGGACCATTATTTCTTATTTTGCAGACAAGCAGGGAACTTTCTTGTCCCTCGTTGATCTTTGGTTGACTCTTGTTGGACACTACCATCAAGGGAATAATAGAAGAAGAATATGAGAGCATGTAATTGGTTGAATGTTTGAGAGAAAAAGACGTCATCAAAACCAGGGCCCGAATGATATGGATTTTTGGGGGCCGATGCACCTGACACTCCTCCTTGTTTTCTTCTTTCCTTTCCGCTCCCAGGTGACGGAGGAGACGGCACAGATGGTGGAGAGCGTGGGATACGGCGTCACTCTCCGAGGAGTCATCCACGTCAAGGGGAAAGGAGACCTCAGCACGTACTTCGTCAACACGGACCAGACGTCTCCTCAGTTCTGACCTCAGACTCAGACATAAACTGTTAATGTTTGAGTTAAACACGTGCACTACATGATATTACTGAACTACGCAGACTAAATATCAAACCATCATGCACATTTGCACTGACTCTACGGTGGAGCCCAGAGCTGCCTCTGTCTTTAGGATGAGACACTAAATAAGATCCTGAAACCCCGGCGAGATGAAGACTACATCTGTGGACTGAAAGCAGGAAGCTTTCTGCTAATGGACCATTAAATGGATGTCTCTGTACTGTATCCGCGTTAACCTGTGAAGCTACATTCCCCTACTGCACCTTTTCACTGAAGTTAGCTCACACAACATGAAGTCTGATCTGGATTGTTCTTTTCTTCTTAGATTCACTCCATGAAATTCACCGTGTGATACTGACTTATTTATTTTTGAAGAAATAACCTTTTTGAGATTTACAATAGGAACAGGAAATGCGGGTGTTTATTTTATTGTATGTTACGGTGGCCGAGAACCGCCACTGCTGCAATTAAAAAAAGAATGCAAAAAAAAAGAAGTCACAACAGAGGTTAACGATGCAAAAAAAAAGTTACCGATGCAAAAAAAAAAAAAAACGGTGCAGATTAAAAAAAAAAAAATGCCACAATGGAAGTTACCGATGCAAAAAAAAAAGAAACAGTGTAGATAAAAAAAAGCCACCATGGGAGGTAAAAAAAAAAAAAAAAAGAGATAGAAACGGTGCAGATTTTAAAAAAAAGCAACAATGGAAGTTAACGCAAAAAAAAAGTGGCAAGAAATAAAAAGTTACTGTGAAAATTATGGGATGCAAATTAAAAAAGCCACAATGGAAGGTATCGACGTAAAAAAAAGAAAAGAAACGGTGCAGATTTTTAAAAAAAAAGCCACAATAGAAGTTAACAACGCAAAGAAAAAAAAGTGTCAATGAAAAAAAAAATATTGCGAAAATAAAGGGATGCAAATAATAAAAGCCACAACAGAAGTGAGCTGCCGGGGACCAATAATCATGATGCATTGGTGTTTTACAATCTAGGCACAGAGAATGACGGTGAGAAGACGAGTAAAGTAGTAATCGAAAAGGTTATTGTTTAATTTCGCTTAGTAAACTCCTTTTATTTTTGCTGTAAGTAACTTTTTTTTTCCGTCGCCACTTTTTTTTTGCGTCGTTAACTTCCGTTGTTTTTTTTTTTTTAATCTGCAACTTTTCTTTTTTTATTTGCAGTGCTCAGTTTCTTTTTTTTGCATCGGTAACTTCCATCGTGACTTTTTTTTTTTTTTTGCATTCCTTTTTTTAAATTTTTTTATTTGCAGCAGTGGCAGTTATCGCCCACCGTAGAATGTAGTTTAATTTGAGCGTAAACAAAACAGCTTCTCTACAACCTCAGTTTTAAACAGACACTTTGTAAAATGCTGATAAAAACAGACTCTGACGATTTTAAAATAATTGAAAGCCTTTATTTTTAATCAAAATTAATGCAAAAACAACATGCCGGTTGTTGAAACTGAATTTTTTGTTTGTTTTTTGACAAATATTTGTTGACATATGCGTTCAATTTGACGCAGGCGCTAAAGACAGACACGTCTCTGTTGTGGAAATCACAGCATTGCCTCACAACACTTCCATAAATCATGAAGGTTGTATTTTTATTCGCCTATTTTAAGACATGTTGATCTGAACGACGCTCTGAGGTACTGATCGGTCCTGTCCACTGCTCCCCAAAGATGATTGACAACAACTTATGTAAAAGTTTGATCTGACAGCGACTGAAGTGAAGTAACTTTAGAGAGTGAGCTCACAGACATAATTTTATGTCATTTTACAGAGCAGAATAATCCAGGAGCACTTCCTCGTGTATATTTTACTCACTGCTGGAGTCAGAGAGATTTATGTCCCTGTAAAACTAAAAAATGATGGTATTTGTATCTTCTGCTGCCTCCAAAACTGAAACTTGATGCAGCGACACATCTCCCCTCGAGTATAATGATGTGTTGTGCCATGAAAAGACAGATAATGTCGATTTAAATCGCACTTTTCTGAAATAATGTAGTTATTTTACCAGTACATTGTTGACAATGTGATACAGAGTGTGTTTTATTTATGTTTATGTCTGTGTGGGACGACGTGTGAATGTTATTAGAAAAAAAGCTTGATTTGCTCAGTAAAGGGAGATATTTTTGTACTCTATTTATATTCAAATAAAGAAAAAATCAACCCTGTTTGGTGTTTTTATGTGCCGGACTGTATAATCACGTCTGTTCAGAATGTGGAATTTCCCCCCCAGTGACGGTTACGCCTACATGCGCTCTGATTGGCTATCACCGCTCCCCTGCCAAACTTTCCTCCCTTTCTATTGGCTCTCGCAGGTGTCAGTCACCGCGCTTCCTGTTTCGCGGTGCGGTTTGTTATTGAAGCGAAGCTGCTTTAAATGCGAAGGGAAATGTTGACGGTGAGTTGGAGAAGTTGGAATTTATTTTCGACAGACGCCCACCTACACGTAGCTGTTGTTGTTTAGAGCATGTTTTCGTGCGGTTTGATGTGTTTTTTCTCTCTAACGGCTTTAATTCCGTTAGTATATGAATGAAGAAAGTTCCTCAACGGTCGTTACCTGTCGTTACCTTAACAGGAGGTGGACGGACACACTCTTCATGGCTCTTCGTGTTTCGTCTTTGAGATGAATTCTAGCGCCGAATTTGACAGAAAATGAAGACTTTTGTCCCTCTCTGAAGAAGAAGAAACTTTAATTAAGAACGTTCGAGATGTCGGGGGGGCACGAACAGAACCGGAAGCGGCGCCCTCCCAAAATGTTTTTGATCTCGACCGACCTGAAGGTCCAGGACCAGCTGGAAGGTACCATTCGGCTGCAGCGGGGGTTCATCTGCCAGGAGCAAGACAAGAGCAGGGGCGACTCTCTCTGGGTCAAGGTATTTTCTACTCATAAATAACTCATTTTTAAACAATATCAAGGTTATTGAGCGCTTGAATTATCAAATTTTTAATTTATATTTTGTTTCGAATTTATTATCTTAGTTTTTGTCACTTTTTGAGTTGGTTTAGGAGATCCAAAATAAACTTATGTAGTTGAGCGAGTGTGCTTATTTTTGTGTGACCAAGATATCTATTTTGGTTGTTTGTATTTTCTAGTTTTAATTTAGGTTGTGAGATGTATTGTAATCAGTCCTTTCTTCTATTATTTGCACACTTAACCTCAGACTGAGCCACACTCTTTAAGTTGTTTTAACTCTATTTGACCTCTTCTAAATCACTGTAATCTTTTGTTGTTCGTAGGGCTGGGCGATATGGGAAAAAGTTTATCACGTTCAGGGTCTCCCCTACTTGCAATTGATCGTGGCGCACCGCCACGGATAAATAAAAGCCGCCACACCTGAAAAAAAATTGTTTTTATCTCACGTAGTTCTACCTCGGACTCATATGTATCAGCAGTGTTTCCCCTACACATGTGCGTCGCTTTTGAAATTTCACATGGTCATTATTATCACTGCGCCACTAATGATTTCTACTCGCACTGTGTGAGCACAACAACACACAACGTTATTTCCGACTTGTAGTGAGTCATCAAGGAGCGCATCAAAAGTGGACCCTCTTCCACTGATGTGAAGGGTGATGTTTCAGCTCATACACGGTCTGTATAGCGAGTAGCGCAGGTAACGTAACTTGAATGTAACAGCGTAGCTCCTGGAGCGGCAAGAGAGTGCGGGTAACAAGGGCCCGCACCCCCCCAACACACACACACACAAACACACACTGCCACAGCTGAAAAAAATTCTAGGGGAAACACTGACATTATTTTTTATTCGTATCAGTCGATATCAACATACATCATGATATAAAAAAATTAAATCTAACAGTGCTTATAAGCAGCATGTCTTTTGCAATACAATAAGCTACTGCATCTGTAGGGCCCTATAAAATCTGTTTTATTTTTTCCCAAATTATTATTTTTTAATTTATTTTTATTATTTTATAAAATATAATATTAATACTAATATACTATGATAACATAATAAGTATTGTTATTGTACTTTCAGTTGTGTTAAACTTACCCCTCATGTTGTTGTTTTACCCCTCAGGTGTTGGACAACGGCGTGGTGTTAAAAATAGAGAGAAAGTTTCTGCATGAAGTCCCAGCTGACCTCAGCGGTCTGCTCGAGCCAGTAGCTGATCCTGAAGTCCGGCTCAAACTTCTCAGTAATACATTTTAATTGTTACTGAGTAGACGCATAAATAGTACAAACCAGATTTTTGTGTAAAGCCTAACCTCTTTGTATCAAAACCATGACATGACCTTTTTGATTTCAAAACTGAAAGTTAACTTTAGCTCATTGAGTTCCTCTCCATGTAGTTAAGTTTCCTTTTAACATTGTTTTGTATTTTTTCAGACACTCCAGGGAAGTTGGAGCAGTTAGTGTCTCTGCCTCTCGAATCGCCGCTTTGGGTCCAAATAGGCGCACAGGACGAGTTGGCAGAGGCAGAGCTGAAATACAAAGGGCCGCTGACTCGAGGGAGTAGTGCTGTGCTGTTCGGAGTGCAGCTCAAGGTAAAGTTGATTCCAAAATTAGGTTACACATGAATCAAATTTCAATTTCTTTGCCACCCTGCCCATCATAAAAATATGCTAACCAAGACTTGACGCCCTATTTGTTTAAAGGATATTCCAAGGTAAAATTAATTTAGGGTCGAACACACCGTAACACCAAGTTAGACACCCCGTCAAGAGGTGAATGTTGCTGACCGCTTGCTTCTGTAGTTATACCAACTTTAGTAACGACCGCACGATAGCAATACATAGAGCCACGCGCTCAACCAAAACACCACTCTATAGCCACAAATAATGATCAGAACAGCACTTAACTTCATCAACAGTACATAGAGGGTCCCAGCCACCAAACATCTTTTTAGCTTTGCCTAAGAGACTGAACACAACTCACCTACTCTCTTCCAGCAGCCACTTGTTTGTAGCGAGACCAGCAGGGTTTCGCAGCTCAAGGAAGAACATTTATGATCATTTCTTTATCATTTCCTTGAAGTAATAATCACCATATTAATCATTTTGCACTGCAGACGCGGTAGTTCTTCTGCCTTAGTGTCTTGGTCTTAGTGTCTAACTCGGTGTTACGGTGTGTTTGACCATAAATTCATTTTACGCCGGAATATCCCTTTAAATAAGGCAGCCTCCCTTCAAACAGCTCTCGCTCTTACTTTGCAGTAAACAGCTACGTTTTTGACATGTATTTCAGGGTTCAGCAGCTGGTAAAGGAGACAGTAACGGGACCTTCAGAGGTCACCGGCTCTTCAGCTGCCCCGATGCCTGCGGCCTCCTCCTTCCAGTCAGCCACATCAGGCAGCGCCACTGGTCTCGCAGCAACGGCTCAGACGCACATGAAAGACCCCGAGAACGGGACCACCACCAACACCGCAGCAGCAACGTCCATTCCAGCAACGGGCATCATAGCAGCAACCACCCAAATCATCATCACCAACAACAGCCGCAGCAGCACAGCCGTCACATCAGTTTCCGTCAACAGCGTCCCAGCAGTCCTTCTCAGACACACGCTTTTGGCATCCTGCCTCGAACGGCAGAGTCTGCGCCCATCACAGCTCAGAACCAGGTCCAGGTTCGAGTTCCTGCATCACCTCCTCCTTTCCATGCTGGTCAGCGGGTGTGTGTCCCACTAGACGACAATGTGTACAGCGGGGAGGTTCGCTTCTGCGGTCTCCTGCCTGGTCGTTCCTCTTCAGGGATGTACGTCGGAGTCCTGCTGGTCAGTATGACTACAAAAATAAGGATTTCAAATATACTGTAAAAGTTTAAACTGTAATTTGAATTATTTGTTTGATTAATGGGCGGCACAGTGGTGAGGTGGTTAGCGCTGTCGCCTCACAGCAAGAAGGTCCTGGGTTCGAATCTGGCTCGGGTGTTTCTGTGTGGAGTTTGCATGTTCTCTCTGTGTCTGCGTGGGTTTACTCCGGGTACTCCGGTTTCCTCCCACATCCAAAAAACATGCCTCAGTGGGGTTAGGTTAACTGGCCACCTTCAAATTGCCCGTAGGTGTGAATGTGAGCGTGGATGGTTGTTCTCTATATGTCAACCCTGCGATGAACTGGCGACTTGTCCAGGGTGTCCCTTGCCTTCGCCCGAAGATGCTGGGATAGGCTCCAGCCCCCCCGCGACCCCGGGAATGGGAATAAGCGGTAGAAAATAGAAGGATGGATGTTTGATTAATTCTCACACATTTATCCTGAACCAAGTGTGTCTTATCTTTACCGGCGCAGCTCTGTTTGCAACATTGTGTTTGTCTTTGTGTTCCAGGACGATCCCGTCGGGAACTGGGACGGGTTTTATAGAGCAGAGAAGCTCTGCCACATTCCTTCCCCTAACCGTGGACTACTACTGCCAACCACTAAGGTGTCCTCAGGTAAACCACAACACCCTACACACTCAGAGTGTGTGCTCCATGTAAACTGACACTGCCAACCTGAAAGATTAAGCTATCAGGGATACTTTGACTTATTCTTCGGGCTACTCTCTAATCTTTGCCAAGTTGAATCAAACATTGTCTCAGTAATTCTCCTGGGATTAGGATTACATATAGTTTTCATTATTGTGACTCTATCAGTAGTATAGATATTACAGCTAAGAACTCAGCATGGTGCAGCTTCTGTTTTTAAGTAATCGTGTAAACAGTGAACCATGAAAGTCATGTCATGAACTTAAAAAAACAGAAGTGACAGAAGCTGTGGTTTCAGAGAAAATTCAGAGCAGAAGAGCCTTTGAGCTGGATTCTCTCTTATGGCCACCAGGGGGCAACTTCACTGTTATAGCAGTGTTAAAACAGATGGGAATGTCTTAAAAAAAGAAAAGGAAAACAGTGTATGTCCCAAAAAATGGTGGCTAATGTATCCCAAGTGTCCCTTGAAGGTAGAAAAACAGGTATTTGTGTGGTGTTTGAAAACAGAAATGACTTTCTTGATATGTAGTTTTACTGCTACTTTACTTTTATGCATCAAAACGAACAAAAAAATTTAATTTTTGTCTCTATTTCTGTTCTTTTAGAGCCCAAATCTCACCGACACAACCTCCCCCAACTCCCCAAATCCATCCTGAAGCTAGCACCAGCCTCCTTCTCCAAACCTGGCCCTTCATCGCCGCCTGTCTCCGCTCCCAAAGTCGCCCTGTTGCCACCCCCCAAACAAACAGTTAAACCTCCACCACTGCCTCCGCCTAAACCCTTGAGCAAACAGCTGTCCTCTCCCCCGCTCCCTCCTCCCAAACCCCTCAGCCCAACAACGTCACCATTAGAAACCGACCAACTGCAGCACACCAACGGCGATCACAACCCTCCTTCGCCCTTGAGGTCGCCAGACAGCGTCGATGGAGCGGGGAATGATGGCGAGGCGGGTCAGGTGGACGAGCTCGAAGTGGGGTCGATGGTTGAAGTTAACGACCCGCCCCTTTTCGGGGTTATCCGCTGGATTGGACGGATCAACGGGGTTAACGAAGCGGTGGCTGGGATTGAGCTGGTAGGAGAAAAGCTTCGTTTTGGTTTTAACAATTAAACCGTGACTCTGATTTAAGACGAATCCTCTGTGTGTGTCTCAGGATCAGGAGCTCTCTGCAGGAACAGACGGCAGTTACCTCGGCGAACGCCACTTCCGATGCCCGGCCAACAAGGGGCTCTTTGTGAAGCTCCGCAACTGTAGGCGGGACTCCAGGTTTCCAGCCCCTGAGACGCCTGTCAATCAAGTGGAACGATGCAACTCCATAGGTAAGAAGGCAAAGTCTAATGCAATGTCGGATGTCTGAGCTAGGAATTACGTCATACTCGAGTTACCAGCGCCAAGTCGGAAGAAAGCAAAATCGGAGGCCTGAAACAAGATGGCTACATCTACGAAAGGGGATGCTAAAATAACTTAAAATAACAAAAATAACAAACGCTAAAATAACTTTCGTAGATGTGGCCATCTTGTTTCCGCCTCCGATTTTGCTTTTTTGCGACTTGGCGCTGGTAACTCGGGTGTGACGTCATTCCAAGCTCGGACATCTGACTTCCGAGGTAGTGGTCCAATTTTAAACAAGGACGATAATCTGACATTAGCTTTGTGGCGCTCACAGCGTTCGCAGAGTGGGGCAGCGAGCGGGTGGAAGAGCACACTCCTCCTGTGGACGGAGAAGAAGCCCGAGAGCTTTACGAGGGCTGGAAGAGAGGCATCCAGGGTCACCTCAACTCCTGCTACCTGGACGCTACTCTGTTCAGGTGAAATCTGAACCTGTTAAATACAGAAAGAACCAACAATACAGATGTCACTGTAATTTCAACAAATCTTTTAGAGTTTTTTTTAGACTGAAACTCATATTGATCGTGTCCGTCGTCTCCACAGTCTGTTCTCCTGCTGCAGCTCGGCAGACTGGGTCCTGCTTTGGCCCTCTGATGCCGAAACAGACTCCAACTCCATTCAGGCCCAGGACCTGCTCAGGTGTGAGGTCGTCAATCCTCTCAGAAGGTACTAAGATACACCTTTAGAAAACTGCCAGATGCAGCACACGTAACAAGGGTCCAGGCCTGAACATATTTATGTGGCAGTGTTTCCTTTCAAATCCTTATTCTTGACTTTAAAGGGATATAAGGGCGTAAAATTAATTTAGGGTTAAACACACCGTAACACCCAGTTAGACACCCCCTCAAGAGATGAATGTTGCAGACCACTTGCTTCTCTAGTTAAACCAACTTGAGTAATGATCACACGATAGCAATACACAGTGGTCTGAGGAGCCATTAACAAACCTCAACCAAAACGCCACTCTATAGCCACAAATAATGCTCAGAACAGCACCTAACTTCATCAACAGGACATATAGGGTCCCAGCCACCAAACATCTTTTTAACTTTGACTAATTTCTTTATCAAAGAGACTAAACACAACTCACCTACTCTCTTCCAGCAGCCGCTTGTATGTAGCGAGACCTCAGGCCAGTCCATTACATACTGCTGCGAAGTTTCGCAGCTCAAGGAAGAACATTTATGATAATTTCTTTATCATTTCCTTGAAGTAGTAATCATCATATTAATCGTTTTGCACTGTGGACGCGGTAGTTCTTCTGCCTTAGCGTCTCGGTCTGATTGTATTTCCAAGAGTAAATGATCATAAATGTTCTTCCTTGAGCTGCGTAACCCCGCTGTAGTCCGCAATGGACTGCCCTGAGGTCTTGCTACAAACAAGCGGCTGCTGGAAGAGAGTAGGTGAGTTGTGTTAAACTCTTTGCCAAAGAAATTAGTCAAAGCTAAAAAGATGTTTGTTGGCTAGTACTATGGCTAGGACCCTATCTGTCCTGTTGATGAAGTTAGGTGCTGTTCTGAGCATTATTTGTGGCTATAGAGTGGCGTTTAGGTTGAGGTTTGTGCGTGGCTCTCTGTATTGCTATTTACGGTCGTTACTAAAGCTGGTATAACTAGAGAAGCAAGCGGTCGGCAACATTCATCTATCAAGGGGATGTCTAACTCGGTGTTACGGTGTGTTTGACCTTAATTTAATTTTACGCCGGAATATCCCTTTTAAAAATGCACCATATAAGATGTAATTTAATAATATGCTTTGATGCAGATTATGCTACACAATAGGCTAGAAGTTGATAAATAATCTCAGTGTTTTCACAGGCTGATAATAGTCTTAAAGATTCTGAGTGCTTTACTGACAACAACAATAGGGAAACCGGTCAGAACCGCGAAACGCTCCATGTGATGAAGCTCTACTCAAGTGTCTGCACACCTGTGTGTTTCAAAGGTACGGCTACGTGTGCGCCAGTAAGACCATGGCCTTGAGACGTCTGCTGGAGGCTGAGAACAGCGACAAAGGCTTCACCAACCAAGAGAAGGGTGAGTGTGTGACAGCCTGCAGGTGTTTAGCATTTGTGAGTGAGATCAGACTGAGGAATGTTGTCGCGCTGCTGTTTCTCAGATCCCGAAGAGTTTCTCAACAAGCTTTTCCAGCTCCTCCGAGTCGAGCCGCTCCTCAAGATCAGGTAACCGCATGTAACCACACTGCTTTTACAACTCCGTAATTGAAATCTGATGTGAAGTGAATAAAAATAACTTCATTTTAAAAGCTTCTTTTGGGACAAATTTACCAAAAATTCATGCACAAAAATCAGAATAAACTGAGAAAACGCCTCCATGCGTGGAATTTAAATTAGCATTGTGACTGCGCGCGGTTTTCTTTAGAAGTTGACTGTATGTAAGTGAGGTAAATTAAAGAGGACCCAGAAAAGATCCCTGAGGTACACCAAAGACGAGGGAAATAATAGAGAAGGATTCATTTCAGCCACTACAGACTGATTTTACGATTTTCCTCAAACCTGTAAAACATTTAAAAAAAATTTCCGCCTGGTGAGAAGGGGTCACAAATGTACACTGAGCTGTTTTTAGAGGTTTTGACGCCAGCAGATGAAAACGCTTAAAGACATCTTATGATTCTCATTTCTTAGATCGATGACTCATCAACCGCAGGAGTGCCACCTCTACCAGCTCTTCCCACCTACACTTCCCTCCTCACCCACCTCACCTTCAACCCCCTCCCCCATCCAATCCCCCCTTCCCCTTTCCTCGCCACCGTCCAGCCGCATGAGGGTGGCCAGCGTCCAGGCTCTGCTGGAGTCCTCCTTCCTCCACGCCGGCCTCAAGTTTGTCGAGGTAACAAAAGATGGTCCTTAAAATTCTGAGTCAAGACGCTTTCGTTGAGATTACTTCAACCGTACCGTGTGTTTATCATGTCAACAGGCGCCGTCCTGCCTCCTTCTGCTCATGCCCAGGTTTGGAAAGGACTTCAAAATGTTTGACGCCATCTTGCCCACCCAGAGCCTGGACATCACAGACCTGCTGGACGACAGTAAGAGCAATTTCACAGGAGAAAAAAATCATTTTTTTGGTTACGTTTGAGTTACTTTTGTGGCCTTAACTCAGAGCTGAACTTCAGTTTTCGTTGAGTGTATTTTTTGTCTCTTTTTGTGTTGTTAGCTCTGAGACAGTGCAGCATCTGTCAGGCTGTGGCTGAGTGGGAGTGTCCTCAGTGTTTCGAGGACTTGGACATCACTCCTGGTCATCTCAAACAGTACTGCAACACCTGCAACACGCAGGTACACACACACACCTCTGCCTTTTCTTTCTAAATCAGTAAAACGTTCAACACTTAGAGCTCCACTGGATCGCCGGCAATCCCATGTGACACCTTTGACATTGTTTACAGTTTTTCAGGAAGTATACCGTGTATCTCTATGGGATAAACAGTCTTCAAAAGCTTACCCTTTCGGCAATCTATCAAGGGTTTCCAGATATTTCTACACCTGCTACAAGGTTTACAATCCAAGGTGTTTGATCAAAGACGTTTGATGGTAAATCCGCAGTGATATACCGGTGAAAACATGATTATTTATCATATTGTTGTGATAAAAAAGATCGCTAACACTAAATGCCGCAAATGTCTTCTGGGTTTGACAAGCTTTTTTGATGACGTCTTCTTCTGTCAAACTTTGGACCAGTTAGATGGTCTCATATTCTTCTGTGTCCAATAAGAGGCAACCAAAGATCAACAAGAGACAGAAAAGTTTCCTGCTTGTCTGCAAAATAAGCTTACTCGCTTGTTTGTAGCAAGACCTCAGACGAGTCCACTAGAGACTACAGCGGGGTGACGCACCTCAAGGAAGAACATTTATGATCATTACTTTATCATTTCCTTGAAGTAATAATCACCATATTAATCATTTTGCACTGCAGACGCGGTAGTTCTTCTGGCTTAGCGTCTCGGTCTGATTGAATTTTGATGAAGTAATATAAATGTTCTTCCTTGAGCTGCGTCACCCCGCTGTAGTCCGTAATGGACTGGCCTGAGGTTTCGCTACAAACAAGCAGCTGCTGGAAGAGAGCAGGTGAGTTGTGTTTAGTCTCTGTGCTAAAGAAATTAGGCAAAGTTAAAAAGATGTTTGGTGGCTAGTACTATGGCTGGGACCCAATATGTACTAACCTCAGTAAATCATAGTGTAGTTCCGTTCAGTAACAGAACCTCATTGGAAAATTAGCTGATTTAAGTTTACTGTGCTCTTGTTCATATATATTAACTCGACAGCACACATATCTATACCTGTTAACAAAATCATAACTTTATTGAAGATTCGGCTTAATAAAAACACCCTTAACTTTTTATTTTACTACAGTAGAGGTTTATTGGCCCAGCTTATAGACCCCAGAAGTGGAGAAACGCCCCCGCTTCAGTTTTCTTAGGAGTTAGAACAACTTTGAATATAGTGCTATGGCTAGGACCCTATATGTCCTGTTGCTGAAGTTAGGTGCTGTTCTGAGCATTATTTGAGGCTATAGAGTGGCATTTTGGTTGAAGTTTGTTTATGGCTCCCCAGACCGCTCTGTCTGACTCTTTGAGGGCCGTCTCTGTCATCACCAGGTCCACAGTCACAGGAACCGGGTGTCCCACAGCCCTGTAAAGGTTTCTGTCCCTGAAGGATCTTGGACCGGCTCTCTGCAATGCACCCGACAGCTGATGTCTCTGTTCGCGGTGACGTGCATCGAGACGAGCCACTACGTCAGCTTCGTCAAACACGGCCCCCTCCCCACGGACTGGCTCTTCTTCGACAGCATGGCCGACAGAGAGGGTGAGGCGTCCGCTTATTAAAGCTCTAAGTGATGGATTCATTTGGAGTGCTCACCTGTCTGTGTGTGTGTGTGTATGTGTGTGTGTGTGATCCCGTGCAGGTGGAGAGAACGGCTTCAACATCCCTCAGGTGAAGGCGTGTCCGGAGGTGGGACGCTTCCTCGGCCTATCAGAGGAGGAGCTGAGCAGAGTGGACGCCACTTTGTTACGAGAGTCCGTCCGCAGACTCCTCTGTGACTCCTACATGTGTCTGTATCACAGCCCTGAGCTCAGCCTGTACAAGTGACCAAGACACACACACACACACACGCAAACAGACCTGAGAGTAGGACAATAAGCCGCCCTCGTAGTGTTATCTGTCAGGAGAAAACAAGCAGGTCCAAAATTTGACCTCTAAAGGGACTTTATTTTCTTTTTTTTTTAAGTTGTATGTGAAGTTTTTTCTTTTTTTCAGCCAATCAAAACAGAGATTCTAGATTATGTTTACAAAGAGCAGGAAGAAGAATCTGGTTTTTTGTTTTTCCTTGTTTTGTGCCTCTTCATCACACCACTCAAACCCCGGTGATGCACCAAAAAACTAATAAATTCTCTTGGTTTTCTTTCTCTCATTTAAAATCTGAACAAAGATGGAGGCGAAAAAGAACAAAATCAGTTATATTTGCTTGTATTTATCTGACGCCACGTAATTTTTCTTATTTAAGCGTGAAAATGTGTAAATATTCTTTTGGATGCTGTGTGAAAATCCAAGAAAATGTGCCATTTATGTCTTCCTGGGTCGAAAACAAAGTTATTTGTAAAAACCTTCATGTAAAGGTGGAACAATTTCTTACTCAGATGACTCAAAGAGTCTTTGAGAAAGCTGGTAAAACCATCAGAACAAAGGATCTGTATCAAAGGCATTTTAATACTTCTGCCACTATAATGACAAATAATCAGCTCTAATGAAAGGCTCTCATCAGGCTTTATCCGCTCATATTCATCCAGTGCAATGTAACTGTCACAGACTTATTCATATCCGCATACTAGTCTGGTTTTAAATACAAAAATATAGAAGCACAACAACTGCGAGTGAACGACAAAAACTCAAACTAAACTACTGCTTTTTTTTTTCATTTACAGCACAGTTATTTGACAAATCTCAAACTTTAAGTCATTTTAAGCTGAAAGTAATGCTGCGTTCGAGTTACCTCGGAAGTCCGAGTTACCAAGTCGGAAGAAAGCAAAATCGGAGCACTTGCTTTGGCGAGCGCTAAAATAACTTTTATAGATAGAGCCATCTTGTTTCAGGCCTCCGATTTTGCTTTTGTCTGACTTGGTAACTGAAACGCCAGGAACTCAGGTGTGACGTCATTTTCAGCTCCGACATCTGACGTCCGAAGTAACTAGAACGCAGCATAAGACATGTTGTTTGTGTCAATTTTGGCGCCCCCTGTGGACAAAGCTATCATTGCTTATCTTTTTTTCTACGTGCTTGGTAGCATCTTCTACCAATATGAGATTCGATCTTCTCCATTATTTCCCTCCTTTCTGGTGTTCCTCAGGGATCTTTTCTAGGTCCTCTTCAGTTTATCGTATGAACTCTTTTTTTTATTGAAGGTTCTCGAAATGACGGCGTGATCATCAGCATCAGATTGAAAGTGGTGCTAATTTTGAGAAAAGGAAGAATTAGTTGGAGTGGATTGTAATTCGTAAAAAGTCAAACCAGGTTTTGATGTTTGTCCCCAAAGGATGTTTTAAGTTCTCAGAAGAGACGTCGAACAATCATATACAAGAAAGCCTTCCCTGAGCTCAGGTGTTCCTGCAGTCTGACTTAGAGTCAGTCTGAACTGGTGCTGCAAAGAGCTACATGATATCTTAGAAGTGACAATAAGCTAAAATCTAAAGAGGGCGACAGGACCATCAGTGTCTTAAAATCCTTATTGCTCTTTATAATAACAAACTTTGATGGATGACCGTGTTGAAGCGTCCATGTGCCTTTAAAATTCTCTCACACTGCACAGAAACAGGGAGTCTATGATGCTGAACACACTTTACAGTCAGATTTGCACTCTTATGTTTTCATGCCAGTGTGTTTGTACTGCCTGTAAACTCTCTGCCTTATACTGACTGTAAAGACCGCACACACAGATTTGAATATTTGTCATGCTGGGACATTGGTCAGCTGTAATAAATGCTTTAATTACACCTGAGGCTTGTTTGTCCTTTATTTAGCAGTGAGAGGAGGAAGGCACAACGACATGTACAGAAATATTACTGCTAGTGTTTTAATATTATAAAACCAGGTTATGAGAAAATGTATGAAAATTCACAACAAATAACAGATATTTTTCCATAAGTCTGAGCTGTAAAATGTAACGGTGTTGACACTATCCAGTTTTTATAGGGCAAGTTGTCACTGTATTTCTTTGTATGATGACAAAACTCAAAAAGTAACATTAGCTATTCAAATTGACAATACAAGAAGAAATCAAGAAGTAAATGGAATAAAAATACAGATGTTTCCAGAAGTACTTCTCCTAAATTGCCACTAGAGGTCGAGCGTGACGCAACGTCAGCACCATAGATATCTATAAGAAAGGCTTGATGACTCGAGGCGCAGTCACCAGCAGCCGTACACGGCGGCCATCTTACTCCATCTTACTCCCATAGACTGTATATACTATGGACAGCTTGGTTCCACCCAACGCCAGTATATGGATTTGAAGCCAAAAAGCTCTCGGTAATTCTGCATTTTCTCTCTATTTCCTGAAACTATCATTGCGCAGTAGCATTGTGCGCATTCCACCATTTGCGCAGTAGCATTGTGCGCATTCGGCAGGAGAGTCGCTGTGATGACGCCCGGCTCAAACAGCATATCCCCCGGGTGTGAAAATTTTTTTGTAGGTTGGTAAGGGAAGGTCCCGCCCTCCTTCGCCTCTGATTGACTACAAGTGCTGGGCTAAGGGTTTGGGTTAGAATTAGGGTTAGGGTCAGGAGATTCAGAAGTGCGACAATGTTCTGAAATGATCTGTGCACTGACAGTTCACGTTTGGTTTGAGCGTGCAATGATGTTTCCAGCTTTTCTAGCCAATCAGAGGCGAAGGAGGCGGGACTTTCCCCTACTATCCTCAAAAAACATCGTATTTTGTACTTATAAAAAAGTGTGAAATAACTGAAAACATATTTTATATTCTAGTTTCTTTAAATAGCCACCCTTTGCTCTTGATGACAGAAGTACTCAGTGACAAAGTAACCCTGACAAGGCACACCTGTGAAGTAAAAACCATTTCAGGTGACTACCTCATGAAGCTCATTGAGAGAACAGCAAAAGTTTGCAGCGCTATTAAAAAAGCAAAGGGTGGCGACTTGATGAATCTAAAATATAAAACATGTTTTCTGTTATTTCACACTTTTTTCTTCAGCACATGATTCCACATGTGTTCATTCATAGTTTTGATACCTTCAGAATCTACAATTTAAATAGTAATGCGATATATAAGTATAATTTTGCCTTAAAGCTTCAGATAATAACATTAACTAACTATACACTTAAATGCTCCCACAAGTGAAGTTATCCGCAAACATAATAGATGAATGTGGGACAACGTTGATTTTAAAAATAAATCCCGCGGCCTGCACGTGCCAGTGTCGCGTTACTTTAAATTGTCTCGAGGACGCGATGGCGGCGGTCAACAAGAGGAGCACTGTGTGGCAGTTTTTTCAACAAACTGCCAGTGAAAATTTAGTTTTGTGTACGCTGTGTCAGTCAAAGTTGGCTCACAACAACAGTACCTGCAATGGAAACACCCGAACAAGTTGGAGGGAGAGACTGCTGCCGGTATCGGTGCTACCGCTAGCGGCTCACAGGCTAGCATGAAGGATGATACGTACAACAAGGCGAAGAAATGCGACAAGGCACGGAGTAAACATATCAGCATCTTCATAGCTGAAATGGCGGCCCTCGACATGTATCCTGTGTCAGTGGTTAAAGATGACGGATTTTTTTCAGCTGATGAAATATCTGGAGCCAGGCTATGAAATGACCTGCCGACCGACAGTTAGCTCACGGTACGTTTCCCTGTCTTGTCAAAATGATTGATGATTTTATTTTTAAATCACTTTACTTTATGCCATAAGTAGGCCTTAGCCTTAAACGTTAAATGAAATTCTGTGATTTATCTGTAAGGTTGGCTATAATTCAGAATAAGGCTGCACGATATTGGAAAACACGAACATTGCAATTTTTTTTCAACCCTGCGATATATATCGCGATATTTAAAAAAATGAGAATTTTCACCAGAAGACCTGAATAACACTTTATGCTATACTGCACTGCTGAAATCTCGAGGACAGTTAACCTGCACTGATCTTACCCCTTTTTTTGAATGTTAGTAGAATGGCCTCTGTCTGTCTCAGGGATATTTAAGTTTGCTTTTATTGTGCTGGGATGTTACTGTGGTAACAGATGAACGGTACTGCAGACACAGAACAGGTGTTTGGTGATGTCACCCTTCTAGTAACCGAAATAATTACAGATAAGTGACATTGTTTTTCTTTTTGTCAACAGGTATTCATCTTTGGCGGAAAGTGACGTTGCTTTTCTTTTTGCCAATAACAAGTATTCATCTTTGGCAGAAGTGACGTTGCTTTTCTTTTTGCCATAAACAAGTGTTGATCTTTAGCAGTAAGTGACGTTGCTTTTCTTTTTGCAAACAAGTATTCATGTTCAGCGGTAAGTGACGTTGCTTTTCTTTTTGCCAATAACAAGTATACATCTTTGGCGAAAGTGACGTTGCTTTTCTTTTTGCCAACAAGTATTCATCTTCGGCGGTAAGTGACGGGGTTTTTCTTTTGGTCAACAAGTATTCATCTTCGGCGGTAAGTGACGTTGCTTTTCTTTTTGCTAACAAGTGTTAATCTTCAGCGGTAAGTGATGTTGCTTTTCTTTTTCCAAAAACAAGTATTTATCTTTGGCGATAAGTGACGTTGCTTTTCTTTTTGCCAACAGGTATTCATCTTCAGCGGTAATTGAGGTTGCTTTTATTTTTGCCAACAGGTATTCATCTTCAGCGGTAATTGATGTTGCTTTTATTTTTGCCAACAAGTATTCATCTTCGGCGGTAAGTAACAGTGCTTTTCTTTTGATCAACAAGTACTCATCTTCGGCGGTAAGTGACAGTGCTTTTCTTTTGATCAACAAGTATTCATCTTCGGCGGTAAGTGACATTGCTTTTCTTTTGGTCAACAAGTATTGATCGTCGGCGGAAAGTGACGTTGCTTTTCATTTTGCCAACACATATTCATCTTCGGCGGTACGCGACGTCGCTTTTATTTTGGCCAACAAGTATTGATCTTCGGAGGTAAGTGACGTTGCTTTTCTTTTGGTCAACAAGCATTCATCTTTGGCGGTAAGTGACGTTGCTTTTCTTTTTGCCAACAAGTATCATTGGTGTTTTTTTTCCATGTTAATTTCTCATTTTGCAATTGTAGTTGTTGTAACCGGTGTTGTGCCTAGAAACGCATGCCCGCCGAGGATTGCATGCAACTCGCAGTAACGCACACCGCATATAGGAGAGTGGTCCATGGAAATGTACAAATTAAAACCGGTACAGTTCTTATTTGTGGGGCTAAACAGTGATGAGGAATGTTCCCAAAGAAATTCTCAGACAGACAGATAGATAGATAGACAGATAGACAGATAGATAGATAGATAGATAGACAGATGGATAGAGATAGATAGATAGATAGCTAGCTACCTTCTTTATTTCTGAGCCCCAGATAATAGGACAGTGATACCTAAGGCATACAAATTGAACTGCAACTTATTTTATGTTATCACATCAACATATTTGGTTAACTGAATATGATGTTTGACAGTGATCTTTGTAAAGTGAGGTAAAGGAGGAGTTTGTGTAGTGACAACACAATCACACTGTGTGCAAACATAAAAACCTGTTCAACAAAATATTCACATTTTGTTGGGGTGTGAGGAGTGCACATCTGGTAGTTTGTTGGTTTAACCAGCAGTTGGAGCTGTTGCATTAATAATAAACTGAGACTCGCTCAATCAAACAAGTTCCTGTTTTAGTGAACTTATTTTAATTTGGACTCAGGAGAGGAAGATGGTTGTGAAGAATACTGAACTTTACAGATGATCAAAAACTATGAGTACATAACAGGAGGAGAAGAATCCGTGATCTGGTGTTTTAGGTTTCAGTGAAAACAGTCAATGTGAAAGTATGTGAGTTAAACAAGCAGACTCCATTTTGAGAAAAGAACAGAGCAGAGAGAGGAATGGACGAGGAGACAGGGTGAGTATTTACTCTTTTTTGTTGTTGTTTTAATGTCAAACTCTTTATCTGTATCATAATTTAATGAAAAATGATTTACTGACTAATACACTTAAAACCTACAAAGCAAAGAAACCAGATCAGTTAAAGAGCTGGATAAGTTTGATACAGGAAACTGTGTAGTGCAGTTCTTACTCCTTGTTTAGACTTGTCTTTTCAGTAAAATTATAAATAGGAATCTTTTAATTTAGCCTCTCATTTGAAATCTAATCCAGTACCTCAATTTTTATGAGACTTCAGGGACCTCACAGCTGATTTTGTCTTGACCTTGAATCAGACAGGGATCAGAGAGAGGCCTTGCAGGGTGGGGAGAAGTACTTGAATATTAAACCTGTATAACTCTTAAAGAGGGGTATGAAGCTTTTTTCAGACTATATACTTCTTTTCTGATTCCTTTCTTTTTTTATTTCTGATCTCTCTCTTCCTGTTTGTGTCTCACCTGTTTATCTACTTTGTCCTCAGGTTGTGTAACGTGGGGTCATCCTCCATAAGTTTGCACAACATAAGGTGGAGGAGATGAGTGTTTGTTACAAGAAGGAGGAGAGCAGGGCAAAGTCTGTTGTTTCCGACTGTCTGTCTATGAAGAGTGACCGGTCTAAAGGTATTATCACGGACTTCAGGAAAGAACCAGGATCCTCAGAGGAGGGCAGAGCAAAGTCTATCATGTCCGACTGTCTGTCTATGAAGAGTGATCGTTCTAAAGGTATTATCACGGACTTCAGGAAAGAACCAGGATCCTCAGAGGAGGGCAGAGCAAAGTCTATCATGTCCGACTGTCTGTCTATGAAGAGTGATCGTTCTAAAGGTATTATCGCGGACTTCAGGAAAGAACCAGGACCCTCAGAGGAGGGCGGAGCAAAGTCTATCATGTCCGACTGTCTGTCTATGAAGAGTGACCGGTCTAAAGGTATTTTCGCGGACTTCAGGAAAGAACCAGGACCCTCAGAGGAGTGCAGAGCAAAGTCTATCATGTCCGACTGTCTGTCTATGAAGAGTGACGGGTCTAAAGGTCTTCCTATGAACTTCAGTAAAGAACCAGGACCCTCAAATGGACAGTAAGAGCAACACTTTTAAACCACCAAACTCTCAAACTACAACAAATGATGTTTCATATATAAACTTTAAATTCTGACCCCTCTGTTTTAAACCATGGTGATAAAAATGATCTCCTCTGCTCTCAAAACGCCGATTTTCCTCTTTAACCTGCCAACTTGGATAAAGGGCTGGTAAAGAAAAAATCACTGAGCACAGATTTAGTATTTATTCATCATGTCGATAAAAATGAAGGTTGTAAAAACAACATTTGAAAAGAATTCTGACCTCTGTATTTTCTGATTTGGTTCTTGTGTTTGAGACGTTTTAAGCCTGTAAGTCTTTGGACTGTGGTGTATAGATCTTAGAAATCCAGAAAAATGAAAACTCATTCAAAGCGTCCGTCTGTTATTGGACCTTTAGATCTGATTGGTCAAAAAATGTTTTAAACTGACAGAGAAAATCTTTCCACCCACAAAAATCACAGTTTATTTTTTCTCCTGTCACCATACTTTCAGGCAGCAGCAGCTGAATATTTTACAGGAGATTTTTTTATGTTAGAGAAAAGAGTGAGGTCGGAAACTCTGGTTTAATAAATGCTTCTTATTCTGTATCTTTCAAACATGAAATGATAATGATAAAGAAAATAAATGTTCTTTATTTCCACAGAGAGACACAGAGATGTGACTCTGTGGAAGAGCAGCTGTCGAGCTCTGATCGAAGTAAGTCTGAACATCTGTCCTTTGAACCCTAAATTACACAATTTCCACCTGGATTATTTTGTTTATTTTAGCCTTAAAATTGGCAGAAAATGTTCTGAGTGAGTGCTTTTATCCATTATCACTTTATCCAGATCACTTTGAACTTTCAATATCTGGCTGTCATTTACTATTTACTGCCTGTTAAAAGAGTGCTTTAACATTTTAAGATAAAGAAAAACACAAAAACGGAATAAGATTTTTTGAGTTTTAATGAGAAAAAACAGAAAATATTCATGAACAATAGATTTCAGCAGTATCAAACATGATGGTAGGGGACAGTCCCGCCTCCTTCGCCTCTGATTGGCTAGAAAAGCTGGAAACATCATTGCACGCTCAAGCCAAACGCGAGCTGTCGACTCTGTACATCAAACAGAACATTACAGAACATTATCGCACTTCTGAATCTCCTAACCCTAACCCGACAGAAGATGACTTTTCACAGCCATAAGGAATAACCAATCGGAGCCCAGCACTTCTAGCCAATCACAGGCGAAGGAGGGCGGAACCTTCCCCTACCATCCTACAAAAAAAACCCTGCTTCTGGGACGGATCAGGTAGCGACAGGGGCTGTGGACAAACTTTAGAAATTTATTACACAGAATACACATTTTTCTCCCCCCTGCTTGTGATGTTGACATGTAGTTGCTGTAAGACTGGTTTGTGCTCAAGTCCTCTTTTTTTCCATGCAGCTCCATTTTTAAAAGTTATTAGGGGGTTCATGTTTTCTGTGATTGACACCTGATGCAGCCTATGGGCGTATGAAGATTGCGTAGCTCACCAGGGGGATACGCTGTTTGAGCCGAGCGTCATCATAGCGACTCTCAGCGACTCTCCCGCCAAATGCGAACAATGCTACTGCGCAAGTGGTGGAGGGGGCACAACGCTACTGTGCAATGTTGGTTTCAGGAATTGGAGAAAAGAAAACACTAAATTACCGAGAAGTTTTCGGCTTTAAATCTGAATATTGGCCGAGGCAGAACCAAGTTGTCTATAGTATAAACAGTCTATGGTCTATCCGCTGCTCCCTTTGAGAGGGGGAGAGGGGACGGAGAGACAGATTTTCTCACTTCCCTAAATAGCAGGAGTAAAATTGCGGCAATAACTGTATATTGGCTGTGTAGCGCAACTTCTCAGCTTCCAGAAACCGTTGTTTTTTCTGAAAGCACAAACTGTCGCAAAGTTAGGGTAATTTAAAGAGTGCCTATGCAAACGTGTCGGCGCCAACACATTCAGAGGACAAAGTCTGCGTGGATGAAAACTCAGCTGACTGATTGATCACAAAGACGTCTTTGTGTTGAGCAGTTTGGTTCATTTTATTTTTCTTCTCTTTCAGCAGATCGCGGTCTGCAGGAGGTTTTAGATGAACATAAGATCAGTCTGAAGAGGAGATGTGAACGTGTGAATGAAGGAAGTGATGAAACAGGAAGTAGTCAAACCCTCCTCAACAGGATCTTCACTGAGCTCTACATCACAGAGGGACTGAGTGAAGAGGTGAACACACAACATGAGGTGAGACAGCTGGAGACAGCTTCAAAGATGAAGACCCTCCGTGACACACCCATCAAGTGCCATGAGATCTTTAGAGTCTCACCAGGTCAACAGAAGAAGGTCATCAGAGTGGTTCTGACCAACGGTGTGGCTGGTGTTGGAAAAACCTTCTCAGTGCAGAAGTTCACTCTGGACTGGGCAGAGGGTTTGAAGAACCAAGACCTCAATCTGGTGATCCTGCTTTCATTCAGGGAGCTGAACCTGATCAGAGATGAGCGCTTCAGTCTTCTGAGTCTGCTCCATGTTTTCCATCCAACGCTAGAGAAGGTCACAGCAGAGACGCTGGCTGTCTGTAAACTTCTGTTCATCTTTGACGGTCTGGATGAAAGCAGACTGTCTCTGGATTTCACAGACTCTGAGGTGGTGTCTGACGTGACACAGACGTCTTCACTGAACGTTCTGTTAACAAACCTCATCAAGGGGAACCTGCTCCCCTCAGCTCTCATCTGGATAACTTCTCGACCCGCAGCAGCCAATCAGATCCCTCCTTCACGTGTGGACAGGGTAACAGAAGTACGAGGCTTCACTGACGACCAGAAGGAGGAGTACTTCAGGAAGAGGTTCAGAGATGAAGATCTGTCCAGAAGAATCATCTCACACATCAAGTCCTCCAGGAGCCTCCACATCATGTGTCAGATCCCGGTTTTCTGCTGGATCACTGCAACAGTTCTGGAGGACATGGTGAGCAGAGAGCAGAGAGGAGAGCTACCCAAGACCCTGACGGACATGTACTCACACTTCCTGCTGGTCCAGACTAAGAGGAAGAAGCAGAAGTATGGCAGAGAACGCAAGAGGAGTTCAAAGGAACTCAAAAAAGCTGACAGGAAAGTCCTCCTGAAGCTGGGGAGGCTGGCCTTTGAACATCTGGAGAGAGGAGACATCATGTTCTACCAAGAAGACCTGGAGCGTTGTGGTCTGGATGTCTCAGAGGCCTCGGTGTACTCAGGAGTTTGTACAGAGATCTTCAGAAGAGAGAGTGTGGTCTTCCAGAAAACAGTTTACTGTTTCGTTCATCTGAGCGTTCAGGAGTTTCTGGCTGCAGTTTACATGATCCAGAGTTTCACAAACAGGAACACAGAAGCTCAGAAGACTTGCCTAAGGGACAACAAACTCAAAGACAAAATGTTTTCTTCAAAGACAGTTTCCAGTTCTTTTCAAAACCTGGACAACTTCCTGAAGAATGTCATGGAGAAATCTCTTGTCAGCAAAAACGGCCACCTGGACCTGTTTGTTCGCTTCCTTCATGGACTCTCTCTGGAGTCAAACCAGAGACTCTTAGGAGGTCTGCTGGGTCACACACACAACAGTCCAGGAATGATCCAAAGAGTCTTAGGAGGTCTGCTGGGTCACACAGACAACAGTCCAGAAATGATCCAGAGAGTCGTCAACAACCTAAAGAAGATGAACAGTGATCGTATCTCTCCTGACAGAAGCATCAACATCTTCCACTGTCTGATGGAGGTGAACGATCTGTCAGTTCATCAGGAGGTTCAAGAGTTCCTGAAGTCAAAGAACAGATCAGAGAAGGAACTCTCAGAGATCCACTGCTCTGCTCTGGCCTACATGCTGCAGATGTCAGAGAAGGTTCTGGATGAGTTGAACTTAAAGAAGTATAACACATCAGCCCAGGGACGACTGAGACTGATCCCAGCTGTGAGGAACTGCAGAAAGGCCGTGTAAGTTCAGGTTTTATTCTCAGAATAGTGTAAATGAGCCCTGTAGTTCTTCCAATGTCCACATTACTGATGATGTTCTTCAAGTAGTAATCTACTCAAATATCAGGGAGGGCGTTTCTTTAGGTTTGGCAAAAACATGATCCTGGTGTCAAAAGTCCTATTAGCCCAGGATGAGGTCTACCAGTGGACCCCTGAGAACTTGTCCTGATTGTGGAGGACCTCTTTGTTTTGAATCGTGTCTGTAATGAATAACGTAGAACTTTCAGGTCAAATCAGTGACCATATCTGGGGACACATAAGTGGAAACAGCCGTGCTCTTCCACTGTATATATGGACACCATGTCTGTAAGGATAAGCAGTGTGACTGCAGCATCATCATCATCATCATCATCATCATCAGTTTTCCATGGTTTCCCTTTGTTGTCATGGTGATGCAGAGTGAAGGTGATTCCTCTAATGTTGAGGTGTTGGTGGGCTGTAGCGGTCACATTTCTCCCACTCGGCTGCATGCCTCTGTTAAAGATGTTGATGTAAATTGGTCAGACTGCTGCCTTCTGCTGAAACAGCCTTTAAACAAACACTGCAGCAGACTGGGGTTTGATCCAGGTCTGAGTCTTTGAGACTGAACCAGTTCTGAAGGACTAACAAGACGGACTGTTTTAGGGAGCAGAAAAGTGAGTTTTTGGCCATAACTAGCACTGCTGTCATTAGGTTGAATTCATGCAGGTACCCATATTGATCCTCCATGTTGATATTATCAGGACTCATTATTGATACCTCACTTCATGATTTAATGTAAACATTTAAAAAAAGTCAAGAAAACATGTTCAAAGATGAATCTCTTTTATATCCTCTAACTCCAAATGTTTCTTTCTGCATCAAAAACACAAACTGGCAAGAATTCAGTCTGTTATTTTTATAGGAGTCATGAGAACGTACGCCCCCTAGAGTTCAAATAACCTCAACCCCCTTACTACTACTTGTAGCATACTTATAGCATGTTTGCCCAGAGAGAGAAAGACACTCTTAAAGGTGCTCTCTGGATTCATCAGGCTTTATAAACGTGTTTCTGCTGGTAAAGTGAACATGGAGAAAAAAAAACTTGAACTGTGAAAACAAAGAAATCTTCCACTCTTCAAATGTTCAGAGTCAAACCAGCTCTAACCTGCTAAAAAATGATTTGATCTGAACCAATCATAGAAAAAGGAGCTGCTGTGATTTAGTGAGTCGTCCTCTGATTGGTCAACAGTCAGTGTCTATGGAAAGACTTACATTACAGCAGGATGTCAACATTAAACATTGAGAGGAGCACTGATTCTCCAGGAGGTACTTCGGATACTAACCAATCACATACCAGGACCAAAAACCTGGTTCTCAGTACCTTCTCCAACCAGAACTCAAGAATTCACACAGTCATAAGGATACAGTTGCACTAACATGAAAACAACACTGTTAGAGAACAGAATGACTAAAATAAGTCATGGAGTCATTTGTCTTGAACATCTGAACAGTTTTTTTTTCTTCTAAACTTTGACTTCCTGTCTTCTCTCATGGCTGTGGTCCTGATATTAGTATCTGTCTGGTTAAAAACAGGCCGTCTGTCAAACCAAAGATCATGTTTGAGTTGTTTTTGGTGAAGAGAAACATCAAATTACCCTTTAATTAAATATTGTTTGATATTTATGTTGTTACAGATTTTATAACTGTGGACTCTCAGAGACTCACTGTGAAGTTGTGGCCTCAGCTCTAAAGTCCAACCCCTCCCATCTGAGAGAGCTGGACCTGAGCGGAAACAAACTGCAGGATTCAGGAGTGAAGCTTCTCTCTGCAGGACTGGAGAGTCCAAACTGCAGACTGAAGACTCTGAGGTCAGACACCATTTCCTTCTGATCTAACAATAAGATGTGACAGCTGCTGCCTTAGATTTTTCTCTGTGGTTTTTCCATCAACTTTAGTCGAGCAGTTTGAATTTGTCGTTGTAAAACTTCAACACAGGAAGAAAAATCCCACATTTCAGAGTTGACTTTGAGGAGAACGATGGATGTAGAAAGGAAGCAGGAGAAAATCAGTCCCACAAATATTACACATGCTTGTAGAGAGCAGGAGCAGCACAGCCTAAAGGCTGATATTGAACTGATCCACAATTAATGTGATCACTAATGAATGAATGAAGTGTCAGAGAAATGATGAGCTGCAGATTGAAACCTGAAGAACAAAGTTAATCCAACTCTGGATATTTCATTTGGAAACTCTTGAAAACTTGAATTTCTTCTTTGCTCAGTCGTGTTCAAATGTAAAAACCAGATCCAGATTTTTCTGCAGTTTTCACTTCAGTTTGTTGAACATTAACATCATGTTGTCCAGTTGGTCCATAAAAACCTCTCTGATCAATGATCTGTTGGTTTATCTAAGAGTAGTTTGTCAGTTGTTGACAGCAGACGGACAGAGCCCTGAATATTCTCCTGACTATTTTAATCTTCATGAAGAATTCAGGACTACAAAAAAACTTTGAGATTTCTCACTTGAGTTTCTTAGGATCTCACCAAAGTTTTCTTTATCTTTAAAATTTTCTCATTTGAAAAATTCCTCAGGATCTTCAAAAAGTTCGGAGAGGATTTTACAAAGTTCCTCAAGATCAACTCTGAAAAAGTTCTTCTTCCATGTCCTTCAGGGGCTCAAGAACATTGAATCATTAAAAACAGGAACAGTTTCTTCAGAGGTTACAAGATTTTTTCTTTTTTCAAACTGAGGGACTACAGTTTGACAGAGATCAGCTGTTCTTCTCTGGTCTCAGCTCTGAAGTCCAACCCCTCCCACCTGAGATATCTGGTGGCACATTCAGGTTCAGGTTCACATGGGCTGGATCTGCTAAATACAAACTCTCGAGACCAGCCTGGTTGAGGGAGGTCCGCTCAGTGTCCTGGGTGACACAGCACATTTTACTCTCACTGAACTCTTCTTAGTTGAGAGTATTTCTGGTTTGTCTCTGACTTCCATGAACTCAGATCTGGAGGATTGCTGGCTGGTTTGGTCCAGTTCTGACAGTAGAGACAAAACAGTCTTTTTTGGGTCGAGTGTTATTGTTGAAGATCAGTGTACAGTGAGGGATGAAGGCAGACAAAGATCCTCCTGTTTCCTCCATGTCACAGTTCAAGTTCATTTTGAAGACTTTGATTGATCCGAGCGCTGAAGAGGACCAGGAAACGTGGAGAGTAGAAAATGAGGGAGGACTTACAGCAAAGGATCATGGGAGTCAAACCAGCAATTGCTGCAACAAAGACTTCACCGTCTGAACACCTGAACCTCTAATCCACACCAGTGCTCCTTCACATTTGATGTCTTGTCTGTTATTTTATGTAGAGGTTCAAAGCAGAGCAGATAATGAGCTCTGACAGACTGGATCTGGTCCAAAGGTCTCCTGTTGGAGTTCTCTAAACTCAATATTTTAATCCTGAACACGTGAAGTTTGATTATTAATTATTTTAATTTACATGCTCTATCCTTTTTTTCAGACTGTGGAGCTGCGGGTTGACAAAGATCAGCTGTTCTTCTCTGGCCTCAGCTCTGAAGTCCAACCCCTCCCATCTGAGACATCTGGACCTGAGTGAAAACAAGCTGCAGGATTCAGGAGTGAATCTGCTGTGTGACTTTCTGCAGAGTCCAAACTGTAAACTGGAGACTCTAGAGTGAGACTTTTTCCCTCCATTCAAACATTATCATGATTTATTTGTGATGATGACACTAAACTGCTGACTCAGGACTGAAACACTGACCCAGACTGAACACCTTCAGTCCAGAGTAGATTTCCTGCATCAGTGGATTTGATTGACTCCATTTAGATCACTGCTGAGCTCCAGTGAATTAAAACCTGAACACAAGAAGAAAACTCTTTGTAGAGTTCACAGTGAGAAGCACATTCAGACAGAAAACAGAAGCAGGGGGAGATTTGTCAGACGAGAACCATTCAAACTTTTGTTCAGGACAAGATCAGGGAACAGAAAAAACTCAGAGTTTAGTTTCTGACACTGATGAAAGTCCAGCTCTGTTACTTTGAATTTTGATTGTTTTTCAATCTTTGTGTAAAAATCTGAATTTGATTGTTTATCTTCACTTTTCTGAAGCCTTGCTGTGTTCAGACTGAAATATTTACCTCTCAAAGACGTGATATTTTTGGTTCAGCAAAGTAAAAATATTCTTAACATCCTTTATTTCCCATCCGTCCTGAAGTCGCAGACATTTTCTAAAATTATTGAGCTGCATCTACAACGGGTAAAAAAGTTATTTCACTGTTTCATGTGTTTCTGAATTCACTGTTTCAAACTTACTTCCTGTTTGGTTCAGCCCTCTGGAGCGTCACTTTTCTTTGATACGTACTTTCCCCTGAACAATGGACATTTAAGACATTAGATTTCAAACTGGATCATCTTTTGTCTAAAATCTCATTATTTCCTCTTTATTTAGGTTAAAAGGCTGCAGTTTGACAGAGATCAGCTGTTCTTCTCTGGCCTCAGCTCTGAAGTCCAACCCCTCCTATCTGAGACATCTGGACCTGAGTAACAACAATCTGCAGGATTCAGGAGTGAAGCTGTTGTGTGGCTTTCTGCAGAGTCCAAACTGTAAACTGGAGACTCTGGGGTCAGACTTTTTCCCTCCATTCAAACATTATCATGATTTGTTTGTGATGATGACACTAAACTGCTGACTCAGGACTGAAACACTCACCCAGACTGAACACCTTCAGTCCAGAGTAGATTTTCTGCATCAGTGGATTATTTGATTGACTTCAGTTAGATCACTGCTGAGCTCCAGTGAATTAAAACCTGAACACAAGAAGAAAACTCCTTGTAGAGTTCACAGTGAGAAGCACATTCAGACAGAAAACAGAAGCAGGGGGAGATTTGTCAGACAAGAACCATTCAAACTTTTGTTCAGGACAAGATCAGGGAACAGAAAAAACTCAGAGTTTAGTTTCTGACACTGATGAAAGTCCAGCTCTGTTACTTTGAATTTTAATTGTTTTTGAATCTTTGTGTGAAAATCTGAATTTTATGGTTTATCTTCACTTTTCTGAAGCCTTGCTGTGTTCAGACTGAAATATTGACCTCTCAAAGACGTGATATTTTTGGTTCAGCAAAGTGAAAATATTCTGAACATCCTTTATTTCCCATCCGTCCTGAAGTCGCTGACATTTTCTGGAAAATATTGAGCTGCATCTACAATCAGTAAAAAAAGTCTCTGAGTTTTTTATTTTACTGTTTCATGTGTTTTTTAATTCACTGTTTCGCTTATTGGAGCGTCACTTTTCTTTGATTCATACTTATCCCTGAACTCTGGACATTTAAGACATCAGATTTCAAACTGGATCATGTTTGTCTAAAATCTCATTATTTCCTCTTTATTTAGGTTGGAAAACTGCTGGTTGTCAGAGATCAGCTGTTCTTCTCTGGCCTCAGCTCTGAAGTCCAACCCCTCCCATCTGAAAACTCTGTGGCTGTATCAAAACAATCTGCAGGATTCAGACATGAAGCTGCTGCGTGATCTTCAGAAGAGTCCAAACTACAGACTGGAGACTCTGATGTCAGTATAGAGTTGGAGTTAGTCTGTGCTGATTTCTCCTGTTCCTCTCCACACAGTATCACAGCAGATATTCAGTATTTCCTGCTGACTCTTCGACCTTCTCAGAGGATTCTTTCTTTAGTGAAGCTGTGAGAACAGAAATCATCAAACCATGAGTGTAAGAGTGTCAGTGATGAAAAAAGTGTCTCCTCGTCTCTATATTTCAGATCAAATGTAGAAATGAGACATAATGAAACAGAAATGTTCAGTTTTCTGCTCTGAAGTCCAGTTTATAGTTCTCTGTATTCAACACAGACTTTATTTCTCTGCTAACTTGTTGATTTTGACTTCTAAGTCTGAAAACAGACAGCTGTTCTTTATACTTGTTATTTTCACAGCAGGTTTGTTCGATCAGCTTTAACAGATTTGACAGGAAGGATTTCTTTATTTTGATGATGTTGGTTTATATGTGAGGAAACCTGCTGCTTTACATCATCACTTCTGGTCTGAGCAGGACTGAAACCTGCTGGTCTTTAAACTAGATGTTCTTCTGATGAAGTGAGTCTCAGAGTGGAAACACTGATCGTCTTTTTTTCTCTCCTCAGATGGATTTGACATCTGTCAGAGTGATTCAGAAGAGGATCATGTGTTTCCTGATGATCAGAGAGGTGGAGGCAGCAGCAGTGAGGGTGAGGTGAGTCTCTGACGGAGCCACATTACTGAGAGACTGACTGACCAATCACAGCGGGCGTAGAGGACTCTGGGAGCTGCACTTTGACCTGCTCTGAGATCAGCTCAGGACCTGGACTCTGGATATTTGATATTTCCCCTCATATTCTGGGATCAAACAGTCTGAACAGGTTTGTTTTGTTGATGCTAAAATGATCATAAATTTACACTTTGATTGGATTACATTTTTTTTACCATGATGCAGCGCCACCCAGTGGAAGTATAAAGAGGTGGAGTTGATTTATTCCCTCATATTTCTGCAGCAGGAGTTGATACCATGTGTGAGAGTCGATCAGTCAGAAGTTCTGATTAAACCCAAAGGTGTTTTCTTTCCTTTGCACCGTTAGAGACCAAATATAAACTGAAGGGAGAGGAAGAAATGATTGTAAATATTGATTGGAGGTAAATTGACCTTATTTTATATTATTAGACATTATTTTCCTTCTCTTTACATGTTTTTGTTCTCATATAATCTTTGTGCTCATCAATAATCGATTCCCTCCTGTTTGGATGAACAAACACAGTTATTAAACCATAAATGAGACCTGAAAGTCAAAGTAAAATGTGTGAAATATAATTCACAGGAAAGATTCTTGAGTAAAAAAAACAACATTATCTTTACTTTATTATGAAACAAAAATTACCGTACTGATTTGAGTCTGAAAAAAGTGAGATTAGCATCTATTCAGGGTGAAGTCATCAACGTGGTCGATGCTGTTTTATAAACTCAGTGTTGTTGATTACAATCTCAGCTTCATAAATTGATGCTACAGTGGAGTGACTTTCTGTTAAATCCACTGGCTTTGTGAGACCGTCAGCTTTCAGGAGATAAGTTTGTGTTTCTGTGACACTCCAAAGCTTTTCTATCCCACAGAGAAGATCGGTGTGTTTTCGGAGACCTTCCTGATCCTTTAAAAAGTCCTCAAAGTGAGTCTGAAAAGTGGAGGAAGGTTTTTTCATCAGGGTGGTCCTATATTCAGGTCAACACAGTAGTGGATCATAGAGACTCAAAGCCTTGATTCATTTGAGGCTGTAGGACACTACATGAAGGAAAGTCGGTGTGTTTAGTTGGTCATAGTTTTAATTAAGCAGGAACTTTGATTTGATTGTCTATTTTTGGAAATCAAATCAATGTTAGAGGCCATCCTATATCAATTTGAACATTTCTAGTAAAGAAAATAGGCATAGGGCTTTCTTGTCTGTAACAAGTTTTAAGGATTTACAAAAAAGTGAATGAAGAACTTCCCCAAAAGCAACAAAGCATTTCGAACAAAATCCAAGTTCCTATCCTCATTAAAAACACCAAACAAAATAGTTTCCACTGACAAAGGGAAGTCCATGTTTTTAGACTGCAACCAGCTCCGCATTTTACTCCAGGAGGGATGTACCGCACTACAGTGAAAAAAAAACAAGGCTCAGGTTTTCAAAATCCACATCACAAAACACACAATTATTTGCTTCAAAGTTAAACCTTAATCTTAAAAATTCGTTTGTTGGGTAATATTCGTTTACCAACATATTTCTGAGAGCTTTGTTGTTACATTTGCGATCAGAAACACGCACCTTAGATTGTGATGTTAGAAGTGGGCGAGCTGCCTATGGCAAGATGGCCGCCATGCACGGACGTCCGTCTCCCGTGAGCCATCGCGTGAGTGCGTCATCATCAAGGGCCCAAAGACCGGAGCGAAGGCGACGACAGGGCGATTTCCGTTCCCAGCAGAGCTCTGTATTTTCGACCTTTTCTTCCAAAATAACAAAAACAGAAACCTTTGGAGCAGCCGTTTGAATGTTCATATAAGGTAAGATACACTTTGGATCCTTGTTTTTGTTGATTTGTAAGGTTAAAAAAAGCTGTATCGGAGCTGCTCATCAACACCGACATCAATAATCTGCTTTTTATCCTGTTAACATATTTTCAAGGTTTCCCAGGTAACGGTCTTCACTGCTGTTTTATTACAAAGATATAACTGACCCTTTCAGTCGTAACGATACAGTGTTTTGAATAATATTTGACGATGACAGCTTTACCTCGCGATTTAAGTCTCTTCAACCGGTTTCGTCACAAAATTATTAAAAAATTGAAAATTAATACACATTATTATGTGATACAGCTTCTTTTTAAGGAGAGATACACCCTTATCGTCATGTTTAGTCTATATTTATCACCTTTTTTGAGGCTGTAATTGTCCCGAACACAGGTGCAAACTATGGAAGCCCTTAATTTTCTTAGTTTACAATTAAAAGGTTGTTTTCTTAGTGTTTTATCAATTATTATGGCATATTGTGGTCAGACCTATCAAAGTAATTTGGTGTTTTCTGATAACCACAAAAATGTGCCACTATTACTTGTGTAATTTCTTAATATGTGTCTATTAATAACACTGATACTATTATCTTTTTATAGTGTTATGGTCTCTTTTTAACTAAATTTGAATTCAGATTAGCCTTTTTTGTCAGTTTGTGTCCAGGAGATTGAAAAAAAAATATGTGATTTTTGGTCTAAGAGGGTATTTCTTTTTTCTGTTTGTAGGTGCTTGTAGTCTCTGAGGTTCAGCAGTGAAGCCAGTTGCCATGGCGTCTCCAGGTGGACAAGGAGGAGGTGGAGCCCTGTCGACAAGAGGAGGGGGAGGGGCCAGGAGGATGAAGTGGGCTCTGGAGCTGAGTCTGGGTAACACCAGGTACATACTGTTTAAACACCCACAGCCAGCGAAGAAAAAGGAACATTTAATTTGACAAGTACAGATTTTAAAGTGACTGTCAAAAGTACAGGATTATATAAGGAGCACTTTTGCTTCTGTCAGGTTTGTAGAAGAAACATTTTGGAGCAGGGTTCAATGCATCTTTGTATCAAGCACTCCGTTTGAAGAAATAATGTGGATTTTTAAGCATTAACACTGCTGAACAACACGTAAACCTGTGTGTTCCCCTTGTGCTGCAGGAGCCGTGACAGACAGGGCGGGCAGGGAGATGTCGTTTACCCCATCGGGTACTCTGAGAAACCTGTACCTGACACCAGCATCCAGGAGACCGACAAGAACCTGGTGGAGAAGGTGAAACAGATGAGTGTTTTTTGTTTGTGAGTAAAGGTCCTTACACACTTGGACCATTTTTTTCGTGCGATTATTTCAGATGTCAATTTTTTTTTTCGAACTTGTATCCTGTCAATACAAGCGTTTACATCAGCGACGTTTTCCCGTCCTGCGATACTGCGGTATTAATTTTTTCAGAGCATCGTCAATTTTTCCAAAGCTTCGCATACTGTGTGTCCACTTCTGACCAATCAGATTGCGTGTTGTTGCGACATCTGATTCATCGGTATATCCAACATGGCCGACCAGCTGATTGTTTATGATCGTTTACACACACATTACAAAGATAACGACCTGAAGGACAACTTGCAGAAAGTCATAGCGTCGGATTCCACCTGGGATGCTGTAGGTTGTTAAGGGAAGGTCCTGCCCTCCTTCGCCTCTGAAGGGTTATAAGTGCTGACCATTAGGCTTGAGTGTGTGATGACGTTTCCAGCTTTTTTAGCCGATCAGAGATAAAGGAGGCGGGAATTTCCCCGGGAAAAGTCTTCCCAGGATGCATCTTTTTCCCCCAGAAAGTCGCATAATCGCATCGGGCCTGATGTGTATAGTCAAGCGTATCAAAATTTCGTAATTACATGTTCTATATTCGCGTAGGCCCTGGTGTGTAAGGAGCTTTAGGGGAAAAAAAAAACAAAGTTTTTGCCCAGATTTTTGATTGTTTCTAAAGGAAAACAAAATGTCATGTACAAGAAAAGATAAAGTAAAATACAGAAATACAGCAAATCTCTCTCACTCTCTGCGGTACAGCGATGCTGGGACGTGGCCCTTGGTCCCCTGAAGCAGATCCCCATGAACCTCTTCATCATGTACATGTCAGGAAACACCATCTCCATCTTCCCCATCATGATGGTCTGCATGATGGCCTGGAGGCCCATCCAGGCGCTCATGTCCCTGTCAGCCAGTGAGTATCCACCCTTCAAATCGTCTTTTAAACTCTGATAGGTGTTTTTTTTTTTCCTCCTCCTCTGCATCAGAGATGTTGTTGGATTTGATCCTGTGTTGAAGTTCTCCTTCTTCTCTGTCTCAGCCTTTAAGTTGTTGGAGAGCTCCAGTCAGCAGTGGCTGCAAGGACTCGTCTACCTGATCGGGAACCTGCTTGGCTCTGCCTTGGCTATTTACAAATGTCAGTCAATGGGACTTCTGCCAACGCACTCGTCTGATTGGCTGGCTTTCATAGAGCCACCTCAGGTAAGAGCCTGATGCAGTGCTACACGACATCCTCTGCACCTCACCGTTAAACTGTCTTTGTTAGTTTTGGCAGCATTTGTCTTTTTCCTTGTGATCGAGCAGCAGAGAACGTTAAAACCACCTCATCAGCTGATTTTTATGTTTTAGCCACTAGAGGGCAGAATAAGCCCACCTTGACATTAAATCTCAGGATGTAATTTTTGAAAAGTATTGATATACAGCAATTATCCCCCATAGTACAGAACATTAAATATTAGATCTTTGAGGTTTATTTAGAAGGCTGATATTTTTCAATCCAACTGTGTTTCTGCTCATAGTTTTTAACTAGGGCTGCTCGATATATCGTTTGAGCATCGTCATCGCAATGCACGTGTGCGCGATAGTCACATTGCAGAGCCTGCGACGTCGGAGGCGTATGAACTCATCTAATTTCAGGGGTAGCTGACTGACATACACTGCATGTGACTCTGCATGTACTGTACAGCGATCCACCAATCACATTCGTTCTTTACTCAGTTGCCAATCAGACTACCCTGCCAGCCGTCAATCAGAATCAGAGAGGAGGAAACCATGGAGGGAGTCACTGGCGCTGCCGGTGTTGTGCCGAGAAACGCGTGTCCGCTGAGAATTACTTTTGGAACATTCCTCATCACTGTTTAGCCCCACAAATAGGAACTGTATGGGTTTTAAATTGTACATTTCCATGGACCGCTCTGCTATAAGCGGTGCGCGTTCCTGCGATGTGCATGCAGTCCTCGGCAGGCATGAGTTTCTCGGCACAACATCAATGATTGCAAAATGAGAAACGAACAAAAGAAAACCACCAAAGATGAATACTTGTTGTTGACAAAAAGAAAAGCAACGTCACTTATCTGTTATTATTTCGGTTACAAGAAAGATGACGTCACCAAACACCAAGCTAAAAATATCTCTTAGGCTATGTTCCCACTGCAATTCTGATTTTTTCAAATCAGACCCAGGCCTCTTTTGTATGTGGATATAAATCGGATATGTATCTGATGTGACTGCAGTGTGGACGCTCAGGTCACGTTCATCCGACCTATACGTCGTCAATATGCGATAAACATCACCATTGTTCGACAACACAAACAGGCGCGGAAAGCAATTTGTGCTTTGTGTACATGCGGGTCACTTCACGGACTCATTCCGTTCACATTAGATGCCGCATTCGTTGTTGTAATGTGAACGACCGCACAAAAAGATCGGATTTAACAAAAAATCCGAATTGCGCATCATAACCTGCAGTGTGAACGTAGACAGACAGAAGCCATGATACTAACATTCACAAAAAGAGGTAAGATCAGTGCAGGTTTTTTAATATCGCAGAGTTGAAAAAAATTGCAATGTTAGTTTTTTCCAATATCATGCAGTCTTATTTTTAACCCATAATAGGGGTAAATATTTCAATAGATTTTTTTTATTGGGGTTATGCATTGAACCTGATTTTGAACTCTGTCTTTTTTCCACAGAGGATGGAGATCATGGGTGGAGGGATGGTGTTGTGAAGAGGACCCAGCGTGCACATGAACAGATTCAGATATTTATAGAGATTTATACTGTACAGCCTGAATACCTGGTTAAGTTTTCTTCTCCCTGTCCATAAAACTTCAAACCTTCACAGCGGCAGTTTCAACATACAGGATGTTTGTTTACTTTATTTCGAAGATTTTTTTTTTTTTTTTGGACTTCTGCTCCTCTTTCTGTCTTCGTGATGATATCTGTTGTTCCAATGCCTCTTACTATAATTTACTTTAATAAAGATTTAAAAATCCAGCAGATTACTCAGCTGCCTGCTGTGAAACTACTGTATTTTCATTTCTTAAAAGAAAATAATATGAGGTATATTGACAGAATGTAGAATTGTACAGTTTTGTGGGGGGTTGAAGAGCATAAAACAAAACTTTATCCACCTATTCCCCCATATGCAGAGCTTGAAGTTTATAAATCAATATAAATATGTCAGAAAAAGTGCTTTTATTCTAGCACAGAAGTGATTTCTCCTTTTCCCTCTTAACTATTGTTTCATAGGTTGTAGTGGCACGCCCCATTGTGTCAGCATGGTTTCAGCATGCTAGCCTTTAACACTTAACACACGTTTTCTTTAACTCTTTTTAATTTATACTGATTTACTCTTGAAATGTTCTATGAAATAAATCTTAAATGGCTGAATTGAAATGTTTCAAATGTGTCAATAAATTTTCTGACCAAAATTGAATTGTGTCAAAATTTGCATGGTATCAAATTAGCCCAAGAACTTGGAGACACTCTTTTTGGAAATCGTGGACCAAAGTGGTTAATGAGAAAATCGGACATGCACACGTTCAATTGTCCCCTCTATAAAGGGTTCCACTTTTCAATTCTTCTGCTTTTCTTCTGCACTATTTTGTGGGTGTGTTGTGTTGGTATCAGTGGCCCCACCTTGGACAGAGAACAAAAGCAGTGAGGTAGGGCAGAGTGAGAGTCAAAGGCGAGTAGCAGAGTAGTTTGATGCAAATCTAGCTTGTGTTCACAGATATGTGCTCTGATATAGAATGATTATTTTCCAGTACAAGGTGTTATTTATGAGCTCAACTCTCCAGATAGACAACAGCCAAAACCTCACCCACCTAAGCTAGTCAACACAGTATCAACATGCCAACAGTTTTCCCATGTCAAGATTCTGAAGCTCAGTGCATACACTGTTTAACCCTAGAACACTATCACCAGGTAATTCTCATGTTTACGTGATTTTCATGATGTTGCGTTGCCTTTGACATCTTTGAAGGCATATTTGTTTCCCTGATCCGAAACCTGTTTTTTCCTACAGGCATGTGTTTGGGTGATTTTCACCGGGCAATAGTGATAGAGGGTAAGTAGAAGAAAACTACTTTAAATTTTCATGTATTGTCCTATTTTGATATATTTTGATGACAAGTACTTTTTCTTAGGTATATTGTTTCGGGTAAAAGTCACCTGGCAATAGTGATGGTGTTACTAATTTTAGCGATAGTGTTCTAGGGTTAAAAAAGGGATGCCATAAGTATCTGTCCTGCTAGAGCTCCTCCTGGTGACTGGTTGCAGCATGGGATAATAACCCTGTCAACATGAAATAGAAAGGGGTTTAGACAAGCTATAAAATACAAACACACTTTAAGAATGAGTAAGGCATCTGCCAACTATCCAAATGAGGTTCAAGGCCATCTTATCTGAAAACAAAAGGAATATACCACACTTTTTTATGATAAAATGTAGGCTGAGGCCTTCTGGTTCAACACTGAAGTACATGATAAAAGTCCCAAATTACCCTCAAATGGTCTTTTTGATATTTTGTAACTCATTAGCTGATTATTTTCGCACTTTCTGTTCATCTTTTTTACTAAGGATGCGCTGCCAAACTTGTGGTTGCCCCAAAACAGGTGAGTTTTGGGATGGTGAGTTTCATGGACCGGTTTGACTTGCCTGACCCGCCCCTCAATGACGGTGGGCCGAGCTGTCAGACCATGAAGGGGCGGGACAGGTGAGGAGAGAGTACAAGAAAGGATGGGAGACTCAGTATCTGCGTGTTTGTGTGAGCCATGTGGAGAATATAGGGTGGAAAAGTTTGTTTTTAGCTAGTTTTCGTCGTTTTTTTTCCCTCGACGGGCGGACTAACGGTTACTTTTTTAACCACGTCAACGTTCCATTTTCAAACCTGCGCGAGACTCTTTAACGGTCAGTTTGGAGAAGCTGGAAACTTTTTAACGCGCCGGAGCGACTCGCCCGCTTTTCATCTTCGACTCAAGCAGAAAAGAGACGTCAAATTTTACCCAATTTTTAAAAGAAACTTGTGGTTAAACTTGTCTGTCAGGTTTTGCCTCGACGCAATGGAGAAGCACGACTGTCACTCGGCAACGCACGAGTATCCACATCCGTTTATTCACGAAGTGAAGCTGACCCGCGCGCAGAGGATCAGGGTAACGTTCCATTTAAAGTCGCCATATTTAAATGTCGTGAAGACCCAAACATTAAGACACATTTTAGACAATAAAAGTTTAGCTAAGGGACAAAATACATCAAGCAGCGATTAGTTTTTGAACACCTGGGCAGGCAAACACAGTCTAACCCCTCTACTACACATTAAGCTTTCAAGAAGCTTCAAAGTTTTCAGTTTTTATTGAAATAAGACAGGTGATTACTGAGCCTGATATTTATTACTTAAGAGGTAGCTGATGGTTGGTGGAGTACTGGAGAGTGTTATAGTAAAAGGTGTTCCTTATTATTTGTCCACTTGGTCAAAAATGACTGAGTTAGAGAAAAATTATAACCTGTTGGACCACGCCAACCAAAACCGAAAGGTAAAGCTTTGTAAAAGCAGAACTTTTGGTTAAGTTGCACTGAGTTGAATCGAATTTCCCAAGTGTTTTGGCTCAATCAGTGAATTTCAAGCAAAGCTAACTCAATAATTACAAAATATAGGGTCAATGAGTTTGTTTGGGCTGAAATTGTACTTCATAGAGGTTTAATTCAGTTCCCCAAACTGTGCCACCTGAAACTAATCAGCTAGTAATTTCACTAGCAGTGGGAACACACTCCAGTAAACTATTTCGTAATGTGTTTTACTTGACAACAAGCAAACACCACCTTAGTCAAAAGAAATGTCCATGGGTTATCTTTTGAAAGAATCCACCTTTTGCTAATTTTCTTAGATGTCCCATGTTTTTCATATTTTCATAATCGAACAAAGAGTCTTTCACTCTCCTTTTGTGGCTTAAGTGTTTAAGCAAAACAGATCTGTCATAAAATTTGGCTTGGGCAGGCATGACACATCACAACAGCATACCAGAGAGTTGCGTAACACTGTGACAGCCACTTAAGCAGGGCTGGGTTACATGCATGAAATTAGTGTAGAGATAAGACTGTTTTCCCACACTGATGGAGAGTCAAATGTTTGCAAACTCTGGTGGATGCAGGATTGACCTGGCTTCACTTCATGTAAAATGAACGCTGACTCATAATTGGCGAAATTATTTTATTTTTGTTTTTTCAAGTCGTTATGTCTAGAAACGAATGAATGCTATCAAGAAGTCTCCAAAAGAATGAAAAATAAAGGAATCAACCCTTTAATCATGTGAAACCAGCTGGAATTTTAAGACCGGATACTGACTGGAAAGTTCCCTGTCTTGAGTTTTAATCATGTTTGTTTGTACAAGTTGTTTACCCCCGCTCTGTGCTCTAATGGTCAACCATCAGAATCCTGCATTTTTGTATTTTTTTTTTTAATACTGGAGAATGAATTTATTAAACTAATCCATAACCAGACATCTATAGAGTAAACACAGAAAGTTTATTTGGTTAATATTTCAATGGGTCATCTGTGTACTTAAATTATATTAGATAAAAAGCTGAAATATTCCTCCTTCTTCGTCTTGTTTAAGGGTTGAAAGTTATTCAAAACAAACATGAATTTGATAAAATAGTCGACTAACTCAACTGCAAAATATCTTTATCTCGATTTTTATTTTTTATGTAGGTAAAAAGTCAAATGTTTTTGATACTAGCTTCCCAAATATCAATTAATTTATTCTTCAAAGTGGAACTGTTTATCTTAAATGTGAACAAAACATGACATTTTAAGTGGTGTTATGACTTTTCAAAAAAATGGATTGACTTTTTAAAAATGTGAACGACTTTTAAAAGACTCAAAATAAAACCCTGTCTCTGTCTTCTTATTCTGAATAACAGGGCGTCATCCTGGGCAGCATCCTCTTCCCTCTTCGCGTCACCTTGGCCGCCATCTTCTTCCTCATCATGTGGCCTCTAGCTCGGTTACGACTGGCCGGCCTGTCAGAGGAGGAGCGCTCTCGACCAGTTAAGGGTTGGCGCTGTTGGTTGTATCACCCAATCGTCTTGGGTCTGAGCCGGGCCGTTTTCTTCTCACTGGGCTTCCCTTGGGTTAAAGTCAAAGGGCGCAGGGCGGACTTGAAGGAGGCGCCGGTGCTGGTGGTGGCGCCGCACAGCAGCTTCCTGGACATGCTGGTTCTGTGTGAGACGCAGCTTGCGACGGTGGTGTCACGGTCGGAGAACACCAGCCTGCCTGTCATAGGAGGTGAGGGGATGAGGATCAGCTGATCGTTTTGCAATCTCTCTAACTTTAGCCTAGACATTGAAGCTCATGTGACTCAACTAGCCCACTCTTTTTTAACCCTTTTGCGACCTCTTCTGGTGTTAGTAATTTTCAGTGTGTGTTTGTGTGTGTGTGTTTCAGCCCTGCTGGAGTTCAACCAGTCTGTACTGGTGAGCAGAAAAGACCCAGAGTCAAGGAAAAAGGCGGTCACCCAGCTCACAGAGAGGCTGACCTCAGACGGCTACTGGCCTCAGGTGAGAAGCTCTATGATTGGTCACTTTAAGGTCCTTACACACCGACGCGAATATAGAACGCGAAATTACGAAATATTCAGAGGCGAATTTTGACGCGCTTGACTATACGCATCAAGCCCGATGCGATTTTGCGACTTTCCAGGGGAAAAAAGACGCGTCCCGGGTGGAAGCGAGAGGACAACAGACAACATCTCGATACTATTTAGTAGCAGCGCACGCCCATTGTAAAAACCCCCGTACCCTGTAAAAACTGTTGCTCAGGACTGCTTACTTGCGCTTCCTACCCATTCAGCTACTATAATAACCGTTTTTCTAGCCTTCACGCAACATTTTTGTTCTCATTCATGAAACGCTTAAATCTGGGACATTTTCGGGGACAGCTTTTGCCGGGGACAGGTCATCCAATTCGGGGACACCTTGGCTTACGAGCTAAAGTTACTTAGCACAGATGAAAGTTAAAATAAAGACGTTTATCAAACTGTTAAAGCACACAAACCATCGTCATATGAGAAATCCGACGCTATGACTCTCCACAAGTCGTCCTTCAGGTCGTTATCTTTGTAATATTTGTGTCTTTTATCAAAAATCACTCTGTTCTCCGACACGTAAACAATCAGCTGGTCGGCCATGTTGGATATACCAGTGAATCTGATGTCACAACAACACGCAATCTTATAGGTCAGAAGTGGACACACAGTATGCGAAACTTTAGAAAATCGACCATGAGCCGTAAATGCCGCAATACCGCAGGACGGGAAAACGTCACTGATGTGAACGCTTGTATGGACAGGATACGGGTTCGAAAAAAATACTGACGTCCGAAATAATCGCACGAAAAAAATGGTTCCGGTGAGAAAGGACCTTAAGACCTTATTATTATAATAATAATAATAATAATAATAATAATAATAATAATATTAATAATACATTTTATTTGAAGTGCCTTTCACGTCACTCAAGGACACTTTACAGAACATATAAAACACTATTAACAATTAAAATCATCAAAACAGTTAAAATCAACAAAGCAACATTAAGAATGGATTAACGATTTTATACCATCTCAACAGCAAATACACCTTTATTAGTAGTAGGTTTGTCTTCTGACGATCACACAAGCTCTACTGAAAACACCTCTTACATGACATGCTCAATTAGGACGCTGTTTTGTAAGCGCAGAGAGAGCTCTACAAAAGGAAATAAGATTGTGTACACTCGAGAAGCAGTCTGTAAACAAAGACAGCAGCACTACATGCACACTGTTGTTCTTTGTGAAACACTTTTTGCATATATAAACTCCTACCAGCATGCAGTTGTGTGTACTCCTAACCTCGGTCTCCTGACTCTAAACAGTCAAGATGCTGCAGGTCATCCACCGCAGCACAAACCCAACAAAGATCTTTTTCCTGAACGCCCCGAATTCATCTGCAAAGAATGCAAACTAAACCTGAATATCTACATAACTCACCTTGAAAACTCGACATTTAAGACAAAGACAAACTGGTGACATCCATTCAAAAAGAGTGTTGTATACGAGACGTGTGACAAACTTGAAATACCGGCGCTGTGGGAGAGAGAAAAGCAGAAAATAAGCATGAAACACATTAAAAACTCTTCGACTTTTAGAAAGACGAAGTGACATTACTCATGACGTCACGTTTCTTCGTCCTTCCCAGATGCTGATGTTTCCAGAAGGAACCACCACTAACGGCAGCGCCCTCATCAAATTCAAACCCGGTGAGTAAGGACACTTGATCTGGTCTGGTTTTACCTGAAGTCCACCTCACCTGCGCCAGTCATGCAGGAATGGTCGGCATGAGAAGGAAAAAGGGCGTGACAGCTCATTGTTTTTCTCCTGGATGATTAAGCGCTTCTTTACAGCGTTTCTCTAATCTTCGCTCTTGTGTCGTTTCTCTCCTCTCGCTGTCATCAGGCGCTTTCCTCGCCGGAGTCCCGGTCCAACCTGTTCTGTTGCGTTACCCGAACAAGCTGGTGAGTAAAGTCTGAGCTGTAGAAAAAAAAATGACACATGAAACTTTCAGCTTTTGTTTAGCTGACATCAAAAGATCTTAACTTGGTCAATTTTTACACGTATGTGAATTTATAAAGACAGCTTGTATTTGACATAACCCTCGAAGGACAAATACCGTGAATACTTTTCTTCAAAACCATCAAAAGATAAGACGTGTCAGTTCAAACATACCAGTGTTTAAACTAGGTCAACTGGTAAGTTAATGTTAATATGTTAGATTACAGAGATGTCAAGAGTATAGTTTTCCTTGACACATATACATATTAGAATAGAATAGATCTTTATTGTCATTGTCATCAAGTACAATGAAATTAAAAAGTGCTCTCCAGTCAGTGCATCATATAAAAATAAAAGTCCTAAGATTACTAGAAAAAGATAAGATATATCTAGACACATTCATCCCTCCACACATACATCAAAACATAGACATTACAAGAGCATTCATCAACGTAAAATCATGTTGTCATATCAAAGAAATTCTTGATTTTATGAGGCGCTCAGACACAATCACACCCACACACTACTCCAACAAAAAACACCACACAATGTAAACAGAGTCAGATATCATCAAGACATACTGCATATACAAAGCATTGGTGTTACTGTAGATGCCAACAGACTACCAGCAAACACAATGTTTGCAGGACTTCTACAACTAGGATAAAGTGACATAGTCCAGGACCCGAGGGAGGACAGTTTAGCGATGGTGCTACAACACGCTACAGCAGGTCCGTTTGACAAGAATCACTTCTGTTACAGACACTTGGCTTACTTTGTTAAAGCGGTTTACCTGTCCAGCAGGAAGATTACAGGGTCACCAAGATCCTGAAGCGTTTATGCTTTATTGATGTTGACCCGGCTTTTTAGCTCTTGTCCGGTCTACCTCTGTTTTAAGCGCCCGTTATTCCGCCAGAGTCTACGGTATTTACTTCGTTTTCTCACTCGTGTTGACAATCGTGGCCAAAGAAGGATTCAGACAGTTTTCCGAACTTTCTGGTTGGTTTCTACTGTCTGATATTGTAGCACGCTAACTTAGTTTGGGCTCTTGAACAAAACGAGGGAGCAGTGTCCGCCTCACAACCAATCAGCCTGGGGGAGGCGGGGAACTGCTTTGTTTACAGTCAGAAAGAGCGGAGCACTCCTGAAATTTTAAAATGTTGACTACACAAACATAACAAAACACAGCGATATTGTGATATTCCCAAATGTCATCAATAACTATTGACTGATATTAAAAGCTTTTGTTTATACACCACAAAAAAGATGCTTCTTTAACGGATTCCTGCCTACCCCACCTTTAATAGGGTTGGGACGATATGCTTTTCTCCTGATTTTGATTCTTCTGCGATTTTTTGGATGCCGATTCGATTTAAATTGGGATTTTACGATATTGTCGATTTTCTCAATTTTTAGTCTGCATTTTTAACACCAGTGTAGCAGTTGAATGATTATGATTGTCTACTGACTATTCCAGGAACTATATTTCCCCAAAAAATCGCATGTAAATCAGATTTTTAAGATTTATTCTTGAAGTTTGGAAAAAAAAATTTGTACATAAAAATCAACTTTAAAAATTGTAAAACAAAAAAATCGCGATACTTTTGTGATTTTATTTTTTTTTTCTCCAACCCCTAATACTTAAAATCCGATGAATGGCCTGAATCTAAGATGTATTCATTTTGGCGAGTAATGATGTTGGACCGCTCTCTTCCACACAACTTTTAATCAGTGTCTGATAAATCCTGCAGAACATCGTCTTCTTGGGAGAATTTAGAAAGTCTGAATTCAATTAATGAAGCGATTAATCCACAAAATCGTTGAAAACCTCGTCAGGTTTCTATTATGAAACTGCGCTCTTGTAGAGAAGTCACGCCGCCGTCCTCTCCTTGAGTGTTGAGCTGCATTGCTAACATTAGTAGCATAGCTCAGCCGCGCACATACAGTACGTTCATACAGCAGCTGCTTTGTTCTGCTGCTTGTTCAGACACAGCTTTTAAGTCCGTCCCCGCTCTGTGTGAACACCACACTCTCCTCAACCTTATCGGGCTGCACTCGTGTTTATGGACATGCTGTAATGTTTGTTCAGGCCCCTTTCTGTTTACACACTGCTTCCTGTCAGGGTGTGTGAGAGGGAAAGTGCGCAGAAACACCCGTGCCATAAAAAACACGCCACCCTGAGGATAGGTTTTATATTGTGTCTGCTGTTGATCTCACCCTTTTTATGACTCTTCCTGTAGGACACGGTGCGCTGGTCTTACAAAGGAACGACCTGGTGAGTTCCTCAGCCTTACTTTCTTCATGCTACACAGTTTTCTGCAGGGGATGACAGAAAGTTGATTTTGGATATTTAGGATTCAGTCACATCTTATGTGCTTTAAATACTTCTGCTTAACAAATGCATTCTGACTTATTCTGAGTACATTCTGGCTCCAAATTCATCCAAAGATCAGGATCACACGCTGAACCCAAAGCTGCAGGAAGAAATCCTGCTTGAGAATGATTAAGAAATTAATTTTCACCACCAAATAAAATAAAACATTTCCCCAGAAGCAGCACTGATACAGACAGCAGTAATGTTAAGTTACACGAGTTTTATATTTGTCCATTTTTATTCTGTCTTCATCCAGGATTGAGGCTTTGTGGCACACAACCTCACAGTTCTACACCAACATGACCATCGAGGTAAGATGTGAAGATCTAAACACAAACAGCCTCTTAAAAATCATCCGGTATATGACACACCTGAGGCGGGAACTTTTGATTTGTGTTGATTTTGGCGCCCCTGTGTGGACAAAGTGAATGTCACTGGTGTTGTTCTGTACATGAATATATAGTGATCGGAAAAAGTCTCCAGTAGTCTGCCTTCAGCAGTCAAATATGTCTCTCACTAGCCCCTTTTCAAACGTGAGCAAAGTTCCTGAAAATTTCCAGAAATTACACTACAGGTGAGCTGTATGTGTGACTAAGTTTTTCACCCACTTTCCTGGAATATTTCCCACTATGCCCCTGGTATTATTTCGTGGTAAAGCCTGGGCAATCTCAGGATAATATGGAGAGGTACAAAAAGCATTAGGTTTTTGCCTCACACCTGTATACAACAGGGGAGACTTTCAGGTGAGAATTTTCCTGGAATTTTCCTGAATTTTTTTCCTGGAATTATACTGATTTATTTCCTGGAATTACACTGAAGTTTTCCAGATTTTTTTTCCCCCTGGAATTATCCTAAAAATTTTCCTGAAATTTTTTCCTGTAATTATACTGATTTTTTTTTCCTAAAATTTCACTGAAATTTTCCTAATTTATTTATTTTATTTTTTTTCTGGAATTTTCCTGATAATTTCCCCTGGAATTATACTTATTTTTGTCCTGGAATTATACTGATTTTTTTTTCCTAGAATTGCACTAAAATTTTACTGATTTCTTTTTTTTTTCTGGCATTTTCCTGAAATTTTTGTGAACATTTTTCCTGGAATTATACTGATTTCTTTTCCCCCAGAATTGCGCTGAAATTTTCCTGATTTTTTTTTTTTTTTTTTTTCCTGGAATTATCCTGAAATTTTTTACCTGGAATTATCCTCAAAGTTATTCTGAAATTTTCCTGATTTCATGTCTTAAAATGGCTGAAGAATCTTTTGATATATTAGCAGCCTGCAGTAGATCACTCAGGTTGACTCTTCCACCCCTACTAGTCTGGTCAGACATAAAAAAATAACCAAACAGAAATCATCACTTTTCTTTTTTTTATGGTCTTGTTTGCTTTTTAAGTCAAACAGATGCATCAATATTAATTTTAATCAGTTTGAAAACCAGCTAGAAAAAAGAGTAATAAAGGTTGAATCACATCACTACATTCAAAGTAACAGCATACCTGCTTATAGCTGTGATATAACATACCAGCTTTAGTTCTTATAGATGAGTCTTCTCTCATTATTCAGTATCAGTATTCTGATCATTTTGATATTTCCACATTGAAATCTGTGTTTTTGTTTAACTTTACCTTTTATGTGTTTTTTTTTTTTTTGCAGTTTCTGCCAGTTTACACTCCGTCTCAGGAGGAGAAGAAAGACCCCAACCTGTACGCAGACAACATCCAGAAACTTATGGCCAAGTGAGTAGAAAATGATGATCTGCAAAGTTTGATACTGTGACTGTTTTTGTTCCCAAACATCTGCGTCCTTGTCTGTTTTTAATTTTCTTTCAGTTTATTTGCTTTGCTTGGAGATTTCTATCATAATTCTCTCGTCTGTCTCGTTCAGGGCTCTGGGAATCCCGGCCACAGACTATGTGATGGAGGGCGGAGTTCCTGTCAGCAAACTGGGGGGTCTCACTCTGCCGTTGGAGTCGCCTGCACGAGAAACCCTCTCACTGCTGCACAAACACGGGTAAGAGAGAAAACTGTCGCACTTCCTTTTTGTCCTTTTTTCTGCTCTTCTGTTTTTGACCGTCTTTGTGTCCGTGCCAGTCTGGGGGCTCAGGAAGTGGGCGCAGCGCTGGAGAGAATGAGCGACAGGTGCAAGACAGGAGCTCAGGGGACAAAGGTCGGCGCAGAGGAGTTGGCGTCCATCTTTGAGCTGAAGGACGAGCAAAACATCGACATCTGTGGCCTCTACTCCAAGGTAAGACGTGGTTTTCTGCCTACTTTTTGAGTCTGTTGAAGGCGAAGATCAGACATGTGAAACCCTTTAAAACAAAAACAAACTTAAGACGGTTTAAAAGGTTCATACAGAGTTCAAAATGGTTTTAACCACTTTGGTGCCACTTTCATTTTTTGGACCTCCTAGAGAAAACTGTTTCCAAAAGCCACATTTCTGATTTTTCTATATATTTTTTCTCTCTTTTCTTTTTACAGAATGAGGCGGTGGACCTCAGACAGGTTTATTTAAGTGTGGCAGCTGTGTCAGGATCTCTCAGCTTCAGGTCACTGCTTCACACAGCGTTTACTGTAAGTCCTGTTTCTTTTTTTAATTTTTCATTTACAGCTTTTTTTTTTAAACTGTCTTGGACTTAAAATCACGACCACACATGCAAAGGATCGAGTGTTGTTCTCTAAATGTTTGTCTTTGTTTTGCAGCTGTTCGACAGAGACGGCAAAGGCAGCCTGAGCGCAGAGGAGCTGTCAGACCTCATGGGGGCGCTGTTGGGCATCCATCAGAACAACACTTCACAGCTCTACACTCAAGCCTCCAGTCAGGGCCAGCTTACCGAAGGTGAGAGTGAAACTTTTGGCGACATGTTTAGCTTTAAATTTTGCGTAATAACGGGGAAATCAAGAATTGTGTTTAAGATTAGATTGAGGATCATTTAATTATCAAAGTTCACTCGGTAACTTTGCTCATACAGGTTTATAAAAGGGTTATGAGGTAGGGTGACCATATTTTGAATCCCCAAAAAGAAGATTATATTATGCGGGGCGTGTAGTCAGGGGTTTTCGGGACGGGTCGAGTGTTTTTTATGCGCTTCTAACTCAGTTACTCCACGCTACACAAACTCAAAACCTCCAAACAAATTCCCAGACAAGGATGGAGAGGACATGTCCGGGTAAAAGAGGACGTATGGTCGACCTATAATAAGGTGATTTAGCTAAAGCAGACACAGTTTAGTGTCATTAGTCGTCTAACATTTGTCCCATTTCTACAGAACATCTGCTGCAGACTCTGACGACCCACCCCACCTATCAGAGACTGGTCAACGAGTACTTGCAGCCGGAGGAGGCGGGCTCTCACCTGGCCAACGGGAAGGTTGGAAACAACAACGGACACATGCACAATGGAAACGTGCACAATGGAAACGGATCCGTCCACTACAACAAAAAATTTGAGTGAAGATTTTTGCTTCATTTTTTTTACACGTCAGTTAAAAAGCTAATCGGTTTTATTGCACCTGTTCAGAGAAGTTCGATAAGAGTGGCATCACAACAAGACAAGCGGAACCAGAAAAATGGTGGACTAAGGATTGTCTGTTTTTTAAGAGTATATTTGTTCTTAAACCTTTATTACTGCAACGTTTTAGTACCATGACAACCAAAGAGAATTAAATTATGACTATAGATGCTCTCTGTATATAAAAGACCAAGTTTCAGGACTTGAACTGGGTCTTTATGATGTTTGAAGACTTTATCTTTTTGTATACCATTAAAGCCATATAATGTGTTATTTATAAAATTTCTATTATGTATTGTTATTTTTTTTTTTATTATGGGACGCCGGTCTGTGCAAAAAAAAAACTTATCACACTGTAAATCAAGAAGTGAACTTTATTTTCTTATAATTTTGTGTGAATAATTTTACATTTATCAATTAAACTGTGAATTCTTTTTAAGAGGTTTTTCTGTGTTTCTCCTTCGGCCACATTTCTCTACACATTTCTCGTCCAAATTTCTTTTTTTTTTTTTGTTCTCTTGGCTTTTGTTCACATTATCAATCTTCCTCCCACTTCTCTGTGTTTTTCTTCTGTCTTCTCGTGTAGCTGACATTTTTGTTTGAATGGAGAGAAAGTCTTTGTACTTTGACGTTAATGTTCGAGCTGTTACTTGGGTGGAAAGCGTGGGTTGCGGTCTCCCTTACGGCTTGAACTGGTTCTCATCCTGGTGTTTGGTTTATGGTCCAGTGTTTCCACCTCATCGTTGTCTCTTGGTCCCTCCTGGTCCGTCTTTTTCTCAGTTAACTTTTGCTCTTCCCTCACTCTCAAAGATCTCCCCTCACGCCTTCCTTTCTTAACCGGACTCGCTCCCATCGTATCTATCTTGGTCTCTGACTCTCCAGCGTTTTCAAGTTCTGACTGATGTCTTTTAACTGGACTCTGTTTGAGATTTGGGCGCCCCACATCTTCCCCACTTATTCTTTCATCGCCACCTTTAACATCCGCCTGGTCTGATCTTGGTTCGCAGTCCTGTTTGTGATGCTCCATCTTCGCTTCCTTGTCCTCTTGATCTTGGACACATTTGGCTTACGAGCTCCTGATAAGTCATGAGTCTCATTTCTCTCGACTTCATCTCCACTTGTTGGAAGACTCTTGCTGCGTTGCCTTGTCCTTGAAGACCGAATCGTGGTCGGTATTGGGCTTTTCTGAGACTGTGGAATACTTTCCTCGCCCATGACCCCTTCATTTAGACCTTTCTTCTCTTGGGCCACATTGGTTGAAAGAGGAGTTTCCATGCTTATTTTTTGGATATTGTCCTTGCAACGACCACCTTCTTCTATCTTGAGTTCCTCCGTGGTCTTGACTAGCTTCTGATGTTCCTTCTCGTTTGTTTTTGGAAGTTGCTTGGCTGGTTTTGCCGTTGATTGTCCACTTTCTTCAAAATCAACCGACTCACTTTGCCTTGCAGAGACACTAGATACTTCTAGATCGGTTAGCGCTACTAGTGTCTGATTTTCTTGCATTGACTCAGATGAACTGGCATCAACTTGGGGATCACCGGTCTTTTCATTGGAATAATCAACAACAGAAACATTTGCTTGCTCAAGGACTGGGTTCTTGTCAACACAAGGTGAGTCTAAGTTGAGGGTTTTGAGACTATCTTCTAGATGAGACAGTGCTATCCAAGCTGGGACACTAAAAGCTGGAGGGCTGATGATAGACACAGCTTCTGAACTGGGCAAAGGATCCTTGTTGGAAGGCAAAGGATACCCAGTTAGGGGTTGTTCCCAAAGCTTTTGGGGTGTCTGAGTGGACTTTGAAGCTCCAAGGTTTGAAGGAGAAGCAGAGGCTGCTTCTGACAAATCCCTCAAGAAGGAAGTGAAGTAAGAATCCTCAACCAAAGCATTTGCTGCCTGAAATTGGAGACTGGAGCTTTGGTTTGTTGCACAGGTTGGCAGTGGATCCTCTTGAAAGGTTGTTTGTCCATTTTGGTTTGGATTCGGGTCATGCTGTGCGCTTGAGGAGCTTAAAAGGAGGGACTGAGCTTTTTGGGGTGGTGCCTCATCCTGTGAAGTCAGCTGGGATGTTTCTTCAGTTTCAGGAGATGCAGCATCACAGTTGGCAGAAATTAACGCAAGTAGCTGCTCCAAGATCTCATCGAAAGACTGAAAATAAAGAGAGAAAATATAAGATGGCTTCACCTCCAACTCAGAAAAGGTCGCCAAAACTATCCCCTTGGTTTATTTTCCCTGCTCCTGTGTAAACGTTGAAGGTACATGTAGCTAACATAAGCAATAAATATGCAACTTCATCAATCAAATTGAACAAGTAAAAGTTTCACAAGTTGTTTTTACCTCTTGTTGACATTCTTCAAATGAGAGAAAGTCAATAGGCTCTGGATCTGAGAAAACGAGGGGGTGGAGGTCCTCTGCCTCCAGCTGCAAATGTGAATGAAGCAGAAATTAAAGGGGCACTTCAGCTACTTTTCTCGACACTTTCATAAATTCCTGAGACCTTTCGATATCTATAAGACCTGCGTTCGAGTTACCTTGGAGGTCAGATGTCAGAGTTGAAAATGACGTTATACCCAAGTTACCAGCGTTTCAGAAAAAAGCAAAATCAGAGGCGGAAACAAGATGGCTACATCTAGGAAGTTATTTTACTGCTTGTCATTTTAGTTATTTTCAGTTATTTTAGCATCCCCTTTCATAGATGTAGCCATCTTGTTTCCGCCTCCGATTTTGCTTTTTTCCGACTTGGCAACTGAAAAGCTGGTAGCTCAGGTGTGACGTCATTTCCAACTCTGACATCTGACTTCCGAGGAAACTCGAACACAGCATAAAGACTCCTCTTTCAACAGTAACTACCGGTAACTTCTGACATACCTCCCTGAAAAGTTCCCCACTGTTGCACATTTTATCCACAAACTCTCTGAATGAACCGCCCTCCATCTCCAGTTTCTCATTTTCTTGTTCCTGGACCGAAACAAAGTCGACAACATAAGAAAACTTTAAACTTAGTGATAAAATACTCATATCTGCAAATTCGACGGTTGTTTCCTTCAAGACCTTGTCGCAGAGAGAGTCCATGGTTGTCATGAATTCCTCATAAATAAAATCTGCAAGAGTTTCCACATCCCAAGAAGTCTGAGTTCCATGTGAAATGTAAGACTTTGTCTGGATTGTCTCTCTCTTCTCAACGCCTGTGAGGGAAGACAGCGAAATATTTGACAAAGAGAGTGGGCAGGTAAGAAGTTAGTTACAGTTTTATTTACTTTAATTCCCTCCTTTTCTTTCAGTGATTTGACATTTTATGGAAGATGACAAGGAACCAGTGGAGCATTTTCCAGAAATGCTTTGATACGTCACAAAAGCCCTTTAAATGAATTTTAAAAAACAGCTTAATGCCAAGATACTAAAATGGTTGACCTATATTAACGTCTCTTGCTAGCACAGCTAATACCATCATGTCTTTGCCCTTTTAGAAATAACCTTAACCTCTGACCTTCTGACTCGACCTGCTGCTCCCTCAGCTCTGTGATCTCTGGCATTCTGACTGACTGCTCGCCGACTTGCTGGGCTGTCTGTCTCGACACCCTGAAGCGAGATTAACAATCAGGATCCAACTTTAACCTTTACCTTAAATCCAAAACGGTGTTGTCTGCTGTGTTTCTTACAGGTCTGGAGTGCAGGGAGGATGGGTGGACACCATCGGTAGACATTCGCACCAGCCTGGATTAGTATAAGATGGTATGACCACAGGTTGGGAAGGTGAACACTGGCAGATGGGGACCAAAACTAATGGGGTGTTGTGAGATCTGGGGTGTGGCGTGGGGCCTAAAGGGGTCACATTCATCCAGTAGGAATGGTGAGGAGGAGCAGGTGTAAGAGTTTGCTCTGGAAACAGCAGAGGCAGTTCAGCCTGGGGCCTCCAACACTGGGGTGGAGTTTGGAGTTGGATTGGGAAGGGTTCAACATGAGGTTGAATCTGGAATGGACTTGGCCTGCTTGGTTCTTCACATCCTAAATACGAGGTGTTTGCCCTCAGGTTGGAATCGGCCATACTGCAGAGCTCTCCTACAGCAGCTGGAGATCTGGTTGGCGTTGATTCGTCAAGTGTAGGACAAAGTTCTGGATGACTAAACTGTCCAACCTGGCCTGTGATTTCATGGCTCTGGTGAGGAGAGCGTCCTGACTTTTTGTCTGGTTGGTCTCTCAGTGTCAATCCAGGAAAGGTTTGGTTGTTAGAAATGACAGTCTCCTCTGTCATTCAAGATGATCTCAGGGAAAGTAAACAGATCTGGATCCATTTCACAATCTCAGCTGTTTGTAGATCTGAGCACAAAGTAAAAAAATATCACTCAATCAATCAAATGTTATTTATATAGCACCAATTCACAACAGTCGTCATCTCAACACACTTTTCAAAGGACAAGAGCAGGTCTAGACCACGCTCATAGTTTGATCATCAAGAACCAACCTAAGATGGGTTTTGGCCCATCTCATTTAACATGAGTAGCAGTGGCAAGAAAAAACTTCCTTTTAACAGGCAGAAACCTTGGGCAGCTGGCTAAAATAGATCAATTATAGCTTGTAACAAAGATTTCATGACATATTTACAATTACATGTCTCGTTATGTTAAACAACTTCTCTTTAAGACAAGTAGTAGCAGTTCCAGGCACAAAAAAAAACATCTTTCGCTGTCTCAGGTTGAGCACAAACATGACGATAAACACATTTTAGAAAATATCTCTTCACATATTCCTCACTGACCTGCTTCATAGTCAATAATTTTACAAAATCAACACACAACTAGTCCTCAACTGAAAGCATCTGTCTTGTACGTACAACATCAGAGAAAAAGCTGTCTCTGAGCTTACCTTTGTTGCAATCAGCTGGCACAATAAGCTTGTATCCGGTCTTCTTGTTTGTTAATTTTTAAATATCACTGATTCGGGCTGAATTGATTCGAATCTTCTATGAATAAAAACATTCTACACTTCATTCTCATAAGAGGATCATCATTACAGCGACGTTATGAATGAAATGCCTTTGTTTTTTACAGTAGGATAACCTCCTTGCTGCACAAATGTCGTAATATTCCGATATTCTTAATCAAATAGCTTTAAATGCAGCTTTAACCAGAAAAAAATGTGTTTATGTTTAATTTCAATTGACTATTTGTTGAGAGAAACTTGTGTTTTGTTTGAAACAGTTGCCCTGGAGTGATTATTTATGAAGTTTGCATGGTTTAAACAACGATGAAAATGCCAATCAATCAGAATAAAAATGGTTGTTATCTTTTTTTTTAATTAAACAACAGTGGAATTATTTTGTTTGGTATTTTAACGCAACATGACACTGTTTTATTGTGAATTAATGAACTGGGATTGGCTGACACGGTGCCATCTACACAGTTTATTATGAAGCTGGCTGACTATCTCCATGGCAACCGCACCATAGCGTAGATGGCGCCACAAAAGTTCCTTAAAGTACGATTTTTTTGTGCTTTTTATATTTTTTTAAGTGCTTTTTATAAGCTGTAATAACCATAAGTAAACCTCGTAAAGATTTAACTCTCTAAAGTAACTTTCCTGTGAGCTTTTGAAGTTGAAACAAATATGTCACTTAAAAACTCAATTTCCCAGAGTGCTTTGCGTTTCAGCTTCTGAAGCGGATATCCTCCGTTCCATGAGCTGTGCGCACGGAAACCTCGCCACACGTGGATTTCAGGCAAGGAAGAGCGTGGAAACCTGCAATTTTTTAGGTTTTGTTGATATAAAACCGCATCTACGTTATAGTTTGAGGTTTTTAAAACATCAAATATTCGAGATGTTCCTGCAGTACTACCTAGACGAGGCCGGAAACAGAGTCTACACTTTAAAGGTAACGGCAGCGTTGTGTTTACGCTCGTTAGACGGTCTATATTTACATGGATTTATCAATAGAGTTATTTATAATGTAAGTGTATCAATGCTGAAGAAAATAACTACAAACAAAGCTTACTCATAAGTTTAGTTTTCGTTGTTTTGTAGCATTTTGAAAGGAGAAATAATGAAGTACTCTTTAATTATCCAGTCGTGTAGTGAGAATCGGTAAACAGATTGGTGAACTGATTAGATGCTTATTGGAGTGAAAATGGATGAATATTTTGTACTTTATGTTGTCAACTTCAGCTGTTTTGATCATCTTTTTTGTAGTTTGCTTTGTATTGCCACTCTACGGTGGCCGAAAACGGCCATTGCTGCAAACAAAAAAAGAAAAGGCAATTAGGGCCTGACCGGTATGGATTTTTTTGGGGCCAATGCCGACATCGATTATTAAGCTTCTTTCACACTGGGAGCGTTTTTGTCGTGCGATTATTTCGGACTATATATATTTTTTCGAACCCGTATCCTGTCAATACAAGCGTTTATATCAGCGACGTTTTCCCGTCCTGCAATATTGAGGTATTAATTTTTTGGGATCATGGTCGATTTTTCTAAAGTTTTGCATACTGTGTGTCCACTTCTGACCAATCAGATTTCTTGTCGTTGCGGCGTCAGATTAACTGGTATATCCAACATGGCTGACCGGCTGATTGTTTACGTGTCTGAGAACAGAGTGATTTTTGATAAAAAACACAAATATTACAAAGATAACGACCTGAAGGAAAACTTGTGGAGAGTCATAGTGTCAGATTTCTCATATGAGGATAGTTTGTGTGCTTTAACAGTTTGATAAACGTCTTTGTTTTAACTTTCATCTGTGCTAAGTAACTTTAGCTCGTAAGCTAACCTGTTCAGATACAACATACCATATGTATTTTCACCGTCTCAAACTCAATCGTGTCAAAATTCGCCTCCGAATATTTCGTAATTTGGTGTTCTATATTCGTGTCGGCCTGGTGTAAGGACCTTTTGGGAGGGAAAAAATCTGATTACCGATTAATTTAAAATTTTGTTAATTTTAAAGAAATATATATTTACTTCATTTTTTTTTAAACAAATGGCTGCTTTTGAGCCTTTCAAACACTCTTTCAAAGAATCAGAGGCAGTGAACTCATTTCAAATCCTTTTCACTGCTAAAACAACCCCTGGCTATTTATTTTTGGTCATAAACTGCTACAGCAGATAGATTAAAATTATTGCTCTTGAGGTTTTATGTCACTCTAATATTTAATCACACTTTCTTATTTTTTTTGCACCAACAGAAGGCTTGTCCTGATGGACAGCCCACCAGCTCTGCCCACCCGGCTCGCTTCTCTCCGGATGACAAGTTCTCACGACACCGCGTGCTGGTGAAGAAACGATTCGGCCTTCTGCTCACCCAGCAGCCCAGACCTGTGCTGTGAGAGTGATGGAGGAACAGGGAGAGGAGAGAGATGGAGAGAAACGGTGGAGATAAGACTGTGCAGGAAGATTTACATTCTGGATCCAAGACTCGGGACTTCTCCAGTATCATCAAGTCCTGGATCGCATCAAGGGGACTAGTTGTGACTAGTCAATTTATGTTTTATCAACAGTTATATACTCATGTTCACTTAAAGTTATTGTTTAATTTCTTGTCATGCTGAATAAAACTATGGTTTTCAGTTAATTCTGTCATCCTTGTTTATTTTAAGTATAGAATAGAATAGAATAGAATATTCCTTTATTGATCCCCCATGGGGGAAATTTTTTTTGTCACAGCAGCATCACAGACAAGACAGAAAGTACAAAATGCAGTTATAACAATAAGGGTCCTAATATTAAGAACTTAATAAATGTAATAATTAAGAAAAAAAAAATTGAAAAAGAGAAAAGGGAGAAGAAAAAATAAAGCTTTCTGCAATATACACAATTTAAATGCCATAAAAAAAAAAAAAAAGTGGTGGTGTAAATCCAGTTTTGTTGCTGTTCATTGTAAAGTCTTATTGCAGAGGGGAGGAATGATCTGCGGTAGCGCTCCGTCCTGCAGGGTGGGAGTCTCAGTCTGCTGCTGAAGGAAGTATAAACATCCAATAACTACAAATGAGTCTAATAATGCTGAAAAAAAGACTTCTACGTGAATTTATCATCATAACTGAACTTAGTGTTAAGTAATTAATTAATTTTTATGATGTAAAGTAATCTGAACGCAATGAAGCCGTTACATAGAAACAAAGAAGAAAGACTTCCTGTGTAAGATGCTGTGAGTACTCAGACTTTCTTTGAGTTGTTTGAAATCTTTTTCCCTCAGTTATTCCCCGTTGAATGTTTTTTCCCTTAAAAATACTATTTCTTTTTGAAAATACCATTTATGCTGTGACAAAGATCAATTTAATCCCATTTAATTGTGGTTGAGTCGTCAAATTTTCTCCAAACTTTCTTTGAATTACCAATATGTTGTACATTTCAATTTGAAATGAAATACATAACTCATCTGAGGAAATAACTGCCTGCATTCAGAGAGAGGAGCCGTCCACCACCGTCTGCTCTTTGGTCCATCAAGGTGTTGTGAAGTGGGTGAGCCATGTTCTTTAGAATATTCTCCACCTTCTTCAGTGTAGATCTCTCCACCACATCCTCCACTGAGTCCAGCTTGAGTCCGACCACAGAGCCAGCCTTTTTAACCAGTTTGTTAAGAAGTGGAATGTAAACATCTACCATTACGGTATGACGGAATTCTCTTGGAACATAAAATGGCCGAAGAGTCTGGACAACACAACTTCTCCTTGACAGTTATGTGTGAAGGGTTACACCATCTCTGGTTGACGAATAAAGCCAGACCTTCTCCTTTCTTCTTACCACTAGCTTGAGCATCTCTGTCTGACCTTATGAGAGTGAAACCAGGGGCCTAGTTTTACCTAGCAAGGTAGCCTTGGAGCTACCTCGCTCAACTTAGCGCGGTAGGTCTCGCTAAACGGTCTTACGATGCTGGTTATCAACCTCGTAAGTAACAGGGTAGGTAGCAGGGTTGACAATTCAAAGCTAATCTGCCTGTGGCTAGCTTAAATAAGCGCTAGCTAAAGCGCAAGCTAGGTACTTTGAAGGGTAATTACTTGTAGATATTGACTATATTTTGAGAAATAGAAAATTGTTTTGGTTTATGTGTTAAAAAGTGGTAACAGGGTTGACGTTGTATGCTTGTCCCCCCTGGTTAAACCTTGAAAAAACATCAAAAATGGCACATCAGAGATGAGAGAAACTCAATTGTCACTGAGCTGTTAGCATCCTGGCTCAGAGATGATGGAACCTCCTGTCACTCATGTCAAATCTGGAATGTACCATTATTTTCTTTAGGGATTTTTAGTTAGGGTAACAGAGTTGACATGAAATCAGGGGACACCGATGAATTGGTAAAAAATTATAATGACTAATATATATAATTACCAAAAACACTGTTAACAATATGTAAATGTGAAAATTTTAACATTTTGCCAACATTTTACAAATTTAAAGTCCTGTACAGACCAAAAACTTCACCCTTATCAGCATAAAAGTAATCTTAATTTAACCATCGATAAACATCCTTCCAAAACATCGTTCTGACTGAACAAGTGAAGAAAATGTGTTTAATTTTTCGTGTTCTGTCATACAAAAAACACCTTTCCTTAGAGTTTTAGCAGCAGGATAAGTATTGTTTATTAATTTTAACTGAATTTCTTTTGCTTTGGGTGTAATCCGCCATTTTAGAAAGCTACAATAAGTGTTCGTTAATGTCACTTCATTATCTGTTATCGAGTCGTCAAAAGTTACAGCGTAGCGTTCGTTGGTCACCGTTTAGCCTCTAAGAACTACATGTCCCAGTTATTTTGAGAAATTTCCTCCCTCCACGCATGCGCAAGATGTTAGAACGACGGCAAGGGAAGTGGGACCTGCCAGTCACCCTCGCGTGTTATTTGTTGGGTCGGTTGGACAAAAAAAAAAAAAGTGCCGAGAAAACCTGGGAGAGGAGTCAAATCTTCCCAGATGTAACTGACAACAGCCATACAGTGGAAGCTTTCTTTCCGGGGGGAAACTGGAGCCAGGCGTGCGCTTCATGTGAGTAAAATGTCGGGTCCGGGATTATCAGTGGGCGTTAGTCTCTGTCAGTGAGAGGTCCGCGGAGTTTATCAGCGGCACGGCGGCTAACGTTAGCTTCACCGAGTGTTGGCGAACCGCCTGCGACCACCGACCTCACCCGAGTACCTACAGCTACCTGAGTGATGGCTGAGCGCTCCCCTAAGGCAGCTCAGAAATAACACAGCGCTGAAATAAAACGAAAACGTCAAGAAATTCAACAACAGGCTAATTACTTAACCAATTTATCCAGGAACAACCACGCGCCTTTCTGATTTTTTGGCGACGCGTTATTAACGGACAGAAACCGCAGCTCTCACGCAGATGCCGCATTCCCCCCTTTGTCATGAAAATACAGCCAGAAAGGTTGAGAGGAAACGACAGCCTCTCATGATTTTATCACAGCGTCGGCTCCTCTCTGTGTATTAATATTGGGAGGTGTTTACAGACCGGTTCAAGCCAGAATTATGAGGGCTAGCTTAATTGGCTTAGAATGGGAAGTGAGTGGTGGAGAGTAAACGAGCCCCAGCATCAACTGGAGCTTTGCTTAAGTTGCTGGTTGGGACTAATTAAAGGATGTTTATCCTAATTGATAGAGGCTTATTAGGCTTAATACCAGTCCCTGGATCATGTTGATTACAGATGCGTTTACGCGATATAGGCAAGGCGCAGGGGAAGATAGCTGAATACCACGTTGTTCATTAAAGTAACAGTAACAGCTGCACATTTTCTACGAACTTATATTAATATCTCTTTAAAATATCAAAATGCAGTCTACAACACTGAGTGATAGGATAGGTGGCAGGTCCAGCTTCATTGACCAGGTTTTACCACATTAGTGTCATATCACAACCAAATGTACAAAATAGGGCTGGGCGATATGGGAAAAAAGTTTATCACGATATATATTTTTTTCATATCAGTCGATATCAATATATATCACGATATAAGACATGAAATTTGACCGTGCTTATTGGTAGCATGTCTTTTGCAATACAATAAGCTACCACATCTGTGAGGTCTTTGTCTCTTTAGCCCTAGTTTTTAACAGCTATTGGTATAATTTACCAAAACATGGCAGAATGCCAACTACTGAAAAGCATTTTGACCATCTCACTTATATTGTAGGGCCTGACCGATATGGATTTTTTGGGGCCGATGCCAATACCGATTATTAGGGGGGAAAAAATCTGATTTCAGATTAATCGGCTGATTTTTACAATTTTTTTATGAAGTTAAATATATATATACATATATATGTACTGTAGACATACTGTAGGCTACTGCTCTTCACGCCAACAGGAAGACCGACTGATCGAACTCAGACCAGTAAAGCGTTTTTAACTACTACTCCGCACCCCTGCCGCTGTCGCCGATCGGTGCCTCCGCGTCTTAATCACGTTACTCATTTCCGATCCGGTCTCATCTGGAGACATGCAGCTGTCTCAGTAAGAGAAGTCGCTTGATCTCGTAATGTGTACTGTTGTTTATTCTACCGTTACTGGCATGGCTAACAGTGTAGTAAGGCTAATAGCAGGTGGCTAACTCTAACTTTAGCTTGCATATTACACGGTGCTTCACTGTTAACTCGGCGTGACCGAGACCAGCACAGCGGGGAACATGGTGAAGTAGGTTGAACTGAATCTTGTTGACTTATTGTGTATTTCACAAACTTATTTACCGTTGAGGCGGACCACTTTCCTCCGCGCGTCCCTGAGCTGCCTGGTAGTTAGTGGATGGAGATTGTCGTGAGGTCACTGCGCCACCTACAGGATAAGTCGTGGAACTTTTCAAATGGCGGAACATTTTCAAAGTGAAACCAAAAGTTATTCTCTGCATTTTATTTTTGAAAATATCGGCGAAAATCGGTGAGTTTTGGCCGATTACCGATTAGTCCGATTACTAATTAGGCTCGCCGATAAATTGGTCGGGCCCTAATATACCGTTATTGTTTTATCGCCCAGCCCTAATACAAATATATTAATATTACATTTATGCAACATTTCAATGGGCATCCTGATCAGCTTTGTAGACCTCTGATCCCAGTACAGTCTCTAAAATATTGAGCATCTGTCCCCTAGCATTGTTGTTAAACTTGTACTGAAAATGCTGTAAGAGCTTTGTTTGACTTCCTTATTAAAGCTACAATGAGGAGTTTTTTTTACGTAAATAAAACTGAGTGGAATCAACACCTTTATATGATACTGAAAAGCTAACAAAATTTTCAGTGACCACATTGGCTATTTCCGTAGAGCCGTAGGTGTTGGCTGATAACCTGAAGAAACCACTTTGTTTTTACAATTTTCCTAGTAAATAATCAGATTATAATTTTAAAGCGGCCTGTCAAAGTTAACAGACACCACTCGGACATGTAGAGGACAAGAAAAGCAAAGACTGCTTGTCCACAGGGGGTGCCAAAGTTGACACAGACCGAAAGTTGATACAGGAGCTTTAAGTCACAAACATACTGAGTTTTATAACAGGCAATTGGAGCACTGTCATGTTGTATAACTCCTAGTTTGTTGTCAGGAACTTTGCTACGGTGAAGCTGTGTCTGAAATGTAGTGTCAAGGATTTAAAAGCTCCAAAAGACGGCAAAAACACGAATTTATAATCATGAGCACTTACTCTATGATCTTTTCAGCTTTTTTTTTGTAGGGGTGCGCCATATTATTGACAGAATAATTGCTTAAATTTAGTGTCGGTATTTGCAGAATGTTACCGCAGGTATTAGTAACAGCCAGAAAGTCGATGGATTGGTTACTTACACATGTTTAGACATTCACATGAAGAGAGATAGGTCAGATATTTTTATGTTATAATGGGAGCTGACGCAGAAAGGGAACATATAGCGTAAAAATCTGGTCATTTGATCAAGAAGCTTAGTGCTACCCTCTGTTTTTTGTACCTGTGACTGCTGTTTCACGTGAGCTCGTCCTCCATGAGTTTCTGTACATCGAGATTTAACAGCTGCATTTAGCCTGAATATTTATCCAAAGCAAATAACTTGACTTCTTTGAATGACGGGGGAATCAAACACTCCTGTTGACACAGTTCTCTACACAACAAGATCAGAGGACTCTTTGAGTGATACGGACTGAAACCCGTGTAACGGCGCATTAAAACAATCCTCTTAGATGCAAAAATAACAGCTTAAAAAACATGAATCTGATTGCTGATTGCCAGGATTCTCAGGAGAACAAAATGTCCTGCACGGCCCGAAAGTGGAAACTTAAGCTTTTATAGTAACCCAATCTGCTCTTAGAGTGCAGAAGTCGAAAGAAAAAGAGGGGAAATGTTTGCAAGGAGAACAAAAACACCCTTTAAGTCATGTTCTCAACAGGATGTAGTCATATCTGAGCTGGAGTATCGAGAAGATACAACAGCAGTACTCCTGTATTTACTTCAATGACAGTGCTGAAACAGCTGGGGGAAGATCCTGGTCTCTTCTGCACTGCTCTGGAGGTTTCTAATGGCCTGTAAGTCTCACTGTGTTTGTCTAGACTAATAACGTCTCCAGGGTGTTTCCCAGTCTTCTGCATGCTAGGTTAGGCCACAGTGTCCCCCCCCACCGCCGCCACTGTGTCAGTTAAACACGGCTGTAAGTTTGTGGTAATCACCCTCCCCCTTTCTTCCTTGGGGTGGTGGGTTCTTGTCGTCTTGAAGAACGAGACAGACGAGTTATTTTCCCCTTTCTGCCGTCCATCCCCGCGCGGACAGGCGAAACATGCGAGTCAGGCGGTGTCAGAAGACGGGGAAATGTGCCGTGTCTCTGCATGCCGAGTGAGAGGAAACAGCCTGCAGCAGCGACTGGCACAACCGGTTGGAACCGCTCTCCTTTTAATAATTAAATTATGAACTGGGCTAAAACAACAATTCAGCGACATCCACCTGTCTTTGTCACTTTTTTTCCCAAGAAGAGGGAGTAAACCGCATCGGTGACTTTGCACCTGCGGAGCAACAGAGTGTGCTTTCTGCTTCTTACGCCACGGTGTTGGGAAAGGATATCTCTGTCAATGTTTTGCTGCTGTGAGAAAACATTTAAAATTCCTGTAGAGCCCATTCAGGAAATGATAAATGTTTGCTCTTAAAAATAGTATAACAGACGCTTAATTATCTTTAGCTTGTGTAGAAAAGGGTTAGGAAGCCTTATGACTTAATAGCAAACTTTTTCTTATAAAAACTAGAATTAAGTATATTTTCAGTTTCAGCTCTCCTCTAGACATGTGTCTGTTAATGTTGACTCAGCATTGATTGAAAAAGTTTAAAACAAAACAAACCAATTTAATACATTATACTGCCGCACCAGAACAGTAATATAAAGTCCAAGAGTTGAAGATACGTGTTTATCCCTAATGAGAAAATACAGTAAATCATATCATAGCATAATGTAACATGTCTTATTGTATTGTATTGCAACATATCGTGTAGACTCATAACATAATGTATCGTATTGTATAATATCATATCTTATTGTATCAAAATGTAACATAACTTACCATATCATATGGTATCAAACTGTTACATAACGTACGTATCGTGTTGTATCATAATGTAACATAACTTATTGTTTTGTATCAGTAGGCAACATTACTTATCGTATTGTATCATAATGTTACATAACGCATCAGATTGTATCACAACGTAACGTATCGTATCATATTGTATCATAATATAACATAACGTATCGTAATATATCATTATGTAACATAATATATTATATTGTATCATTATGTAACATAACGTATCGTATCGTAATAAATCATTATGTAACATAATGTATTGTATCGTATCGAAATGTAACATAACGTATCTGGCGTTATGTAACATTACTTATCGTATTGTATCAATAGGTAACATAACGTATCATTATGTATCATAATGTATCATAATGTAACAACGTATCGTATCATATTGTAACATTATATTATAAAACGTATCTTACCATAATGTAACATAACGTGTCGTATTGTATCATTATGTAACATAACTTATCGCATCGTAATGTAACATATCGTATCATATCATTATGTAATATTATGTATTGTATTGTATCATTATGTAACATAACGTATCGTATTGTATCATATATCTTAGTTTTGTATTACATTGTGTTTCTTCTTGCTTTGTATCACATCATATCCTAGTGTGTTGAGTATTGTACTGTTATTGTTCTTAATCATACTGTATTTACTGTACTGTTTAGCATACTGTCGTCACTACTGTTGTATTAAACTGTTTCATGTTTCTTACTGTAGTGTATTCTATTCACAGCCTTCTCATACTGCAGGGTTGATTTTCACAGTAAATATTTTCTATTATCTCAGAGAAGTAACTCATTATTTTTAGCTGCTGACTGTAGAATGTAGTTTAACTCGAGGAGAAACTGTGTAAGCAGGACCTCTTTAAGTTACAGATATGACCTGTTTCTGTCTGATAGTGTCAGCTGTAAGGCTTCGCTCCCCTAACAGCAGAGTTATACAGATTAGTGCCATGTTTCTGCAGTCAGCACCTGTACACCCGCGGCTTGTTGATCATTTTAAAGAAACACGAGCCTCTCCTTACTCTTGAAAACTAATTTCTGCTTCATGTCCCTCTCTCTCCTCCACAATCGTTCCCTTTCCATCTTCTGCCTCCCTCCCTGCACTGCCGACTTCTCTCCACTCCGTGCCATCCCCCACCCTGTTCCGCGACCACCGATGGGTGCTCTCTGCAGATAGACCTTTTTATCTTGAAAGCGCATGTCAGACCAATTTTAGTTGTTTACTTGAGAGAGGGCAGAGAGGAGGACTAGTTCAGAGAGCCGTGTGACTGTTATTCTCAGCCATAGGAATCAAGACACAGTGTGGGAGTGCAGATAAACTATTTCAGTGCAGCTAAGAGGAAAGAAGGGGAATTTAGCTTAAAGGGACATCCTCAGCTCTCTGTCTGTGTTTGTTTGTTTGCTGTTATTCACTCTCACATATTCAGGGAGGCAGTTTCAACTTCCAGATCTGCTTTATTTCGCACGAAACAAGATAATTTCAAGCAGTCCGAGCTGAGGAAGAGAGAAGAAAGTTGTAGCTTTTCTTTCACATGCTTAGTGGCAGCCGGCCTCTTTGCTCAAATGGAGTATTCCTGCAGTAAAAGAAAGAATCACAGAGGTCATCATTACCTTAACATCACCTGAGAGATAGCCTAGCCTAGCCTAGCACAGCTTAGGTCAGCACTAGCTGCTCCGCTAGTCCCCCCCCCCTCCCCTTGTGTCCTACAAAAAGCAACCCACCCTTCACTTCTACTTTCTCCCAAGTGAGCTGCCATGGCATCAGTCCGCTTCACAGTGACGCCCACCAAGGCGGAGGACCTCCCAGGGCTGTCCGACACGTCGCCTGACATCAGCTCGCGCTCGGGTGCCCGCGTGCAATTCGGCTCCCGGGAGAGCGTCAATCGAAGCGACCCGCTGAGCGATGCATCAGGAGGAGGAGGAGGAGGAGGAGGAGGGGCGGACACGCCTGAACACAGCAGCATAGAGCAAGGTGAGCAACGCATTCACTCACAGACACATTCACATAGAATTAATGTAGTTTCAAGATACACATGGCAAGATTTTACATGTTCAAGAGAGGACAAAGGGCCTGATGGAGAACCTGATCACACACACGCCCAGTTCACCTGACAACCTCCCACTGAACCACAGCCCATTGCTGACAGTATAATCCATATATTTATGATATGTCAACAAGCCAATCCTTCCTCGTGTTTCAACCGCTGAATGACAGTTTTTACCTTTTGAAGGCTTCGTAGTTATCCAGTTTTCACTTTAAGAAAGCAAAGAAGTCAAGAGGCTTCACATTCAGATGTTCTGACTTTTTTTTGTTATTTTCAATAAACAAGATCGGAAAATTGATTTGGAAGGACAATGAATATATTGTATTGTCACGTACACAAAAATAGTTTAGGTATGAGCCTGGAGTATCAAAAAATGTAAATGAAAACAAGATTTAAAGATTGAAAAGATGGTGATGTTGGCTTCACAACCAGTTGCATCACTATTTAAATCCAGATATTTACAAGTTAATAATGCAAATGACATCAAACCGAAATGTTCTTGGCTGTAAAAAAAATGTAACATTTCTCATATCGTAACATTTCGTATCATATAATGTTTCAAATCAAATCGTAGTGTCTTGTATCCTAGCGTATCATATTCTATCACAATGTCTTGTATCGTATTGTTACGTTTCGTATCCTATTGTACCGTAACATTTTATGTCTTATCCTAATGTTTCAAATCATGTCGTAATACATCATATTAAATTGTTACATTATGTATCCTATCCTAACTTGTTATCGTAACATTTCGTATAATATTTCTACGTGTCGTATCTTATTCTAACTAATCATATCATAACATTCCGTATGATATCATAATTTTTCAAATTGTATCGTAATGTTTTGTATCCTATCGTCTGGTATCCTATCATGATGTCTTGTATCGTATTGTTACGTTTCGTATTCTGTTGTAACTTATCATAGTGTAACATTTTGTGTCATATCATTATGTTTCGAATCGTATTGTAATATATCGTATCTTATAGTTACGTTTCGTATCCTATTCTCACTAATCACATCGTAACATTTCGGATCATATCATAATGTTTCAATTTGTATCGTAACATTCCGTATGATATCATAATTTTTCAAATTGTATCGTAATGTTTTGTATCCTAGCGTATCGTATCCTATTATGACGTATTGTATCGTATTGTTACGTTTCGTATCCTATTGTAAATTATTGTATTGTAACATATAATGTTTCAAATCATATCGTAATACATAATATTTTATTGTTACGTTTCGTATCCTATTGTAACTTATGGTATCGTAACATTTTGTGTCTTATCGTAATGTTTCGAATCGTATCATAATATATTGTATCATATTGTTACATTTTGTATCCTATCCTAACTTGTCATATCGTAACATTTCGTATCATATCATAATGTTTAAAATCGTATCGTAATGTTTCGTATCCTAGCGTATCGTATCCTATCATGATGTCATGTATTGTATTGTTACATTTCGTATCCTATTGTAACTTATCGTATCGTAACATTTCGTATCATATCATAATGTTTCAAATCGTATCATAATATATCATATTGTTACGTTTTGTATCCTATCCTAACTTATCATATCGTAACATATCATATCATATCATAATGTTTAAAATCGAATCGTAATGTTTTGTATCTTAGCGTATGGTATTGTTACAGTTCATATCATATAGTAACTTATCATATAGTAACATTTTGTGTGTTATCGTAATGTTTCGTATCGTATTAAAACGTTTTGTATCGTAGGGTATTGTATCTCTTTAAGTCTTTGTGATTCTTTTGGCAGAACCCTCTGGATTCCATAAAAGTTTAGTGTGAGACAAAAGTCAAGGAGGTCAAAGATTTCTTTTATGACTCGAGGACTCTCCCCACAGACGTCTGATTTCTCCTTTTAGTTTAATCACAAAGTAGCCAAATGAAAGTTGGTTGTATGTTCTTTATCGTACTGTAAACTGAAAGATCCTTGGATGGAGCCAAAATGCCAAATTTTTTCTTTCTGTTTTTGAGCTCATAATCCTGTGGTTTGTACTTATCTGTCGTTATTTCAGCTGAAATGAAATCTGGGACACACAGACGCTCACGTTTGCAGAAGCACTCATGAAGTCAGTCATTAGCTCGAGTCTGAAGACGGAAATTTTCACACATCCTCTGCAAACTCAGTTAGTTCTGCTTTCTCCCAGTACAGGCTGCACTCTGTCACAACACACTGTCCCTGCCGGCTCGTGGCTAACTGATCTGCGCGGCGTATGATCACGTCTTCGCGGTCGTTTAAAAAGTAGTTCATTCACTTGGAAATGAAGCAGGATTCCCAGGAAGATAGTCAGAGTCATGATCTTCCCGGTCGCTCTTGGTCTGATGTGTCCCTTTCACCAACAGAGGAGTGCTATTTTTAAAGGTCTCCTCACGTGTGCCTCAAAGTGTGTCTCTGGGTCACGAAGTCTCTTTTTTTTTTTTTAAGTGGACTTGACTCAGCGGTCTACAGGAGCGCCAGTTTAACCCATGAGCTCTCGGCGAACACAGACCGCTTTAATGTGAGCCTGTTGGGATCATAATGTAGATTTCACACCCCACTTATAAAGTAGATACGCTCTTTCACGACCTTTTCACGTGGACTAGGAGGTCTCGTTTGACGTGCAGCGCCGTGACCGTGCAGATGTCCACCGCAGTATTTCAGCTTCTAAAAGTGTTTGCCCTGATTCATCTGCTCAAACAGGAGGGAGGCGGGGCTTATAACTGCAGGGAGATGTAACTGTATTAACTGCTCTGATCCACTTAAGTGATTGCATAGTAGTAAGGACGCCCCACGTTGTTTAATAAGCCTCCACAAATAGAAATGGAGACGCTTAATCCCGCCGAGCTTAGATGGAGCTCGTGCGATGCCGCTCAGAGGGAGACACAGCTGCGCACACGGCCCCCAAAAAACAAAATCTGTGAACGTGAACGAGTCTAGACCCTGAGAGGTGAGGAAGAACAAGAAAATAAAGTGGATGAGATGTTTTCAGAGAGGTCAAAAGCTCTGTGATCCACCAATAAAGAGGCATTTCGAAGCTGTCGTGCTCTCTCTTAGACACATCTGGTTTTCTGCTTCACCGCTTACACACAATCTCACACAAAATGGCCTCACACTCAGGTGTTGTAATCTATCTCGGGTGGAAACGCACAGCTGCGTTTCCGTGCCGCTGAATGTATGTTCCTCTTTATTTCAGCTCCTGCTTTGCTGACTTTGTTTGGGGATTAGATCATTTTAGCGGGGGCTGGTTTTCTCAACGCCAGCGATCCGAAACATCAGGAAAATGACAAGATCTCGAAGAGAGTACTGAAGGGGAATCACATCATCTGGCTCTCGACACTGACTCAGCATCCTTCTTTGTAGCTGATATGTTCAAAAACGACACTCGTCATTGTTTATTGCGCAAAAAGCAACTTGAAATGAAAAAGGAGTCCGACTCTATGACCAGAAGGTCATCCGAGCTTTAGAGCTGATATTTGCTGTTAGAGAAAAATGGTCACTTGATGATCGCTGATGGAGCCTAAGATTGCAGTTTGCTCCGATGAGTTGTACCTCTTATCTAATCAGGTTTATTGCGACCTCGGCTCCCCCACTGTCATAAAAGTTATTCTTTATTAGGCTGTGACAACAAATGAATGTGGAATTAAAATCAGATTTTGGTGATCCTCAGGGCTAAACTCTGTTTCTGTATCTTCACTTAAAAGAATTATGTCATGAATCCGTACTTGATAACTATTTTGGTGAAATTATGCAGTTAGTTAAAAATTAAGTGTTGTGTGACTTCTGCACATAACCTTTTAATCTGAGCGCCCAAAGATGTTTTTACAAAATAGGATTAGGGCCAAAAGAAGAGAAAAGAAAGTAATTACAGGAGGGAGATTTTTTTAAATTTCCATTTAGAGATTAAAGTCAAAATTTAGGGATTAAAGTAGAAATTAAAAAAATTGAAATGAAATAATATGAAAGACATTAAGGTTGAAATTTCGAGATTAAAAAGGAAAAATTACATGAATAAAGTCAAAATTTCAACTTTAATATCAAAATTTAAATTTTTTTAAGGTTGAAATTTTGATGTTTTATGATCTTGAAATTTCAACTTTATTTACAAAATGTTGATTTTTGAATCTCAAAATTTCATTTTTAATCTCAAAATTTCGACTTCAATCTCAACTTTAATCTCAAAATTTGGACTTTGATCTGGAAATTTCAACTTTATTTGAATAACTTTTATTTTTTAATCTTGAAATTCTGACTTTAATTTTGAAATTTCAACTCAAATCTCCTTAATGTTGAAATTTTAATGTTTTATTATCTCAAAATTTCAACTCAATTTACATAATTTAATTTTTTTAATCTCAAAATTTCAATTTTTTTTCAATGTTGAAATTTTGATGTTTTTTAATCTCAAAATCTCAACTTTAATCTTAAAATTTGTACTTCAGTCTGGAAAACTCAACTTTATTTGAATAACTTTTATTTTTTAGTCTCGAAATTCTGACTTTAATTACGAAATATCAAATCAAATCTCCTTAATGTTGAAATTTTGATGTTTTATAATCACAAAATTTCAACTTAATTTACATAATTTCAATTTTTTAATCTCAAAATTTCAACTTTAATCTGGAAATTTGGAATTATATCTCAAATTTCAACTTTAATTGAATAACTTTTCTTTTTTAAACCTGAAATTTGGACTTTAATCTCAAGATTTCGACTTTAATCTCCTTCCTCTAATTATTTTTGTTCTCTTTATGTGGCCCTAATCCTCTCCCATATGTTTTTTTTTGGTAACACAAGCATCAAGAACCAAAGCTCGATGTCAAACCCTCAAAGTCAGCACATTTCCGTCAGTAGAAACCAAAGACGAGCCGATCCGTTAAAGTGTGTGGGAGGAAGTCAGTCCTGTCAGACCGCCTGGAAAACCTCGTTCTGTTGACATCCCTGAGTCTGAGTCTGTCGTCGTATTTCTGCTCTTGTTTGTTCTGATGGTGTGACCTCAGCATACCTTCAGCTCCTAACCTGATCAACAGGTTGGGACTGAACAAAAAAATCCCACGCTGGCGTGTGTTTGTGCTCGTCCACATGGACTCAAATATGCATGCATGCACCTGTTTGTTTACCCGGAGTGTGAAGTATTCAGACAATCCAGTTTTTTTCTAATCTGTGAGCATATTTGAGGAGAATCAGCCCGTCACTTTTATTTGAGAAGCATTTGATGAATTCCTGATAAGCTTCTGGGTTAATCTTTGCCAACCGCCCGAGCGCTTCAACTTCATTCTCTGAAAATCAACAGATGAGCCGGTTTCACACTCACCATCTCTGTCAAGATGAGAACCGAGAACAGGACAGGAAGTCGCCTCCCACCTGCCAAATGCTGCGTTTTTCTTCACCTGGATGTTGTTGGGTTTGTTGTTTATTGTTTGCAGTTGAGATTGTGAAAGTCGTATTCACCATCTCAGGTCTCCATGAGAAAAGTTGAGATCTGTTAATCCCACAAATTTACCATCATCATGAGACCCCTTCACAGAAACTGGGTTAGTTTGATTAGATTTAGTTTTCAGGGTCTGTATGACTCATGCGAAGATGTCTTTATGTAATGTGTGACGCTGCACAGGAGCGATGGCTGCTGCTGCTGCTAGCGTGCGTGCGTGTGGCGGAGCAGGGAGGGAAGTGATGCTGCTGACTCAGATGCTGCTGGTGCAGGACTCTCTGCTGACCGAGGCAGAAGACGACCGTCCACACGGTGGCTGTTACATGAAACTGGGCGTGTGGGTCTGTGGTAAAGACGAGTCAGGATCAGGTGTAAGAGGACCCCTCTTAGCTCTGGTGGTGACAGAGGTGAAAATTGTGCCGGGTTTGCAGTTTTTCAAGTCGATCCTGGTCTGCTAAATGTAGAAATCCGCCCTGTCCACCCAGCTGTCGTTAACGGTTGTCAGTTGTTGTTAGTTGTTGTTAGCTACACCAGACGTAAACAATGCATAACAAAATATATCCACTATTTACTGTCGATGCACTGCGCTGCCATCTTGGATTATGGCGTTGTCGTCAAGTCGGGGTTGGCGAGGATCGTCTGACTTTCCGAGTTGGAAATCCGACTTCAGGGGGGCATTCCAGATGAATATCCGACTCTGAGCTTGGAAATTCCGACTTGCAAGTACAACTGGAATGCAGCATCAATATGAACCGGACGTTGATGTTTCGCTGCCTGGCGACCGTTAGCTTGTTAGCTTTTAGCTTGTGGCCTTGTTAGCCTCCCTGTTGCCGTCCCTTTGCCGTCCCTTGGCTTTTCAGACCTACGAACGCGCCTGCCTCCTCCTGCTCCTCTCTCTGCTCTCCTCTCTCCAACTGTGGCTTATAGTTTGAACTTCTGTTGCACAACTTTTTGAAGATACAGCAAACCCATGACTTCCTTATGCTCCCCAAACCTTGTCGCACATCGATCCGGGTCCAGAACTTACACTAGCCTTGTGAGAGTCAAAGGATTCGAACAAGGCGGTTTATCTTGTTGAGACTGTTTTGTCCTTTCCTTCCAAACATGACGCCCGTCTGTGCTTTCAGGTGACGGGAACTCCAAAATCTCCAGTGTGTACATCAACAACACTCACGGGGTGGACGATGACGACTTCTACGACAGAAACCTGGCCTTATTCGAGGTTTGAAACGCTAACAATCCTGTTATGAACGTTCCTGAAACTTGGACGTGTATCAGAGTAGGAAAGCTCAGTGGCTGTGGTTGCTGCCTCCTATAAAAACGCTCACCCCTCTTGTTTTATTACACATTAAGTGGTTAAAAACAGAACCTCCAAATGGTGGCTGTTTGTTCGCCGAAGAGTCCGGAGCCAAAAATAAATGAGCATTTGGCTGGTTGGTGTTGATAATTTTAGTTTTTATAGATTTTGAAGTTTCCTGGAAGCAGCTCTGTCCTCTGAATCTCCCTTTTTGTTACAGTCTGGTCAACATGCTCCATTTTCTTTAACATTCTTACACTTTGACGTCTTTTTTATTTGTTTATCGTCTCTTTCTTCCTCCATTTTCTTCTCTCTCTGCTCTCTTGTTATTTTTGTACCCTGTCCTTGTTCCTGCTTCTTTCATCTATCCCCCTGATTCCCCTTTCTCTTTTTCACCCCCTGCTATCTGATTCCTCACCTTTACCGCCTCCTCCTCCTATTGTTCCCATCTCCTCTTTTTCTTTACCTCCTTTCTCTTTTCACGCCCCAGGAGGAGATGGACACTCGGCCAAAGGTGTCCTCTCTGCTCAATCGCCTGGCAAACTACACCAACCTGACACAAGGGGCGAAGGAACACGAGGAGGCCGAGAGCATCGGAGAGAAGAAGAAAGCAGGAAAGGTAGAGCAGACTCTGACTCGTTTTCTTTTTAATCTTTGAGAACTTTTGAAAAAAGTTTGAAAGAAAACACCCTGTCCCACATAAAAGCGCTTTACGAACAGGTGCATCCACGTTGTCTCAGCCTGAACAAACTTCCTGTTTAAATTTAGAGCAGGACTTCGATGCCAACCTGTTTATATGACCCCGAATGTACTTTGTCCAATGTTCTTACACTGCAGCAATCACAACCACCACGATGATTATGGGTCCAGTCAGGGTTCAGATTCATAAAAACTTTATTGTCCAAGAAAGGGAAGTTGTTTTTTTTTTGGCTGGAGCTCATATGATGTCACAACACAGCAGCCAATTAAAATTACAGTGGAAATAATGGACGATAAAGGACGACACCAACAGAATCAAATAAGGCGTAAAAGACAGATGTATCGTATCATATTGCGTGGCTTTGTATCGTTTCATTTCATCTAGGGGTGCCCAGATACAACCTTCTTACTTCCAATATGATACCGATATTGTAGTCTTCAGTATCGGCCGATACCGATATTCATCCGATATTAGCACAAACTTGGGCATGACAAGTTTTGCTCTCAGCTGCAATGTCTTTTTCTGACTTTTAACGAAAAATATTGCCACACAGCCGACATCACTCCTACTCCTTGGTACTTTGTGTACACACTGTTGTTGTGATCACATGGGCTCTATATACGTGATCTGGGCGCTGCAAGATAGAGGTGCCGAAGTGGAGTCTGGAATGGACTGCTTGTATCAGAATGCTGATATGGGAGGTTTTGGATGCAGGGAGATATATTCCGATTTTTGCTTTTTGGCCGATATTGGACCAATATCAGATATCAATATCGTATCGGGACAGCCCTAATTTCGAATCCCTTCATATCAGACCATATTGAATTGTGTTGTATCATATCATATGGTTTCGTATCATATATAAGAGTATTTTATTGTTTTTTTTTATATATCGGATGAGATTATTTTTGTTTAATCCAGGATCTTGTCTCATTTTATTAAATTGTCATTGAGCTGTGATTTAACTTATCGTACCTCACTGTATCCAGTCAGATTATATAAGAATGTTTTTTGTATTGTATCATATTTTACTATCAAAAAGTTATAGAAACAATAAAATCCTACAGTATAGTTATTTTAGTATTAAATATGATTAGACTAAAACATCTTATCCTATGATTTTGTATTGACTGAGATTAAATCATATAGAAATGTAGGACTGGGCGACATGGCTTCAAATCAATATCACGATATATTGATCAGTTCACCTCGATAACGATAAATAGACGATAACTACTCCACAACAATGGGGTCTTCTGTTTGTATTTAAGAGAGCTTGATCACAGGGTGTGGGGTATTACATGTGCTTCAACAGGTACCAAAGTACTTTAAAGTTCATGTTCCACCTAAATATCTGGATAAAGATTAAAAAGGAGAAAAGGAAAGTGAGATCATGTTTTATTATCCTCATAACTCACTGACCTAGAGTGAAAATACAGTAGGATGTGACCCTGATCTGCACTGCATCCTGACTGATAAGGAGTCAGCAGGTCAAGATAAGACAATCTGCTGTCATGGTTCACGGTGTTTTATGATTTCCACCCTGGTCTGATTGCATGTTTGCAGGTCTGGGCGCATTTACCGCAGACAGCTCGGGAAATCCAACCAAAACATTGGTAATCCTCCCTTCTGGCCACACTGTGTGTTCAGTGTAAGCATTAACATAAGTCTGTGGTGAACCAGACTGGTGCAGTGCAGTCATTTCCCAAACCAGAGTTAAGCACAGAGGCCAAGTTTGAGGAAGGGAGGGATTGTGGATCGGCTCAGCTCGACACACAGGAGAAACTTCCGGAAATAGACAGAAGCCAAAGATGGAAATGAGTTGATAGAGTGATGGTCGATTTTCTAACTTAATTTGGGGATAAACCAGCAGCTCCAGTGGAACCATTACTCCATTTGTGATGCAGGTCTTTTACTTTCTGTCAGAGTAGATGTGAAATGGATGAACTCCTCCATCAATTCATCTGCTATCTCACTCTTTCTGGTGCCTGGGTCATGGTGGCACCAGGCTAAATTAATCGTCCCTCTCCCTGACAACCCCTGTCCAGCTCTTTCTGGGGGATTCCGACCCGTTCCCAGACCAGATAGATTATGTAATGTAATGTAATCCCCGTCAACCCTGGGGTCCGCTTCCAGTAGCAAATCTCCAAAGGGAGGCAGCCAGGAGGCCTCCTAACCAGGACAGAGCCCAGCCACCTCTAAGAGGAAACACATTTTGGCTGCTTGTATCCGGCCTCAACCCCAAAGCTCATGACCACTTCAGTCCCCTCTTCACCACAGAGGTCTACAACAAAGCCTGCAGTCCTGCTGGTCTCACAGTCCATGAGATATAAGGGTATCGTGTCATAATAGAGCTTGGCGTGTTTCATCTTTAGGCGGTTGAAGAGGTTGCTGGTGTTCCCTCCTCCAGCAATGACAGCCACACCACACTCGTTGCAGAGTATTGTTCTTGGATCATTGCCGGATTTTCTAAATCCAAAGAATCTCCAGACAACCAATGTTGCGACTTGCGCCCCGGAATGAGTTTCTCCTCTTCTTTCTCATGTTGGGTGGGTCGGGCTGCCTCTGTTTGTTCAGTACCACCACTAATCTCTGCGTTCGCCATGACCACCAACAGTGAAGCTCTTTCTTCTTCGTCCAAACTACGCCAAGCAGTCTGCTGGTGATTATAGGGAGCGCACCAGAACCTGACCAATCAAACGGAGCGAATAAACTCTGCATGACACGCTGGTGAATATATGGAAACGCACCCAAACGGAAGCGCTCCGGCTTTCCAGTCAGGCAGCACAGACAACTACACACTGACTCAGTATAAACGGTATGGCATGATTTCAACCGGTAGACACTTTTATACCATCACACGGTATATACCGTCATACCGCCCAACAATACTTGGGTGCTCTTCCTTGACTGAAACGGTTATCTGACTGCTTGTCAGTTGTGTCGTTGTCTTTTGTTGCTAACAAACTTTGAAAGTACTTTTGTCCTTCATCTCTCTGCTGTGTCCTTGTCCCAGTCTCCTCAGATGGGGACCTTCATGGGCGTCTACCTGCCGTGCCTCCAGAACATCTTTGGCGTCATCCTGTTCCTGAGGTTGACCTGGGTGGTGGGAACAGCCGGGGTGCTGCAGGGTCTCTGTATCGTCTTCATTTGCTGCTGCTGTGTGAGTATCATGAGTGTTCTGGTCCGATGGCAGATCAAAATAAAACCTCCCTCTGTGTTCTTACTATCTGTTTGTCTCTTTTCAGACCATGTTGACTGCAATATCAATGAGTGCCATCGCCACTAACGGGGTCGTACCAGGTACCTCATCAGTGTCCACTCTTTGCCCTCCACTCAGAGGATTGAACAGATCTGGTTTGATACAGCAAACTCTACCGCCAGATGATTTGTTTATCCCTCAGGATGGTTTTGATTGCGCATGTCCTCCATTTTTTCAGGGAAAACATCACATTACAAATTTACTGAGGTCAAGAGTGGCATGCAATGGTCAGGTTACGATGAGAGTGCCCTCTGCTGATCAAATGGGGAACTACTTCCGACGGCCTGACGAGCTGCTGGACAGTTTTTTTTAGTTTATAGTGAAAAATCACAGACTTCAGTTTCAGATGAAAAAGACAATATTTTCGGCGTTAATCATTATCTCGGTTTTATTGAATTTTTTAACGTACGCTGGATTGGTCAGTCGTCATAGAAGTTGTTTATGTGAAAATAACTGGTCAGCATTTCAGACAGCAGTCTTTTAACATTACTGGAGGATATTATTAGATATGTCTGTGCGCTCTTGGGGGCGATTCAGATTCATCTACCATAAAATGACAAACCCTCCCCCCTTAGAGCAACATATACTTCCTGAAAGGGCTTCAGTTATTTGGTCAAGCGTAATAATTGTCCTTCAAAATCCTGACACACACACATTTATCTGCAGGTTCAGCAATAAAAACAAATACAGGCCACATTTGATGACAAACCAGAAGCTTGTTCCTACTAAATGATGACACCTGTCTGTCTTCACACGTCCACCTGACCGCTGTAGATGTTCACATGAATTTCCCAGCTCCTCTTCCTGTACTGTCAGTACTTACAAAACACATTTTCTTTTGTTCTAATGAGTGTTGTTTGTGTTTGTCCCGTCTCCCCCTCTGTCTACCTCTCCCTGTCTGTCTGCACACACATTTAAAAACCCAGGATGATTTATCCGCTGCCGACTTTTACCGCTTACTGGAACGCCCTGTAGAGAAATATCTTAAAATGTCAAAGTAGTGCAATATTTCCACAAGCATGTGACATTTTGAATGAGTGAATTTAGGCTTTAAAAAAAAACCCTGGGTAACATAGAGAGTTGATCTAACGCAACATTTCATTCCATTCTGTCTTTTTTCTCATCTGAACAGCTTCATACTTTCTCACCATCTAGTTTTTAGATGGTAGTTAAATCCGTATGAATGTACTGTAGCTGAGTGAAGGAGGTGTTTGGCTTCTTGAAAACGGCTTTGAAAGTCCTTCTGCCTGTAAATACAAACATCATAAACCTCAAGGTTTTAACCCTGATGTGTACAGCAGTCAAACATGGCGTTTCCGATTTCAGGGCTGGATTCTTGGAAGCCAAACGGGGAATTTTCAGCTGATAATTGTAGTTAATTTGTAGTTTCTCTGACTGTATGATTCCCTCATGTGCTCTTGTTTTCTTACTGGTTCAAATCGTATCAGCAAATTTAGCCAAGTGAATTAGCCTAGCTGGTGCGTAGTCTTGAAACTTTATACAGGTCCAAGTGCAAGTGACTTTGTTTAGTGCTGCAGGTCTGGGACACCTACTGTATGGAGTTGCTTACAGTTTGAAAATCTAATTTCTCTTACTCGGGTGTCTGTGAGAATCCTCATTTCAGCCTCTGTCCCAGACACTTCATTTTGTCCAACAATATTAAGTGAGACGTATCTTGTTGGTGTTACTTTTTACACAGTTTTGTGGTCACGAAACATCCCGAAAGTTATACCATGAGCTTGACTTCACTTCCCATTTAGCCCCGTTAGCATAAATCCTTACTATTACTGTCTCCACACACCAAGCGCGAGTAAAATCATTCGCGCGAATGAATTACATGTTAAGTCAATGCAAAGACGCGATTAGACGCTCCTACTACTCTGGTCGCGTGAATGACGCGAATTGGGCATGAGCTGAAAATGTCTCAACTTGAGCGGATATTTGCGCCGCTATAACTAATCAGCACTAAGGTTGCCGGGTGACAGACGGTTGTCCACTGGTATCTAAAATGGAGGACAAACTGATCGTGTCGGTGTGTAGATGCTCAGAATTATACGATGCATTTTCTTTCAATTACCAAAATCGGATTAAAAAGGAGCTCATGTGGAGGCAAGATGGTGAGGAGGTTGGAATACCTGGTAAATTGTAAAAAATCTTTGTCTATCACTGGATTCCGCCAGTTGTATTGGTAGGGATTACCGTTGAAATTACCGTTGACGCGTGAATGAAGCGAGTAGAGCGAGTGAGCGCCCCGTTAGACTGTTAGCTTACTTCTGTAAATGGTCTTTATAGATGACACAGTTGAGATCCAAATCCAACCTGCTCTGGTCTTCGTTTACCACGTAGTCGTCAGTGAAGTAGCCGTCCTGTAAGACAACAAAGAGCTTCCTTGTTCTTCAGTTGAGGCTAAAAAGGGATTTGCAGATACTATTTGACCAAAGACCTGCTCTGTCTTCTTTCTCCAATGTTTCATGTAGAGCGTTATGCTTATCTCTTCAAGCATAGGACGACTTCTCTCATCAGCTGTCCTCTTGTTTTCTCTCTCTTTACCTCCTAACGCCATAATGTCACTAACATCCACCCCCTCTCTCTGTTTTTATGTCCCATCTCCTCCTTTTTTTTCCATCCTCTCTGTCTTTAATTTTTTACCCTTTTACTTTTCCTTCTGCCATCCTACTTCTCCCTCTCTCTGCCTCTCCATTTCTTCGTCTTCTCTCTCTCTCTTTCGTTCCCCCTCTTCCTCCACTACTAGCGGGCGGCGCCTACTTCATGATCAGTCGCTCTCTGGGTCCAGAGTTTGGGGGGGCAGTGGGCCTTTGTTTCTACTTGGGCACTACCTTCGCTGGAGCCATGTACATCCTGGGAGCCATTGAGATCCTCTTGGTAGGTTTTGTTTTCGTTGCTGTTTCCATCTTCTTCTTCTGTTTTAAGGGATAATGCAGCGCAAGTGGGTGATTCCTCAAATCTTGCGTATTGACACTTTACCTGCCAGATTTGGTTGGGGTCCGGTTCCTGATGTTTCCAACAGACAGAGGCTAAGTCCTTTCTGTTGTTGCTTACACTGATGTATCCTGATGTATCCCCAGATGTACATTGCACCCAAGGCCGCCATTTTTGAGTCCAAGCACCCTGAGGGAGAAGGAGCGGCCATGTTGAACAACATGCGCGTCTACGGCTCCATCTTCCTCCTCCTCATGTCCCTGCTGGTCTTTGTGGGTGTGAAGTACGTCAACAAACTGGCCTCCATCTTCCTGGCCTGCGTCATCGTCTCCATCGTTTCCATCTACATCGGAGCGCTGGTTTCCGCCTTCAAACCGGCACACTTTCCGTAAGTATCGATCATGAGGTGCACGAGGTGTACGAAGCTAACTGTCCAGTTTTTGACGAAATACTGTGTTTGCAGTGTGTGCATGCTGGGAAACAGAACGATAAGCGGACATGAAATCGTGGATAACCAGTGTGCGAAGACGAGCCTGCTGCAGATCGACGGCCAAGAGGAGAGAGCGGACACCAACTACTCAACCATCAACGGTACGCACCAATGAAAATGACCACGACTAGACCAATTCGACAAATTCAACTGTCCTGACATGCTGTAGTCCTTCCCTCAGAAACCAGCACCATGGGCCCGACTGTTCCCCCGAGTCTGGCTCCCCCTCTGGCGGAGAGGACCACGTACCTTTGGAGGCAGTTCTGCGACGGCCCGGAGCTCAACGCCTCCTGCGACAAATACTTCGAAGCCAATAACTTTTCAGAGATTGAAGGGATCCCAGGACTGGCCAGTGGGATCATCTCAGGTGAAACATCAGGATCTACTACAACAGGGCGCAACATGATTCATGTTTAATGTGTTGAAGATCAAATTTGAACCTCTTCCTCACAGAGAACCTGTGGAGCTCCTACCTCAGCAGAGGAGACGTATTAGAGAAAGACTCTCTGGACTCCTCGAACACTGCACAACCAGCCTCTATGCATCAGCCTTACGTGTTTGTCGACATCACCACCTCCTTCACCCTGCTGGTGGGCATCTTCTTCCCCTCCGTCACAGGTGAGCGTGGTTTCTTATTGGTCGTTGAATTAAGGGTTTCCAAGCCTCCAAATAACTGTAAATACTCTTCTCTTGTCTGTTAGGTATCATGGCTGGTTCAAACCGGTCAGGGGATCTGAAAGATGCTCAGCGTTCCATTCCTATTGGAACAATCCTCGCCATCCTCACCACCTCCCTCGTCTGTATCCTTTTTAAGATTCGGGACTTTGTTATAAATAGATATCTTACGGTAGTATCGTCCCTAAAAGGCACTTAGACTTTGATTTGAGTGTTTTCCTGAGTGTTGTCCATCCAGACCTGACCAGTGTTGTTCTGTTTGGAGCCTGCATCGACGGGGTGGTCCTCAGAGACAAGTCAGTACACCTGCTCTTTTACCTGACTCTATATTTGGTTTTTTTATTCAGTAGAGATCTAGATTACTTCTGTTTGTGTTTTAACATGTTTACCCACTTAATTAAAGTTTCCTAATCTGTGTGTATTTTTGTCTCTTCTGCAGATTTGGAGACTCAGTCAGGGGGAATCTGGTGGTGGGGACTCTAGCTTGGCCCTCTCCTTGGGTCATCGTGATTGGGTCTTTCTTCTCGACGTGTGGTGCTGGACTCCAGTCGCTGACCGGTGCACCCCGACTCCTGCAAGCCATCGCCAAGGACAACATCATCCCCTTCCTGCGGGTCAGTGCTGCAGGTTTTCTCTTTGATTCTTTGTTCATGTAGGATTATTTACTAAATTCACCCTTAAAATGAGAGTCCACAGAAAGAACTTATCGGATATGTCCTTATGAAGGATTAAAAACCAGAATGAGTGTGTGTGTGTGTGTGTGTGTGTTTGTTTTTATATTTTAAAAGGGACCACTAATGAACTAATGAACATGTACGTGTGTGTGCATGTATTTCACTTGCTCCTTGTTGTGTGTGTGTGTGTGTGTGTGTGTGTGTGTGTGTGTGTGTGTTTCAGGTGTTTGGTCATGGAAAAGCTAATGGAGAGCCAACCTGGGCCCTGCTGCTGACAGCCCTGATTGCTGAACTGGGGATCCTCATTGCCTCTTTGGACCTCGTGGCTCCAATACTCACAATGTGAGACACAGCAGCTTGTGTGTGTGTGTGTTTGTGTGTATATGAATGTGTGTACAGGATGTTATTTTGTTGACACTTTAATTTGTTTTCTTCCTTCAGGTTCTTCTTGATGTGTTACCTGTTTGTCAACCTCGCTTGTGGCCTCCAGACTCTCCTGAGAACACCCAACTGGAGGCCGCGTTTCTCCTATTACCACTGGTACTAGCGCCCCCCCACATAGACACTCACATGCACACACACTTTTGTGTTAACACACACTGACCTGCGCCTCTGTTGTGTTCAGGACTTTGTCGTTTTTGGGGATGACAATCTGCCTCGCGCTCATGTTCATATCCTCCTGGTACTACGCAATTGTTGCCATGGTGATCGCAAGCATGATCTACAAGTACATTGAGTACCACGGGTAAGTTGCCATGGAGATATATCCCCCCCCCCAACTACCACATGATAGTTCATGTACAGCATGGTCAAGGGTGTTGTATGTGAAAGTGTTTGTCGAACATGTCTCTTTCAGTTTGACTCATCGGTGTATTTGTGTGTGTGTAAAATACACATCACTGTTTTTATGCCATGTGTGTATTACAGAGCAGAGAAGGAGTGGGGGGATGGGATCAGGGGTCTTTCCCTCAGTGCTGCCCGTTACGCCCTCCTGAGGTTGGAGGAGGGACCGCCGCACACCAAGAACTGGAGGTACTGATTCTTCTGTCACTCATTCAGACCAAATTAATTTAAACCAAGAGTCATTAGAGATTAAAGGATTTTCATTCAAATCAAAACATCATTTATAATTTTCATGATTTAGTTCAAGTTAACTTAAAGGAATATTCCGGCATAGAATTAATTTAGGGTCAAAGACACTGTAACACTGAGTCAGACACCCCCTCGTTGTGAGATGAATGTTGCCGACCGCTTGCTTCTCTAGTTATACCAACTTTAGTAATGACCGCACGATAGCAGTACAGAGAGCCACGCGCTCAACCAAAACGCCACTTTATAGCCACAAATAATGCTCAGAACAGCACCTAACTTCATCAACAGGACATATAGGGTCCCAGCCACCAAACATCTTTTTAACTTTGCCTGATTTCTTTAGCAAAGAGACTAAACACAACTGACCTACTCTCTTCCAGCAGCTGCTTGTTTGTAGTGAGACCTCAGGCAAGTCCATTACAGACTACAGCGGGGTGACGCAGCTCAAGGAAGAACATTTATGATTATTACTTTATGGAAATGCAATCAGACCGAGATGCTAAGGCAGAAGAACTACCGTGTCTGCAGTGTAAAATGTGGAAAATGGTGATTATGACTTCAAGGAAATGATAAAGAAAATTTCCCGGAATTTCCCTTTTATAAAATCTCGGAACTATTTTATCTGAAATGAAATATTTCAAGCGTCACTTCATCAGATACAGCTTAAAGTTTAGGAGCATGAGGAATTGAAGACCTTAAAGATTAAAGGTGGACTGCTGTGTCTTCTACAGTGGTACAAACTTGAACCCCACATTATCTTGCTCTCGTCTCCCACAGGCCTCAGGTTCTGGTCTTACTGAAGCTGGACGAGGACGCCCATGTCAAGTCTCCTCGCCTGCTGACGTTTGCCAGCCAGCTGAAGGCAGGGAAGGGTCTGACCATCGTGGGGACAGTCGTCCCCGGAAACTTCCTTCACAGCTACGGAGAGGCTCTGGCTGCTGAGCAGGTGGGCTCATGACAGCGTCTTTAAACCAGGGGGGCTCGGTACAGAGACCCTTGTTACTCACACATCGAACTTTTTTTATTCCGGTTTCAGACTCTGAAGTTCCTGATGGAGAAGGAGCGGGTCAAAGGTTTCTGTCAGTGCATTGTCGCCCAGAAGCCTCGTGACGGGATCAGTCACATGATCCAGTCCAGCGGACTCGGGGGGATGAAACCCAACACGGTGGTGATGGGCTGGCCCCACGCGTGGAGGCAGAGCGAGGACCCTCAGTCCTGGAAGACCTTCATCAGTGAGTTTACAGACGCTCTTTTCTCTTTCCTGATCCTGTCATTTCAGATCTAGAGGCTAACAGCGCCCCCTCTCTTCCTCACAGACACAGTGCGGGTAACCACAGCAGCTCACCTGGCCCTGCTGGTGCCCAAAAACATCTCTCTGTTCCCCACCAACAGCGAGCCCTGCACAGAGGGTTGGATTGACGTGTGGTGGATCGTTCACGACGGGGGGATGCTCATGCTGCTGCCTTTCCTGCTGCGCCAACACAAAGTAGGACCAAGTGTTTGTTTTTTTTAAATCTAGTCCACTTTGTCCTGATAAATCTGCATCTAAAACTCTTCGTGCGTGTCGTTCTTAGGTGTGGCGTAAGTGTGGGATGCGGATTTTCACTGTGGCTCAGATGGAGGATAACTCCATCCAGATGAAGAAGGATCTGGCGACCTTCCTCTACCACCTCCGTATTGAGGCCGAAGTGGAAGTCGTGGAGATGGTACGCTTAAGAGACACTCAAACATTTAGAAAGTCCTCAAAATCTCCATCCCTCTCTGAACGTCTCCCTCTCTCTGTGTCTCATTTCCTTTCAGCACAACAGTGACATCAGTGCGTACACCTACGAGAGGACCCTGATGATGGAGCAGAGGTCCCAGATGCTGCGACAGATGAGACTGTCCAAATCAGACCGGGAGAGAGAGGTGAGCTTGAGTCCGAGTTTTAGATCTGCGTCTAAACGATTGTTGCAGGAAAAAGGAATCGTGATTTCAAATCCTCTGATCACTCCTAGCTCTGAAATGCTCTTTGGGTCATCTGCTGGGGTTGACGTGCTGTTTGTGACTGTCGTGCATCATTTTATCAGGGCATTCCAGGTTTCAGCAGCAGTAGGCCAGAGGCAGGTGGAGCTACGAAGTCTCAGGTCAGTGTGACAGCCAGCTAGACCGTGTTTGAACAGGTCGAGACGGTTCAACAGAGAGAAAGCTGTGTGTTTGTCAAACTAAAGCTCCCTCTTCTGTAGCCGTACTAACAAAAAACAGAGATACTGTGTGTCATAGAGGTCTCCTGTGTGCAAGTCTGTGTCATAGAAATCCAGATTTAGAAACTGAAGACGATATCTGAAGCCTCTCAGCTGCTACGGACAAAAGATGGCGTTCTCTTAAAGAAGCTGTGAGTCGGTTGTTTTTGTGCCAACGTAGAGGATGTATTGTTTTGTCGACTCTACGTGATCTAAGTTAGAGATAATGAAAAGTGAGCAGGTTGTAGTGGTGGATCTGCGTTCCCCTTCCAGAACAACCCCTCATCACACAGCTGCTGACGATAGCAGAATTATAACTGGGTCAAATCTTTTGGCATCAAATCAAGTTTAACTTTATTTTAATACTGAAATAGCTGAGCTCAGGAGTTTCACTCCAAGTGGAGTATTTTACAGTATACTGCTGTACTTTTATACATTTACTACAGTGCAGTTACAATTAAAAGGGTAAACATAGATTTATGACTTTTTCATTTTGACTTCATGATCATATAGACCTTTAGGTTACTTTAGGCTTTGCTCGCTCTGTGCCTCTGCTTAACTGTCACACATGCCTGACTCTCCTGCTCTCAGCCTGCTACGAGGTGTTTTTCTGCACTCTGACTTTGAGATCGAGAAGATGTTAAGGTCATGAGTAAGAAGCCTCGTCAAAACCTGGATCAGCTGTTGCCATGGTGACAACATCAATGAAACTTTTTAGGCTACTTCAAAAGAGAAACGCTGATTGAATTTTTTCTGACTTTTTTCTCTCAACTCTGAGGAAAAAGTCTGAATTCTGCCTCCAAATTAGGCATTTTGAGTTTAATGTCAGAATGATGAGAAAAATGTTTCAAATTTAATCTCAAAATTCTGTGGAAAAAAAGGTCCTTATTGTGAGAAAAATTAGAATTCTGTGTTTTATTGAAAATTATGCCTTAAATTTCACAATTCACAAAAAAGTCACAATTTTAAAAATTCGGAGATTACATGCAGAATTCTACCTTTAATCTCAGAATTTTAGGTAAAATATATATATAATCCCATGACTCTAATCTCAGAATCCTGAACTAAATTTTGGAATCCTGAGAAAAAAAAAGTCTTAATTCTGAATTTAAATTTTGAACCGGTACAGCCTCCTTACTGGGTTTTTTTCTGCCTCTTCGCTCTACAGCTCTGACATTTTCTTTTGTTTTTGGCGGTCTTTAAAAATCTCAAATTGTGTTCTGCGAAGAGTTCTCTCACACGCTGACTTTGCCGTTTGTCGTAACCTTCAGTTTTTGTGTCTTTTTCCTGTCTTTAACCTTTTCCCCCAACAGTTCGTCCTCCGGTTTGTATCCTTAGCAACAGTCTGTTCTTCATAGCAACAGTCTGCTATAGAGAAATAACAGACTGTTACATTGAAGTGTTTGTATGTTGTATGTGATGACCAATCAGGAGCAAGAATGTGACATAAGGTGAATGTAACAGGGTCAGAACATGACCACCCTGTGATTGCTTCAACAACAGGAGGAAGTGGAGTCTCATCAGGTTTTCTTACTCAAGCTTTTTGTCGTCTTTTTCTGTCACTGATCCTCTCAGCGGGTTCGCTGGAGTTTTGATGACGTAAGTTGGTCTCCCTGTAGTTAAAGCTGGTTTTCGTAGAGAAGCTTAGACTGACTTGACAGTAGACCTTCTGTGATTGACTCCCGTGTAGAAACATCCGGACAGAGACGATGTTTTAAGGAGATTCTTCTGAATTCTTCAGAGAAAGATGAAAACATTTGTTCGCTTATTTAGAACTTTATCCGAAGAATTCAGTGGAGTCCAGTGATAAAAATCTATAAAGTAGACGTTGACCTGGGTCAAAAGTGTTTCATTAAGAAGTCAAGATAAAGTCAAAATTGTGATTTTAAGATTTATTAAGAAATTTATCAAAACCATCTGGAAATGATGATGCTGTTTGACTCAGGTCTTCATAGGAAATCCAGCACCAAAGTCGTCCCCGTAGTTCACCGTCAGTCCTCCTGATAGAGCATGTAGAGTGTGTTTCTAGTCTCCTCAGGTACTCAAACGCCCCCTCAAGACGCCGAGGATGTGAAACAGACAGAAACCAGATGAAGGAGAGGATGTTTGTGTCTGTTTTCAGGCCCAGCTGGTGAAGGACCGGAACTCCATGCTGCGGCTGACGAGCATCGGATCTGATGACGATGAAGATACGGACGCCGGGGAGCGAGAGAGGCCGACGAGCAGCAGCGGCAGCTCGGAGCACCATCGGAGAGTCCAGATGACCTGGACTAAAGAGAAAACCTCGCAGTACAGAGCGACGCACTCGGGCTGCTCCACACCTGAGGGCTTCAGAGACATGCTCAGCATCCGGCCGTGAGCGCCACACCTCTGCCGTCAGATCAGGTCGGTCCACTCGCAAAGTGATAGAGTTTTAAAATGGTTCTTTCTTTCCTTTCCTGTAGGGATCACTCCAACGTCAGGAGGATGCACACCGCAGTCAAGCTCAACGAGGTCATCGTCAACAAATCCCATGATGCTCGGTTGGTCCTTCTGAACATGCCTGGACCCCCCAGGAACACAGATGGAGATGAGAACTGTATCCTTAGAAGACAAGTGTTGTTTTTGGAGGCCTGTTTTTATTTTAGATTTAGTCCAGTCTTTGTGTCAAACCGTTATTTTAGTTTTAATTAGTTTAAGTCACGTTCAAACTCAAGTCAGAATAACCCATGAGTATATTAGTCTAGTTTAAGTCAGAATAACCCGTGACTATTTTAGTCTAGTTTAAGTCAGAATAACCCATGAGTATATTAGTCTAGTTTAAGTCAGAATAACCCGTGACTATTTTAGTCTAGTTTAAGTCAGAATAACCCATGACTATTTTAGTCTAGTTTAAGTTAGAATAACCCATGAGTATATTAGTCTAGTTTTAGTCAGAATAACCCATGAGTATATTAGTCTAGTTTAAGTCAGAATAACCCATGACTATTTTAGTCTAGTTTAAGTCAGAATAACCCATGAGTATATTAGTCTAGTTTTAGTCAGAAAAACCCATGACTATTTTAGTCTAGTTTAAGTCAGAATAACCCATGAGTATATTAGTCTAGTTTTAGTCAGAAAAACCCATGACTATTTTAGTCTAGTTTAAGTCAGAATAACCCACGACTATTTTAGTCTAGTTTAAGTCAGAATAACCCATGACTATTTTAGTCTAGTTTAAGTCAGAATAACCCACGACTATTTTAGTCTAGTTTAAGTCAGAATAACCCATGACTATTTTAGTCTAGTTTAAGTCAGAATAACCCATGACTATTTTAGTCTAGTTTAAGTCAGAATAACCCATGACTATTTTAGTCTAGTTTAAGTCAGAATAACCCATGAGTATATTAGTCTAGTTTAAGTCAGAATAACCCATGACTATTTTAGTCTAGTTTTAGTCAATGATTTTAATCTCTTTTTAGAAATGTAATTCTGTTTAACCCAGTTAATATAGAATATAATCCTGGTATAGTCACAAGCCCACCATTTATGTTTTGTCTCGTTTTCTCGTCACGTGATAAAGGTTCATTGATGACGATATTTTGTCATAATTGTTGTTGACGATAGCAAAACTCTATCAGACTGATGGTTTTCACTTAATTGAACAAATGTGGGGGACACAATCTCACTTTTTAACTCGTCCTGTCATTTTAAAAGTTTTGTTCGCTGATAAAATTTAAGGAATTATATTTCAGCAGCCCCTCCTTGACTCTCAGCTCAGATATGGAGTTCCTCGAAGTCCTGACTGAAGGTCTGGAGCGCGTCCTGTTAGTCCGAGGAGGAGGGAGCGAAGTCATCACCATCTACTCCTGATTTGGACCAACAGAGGGAGTCAAAGAGGATACCAGTCAAGCAGATGTGAGCAAAACGGAGATGGCGGGGGGGTCCTCTGAGCTCTGGAGGGAGGGGAGGGGGGGCCGGGACAACAATAACAGGACTGTTAGCATCAGCCATCGCCCCCACCCACACTTCAGCCCTTTTCCTTTCACCTCCACACTTTTCTGTCAAGATGAGGGTTTCCTTTCCACTCACACCAACACACCGAAACGCCGACACGATTCCAGGGATGAGCAAAAACTAAAGGGAGTGATCCGCTGTGTGTGTGTTTGTGTGTGTGTGTGTGTGTGTGTGTTTGTGTGTCACCTGTCGGAGGTTAGGGTTGTGAGAGAGGGGACCGGTGTCGTGTTTTGAGCGTCCCGCCGTCGAGACTCAGGGCTGCTTTTTGTGCAGAATGTATTTCTGAAGCAGAAACGAGTGTGAGAGAAGAATGAGTGAGTTGAATTGAGTGTTTTTTTGTCTTTTTACCGCAAAGTTAAGTTCATCTCAAAATGGCTTCAAACTGGGAAAGTAACGGCACGGCAAAGGGATAATAAAACCACTGCTTTGATTTTGATCACTCTTAAAAGAGGAACAGATAATCGTTTATCATTTACTTACATATCAGTCAAATGTTTCCTTTCATACCTCAGATTTTTTATCAACAGTGAATTCAGATTGCTATTTTATTTTTTTGCGTTTTTTCTATTTTTCTGCTTTTTTCAGCTTATCTCCTGTTTAGTACGGAGGCCCATTTTTGCCAAAAAGAATCCGGTCTCCATAAAAAAGGAGCGATTATTTTACTTTTGAGGTTTTATTTTTAAAGTGTTACAATCTTGGCTATCTGAAGATGTAAAATTCATCTTGATTATTCAAGACATAATCACAAAATCTGGTACCAAAAAAAAATCCAAATTATAAAGTTTTTTTAATTTTAAAGTTAGAGATTGAACATAAATTGTAGGATAGAATAAAATTCAAAATTTGGTGAATTAGTTTCAAAGAGAGGGGTGGTTTAAGTTTTATGACAAAAAGACAGATTTCATAAAAAAAGATATGTAATTTTTAAAATTAATTCATGTTTTGGGGAAAAAATTTGTTCTTATTTTAAATCGTGTCTTTTTTTATGAGAAGACAAATTCTATTGATGATATTCAAAAATTTCAAAAACGGGTCAAATTCCGGTAATTTTACTTTAATTTATTTATTTAATTATTGCAATAAAAGTAATGAAACAAAATTTTTTAGAGTAATATATGTTGTTTTGTTTCTTTTTAAAAAATTCAAGGTAAATTTCAACTAAAAACATCTTTTGGCGAATTTCATAAAAATGTAAAAATGTGACTTTCCCACAAGAATTTTTTTGATGTTTTGTGCAAAATTTATAGCAATCCTCCTCTCTTTTTTATTTTTATTTTATTTTACTTCCTTTAAAGAAATCAAGGTAAATATCAACCAAAAGCTTATTTTGGTGAATTTCATAAAAATGTGAATTTCCCACAACAAATTTTTTAAAAATGTTTTTTGCAAAATTTATATCAATCCTCCTCTCTTTTTTTATTTTTATTTTATTTTATTTCCCTTAATTCAATTTAATTAAATTTTTTTTTTTTTTGTGAGGGGGGTAAAAATGGGTCTCCGTACGCCTGCTCTTTAACAACCTACTGAAGAGAACTCTAACAGCAATGATCTTCAGTTCCATATTTACAGACACTTTTCTTCACCCCAGAATCGAGCCGAGTTGAGGGACTGATGTGGAAGTTTTCAGAGGTCTTCTGTGAGTCGTGCCATATTATAGGAGAGCGTTTGTGAGCGTGTAAGTGGTCAAAGAACGAAACCAGACCTGCACCTTTAACCTCTTGAAGGCCTGGAGAAGTGAGAGATTTGAACCTCACAAACTGGTCCATCTTTGAGTGAGTGAGTGAGCATGCTGTTAGAAAATCACCGTCAATCTGAGGGAAATGTATTTCTATGTGTGTGTGTTTGTGTGTGTGATGGATAAATGATAGGTGTGTTCTCCATCACTAATGTTAAGAATATCAGCTGCACTCCTTCATGTGAGCTTGTTCTCTGAAATATCTCCACCTCACTCCACACCTGAGCTAAACCTGCTGATTCCTGCTGTGTGTATGCGAGAGTGTGTGTGTGTGTGTGTGCGAGAGAGAGTGTGTCTGTTTATGAATGTGTGCTTTACGCTAAAGGAGCTGTAAACTTAGAGATGTTTGATCCACTCTCAACGCTCTCGTTCTTTTTTTACAGTGTTATCGTGCAGGGACTCTTTTACGTTCGTCGTTTCTTTTTCCTGAACATTGTTCTTTTTTTCCCGCTTGTACATAAAAGACAAAAAAAGATCCCGAGTTTTATCTTTTTTTAATTACATTAATATAAAAAGGAAGCATAAAAACTTTGCTTGAAAAAATACCGGAAGAAATAAAGCGATTTTGAAAGAAAACTTACAACAGTTGTGTTTCTTTGTGTGTAATGAGTGTGTTTGTGCAACAAAGTGTCATAATAGTGCTGGTGTTTTAAAGTCTCTGCTCGAAACTGAACATGTTTTTGGATATCATGTGAAAACGTAAGTTCTTTATTTAGTTTGATACACAGTCTTCTGATATCTACTTACTTAGACAGTGTGGTTTGAGATGTGCTGCTGGCATCATGATACTTTTATGTTTCACTCACTGGGGAATAGTATTGTGTTGTTAGCGAACGATTTGTTCAAATGAACTGAATCTTTTATGTGAGCGTACTGAACCGAATCACTTCCTTGAGTGAATTGTTCATTTCTCACTTCAGTTCAAACAGCATTGCCAGTCAAGCAGCCGGCGAACGAGGGACCACATGCACCAGCGACTCAGTCACTTGGTGAACAAATCACGCATTGAACTTCAATCTCTGGAATCATTTTTGTCGGACAAAACTACGTTTTTTCACTGCTAAATTGCCAAAACAACTTTTGTGGACACAGCATGTAAAAAGTAGTGCAGTAAACCCGCGGCATCCTGTCATTGCCGCGGTTTGCATGGGAAACGTTCAGCTGTGTATCAGTTCAGGAGGTCGGAGTCGGAGGATTCTCCCGTGAAATGATTTAGTGATTAGGTGAACGAATCTATTTAGTGAACTGATTCTAGTGATTCAGTACATCTAAAAGAATGGCGGTGCCCATCACTACAGGGGAAGCATCCAAAAGCCACTAATTTATGTTTCATTAACTGAAAGGTCATCTACAAGTGCACTTATGTTACTTTACACTCACTGGAAGGGCAGTATTTTTTGTTTGAGTCACTGGCAGGGTGTCCAAAAGGTCACATTTATTACCTAGAGCCACAAGAAGGGCATCCAAAACCATCAATATATGTTTTATTCACTAATAATGCTCTAAACAAGGGACTTTATGTTGTTTTTAATCGAACAGGGGCTCTTAACAGGGCATTTTTACTGCTTATGGCTGAAAGTCATTTTCTAATGATTTTCAGACACTAAAAACTGGTCAGAACTGGTCATTTATAAGTAGTAAAGAGCAGGATTTTTTTTTTTTTTCAAAATAATCGAATACAGTTCACTATCTTCGTCGAATAACCGACAGAAACGTCGTTTTTAAACAGTTTCTTTAAAATAAAATAAAAATACGGCGAAATAGACGACCGGTCTGGAACGTTATCTGCGTGATGGCGTCACTTCCACTTGTAATCTACAACCCGGAAGCCGGTGCCTTGTGATAGTTGAGGAAATCAATTCTGGCCGAAGTTCACTTGCAAAAGTGGAATAAACACACTAAAAGTCAGGTTTTCGGGGGTGAGCATGGAGGTAAGAGTAGTTAGCATTAGAAACTCTTGTCATAGTTAAATAAACACATTGTTTTCATATGTGATGGTTGTCATAAAACAACAGTAATGGCATTGTTCGAGCTGATCTTCGACTGTTGCATTTAATGACCCGAATAATTAACGGTTTATGACACTAACTCCCATTAGAGACTGTTAATATCTCTACACACAGCTTTGAGATGAAATAACTCTGATTTTAAAATAACAGATGATTTTTTAAAGTTTTTAAAGCGAACGCATCTTTCAAGGACTTTTTTACTGACCCTATCGATCTAAATTTAATCGATTAAATTGTCGATTAAACAGTTATTTTCACCTTTACAACTATCGTGGTCTTTAAACCTCTCCAACTGCTTTACCGGAGGATTTTACCGGACGGAACCATTCAAGAGATCAGGGGAGTTAAGCTGTTTTAACCTTTATTTTTTTATTTAATCACCACAAATATAATATTCGACGATTTCATATTTAAGCCTTTAAAACTTTGGAATACATCAGCTGGTTTAAAAGGTTTTATTTTAACCACAAAGTGAGCCGGAGCTAAGTTCAGTGGACACCGAGAAGGTTAAGTCTGTTAGGTTTTTGAGGCTGTTTCCGGAATGATCTTTCAAAATAAAATCAAAGTTTAGAAAAATTCACCAGAGAACAAAGGTGCAGCTGAAAACACTTGACTGGTCCCCCAAAAAGTTAATTTTCCACGTTCATATATTCTATATAAATAACACACAAAGTGATATATTACAACTTTTTAAAAATCTAAATCTGTATGATTGCAACTTACAGCTCATGAAAGTCAATCCTATTAGCTAAAAACAGACTATAATGCCTTTGTAGCAAGACCTCCGGGTGAGTTCATCGACTGCAGTGGGGGGGACGCAGCTCAAGGAAGAACATTTATAAGTAATAAGTAATAATCACCATATTAATCACTTTGCACTGCAGACATGGTAGTTCCTCTGCCTTAGCGATCTGATTGTATTTCCATGAAGAAATGATCATAAATGTTCTTCCTTGAGCTGTGACACCCCGCTGTAGTCCATAATGGACTGGCCTGAGGTCTCGCTACAAACAAGCGGCTGCTGGAAGAGAGTAGGTGAGTTGTGTTTAGTCTCTTTGATAAAGAAATTAGGCAAAGTTAAAAAGATGTTTGGTGACTAGTACTATGGCTGAGACCCTATATGTACTGTTAACGAAGTTAGGTGCTGCTCTGAGCATTATTTGTGGCTATAGAGTGGCGTTTTGTTTGGGCGCGTGGCTCTCTGTATTGCTATCTTGCGGAATTTACTAAAGTTGGTATAACTAGAGAAGCAAGCGGTCGGCAACATTCATCTCTCGAGGGGGTGTCTAACTTGGTGTTATGATGCGTTTGACCCTAAAAGTGTCATTCTAAATGGTAAACCTGATTTGATCACACTTCTGCATAATACGTTTATTTCCCTGGAAAAACGCTGCTAAATATTACAGGATGTACCTTTAAAGGGCTTTCCCTGCCACTTCAGTTGCATTAACTTTATTTTGAAAGTCACATTACCATTCATCCGGTGTCTTCTTCGTTTAGCTTCGTCTCATCCGCGCTCTGGATCGATTGATCAGCCTGGCCCGGGCCAACACGAAGCGAGAAAACGGGGATTCTGCCTGCTATTCCTCCCAGTCAGACCCCCTTCGTAACGTTCTTTTAATCGTTTTTCGGACTTTTTCATTATCGTTAACCCTCCGTTGAATTAACGTCTCTGCGTCAGCGGGGCGCGGACGGTTATTTCATGTCACGTTTGCGGTCCGTCAGACAAACGGGCTCCTTGCGTCTGCTGGCGGAGCGGGGAGCACCGCAGCCTTGCGTCAAAGCCAGCTAAAGCTAAAACCGTGGTAGGACAAGTCAGCAATAAAGACCGGTAACAGTCAGCCACGTTACCTCGAGCCTGCCAGCGGACGGGGTTATTTTTGGCACGGTCGCTCGCGTACACATGCTCCGTTTTAGACGCTTGAGCTAGTCCAACATCTGTCCCGGAGCTGTCAGTGAAAACCAAAAAATAACCTTAGAGACAATTCAGTCCGTTTTTTTGAGGGTCTTCAACGGCTATTTTTGACGCGACCGTTTCGTCTCTGAACGCCACAAAAACAAGGATATTTGCGAAAACATCGTATTGAAGAAGGGGCCGTATATCTGACACATGAGGCCCAGCTGAAAAGATGGACCTGAATTTTTATTCGGATTTAACAGACGGTACCGGGCAGCACGACGGTGATCCAGAGTTCCTGGATCCGCAGTCATTCAATGGATTTGACTCTGACAACAAGGTGACTCTAGCTGATGACTGGGGAAAACACCCTCCAAGCTCTTATCATGTATCAAAGGAGAGATTTAATGCATTAAAGTAGTTTATTATTGTGTTTAAAGTCAAAAGAAGGAGATAATATGTCTAGGTTCTTCTAGATTAATCTTCTTTCTGTTTCATGTTTCAGTTCCCGGGAGGAAGCGACAACTACCTGACCATTTCAGGGTCCAGCCATCCTTTCCTGTCCTCCTCAGAGGTAAGGTCTCACAGCGTAAATCAAACAACATGTCATTTTTCCTCAACAGGGAGGTGGAAGTAGAAGTGGAGTTAGATTGTTCGCCTTTATAATATCTGCGGACACTGCAGGCAGTATCATAAATGTGGCTGCTGTTGAGTGAAACCAGGTGTTTCTATTTCGCCGTTCCGCTTTCTGCAGGTAGAGCTCAGGTGATGTGGAATCGCGTGATCTCACCTGAGCAAATACGGCTTCAGGCCTCAAATTAACGAGTAAATGTAAATAACGTTAGTTGGGGGAGCAGACCTCAGAACTTTGTTTATATTTCAGAATGATGTTTGCTCACTGTGTCCCTCTGTCTAACTAACACACACCTGATCCACCAGATCTCTGCCTGTTTTTCACGAATTCTGCTTTTGGGGTCACGAAGACTCACTTTGTCATGAAGCTACAGGGCTTGACACAAACTTTTTTCACAGGGAGGACATGTGCTCCTAAGTTGAAAAAGTAAAGGTCCTTACACACCGGGGACGAATATAGAACGCAAAATTACGAAATACTTGGAGGCAAATTTTGACGCGCCTGACTATACACATCAAGCCCGATGCGATTTTGCAACTTTCCGGGGGGAAAAAGACACATCCCGGGGAAGACCTTTCGCAGGGAAAGTCCCGCCTCCTTTGCCTCTGATTGGCTAGAAAAGATGGAAACGTCATCACACGCTCAAGCCAAACAGTCAGCACTTATAGCCAATCAGAGGCGATAAGCACATGAAACTATGGTAACAACCGTTAGCAACGTTAGCAAAGATGAAAGTTAAAACAAAGATGTTTAGCAAACTGTTCAAGCACAAAAACCATCGTCATATGAGAAATCTGACGCTATGACTCTCCACAAGTTGTCCTTCAGGTCGTTATCTTTGTAATGTTTGTGTCTTTTATCAAAAATCACTCTGTTCTCTGACAAGTAAACAATCATCCGTTTGGCCATGTTGGATATACCGGTGAATCAGATGTCGCAACAACACGTAATCTGATTGGTCAGAAGTGGACACACAATATGCAAAACTTTGGAAAGTTAGATCATGATCCGAAAAAATAAATGCCGCAATATCGCAGGACGGGAAAACGTCACTGATGTGAACGCTTGTATTGACAGGATACGAGTTTGAAAAAAAATATTGAGGTCCGAAATAATCGCACGACAGAAACGGTCCCGATGGGAAAGGACCTAAAGGAGCACACAAAAAACTTTATGGATCGGATATCGGATGAATGACGCAGATCTAGCGTTCTGAGCCAGTCTTTTTTTCTTTTAATTAATTTTTCTGTTAATACACGGAAGTCTTCTTTTTGCTGTGCGCTAATGTGCAATTTGTTATTTCTTAATATCAATTTTAGGTCAATTGGTCACATGACATGGAAGCTATTGAAGGAAAACAGTCTTTCTGAGAACATCAACCGGTAATTTATTGACGGTCCCTTATTTAATACCCGAAGTTGACAGTGAGGATGCCGAGTAGATTTAACCGCGTTAGAAGACACCGGTAGATCTGCAGTGCATGTCCATCGAATATCCAACCTAAAACTAACTTCATGAAAAAACATTTGTTGCCTCCGCTAATTTTTTTTATGCGCACATGTGCTCCTAAATACATTTTACAATTCGCACACATCCATTTTTAGTCGCAAATGCGAGTGAAACGGTCACACTGTCAAACCCTGAGCTATAACAATTGTGCAGCTCTTTAAAAGTTCCTGGTCTATGGTCTGTCTTTCTTTCTCTCTTCAGACCTTTCACACTCCCAGCCTCGGCGATGAGGAGTTCGAGATCCCCCCCATCTCTCTGGACCCAGACTCGGCCCTCACCGTGTCAGACGTGGTGTCACATTTTGGGGAGCTGACAGACACTGGCCCGTCTGACGGCGTTGTGGTCTCCGGGAACGCCGTGGTGGAAGGAGATGACCCCTCGTTTGCCTCTACCTTCGTCAGTGCACCCTCACAGGGGCTGGAGCACTTGAGTCTGGGGGTCATGAACCAGTCTGGGGGGAGTGCTCTGCTGGGGTCATCGTTAGGGATGGTGAGGAGAGCAGGATAGTCCAGATTTAAGGTTCTATCTGCGTCAAACTTGACTTGAATTCACTTGAATTTTCTGCTCCTAGGATCTTGGACACCCGATCGGCTCTCAGTTCAGCAGCTCCTCCCCGGTTACCATTGATGTCCCGTTGGGTGACATGAGTCAGGGGCTGCTGGGCTCCAACCAGCTGACTACTATTGACCAATCAGAGCTGAGTGCTCAGCTGGGACTTGGTCTGGGAGGAGGGAACATTTTACAGCGATCGCAGTCACCTGAAAATCCACTATCAGCCACGGCGTCGCCCACCAGCTCGCTCCAGGATGATGACATGGACGACTTTCGACGGGTCAGTCATTCATCTTATGTTTACTCGTCTCTATTCTGGCAAAAACATGCTTTATTATATGCATTATTTTGAAACGGATTCTTTCTTTTCTAATCAGAGCGTCCTGGTCGAGTCTCCCGTCTCCTTGGCCGTTTCCCCCGGCGTCATCTCCCTCGACCCCTCCTTCTCTGAGTCCCCGACCCCCAGCATCTCTCCGGCTGTCATACGGAAACGAGGGGCGCCCCGAAAGAAGCCCGGGAATATGAAGAAAGATCCCAACGAGCCTCAGAAACCTGTGTCGGCCTATGCCCTGTTCTTCAGGGACACTCAGGCGGCCATTAAAGGACAAAATCCCAACGCCACGTTTGGAGAGGTTTCAAAGATAGTGGCGTCCATGTGGGACAGCCTTGGGGAGGAGCAGAAACAGGTGAGAGGGAAACACTGGAGACTCTTACCTGGAGTCATAGGCTGTGTCCGAAATGGATCCCTAACCCCTATATAGGCGACTATACGAGGGTAAGCACCATTTTGAGGGGTGTCCGAAACCTGAGTGATCAATTCCAATGCCCCATATAGGCAACTCAAAATTTCCCATAGAGCATTGCAAAATGTAGTGACCATCCGATGGTGACTCACCGGTGGTGGGCATCCCCAAAAATCTATTGTCTGTGAACGCAGTCCATCATTGTACCACAAAACTGTACCATACAAAGAGGAAACCAGATACAGATATGATCTAGAAGTGCCATCAACTTCTTTTGGTGGAAGCCCCTTTAAGACAAACTGGGGTGAAGTGGAAAAGTGTCCTGGCATTTCAGGAGGTCCACTGTCCAGTTATCGGAGCACAGGCCAGGGTCCCCTATGACATGGGGGATGCATTAGTGCCTGTGGCATTGGTAGATGACACATCTGGAAAGGCACCATTAATGCTGCAGAGTTGCTTATCTCTGCAAGGCAACGCCATACAACACAACAGCATGTCTCCTTAGTAGAAGAGTCCAGGTGCTAAACTGGCCTGCTTGTGGTCCCGACTTATCACCCATTACTTCAGACAAGAACAGGACTCACTCAAACTTAACGCTTTGTAGTTTAAATGATGTTTCAAGGGTCTGATGATTGAGGAAAGTACTCTTCCGGCATGAGTTCCATCATAGTGGACAAGAACTTCATGCCCTGCTGGGATTGAAACGTTTTTCCGTAATATTTCAGGTCTACAAGAGGAAAAACGAAGCTGCAAAGAAGGATTACCTAAAGGCGCTGGCAGAGTACAAATCCCGCAAATCTTCTCAGGTAAGAAGTCCTTCATTGTCAAGTAGTTTGACGGCTGTTTCTGTGATTCAGTGTCTAAAATCAATAAAATCGAAAACCAACACTGGATGGTATTTCTAGACCCTGAAGTAGCACCACGTTCAAGACAATTGACTGTAGTGGAAATCACCACATAGACTTAAAATGGCTTCCAAAAACCGTCTCTTTTTGTCCATCTGTCCTCTCTCCAGGCTCCTATTGAAGTCACAGATACCCCCCCGTCACCTCCATCTCCCTCCCCAGCTCCCCCCGTCACTGCCTCACCCGCCTCGACTCTGGGGACTCGCTCCACCCGCTCCCAGCACTACAACCCCGAGGAGAACACTATCACCAACATCTGCACCTCCAACATCATCCTGGACCTCCCCCGGGTCACCACCCGCTCCTGCACCGGCGCCATCAAACCCCAACCTCCGCCCGCCTCCATTCCGCCAAACCCCCCCACTGTCACCAAGATCATCATCAAGCAGACACCGCTGCCCTCCGGCGGCGTTTCCGTCACGGCGACGACGGCCTCCTCCTCGCCGCGCCAGCCTCCACCTCTACAGCAGATGCAGAGTAACCCCCCTCCTCCTCGGCTGCAGCAGATGGTACACGCCCAGGCTCCGCCTCCTTTGCAGGCGAAACCACGAGGAGGAGGAGCAGTTGCTGCTACGGCTCCACCTCCTCTGCAGATCAAAGTCGCCCCGTCAGCGAGACAGACGGATGCAGGCGTGCCGATCATCGTGAAATCAACAGGTGACACGTCCACGGTGGAGGTGAGACGCTCGGGTGAAGTGGAGGCTGGAGGAGAGGAGGGGGCGGAGGCAGAAGAAGGGGTGAGACACATACTTGTTGCGTTCACTGTCTGAGAAAAGCTCTGTAAATGTCTGTATTTATCCTAAACCGTGTTTTGTGTCTCAGATGGAGGTGGAGGTGAACGTCGCCCCCGTCCCGAGTATGACGGCCAACGCCAGTCCAAATATGTGTGTGCGCGCCGGCTGCAACAAACCAGCTGTGGAGAGCAAAGACTGGGACAAGGAGTACTGCAGCAACGAGTGTGTCGCCACGCACTGCAGGTGAGTTCACAATAACAACAACAAGGTTTTAAAGTGCCGTCCTACCCAAAACAAGGGGGCGATGGGGGTCTTTTCAGCTGCGCTGTTTTCCGACCCCATACAACCGTCAACAACAGCAGCAGGTACGTGCCAGACGCCAGACATGGCTACGACTACTGCTGGGCATTTTCGAGCAAGAAGATGGAGCATCGTACAGCGTTGTTTTTGGCGTACATGATGGACGCGCTACTTCTTCTGCAGATGAGATGCGCGCTACCCCTCTTCTCTGGTGTTTTTGTTCTGGAGTTACGCAAAGTTGCACACACGGAAATGCATTGTCTGATCACACTTCGACTACGCTGGTTACATGGTAGAATAAATTGAATTCCAATGGCATTATCTGGGTGTCTTATCGGAGTTCCCAAACTCAGATTATGGTCGGACGAAGGTGTTTACATGCACTTCAGTTGCTCGGTCTCGAAATGTCAGAATAAGGCAATAATCAATTTTTCCCGAGTGTCATGTAAACGTACTGACTGTATGGAGTTTTCTCGCTCTTATTCTTGATGCGTCTTCATGTCAGACATGGTTTAAGCAGATTTTGAAAAGTTCTGCCATTTTTTAAAGCTGGATTCTGTTGGTCTTGTAGCTACACTCTTGCTAGACGCTACATCTTTTGAGTCGGTTTCGTCGTGATTTATGCTGCATTCCAGTTGTACTCAGAAGTCGTGATTCCCGAGCACCGAGTCGGATGTACTTCTGGAACACCCCCCTGAAGTCAGATTTCCGACCTCGCCAACCCTGACTTGACGACGACATCATAATTCAAGATGGTAGCGCAGTGCATCAACAGTGAAGAGTAACAGTGAAAGCTCTCGTAATGTATTACTTATTAGCACTTCTGTTTTGTTTTAAATTACATAAGTGGTATATGTCGTACTGCCCAACGTCTAACAGTGAACACGGTGCTACTGACAACCGCTAACAACAACTGACAACGGCCAAAGACAGCTGATAATTGTAAACAACAACAACAGGTATCTGTAGGCGTCCATCTTAGTTTTCCGACTTGTTAACTGGAACGCCGTCAACTCAGGTGTCGCGTCATTCCTAACATCTAACTTCCGAGGTAACTGGAACGCAGCATAAATTCTTCGTCTGAACGTTAGTCCCTCAGAACATCCTAACATATCTTAATATAAACCAGCGAAAATGACTGTATCGTTTCTCCTCCTCAGGGACGTATTCATGGCCTGGTGCGCCATCCGAGGGCAGAACTCCACCACCATCACATAGGAGGAAAAAAAAATGTATGGAGGAACGCGACACGGAGAGAAAACAGACAAAGAATTGACCCAAGAAATGCAAACATGAGGAGCGAACAGTGAAAGATGGGGCTCAGGTATCGGCACATAATAGATTGTTTTATCATGGAAAGAAGAAGAAGAACAACAACAACAAAGCAGAGAGAGAAAGTGTGTGAAAGTCACTCCGATTGATGATTATGCGATTGATTAGACTCTCTGGCGCCCTCATACTTCTACACACGGGAATGACAACTCATACCAATGACATTTCAACGGAATAAGGAGAAAGGAAAGACTCGTTCCTGCCGCCCTCAGACCTCCTCCACTCATCATCTCTTTTTTTGATTTGCATCATGGACTTTGTGAATATAGAAACAGATCATTTTTTTATGGACTGATGGTGTTTTTAATTGATGTAAAAAGAAAAACGTGCAGGAAATCATGATCTTGCATTATTTTATTTAAATAATTCCACCTCTTATGTGTTTGCTCTTCCCTTTACTGCTACATCCAGGAGGAATATTATGAATGAAATCTAAGAAGTGTTTTTTGTGTATTTTTTTTTCCTGTCATAAACGGGTCAGTGGCTTCTTTAAGGTACAGGCGAACAATAACTGGACAAAGCACAAACGGGCGTAAAGGTAGTTTGGAGTCATAGGAGGGTGAGATGTTGGGGTAAAGGCGAGTTTGTTACCTTTTAAAGCGAGTCAACAAAAAAAAAGCTATCATCATTCATGAGGTTTTAGAGTAAGCTCTCTGAACAGGTGCTAAAATTCAGGAAAGAAATGAGCTCTTCAACTTTTCTCTGTCCTCATTTCCTGTTGAAAACACCCCCCGCAACAATAAGACCTTTTTTTTTAACCTGTGGTGCATATTTTGTTTGATGACCAACATTTTGTGGTGAAATGTGTTTGAGGAAAAATAAATAAGAAAATATATGAATGAATTAAAACACACCAGCTTCGATAACACTTCTGTGAGGGGGGGAAAGGGAATCCAGTGCAAAAGCTTTACTGTTTTATTTAAAGGTCTGCTGTCAGGTCAGTTTAATTATGGAGGAAGGGATGGTCACTTCCCAAAATAAAACCGTTCACACTCGCAGAAATCATGCTGGGTTGATTGTAGATATCCTGGAAATGTTTGTAATTGTGGAATAAAATATTTTATGTTTTAATATACATTTTTTGAAGCACATTTTGGCCTCGCAAAAGCAGCTGGAGTTGAATTAATCTGATATATTTCATGGCACAGTCCTTTTTTCTTTGGATGCTGAGCACATAAATAAGTCAATTTATTTGTTCATCTTTGTTTTGGAGCGGTTTTGCTTTGATTGAGGACTTACTTGAGTCAAATAGTCATTTTAAGTTGGCCAATTTTCTGCAAACATTGAGTTTCTGTTTTCTTTACAATGCCTGTTTTAATGGGATAAATACAGCCATTTTACAATCAGTGACGCCTTTTCTACAGGAGGAGCAGCCACACAATGAGCAGTATTATATTCAAAGAGGGGGTTGTGTTACCGCTTCCTACCTTCACTCTTAATAGATTTTGTTAATCCGTCAAAACTGGCAGTTTGATACAAAATTTGATGTTACTGTTTTGCAATACAAGCTTAAAGCCTTAATTAAAGCTTCTGTGGGGAGTTTTTTGACATCTATAAAATAGATTGAAATTAATATGGATGAATGTTTATGTTATACAAAAGCTAATAAAACCGTCGGCAACATGATTTATGAATTCTGTAATGTAACTTTAAATGCCTGAATCTGGTGTGAGCCCCCTCAGTAATTTTATCTTTAACTTTTTCTCCTTTCAATATTTAGCTGTTAAAAACATGATTATTGTCCCTTTTCTTATACATTTCTGCTTCTTTTAAAGCCCCTGTGAGGATTTTGTAGTTTGCGTTAACTTTGGCGCCCCCAGTGGGCAAAGCGGTCTTTGCTAATCCTGTCCTCGATATGCCTTCAATGATAACTTCTGGCTAATAATCTCACTCTGACTTTCGACAGTCAAATTTCTCATTTATTGCAAATACTTTCTAAACTGGACTGAGTGTGTAAGTATCAAGAAAGGCATTTACATGAATTTCAGACAATTTCAAGAACCTAAAAAAACTCCTTATGGGAGCTTTAATTATCAATTTCAAGGAGTTTCACTCACCTGCCAAAACACGACTCAACAGCTTGGCAATCTAGTGCATCTCGACCATAAATTCAGCTTTTAAAAAGCTCATACAATTCTATTTTTTATTACATAATCAGACAGGACTTAAGTGTACTGTAACTCATTATTGAAGACATACTGGAGGTTAGTGGTGAACTGTAGCGCAATATATTAAGAGCTGTTCTTAATAATTTGGTTTATTTGTATTTTAATGACGAGGACAAAATATAAGGGACACCGTCCTGTATGTAAACCACCTACCACCCAGTGTGTCTGAAATGATAAATGTTTAGCAATTTTTTTTTTAAACAAAATTTGAAAATGTTGGAGCTTAGTTAAGTAGAATGTATAGAATCGCAGATTTTTTTGTGTTGCATTGGATTGTCAATGTGGACCTAATGTTACAACAGGAAAGTATAAATTATTATGATAATTTTAGCTGTCCATGTGGACCTAATGTTATGGCAGGAAAGCGTAAATTAAAATGATTATTTTTGATTATTTTAGCTGGACATAAACAAACTATGGCCAACAATCGAGCAGAATGGGGGCGACAATGCGCCAAACATACTAGTTTCCTCCCGCCATTTAACAGGAAGAAGACGAGGAAGAAAAAGAGGATGACGATGGCGGGAAAGCCCATCATGGCGGGAAAAAGCAGCGTGGTCTACACAAGAGAGGAGGCGCTGTTGCGCAGTGCAGCGCTGCAAATCGCAATGAATGCGCCACAAACCTTCGAGTAACAGCCTAAAAAGAGGGGGAATGAGCTTGAAAAATAAGTAGATGCTCACTTTGATGTTTTTTCCCCCGTTCTTAACAAATAGTGTGGTGTTTGCTCACAATAGGAGCCGTTTTGTGCGCATTTTTGTGTTTTCATATCGCGTTGTTTATTAAAAAAAATAAAAAAGCTACGTGAAGAGTCAGGGGGGAGGGAGAGGAAAAGGAGCACAGGAGGAAGGAAAGGAGGGAGGGAGGGAGTGCGGACGCAAATACAACAGATTGGTGTGTGTGTGCAGGAAAGCAAAAGTGCATTTTAATTTTGATAATTCGGCGCATTTTAATCGAGGGATTACTCGTGAAGGCTGGTGTGTGATTTGTTACTGATGAGCGGGAAAAAGCCTCTGTGGTGATATATAACGTGGGGAACAACATTTAGTAGTAGCGTGCGCATCTCAGCAGGCGTGGAGAGAAAGTGCGTTATTGTTGGTTGACACTGATCATCATCATCATCATCCTCATCCTCCTCATCCTCATCCGGCCCTGCTGAGGAGCGAAGCCGGGAGCTGGAGTTGGTAACGCAGGACTCACCATGGCGGTAAACCTGGACAAGGAAGCGTACTACCGCCGGATCAAGAGATTATACGGCAACTGGAAGGTAAAAATACGATCGTTTCGAATCGTGTTTTGGAGTTAAAATTGATTCAGAGATGGAAAAAGTGAGATTTGTTGGAGATGCCCACCGCTGAGCCGCGTTTTTTCCAACCGAGTGAGCTGACTCTGTTGTCGGCATGAGTGGTGATGTTCCCCCGCTTGCTCCAGCACCCACACCCGGGGAGGCGAAGAGGGCCTAAGTCCGGGAGACTCCCTCGATTTATCCACCCTGAAACTCTCACTTAACTCGACATATTTTAAAAGACGACCCCCTATTCCTGTTTCTTGTACTAAAGTCGCTTGCTAACTTATGCTAACTATCATCATTAGCCCCCCATTCACCACATTAGCGGCTAGCTCGTTAGCTATCAAGTTTGCTAACGAAGCGGCTAAACGTAGTGAAGCAGCGTGTGCTAATACAGGTAATTAGTGTTAAAGTGATCACAAGAAGTCATATAACCCTCAAATGTGATGAGTTTTAGTCTGTTGAGGTGTTAAACGTTACTATCAGCACGCAAAGCTCGTTGTATGCTAATGTTAGCAGGCTAATTAGCATCAGAATAACGCCAGCATCACAGTAACATGTGCAGGATGTGACTGCAGGATCCGAACCGTGACTTTACTCTGTGTCCTGTCTGTTTGAGGAGATTTAACCGGCTAATGTAGTAACTTTACAGTTGGAAAGTTTTATTTTCAGAAGTTCAACAATGTGTTGCTACTTGTTTTATTGTATTTCTTGAAATATTGCAGCCACAACACGGAGAAAAGCAGCTTAAATGCGTTTCACGGCCCTAATTTATCATCCTAACCTGTTAGGGATGTTTATTTCTGCACGTTTTAGAGTTTTAACTCAACTCTGATACTGCTTTAAAACTTATAAGAGTACTGCAGGCCAATAGTTATAAGATAAAGTACATGGAGTTATAGTCAGACAAAGTGGGTTAAAGCTAGTTTTGGACTGATTCAGCTTTTATCAGTGGCCTATTCTGAAGCCCGTCAGACAATGACTTAAAGGGTTATTCAGGCGTAGAATAAATGTAGGGTCAAACACACGTAACACCCAGTTAGACACCCCCTCCAGAGATGAATGTTGTTGACCGCTTGCTTCTCTAGTTATACCAACTTTAGTAACGACCGCACGATAGCAATACACAGCGGTCTAGGTCTCCACGCGCAAAACGCCACAAATGATGCTCGGAACAGTTCCTAACTTCATCAACAGTACATTTAGGGTCCCAGCCATCAAACATCTTTTTAACTTTGCCTGTTTTTTTTTTTTTTTTTAGTAAAGAGACTAAACCCAGCTCACCTACTCTCCTCCAGCAGCCGCTTGTTTGTAGCGAGACCTCAGGCCAGTCCATTACGGATTGCAGCGGGGTGACGCAGCTCAAGGAAGAACATTTATGATCATTACTTTATCATTTCCTTGAAGTAATAATCACCATATTAATCATTTTACACTGCAGACGCGGTAGTTCTTCCGTCTTAGCGTCTCGGTCTGATTGTATTTCCATGAAGAAATGATCATAAATGTTCTTCCTTGAGCTGCGAAACTCCGCTGTAGTCCATAATGGACTGGCCTGAGGTCTCTCTACTAACAAGCAGCTGCTGGAAGAGAGTAGGTAAGTTGTGTTTAGTCTCTTTTCGCAGAAATTGGGCAAAGTTAGATGTTTGGTGGCTAGTACTATAGCTGTGACCCTATATGTCCTGTTGATGAAGTTAGGTGCTGTTCTGAACATTATTTGTGGCTATAGAGTGGCAGAAATGACCGCTGTGTATTGCTAGCGTGCGGTCGTTACTAAAGTTGGTATAACTAGAGAAGCAAGCGGTTGGCAACATTCATCTCCCGAGGGGATGTCTAACTGAGTATTAAGGTGTGTTTGACACTAAATTAATTTTACGTCGTTATATCCCTTTTAAATGTGATGCTAATAACAGATTTGATATTTTAACATACAAATCTATTATTTATTTATCATAATTGTTTTATTTGGAAAATCCTATAGTGGCTGACACCTACCCCCTCACACCAGTTTCATGCATAAAAACGGAGATATAGAAATAGCCAGTCTTATCAGGGGTGGTATTGTTTGCTTTTGGATGTCATAAAAAGGCATCAAAATCAAATTTTAGTCTATTTTGTAAATGTCAAGGTCCTCAAAGGAGCTTTAAGTGTATGAATGGGCCTCGTCAGCACAGTCATCAACCAATTATTTCAAAGTGCCATCAATCAGACAGACCAGTTAAAGGCAAACAAGACCATCACGGGCACAATTGAGGAGTTTTATGCTGTTATTTTGAGGAAGGCTCATCACATTTAATGATTGATGCTTGTCTGTGTGTTTTCCAGAAAGGCGAGGATGAGTTTGGCAAAGTCGATGCCATCGTGGTGTCCGTTGGGGTGGACGAGGAAATCGTTTACGCCAAATCTACGGCCATACAGGTATTTGAAAGTGTCAGTTTCAGCAGCAGCAGGATAACATCACTGATGTGTTCAAGTGTAACCCCATAACTCTGTGTTTGTTTCTTCTACTAGACGTGGCTGTTTGGCTATGAGCTGACAGACACCATCATGGTGTTTTGTGACACCAAGATTATCTTCCTCGCTAGCAAGAAGAAGGTGGATTTCCTCAAACAGGTGGCGGTAACGAAAGGAAATGAGAACGCCAACGGTGTCCCACCCATCACTCTGCTCACCAGGGAAAAGGTAACCTCTGAGAAACACAGACAGTAATCATAGTTTTTGTCAGTTTTTGTTGATCTGCTTCGTCCTGGGGTTGGTTTGTTCTGCTTGTGAAGTTCATATCAGATTTCTAACTGTTTCCAATGTTTGTATCCGTCAGAATGAAAGCAACAAAGCCAACTTCGACAAGATGATCGAGGCGATCAAAGGCAGCAGAGAAGGAAAGACGGTGGGCATCTTCAGCAAAGACAAATTCCCCGGAGAGTACATGAAGAGCTGGAATGACACTCTTGGCGCCGAGGGACTGGAGAAGGTAAGAAGCGATCTGACACCCGACTTTAGATCAAAACTTTTCATTCTTCTATCTCACAAACTTTTTTCTATGCGTCCCCTCTGCAGGTGGACATCAGCGCTGTGGTCGCGTACACGATGGCGGTGAAGGAGGACGGTGAGCTGGGATTGATGAAGAAAGCGGCGGCCATCACCAGCGAGGTTTACTCCAAGTTCTTCAAAGAGCGCGTCATGGAGATCGTGGACGCAGATGAGGTGAGGAGGAGGAGGAGGAGCAGACTGACGTTGAAAGGAATCATTCTTTGACAAATTCAACCTACACTGACATTCTGTTTGCTTTGTTCCACTGATTTGTTTCCTCTCTGCTCCTGCATGTGTCCAGCCTTGAAAACTTTTGTGGAAAAAAAGGCAAATAAGCTTTAAAAATTAAGTTTTGCCTGTTTGTCGACTGGCTCCATTTAATCACAACTGCTAAAACGTTAGCTTTTTAGTTTCAGTCCAAGAGTTTCAGGCAGAGATTTAAGAAACTAAAAAAACTGAGATGCTGTGAAGTCTCCATGACTTTCTGCTGTATGTAAATTTTTAAAAAGATTGAATATTAATTAAATTATCCCAAAGATGCAAAAACTGGTATTTTCTGTGTAGAGCAGATTAGTTTTCGTCCCATAAATGAAGTTTTTTGACCATTTTTTGAAACTCTTTTCTCTTCCCGTCCTGTAGAAAGTGCGCCACAGTAAGCTGGCGGAGTCGGTGGAGAAGGCGATCGAGGAGAAGAAGTATCTCGGCGGCGCAGATCCCTCCACGGTGGAGATGTGTTACCCTCCCATCATCCAGAGCGGGGGCAACTACAGCCTCAAGTTCAGCGTCGTCAGGTGAGTCATAAAGACATAAATTTGTTCAAATTCACATAAAACTTTTTGAATTTTTACCAGTTTGTAGCTGTCTTGAAGACTGATCCGATTCTTTCTTGTTCCTCCAGCGATAAGAACCACATGCATTTCGGCGCCATCACGTGTGCCATGGGGATCCGCTACAAGTCGTACTGCTCCAACCTGGTACGGACCCTCATGGTGGACCCTTCTCAGGAGATGCAGGACAACTACAACTTCCTGCTGCAGGTGGAGGAGGAGCTGCTGAAAGAGCTTAAACACGGTGGGTTCAGCAAACGATAAAATATCATGAAAGAAACCTCTTAATCTGTCAATTAGAGAGCTTGTTTTTGCTCACAAATGTTCACTGAAACCTAATAAAGAGGAGAAAGAGTATCAAGTTTATTTGTTGATTGTAAGATTTGTTGTCCATTTCCTCCACAGGTGTGAAAATCTCCGACGCCTACAACACTGTCCAGGAGTACGTAAAGAAAGAGAAGTCAGACCTCTTGGCAAAGCTGACCAAAAACCTCGGGTAATCCCCCCCTTCCTTTCCACTTTTTAAAAAAATGTATATTTGTTTTATGTACTTTTATAGAAACTTGTTGAATTTTCTTTTGTTGTTGGTGTTTTTTGCAGCTTTGCGATGGGAATCGAGTTCAGAGAAGGCTCTTTGGTTTTGAACGCTAAAAATCAGTACAAACTGAAAAAAGGTGAGGGTATTTTCGTGGTTACATGTAGCACTACTTCACTCTGTATGGAATTAAACAGTTAAAGGAACAAAGCACAAAAAATTGAACCAAAGCTGGTGCGTCTTTCTCCCAGGAATGGTGCTGAACATCAGTTTGGGCTTCGCTGACCTTGTGAACAAAGACGCCAAGAAGGAGGAGCAGAAGAAGTATGCGTTGTTCATTGGAGACACGGTACAGATCAATGAGGTGAGACACACTGACAGGTAACAAGTCGAAGTTTAAATCGTCCAAACAACGACTCGATCAAGTGTTTGTAATAAATCCGTAAATGTTTGTGTAACAGGAGGAGGCGGCCACGATACTCACACCAGTCAAGAAAAAGATCAAAAATGTGGGAATCTTCCTGAAGGTGAGTTTCTTTTCTCGATACCTCACTATTTATAAATTGGCAGATGAAGTAAAAGTTTATTTTTATTGACTTTTTGTGTAACCATGATAATAAATCTTTGATGCCTCATAAAAAAACACGTGTTGGTGTATTATTTTTTAAAAAAAAAATTTGGTCATAATCAAGAGAAGTCGCAGCTTTCTGTTTCTGAAACATCCTTTGTTTCCTTAAATATGCAGTTCCCCAAACTTCCACTAGAGGCTAGCCCCAAAAGTGTGTCAATCTCCATAGATCTGCATTAAAACACTTCCATCTTAAAAGATTACATTCCAAATAAAGTAGATGTCTTCATTTGTAACATTTATGGGGTTTTTATTATAGAAGATGAAGACGTTGAGGGATGTTCTGCTCGACTTTCTCTTTGGTTTAATTTTCTTTTTCTTAAAATCTTCTGTTTTTCCCTCTAAGAATGACGATGAAGAGGACGAGGAGGAGGAAGGAGACGATGCAGAGGAGCTGCTGGGGAAAGGAGCTCGCAGCGCCGCCCTGCTGGCCGACAGAACCAGGGTAAGAACGAAGGAGGGTTTGTGTTCAGATTTGTGTTGCTCTGTCTCCTTGGCTGGTGTTAATAACTAAAGATGTGAATGTCTTTGTACTCTATCAGCTACTGGGGAAGGTAAGTATTTACCGTTTCTACTCCAATCTCATCGACTGGACTGGTTCAGTTTTGAGAATTTACGTATTGACAGGGAAAATTTTTGTCGTTTTTTTAGTTGAGTTGTTTCTTTTGTGTGTTTGCTTTTATTTTTCTGACCATTAAAGCACACGTCTGTAACCTGCATGTATTCTCTTTTGTTTTCTCCCATTCTCTGTTGATAAAAAATAATAACCGTCCTCTGGTGTGGATGTGTGATCACTCAACTGTGTGTGTTGTTGAACTCAGAACGAAATGACGGCGGAGGAGAAGAGGCGGGCCCACCAGAGGGAGCTGGCTGATCACCTGAACGAAGAGGCCAGGCGCCGTCTGACAGAGCAGAAGGGAGAGCAGCAGATCCAGAAGTGAGTGTAAAAGCCAAACCTGTTCTCTGAATAATCTTTGTTTTGAAACGTAAAGATCAAAGTCAGCGGTGAGAAAATGCGTTGTGGATTCAGTCGTGTAATTAACTTCCTGTTCGTTGATTGAGTCTGCTCTCTGTTCCCTTCAGGGCCAGGAAATCTAATGTGTCCTACAAGAACGTCTCTCAGATGCCTCGAGAAAAAGACATCAGGGAGATGAAGATCTTTATCGACAAGAAGTACGAGACCGTCGTCATGCCCGTGTTTGGTATCGCCACGCCGTTCCACATCGCCACCATCAAGGTAGGCTGATATACACCTTTGTTCTTCTTGTATTCGTCCTCCTTTTTTCAAAAGTCATTGACGTTTTCCTTTTTTGTTCTTTCTAACTCCCGTCCAGAACATCAGTATGTCTGTAGAAGGAGACTACACCTACCTGAGAATCAACTTCTACGTCCCCGGCAGCTCTCTTGGGAGACAGGAGGGGAACATTTTCCCCAACCCTGAAGCAACGTTTGTCAAAGAAATGTGAGTCCAAACTTGATGCAAAGTGATCGTATGGAATCTAATTTGATGGAATACTCCTTTAACCGTATTTTTGCCTTGCAGCACGTACCGAGCGTCCAACCTGAAAGCTCCCGGTGACACTTCAGTGCCCTCCACAAACCTCCAGAACGCTTTCCGCATCATCAAAGAGGTCCAGAAGCGCTATAAGACAAGAGAGGCCGAAGAGAAGGAGAAGGAAGGCATCGTCAAGCAGGACTCGCTGGTCATCAACCTCAACCGCAGCAACCCCAAACTCAAGGACCTCTACATTAGACCCAACATCGCTCAGAAGAGGATGCAGGGTTCGCTGGAGGCGCATACCAACGGTGAGGCAGCAGGAAATCACCTCCTCAGACAAACAAACAGGATTGTGGTTAGAGTGAAGATTAAAAACTGGGTCTTCTGTCTGCTCAGGTTTCCGTTTCACGTCAGTACGTGGTGATAAAGTCGACATCCTTTACAACAACATCAAACACGCCATCTTCCAGCCATGTGACGGGGAGATGATCATCGTACTGCACTTCCACCTCAAGGTACTAAAGACTTAAGGGTTCTGTTAATATTGGCGTTAAGAGCAGGCAGGGACGAACAGTGCCCTTAAAGAAATCTTGAGAGTCGGCATATTTAGTGTCTTTCAAGGTTGAGGTTACCACTTTATCCAACACATCAACTTCAGGGTTGCTCACTCTCGATTTACTCCCTCCAGAACGCCATCATGTTCGGAAAGCGCCGCCACACAGACGTCCAGTTCTACACGGAGGTCGGGGAGATCACGACAGACTTGGGCAAACACCAACACATGCACGACAGAGACGACCTGTATGCTGAGCAGATGGAGCGCGAGATGAGGCACAAGCTCAAGTCGGCCTTCAAGAACTTCATCGAGAAAGTGGAGACGCTGACGAAGGAGGAGCTTGAGTTCGAGGTGCCCTTCAGAGACCTCGGGTGAGTGCGTTAGAGTCCTGGAACAACAGGATCGTGGCAAACTCTTCAAGAAGTTGTACTGATTGTTTTGGCTGATGTCTTTAAAGGTTCCAGGGCGCCCCCTACAGGAGTACCTGCCTGTTGCAACCAACATCCAGTTCACTCGTAAACGTCACTGAATGGGTGAGTGAGCAAACTAAAACCCCGGCATGGTAAAACTTTTTAACACTACCGGGCATGACTCTATAAAAGTGATGTGTGTTGGTCTTTAGCCGCCGTTTGTGGTGACTCTGGACGAGGTGGAGCTGGTCCACTTTGAGCGTGTGCAGTTCCACCTGAAGAACTTCGATGTGGTCATCGTCTACAAGGACTACAACAAGAAAGTGACCATGATCAACGCCGTGCCAATCAACTCCCTCGACCCCATCAAGGAATGGCTCAAGTAAGACGGGACCAACAGGGAAGGGATCGAAAATACCCAAACGGCCTGTTCCCGACTCGGACTTCTTCTGTGGTTAACTCACTTTTTGACTCTTCTTCTCAGCTCCTGCGACATCAAGTACACGGAGGGAGTGCAGTCGCTGAACTGGACGAAGATCATGAAGACCATCGTAGACGATCCAGAGGGATTCTTTGAGCAGGGAGGCTGGTCTTTCTTGGACCCAGAAAGCGAGGTATGGTTGTTAGCGCAAAAAAAGTACACTGCAGGCTGACCATACATATATTTGTAATTAAATCCTTTTTTTGCTGTATCTTGTTTTTGTCTCAGGGAAGCGGCGCTGAGGAAGACTCCGAGTCAGAAATGGAAGATGAAACATTCAACCCGTCTGCTGATGAAGAGGAAGAGGAGGAGGAAGACAGTGACGAGGACTACAGCTCAGAGACGGAGGACTCTGGTACGCCGTTATGTCATTAAACTCTGCAGTGAACAAAGAATAAAAAATCAGATGATTGTTGGACTTTATTTTAAAGGACGAAATCAGATTGATTAATCGCTGTTTGCTTTAATAGAGGATTACAGCGCATCGATGGGCAGTGAGGAAGAGAGCGGGAAAGACTGGGACGAGCTGGAGGAAGAGGCCAGAAAAGGTACATGTTTGCACCTGTTGAATATGCAGTCTTAGTGACCTGCTCTAATCTATATATATATAAGGGTAAATGAGAAATTAGTTGGTTCTTACCATGATTTAGGTCACCTGAAATTATTCAAAACATCAACAATCAGTCAAAACACCATCTTGTCCTGTGATAGTTGAAATAAGAAATTGCAAAACGCCCTGACTTGACTGCAGCTGAATTTTTATCATTTTTGTGAGGGAAAGATAAAAGTTAAAAACTTTCAGGTTCAAGAAAATTCCCAGTGAGTCCAAAATGTCATTCTAAGAACACAGTATCTTGAAAGGAACAGGCAATTCCTTTTAAGATACTGTGTTTTCTTGTTGTTACCTGTGGACGAACTCACTTTTTGCAGCAGTTTTCCAAATTTTCTGCTCTTTGTAGTTAACATGATGAGGTTGTTTCAGTCATTTAAAGAGGGACAGGGTTTCTGCTGGGTCTTTAAAAGTCTTAAACGTATAAATTCAATAATTTGGATTTAGGCCTTAAAATGACTAAAATTCACTTAAAACCTCACAAAATATCTTAAATACAAATTTGAAAGGTCTTGAAAATGTTTTGATGTGACTTACCAAAAGATTTATTTTGAGTTAGTTAGAAATGTTCCGATTTCCCTTCCCGTCTTTTGTACTTTTTTTGCCAGTATGGATGTAAAATGGATCTTAAACTGTTTTCATTATGGTCTTAAAAAAGTCTTTTAAATTTGACTTGTTGAAACCCGCAGAAACCCTTTTAAGGGGTGTTGTGCTTATTATTTTGTCTTTAATAATGTCCCTAAAGCTTCTTAGCAGCTTTAGATTTAGAGTTCATAAAATGTAAGTCTCAGCATTCTGGAAGCCTCGTTCACTGTTGCCATGCAGAAAAGTTCTGTTTCTTTTTATAAAAGGACAAATGAGTCACTGTTTGGTGATGTCACAAATCTCATTGATCTCCCTGAATGTAACTTTTTGAACATTCCGAACTTCTTTTATTCCATTCAACACACATTTATCTTGAAGTCTGATACTTTGTTTATGTAAACATTCTAACCATAGACTGTATATAGAATGGACACGCTACTGCGCAAGTGGTGGAGTGCGTACAACGCCACTGCGCAATGTTGGTTTTAGAAAGTGAAGAAAAAACGCGGAATTAAGGCTAAAATGTACAGAATGCGTATTTAGAGTGTGGCAGCAGCGTCGTGTATCACGCAGCAAAGCATACAGGACGTGTTTCAGCTCCCTCGCAGCATCGTACCATGTTGTTTCCTCTATACTGAGCCCAGCTGCTAAATACGGATCCTGTATGTTTTTGGCTTTACCAACAGCTTTTTGGCTTCAGTTCCGTATTTTGGCGGAATTTTGTCCATAGTATATACAGTCTATGATTGTAACTTAACACCTGTTTTCAAAATATGAAAAAAAGACAAATACAGCCTCCCTCCATGTTGAGTGTCTTGTTAAAAAAAACAAAAATGGGTATTTTGTCGCCCTCTAGCTGACAGAGAGAGTCACTACGAGGATGAGGACACGTCCAACAAGAAGAGAAAGGTCCAAACAGAGCACCCCCGCAGCAAGAAGAAGAGAAGACATTAAATGTTTTTCACACAAACAAATACACATGCACACACACACACACTCGCACACTCACACACACACATACTGCCAAACCTAGATGACCCTTGACCCTTTCTTTTTACCCTCTCCTGACCCGCACACCTACACAAACATACACAATGTGTATATAGACGTTAGCAGCCCCTGAATTTGGTGTTGGTCAGTGATGTTGTAATGAGAAGAGAGAACCTGGCGGGACACACATACACACACAAAAACACACACACACCTCATTTGTTAGTTCTTTTCCTCCTCATTCCTTCCTCATTCTCTCTTTTGTGTCCTCCTCTCGTCTCCTTTTCATCCATCCATCAGGGTTTAGTGTTTGTGTGTCTGTGTGTGTGTGCGTGCGTGCATGTGTGTTTAAATGGGTTTTTATTAGAGCGTTGTTCATTTTCGTTTCTTGACTAACGGATAATAAAAGAAAAGACTTGAGAAGATTCTGCCAAGTGTTTTTATATCAACAGAGAAAATTATGAATGAGCCCGACCCTCTGTCCTTTACGTTTCATCCTCCTCCTCCTCCTCACCTTCTTTTCTTTTCTTTTTCCTTCTGGTGTTTGTTAAATAGTGGATTAAACATTTGTCTTTTTCCAGGGAGGGACAGATACATTTTCAGGTCTTTTGTTTTTTAAAGCGGGGGTTTGTAAAGGCACACACACACGAACACACACACTCATACAAAGTCTCCTTGGCACTTGTCCTCTTCTTTTCTCCTTATTTTGTTAATTTCGAGTAGATTCTGTTTGTTGTTGTACTGTTAATTCTGAAAATCCTGTTTTTGTAATAAAATTAAAAGGAACTCTGGTACTTTCAGGCTCCGTGTCTTTCTTTGTGAAAACTCGCCGCTCTCTTCGTGAACAACCTGAAGTGTGCGAATTTTGTTGTCGACTGTTGGAAACTTGTGTAGAGTTTATGCTTGTGAAAAATGATGTTGTGATGTTACATGTTTTTCTCAATGTCATTGAAATCACTGTGTCGTGAGTCTAAACCTATAGTTCTGCTGCTTTAGATTTAGACTCCCGGGGTTTTCTGTCTGTTCCTCTCTCTCCTCTCTCCTTCAGATCTTTATGTCCCGTTTAAGTTACTAACAAGATCTCTCTGAATGTCCTCGAGTCTCTTAGGTTTCTCTTGACTGATGCTGCAGACATGATCGTCAACCTCACTGACATCAATAACATAAATCTAGAGTAAACTACCATCGGACCTGCCAACTTTAGTCACCTAACATAGTCCATAATTACGTATTTCTTTGTCCTGTACATTAAAGTCATATCCTTCTATTTAAGTTACTAACAAGATCTCTGAATGTCCCTGAGTCTCTTAGGTTCTTCTGGACTAATGCAGACGTTCTGTTGTGGACCTGCCTGACTCCAGCTGTATCATCTATGATTGTCCACCTCAGGCCTTGAGCTCCTCCACCTCTTAGGTTCCTCTGTAGTCATGAATGTGAAGATCATAAATCAAGAGTAAACTGCCATTGCACCTGCCAACTTTAATCAACTTAAATTAAACAAAGTCTATAGTTCCTTCTTTGTCCTCTACGTTGAAGTCGTATCCTCCTATTTAAGTTACTAACAAGATTTCTCTGAATGTCCCCGTCTCCTTCTTCTCTTAGGTTCATCTGGACTGTTGCTGCAGACATGAACGTCAGCCTCACCGACATTAATAACGTAAAGCTAAAATCAACTACTATTCGGCCTGCCGACTGTAATCACATCAAAGTAATTTCACATAGTCCATAATTACGTATATCCTAATCCTGTAAACTGAATTCCTTTTGTTTAATCTTTACTTACTCCGCAACCACAACTCTGTATGAGCTGTTGTTGTTTTTGATGTTGCTGTCTCTCTCTTTGTATTTCTCTTTCTTTCTTTATTTCTCTCCAGCCCAGCAGTGGCGAGGTGGCTGTCTTACATGAGTCTGGTCCTGCCCAAGGTTTCTGCCTGTTAAAAGGTAGTTTTTTTGTTTTTTTTCTTGCCACTGTCACTTATGATGGATGAGATGGGTCAACTCTGTCTCATCTGAAGGTTGGGTCTTAGTAATTCATGAGACAATGAGCGTGGTCTAGACCTGCTCTTTTTTAGGAGAGCGTCTTTGGATGACGACTGTTGTGAGTTGCAACACAGGGCAGTTTGACCTCTTGACACTGAATATTTTTGCTGCTTTTAATTGGAGATATTTTAAGTTGTGCCTAATCTCTTTTGTGTTAATGAACCTCCAGGCTGCTTTACAGAGGAACCTGTTCTTCTTTGGGGAATCACGTCCTGTCACTCTGTCAGGACTTTAGTTTCCACTCCTCTTTGACTGAAACGACCTCTTTTTAAATGTTGGACCTGCTTGTGCGTGACAGGTCAGTGACGACTGTTTGTTTGCAGCCTGTTAGAAGAGGAACTACACCAGAGAGCACAAGTGAGTCAAACTATCAACTTTCTTTTCAATTTGAGTCATAAATGGAATCAAATGTCTTTCTTTCTTATTTTCAAAAGCGAATTTTAAATATTTGAATAGTATTTTTTATGAAAATAGGCAATCCTGTTTCTGTAAAAGTTCAGTTTAAGTTCTGTGTCTTATTTATCTACGTATGTAACTGTATCTTGTGTTTGCTGCCTCTTGACCAGGACTCCCTAGAAAAAGAGGTTCTTAATCTCATTGGGATATTTCTTGGATAAATGAAAATAAAATCAAATCCAAGCCTTTCAAAATCAAATCCACAAGTCTGTCAGTGCAGATTTTAAAGTTTTTCATTCCAGGAACAAATTGAAGAATCAAAAGATAAAGTTCAAGAGAGATCACTTCATTTCAGAGCTTTAGCATTTACAAAGCAGTAGAAGTTACGACCTTCAAACTCGCACTGTGTTGTTGTAAAAGATCCATTATGCTGATTTCATCCTATTTATGCAAAGTTGAATTGCCCACCTTTGATGATGTGATATAAAGTCATGGTTTTATAGGTACAATCTGAAAACATTAAGAAGCATTCCTGAGGTAAGTACCTGAATGACTGAACTTTCAGCACATCGACACTTAAAAGCACCCGGTGAAAGTCACAGACACAGAGGGTTCTCGATTGAATCTGGTGGGTGGAGAGGTGTGGGTTCACTTCCTGGGCACTGCCAAGATGCACTGATTGTTTGAGGGGTTCATTTGTGCGCAGGCTCTAAATCTGCAAGTTTCTCCATCATGGGATGAATAAAGGTTGATCTTATCTGACATCTCTCTTCTATTCTATTATTCTTCTATTAAACAAGTTTATACCTCTTCCTACTCCTTTTTGCTCATGTAAGCTGAGGGTTGTAAAAAAATTAGAGGATTGCAGATTCAGCTACTGTTTTGTTTTTTGTTTTTTCTGTCAGTCACTTATTTGTATTTTTAACTGTTTTAAGTTTCATTTCTGTGATCGTAATAAATATATCTCTATGAATGTCTAATCAAGGTAAAATATGACATCTAAGTTGCAGGAAAAAAAGGACAGCTAATCAGACATGAAGTGGAGGTTGTCTGTTCTTCTGTTTTTCATGGGTAAGTATGAAAAAACAATTCCAAATATCCTCACCTTCTCTATGAGCGTCGAGACTTAGGCCTCTGGTGATTCTACAATGAATGATTGAATTTATTTCAAACATCTGTACAAAGAAAAAAATAAAATAAATAGAAAAGTGAATTTACAATAAAAAGCAGAATTTTGTTACATCAGAAAAGGGCAAAATCTTGAGAAAATTATGTTGACTGGTGCACGACTTACAACTGCAGGGGAAATATTTGAAAGGATTAGTCTAAAATGTTTGTACAAAGAGTCGTGCTTCTTATGGGATTAAGCCTAATGTCTCGGAATCTACCTCTAGGCAGGGTTCCTACGCAAGTATGGAAAAATATGAACGTAATTTGATCAATGTCCAGGTCTTAAAAAGTATGGTAAATGAAAAATAAGGTATTGAAAGATATTTATGTTTCCAGACTATTACCACAGTAATAAAAATACTGTTTTCTAAAATAGAAAAACAGTTATTCCCAAAAATAATTTTAAAAAGTAGGGTATGGAAAAGTATAGAAATTCCAACTATGTAGAAACCCTGCTCTAGGCCTTTCAGGTCTAAGAAAGAAATTTTGTTGTTGACCACATGTATATTCAATAAGATAAATAAAAGATGAAATATTAGCATAACCATATAATAAAACATATTGGCCTTGGTGTACCTTAGTCTTTACCAATTCGCATTTTTAAGCACACTAAAACACTTCTCTAAGATAACTCATTGATAAGTATAATTTAGTGTCATCTGCATAGCAGTGAAAGTTTATGGAGTGTTTCCTCATGATTTTACATAGAGAAAGCATTGATGGAGTAAAAATAATAGGTCCAAGTACTGAACCTAGTGGTACTCCATGGTAAACCTTTGTGTGCACTGAAGTTATTTAGTTTAAAGGTACAAAGTGGGATCAAGCTGGTTAGTTGTATCCAATGCAGCCCAGACGAACGCAGAGAGAAGTCCAAATCTTCAAAAGTAAGTCGGGTAAATTTGTTGTCTATCATCCCTTCCATCCACAGGGCTGTGTCCTCTCAATGTCTGCCTTCCTCCTAAGTACAACTTCATCAGTGAGACCCTGACTTGGTTGAAGGCACAGACATACTGCAGGGAACACTACACAGACCTGGCCACCATCTACGACATAGAAGACATGAACCGGCTTGTGAACACAGCTCAGGACTCTACTGGAGGCTTTACAGGGAAGGCTTGGATCGGTCTGCATGATAATCTAACCAGCTGGAAGTGGCCTTTTTCAAGCGTTAGATACTATGGAGAGAAAGAGGGTGACTACAGGAACTGGAACGTGTCTCAGCCAGACAACTTCCTAGGAAACCAGATGTGTGTGAGGATGATGAGAAGAGGGTTTTGGGATGACTTGCATTGCTTCCTGAAACTCACCTTCATCTGCTACGATGGTCTCAGTCCATGTTCTATTAATATATTTATGGTATGACACCAAGTTATACTTATGTATTGTTTTGTCATCAACACTGACTGATGTCCTTTTCGTCCTCAGGGTCAGCTGGTTCCACTCAGCGTTTCATTTTTGTCAGGAGGAAGTTGAACTGGTTTGACGCTCAGCGTTACTGCAGGAGACACTACACAGACCTCGCCAGGGTTAGGAATGAGGAGGAGAACCAGGAAATTTATCATTTGGCCAAAAACAAGACCGTCTGGATTGGCCTCCATAGGTCTAGAATGAGTCACATGAGTCAATTAGTTTGGTAATGTTATGTGTAACGGTCTAAATGCTTTAGCTAAGTTAAATCAATGTGGTTTTTTTTAAAGGAACCGGGAATGGTCAGATCAGAGCGACTCAACCTACCGCTACTGGAAGCGTGGACAGCCTGATAATGCTGGAAAAAAGGAAAACTGTACGGCATCTGATTTGGGCAATGCAGGTCTTTGGTCAGATGAACTATGCAGCAAGAAGCTTCCTTTTATCTGTTACGGGGAAAAAAGTTAGTGAGTTTGCTCTAGTTTTGGTGAAAACATTGAATTCTTGTACTTCTAGCTCTACGCTGTTTTAATTTTGTCATAACAAACCACAGATGTATCTCCAGCGCTTCTGACTTGGCTACTGTCAAGAAGAGATCTTCTATATACATGTGGTTTTTGACTTAAAGAGGATTGCAGTGCAAAAAGTTTTCTAAAATATTTTGTAATAAGGAGTTTTGATAAAATCTGTTCACATTATTTGCACTTTTTATTCTTTAGTTATTTATAATTTTGACATTGCAGAGGAAAAACCAGATGTGCCAGTTTTGTCAACCACTACAACAGACACCCCAAACAAGATAACCACTACTACTTCATTGATAACCTCATCTGTGAAGTCTCTGAACCCAGGACTTGGTCAAGCAGCATCCACTCCTGGTGAGACAAATAAACTTTTTGATTCCTGTTACATATTAATTAGAAATGGAAAGAAGCTAAACAGTGACCCCAGGGGAACGCCTCGTATGGTTTGGTTGGAGGAGGGAGATTTTACCTACCTTTTTAGAAAAACATTTCATGGCTTGCTAGAGTTCCAAGATTTTTGATGTATTTTTTTGAGTTGGAAATTTTTTATCTTGTCATTGTAAAAAATATTTGCTGTTATTTTCTAACAGAAGACACAAAGATGCAACAGATGTCCAGCTCAACAGTGACTCCAAACAAAGGAACGACCACCACTATAAAATTGACGACGGGTCATGAAAATTCAAAGATGGTCGTATCAACAGAACCTTCAATCCTAGATAGTTACCAAACAAAACCCATTACGAGTAAGTGTTTTACAACCTATGAATATCATACCTAATATATGTAATGTCATTACTTCAAACCTTGTACCATGTCTCCTTCCTGAAGGGGAAGCTTCAAACTGGCCACCTCTCAACCCAACCACCACCATAATGACCCCACATAGAGAAACCACCGGCACATATGTGTCAACCACTGGTTATTTTGACACTAAGTCCATTCCATTTGAACAGCCTTCAAACCCGGACACGGACCAAGCAAGACCCACCAGTATTTTAATTTTGTATTTATGACTAGTGAAAGGATAGTTTCACTGCTTTTCTCTCTTTCTTCTTGATCATTAACTACATATAAGTTTCCAAAAGTCACACTGACACTTTTCTTTGAATAGTAAAGGGTCTAAATAATCTATGATTTAAATTGGAATTCATGCTGTACTTATTTCTAAAACAATTTCATCAACTTTTGGACTTCCTTCAGACCTCTTGTGTCTAAATTGCCGTGACAACGTGCCAGTGCCTTGATATAAATGTCCATGTTCTCCATCCACAGGGTGTCCTTTCACAGGCTGCCCTCCTCATAAGTACAACTTTATCAGTAAGACCCTGACTTGGTTGAAGGCACAGACATACTGCAGGGAACAGTACACAGACCTGGCCACCGTCTACAACATAGAGGACATGAACCGGCTTGTGAACACGGCTCAAGACTCCACTGGAGGCTTTACAGGGAAGGCCTGGATCGGGCTGCATGACAACCTCACCAGCTGGAAGTGGTCCTTTTCAAATAGTGGATATTATGGAAATAAAGAGGGGGACTACAGGAACTGGGATTTTTTTCAGCCGGACAACTTCCTAGGAAACCAGATGTGTGTGAAGATGTGGAGAGAAGGGTTTTGGGATGACTTGCTGTGCTCCCTGAAACTCACCTTTATCTGCTATGATGGTAAGAGTTATGGATAAATACACAGTTACCGTAACATGCAGTTACCTTCCCACACTTACTGATGTCCTTTTCTTTTTCAGAGACAGCTGGTTCCACTCAGCGTTTCATTTTTATTGGGCGCCATCTGAACTGGACCGATGCTCAGCAGTATTGCAGGAGGCACTACACTGATCTGGCCAGTGTAAGGAATGAGAAGGAGAACCAGGAAATTCAACATTTGGCCAAAACCAGAAGCGTCTGGATTGGCCTCTATAGGTCTGGAGTTACATGGTGGTTGTTTGATGTAAAACTGATTAAATGCTTTAGCTAAGTTAAAGAATTTTTTTTTTTTTTTTTTAAGGACCCGGGAATGGTCAGATCAGAGTGACTCAACCTACCGCTACTGGAAGCATGGACAGCCTGATGATGCTAGGATAGAGGACAACTGCACGGCATCTGATTTGGGCAATGCGGGTCTTTGGTCAGAGGAACTATGCAACAAGAAGCTTCCTTTTATCTGTTATGGGGAAAAAAGTGAGTGATTTAGTTTCACTTAAACTATTTAACTCTTGTTTGTCTAGTTCTATGTAGTTTTATTTTCATCATAACAAACGACGGACGTATCTCCAGCATGTTTGACTTGGAAAACATCAAGAATACATCTTTCATGTCGCAAGTCTTTTTTTCTACAACCTCTACATTGCAGAAGAAATCCCAGATCTACCATTTTCATCAACCACTACACTCATTACCCCATACAAGGCGACCACCACCGAAGAAGACTTCACTGCTGCAACGACGACTTCATCTGTGCAGCCTCCAACCTCAGCACTGAATAACGTAGCTTTCACTCCTGGTAAGATGGATGCATTTGTTGCCAAAGTTGAAAATCAAAACTGTGATGATGTCTAGGTAGCTTCACATAGGCGAAGAAGAATTTCCTTATACTTGGAAAAAAGCCCCAAGGCACAGAGCTGGAATCTAGATGTACATATTTTTTCATTTCCTCACTGTCCTGTCTCTTTTGGACGGGTTTTTGTCGAAGTAGGACCATGGACATCTTTTAAATCATGATAATCATTGGAAAAGTACTGCAGTTTAAATCAAAAGAAAGTATGATAATTGAAAATAGAAAAGGCCATTTTGACCTTTGGTTAACTTGAGAAAGAACTGTACCATCTTAAATGACAAGTTCTGAAATTAGACCGCCTAGCTCTCATTGTGATGCTATACTGGGGCAAAAGTAGTCTACCCTCGAAACTAGTCCTATTAAATATTCTGGGTATTTTTGTCTTTACACTTAATTCTCTCAGTTCAATGACTACTTCATTTGAAGACCAAACAAAAACCATTACCTGTTAGTAGAACCGACTGTTTCCACACACTCTGTTTGAATTCAGTGTTTTATTCACTTTCTCCTCTATCACAGTGACTTTAAATAAAGGAACCCCGTCTGACACAAAACCCACGATTGGATACAGCAGTGCAGGGGTTAACCCGTTACACCAGACTGGTACTGTTACCAGTTAGTGAATTATATTATGTTTTCTTTTTTTGTAGTGAAGTCTTTGGATGTCTCCAAAACGCCAAACTGGACACTTTTTTCCACTTTTGTCTAAACAACAGAACCAAACCATGTTAAAATATAAGTGTATGTCATTGTGGTAATATTGCTTCCTTTATAACCATCTCTTTTCCACTCATTTTGAAGATGAAACTCCAAACAGGCCACATTTGATCACTTCCACTACAAGTACCATATTGACCCAGTATACAGGAACCACCACTGAATCCACCACTGGTGTCCCCCACAGTGGTTTCCCTTCTGAACAGCCGTCAACCCCACATACAAGATCTATTACAGGTGAGAAATAGCTCCTTTTACGTACTAATGGTGGTGCTTACCGAGCATCCTGTGAACCAACCGTCTCCACTCTGCAGATGAAACTCCAAACTGGCCACATTTGTCCACAACCACTAAAAGATGTCTGTGTCCATGCCACTGTACGGATCAGTCAGAATCATATGTCGTGACAGAGAACACATCACTTAGACCGCCTACAACTACAGAGATGGACAAGGACAGAACCGGGACAGAACCAACCGTCGTTCACCGTAGCACAAAGCACATGTCGATTGGGGATCCTCTATCCACACAATCCTACCAAAGACAAACCATCACCAGTGAGTAGATCTAGTTTTAAATGTCACATGTACAAAGTCTTTCCCATGTACATATAACACCAGAGAAGCAGGGCTATCACGGGGGTTTAGAAATTAGTGAGGTCAAGATTTTTGTCTCTGACACTATGTTCACAAAATCGATTTATTGCATCAGTGCAACTGAAACTGGACTTTTAAAATACTTGTGCAGCATACACTTGAGTTTGCCGATTGTTTTGGTACTTGAACTAGTTAGTCCCGTATCAGGGGTAAACTCCTAAGAACAACCTTAAAACACAGGTTCACCAAACAATGCCAGCGTCAAGTGAATAAAACTTCTTTTGGTTGTTTATTGTGAGACTCAATGAAGAAATTCTTTAAATAGACACAACAGACAAGAACCACTACCGGTGAGGAGGATTTGATTATAGATTATAGATTGGTTGTGGGTTGTTAAACCAAAGAGTATCCATTTTGCAGATGGGACTCCCAACACGTCACCTGCTTCCACTACCGTCATGACTACCACAGAGACCCCAAATGGATTACCGACCATAGACTCTGGATTAACAACTGGTCAAGCCAGTGAGGAGATCACCTCAAAAGATCGGCTTTCAACCACAGAAGTTGACAAAACAACAACAGTGACTCCAGAGAAAAGTGTCCAAACTGACATAAACCCAACCACCAGACCTATTTTCTCATCTAAACAACTTTCAACCCCAACTCAGAAGATGTTACCCACGTCTACGACTGGTCCCAGCATTACACTGACTCCTACTGAGAGAACCCTTGCCCAAAGAAAATCAACCTCTGCTCATGGCAGTATCAAGGAGACCTCATCTGGCCAAACTTCAACGACAAACGGAGACCAAACAAGACACACAACTGGTGAGCAAAATTGATTTGATTACATTCAGTATCTTTATATCAATTATTGCATCAGTCTGACTGAAACTGGGTTTATATAAATACATTGAAGAAAACCAGGTAATTTTGGGAGTTGTTCATGTTTTCACCATTTAACATACGACCAGTTAGCCACTTGCTAATTTGTGTGTTGATTGTTTTGGTGTATGACATGATTGGTCAGTCAAGAGATGGCCCAATAGCAAAGAGCTGAAAGAGGAACCATCACCATGCCTTTCTTCATATTTTGGTTCTCACTGGGTGGTTGTAAACTGGGACAAGGACAGTATTCTACCAAAATCAGCTAATCCAGCCTTAACCATAGATAGTTCTTCACCTATAGATGATTGATGGTTGAAATTCTGTAGCCTGAGAATCTCCATTTTGCAGGCGAATCTGAAAACTGGCCCCTGTCTTCACCCATCACTAAGGGTCCCCTAAATAAAGCTGCGACAAACAAGGTAGATTTAACAACTTTACATGTCAGTGGAGACAAAACCTCACTGAGCCATCCTGCAACCACAGAGCAAAGAAAAAACAGTGAGTTAAAGTAGACTTTGGTGATATTGATCAAGTTATTGTCAAGTCCAATCAATTAAAATGTTTCTGTTGCATAGAAGAAACTCCAAACAAGCCACACTTGTCCACGACCAGCACTCCAGTGACCCCAGTCAAAGAAACAACCCATCACAGAATACCAACCAGCATTAGTATCAGCTCTCCTGAACAACCCTCAACCAGAGAAGTTCACCAAACAAGGATCATGACCAGTGAGTGGCACAATTCTGTCTTGGAAACATATTTAACAGTGTCGGCCAACCCTTTTAATTCTGATGCTTTGTTATTGTCTGCTTCTATTGTAGAGGCACCAAACACCTCAATGATAGCAGCCACCACAGTGTTTCCAGGTAAAGGAATAACCCCCATCAGTCAGCCTTCAACCTCAGAGTCAGACAAAACAGGAGCTGTCACAAGCGCTTACGTGACAACTCCCGAAAAAAGGACCCGAGATGACCCAAAGCCAACCGCTGGTCCTCTTATCTCACCTACGCAGCCTTCAACCCCGACTCAGAACAAACCACTAAAATCCAAGACAACAGTCAACAGCAGAGTGACCACAAATGAGAGAACCAGCCCTCAAACCAAATCAACTATCGACCCTCAAAGTACAGAGATCAACCCATCTGAGCTGCCGTCCACCTCGCAGGTCCCTGACCCTCAAACCAGGACAAGTGAGTGATGTTGCTAATGGTCTTGTGTGTGGAATAAGCCACAGAGAAGCAACAAAACAATTTACTCATGGTTTAAAAGAGTTTTTGGTCACATCAAGGTTACAAGATAAGCAAATCAAAGGCACAGTTGACTTAACAGACAGGCAGTCGTACGAGGAGGATGAAGGCCTGTCTCTGGTCAAATGAGTCCCCTTACGTCTCCACAAAGACAGAGTTGTTGCAGAGAGAAATGTAATGTATGGCGGCTCGCTTCGGCAAAAAAAAGAATTTGAAAGCATGTTTTGAACCATAAATGCAGTCCTGAATTGTTGCATCTGTAATGAGTTATAAAATAATCTCTATTCAGGAAACAGTTCCTCTACAACCTTGTCATTGACTTATTTTTCCAAGATATAAAGATAAAATAACCACGTCTCAGCCACCTGTAACCGTAAATACTGTGGTTGCTTTACGAAGGTGAAATCCAACAGCGGCTGTTGACTTCCACCACCACCAAGACGACCCAAAACAAAAGATCTGCCACCAAAACTAAGTCAACAACTGGTGATGCTGATCTAGTGGTTACATCATTTAAGCCGCCCTCGATCACAAAAACCACTGCAAGTGAGTTAAATTGTTTTTTTAGTTCAATTGTGGATTGTGTTCTTGCAATGTGTGACCACTTGCATAAGTCTCTCCTAAACATTGTGGACTTCAAACCCCATACTTCTGTTTTTCAGCGGAAACTTCAAGAAAGCCACCTTTGACCACCATAAAAATGGAAATCCCAACTCCAAGACCTACCAGTGACACAAAATTGTCAACTGCCCACCTCAGAAAAGCCTCATCAGACAAACAACCAACCACAAAGGCAGACAAAACAAAAACCTCTATCAGTGAGTAACACTGATTTTAGTTATGGTAGCTAGAGTTCTGAGTCGTATAACTGAACCACCATCATAGTGATAAAAAGTAAAAGAACCACCATATCTCCTTATATTTCACAGTTAAAACTACGAACAAATCACTTCCATCCACCACCGAACCAAGCAGAAGAACCACAACTAACACGAAATCAACCACTTCTTATCCTAGAACAGAGTTTCCCTCATTTAAGCAGCCTTCAACCACAGAGGTCCAAACCAGAACCACTCTCAGTAAGTTAGACTGCTTTCTTCGTTTGAAAGATATTAAACAACTGGGAAAACAGTTGGGTTTTTACTTGATGGAACTCAAAACTACTCAACTATCTTGATCATAGAGATCCAAAACAAAAGAATTACTACTGATGTGGTCTCAGGGAAGCAGTCCTCAACAGCAAAGCAGGACCAAACACAGACTGTTACCAGTGAGTTTATGTTTTTACTCGCCCTGTGAATTCCATGTTTCCAGTTTGGTAATTAAACGTGTCAAACAAGACTGTTTTCTACCACCTCCTTAGTGACACCAGTTATAGAGTCCACCGCCAGAAGTGCAGAACCAACCACCGGTCCTGTCAGTTCAGAGCCTACCCACTTTAAAAAGCTTTCAACCCCACAAGTGGAACAAGCTAAACCCACAACAGGTAAGTAATACTGAAAGGGGGGCTTTCATAACTTTTTATTATGCTTACTTTTACAAGCATGCGTCCACTTTGCAGGTAGACCTCCAAATGTTCCACTGACATCCGTCCCTATAACCTCAGTAACCAAAAGAAAGGGAACCACAGCCAAGACTCAATCAACCACCAGTCATGTCAGCACCGAGGAGTACCAAACACAAACAACTACCAGTAAGTTTGATAACTTTTTAATGGTTCGATAATGGTTCAAACTGTTGGATGCCTTGTTAACATCATGACTACCACTACCTCAGACTCCCATAACAAAAGAACTACCACCAAAACTGAAAGCACCACTGGTCTTCTTCATACAATCTCCTCATCATCTGAGGAGCAAAAAGGAACTGTTACCAGTAAGTGGATCTACTGTACTCGTTAATTCCCAAGTTTAATTAACGGTTAAAATTTTGACCTATGTTGTTACATCATTTTTTTCCATTGAGCAGCTGGTGATCCAAACAGGCCACTTTTGTCCTCTTACACTACCAGCACCACACTAAACCCAATAAAGAGAACCACTAATGGCGTTGAAGCAGCTACTGACCATGTCAGTACAGAGAAGACATCGTCTGAACCGCAATCAACCACCGAGGTTCAGCAGACTAGACCCACTACCAGTGAGTGACATTTCTTGTCTCGTCTTCCTGTAATGCTAGTGGTTACATTGCACCTGATAAATGTCATTATTATTTTGAAAATAAAACTCTGAACAAATAAGTTGACGCTACCATAACTGTCACCACTTCAGCAACCCCAGGTCTAAGAGCTACCACTGAGACAGAACCAACCAGTGATGGTCAAAGCACAGAGATCACAACATTTGGACAGCCTCCCACGAAAGAAATCTACCAAACAAATATGATAACTGGTAATTATTTTTACATACAGCTACCTCGCAGCTAAAATGTGACATATGTTTCCCATATTTTAGCATTTTAATAAACAATACACAAACTTATGCTAACCCCTAAAAAACACAATCTATATGTACTTTAATTTTGAAGACTAAAGAATTAAACCCTGACTTGGACATAGTGAAGTTGGCTCTAAGGAGGCAGTTTTTTAAAAGTCCAAGGGGACCGAGTAATGACCCCTGGGGAACACCTTAGCCTATACTGTATATTTCCTGCTGCTTTATTTTCCTTTAGGATACGACTTAAAGCTACAGCTGTTTATTTTATCTTCTAAAATTTACTCTGTGTTGTTGTTTAAAGATCTAATGTGACTCCAAATTATTCGTCTTTGTGTCCAATTTTTAGACCGAACTCCTTCACCAGCTATAACTGCGACAAAAAGTGAAGAGACCACTTCTGATAGTCAACCAATCACTAGCCTTTTAAGCACAGTCTTGATCTTAACTGGGCAACCTTTGACCTATGGGACAGACCAAACAAGACCTTCACCCAGTGAGTTCCATTACATATTATACATTTTCACTGGTAGCAGGAATTGTGAAACCACATATGTGAGTTAGGTTTTTGTTTAATTTACAGGTTCATTAGGGTTGTTTTTAAATTTATATGAATTTTGTAGGTGAAATGCAAAAGACGCACCATTTATCCATGACCACAACCACAGAGCATAGAGTGACAACCATTGAGAGACCCTCAACTAGCACAGAATCCACCTCTGGTATGTCAAGTGAATCACTAATGGAAGAAATGGTTCATTAAAAAATTGGCCTGAAACCTTGTGATTAACTTAAGTCCAAATCTAATTTCCCAATCCTATAAAAGAAAATTCAAACTCACTCGTTGCCACGTCAGAGAAGCCTTTCACCCCAGATGTGGACCAATCGGGACTCTTTACTGGTGAGTAAAACTTCATAATTTTCACGAACGGGGATATTTCCATGTCTTTTGCATCCTTTATTGTAATTTTGCCGATACATTGCCCAACCAGACAGCCTACTTTCAAAACAAACTCATCAACCACAGGATTCCAAATTCAGCAGTTTTTACTTTTAAAAGTGGAGCAAATGTGACACATTTCTTAAGAGGAAAACACGATTCTGTTGCTCATTCAAATTTTATGTTTATCTATTTAGCAATAGCCAAAGTTTCCATAAATGTTATTGCTTGTAGACGTTGCAATGGTCGTGCCAAAGTTGACCCAGTTCCCGACTTTAAAACGGCCATTTACAAACTTTTACAACACTGCGTTTGTGTTTTTCCGGAAGTAATTCAGTCACGGTTGTTTGTTTTTGGCAGATTATGTGGTTATCCTGGGAGTGAAACTTACATCTGAAACACAGTTGAGTGAAGATGACCTCAAAGAGTTGGTAACAGTGCAGGTGAGACGAGAAGATGAGACCACTTAAAGCAGTTAATGTTTTTTCTTTCTTTTCCATTTTGAATATAAAGCAGTTGATCACATTACTTGCTCTGAAGTTTGATGTAGCATTTTATAGTTGAATTGCGAATTGAAATCTTTGTGCTTTGCCAGTTTCGCAATCTCCTGATCGAGAGAGGCCTCCCTCCGACCATTAAGGTTGGCCTGATGAGACGACTGAAGTAACGACAAAGTAACGTGAATAAAAGCACCATGAAAAAGAAGAGTCTGAAGTTGTGACAAGGACGGTGATCTTAATCTTTACTACCTGTTTTTTTGCACTTAAAAACACAGCAACGGGTATTGCACCATCTCTAAAAAAAAAAAAGTGACTTTTTTTGATTTGCTTAAGTTTTTAATTTCTTCTTGCATCATGTATATACTGTATGTCTTTTCAATTTCTAGTTTGATTGTTTCACAATAAATCTCCTTTTCTTCCAGAGGGCAAACATGTCCGTTGTTGCTTGTATTTTCATGGGGATTCATTGAACACTCTTGACTTATATGCAGCCAGTTAGCTAGCTAGCCATGCTTTTTTAGATATAAAAACATTCCATTTGTTGAAAAAGATTTCCTGAGAAAAGACCCAACCTGGCTGCTTGTTGACCAAAAGGAGGTCAGAGCTGGTTCACAATAAAACAAAGACATAAAATAAGGCACATGCTGGAATTACAGCAATAAGATAGTTTTACAAGATATTCTGGGGTCATGTATATCGAGTCCAAAGAGATAAAAGAGATAAGGAAGGGACAAGCCCCAACTGCCACCCTGGCAGCAAGACTTCAGAATCTTACAAATGGTTTTACCCATTTTTGTGTTGCTCGGGTCAATTTTGAATCTCTTTTGAAGCTGTATGTAAAGGTGATGCGCCTTGTGTGCTTAGTACCCACAAACTGCTGGAACAGTTTGTGGGTACTAAGCGCACAGGATTACAGTGGTTTCAGAATTTCGTCACATCAGAAAATCTCATACAATCCTAGATAACTGGACAACCTCGATTTGTCCTCCATGACCAGCACTTTATAGAGGCTCGTGGTTTTCCAAGACCACAATAGAGTTGCACAGTGACTTTTTATGGCTTTATGGTGAACTCCAAACAGTGAGTGGCAGAAGTAAAGCAGAGGCGTGGACGATAGGCAGGTATAAATACCAGCCAGCGTACATCTACACCGAGAGACAGATTTGGACATTTCTGCTTCTGTTTTTTCAGGATTCAAACTAAACAGGTGAGACTTTTTTTATTGCTTAAGAATAGCTTTGATAACCTAAGTTGTGTTGACTTTAAGATCAATTATATAAGTATCTTCTTTAAGGAGCCTCAGTGTGTTTACATAATGTCTATCACTCAATCAGACTCGAACTAGCCAGCCAATTGGAAGCTCAGAGTAGTAAGGGTTGTTATCGTTCCTCATACACCTTGTTAGCCTCTTGCTTACTCATTTAGTCAATCGTTTTAATTAACCTGGAGATGGACCAAGGACAGTCGTACGGTTAGATTCCAGCTTTGACTATAGCACAACTTAGCTATGCATGTAAACATACTGAGTTATTTAACAGTCTCTGCTATTGCTAGTTGGAAATGTAGCCACCTAGCATAGTTTACCAGAAAAAAATGACAAATTAGAAAGAGGCTAACTGGTTGTTTACGGCTCTGATCAATTTGTACGAACTTTCCTAACCTCCTCTCTTCTACTTCCTACCCAGCTTTCTTCAACACATTATCCTGATCAACTTCCAGGTTAAAACCTGGTGTGCTAACAGTGGCGCTAGTGGAAAATGCTTAGTCCAATTGTCTGACTAAGGACCAAGGTATGTTGACAACAAGAGAACCTATGGAATATTTCCAACGTCCAGATACTGGATTCTGATTTCTCTTGACTAGTTGGATAATGTCTTGGTTTTATAAATTAATCATCTTGAGTATGAAAAGCATTTACTTTCATTTTTGTGACCTATTTTTGCCGGTTGTAGTTCTTGTTTCAGGAAAGCAAGAAAGAAGAAAGACAATGAACGGGTCGGAGGCTCTTAACCTCAACGTGGAGACCAGCCTCCTCTTCGGCTTTCCTCACCACTCGGGTGCGGCTGCCCGCTCCTTGGAAAGAGCTTTTATGACTAACAATGCAGCTCTCAGTTTTCTTCTGATTGGTGCAATCTATGAGTTCTTTGACGTTCTGGCTCTCATAATTACTGTGTACCGCAGAACAATCTACATTGAAAACCTCACAGTGTACGTGGTGTCTCTGACCTGCACCAGCATCCTCCAGGGGCTGTTCTCACCCATAATTGTGGTGGCGTTGCTGAGTACAACCTGTTATTTGAAATATTGTCAACAACTGATAAATGTTTGGCTGGCGACCCGACGATTTGGCGTCCTTCTTCACCTGTTGGCGGCGCTTGAATTCTTACTGATCCAGAAGCGGTCGTACTTAGGCAGCAAACTTCTAAGCATCTATTGTACCGTGCCTGTCATCCTCACGTTGAAACTCATTTGCACGGTTTTTGTTGAGGTTCTTGGAGCTGCTGTGTTTTTGGGTGTCATTGCTTTAGCTCTGACTTGTGGAATATCGATTCTTGTCATCCTCTCCCCTGAAATTAGGAACAAACGCACTTTGCTAGTTGTTTTGTTTGCTTCCGTCACTTTTGTCGTTACCTATGGTCCAAGTTTTGTCGTGGAGTGCATGGCCCTCAATCTTCAGAGTGTACCTATACACCTGTATCCCACTTTTCTGTGTTTGACAAACATGCGGTTGATGATGGATGGATTTCTGAGCTGGGTAATATGCAAGGAACCCCGACAAGCAGCTCCACAGCAGCTGGTGGTGGGGCAGGTGAACCTTGATCCTGCCAGCCAGGTCCCAGACTAAACCTGGTGAAGGAAAGTCCACAAGTCCTCTGACACAGTTTTTCGGTGCAAAAATCCAGACCAGAGCGTTTTTTCCCCGATGAAAGTCAACATTTAACATAAAAACAAAACATCTGACAGTGATTAGTAAGTAACCAGCTGAAAAGAGAATCTGTCTATGATTATACATCTATAAAAAAGCCATATTTACTTTTGAAAGTATGCTAGTGGGTCAAGCAACTCAAACATCCTGGTTGTTTACTTCAGCTTGTTGAAATCGCTTCCGTAAACTGGTTTCGAAACAGGTACAATCTTTGTTAATCATTATTTCATATTAAATTAGCGATGTGTTTGACTTTCTATAACTCATGTGCTTTTATTACTTAAAGGTCTGCTCTCAACTTAAAGTCCATAATAGACAGTTTCTCCTTCCACAAACCCAGCAGACCCCAAACAGTTTAATGCATATCACAAAATATCAGACTTGAAGATTAACGATGCAAAAATGCTTCGAATTTTCAAGAAAATATTTTAAATTTTTGGTAAAATGAACTTCTTTTTGCTATTGTCTCTGATCACAAGTCACCAGAATGTCAATCAACACATTTTTTTTAAACGAGAATTTGACTGTATTGAGCAAAAATGTGAAGATGTATGAGAAGTTGCTGCTTTGACTTGGAAGTTATGAATAATAAAGAAGTTTTTGATTAAACTCTAAGTGTTTATTAGATTAGTTTGGTTTATTCTTAAAGCTCCCAAGAGGAACTTTGTGTTAATTTTGATGTCCCGTGTGGACGAAGTAGTCTTTTGTGTCTTCATGTCTTCCAGTCTTTCAACTCCATTACCTACAAACTTTTTCACCACTTTCAGTTTGAAAAAAGAACTTTTAATTTCTTCCTGTCACCAGACCCAATTCATATGAGTTGTAAAATGACAGTTTATGAGTACTTATACTTCGGCAATCACTCATGTCTCGGGGAATGATTGTCACATCTGGATTCAACTTTGAGCACATGACGTTTTGAATGTCCCCTTACAGAAAATTCAGGTCACAGAATCACTGTGTCATTAAATCCTTTAGAGCTTTATTTTCATTTGCCAAAATCAATCCAGAGTTGTTTTTCTTTCACTAAAAGTGACTATTAGTGCTAAAATAAGAAGGCATCTGTGAGCTAAACAATCACTTCACCTCGTCTTTTCAAAAAAAAAAAACATTCAAATGAGCCCCTCCACTGATCAACAGTAACCAAATGTCCTGTCCAGACATCATGTACATATTGCAGTGGTCTACTGCAAACCAAATGTACAAAAGTTTTACATTCACAAAGACTCATCAACATGTCTAGAGCATAAAGAAAACCAAAAACCCGATCCTTGAAAGATTCTCCTCCTTTGGTATTGGAAGATTCCACAGCCCAGGATCATGTAGCTCTCCTACTGCATGTTCTAGTAAACATTCATTTATGTATTTTATCTTTCTGTCACATGTTTCCTCTGTTGCAATGGTGCAGGCTGGCTTTTTGACTTAGTCTGCAGCCGGTCACCAGGGGGAGCTCTAAAGGATCTAGCTTTACTCAGGGTGGCTGTTGTTCCTGTCTTGATTTTATAAAAATCTGTGATACTAGCAAATCTGCTTTACAGGTAAAAAAAAGGCAACGGTTCCTCCTCTGCAAAAATGTCCTCGCTTTTAAGTTGTGAAATTTGTTGGTCCTCACATATATACAAAAACAAACAAAGAGAGGTACACTCACTTCAACTCATTTTGTTTTTATCAGCTTCAGTCTGGCCTTAATCCTCGACTTAGACCAACAGAAAAAGAATTTTGAAAACAGAAAAACTGGAAATTTAAGCTTTAAGGTGAGAAAAAAAATCACACAGTTGTAATTTGTGAATTAAATACTAAGATTTTTAATCAGCATGGGAAAAATTTGACAACATAAGTGAAATCAGAAAAATCCCCACTTTGCAAAATGGTCCTCATTGTAAAGTTGTGAAATAGCAAAAGTCCCATAAAGACACATAAACAAACTCGCACACACACAGATTTTCATGACTTCATTAAATCCCCAAACCTTGAAAAATGCCACTCATATAGAAGGAAATTAGTGTGACGGCTTCAACCATCACCGACAAAAAATGGACTGATTTTAGAAAAATTAAAAATCAGAAAAAGGCAAATATGTCCTTTTTAGGTTGAAAAGAACAGTCCCCACAAATATTCATAAGCAAACACAAACATTAACACACAAGCACATATCTTCTAGATGTTGTTTATTTCCAAATACTTTCAATTTATGAAATAAAATTATATAATTCCAAAAAACTTCACATTATAGTTTTTGGAATATCTTAAAAAATGTCTTACATAGACGAAGTTCCTTTATTTGGTTTTTAGTTTTACAAAAATAATCATTACTTTGTCGTGAAGATGTTTACTATGTGCTCGTTTCTGTGTATTTGCATGTGTTGTCTTGAAGTTGGCAGTGCGTTGAGCTCCATAGACATGTGCATACTCCAAACAAACATTTCCTCTTTAAATTCTTAAACCCAACAATCATTCTCACTGAGATTTAAAGTGCAAAACTAAAACACACAAACATTGTCTGGTGGTCACGGACCATTAAATATCCAAACACAGCATCAGGAAAGGAGACACAAGACTAAATTTTGCTCAAATTGGCAACACAAGGAAAGACGGTAGGAGCACTTTTACAGGAATACATGAGTGTTTTATGAATTCTGATTTATTTACTCAGATTTTTTACTCGTAAATTAAACGATTGAGCTGCTTTTGTCTGATAACAGCAGATCATGGAGGGAAGTTTCACGAAACTGCTTATCTTAGGTTTGTACCTCTCTCCTAAAGTCTACATTGTGCTCTTTAAAGCTTTTTTTTTCATGTTTTTTCCCACTTTTTATTCATGATTTGACATTTACTTTACAGGCACATTTCTTATTATTGTGGACGTCATCCCAAAGACAGGTAAGAAAATGTGTTTTCTCTATAAAACAAAGTAGTAACAGCGTTATAATCATAATTAATTAAAAAATGACAGCTGAAAGTTTGTAATGATTGAAAGTTAAGCTTTTTTACTCGTATTTGAAACACTTTGGTGGTTTAATTACAGGTGTTGTAACCTGAAACGTACCTGCGATGCAAAAACTATATTAGGAGATACACTGAAACATTTGTGGTTGTATTTGAGAGACTAATATCGACCATTTCATTTAAAAAATAGGCTCCACATACTACATCCAAGAGTACATCCTTGTCACTAACACGAAGTTGACCTGGACTGATGCCCAAAGCTTCTGCAGAACCAAGTACACTGACCTGGCCACCATATCGAGTGAACACGACTATAATGTTGTCAAATTAATGATCAAAAACTGGACCGAAGCTTTCTGGATCGGTCTGTACGATGATGTCGACAGCTGGAGATGGTCTCTTCAGATTCAGATTCCGAATTTCAGAAGTGTGGTGCAGGACTACAGGCACTGGCAGGCAAACCAGCCGGACAACGCAGAGCAAAGAGAGTACTGCGCCTCCATGATGGGGGACGGCTTCTGGAGGGATGACATCTGCTGGTTGGAAAAGCCTCATATTTGTTACAGAGGTGAGTCCAGCTTTTGTCAACTGAAAAGAAAGAGTCAAATCCCCCATAAATGTTTCTTTAACCTTAAAGACCTGATCCTCAATTCTTCTGTTTTTCTTCATATAGATGGTGAAGGTGATCAGTACGTTCTGATTGTCGAAAACAAGAACTGGTACAATGCTCGAAACTACTGCAGGCATCATCACACAGATCTGGCCATTGTGAGGACCTCGGATGAGAACCAGATCCTGAAAAGCAGACTACAGGACAACCAGAATGTCACAGAGGCCTGGATCGGCCTGCACCGAGACTCTTGGAAGTGGTCGAATGGCAGCTCGTTTCTTTTCAGACCGTGGCAGGAACACCAGATTAACAATCAAAACAACTCTCGACCATGTGTTACCATGCGAAACGGAGGATGGAACAACTGGGCGTGCAGTTCCACATTCAACTTTCTCTGCCAAAGTACGTCGAAAAAACAGATCTCGTGAGATATAATGCTTTCTCAACAGCAAATTAGAATTTAGACAGGGTGAGCAGGACCCTGATTTAATGCTACCATAACTTTCACGATTTTGGCGTTCAAGACCAGCCTGTGCATCAGACTAAAGAACTGAAAATTGTTGTTTTTGCACCAACGTCAACAGACAGAAGTAAAAAAAATTTGTGGAATCTGGTCATCACTCCTGTGTCCCGAATTTTGATAATTTCTCAAATATCTTATTAATTACAGTAAAATCCCAGTGTAAGAACCACCAGTATATTGGATACAGTAATTTTTATGGTGTCTTGAGGACGTTCATTGTATTCAGCAATGTGCTGTTTTTATGCAACTGCGAAGCTACTTTTTAAATATGTTATTGCCACCTTGCCATGCGTTCATAGGACAGCCTATGGTAGATAGTTGATAGTTGTGAGGTAATTTTCCTAAGACCTGTGCCACCCTTTAGACTGGTCATTCATTATCTTAAATCGAAGAGTCTTTTCAATCAAAACCAGCTCTCTTTAGGGTTATTTGCACTAAGTTTAACAATGTCTTTTTAAAATACATGATTATAGCCGAATGAGGAACAAAATTCTGGCCTGTCCGGGTGTGTACCCAGCATGCTTTATTGAAGTGATTGCATATTTCTTTGAACTCCATCTACTGGGTAAAATAATGTACTACAACAGTATCTGTCCCTGCATTTTGAACCAGTGAATAGGAAACATCTAATTTTTTTAAATGACAAAACAGTAAAAATGTGCCTCATACACCTGATTTTTAAGACAGTGTGTCCCATTAGTTCCTAATAAAATGCTGCGGAAAGTACAAAATAATTTTGCTGATTTTAAGGTCCAATTCCTACCTTTTGAAAATAGTCAGCATCACCTTGAATTGGCTCATAAAGTAGACAATTTTTGTTTTGTTTCTCATTTTCTCTTCTTTTCCACAGAGATAACAGTTTCTGAAACCACTCCAGCTCCAGGGACTGAACCTGCCACCGTCCAACCAGGTGGATAAAACAGATCATTAAAAATCTATTGATTATTGTCCAGTTATGAAAGATGTATGAGAATAAGATTACGTTTTATACAACAGTAAAAGAAACTGTTATAATTACAAGTTCTCTATGAATATGACTTAATAATAATATGATGCAGTAATTTCTTACAGTCGGGAAACGAAGGATTGCACTGAAGTTGACATTATCGTCTAACTTGGACCTCACAGATCCAACTGTCCAGAATACGCTCATTCAGCAGGTAAATCAAACATTTCTGTCTGCATTTAAAGTATTTGTTTGTTGAGTCTACTCGTGTTTTACCTTAAAAATCTGCTTCTTCTGTGTTTATTTCTTTTAGTTTGGAGACACTCTTGAATTGCAGGGTTTATTTGATGTGGAGTTTCTCTCGGGGTCTATAAGCGCAGTGCCGCAACTGACAAACAGAGGTAACAAGGGTTACATCTTGATTCAGAATAATTTCATATCATTTATTCAGGCTAAACTTGCATTAGCTGAAGTGAGAATTTATTATTCAGTAGATAGATTTGCTGTAGAAAATTTACAAAAGGCTGTTCCTCAGTGGACCTGCCCAAGAATCAAATAATTGACAGACGCGTGTCTGCCTATTGCTCCAGTAGGTGGCGACACACTGAGAGTGGTTGATAAAGTGCGCTTTACATTTGTGAAATGATGTTTATATTGTGAAGAATTTCTCTTTCTTCACTGACCTGCTTTGATTTTTTGACCAACAGATGAATGTGGAGAGGAATAAAAGCGCACACATAAAAGTTGGTGTGTCATCTTCAAGGTTTCCTGAAAATGGGAGATTTGTGTGAATGCTTAAGTGAGAATTGTACGAATTTCATTAAAGTGATTGAATTTTGTCCAGTATTTAGCGGGTAGATGTGACTTTTACTGTAATCAATAAATCTATGATAACATAAAACAGTTGGTGCGTCTTTAAATTCATCATCATCAGGTATCTGTACTAGGCCTGGACGATATAGAAAAAAAGCATATCGATAAAAAATAAATCATATTGATCGATATCGATAATTATCAATATAATTATTATAATTATTTAACATATATTTTAATTGCAGCCCTGGATGTGTTATGCTATTGCTTAATGACCTACTTTTAATAAAGAACACACAAGCACTGAATTCAAATTCAAACCTTTATTCAACCACCTTTTTTTTTTTTTACCACAACTGAAAGTTTTTTAAAAAAGAACTTAAAAAAAAAAAAGAAATCAACTTAAGTGGCCTGAGTGACGTCAGTAAATACTGACAAACATAAAGACTAAAGTGACCAGAAAATCTGTTAAATAAATATTTAAATAGTCTTTTGATGAAAATAAACAAAACAAACAAATATACAAATAAACAGAATAGCTTTAGGTGGGAATAGCATACTGCCAGTTTTAACTGTGTGGGAAACTGCCCACAACCTGGTGTCTGAACACTGAAATATTTCTCCCGGGGTCGGGAGATTTATTTTTTTTAATTATCATGTGATTGACTTAATACGCAAACTGAGCACGAGAAGCATGACTTATCCACGCCGGTGTTGTGTCGTAGAATGCATCCCTGCCGAATGCACCCCCTGCTAGTAGTCATGATCCAAATACTCGCGTCTTTGTGAGCTTTATGAGCTCATTTTCTTCCACTTTAGCTAATGAGTGGACGGGATGCAGGGGTGCATTCTACGGCATAACACCGGAACGTATTTCCTCCGCACCCTTCTCACCTTTTCTACCCCTGACCCGTTTTCATGCCTGAAGCGCTGTGTTTGAGAAATACTTGCGGCCGGGCACTTCATATCGCGGGTCGAGAGTGGCTAGAAGCTGTTTGAAGCCAGGCTTTTCAACGGTAGTTACTGGCAGTATGTCCCTCGCTATGGATCATGTTACTGCATGGGTGATGTCCTTATGCCGCTTGGACGCTTTGTCGTATTTTTGGAGAGAAACGAAGTCCAGTTTGGTCTGCTTCACATGCTTTGTGCTGGTGCTGGCAGTGGTTCCAGAGGATTCCTCCGACGATGACGTGGAGCCGCGGCGCGGCCGACACAGCTCGTACTCCTGCGGGTGCGACCGGTTTAGATGGTAAAACAAGTTGATTGTGTTACCAGACTTAGTTTTTACTAATTCTCTGCAAATTTTGCAAACGACCGCTGTTCGCTTTTTGTCAGACTTCTAAAAACCAAAACACTGCCATGCTGGTGAACTACTGAAACCTTTTTTCGGGACAATGTCCTCCGCTTCTCCTTGCTGTAACATTATTTCTAATACACGTGCTGTCTGTTGTGGTTTGAGAGGGGCTGGGCTTGGTGCCGTAGCGTACCTGGATCTGCGTTTGTGATTGGTTGGGAGGAAGTAATGACTGTAGTGAAAGCTACATGATAGGCTATGATGAAAAAGAAAGGGAAACTGTGTTTTTCTATCGAACTTTTTATCGACCCGTTTTTTTTCTATCGTACCACACATCTATCGATCGATATATATTGTTATCGAATTATCGTCCAGCACTAATCTGTACGATACAAACTTTCACTTTCTTCTATTTCTATGCTTTGGACTTTGGTTTGTGTCAAGTTTGGCGCCCCCCTGTGGACAAAACAGTCTAAGCTTGTCTTGTTCGGTCTTTTAACATCAAATCTCATCCTTCCAACTTTTGACATTTAATTGTGTTAATATATCGTGAATGTTGTAGAAGGAAATTGTAAAAACAGAGGAGTATCTTCAGCTTCTCAGCTGATGCCAACTCCCCTCACACCAATTTCAGAACCATCAGTCTTGTTTGCTTTTGGAGATCATGAGAAGGCACATATATGAGTTTTAGTCTATTTGACAGGAGCTTTAACTGTCAGCCAATAACTTTGAAATAACAGAAAAAGTTCGATGATAGTCACTGCCGACACAATCAACACAAACACAAGGGTGGGCACCCAAACAAGCTGCCGTCTGAAGTCCTCCGGTAACCAAATCTGCTGAAGTTTCTTCCTCTCTGCCGGCCGAGTTTTGCATGAAAATGAGATGAAAAGTTAGAAATATTTCCATAAGTTTTCCCAACAAACATCCTGAGCTTCTCGGTGGAGTTAGTTCTGAAAGGTTTCAACAACATGAGGTAAGTGTCTGTCAAAGATATACACGCTATAATAATAATGTAAAATGCTGTTTGTATAGAAGTGTGAGACTAGGCTCTTTCTTTGTTTTCTGCTCTCAAACGTCGTTTTAATTCTCTTGTTTTAGGGAGATGGTTTTGCTGAAGAGAGTCACCTCACTCATTGGTAAACACGATCAATGAACTCCTGCAGGAAGATTTTTAAAAACTCAGTCGACTAAAGAACCTTTCTGATTTTTTTCCTTTCACAGTGGCTCTCCTTCTGTTTGAGAGGACCGTTGCAAATCAGAGTAAGTAAATGAGGAACATGTCCTGAATCGAAAAACAAACATTGAGACTGCTGAATATTTCACTGCGAAAACTAAAGTTTGTGAAACTCTACCAAAAGCACCTCAGCGGTACCACCTCATCAGCCGCTACCTCAACTGGTACGACGCCCGGGCGTTCTGCAGGGTGAAGTACTCAGACCTCGCCACGGTCAACAATATGGACGACAACCACCAGCTTGTCCAGGCCCTGAAGGGTCATGTGACTTACAGCTGGATTGGGCTTCTGAAGGGAGGCCAGCGCAGGTGGATGCTGTCTGATGGTAGCGGTGGGGCGCTGTTCTACAGGTGGATTGAAGGCGAACCTTCGGGCGGCGAGTGGTGTGTGGAGTTATTGGAGGGAGACAGCTGGAATGATTTGTCGTGTGGCGAAGAGAAAGGTTTCGTGTGTTATGAACGTGAGTAAATCAGACATACGTAACATATCATCTGGTTAGTTAGCTTTTCTGATGTTGTAACTTCGGCTGATCACGATTAGCTGTTATTGCATGCTTAAAATTTCGATATTTTGCATTTCGGTACAGTTTTTGAGATATAAAGCAATTACATCTAGTGTCTCGATTGGGGAATCGCATCAATGCAACTAAATCGACTTTACGAAAATTAATTTTGGAGTCAAAATCTAATCAGCCGTCCATCTCGGTTGAAAAGTGACTAATGCGGCGATCTCCGAGAGGCTCAGTGGGATGATATAATCAGCATTGGGACCAAAACTTGGTCTACTTTTGAGCCACTTTGTTCCAGACCATCATTGTGTCACTTCATCTATCATCCCCTTGACAGTAGCCGGGTTTACATGGCCACAAATAACCAGACTTAAGGCCCGATCGGAATAAAGATGCTACACGTAAACAATCGAATTGTATTCCGATTGAGAGGGGTGGTTTATGCCGATCGTTATTCCGAAATGCATCCATGTAAACACCTATTCGGATTGTGACTCTTGAACCTGACTCATTCATCAATCTTAGTACCTTTGACTTATTTAGTGATGCCAGTACAGGAGGTCCGATGACATAACAAGGCGTACATACAGCGTAATGATGTGCAACCTTTTACAGAACAGTGAAATAAGTACGCAAGGGCGCCATCTAGTGACAACCTTTAACGGGGGAAAAATCCTGAACTGGATGGAGTGAGCCACTACTGCGTTTGTCTGTTTGTTCATTGACAGCACAGGTGTAAGAAACAACTCTTCTTCTGTGGTTGTTTTAGCGAAATCAGACAACTCAGCACGTGTCCAAATGCTTCTAATCTGAATAAAGTTTTGGCGCATGTAAACGTACGTCATGATTGGATTAAGAAATTTTGCACATATAAAAGTTCTTGGCTTCTATCCTTCAGGGATGTCCTGGGGGAATGAATAATTACCATGAGATAAATATTTTATTCGCATCTGTGTCTTTAGGTCAAAATGGCCAAGACAGGTTCGTGTACTACTCTGAAGCGAGAACCTGGGCCAACAGCCAAGATTTCTGCAGAAGCCGGCACACCGACATGGCCAACGTCAACAGCGAGCAGGACAACACCGACATCGTAAACTTAATCAAAACATGGCACGGCGCTGTGGTTCTAGAAAACAGAGTGTGGATCGGTCTGTTCAGTGATGCCTGGATGTGGTCCGACGGGGGACTAACCTCCTTCAGGTACTGGCTGAGCGACAAGCAGTACCGGGAGGACTGCGCTTTGGTTTCAGGACATAATCAAGGACGCTGGGTTGATGCTCAGTGTAAACAGGAGACCACGTTTGTCTGCCAGGGTGGTGAGTATCCATTCATGGGTTTGTTTTATTTTGAAGGAGTTAAAGAGATATTCCGGCGTAAAATTAATTTAGGGTCAAACACACCGTAACACAGAGTTAGACACCCCATCCAGAGATGAATGTTGACGCAGCTCAAGGAAGAACATTTATGGTCATTTCTTCATGGAAATACAATCAGACCGAGACGCTAAGGCAGAAGAACTACCGCGTCTGCAGTGCAAAATGATTAATATGATGATTATTACTTTAAGGTAATGACAAAGAAATGATCATAAATGTTCTTCCTTGAGCTGCGTCACTCCGCTGTTGTTGGTAAGCAGCTGCTAGAAGAGAGTAGGTGAGTTGTGTTTAGTGTGTTTTCTAAAGAAATCAGGCAAAGTTAAAAAGATGTTCGGTGACTGTGACCCTATATGTCCTGTTGATGAAGTTAGGTGCTGTTCTGAGCATTATTTGTGGCTATAGAGTAGCATTTTGGTTGAGGTTTGTTTATGGCTCCTCAGATCTCTCTGTATTGCTATCGTGCGGTCGTTACTAAAGTTGGTATAACTAGAGAAGCGAGCGGTCGGCAACATTCATCTCTCAACGGGGTGTCTAACTCGGTATTAAGGAACTTTCTATTCGTGTTGACTCTGGCGCCCCCTGTGGACAAAGTGATGCCCCTGATCTGTTCACTGATTTTGAGTTTTCAGACATAAAAATCCCATCCTGCTCTCTAAAGACAGTAAAATGCTTCACTTAGTATGAGAATTTGTCGTTTTTGTAGCTTTAACGCGACCGCACTGACACCTACCCCGCCCTCGCAGCAAGTTGAGGATTAAAAATGAAAATAAAGAAGTTTTTATTTAGTTGCTGACAGTCTTGAATTCCTTTTGAGGCTGTCAGAAATCATCACAGTCAATTTTATAACCAGATAAATATCCTTACAGGAGCTTTAATAAGGAAACTAGTTTCTTATAGGTAATTGCTACGTGTTTTTTTGAGTGTTTTAATTATTGATTTTTTTCATGGATCATTTAAAAAGTGTTTGGATTAAAATCATAAACATTTAACAGGAGCTTATCAAAGCTAAACTGTTGAAATGGGAAAGCTCTGAAAACAAGAACAGTCTGAAAATGATCTCACCGTTAACTTTTCGATTGTGCCGGGATGTCGCAGATCTCAAAGTGAAGAAGATGGTGATGAAGATGACGGTGCGCTCTGACGCAAACCTCACAGACGCTACAATCAGTGATGCACTCCTCAAACAGGTACAGGTTCAAACAGTAGCTCTTGTTTGAACAGATTACAATATTAACCTCTTTGAAACCAGATTAAACATAATATCTGGGTAAAAACTTTGAAGTGGCATCATGAAAGTGACAGAAAATCTGTTGTTTCTTTTCAGCTGGAGACAAGTCTCGAACTTCAGTGGGTGACTGATTTCTCTTTAGGGTGGAGGAGTGACAGATATGGATTCGTCTTTCAACTTTACAAAGAGCTGGAGGACGATGTAGCGACAGGTCTGTGTTGTTTTCTCACTCTTGATAGAATGCTTTAGCTAAGACGCTTTCTTATAAGCTAGATTACGCTGTAGAGTTCGCCCTGTCTGCAGCGGTTAGTAGCCTAGCTTGCCTAGATCTGACACGTGTCTCATACAGCCCCTCATTAAAAACACCAAATTGTCCCTTTTAAGATAACCTTTTTTTTCTGTGGAGTTATGTTCATTTTAAAAGACTAAACAAGTTCAAAGAATAAGTTTTAAATGCTTGTTTAAGTCATTTTATCTAAATAATTCATGAGTTTTTTTTAATTGCAGGGAGATAACCATGAAGCAAAGGGGACTCAGTTTGGTTAACACAATCACTGAAGTTGATCTATGTAATACTGTTTTGACTCTGACAGACTAATGATATATATATAACCCTTTAAATAAACCCACTTTGTAGAGTATTGTTGGTAAACACATAATTGTAAACAGATTCCAATAACAACTGTTTGTAACTGCTGCGTTCCAGTTACCTTGGATGTCGGAATGATGCTATACCTGAGTTGACAGCATTCCAGTAAACACGTTGGTAAACCAAGATAGACGCCTACTGTTAGCCGTTGTCAGTTGTTGTAGCGGTTGTTAGCTATACCAGTTGTAAACGACGCAACACACAGTATTTTACTCTTACAGACACCATAGCACCGTGTTCACAGTTAGATGTTGGGCAGTACAATATAAACCACTAATTTAATTTTATAAAAACAAAACAGAAGCGCTAATAAATAAAACACTACGAGAGCTTTTACCGTTACTCTTTACTGTTGATGCACTGCGCCTCCATCTTGGATTATGACGTTGTCGTCAAATCGGGGTTGAGAAGGATCGTCCGACTTCCGAGTACAACTGGAACGCACCATTAATAATAGAAAAGGATAATTAACTACTTGTTTTATAGTTGTGAATTAAATTTTGCTTTTATTTAAATTTTGCTGAATTTTTCGAATTAGTTATTTAAGGCTTTGTTTCTGTATCCCTCATTGCCATTATTATTTACTTATTTACTCGCGATACTCTTTAAAATAATTTCTTTCATTCAATTGCTAGATCTGAAATTAAACATTCAAAATCAGCAGTAGGATTGATACCTCGGCGATGCATTATTATTTATGATGACATCGGTGTGATCCTTATTCCCACATGGTGTTTCCAAAAACAGCTGACCAGTCTTAAAATGAGGCAAACACTCTTCAACCATTCATACGTGCAAAGTGAAACCACACCACTGCTCATTTAGCAGGCTTTAATATCGTGTTATTTTTCAGTTTGGCCCCTCACAAAGTCGCTTATATCAAAATAAAAATCAACTTTCAACATTCAAATATATCAGGTCAACATAGCGCTCTGTTTCTCTTACTGTAAAGTGCAAAATGTCCCGCCACCTGAAACAGATATTTTGGGAACGATGGATGAGCTGTGCATAGAAGTATTCAACCTTTCTTTTGAATATGTGTGAACTACTGCAAAGCAAAGGTACGCTGACTATTTATGGAAACGGTTTATAACGCATTGCATTTCGTTTTCTAGCATCATGCCAAGCAAACTAATGTTTTTAGATTATCCATGCACGCACGCACCCTTACTCTTTGGCTTGCGATGAAAAAAAAAAAAATCAGTTGACACGCAGGCTGATTCGTTTCGATCACCTGTTTGCTCTGGATATGTCGGCTCGCCAAGAATATCGATCTCAGGAAAAGGCTTTCTATGGCGATGAGAACCAGAGGAAGTAATTTTCACATGACTGTTTGATAATTTGGATGAAATAGAAGCTCCATAAAGCTCTCTCTCTCTCGACGTAGCACCTGTTGTATTCAAATTTCGGGTAAATTTATTCAAAAAATTCGCACAAATGTGTAAATACTATTTTGGGAAATCGCTCGTTAAGTAAAATATTTAGCAAAGAGTTAGAAAATCTGGCATAACAGGCATGCAGAGGTTTCGCCAAAGTGAGTTAGACGTGTTTGAGACCTTCAGGCCGCGCTCAGTCGGTTTACATTCACATTCGTGTGCAGCGGACGTCGTCACATGTAAAGCACCTTGATGAGGTTTAGCAGTATGCGACACGGGTTGAGGGAAACGTCCTCGCTGGCGTGGCGTCATCCTCCGGTGTGTTGTGTCAGACGCTGTAAGAGGCATAAAGTGGTAGCTGCTCGAGTCTGGAACTGTACGTTGACATTCAAAGAGGAGACGGGCGCGGCGTCGGGATCACCCGTCACTGATTTAATCAAAGTGCTTTAAAAAGTGGAAAAAAAAAAAAAATCAACGTTCACGAATCACTTCTTCGTTAAACTCCCCGCTCCTCCTCCTCTTCGTCCTCCTCGTCCTCTTCGTCGTCTTCATCCTCGCCTTCCTCCTCATCCTCCTCCCCTGGGCTGTAAAGGTCGTCGGCCAGCTCGCTCTGGTCCTGCCCTTCATCGTCGTCGTCGTCCTCCTCGTCTTCCTCCTCCCCCTCGCTCCCCATGTCCTCCGCGCTGCTGTCGTCCAGGTCGTCGTCGTCATCCTCCTCCTCCGCGGCTTCTTCCTCGTTCTCCGCTTGCTCTTCCTCCTCCTCTTCCAGATCTGAAAGATGACCTGATGAAGACAGAAAATATAAACAAATCTACAACCTCCATCAGCCGAAGTTAAAAAGCTGAAACGACAACGTGACGCTTTCGTATGTTTGAATAAATCGGAGCTCCTTACATAAGGTGCTGATGGCGAACCCTAAGTGAAACGGGAGCTCCTCACTCAGGAATTTCCTCATCTCTTCTTCCATCATCAATCGAAGAACATCAGTCTCCATGTCCACGTATTCTGGGTAGAACATGTTTTTTCTCAGCTGCCTGCGGCACCTGAAACACACACACACACACACTGAGTTCAGACTGTTTCCATTTCAGTCTAGATTTCGTGTTTTCCTCATTAGCGAGAATCTTGAATGATTCGAGTTCTTATCCAAACCGCTCTCAAGTCTCTTCTATCACCGTGTCTCTTAAAACTATTGCATTTATCGAAACTTTTTTCTTTTTTTCTGGACATGACATTTAGACACATCAAGACTTTCATCTAATCCTCATTTTACCGAGCCGACCTAAAACACTTCAATTAGTTAGCCAACTTGCTTCAATCCTGCTGGATTCAACTCTGAATTGAGAACTTGCTCTAAACTTGATGGAGTTATTTCAAGCCTAAATCCCGTATTTTTCGCACCATAAGGCGCACTTAAAATCCTTTTGGCTTGTCGGAGCACTGCAGCTACCGTAGTCTCGCCGAGTTATTGAATGAGTTAAAGTTTGACTTATCTGACTGATGTATGAAAATAGACGCGTTCATTGATGGTGCACCTTATAGTGCGAAAAATATGGATGCTGCAGGGACTTTGTAAGGGTCTGACAAATGCTTCTTCAGGTATTTAATGGACCTGATCTTCCATACCCATCTTTAGTCGCAGTATGATGGACATGAGTCAAATACACTGCCAATTATCATCACGATCAGTTTCGGAAATTGAATTAAATTTTTTATTTTCCTTATTTTATTCCTCTTTAATGTACTTGTCTGTTTTGGTACTCTTTACTTTAAAAAAAAAACACAAATAAAAAAAACAAAACAACATATATATATATATATATATATATATATATATTCATATTTATATACATATATATATATATATATATATATATATATAAATTTTTTTTTTTTTTCTTCTTTCTTTCTTTTTTTTGTATCCCTAGGGATTAACGGGCAGGGTAGGAAATTGTGTAAAAAAAAAAAGCAGACTTTTTTTGGTTGTGATATAATTATGAATTAAAAACAATTGTTTTAAATTAAAATACATCGCCACTGAGATTGATGAACCTTCAATGTTGTGTTATTTTTTCAAGATAATTAACTGTGGTTCAAAGTTAGAGCTGTACTTACTGTTTCCCTGTTGTTTTGTAAGCCTGAAAAAAAAAGAAGAGAAACAGACATGTTTCAGTTGTATTTCTGTCCTGGTCATGTACGTCACAAACACGGCAAACAAGAGTCTGGTTATAAGAGGATATACCTCGATGAAGCGGAATGGGTCGTTCTCTTGCATGAGACTCTCCAGGCCGCAGCGGACCTCCTGAAGACGAGCCTGGTCCTGACAGATCCTGGAGATGTTCTTCTGAATGGCCGGCCCGTTGGTGTCGCAGTGAGAGCGCGTGCATTCCCGCAGCCGGCCCACGAAGCAGTGCACTTTGGCCTTCAGCTCGTCTCCTAGCTTGTTCAAACCCTGCTCGGAGTTGTCCATGAACTTCTGCGTAAGGCGAGAGGGTATGATCAGACAAAAAAACAAATCTTTTTTTTTTAAGAAAATTAAACCGAGTATAGGGCTGGACGATGAAACGATAACGATATATAACGGAAATTAATGACCCTCGATATCGATATAAACGTGGTCAATATGCTTTGCGATATTTGGCATTCAAGGGGAGTTGTTCCTGGTCGCGCCGCGCTGAACTAAACATGCTGAGGTAGAACCAAGTAACAAACAACTGCGCAGTAGCAGGCTGTAGCTATATGCAACAATAGCACTTTAACACGTGAAGCTGACAGCACTGTTGGTGAGAAACAAAGAAAATGAGTGCTACCTCTGACAGAAATGCAGATGAAAGCTCAACGGATGAGGACATTGTCGACAACACTGGCACGAAAACGTCGGTGGTGTGGCAGTATTTTGGCTTTTTGAGGTCCAACATAAGGCAGAGTAATGTGTACTAGAAAAAATGTCGAGTACATGTTCTCGCGAAGTCGGGGAATACCTCAAATCTTTTTCACCACCTGGAGCAGCGCCATGCGGCAGAAGACGCGCAGTGCAAAAGGCTACAAACGTCGAGCGGAGCGAGGAGCTCATGGCGCCTGTGCAGCCGAAAACAGCCGACCATTCAGTCTGCTTTCTTTAGCGCAACGCCGTACGACAAAACGTCGAAGAGACACAAAGACCTCACAGATGCAGTAGCTTATTGTATTGGAAAAGAAATGCTACCCATAAACACTGTTAAATTTCATTTTTCGTATCGTGATGTATATCGATATGGACTGATCTGAAAAGAACATATTGTGATAAACTTTTTCCCATATCACGCAGCCCTAACCGAGTGCTTTCTCGGTATAATTTGAATTTCGATTCAGGTGTTTGTGGTTTTGGATTTGAAGTTGGGCAAACAAGGTGTGTATGTGCTAAAAAAAACAATCAAATCAACAAATTTGAGCTGTAAAAGTTTAAAATGTCACGAAACTAACAGATTGTTTTGTTCACAGATCAAGACCAAGGTTTGTCAGCTGAGTGCAGCCTGTAGTAACACTTTAGTAACAGCAGATGGCAGTACATCTGTGCTCATGCTTGATGTGAGGCCTCTACAGCACAGGCTGAGTGAAGTCAGCCAGTATAAAGGATAAAAAAAAGGTTCAAAAGGTTCAACTGTCAGAACAACAAACATCCGACCGTCTCTCTGCTTCTCACATGGGCATCCTCACCTTATTCTGCCTCTCCTTCTCCTTCTGCTCCTGCAGCTTCCTCTCAGCCATGCTGTACTTGCGCTCCACTCTGCACAGCTGTTTGTCCAGCACACCCTGCAGAACAACACGGGGATTTCAGGTATTCATTTCTCTACAGCCTCTCTCTCTCTCGTCCCTTGGCTTTTCAGATTCACTTTGTAAGCACGCTCTTCCCACCCCTAAATTTCACAGTTTTGGAAGTCAAGTAACCATGGCAACAAACTGGAAGCCTCTCACTGTCAGACTGTTCAGGAGGATGAAAGCACAGGAAGTGGATCACGTGACCCTGTCATTCACACTCACACACAAAACTACAACAAAAGTTCATTCACAGGCGTTCTAGAGTCGGAGCTGAACACTATGAGACTCCTCCAACCCCTTTAGGTCTCATTCAAACCCTGAATATGTCAGATCAACTCATCCGAACTGATCTGGACTGATGTGTCAAAACCACATACATCCCAGATCACAACATTTAGCACCTGATTAACCATCGCACTGACGATCTTTAAAACTGCACCTTCAGGTCTTTCATGGTGTTCTTCAGGGTTTTGATGGTGTGCCCCAGGTGACCTCCTTCTATAGTGCAGGCGTTGCACACACACACCTTGTCGTCCATGCAGTAATACCTGGAGATGGAGAAGCAGGAGACGGAAGCTAAAGCTTAAAATCGTCTTCAGTTTAATCTGAGATCAGATCAGAGAACCTTTGGGTAGGACTGGGCGATTAAAAAAATGATCACGGTACATTTTGTCATATTGTTTGATCTCGATTATCACGATTTGTTTTTATCTTTTCAAACTGCCAGTTTTAAAGCATCTGTACTAAAAACTAGAAATTAGTTCAACATGTAAACGTAGATGATTCTTGATTGCTGCTTTGGTTTGGTAGCTAAAAACTAAAGCACAAGTAGCATTAGCACTTGTGCCGTCGGCAGTGGCAGGCTGTGCCGACTCTGCTCGCATTTTCGGGCTTTCCGCATAATCATTCGGGAAGTACTTCTTCGAATGATCAAACAGATTTGTTGTGTTGCCGGTTTTTGAGGGCATCGACCGCCGACATACCTTGCACATTGGCTTAATTGCTCAACATCACTTTGGAGATACCCGAACCATGGCACCTGTCACGCAACCAACCTTGATTAGCATTTGGCTCCACGTTCGGTCATTCTGTTTACTTCTCTGGCAACTTACAGAAGTGAGCAGGACAAGCTCAACTCTGTGTTTGATCGAGTAAATAAGCTCACAGCTGATCACCGCGATCGAACTGAAACATATCACGATCATATTATCGCCCAGTCCAACCTTTAGAAGCTACATGGGTGTTCATTTCAACCTCAAACATCGACTGAGTGCACCCTCTTCTCACCTGTATATCTCGTCATGATCGGGGCACTTTCTCTTCCAGAAGTCACTCATTGGTTCGGTCAGTGGATGCTCTCGGAATGCCGGCAGTTCCAGATGTGGCTTTACGTGCTCCTGGCACATGGACACTTCACACTTCAGGCAGGTCTTGACTGCAAACATGGACGTTGCGGCGGCAGCAGCAGCAGCAGCACTTTCCTGCTTGTCACCAGCTTCCTGAGATGTCGAGGCAACAGTCGAGCCGTCTGCTGCAGCGCTGCTTCCTGATGCCTCGGCGCCCACTGAGGGGCAGTAGTCACAGGGAACGGAGGAAGTGCTCCTGTCTCGTATTGCTGCTGCAGTGAAGGACAGCAGTTCTCTAGATTTCAAAGCTGTGGCGGCTGAAGTGACAGCTCTACGCCGGTGACGGTAATCATCGGCAATATTGGCTAATTTGAAGTTTCTCTGAAAGCTGGTGCTGCACCGGTGGCTGTCTCGGCACTCCGGGCAGCGGAGGCGACCTCGCTCTGCTTGTCGCTTCAGGCGGTCCAGGCAGGTTTTACAGAAATTGTGGCCACAAGGGAGCAGGTAGGGGTCCCGGTATAAGTCCAGGCACACCGGGCAGGTAAGCTCCTCTTGGAGGACCCTGGACTGATCGGACTGAGCTGAGGCCATGTTGGGATTCAGGCTTTGAGGTCAGAGGAGGTGAGGATGGATAGAGGAAGAAAATGATGGTGGGGGACAGGTGAAATTGGGAAGAGACAGATGAGGTGGAAAAGGGGTGGAAGAGGAGGAGGAGGAGGCGGCTGCAGCTCTTCTGATGGAGAACTTGGTGGTGTCAGGCTGAAGTAGCTGGAAAAAAAAGTGAAGAGGTGCTTTACAAATGGAGAGCACTGAGGGTCACATTTGATCACCTAGCAACAGTACACAGGTGGGACACTAATGCTGCGTTCGAGTTACCTCGGAAGTCAGATGATTGAGCTGAAAAAGACGTCACACCTGAGTTAGCAGCATTTCAATTACCAAGTCAGAAAAAAGCTAAATCAGAGGCAGAAACTAGATGGCTACATCTACAAAAGTTATTCTGGTGGTTGCCTTGTCCAAATATAAGCAAGGTCACTCCTGAACCAGAGACAACGTCATAAGAGTGTCACCTGGACTAAGAAGAAAACTGGATTATTTTAGAGTACTTTATGCTTCCACCTGCTGAGAAGAAAATACAAATTTCCTTTTCTAGCAGGACCTGGCACTTGCCCACAGCACCAAAAATACCGGAAACTGGTTTGCTGACCGTGACATTACCATGTTTGATTGCCCAGATAACTTGCCAAACCTGGACCCCATCACTGGAGTATCGTTGAGAGGAAGGTAAGGAGCTTTCTGTTTTATAAACCCTTTCTTTGGATTGGTATTCTGTAATATTCAAATGATTTCAGATAGTAGATTTTTGTGAGATGTAAGCTACAATCATTAAGATTCAAACATAACATTTCTTGAATCCTTTAACTATGTTGCGATAAATCTGGAGTATTTGGAAGTTTTACCTTTTGATCTAAATTTTGGGGGAAAAGCCCATCTGGGCTTCCGCCACCCCAGCCACTTCCACCAGCTCCTCCGGGGGGATTCCCAGGCACTCTCAGGCCAGGCGAGAGATATAATCCCTCCACCTGGTCCTGGGTCGGCCACGAGGTCTCCTCCCGGTGGAACGTGTCTGGAACACCTCTTAAAGGGAGGTGTCCAGAAGGCATCCTAACCAGATGCCCTGAAGCTCCTGCCCCCGTGACCCGGACCAAAGAAGTAAACAGGAGACTGAACATGGAGCTAAACGCGGTGCTAAGGGCAACAAAATGGATGTCAGCTGTGACTTTGAGTTATTCTATGAATATGTTATTCAACATCGGTTGTGTGGCGGTGGTTCGGGTATCTCCAAAGTGGCGTAGAGCACGATGTGCAAGGTATGTCGGCGATCGGTGCCCTCAAAAACTGGCTACACAACAAATCTGTTTAGTCATTTGAAGAAGTACTTCCTGAATTATTATGCGGAAAGCATACCAGACCTAAGCAGCAATCAATCATATCATCTAGGTTTACATCATCTAATATTTACATTTTAAGGCATCTTCATTATCTCTGAGGGGCGATTTGTTTATCTTGCCTGCAAAAACACTCAGGACTGTAAACTAATTCACTGTATTATTTAGTATTTATCTACATTTATTGTACCGTTGAGTTAAAATGATTTTTATATTTTTCTAAATGTACTTTATTCAATTTGCTTAATAGTATGTTAATGTGATGTTTATAAAATGAAAATGTTTAACTAATTTCTAGTTTCTTTAGCTTTTAGTACAGATGCTTTAAATCAGTCAGTTAAAAAAATCGGAATAATAATCGAGATCGGACGATATGACAAAATATATAATGATCAGTTTTTTTTTGCCGAATCGCCCAGGCCTAATGACAACAGATAAATAAGAGCTCTTTACAGAGATAATTAGTTAAATGACATAGAATAAACATTACGGACTTGGATTAAAATGAACATTTGCAATACTAGAAATGTAAAACGGTGTGTGTACATTTATTCAAGCTACTTAATATGAAAGTAAAACTCTGGTTTAGTCCTTCAGGTCTACTGCTCTGTTAGTGAAGCTTGTTTAACTCAGTGTCCGTTTAAAGGCCATGACCTCCTGATAACCTGCCAACCTGCTCTGTGTTGTTTACACGACACAAAGGTGGTGTCCCGGTTCGTCTGTCGTGATTTCAACCCGAAGCACACTCTGAATTAGGCCTCTATCGCTGCTCTGGGAACGCTTCTTCCTTTAACTGCCGTGTTGACTTCACTGACACTCAGTGAAGGGGACAAGCATCAATTAGCTGACTTTGCCCTCCCGTTAGCTCCCATAATCCCCCCCTCTTATGACAGACAGAAAGGAAGACGGTACGCACAACTTACCAAGAAAGTCGCTGCCTTTTAAAAAGAAAGCTGAAACACCAGTTTTTCCCGGAGATGTTTGTGTCCAACGCGACGAGCTTAGCCGTTAACGTCTCAAATGCACCTGTCGTGCTACTGCGGCTAACATGGCAACACCGCGACCGTTAGCTCAGCTTTTTGTTGCCCCCCTCACAATGTCCACCAAGAGTGCAGTCTGCTTGTTTCAGTCCGGGGTAAAATTCCAGTCACCGGGCGCTTGGTTTTCCATCTGGAGGTTTCGGCATTTGACACAAAAGGGCGAGCAGACACACACACACACACACACCTGTGTTAGAGTCAAACGGACAGTTACACTGATACTGAGCAGGTTGATGCGGGGAAAATGATGCCTTCAGGGTGTACTCGGAAATTCTAGTGTCGGTATAACTGTTATTCCTGTTTTTTTTTTAAAAAGGGGCTTACATACTTCAAAAGAGGACACTTCCATGAAACCGGTGCCTTTTCAACTTAGAACGTTTACAATGTAAGCTATATTTAATTGTTAATTTTTAAGTACCCAGGAATCAAATAATGTCTAAAATGGCAGGAGGGTCGTTCCATGAAATCGGTGCCTTTTCTACTTCGAAAATTTTAAATGTAAACTATCATTAATTGTTAATTTTTAAGTTCCTAGGAATCAAAGAATGTTTAAAATGGCAGGAAATGATATTGCGCCATCTCAGGCTCTGCTATTTCATATTTTACAACGGTTTTTCTCCTGGCTGTTTTCATAATCTTGTCAACCCTGTTACCGATATAAACTTGGTGATTTATCCTGTTCGTGACGCCAAATTGTAAGGATACCTAGCCCGTGTTCACACTTTAAAAAATGGAAGGTCCACACAAATGATCATTTTGACAAGTTTTATTGGTAGCAGATCTGGGTTACAGCTTCATCACAAGTGTAACACAAGTGTAACAAAGATTGGTCTGAGACTGTTCAAGTGTATATAGTCATCCACGTTTCCAAACATTCCGCTTTCTTCTTGTCGACCTAAAAGAGAGTCCATGTAGGGTAATAACAAAGCACAACATATTTTGGGAGCCTGAGTGATGTTAAGCATGGGTACAAGGTCCTTGTTGAGGATGGTTGTCGGAGTGACACAGCTCCACCACCCTAAAGGCTGACATGACTGGCTAAAGAAAATCACCCCAACAGTACATATATTAGCAGTACTTTAGTCCTTCTTTCCATTGAGATTATCTTATTTTGTGGATTTTTTTCTCCAATTAGATATTTGTCATTCAGATGATCAAATATACCCTAATTTTGCATGGCGATCACATGTCTCAACATATATCAGATATTTTTTAGAAGAGAAATGTTGAAAAATGACCCAATCTAAAATACAATGTAATGTAAATTATAATGATAAGTGTTGAAAACCCATTTGAGTTGTAAAATGTTTATAAAAACAGAGTTGTGTGGTTTGCAAATCATTTAAACAGTGCAAATACGACACATCAAATGGTCACACAAACATTTTATTTTTAATTTCAAGCCCTTGAAGTTACAAGATTAGTTTGCAACATATTAATAACATGACATAGTATGAAAAGGACTTTCTTGAGTGTTTGAGTCTCTTTATATGGAATCTATCAACATTCTGTGAGAGACTGCATGAGCAAAAAATAAAACAATTTCAGACAACTTGGGAGTTTCATCCTCAGTTCATAACATCATTGTGGCAATGGCAATATTACCACCTAGTGGCTATAGGTAGAAATGACTCCACCAAAAGGGTTCATTATTACACATTCACTCACTGCCTTCTTCTACAGCATGATCTTATTAGACAACATTAGTTACACAAGTTAGAACAAATTAACAGCAATTGAACAGACTGCTTTTCTCAATGACTTTTCAAAGCAGAGGTTTTCAAATCAAGAACCAGGTTGTTACTGATACAGAGCAAATCAAATGTTCATGTTAACAATTTTATCACAGTGATTATGAGAAAGTTGAAAATAAAACAACACAATCATTCGAATTTAGGAAAGATGCAACATGAAACTTCATAAACTTAAATAAACACACATCCCCCTTCCTTTTTAATCCATATTAAAATTCATGATTTATCCACATCACCAACTCTATGACTGAAACAGAAGGAGCCTCTTTTAGGCTGCTTTTATTTTGTAAACTACTTCCTGTGGATTGGAAGGTAGGACAAAAGGTTATTGATATTATTTTTTTTAAATGAAGGCTAGCCTCAGTCGTACATTGTCACAGCAGCCCTACTCTGAACATGCCTGACCTTGTCACTTGAAGACAACGGGACCTTTAATAGTGAAGCCAAGATAGGAAACTGTCGGGCGGTGTGTTGGACCAATAGGTCCGAACTCTGTAGTCGCCTGAATTTTCCTTCCCCCAACATAAACAAACACTCTGCACCCTTCTTTCTCCCATCCAGTTAGGGTAGGCTCGATCATTACCGGAAGGAGGATATCTTGGATATCTGGGATTCGCCACACTTCCCCCGTTCTCCACAGTTCATTGATTTTCCTCTTTTTTCTTATATTTAGGCTGATTGGTAGTGCACTCTCCTGATAGGCAAATTCAGCATTGACCATTTCTTCTATAATGGCATCCAACCTTGATTTGTGAATCCACTTGCTCAGTCCTGAGCCCTTCCCCAGGAAAAAGAGAGGCACAAGGTACCGGCCTCGTAGGTACTTGGCATACCCTTCCTCAAAAGCTTTTTCCATGAATGTGATTTGCTTCTGCAGATCAGGTTCAAACATGATGCCAGGGGGTGGTTGTGCAGACTCTCCTTCTGTTTCCTGGTCGTCATACCCATCATCATCCTCCCAAGTTTGGTAATCTGAGTCACTGGCTGTAGTTGCTGGTTGTTCCTCTTCTTCCCCCTCTTCCTCGTCGTCTTCTTCCTCCTCTTCCTCATCCTCTTCTTCCGCCTTTTCCTCATCCTCTTCTTCCACCTCTGTATGTTCCTCTGGCCAGAACAACAGCAGAACCAAAAGGTAAAACTCAGGACCTCTCTTCCCCACTCTTGTGTCCAAGAATGTGGACAGAATAGTTTGGAGTTCCCTCAAAGGAGAGAGCGCGGAGGAGATGCTTATCTTGTTGCTTAAGATGATATTGGAAAGAATGTACCTCTCAGCTGCCTTCTCATCAGTGACGTTCCCCTCATAGGTGGTTTTCAAATCATTGCAGATTTCCTCTAAGTCTGACACAGTTTCTTCATCCTCCTCAAACCCAGAACGTCTTCCCCTTGACACAAAATGGCCTCGATTCAGACACTCCAGAAGGCCTGGGAAACTGATGGAATCAGCCGCTGCTTCTCCTGTGTAGTGTTCATAACAGACCACAACATCTTTCCAGAAGTAGGGTGGCTCCAGGGAAGTCTTGCCAGGCAGTGAGTAGGTCAGGTAGTCTTCAAAAAAGTCAAACTTGGCTTCAACTTCCTCTCTTAAGTTCTGGATTTCAGCATTAAGTACCTGTTGAGGATTAGGGTTACTGTGTCTGAGTTTCTCAAAAGCTATCTTTGCCACTTGGATGAGGCCAAAATAGCCTCTGTTGTTGAAGATTGTGGAGATGTGTATAGCACCTGATTCATCCTCCATTTCTGGCCCCTCTTCTCCTTCAGCTTTCCTTGCCACATCTTTGAATGCCATCCAGGCCTCTCTTGCCATGTTGAGGATTTGTCTCTGATTCCCGTTTGACCTCATCAAACAATTCTTGTGAACTTGCCCGAGAGTGTCTGCCACAAAAGAGTTGTTTGGAGCTCTTTCAATGGCTATCTTCGCCCACCTTTTAGCCATTTTATAGTCCTTGATTTCTACGTTTAGGAGATATAATCGGGAAAGGGTTTGGAGGAGGACGTAGTATTGCCTCAATTTATCTGATGCCATTTCCAAGACAGAGACAGCCTTGTGTGGATTCTCATTGTCACATATGTCTTGGACCAGCCGAGAGAATTTTTCCTTGCCTTTTGTTCCCATTTCTCTCTTTGTCAGTAGATCTTTCAAGAACATCATTGTATCTGTTTGTGGTTCATCTCCACAGAGGGAAGACATCAATCTCATCATTATTGAACTCCTTGAATGTCCAAAATAAGCCATAACCTCTAAGGCAATGTCTGCAGATTCAGGGTAAATGCTGACATATCCAGGGGGTTCAGTCGATGTTCTGATTAAGATGGTGAAAGGCTCCATTCTGTCTTCAAAGGGTGGTCCACCATGGATGAGATCAGGTGGTCCAAGGACTTTTTGGCACTCGGACATCTGGAGGTAGGACTCTGGATTGTAGGTGTTCAGCAGAGCCAAAAAAGAGAAAAGTTTTGTGTTAGTGGACCTTTGGTGGCTTCTCACATACTGTGACATATTATCAAGATGATGTTGCTCCATTGAGGAAAATCCATCAGCCCAAAATATTTCCTCTTCGCTGTCCGAAGACCAAGTGTCTGTTGAGTTTTGCTCCATTGCTGTCAGTTCAGATTTCAGTGTGATTTGAAGGAATTGGTTGTTGTCTTCAGTTCGAGCAGGTTGACTACCTGAGGAGATTATAACAACAGAGCCCATTTAGCTTTGAATTATTGAATCACATCCGATCTATAACAACAGTCCAATTCTTTACATTTTAATGAATATCAATTTCTATCTAAACCCCATTCATGAACATTTTATGTGGCATTGCATTACAGATGGTAATTACTGCCAGATGATCAGTCGATTTCTTTGGTCTTGACTGACATCTGACAAATTTTAAAAAAGACTTATTATCATTACCAAATAAATAAACTGGAAAAGCACCTGGAGAGCGCAGACCTCCGCCAAGCAGCTCATGTCCCCCTTATATTGTGATTCACACCAAAACTTTTACTGTTACGTGTCTTTTATTAACGTTTATTTGTGTTTAAACTGGTATGTTCACTGTTCATAATGTTCCTAAAACAAGAAATACCCTGACCCGGATTCGAACCCAGGACCTTCTGGTTGTGAGGCAACAGTGCTAACCACTACACCACTATACCACCTGTTGACACCACTGTGCCCCCCATTAGTTATCTTTCAGCATTGAAAATTCCAATGACACCCTTATTTTTTTGTGTTCTGGATCACAGTATCCAGAATTTTGTCTGGATCACCACCTAAATTTAATGGGATCCTCCTGGGGCTGAGACACACCTCTGGTGAAAATTTCAGGTCAATCTGTCTGTTACTTTCTCCGTAAAGTTTCTAACAGACAAACAAACTCACAAACAAACAAACCAACGCTACCGAAAACATATCCTCCTTGGCGGAGGTAATAAATTGTATTTGTAAAATTTGAACATTTTTGGAACCAGAACCTCTGTAGTGAAGTTAAAGTAATAAAGTTTCATCAGCCACATACCATCATGACATGAAGGTAACAACAGGAGTATGCAATATAACAGAACATAAAAACAGCTGCACATGGAAATGTAATCTTACCTGTTTGAGTTCTTGCAGTTGTGAGGTTGACTAAAGAACCAAAGGGCGATATTTATAATCAGATTTCAGCCACACCTTTTGCATACTGCACATTGCTGTATCTAAGGGAGAGGTGCAGAGTTTTAATTGTGCCGTCACCTCGAGTGCTTGGGCTTGTCAAACAAGATGCTTGATGAATTACTCCTGAAGTCAACCTTGTTAGTTTAGGTTTGTATGAAGTTTGCACAGAAATGAAACTGATTTTGCTGGGCTCAGCATTTGCACTGAGATGAAACTGAGTCTGTTTTACAATAGACAAAAGCGATCCATCCAGGTACTATGCCTTTAAGATGTGGCTCCGCCCCCTTGTGGGTGAATACTATCCATCTGAATGGAAACTCTGGGGTCTTTAGAATTATAAAAGCATTAAAATAATAATTGTGTAACATTTAACAGCCATTGAGAGTCAAAATCAAACAGCCATTAAGACAAACATGAATTCCGGCTTTTTTGATAGAGATCACTAGGATGTCGTGACCTGACTTAGATATTACAGTTAAGATACACATAGTAATGATGTGATATTCATTTGTGACAGCTCCAACGACAAGATGGGGCCATTTGTCAGTATTTCTTTTTATTTATTTCAGACCATTGAGTTGCCAAAGACCCCTGAATTCCCACAGACCACCATTCTCTTGGTTGGACTGCTGTAGTAGTTGATTTTGCAAGTAGGAAGTGACGTTTTACCACTCTCGTCTGCGCTTAGTACGGTTCAGATTTGGACAGTCTATCTTAAAAAAAAAAAAACAAACAAGCGTGGCCACATTCTCTCCTGTATTGACCTCAGCCTTTGTTCTTGATAAAGACGTGATCTGAAGTCTCACCTATTCTTGATTCTGATTCTGATTCATGAGAGTACCTGTGCACCAAAATTGAACCATTTTTAACTGAAAGCGCCGCAACAAGAACTGTCTTTTGTGTCAAAAGACAAAGAATCAATGTTAAAGCTCTCATTGCTCATCACAGATAGACTAACCACTGACTACAACTGCAACTTGTTCTCATTATATAACAACTTCATTCTTGTAAAATCGTGGTGTTATTCCTGTAACATTACAACTTCAATCTCAAAAGGTTTTCTTTTCCTGTAAACTGGCCTGGTGCTTTCCCACAAATGTCTTTTTAACTTTTTCCTTGTGTAACTAATGAAACCTGAAAAACTTGATGGTCAAGTTACATTTTGGTAGAAACGAAAGTGAGTAATTGTACAGGTTATTTGCCTTTACACTGATTTTGCAATAATATAAAGGTCAACAAAAGCTTGTTCTAGTGAAAAACAAAAAAGTTTGCAATGAGTTAGAATAAATCTGCTAAAAAGACTAAGGGACAAAAAAAAAAAAAAAAAAAAAAAAAAAAAATCACTTTTACGATCAAAAGTTTGTCCCTGGTTCACAGAGAATGAAATTTTGTGTCTGGAGGGTATTTTGTTTTAGATTTCAGTTTATTTTCATTAGTTTTTAAGGCTAGATTTCTAGTTTAGTGTTTACTTTCTGAAAACACTCAGTTTTAGTTTAGTTTTGAATTGATTATTGTTAGTTAAATTTTTTTTGTAATGTTGAATACTGGCAAGGGGTAAGACCCCCTTGAATTAAACACTGTAGAAAATAATCATAAAAGAAACGTCTAATTTGGCTATTTTCCTCGTCAAAAAATAAAAAATAAAAAAAATAAAGTTAACAGTTGGACTTGTGTTATAACAAAGATGCAAACATATGTTTTATTTATTAGTTATTTGTTTATAAATTGTATTTATTATAATTTTTTTATTAGTGTGTGTGGACTCTTATACTTCAGGCCATCCCAACAGAGTCAGTGCTGAGGTTGGGCCCCCCTAGTTAAAAGCTTGGATGCACCCCTGGACAAGTTTACAATCAATCCATCTGTTTGAATCACCTCTATTGGCGCATACTCAATCAGACGTTTACCTCTGATTAACTCAGGGAGTATTTCTTATGACGAACGTAGAGATGGGCACGGCAGTTCTTTTAGATGGACTGAATCACTAGAATCAGTTCACTAAAAAGATTCGTTCAAAAGATTTGTTCACCAAATCACCGAATAATGTAGCGTTTGGTGGGAGAAGTCTGCAACTCCGACCTCCTGAACTGATACACAGCTGAACGATTCAGGATTCAGTTCAAGTCATTGCTTTGTTTGAGTGTTTGGCTGTGTTGCTTTGGCAAACAGGTTTGTAAAAATGAACTTGTTTATAAGTCATGATGTTTTAAGTGCACTGTCCTATGGTATGCTAATTACTAGGTCTGCTCAGTAACTCGGGCTCAGTGAGTGATTCGTTCACTGAACCTTTAGAAGAATTCACACTGAACATGCACCGTTCCCTAGAAAACCGCTGCAATGATAGGATGCTGCAGGTTTAATGCACTACTTGTTACATGTTGTGTCCTATTGTGTGCAAGTTTTTGTGGTGGCAATTGAGCAGTAAAAAGAAAAAAAGAAGGTAGTTTTGTCTGACAAAAATGATTCCAGAGAATGTAGTTCAATGCGTGACTCGTTCACCATGTAATTCAGGTGTCAGTGTTCGCTAGCTGCTCGACTGGCAGTGCTATTCCTCACTTCATCTCAACTCAAGTGAGAAACGAAGTGATTCGGTTCAGTACGTTCACCTAAAAGATCCGGTTCTTTTGAACGAATCGTTCGCGAACGAAACAACACTACCGGAACGTTCGTGGTGTTGCGTGTTCTTGGTGGGAACATTTAAGAAGACGGAGTACCTTACCGATCGTGTAGCACTCGGTGCTGGTTTTTTATTTGTATATCTCAATTTCATGGAGTATACTCATCGTATAGCAGTTTGTAAAGGTTTCCACTGAACGCGGAGATAGAAATATCGCGATGAATGCCGTCTTTCGAAAGGTAATCTCGTTTTTAAAGTCCTAATGGTGAATGTTTCTGTTTTTACAGAGGTCATCCAGTAGTAATCGTGGTATAACTCACAGCTTACAAAAATCAGATATCCACTATTCCAAGGTATCAAAATATTGTGGAAGAGTCCGGTTTCTTGTCAGTTACTTAAGCCCGGAAAGAACATGGACCAACTGATAAACTCAGAACACCTGCGAAGGTTCACGGAGTCTGTAAAATCTGACATTAAGACAACAGCTGAACTTTATTTTGTATTTTATTTTTGTTCTGGTCTAGTTGCAGCAGTCATCTGTATTAAATCAAGCTCTGACATTATGCCGGTAAGTCTTTGCTTTATAAATGTTGGAAAGCCTTTTCATTCATGTTTAACCCTTATCTATCATGACATCTATCACTTTTTATTTATTTAAATACTGTTTTGAATAACTCACTTGTCCCAACTATGTGAAAAAAAAATCACATCATGGTTTAGTGTAAGCGTAATATCTTTACGATATGGGGAATCTCCGTTTTCCATACTGTCTCTGACTCGTGCTTTTATTTTGAAAGGGCCACGCCGTGCGTCGGGCTTCCTGTCTTGGGTAAGTGTTTAAAAACTGCAAATCTCTTTGTTAAAAATATGACTGTGCTCTATCTATCTATCTATCTACACACATATGATGTTGACGTGAGTGAACAGACTGTGATTATGACCTCCGTGTTTTTCCACAGCCTCCGTGAACACAAGACAGCACAGATCCATGCCAACACACGGGATTGGGCGATGGGGACACCTCGTAACTAGGGAACCAGTAAGTCTATGAGAGCAGATGACACTTGGGAACAAATTTATTTTAGCAGCAAGAGGCTGTTCGGCTGTTTTCTTTGGCACCCTCTACTGGATGTTGAAAGAACAACTTCAACCATCTCCGACCTTCAGTTAACTGTTTTTTTTTTCTTTTGTTTTTCAGCCAAAGAAGAAGAAAGACAGACACCAGATGAAGCCGATACTGCCGGCTACAGACACAGCATATGGGACTCTGAATGTGATAGTGTCGGGTTATGACCTGGTGATAGTGGAGCATTACTCACAGTACATCCACAACCTCTGCAACCGGCTTGGCATCAAAGTGTCAGAAAGGTGAGGACGGTTCAGGTTTCTAAACCTCGGATCTGAGTTTATTTGTTTTTTTTTAACAATGAAAACAGGTTTGACGAGAAACCAAAGTAGGAAACTAAAGTTACAGCCCGAAAAAGTAATTTAAGACCGCATCCTGGTCCGAGCAGAGACAGGATTAACACATTTCATTTTCAACAAACTCTTCAAAATAAAAGTCTCCAATTATATGTATTTGAAAAACCTTTATTCTGAAACAGCCACCTTGAGAAATGGCAGTACCTCAGTTGCACTACCCTAAGTTAATTTTAAAAGAATAAGAGAAAGCGTAGCTGAACTTTAACTTCCGACCCACTTAGACGATAAAAAGGTGACATTCGTACTGGCAGATGGTTAACGGTAATACGAAGAATATTCCCCTTTGTGTCTGCAGTTACGCTCTGCCAACCAAGAGCACAGAGGTCATGCTGATGCAGGAACAAGGCACCAAGATGTACGTCGAAGCCCTCCTGAAGACCCACCAGAGAGTCGTCCAGGTATCTGCCTGTGGTCACCCTCTTCCTGTTTCGCTGCTCCGTTGACTTCCTTGTGATGTTTAACTGTGATTTTACCGTGTTTGTGCAGTTGAGCAGTCTGGACGCCTCACTCTGTCCTCTTTTCATGGATGTTATGTTAAAGTGTCAACCAGAAGGAGTTCAGCTCGCAGTGAAAGTGGTGAGTCAGCAGTTTTTTTTAAATGTCACTACATCGTCTTCAATAACTAAACCGAACAAACCCTTCACAGTGTCTGGATTGATATACTTAAAGTAATGTTTCCACTTCTGCTCTCAGCACACGGAGGCCGATTACCACGCTCGCTTCAAGGCTCGTCCAGAAATGGAGGGGCTAATGACTAAGTTACGCCACTAGCAGCTGTGGACCACAGGTGCTGCTCTGTTTATTTATTGTCCACTTTCTCTCTGTGACTGTGTGCATTTACACTGACTGTAAACTGTACGTTCAACTCCTCTAGGAGGTTTCTCGTAGATGAAACATCATCGTCCGTACCTACGAGAGTGATAACGAGTTTGTAATAAAGAATTCAATAACCTCAGAGAGTCTGTGTTTTCACTTTGTGTTTGCAATAACTGCATAAAACATAATTTTAACAGACAGCTTGAAAAAGTGAGGCCATTTTATGATGAAGTCATAATTTCATGTGGATAAAGTCTCATTAAATTCATAGTTTTGGTGAACAGCTGATTTATTTTGAAGGGGAAGGGTATCAGAAGTTGAGTCAGCTAGATGTACAACAATGGAGGAGTGTGGAGTTAGTCTTTAAAATATATTAAACAACAGAACAACAGCACTGGTTCCAGTGGGACATCAATATTCAGAATATTTTCAATTTCTATTTTGACATTATCCCAATACCCTTTAATAACTGGACAATCCAGATTTTAAAATACCTTATCTTTATTTTCCAATCAAATTCTTTCCACAACTGGCTATTTATCCCTTTATGGCAACCAGCTCATATATTCACCCATTCAGTTTTAAACTTGATGAAAAATGCCATAATAGGGGACCTTTAAGGCTTGTTATAGAGGGACTCAAGTGGCTTTGAGGATGTCTTGGTTGCTTGAGACCAGCTTATAACATGAGGAGAAAAGTGAGTCCAAAAATGCTTTAGGTGCCTTCAGTGAATTTTAATGTATCTGAAAGTGGCAATACAGTCGTCGTTTTCTTCCGCTTCATCCGGGTCCAGGTCGCGAGGGCAGCAGCTTCAGAAGGGAAGCCCACACGGCCCTCACCCTAGCCACTTCCACCAGCTACTCCGGGGGGGATTCCCAGGCGCTCCTAGGCCAGGCGAGAGATATAATCTCTCCACCTGGTCCTGGGCTGGCCACGAGGTCTCCTCCCGGTGGGACATGTCTGGAACACCTCTAAAGGGAGGCGTCCAGAAGGCATCCTAACCAGATGCCCGAGCCACCTCAGCTGACTCCTCTCAACTCGTGGAGGAGCAGCGGTTCTACTCTGAACGCCTCACAAGTGTCCAAGCTCCTTACCTTATCTCTAAGGCTGAGCCTGGCCACCCTGTGAAGGAATCCCATTTCAGCCGCTTTTATCCGCAATCTTGTTCTTTCGGTCATTACCCAAAGTTCATGGCCATAGGTGAGGATCGGCACGTAGATCGACCGGTAAATCGAGAGTCTTGCCTTATGGTGCAGCTCTTTCTTCACCATGACTGATCGGTTAAGCGTCCGCATCACTGCTGACGCCACTCCGTATCCGATCCGTATCTTGGTATCTTGTTCACTCGTGAACAAGATACCAAGATACTTGAACTTCTCCACTTGAGGCGCCCCTCCGAACCGGAGAAAGCAATCTAGCTTTTTCCGACTGAGGACCATGGTGCTGATTCGCATCCCAGCCATTTCACACTTGGTTGCAAACCACCTCCCAGCAAGAGCTGAAGGTCACTGCTCGACGAAGCTAGAAGCACCACATCATCCGCAAAAAGCAGCGACGCGATACTCTGCCTGCTGAACTGGACACCCTCCACCCCACGGCTGCGCCTAGAAATTCTGTCCATAAAGGTTAAAGGTATGGAATCTAATATAATGCCCAGATTTCACACCATTAACATTAAAATTTCATTTACCTTTATCACAGGATAATGTTTACATTTTTGCTTACTATTATAACAGTTACTATTTTATCAATGTTAAATGTGAGGCGGTAGTGACCTATTATTTCACGTCTATTGATAGTTGTGCAGCTTCTTGCTCTGCGTGCTTACCAAGAGTATGACTGTGTCATCTGCATACAAACGGATCTCCACATGGTCACATACAGATGGGAGATTGTTGATGTAAAAGCCGAACCACATCGGTCCTGAGATGGAACCTTGTGGTACTCCTATGATGGCACAGCAGTATTTTTCCACATACACAAGAATGGACCTGATTGATTAACTGTAAAATGCTGCTAATGACGACAAAGAACCACAAAAAAGAAGTGATTTTTGGATTTTTCATAGATTTTTTTTAACTTGACCAAATCTTTGAAAAATAAATACAGCCCACACAGCATAGGTTAGCAAATATATTTTAATATATAATATTTATATTCATTTTAGCACAATGACAAAATGGCATATTTTCAGTTCAGTCTCATTTAAATCATGACAAAAAGCCACACCTTTATATTGTTTTGAATAATACCTCATGTCATATTTTGTTGCAGTCATTGTTAAATAAATCCTGTAGTACTTCTCACCCCATGAGAGAAAAACGTTAGCAAAAGTTTCTAACAGCACTGAGCCCATGGCGTCTAACAGGGTCGTATTGTGAGCTGAAAAATGTAAAAATGGATGTAATGATTCTCTCCGAACCCTCCCAAACCTCGTCTGTCCGCTTGTATCTGTAAAAGAATTATAACTTTATTGTCTCAAACCGAATTCATCCGTGTGCGCTATCCCGCAGGCATGAATATAAATGACCACATCTGCCGTAGTCGTAACTGACGAGATGGATTGCGAATCGGCACACCCGTCACTTGCAACACCATTGAAAAACGAAGCACATTACAAAATAACCAGCGGAGCAAACGGCGCATAGACTGATTCACGAGGCGGTGACACACACAGCAACTTACAGGGAAATAAACTCTCGATCTGTTACGCTCACGGCTGTAGTGTTTTCGTTAGCTTCAGGTCTTCCCGCTAGCACTGAACGCGGCTAACGCTAACGAAACAATTTTAATAGTAACAAAACATTATCTCTTCGAGTGCAGTCAGACACTTTTGCGTAACGTCTTGTTTATCCGACTCTGTTTCTGTTTTCTTGCTGGACGCCTCTATAACATAAACCGCACCACAGGAATGTTTTTCAGCCTTAAAGTCACAAACACCAGGTTAGCTAGCGTCGCGAACACAACACTGCGAAATAGCCTTTATTGTCTACTACTGCACACACTTAAAAAAACTCACTGAGCTAGCCACAGACATTAACGTGACTTTTTTAAAGATTGTTCCATACAAACATGATGAGTAAATGTCAAGCATGGCATGACTTTCAAGTCTTTTCCCCTCAGCAGCTTGCAACCGGATCAAGTTGGCACTTTCACCCACGGTGCGTTTTCGTGCTTTAATGTAAACTTTATTCTTCAAAATTAAACTCTTTTTTCTTCCTCTGTGCAGCTCTTAGGAAAAGTATGTTCAGTTAATAAGCTTGTGCACAATATTTAGGAGCGCCTGAATGGATGTGACGGACGCTCCCTGCGTGGTTAATCCGAAAAATCGCTGCCGCACAACTTCGTGCGCCGTGTAACCGCCTTGACATTCAGCATTTCCAACATCAGCACACCCCGTCACCGTTAAATGCATCTCACAGTTTTCAGCTTTCTTGTGCAATACTTGCCACATTCAAAATAAAACGGACTAAATGCAAATGCGACAGATTTTTCCCCCGACTAAAAACCTACGATTTTCTCTCTGTTCACGCCACTACGTTTTATCTGAAACAGCTAAAACCGCCTAACCCTGTCTTCACTACTCACACCACTCAAACCAGCATGAACGCACACACCTTTTTGTCTTTCACTTTTTCATACAACCTTCAGCCATTCACTATCTCCTTTTAAAATGAAAAAATTCAAAATGATGCGATGAAGCCTTTACTGAATAATCTGTATGTTAGAAATAAGACAGACTAATACCGTGAAAACACTGAGTAAGTGATCAAAAATGTAACTTTTAAACTAGTATAAATAAAATAATGTTCAGCTTAATCCTTTTAATCAAAAATAGGTGATAAGCCAAAAACATGTCCTCCGTAAGCTAGCATGCTCACCAAATTCAGCTAGCTAGCTTCTGTTAGCCGGAGCAAAACTAGCGCTGAAGTAACTGTTTTAACTGACTACAAGCTAACGATGACAATAAAACAGTTCACATTAAAGTAACATACATTTTTTTTGTCTATCTCAACATATAAGCTTCCTTAAGTAAGCACGCTAACAAGCTTGTCAGCTTTTTGTTAGCAATTGGCTTATGCAAGTTGGAAACGTGTCACATAGCATAGTAAAAAATACGTTAAAAGTGTGGATTTGCTAGTTTTTACCGTCCAAAGCTAGCTGATTCAGTAAGAATTACAAAATTTTTTGCTCTAGCTAACAGAAGCTAACTGGCTAGCTATGCTAGCTATTTGCCCCTATCCTAATTTTACACTATTTATTCATGGTTAGATTATTTTATCAGCGTGTATCTTTTTATTTCACACTGAGGGCTGCTGGACAAAACTAGCATGACTTATTGTTCAGATCACTTTTGTCCGTCGCCCTTTTTGTGCTGATTTCATTTATTTTTCACTCTTTTTTTTTAGTGATTGCAAAATGAATCCTTGTCTTTCAAACCCAGCTACAGATCCCATGGGAGAACTTTACCGTGGCCTAGCTTCACACTTTAAGACCACGTCGCTTCTGTCGCAACATTTCTCTTATAAATTCGTGACTTCTCGGATCTTTTGTCATGATTTGAAACCTCTGAATAAAATCATTTTTACGAGCAGTGACCACGACACATCTGATCAAGTACAACACAGTAGAACAGAACATGTTACGTTTCAGTAAATACAATGAAATGAATATCACTTTGTTTTTTTGTTTGTTTGTTTTTTTCTCAGAAAACCATCACCCAAAGCCAAAACAGGGAAACATAAAAGAGGAAAGAGTAACATGAGTTACAAAAGTGTTAATGCATGGTATGCTTGGTACTGAATAAGCAACACATTTTCATCCCCATGATTTGTTTCCAGTTAGTAAAACAAGATCAGGACACATAAAATCAACATTTTTTTATATAAGCATTAAATAAATTAATCATTTTCAAAACAAACACAGTGATATATATTCAAAATACATATTTACAACCTAACAAAATGAATAAAAACGAAACCAAAACACAGTCTTATTCTCAAGGGAAAATGATACTCTGTTTAGATGAATTTTGAACTGATTATTACGTACATTTCTTCACACATTCCTTCATTTTGTGGTTCACCTATCCGCATGTTTTGGTTCAATCACCGTAAATACGTATAAATTATTTTAGTAGGTTTATTCTTTTGCAGCATTCAAAATGATTGATATGTACTCGGCGTCTGGAAATCCAAATTTGACATCATTTATGACTGATATGTAGATATATTAAGTGCCGATTGGCTACAGAGTAAAACACCAACAATATCCGCCCGGTGATGAAATTAAAGGGGTTCTGACTCGGGTATGACGGCGAATTTGACGAAGGAGAAGAAAACACGAAAAAGGTGTGAAAAGATGAAAAAAAATGGGAAGGGGCACAGCTGCTGACCATCACACACTTAGATCTTGGTTTATTTTTTGATATTTACTGAGCTTTTATGGACAAACTAGCGACTGACAAACTACCACGAAATTGCTAACAAGAGTCCATTGCCTACTGAAATGCCGAGAGCGAGAGAGAAAAAAAAAGAAAGTCACTCGGTCACAAACGTCTAAATTCACGAGCTGCTAATAAAAAAAAGCACTTTAAATAAAAACAAAAGTAAAAGTAAAATACGATGGCCCGAATCCTCCTCTGCTGAATATTTTCACAAGAACAGAAACTCATGCGTAAATCTGGAAAGAAAAGCCTGCCTTTTGGTTCGTTTCCAAAGCTCCTCACTGGAAATCTACAGTCGTATCACATCCATTTAAACACTGGGAAAGACCGTTACCCACAGGTCATAGCAGTAAGTATAGCCGCCTCCTGCCGTACGACAAACTACGCCAGCCCCCCGCTCTCCAGCTACAGGAGGGCAGCAACCGCTTCTCTTGGGGTCAGGCCTCACATGGGCTCTGGACGCTAAATGGAAATCCACCCAAAAGTACTCAAACTCTGTCATGTATCATAAATGTAAAGAGAGGAGCCTCAGATCTGGTTTTGTGGTATGACTTTGAATACGCGGATTAGTGTTGCGTTTAAACTAAATATTTGCATTCTCATTTATTTTGGGACTCAACGTTTATGTTTTTCTTAAATACACTGAGTTTAAAAGTAGCCCTTTGTTCCAGGAATCTAAGGAACACAGTTTGAGTGTAAAACCAAAAGAAGAAACTGGAGTCACAATGAAGCACAGCTAAAGTTAGCTAGCAAATATGCATGGTTTTAAGCTAACTGTTATTAAATCTCGAGTCCTGAGTCCTTTTACCCTTCCCAAGCTTCAGGAAAACTCTCTCCAGGCGTGTTACGGCCAAAATGAAGACAATATTTGCATGCGTTACTGGTGGTTTTAAACGTCGGATAAGCTGCGTAACCCGGGCATCCCACTAGATCCGGAACGTCTCCGGACTGGCAGGCGGGCGGATCAGATCCGCAAGCATATACCAACCACTGGATCGGATCCGCCGCTGCCATCTGAGGACAAGTGCTCGCAAGATTACCAATATTTCTCGCCAAACTGGACGAGATCTCACCAGCTCTTGCATGTGTCCCCGGTAGTCATAGAAGAGATCCGACGATCTTGGTGTATATAAACACCCACATTCCACAACCCCGGCCTCTCCTGTTATCAATTAAGAACAGTTCAATGTATTGACTTCATTTTATTTTGCAAATTAACCGGATATTTTACTCTGTAACTGCATACAACTTCCACGCACCGAATTGATGCGCCGTGCTGTGGCATCCGGCAAAAATAGAGGCCTTGCGTTCCGGATCCTGTGGCATTTGCCCGTTAAGTGTGGCGATCGATGGTCTTCCCAACCTCCACTCCAGCTTCTCCTTTTCCTGCTCTGTCTGGTTTAAAGAGAAACAATAGCGTTGCAGATGATGGCTGCACTGTTTTGTACCTTGAGGGTCTTTGCTGCTGCTCTACCTGCCTTGGCTTTTCATATACGCACACGAAGGGGGAGGTAAGTGTGCTCTACCGGGGCTTTGGCATTGGTGGAAGGGCAGGGAGCTCTCACAACAGAGCCATAATCAACAGTTCTCATTGACTGACACTCAACTATGAAACCCAACCGGACACCCTCCCCTTATGAGCGTGGATGTGCGCACCGAGCCTCATGGCAACAGTTGACGAGATACCAGATCTTAAAGTGTTGAAGTACTTTTGGGTGGACTATTCCTTTAACAGCGCCCTTTAAAGCCCAATCCAGCCCAGATTAACAATGTTTTATGCAAAGAAACATGTCCGCTGTTTGTAAACTAGCATAAGTCACCATTAAGTTGCAGGCATTAAAGGTCTCTTGAATGATTATCTGAAGACTTGGCTTGCAAAAGAGTAGATTGGGAGTTGTACAGTATAGTTGGTCAAACATTTGTTTTCTCTTCTTACACTTGAACGTCCTCTATTCAAGCGCCACCCCACCCTGAATATCAGTCATGCAGATTCAAAACAAGAATCTCGTGAAACACCCTGCGTTTACGATATAAGAGTATGTTGTTGTTTTTTTTGATTACGTGATTTTGTCGTGAGGATATGTTACAGAGCAGTTTTTCCTACAAACACAAATGCATAGGATACAAATCAGTCCAACACTACAATATACGGCGAGCAATACAAAAGAAAACAATAGAAACAGATCACAGAGTCTGTTAACAAAATAAAAGTCTTGGTCGTTGGCACTGGGGTTGGGTTGGTGGCGCGGCGGGGGAGGGGAGGTAGCAGGATTTAAGGAAATGAGTTAGTCGTACATCGATCGTTTTTTACAACGTTGGTCAAATTTGCGTAGATCACGACAAAGATCAGGCGCGTAACTGGAACCGCAGACATTCTGTTCAACTCCTCCCCAAATTTCAGAATAAAAGCATCACCCACTCAAGAAATTAAGAGTTTTGATCGCCTCGGTGTGTGCGAAGGCGCCTGACTTCGCTCCGTCTCGTTTCTCACAGTTTAGTAAAATTTGGGGGTCAACAGAAAGTCTTCTAAGGCTTCAGCGCGGCCGATAAAGAGACACAGTGTTAAAATACCGTAGCAGGTTTAGATAGTTTAGTTTCAACAGTCTTGCTAGCTTTTATGTTGGTGCATGGCGGGAATGGCATAGTCGGCGGGTCGTTCACAGATCTTTGACACAATCGACCCAAAGTTAGGATTATTTAAGGACATGTTTAATATCGTCTGACATTTTCCTTCTTCTTTCCTCGACTTCAAACTTTTTTTTTCATCGAGAGGCCCTTTTTTTCCGAAATCAAAGCGGTCAGTTTTTTTTTCTGTAAACCAAATAAAACGGCAACAAAAAGGTTTAGAAAAGAAAGTTTAGAGTCTCTTAACTTGACAAGACGTTTACACGCACTAAATATAATATCCAATATGCTTTCTAAAATATACTTTTATATTCTTTAATACAGTCCAAAGTGGATTTATTTAAAGGCTCGGTATATTTAATTTACCTGTATGTCAGACAGAAGTTTAAGATCGGATAAAATTGAGAAAAAAATCGTGAATTTGAACGAAGCAGGTAAATAAGTTATCGATGCTAAATTTTCCTGTATTACATATAATTTGTATATTTACAGCTCATTTAACAGGCTTCGTGTTAATTTGTGTGTAATGTTTCTAAACAGATTCTTTTAACATGTTGTGATTTTTCAGTTTCAGACGAATCTTGTCTCGCGTTGTGAATAAAACTGACTTTAAATATCCTCCGAAAACAATAACTTCTTTTTTATCCTACTTAAACATCACATTGTCGTCTGCGTAAGAGTAAAAGGAACACTTGAGAGAACCTCTCACTGAGGAAAAACTGACAATCCTGTTGTTGTTGAACAATTTGGCGAATCGTTTTGTCTTTTTGACCTGAAGAAGAAGAAGATCGACGCCATGCTCGTGTTTGTACGCTAAAAACTACCCGCTGGTTTAGCTTGGTACTAGACTAGACATCGGGTAAAAGTAGAAACGTTTAATCATAATCAGTATATCGTTGATTTAATTTTCATTCAAAAATAAATGATTTGACTTTTGAGATGGACACGAACATGGCGTATACCTTCTTTTTAGTTACCAGAAGAGCTCGTAGAAACTATTTTCCTTATTTTTTTTTACACGCCCCCTTATATAAAAATAAATCAGTCACATGTATGAGAATTGGATCAGACTTCAGCGATGTGGAGTTTTGTTATTTTTCATCAAGTTCCGTTTGAATAAATGTCACGTTTCAGATTAAATCTTCACTTCGTCAGTTTTAAACACAATAACTGTCAGTATTCGAAGTAGAAACGAAACACGGCGACGTTGTTTCCGTTAGCTAGCAGCTTTAGAGCTCGCCGTTTCAGTTAAAGTTCGGAGGCGGGTCTTAAACGTGTCGTGGGTAAATGTTTGAACTGTAACACACACTCATACACACACACTAACACAAAAACACAGCATCACAGATTGAACAGTGTTTACAGATAACACTTATTCTGAACTGACCCACTCGGCCGTTGAATCCGGGGCACACTTTGGCTCTCTCACACACAAACTCTGTCGCTCCGTCGCCACACTTCCTCTTCTTCTTCTTCTTCTACTGTCTCTTTTCCCTCAACTTCCTGTCTCCCATCAGCTTGAGTAAGAGACTGCGTCGCTACGATCTGATTGGTTGCTTTGTAGGTAGTCGCCTGCATGGTTCCGGTCAGTGCAAGGAGTGTGGTGTGGATGGGTGTGTGTGTTTATGTGTGTGTGTGTTTGTGTGAGGTGTGTGTGTGAGCCGAGGGAGTGATGGGGTCGGTCAGAAACGGTTGGTCGGTCGGTTGATTGGAGTGCCAGGAGTGAAGAAATCAAGGTGCAAAGATCAGGGCTGGGGGGTGTGGCCTCACACTTTTTTAGGGGGAGGGGCCAGTTTGATGATCTCATCCTCGGAGGGCTGGCGGATGATGTCTAAGGAGAAAAAAAAAAGGCAGAGAAAGAAAAAGATGAGAAGGAGGCAAACAAAAACCTCAACTTACATTTGTTAAAGAAGCTTAAAATGCACTTTTTTTTGTTTTTTACTCTAGTTATACCAACTTTAGTAACGACCACACGATAGCAATACACAGTGGTCTGGGAGCCATAAACAAACTTAAACCAAAACACCACTCTAGAGACACAAATAATGCTCAGAACAGCACCTAACTTCATCAACAGGACATATAGGGTCCTAGCCATAGTACTAAAAAAAGACAAAATACTCAAAAACAGAACTTAAAAACTAGCTAGCACATGGATTAGCATTCTGGGGTTTGGCGCCAGGAAAGTGAGCTGGTACGACTAGCAGCTATTCCAAGTTCTAGGTCGTGTAAGTACTTACGGTTTATACAATTTAATGTCATGTACTGAGCTGCTGCTTTTGTTTAAAGCTTTTACCTACTAAAGATCGACCTTGCCTGAACAGGGACTTGAACCCTGGACCCTCAGATTAAAAGTCTGATGCTCTACCGACTGAGCTATCCAGGCTCTGCATAGGCCTAAATAATGTTTTGATTTGGGTGTGTCCAGTCATTGTGTCTTCTATTCAGGTTGTTTAAGCAAGGATCAGAGTTTTTGCAGTGTGGGGCAACATCAGGTCCTTGTTTTGTAGTTTGATGGACCTCACCTACTTTCTTCCAGCGGACGCTTGTTTGTAGCGAGACTTCAAGCCAGTCCATTACAGACTACAGTGGGGTTTCGCAGCTCAAGGAAGAACATTTATGATCATTACTTCATGGAACTTCAGTGCAAAATGATAAGTATGATGATTATTACTAAAAGGAAATGATAAAGAAATGATCATAAATGTTCTTCCTTGAGCTGTGAAACCCCGCTGTAGTCTGGGTGTCTAACTCGGTGTTATGGTGTGTTTGACCCCAAATTAACTTTGACCCCAGAATATCCCTTTAACTTATTAAAGATAATAAGATGAGTTTTTGTCTCACAGCACATCTTTTACATTTACAGAACATAAGAGTTTTAATTTTGTCCACAAGGGGCGCCAAAGTGGCCCAAACCTAAAGTTCCTCACAGGGGCTTTAAGTTAAACTCCTTTAATGACCTTTTCATATGCTTTGATTTCGGTGATACCACGTATATCTTGTTCTTGTGTAGGTAGGAAATAGTCAAATTGTTAAAAGCAGCAAAATTACACATGATGAATATTTGCTGCAGAGACCCAACCTTTCATGGTGGTTACAGGTGTTCAAAAACTACCGTGCGCCACACATTGAGAGCACTCCCACTGACTTTAATAAGATGGATGTCAGTGACAGAATATTGACGGCTTAGAAAATCCAAGTAATATCAAATCCAACGACCTTTGATAGAATGACTGACGTGAACGACGAAGCTTCTGTCATAAAAATCAGTCCCTCCTGCACAAAACTGAGCCAGACAGACTTTTCATCAGCTGTAATAGTCGAGGAAATGAAGCCGTCTTTCTTTTTTATAACGCGGTTGTTGCACCTGTGTTTTTATTTCATTTCGGCTTCTACCAGCTGCAGGCTGAATTTCCCCTGTGCTTCACAACAGAGTTATAGACCAATAACTGCAGCGAAGAACGGGCCGGAGGAGACGGACAAAGAACATTTTATTACAACGCGGCCTGTCCTTTAAAACAAGCCGGCCTTTTGACGAGTTATTGGCTTTTCAGTCTTTATTTACACTTGACAGAAAATGAGGATTTTGCTCCTTTATTGCAGACGAGGCAAAGATCCAGAGATGATCAGACTATAAGCATGTTATTTAAGCGCACTCATATATAAATGCGTTACCTTTGTATTTCTTGGCGGAGGGGATACGTGTGAGCTTGGTGTCGATCTCGTCGTCCTCGGAGATCTTCAGCACGGTGGTGCGATACTCGATCACCCTCGTCAGAAGGTCCGGTCGCCGTGAAATCTCAAAGATGTGCTCGATGTATGAAAGATTATCTGGAAGAACAAGTTTGGTAAGAAGACTGAAATCAGTGCCCTCTTTTTTTTAGCAGTATTTAAAGGGCCATGCCAAAGCTTTTCCCTCAACCGTACCTTGAGCCAGCTTGTCGTTCTTCTCCAGGTAGCTGAACCACTCCTTGGATGAGGTGATGTTGTTGCTCTGGTCCTCTGGGATGTCCTCCTTGCAGGCCGACTTGAGCTGCTCCAAGTCTTCGTTGGTGATGTTTTCAGACAGGTCGCTGAGCAGAGAGCTGTACTCCGCCATGGTCTGGAAGAGCACAAAGAGAGGTGGAAACGGTGAGATATCTTCTCAAAGATGATGCCAAAAGTGTAAGAAAAGGAGGTCAGAGCGAGGCGGAAGTTTTAAGGAGTAGGATTGAAGAACAGCGACTGAAAATAACCTGATGTTGTTAAATTTCTCCGTGTGCAGACAGCCCACCTACTTCCCAGACTTCAGCAAGGAAAACAGTCAGGAAATCTGAGCTAATGACAAAAGCATACAGCCAGAGGAAGACTGGAAAGAACGAAAAAACAAAAACTACCGGGAAGTTTTTCCAACAGATGACAGGATCCTTTTATTTTGTTTGAGATGAGACCAACCAAAATGGAAGAACAGGATAAAATGAACACTATAGTGATGGCATCAAACCAACGCTACATAAACCATCTTTACATCGTATACTGCGATGACATAATGGGGCCATTGAGGCAAAAACAGTAAACCTGGAGGAGGAGAGGGAATAAAGTGGCTAACTTGTGAGCTAGCTGTGGTCACCTTAGAGATCAAAACACCCGCCCTAAACCCAACCCAGCTTGAAAATGACAGACCACTGCCCCTCCTGTGAAAAAGTCTCAGGTGCACAGTCTTTAATCAGGTCTCTGGGCTCGTGCACGATAACAGTCTGTTTCATCCTAAACAGTCTGGCTCTGGGTGGAATCACTAGTTCATGTGCTACTTCTTTAAAGGGATATTCCGGCGTAAATTAAAGTTAGTGTTGAACACACCGAAACACCGAGTTAGACACCACCTCAAGAGATGAATGTTGCCGACCGCTTGCTTCTCCAGTTACACCAACTTTAGTAATGACCGCACTAAAGCGCCACTCTATAGCCACAAATAATGCTCAGAACAGCACCTAACTTCATCCACAGGACATATAGAGTCCCAGACATAGTACTAGCTATCAAACATCTTTTTAACTTTGCCTAATTTCTTTAGCAAAGAGACTAAACACAACTCACCTACTCTCTTCCAGCAGCCGCTTGTTTGTAGCGAGACCTCAGGCCGGTCTATTACGGACTACAGCGGGGTGTCACAGCTCAAGGAAGAACATTTGTGATCATTTCTTTATCATTTCCTTGAAGTAATAATCACCATATTAATCATTTTGCACTGCAGACGTGGTAGTTCTTCTGCCTTAGCGTCTCGGTCGGATTTCATTTCCATGAAGAAATGATCATAAATGTTCTTCCTTGAGCTGCGGCACCCCACTGTAGTAATGGACTCGCCTGAGGTCTTGGTGAGTTGTGTTTAGACTCTTTGCTAAAGAAATCGGACAAAGTTAAAAAGTTAAATTTGTGGCTGTGGAGTGGCGTTTTGGTTGAGGTTTGTGTGTGTCTCTCTGTATTTCTATCCTGCGGTTGTTACTAAAGTTGGTATAACTAGAGAAGCAAGAGGTCGGCAACATTCATCTCTCAATGGGGTGTCTAACTCGGTGTTATGGTGTGTTTGACCCTAAATTAATTTAATGCCGGAATATCCCTTTAAGGGTATCGTGGAGGGTAGGAATGCCCAAACCACATGGTTTATCAACCGGAGTCCCCCAAGGATCCATGCTAGGCCCCATTACTTTCAGTATACAACATCTAAATTGCTTGCATGGCTTTTTATACTAGTTGCAATGTTATGCAGATGATACCCCGCTCTTTCTGTCATTCCCACTAGATCATACAACCGTCTTGCCTCGTATCTGAATGAGCTCAGAAGGACTTCAACCTCAACAAAGAAATACCGTCCATGTAAGCACGACTAGTGTCGCCTCTCACAAAGACAAGGAATCTGCGAGTGTGGAGGAGTGTGTGCGTTGGCATGCGAGCTGTTCATAAACAGTCATGGAGTGAGAAAATTACAACACAATGAAAAGAGAGGGAGAAGGATAAACAGACATGTTGTAACGTCCGTCTGCGCTCTTCACGAGCGAGTTTGGGAGGGAACGCAGCATGTACGCTTCATGGGGACACAAGTTGAAACAGATTTGGGTCACACTATTCATATGCATCTTCATATCTGTGCGGCTGCAAACACCCGAATATCACTCAGCTGTTATATAAGTTTGTTTGCAATCAATGTATTAGTGAAAAAGCACACAGTATAATCGTGTTGGGTGTAATGCGGGTATATATACTGTGCGATGGTATAAAAGTGTCTTCCGGTAGAAATTTTGCTCTACCGTTTAAACCAGAGAGAGAGAGAGAGAGAGAGAGAGAGAGAGAGAGAGAGAGAGAGAGAGAGAGAGAGAGAGAGAGAGAGAGAGAGAGAGAGAGAGAGAGAGAGAGAGAGAGAGAGAGAGAGAGAGAGAGAGAGAGAGAGAGAGAGAGAGAGAGAGAGAGAGAGAGAGAGAGAGAGAGAGAGAGAGAGAGAGAGAGAGAGAGAGAGAGAGAGAACAGATGTCTGCCACATCTTTCTGATCCCCATTAGCCGTGGCCGAGCCTCAGCTATTCTTCCTGGGGTCCTTAAACCAACTCACAAAAAATCTATGCAAATAATATGCCCCATGTAAAAAAACAAAACAATAATAATAAAAATACATAAAATAAACACAAACAAATAAACAAAGAAAATACATACAAATACACAATACAAACAATGACAGATAGCTCCTAAGTCGGCAGTCATGTGAAGTATCTACATATCCTGTAAGCACTATATATATACATATTATATATATATATATATATAAAAACACACACACACATACACACACACACATATATATATATATATCTGTGTGTGTGTATATATATACATATATATGTGTATATATTTGTATGTGTGTGTGTATGTGTATATATGTATATATATATATATATATACCATGGTAATATATATATATATATATATATATATATATATATATATATATATGCACAGATATGAATATATATATCAAAATATATATATATATATATCATATATATATATATATATATATATATATATAAATTATATATATATACATATATAACATAAAATATATAAAACACACACACACACACACACACACACACACACATATATATATATATCTGTGTGTGTTATATATATACATATATATGTGTATATATATGTGTGTGTGTGTATATATGTATATATATATATATATCATGGTAACGGTATATATATATATATATATATATATATATATATACTATATGCACAGATATATATATATATGACAATATATATATATACATATATACATATATATATGTATACATATATATATTTGTATATATATATATTTATATTTGTGCATATGTATTTACATATTTGTGCATATATATATATATTCATATACCGTGATATGAAATTACTCAAACCGTGATACAAGATTTTGTTCATCCCGCCCAACAGTACCGTATAATAATAGCATCATAGATAATCAAAAAGTATTTTAAATCAAAAATATTCAATTTATAACCATATGTGACAAAAATAAGCGTAAAAAAATCAAGACAAAGACCGCACACTTTTCTTTTTGCTGTCTCCTGATATTTAAAGATAAAAGTTGTATAAAGGTAGCGCCTGCCTGACTCTCACATCCAATCAAACTGCTGCCTCAGGATTTCCAAAATGTCACAGAGATCCCCCTCCCTCCCCTCCCTGAGCCGTTTATCTGTGTAGCGATGATTAAGGTCACCTGAAACAGCTGCACAGAGCTGACTCTCCAGCATCCTCCTGCTCAGAGGCACTTTGGCAACTTTCTAAAGCAGTACGAGCTGCAGCCAGACCTCCTCTTGACCGTGTATCCATCCCCTCTACTGTAAAAAAAATTAATCTCCCTACTTCATAAACGTGCATCCATAAACGTCTTTAACTGTGTCACCGACCCTCCCCCCTTCCCCGCCGCCTGCCATCCATGCATCTGGCGAGAGGCTGCAGTGCATCATGGGCTCTGGCACGAAGCTCAGTCTGCCTCTGATCCCCTTAGACTCATCGCAGATAAACACAGCAAACAGGAAGCCCAGAAGAGCCGAGCGATGAGCGAGTGACCTAAATAACAGAGGCTGCTGTTACTCGAAGCTGCCAGCAGAGGGCGCCAAATCACCATGCTGTTCCTGCGCAGCCGTTCTTATTTAAACATCTCATGCAGCAGCTTTTCTCTGTATTTGATCATCTTGAGAGAAACACTCGGATAGGAATGAAGGACTAAAAACATAATTGATAACTGATAATCGATATACGCTTTGTCTTATCCACGACCCAGCCTCAGGCGAAGAGCACAATCATGACTGAGCGCTTTTTGCTGTTCGTATGTTGTGTGTTTGTGTGTGTAAGTGTGTGTGAGGGTGAATAAAGAGTGTGTGTGTATTGTTTTAATCTCAAATGTCACATTCATCTCCTCTCTAAGCAGAGCAAGTCGCTCAATCAACACAAAGCTCTGCGTGGGAGCGAGCAGATATATGCACCTTCACTGCGCTGAATACAACAGGCTCAGTACTCTGTGTGTGTGTGTGTGTCTGAGGCGGACTAAAAGAATGAATGTGTGTGTGTGTGTGTGTGTGTGTGTTGGTCCCGTCTCGACTCAGGTCGCCCTGCATGCTCTCTGTTTTGCACCACAATGGAGCAGCGCTGCTTTTGTGTACTTTCAGAGGAGAGAGGGGGGGAAAACACGACAATGGATGGAGTGGCTACACTTAGTTTTCCTCTCCTCTCCCCCCCTCTCTGCCCGAATCTGAACAACATCAATTATTTCAACAAATGAGTCAATTTTTTCACATTTAAAAAGATACTTGTGTTCATTTTTTCCTGTAACTCCCTTATGAGTTTATTTAAAGCTCCAGTAGGGGACTTTTGTTTGTTTATTTTGATGATTGTGCCCTTAGAGGGACATTCTGGCGTAAAATTGATTAAGGGTCAAACACACCATAACACCGAGTTAGACACCTCCTCAAGAGATGAATGTTGACGACAGCTTGCTTCTCTAGTTATACCAACTTTAGTAATGACCGCACGATAGCAATACACAGACCCAAACGCCACTCTATAGCAGGGGTGGGTGAATATTTGTTTTGAAAAGTTTGTTTATTAGGCAGCTGTTGTGACACTTTTCCCCTCCAGTTGCAGCGATTTCAGACATTTAAAATTACAGTTAGCCCTTTAATGCCTTTTGTATCATATTTAATACATACTCGTGCTTCTATTTTGAAAGGGCAACGCAGTGCGTCAAGCTTCCTGTCTTGGGCAAGTGGTTAAAAACTGCAGATCTCTTTGTTAAAAATATTACTGTACTTATGAAAACTACAAATATACTTTTTTGTATCCCTTTCATGCATGTTGTTTCGAATTAAGACATACTTTAATGATATTTCAATCAAATCAATATGATCAACAAATTACTGAAAAAACACCTGAATACAGTCCAATAAATGATAAAAATGTCCTCTTGTAGTTTATCAGTTTCCAAAAACATCTAATGTATCAAACTAGATAAAATAAATATATTTGTTGAATTTTTAGGACATTTTGATTTTTTTGTTTTTTATTCGTAAGTGAAATAAACATTTCAGCTCCAAAAAAAATTGAATTTTCTGGCCATAATTTGTGATTTCAGTTAAAGAGGGTTAAATGATTAAATAAATGTTGTTTATAATGGTGGGAGAATTAATCATACGACAGAGAACAATTTTTTTACTGTAAAAATGGGCAAAACTAATATTTGGGGTACCCCAGGGTTCAATCCTGGGACCTCTTTTTATTTGCTGATGACACAGGTCTCGTTTCGTCACATGAACTCTTGAATTTGGAGGCAAATGAAGAGCTGTCATCACTTTGTGTGGGTTTCTTTATAGTTTTTAATGGTACAAACTGTCACTGAATAATAAAAGCTAATTTCTGTGATATTCTGTAACAAAAACAAAAAAAATACTAAAGATGGAGCCAGAATTTCAGGTCTATAATGGATGAAAAACTTCCATAAAAGTATTAAATTGAATATGAATGCAAAAGTAGAGTAAGCCAATAACTGGGAGTACATGTAACGCAGCAGAATATCCACCCAAAACTAGTTTTCTGTGAGTTGTCTCCACATTAATTGATTTTTCGGGCTCCTCCTCGTGCAACACTGTAGTCATGCTCTAGGCGAGGAGTTTGTGAAATCTGCTCTAGTCAACACTCCCCCCTCCCTCCCTGCTCTCTCTGGGACGAGCCTGACACTGCCTCCATACATAGAGCCCCACTGTGCTTCACATTCTCATGAACACAAACATGCTTTTGTCTGCTCGTTCCTCTGTCCCCGCTGTCTGTGTGTGTGTGAGTGAGTCTTTAAATAGAAGAAGGCCAGAAAAAGAGAGAGAGAGAGAAAAAGCACCGTCACTGAAATTATAATTACAAAGAGATATCAGGCTATATTTATATGGAATAATAATAGGTTCGAAAGAAATCAGCAAGGATCCAAGAGTAGTGATGGGCAAGGCAGTTCTTTTAGATGTACTGAATCACTAGAATCACTAAAAAGATTCGTTCAAAAGAGTCGTTCACCAAATCAACGAATCATGTAGCGAGAGAAGCCTGTGACTTCAACTTCCTGAACTGATACTCAGCCGAACGGTTCAGGATTCAGTTCAAGTCAAAGTTTCTGGGACCAGCAGACGAGAGTGTTCGGCTGTGTTGCTTTGGCAAAAGTCATGACGTCTTCACTGTACTGTCCTATGGTATGCTAGGTTTGATGTACTACTTGTTACATGCTGTGTCCATATTTATGCAAGATGTTGTGGTGGCAATTTATCTTATTCTTTATTTTTTTATCTGCACCGTTTTTTTTTTTTTGTTTTTTGTTTTTTGTTTTTTTGTTTCTTCTTTTTTTTTGTCATCAGTAACTTCTGTTGTGGCTTTTTTTTTTTTTTTTGCACCATTTATTTTTTATTTGCAGCAGGCTTTGTTTTTATATTTATTTTTTTCTTTGTCATCATTGACTTCCATTGTGGCTTTTTTAATGTTTTTTTTTTTTATCTGCGCAGCCTCTTTTTTTTTTTTATTTGCGTCAGACTTCGGTTTCTTTCTTATTTTTTTTGCATCATTAACTTCCGTTGTGGCTTTTTTTTTTTTTTTTGCACCATTTATTTTTTTATTTGCAGTGGGCTTCGTTTTTTTTTTATTTGTCATCATAAACTTCCATTGTGGCTTTTTTTAAATTTTTTTTTTTTTAACTGCGCCGCCTCTTTTTTTATTTTATTTGCGGCAGGCTTCGGTTTCTTCTTTTTTTGTCATCAGTAACTTCCATTGTGGTTCTTTTTTTTTTTTTTTTTGCATTCTTTTTTTATTTGCAGCAGTGGCAGTTCTCGGCCACCGTAATTAACAAATAACAAACTGCACATTAGCAGAGGAAAGTTAAGATTTCCATGTATTTAAAGTTAAAAAAAAAAGACTGGATCGAAACGCTGGATAGGCGTCATTCATCCGATATCTGATCCAGTTAATTTGTCAATGTCGGAGCCAATATCTGAACCAAATATCAGATCGGTGCATCCCTAATGTCATCCATATATATACTTTTTAAAACAATATTTAATGACAAATAAGTTTCTTGACTGATTTATTTCCCTCCCACCATCCTCTTCTTCACCTTCCATCCACTCTTCATCCTCTACAGCTCTTTTTTCGTCACTCTTTTCTCCCTCCGTCGCTGTTTAGTCCTCTCTGTCACGTCCGTCTTTATCTCCATGTCACATCACAAAGGGGTTTCATAAATGTGCAACAGCATCGCAGAGACAGAGGGAGGGAGAATGAGGACGGGAGCGCACACTGGCGCGTTTAGAGTGTGCAAACAAAAGCATTGATCAGTTTATTATATGGTACGAAGCTCGGGGGCGGTGTGTGTACAAATAATAATGACAGGTATAAGTGGAGGAGACCTTGGTGTGAACACTGTGATGATATCTGCCGAGTCCTTCTGCACATGAAAGAACCGGATCTGTTATTCTAGACCCCGTCACGCTTCCTCACACTGTACGAAACATCCACTGTCATTTTCCGGTGACTTGACGCTCCACCTGCACACACACACACACACACACACACATATATATCTAAACATACACTTCATGTATAGACATATACAACAGCTGCCAAAACTCCATTCACTCCCTACATTAATGACGTTGCCATAGAGACCTCACACACTGTTACCTAGCGACAGGGCAGACACCAACCTCCCTCCTCTCCTCATTTTACCACTCAAGCCTTTCAAAATAAAAGCCTGAATGAGGCTAATTACTGTACACAGAATGTAAACATTAAAGTTGTATGTTTGTGTTTTCAGTTCAAGTGTTTGTTTTATCTAAAATTTTATATATATTTTTTTGGAACTTTTTATCTAGAGTTTTTCCTTAAACATTGAACAGTATCTGAGACAAAATCAGCGGTGTGAAAAAAAAAAATCCCATACCTGTATATCAAATATTCAGTTCACATTGTAGTAATACGGAAAAACAAACAGGATAAACCAATAGACATACATGCATAAGTAAAAAAAAAAGGATAACTAAATAATACAGAATGAATAAAATTTTTTACTTTACTTTGTTTATGTTTTTTTTAAGTATTGTTGTCAAATTTTCTGGATCGATTTAGATTTTAAAGGATGGAAAAAAAAGAAATTATAGTTAAAATTAAAGGATTTGCTGGGAAATATAAATAGAAGAAAAAAAATAACTTAAAGCTCCTGTATGGAGTTTTTTCACAGCTATAAAATAGACAAAAATTCAAAATAATGCCTTTTATGATCTTCAAAAACAAACAAGACCATCAGCAACATGACTGACAGTTTTTATGTTACTTTTATGATATACTTTTATAACCTGATTCGTCCACAGGGGGCGCCAAAATCGACACAGATCAAAAAATGACTCACAGGAGCTTTAAAAAAAAAATCTGTATAGACAAAAAAATTCTGGATTTTCTTTCCTAAAATCAGTTCAATCATTTTAGACTTAATTTCTTATTAAATTTTTTAGATTTAAAGAGATTAAGACAGTAACATAGGACAAGTTGAAGAACATTTAATTTTATGTAGACATATATCAGATTTTTTTTAAATCAGTTTTTGCACTGAAACTGTAAATTGTGATGGCTGTTTCCAGTTAGCTTTTTATTGTGCAAACATTTTAATAAAATCAATTATAACTCATCCAATAAATTTAATAAACCGCCACAGTATTAAAAAAACAGACACAGTAACAAAAATGAGTGGGCAGGATGTTGATTTTCTCATTTGTTTTTTACTTGTTGATGTTATTTTGCTCATAAAATATTTCCTAATGACTCCGTAAAAACTGAAAAACTCACATGACTGGAAAGAAAACAACAGCAGGACTTTGTTGATCCCTCGACTTCCACAATGTGACGCTCATATGATCATTAAACACACTCGGGCTCTCTGTAACCGTCTCCTCTCTCCGGGTCTCAAAGCTTCACACACACACACACACACACACACAGACACACACACAAACAGAGCGCCTGTCAACTGTGCCGGACTTCAGCGCAAAGACAAGCCTTTGGATTTTACCATGGCAACCGAACCACCGGGAAAGCGGTTCAAAAAAATCTCCCTGACAGAGATCTGGAAGGAGGCATCGGCTGTTTTGTGTCGTCTTTACATCGTCTCCAGACATCTTTGTCTGTTTCTTCTTTGTTTGCTTTTCCTCTTTCACCCTTTTTAACTTCATCTGCGACTCTGGCCTCTGCGCCGCTCTTTTGTCTTTGCGTCCTTGGACTTAAAAGCGCACGCTCCATTGTGTTTTAATTGGAAGAAATTAGGCAGAGAGCAAATATGAGAAAAGATTTTAATAGCTGCTTTAATTTATAATGTTATGTTTTCATTTTTCAAAGCATAAACTCCTTATTTTGAAAAGACTCATAATCACCATTTTATTTGACATCTTTGGTGCTATCACAGTCACACCTTTATTTAAACATGAGGCTAAAATTAAAGCTCCTGTAGGGAGTTTTTAACTTGTTATGAAACAGGCTGAAATGAATACAAAATCAAACAATACTATCTGCAACAACATCGAGTGGTTTTAATCGATGTTTTTAGTGTCTGAAACCGCTGCGTCGGGGGGTAGGTGTCACAACAGGAAGTTGGCGACACCTTTGAATAACACACTTTTTGAAACTAAGTCAAAAACAAGACCAGCAAAGAAACAAGACGACTCACTTTGACCACAAGGGGGCGCCAAAATCAACAAAAACAGAAAATTTCTCACAGGAGCTTTAATTTGAACTTTTTTGGCCTCACTGCCTCATTGCAGATGGAGACTCGTGACTGATGCTAATACTGATATTTAGAGAGACGATATTTACCGATATTTAGTAGGGCCTGACTGATTAAATTGACCAATTTTAGCCCGTTTGAGACTAATCGGTAATCGGCCAAAACTCGCCGATTTTTGCCGATATTTTCAGAAATAAATTGCGGAGAATAAGATTCTGTTTCACAATAAGTCAACAAGTTTCAGTACAACCCACTTTGCGATGTTCCCCGCCGTGCTGGTATCGGTCATGCCGAGTTAACGGTGAATCACCATGTAATATGCAAGCTAAAGTTAGAGTTAGCCACCTGCTATTAGCCTTGCTACACTGTTAGCCGTGCCAGTAACACTAGAATAAACAACAGCACACATTACGTGATATATATATATATTTTATAACTTCATAAAATTTTTTTAAAAATTGTCAGATTCATCGGTAATCAGATGATTTGTATCGGCATAGGCCTAAAAAAATCCATATCGGTCGTGCCCTAATATGTAGAGAGCAGCTTGGCCAATAGCCGTTATATATAATGCCGATATCATAAAGCTGCTTTTTCCAGAATCATAATGCTGAAAAATCAGAAACAAGATTGCTGAATTCGATTGAATGTTTTATCAAATAAAATAGACAGAAAAATATTCGGCTCAGTAAAATATTAGCACTTTTGGATTTCCGCCCAGCTGTCTGGGATCAGTAAGAAAGAGAAAAATAAACAAGATGAATATTAATATTAATAAAATGTATTATTCACTGAACAACAGTCATCAGTTTTAGCCTTGATATGCTGTTAAATGTTATATTTTTTTATATTTGGAAAGACTTAAGAAAATCCTGTTTTTTACTTTGTCAGTATATGTGAAGTTGTGAGGTAACGGCATTAAGTAACACCCTCCAAAGTGTACCAACAAGCTAATTCGGGTCATGTCTTTTGTAAGGAAGATCTTAATGTCATTAGTGAGCTGGTTAAGTAAGCGGAGGCATCATGAAGTGTTCTTGCCCGATGTGACAAAACAAAAGTGTAAATCTTGCCCAAGTCCCAAAAAGTTAATATTTCATGCGTGTTAAACAAGACAGGAACAAAAGAGAGAAGCTTCTCGGAACAAGTCTGTATTTTGTAGGCATGAGTTAATATCTTGAGCGCATATTGTTTTAGTTGCTACACACAGGATAAATTGTTTTTCTCTGTATGTTTATCTGGATTGGACCAAAAGGCAGAGTGTAGGAGTCCCGCCCACTCTCTCCATCTTTAAAATCTCCCACCAAACTCTCCTCGACTTCACTCTGAAACCACACGACTCTCCATCAAAAAGGAAAAATACACAAAAATTTACCCAAAATTTACTTCAATTCTGGAGAAAATCTGTATTCTCTCCTTGTCTTCTGAGTGAACCATCCTCTCTTTGCTCTGGATTTATTTTCAGTGTTGCAGAAGCAGCAGGAGAGAGGGAGCGGTGAGGGATTACAGAGTGGGAGGAAGAGGAGCTCGCGGTCGCAGGTTGGTGCAAATGTCCGCCTCCAAAATCTGCCTCTCAGGTCAAAAGTCTCTGTGCGCGGAGATCGTTAAACACCCCTGAGTGCGAAACTAACGACTTCTTCTTTTATTCATTTCACTGCAGCCCACTGCGCCATTTTCATAGACCGTGTAAAACTTGGATGTGGTTCCCACAGGATCGGGAGGAAGCCATTAAAAAAAGACGCAATACTTGAAACGACGAACTAAACAAACTTTTGATGTAACAAGCACAGATGACGAATAGCATCCTATAGGGCAGTTTTAGAAAATAGAGATGACGTTGTACATGAACTGTGTGTGGTTATCACTTTGGAATGGTCCTTGCTGTATATGTTTAGCGAAAATAGAGATTTAACATGGATGCTAACAGGATTCTTTTGCCATTTGAGGCCAGCCTCTAGTGGACAATCATGGAACTGCACTTTTTTGGCTTTATTCTTCAACACTAATACTTGGGCATTTTATTTTCAAATTTGTCACACCACAAAAAAATTAAGATAAACATATAAAACAAACCCAAAGCCTCGAAATTCGACTAAAGAAACCCAAGGTGTTACGCTGCGTTTCAGCTACCTCGGAAGTCCAGAGCGGTAGAGAAAGGCTAACTTGCTGTCATGGAGACGGACCTAGCCTACATATTATTCAACGCTGAAGGAGGAAGATCTGACTGTAGAAGAAAATTACAACCAGAGCTCTGTTACAACGAAAGATTTTGGCGCTCGAACCGCTCTGTCGCATCTTTCGTCATGGTAACCGTCGCTGAGGATCATGGGAAGGCCAATGTAATCTTCATGCTCAAAACAGGCACACTCAAAATCAATAACTGTAAATGAGAAACACTATTTTTTTAATTTTTTGGTCATACAGAAAAACAAATAAACAAAATGTTGACTCGTTTTTTCGTTTTCTGTTGACTTAATTGAATGGATGGATAATACATGGACCGTATTGGGCGGCCTGCTTAACCTCTTCCATATCCGTCTTTTTTCATTTGTTGCACTCTCTTGTCTAAAGCTGACAATGCAGAAGAAAAGTTGTTGTTGAATCAAATTGTGCCTCAAATCCAAAGACTGATCTGTTATCTGTAAATGTTGATCTTGAACGCTGCATCTCTTCTTTTTTTCCGTCCACTCTTGCAGAATCGGACCGACTCCCACCAAACAGCCAAACATCGATTAGTGTTCGATGCCTTCAGAGCTAAACGGATCCAACTTTCCTCTCTGCGGGTTTCTTTTCCAATAGCAAACAACAAACAGACGCCCCCTGCAGATGGCAACCGAGGAGGAGGAGGAGGAAACGCTGTCCGATCCCTGCGGGGGGCAACTAGCCTTCGCCGCACATCAACATGTAAAAGATTTATCCGCTGCTGCCGCTGCTGCCGCTGCACCGCGCTGCCCTGCTGCGCCGCAGAATGACACCCTGCAGTTAGCACGCAGCTGTGTCTGCTTTTTTCATTTTTACTGAGGTGGCCGGGCACAGTTTGAGTTTTGATTCTCTGCCTGTGCTTATCTCAGTTTCTGCGACAATTCAGCAGTTGTCTCCAAAACCGCCTGAGAAAAAAACAGAGTGGTCACATCAGGAAGCAGAAATCAAAACACGCTCTGTATTTTATCTGAATGAACACATCTTAGTGCATCAACTCGTGGTTTTTGTTCGTCTGATGAAGAAACACTCAGAGAACTTCCTCAAGCTGACGATGAGAACAGCGAATTCGTACTTTATGGCAGAGGTGTGGGAAAGTCCCTATGTTGCAAGTCCAAGTCGGGTCTCAAGTCTTTGTTCTCAAGTCCGAGGCAAGTCCAAGTCCTTTGCTCTCAAGTCTCAAGTCAAGTCCAAGTCCTGAACTTTTTGTTCGAGTCCCAACCAAGTCCTAGGAATTTTGCTTCGAGTCCCAACCGAGTCCTTACCGTTTCTTTCAAGTCAAAAACAAGTCGTATCAAGTCCAAGTCATTTGCTCTCAAGTCTCAAGTCAAGTCCAAGTCAACACGAACAAGTCCCAAGTCAAGTCCTAGTCCTGAACTTTTGGTTTCGAGTCCCAACCAAGTCCTAGGAATTTTGCTTCGAGTCCCAAGTCCTTACCGTTTCTTTGAAGTCAAAAACAAGTCATATCAAGTCCAAGTCATTTGCTCTCAAGTCTCGAGTCAAGTCCAAGTCAACACAGACAAGACCCAAGTCATGTCCAAGTCCTGAACTTTTGATATCGAGTCCCAACCAAGTCCCACCGAGCGATTTATGTTCAGTCCTCCCGCTGTTGTCGTTATGAGGGAGGCTAGAGTTTGAGACAGTGTTGCCAAGTTTCGTGAGAGAAATAAGGAAACAGACCTCCAGAAACAAGCCAAAAACAAGCAGACTTGGCAACACAACACGGTGTTACCAACGGCCGTAATTCCTGACTATTAGTTGATGCGACACTTTTTAAACGGTTTGGGCTGTAAGGTATTAAGTGACTTGAAAAGACTTGACTTGACTTTTCAAGTCACTGGGCTCAAGTGAAGTCAAGACTCAAGTCTTTAGCAATCAAATCCCAAGCAAGTCCAAGTCATTTCTTGATTTCATCAAGCAAGTCAAAAATGGGACTCAAGTCCAAGTCAAGTCTCGAGCCGAGTCGTCAAGCCCCCACCTCTGCTTTATGACGATCTAGAAACACCATTTCAAGGTCGGTGGATATCTTCATTTTGCTGACACGATTTATACTAATCACGTCCCCGACGCGATAAAATGGACTCGGTAATGGACACATTATGTTTTATTCGTAGTCGTGATGAGCTAACAGTTCAGTTAGTCCACTAATGGTGAAGCGCTCGCTTTGACTTCCAGCTATTAATAGCAGATGTTCGGTTTTACCAAATGGATGTTTAAGTGAGGTGGATTTTAAACGAAGATGACATTTATGTCGCTTGTACGGCTTGTCATTTTTCACTGCTAAGCCATCTGCCACACACACACACACACACACACACACACGCACACACACACACACACACACACGCAGAGAGACTTTTCAAATTAAAGCACAATCCTGCCGTGGAAAGGTCAAACTCAACGCTCTAAGGTTGCCGGATCCGCCGCCTCCTCTAATCCACATCATTCCCGACTGGATCGCCGTTTCTTTCCTGCTTTCTCTCCTCTCCCTCTTTCTCTCCTTTGCTCCTGCTTTTCCACTTTTATTCCCCCCCACTTTCGGGGCTCTCGGGAGCGTTTATCACAGACAAACCGGGCAGGCTGTGAAGTAGGGATCATCGCGGGAGCTGCGGGGAAACATTAAAATTGATTTCTGACCATTAATCTTACTTTGATGTCTCTCCGGCTGGGAACATCTCCCCGCGTTCGCTCGCCAAATAAAACACCTCGTGTAACAACATCGTTCTTGTCTCCTTGTTTTACTACTCCTGCAAATCCCGCTGTTTGTTTCTTCGTGTTTTGGAAGAAATTCGCAGCACATTATCACAAGATTAAGCCTTATCTAGTCGGTCGTTTTATTCTGGATGGGATTATGGGATGAGAAGGCAGAAAAGAGAAGAAGAAGAAGAGGAAAGCGTGGTCTCTTTCCTTATTGACGGCCTCGTGTCCAATGAGGCAGCGAGGACTGCCAGCACTTATCAGTTCAGGAGCCCAGAGCGAGAGAGCGAGAGAGGGAGGGAGGGATACGGAGGGACGGAGGAAGCGCTAATCTGGGGAGAAGCAGCGAAGCGCCGGAGAATATAGGCCACTGGCCCATTTTTCATTGAGGAGTAAAGAAGATTTGCTGCGTGTTAAAAATAGTGCGGTAGATTCAAAACGAGCTTCGCCGTTCAGATTTCCCTCCCTTCTTCTTCTGCGTTTGTCGTTTCCTCCCAAACTTGGAACCTTTGTTTCATTTTCAATCTGTATTTTTTTTTTTACTGTCGGAAACTTCAAAGGGTTTGTTTGTTCGGAGAGAAATGAGAGGAAAATCTGACTCAGCACAAACGCCTGTTTGAAGAGGAAATAGAGAAAGTGAGGAGTCGGCACGAGTGGTTAAAGGAGATTCATTTCACTCGTTTTCACCTTTCGTTGTGTCAGACGGGGACATCCGTGGAGTAGTTTTCCTTGAGTGTCAGTGAAACCCTTATTTCACACTCTGATATTCAGTCGGACACAGCTTTGTGGGTGTTACTTTTTACACAGAAAGAGTTGATCTTGTATCTATAAGTTAAACGTCTAATGTAAGCGTGATCATATTTCATTGAGGGCTGTTTCAGCTACAGTTCCTGTTTTAATTGAAAATAAAAGAGAGTCTTAGAAAACTAACGGCAGCTGAATTACTAATAAGAGAACTTCTAACTAGGCACAATATTTAAAAAGTGACCCCTGACTTATTTCCGACAACTTCTGCACAAACTTCTGCACACTTCCCCAAAACAGCTCATCTTTTCACTATTCGTCCTCCTCCGATGGCGTCCAGTTGCAGCTCAAATCAAATACTGGACTCTTTTCCTCTGCTGTCAAATAAACTCCCAGACTCCACGAGAGTCAAGGTCCTTTCACACCGGGAGCGTCTTTATCGTGCGATTATTTCGGACGTCATTAGAAGCGTTCACATCAGTGACGTTTTCCCGTCCTGCGATATTGCGGCATTTATTTTTTCGGATCATGGTCGAATTTTCTAAAGTTTCTCATACTGTGTGTCCACTTCTGACCAATCAGATTTCATGTTTTTGCGTCGTCAGATTCACCGGTATATCCAACATGGCCGACCAGCTGACTGTTTGAGATCGTTTACACCAATATTACAAAAATAACGACCTGAAGGACAACTTGTGGAGAGTCATAGCGTTGGATTCCTCACATGACGATGGTTTGTGTGTTTTAACAGTTTGATAAACATCTTTGTTTTAACTTTCATCTGTGCTAACGTAAGCTAACAGTTGTTACTATAGTTTCATGTGCTTATCTTATCGCCTCTGATTGGCTTTAAGTGCTGACCGTTTGGGTTGAGCATGTGATGACGTTTCCAGCTTTTCTAGCCAATCAGAGACAAAGGAGGCGGGACTTTCCCCTGGAAAAGTCTTCCCCGGGATGCGTCTTTTCCCCACCGGAAAGTCACAAAATCGCACTGGGCTTGATGTCTATAGTCAGGCGCATCAAAACTCGCCTCTGAATATTTTGTAATTTCGCGATTCTTCTCATCAGGATACGCATCATCATTTACTTTTCACGCAGTTCGCCCCTTTTTTTTTTATTTATTATTCTTTATTTATTTTTTATTTTATTGTATTTTTTTTCTGGTATGTATTTGTTGGGAATTTTTTTTTATTTTTTTTTTTTTTGGGGGGGGGACTGGAGGGGCGGGGTGGGGGGGTTTGAGGGGGGAAAAAAAATCCCTTCTGTATTGTTGTTCTTTAAGATGAATCTCCTGACTCATTGTGGAATAAATAAAAGTTTAAAAAAAAAGGATACGCATCGTTTCATAGCTCAAACGTGTCGTTACCTCCCCGATGATCGTATTTATCCGAGCTGCATGATAAAAAGTACGTTTGTTCGTCAGTTTACATGTATGTCAGTATTTTCCTCCCTCTCGTTTGTCTCTCAGCCACAGAAGAACAGCAGTGGAGAGATTGTGTAGGCAGAGCCAACAATCAATCCTCCCAAGTGACACACAAACACAAACACACACTCACACACTGTAGGCACCGTGCGCATGTGTCCTGCATACAGATACCCCTTATTTTTTGGCACAGGCTTGCATTACGCCAGAGGGTAAAGGTCACAGAGAGAGAGAGAGAGGAGGGAGAGTTTCAGCGGCGAAAATCGAAGTGAATGTGAAAACATGGAAACGTGAGAGAGTGTCGAAGTGGGTTTGTTATTCCGGAGTGGAACAGATGGAGGAAAATGTGCTGTTCTTTACAGAGGAGGAGTGATTCATTAGGAGGAGACAAACAGATAAAAACCCACAACACTTAGTGAGAAATCTGAACTCCGACTCTGAACCCTGACGACACACTAACGCGCTTTTCCTTCGCAGTTTGAAGCGAGATGAATTCACTCACTCAAGAAAATTAACCACATTTGAAGGAAAGCAGGAGATGCTGCGTTTGCGTGCCTCAGAGACCTGGCTGCAACTGACCAGCCGAGGCTTTACTTCCTGTCGTCACCATGGACACACTTCCTGGCCCCGGGTTTAAGGGCAGCGGAAGAAACAGCAGCCAACAAGACAGAAAGAAACAGAGAGAGAGAGAGAGGATGGAGGAGGAGGAGGAGGAGGAGGAGGAGAAAAGCAGCAGCTGGACTCGGCATCCGAGTGAAATCTGGAGCTAATCCCCGCTGCATTGTTCCACACAACCCTCTTCCTCTTCTCTCCCGCTCTCTCGCTCTTCCACTCGGGTTTTACGGAGACGGCGGCGTGCACGTGTGAAATAAAAATAGAGGCTCGAGAGTGCATGTGCAGCTTTCCACAGCAGCGGTATTCGCTAAACAACAGATGCTGCTTCATCAAACAGTTATTCATATCTTAGCCGATCGATCTACTACCCGGATCTAAACGAGCACAGACGACCGCGGACTCTAAGCTTATATAATCAGTGACAGACATTCAAAGTGCCGCCGCAGGTCAGCCAACTGGCTTAGCTGATGATGAAGGTAGCAGACTGTGTTTAAGCTAGTAATGAGATGACAACAGAGAGATGTTCAGATATTAGAGCGACACAGTAGGAACAGGTCAGATTAAAGCTCCTGTGAGGAGTTTTTGAACATTTGTGAAATCGACTGAAATTCATGTTGGTGCCTTTTTAGGATATAGTGATGGGAAGAACAGTTTTTTCAACTGAATCTTTAGAATCTGTTCATTAAAACGATTCGCTCAAGCCCCTCCCCTCCCCTGCCATTGAAGTCGAAGCATAGTTTGCTGGGTGGCACATGTCGTTCATTCGCCAAGTCGTGAAGGAAGAATCACTCTCCTTCCTTGAAAAACTAACCTCTCTGTGTGTCGCCGTCGGTGGAAACAACACGTCAGCGAGCAGCACGTCCGCTAAACGAGTGCGAGTCATCGTCGTTTTATATCGCAGGGATTCGGCTACTTTTAAAGATATCAAATAGCGTATTGCTTTAAATCGGCTGAAATTAAATTCTTCTTACAGGGAAGTTTATAGACGTATGTTTATGTAAAGGCGCTATAATGACCTGTTTTATCTCAGCCTCAGTGAACGAACCGGTATTTTGGAGTTTGTGAACGATACTACACGCCTCCCTTATCTGCCTGCCTCAAGTCGTTCAGAAGTCGTTCGTTTCGTTCATAGACTGACTGATACATGTTGTTTATTTACTGTGAGCAAATCACGAGACTCCGCCCACCCACCCGCTTGCTCGCTGCCTGGCTGTGTGTCGCTGGCAGTTCCACTCCCGACTGGCACGCCAGGCTCGCGGCTGAGCTCAACTGAACTGAGAAAGGAACGAATCAGATCTCTGAGTGATTCCATTCAAGTCGTTCACTCAGCAGTTCTGTTCTTTTGAATGAAACATTCATGAACGACACAACACCATTAAGATATCTATAAGCAAACGAGACCATTTGCAACATGGTTGACGATTTTTATATCCACATTTTTAACGCCTGAATCCGGCGCAATGGGGTAGGTGTCGGCGGATCAGCTGTAGAAACAGGAGTTTTCACATAAGTGGTGACAACGATGATAGTTTTGACCTTCAAAATCAGAAGAATTAGCTTTTTCACTCAAAGACTGTTTGTGCGTGTAGAGCACAAATTACGCAAACACTGCTTTGTCCACAGGGGGCGCCAAAGCAAACACACAAAGGGCACAAAGTGTGTCAGTTTTGTTTTGTAATTTATCTTCCAGGAAATGAAGTTATTATCTAGGGCTGGACGATAAACCGTAAATTTACGACAATAACTGCCGTCATTTTGCCCATATCAGTAAATTCGATGTCAAAAAAAAGTCCATTTATGGTTATCGAGGTTAACTGCTCAATATATCCTGATATTGATTAGAGGCTGTATCACCCAGCCCTAGTTTTAGCAGGACTTAACTGTAATTTGATAAAGCTGTTCATTTTTCAGCTGATACATCAGACGTATCTACACCGTACTTATCTATACTTTAGGTCATGATATTTTTCGTTGTGATTCTGTGTTTACAGGAACCACATGTGTCCAACACCTTTTCTTCAGGACGGATGAGTTTCTGGAGCCGTCGTCTGCTCCGCCTACAGTCTGACCTGGCAAATGTTCAAGTGGCTGCAGGAAAAGACCAGATGGTCACGACTCGAACCGGAGAGGAGAGGACAGAGGCCAGATGTGAAGCGTGGAGATGAAGGGAGAAATACAGAAATGAGAAGAGTGAAACTGAGCAGGATGAAGGTGAACGTGTTACACCAGGAGGGAAATATCTAACCCTTTTTTAAACACAGGTACACGGATCTCTGCGCTCCGTCCAATCAAAGCCGAGCTCTGTTTATTCCTGGACAAACCTCGCTGACTCGCTGACCCAGAAGTGACGGCGGTCGAGCCAAGAGAGACGACGACTGTGGTGCAGTCACGCAACGAACCCTCACAGCCCTGCTGCACCGGCATCCAGGTTTAATTCCCTAATCCATTAAAATCCTGCTTCCCCGAGGCTAAGCTACCGTTATCAAGTGAGTAACCTTTAGTAACTGATAAGAAGGTGCAGTCGGCAGACATGAAGGGTTTTGAGGTGGATTAAAACTGCGGATGTTGGAACCAGATAGTTGATTTACTTCAGTTTTGATGATCCAGGTCTTGCTCAACTGAAACTAAAACATCTATATAGAAATACTTGAAAAAAAAACCCTAAAATATTCACTAATTAGAGTTAAATATAGAAGTGTTCTTTGTTTATTAAAGCTTCAGTAAGGGATTTTCGGCTTGTGTTAATATTATGTTTGTGTCTTAAAAAAAACAAGATATTCTGACTTATTGTTATTTTTTACAGCTCCCTGATTGGTTAGCTGTCACACTGACCAGAGAGATCAGGTTACTTTAATTTTAAAAATACACATTTTAGTTAACGAGCCTGTTTGCTAACATCAGAGCACAGCTAGCATTAGAATTCAGCCACTTCCAAATAACGTTAGCTGGTCAACAATTACATGTTAAGCACAGTCTCAGCAAGCATTGGTGTTACGGTTGGATACGTGAGTCTGAAAACTGGGGAGCGTCAGCCTGTTGCTATGACAACAACGTTATCATAACAGCCGAAAGTTGCTAGTGTCAAGGCAGCGGTTTTAACCATGACACCGTTGGTCTAATACTGCGTTCGAGTTACCTCGGAAGTTAGATGTCTGAGCCGGGAATGAAGTTACACCCGAGTTGACGGCGTTCCAGTAAACAAGTCAAAAAAAACAAAATGGACGCCTGAAGTTAGGTTTTGGTTAGCGGTTGTTAGCTGTTGTTAGCGGTTATTAGCTGTTGTTAGCCATTGTCAGCTGTTGTTACTTGTTAGCTATACCAGTTGTAAACAACGTATAACACAGTATTTTACTCTTACAAACACCACAGCACCGTGTTCACAGTTAGACGTTGGGCAGAACAACATAAACCACTTATTTAATTTAACAAAAACAAAACAGAAGCGCTAATAAATAACACATTACGAAAGCTTTTACTGTTACTTTTAACTGTTGATGCACTGTGCTACCATCAAAAATAACTTTCGTATATGTAGCCATCTTGTTTCTGCCTCCGATTTCGCTTTTTCCTGACTTGGTACCTGAAACGCTGGTAACTCGAACGCACCATTAGCCTCATCATCGGCGCAGGACGAGAGATACTGGTAAATGGTAAATCATACCAACAAGATTCGGATTACATATCAAAACAATCGACAAAACGTGTTAGCAAGATGCTAACGGGACGTACGTAAAGTGACGAAATTACTGTCACTTTTACAAGTATAATTTTTTTGCGCGATAGGAGTTTTGTCTTTGTCTATTGGGGGTTTGTTTACAACTCGGTCTCCTAGCAACACATGCTACTCAACTTCCAGCTCATGAGAGTACTGAGCATGAGCAGAACGCTTGGGTTTCAGCCGGACTGAGCTAACCTGACCTTTGAGAGGTTCGTTTAATGCGGTTTTAGCGAGTTTAACGTGTTTTTTAAAGATCCACTTTTAGTCGGACACACTTTCTTATTCTTAGACCCGACATTTGAGGTAAAGTCTTGATCGCACACTCTGACTGGACCTGCAGATCTGCACGTCATCCTGTAGATCGCTGTCATCATAACGCTGAAAACGAATGCAGTTTCTTGGAGAGAGAAATTCATCTTTCTCTTCCAAACATGTCAAATTATTCCCCTCCTCTCCGTCTCTCTCTTCATTTCAAGAGTCCCCCTGAATAGAGTGTAATATTTTGTTGGCGGAGCTGTCACTCTTATTCCATGACACTGTCAGCTGTTTCTCTCCAAATCGCTGGAAACAAACAAACGGACTGGAAACAAACGGGATCATCTCAGCTCGCCGCCTCTCTCACGCACACACAACGCAACTTAAGCAGCGACTTTGTGATCGAGTGATTATTTTTAATCTTCGATTCGCTTCAAAAAACACAAACGAAAACCTCGTCTCTTCTGGTTACATGTTTATAAAAGCTCTTTGAGATGCAGACGTGTGTCAGAGCGGTCGCCGTAGTAGGAGCCAGATTTGAGGAATCAGAGAAATGTATTTGTGTCGTCGATGCTTCATTAGCGTTTGGGCTCTATGGAAGATAAAAATATCTTTGTGCCTCTGGGAGGAGAGAGGATGAGAAAAGGAGGGGCTGGATGTGTGTGGAGACGGGATGAGGTAGCAGGATTTTTTTGCCGTGAATGTGTGCGTGTGTTTCCGGTACACAAAAAAACATGACTGCATCGTCTCTTGGAGCAGAAGTCGCAGAAGAAGAAGAAGAAGGTGCAAATTGTGAAGCTTGCATCAGCCTCTTCAGACTTCCTGCTGGGAAGTCAAAAATATCTCCGCTTCTTATCGCTCCTTTTCCTCACTTGAAGCTCCTCCTCACTTCTTCTTTTCTCCTGCTCCTTCATCAAAACCAGACTGCGGGCTTTTGTGAGCACGGATGCGGCAGAGCGTGAGACACGCTTGTGACCATGAGATCAAAAAACGTCAATCTGAAACCTCTCCTTTTCTGCTCTCCGGACTGAAACAAGAACATTTTCCGACAATTATAACCAACAAACCTCTCCGCCCTTTTCTGACAAAGAATGAAAGAGCGAGATTGAGGGTCACGGCGGCAAATTGCACTTATTTCAGATCCATTTATTTCCCTGCAATCTGCTGGAAAATAACAGTGTATTAACAGGTTTTTAACAACCAGCTGTCATGTTTGAAAACTGCAGATGAAATTAACACTTAGACAAGCGGCCGGAGGGTTCGAGGAGCCGGACAGTTTTAGAGAAGTCAGAGCAGCGCTGGCGTACGAGAAAAAAGACCAATTAAAGTCGACTGTAGATGTGTCATGTGACCAGGAAAAACTATCATTACGGTTTAATTTAAGGGGTCAAAACTGAAAACCAGCGGCCTCACTGCTGGGTAGGGCTGGGCGATAAACCGAAAATCTATCGATAATGAAATTTACCATTTGCCATTTTTCCTATATCGGTATATTTGGTGTCAAAAAATCAATAAAAGTTGGGTTTGGATGTGTGTAGGTAGGCTATGGTCTCATGACGCGACTCCACCCCCTCTAGTCCGTAACAAAGAGGTAAAGACAGGTGAGCAGATGGAGTATGGTTCAAAAGTTGGAGCGGCGGCTGAAGTAGACAAAGTTATTGTGGGAGTTATCGAAGTGAACTGCTCAATATATCGTGATATTGATTTGAGGCCATATTGCTCAGCCCTACCTCTAGGGACAATCCATGAATCAGGGTGTAACAGATAATCTAGGGTCTTCTTCTGGTCAGCCTTACGTTTGTGATGGAGCTCAAGAATTGCGTTGACTGAATAATCACCTGAGTCAACTGAAGCTGTGTTGGGTTTCTTTCTTAAACATTCAAACCTGGTTCTAGGGCTGGGCGATATGGCCTCAAATCAATATCACGATATATTGATATATATTGATATATCATATATACCTCCACATTAAATGCGTCTACATCTGAACCGTCCTCCATCTCCTCACCTGTCTTTCCCGCTTTGTTACGGACTGGATGGGGTGGAGTCACGTCTCTTGCATAGGACAGCGTCTTAAAGGGACATGAGACCATAGTGTACCTACACACATCCAAAACAAACTTTGATTTATTTATTTGACACCAAATATACTGATATGGGCAAAATGACGTTAGTTATTGTCGTAAATTTCAGTATGGGTAAGTTTTCGGTTTATCGCCCAGCCCTACCTGGTTCTCAACGCCAAAATATCCAATATCTGGTACCAAGTATCTAAACTCAGATTTAATAATACCATATTCTTAACACTCTGATACTAAATACCCAATATCTGATTGTCTACACCTCACACCTGGTAAACGATAACTTGTAGAAAACGTTCCCGATGCTTCATCTTTGGTAGTTTTCCTGTCCCCTGAATTTTGTCTTGTAGGTTACCAACTGGCCTTTCTCAAACACTGTGTCTTTTTTCTGTAGCCAGTGCAGCTACACCTAAATTTCTGTACAATCTGTTGCTCCTGGACAGTAGTGACCAATGTTTACAGTAGTCTTTACAGAATACCTTTAATTCCTCTCCAAATCTAGACCTTTCTCACCGCCATTTTCAGTAAAATAATCAGGATTATATGAGATTTTTTTTACCCCTCTGAATTCGTGGCTCGGCTTTGAAAAAGGATTGTCACAGCCGGGCAGACAGGTGGCCAGGTAGGGAAGCAGGGAAGCTAATTAAGAGGCAGAAATGCTGCGACACAGTCCGCCTGCAGGGAAACTCTGTCAGCTGTTTTGATCTGTTGTCCAATAATCAAGAAAATCAGATCAGGAGTCTGGCTGGTCTCTTGTGATCAGCTGCTGACGTGTTTGGCTGTGTGTTTCAGGGGCAGGAGCATAAAATCTAAAGAGACATGCGAGGAAAAGCCCGAGGCAGAGGGGGAAGGAAGAGCGGAGGGGGTGAAGACGAAGAGGAAGAAAAGGAGTGTTGAGATGTTGAGCTCAGCCCTGATGCAAGTTCTGCTCTCAGTGAATCCGACTACAACCCTTTTCCTGATGAGAGCCAGATGGCCGAGCAGTCACTCTAATGGCTTCTCATTTCCTCGAGGGGTTGAAGTTCACGGTGCGAACTCATCATTTGAAGAGGAAAGAGGTGGAAAGAGCAAATCCTCCGCGGACAAGAGGCAGAACAAGAACATTAATTTTCGACTAAAAATTGTGATTCTGGAGCTTAAGGCGCGCTGTAATCCTAAAATTAACCACAGCAGAGCCGCTTGTTCAAAGAAGTGCAGATGAGGTGAGGGACAAAAGAGGCTTTTAGAGCCGATCTCAAGATGCACTGCATGAAAGCACAGATTTTATTTCATGCGTGTGAGTAATTTGTAGCTTTTTAAGGTTTCAATTGGTGGTTATCTTATTTTTCTCTACCGAAACTACCGAAAATGTCTTAACACAACTCTTAGATGCTGCTGCACATGTCCAAATCACAACCGGGTAGTGCTAGCTCTGCTAACGGTAGCCATCCTGTATTGGTCTGTGTTAATTTAGACTTTTATAGTTGTTAAAATTTCCATTTAAACGTCTACAAAATTTATCTTCTTGAATATTTTACGCCTGTCTAACTCTGCTGTAAAAATGAGCCTTTTCAAATGGGGCCTAATGGGGTTTTCTTAGCTTTCGGAGCCAGCCTCTAGTGGACTGTTAGGGAACTGCAGTTTTTAGAATTTTTTGGCATTTTTTTTTAACTTTTAAACACTGGAGGTGCTTGATAGAAATACAGAATTTTACAGGAGACATTTATTCAAGAAAAAAGTTGTTTTCGGAAGATGGGATAACCATCCAGGAATTACAAGAAACATTTGTACGAAAAACTATAAATCCGCTCTGTTTTATTGGCTTATGAAGATATGAACATCCCCAAAACCCCAACAGAGGCGACCATTCAGATCCCTTAAAGGGATATTCCAACGTAAAAATAATTCAGGGTCATTCATGTTCTTCCTTGGGCTGCGTCACCCCCGCTGTAGTCCGTAATGGACTGGCCCAAGGTCTCGCTACAAACAAGCGGCTGCTGGAAGAGAGTAGTTGAGCTGTGTTTAGTCTCTTTGCAAAAGAAATTAGCCAAAGTTAAAAAGATGTTTGGTGGCTGGGACCCTATATGTTCTGTTGATGAAGTTAGGTGCTGTTCTGAGCATTATTTGTGGCTATAGAGTGGTGTTTTAGTTGAGGTTTGTTTATGGCTCCTCAAACCGTTGTGTATTGCTATCATGCGGTCGTTACTAAAGTTGGTATAACTAGAGAAGCAAGCGGTCGGCAACATTCATCTCTCTCGTCAATCAATCTTGTACTTCAGAGATAATTATCTTAGTAAATCAGAAAGTCAAAGGGTTTTTGTCTTTTTTCGTGACAGGGTAGCTAAGCTGACTTAAAAATAAGAAACGTAAAGTCGTGAAATTCGATCTCTATCTCTGAGGGGAAGAACATCCACACTTCGGCTGACGTCAGTTCCTCGGACAGTTGCAGACGGAAACACCTCAAAAACACGTCTCATCTCCTTTTCTCACTTCCTCAGTCTCCGACACCTTCTCTTCTCTCCCCAACCTTTTCTTTCTCTCGTTGCTTTTCTTCCTCCATTCACCCTCAGAACATCTCCACCACCCCTCCCATCCCTGTCACCCCCACCTATTATCACATTTCTCCTCCTCCTCACACTGCTCATGTAATGTCACACATTTTCCCGGTTTCTCTACGGCTGAAATATATTGTGAGAGAGCTTGGTCTTTCTGCCCTCTTTGATCTGCTTGGCTTTGTTTCAGTCTCACTCTGAATCATTCAACTATGAGCTCTCTGTAAAAGGGCGTCACTGTTATTTTGACATCTATGTTAATGAAATCTGGGTGTTCACCATTTCAGAAACAATGATGTTTTAATGATTTCAGACACATCAGCAAAGCGCCCGCAAAGATATAAAGAGGGTGACTTTATACTTCTGTAAATTATTTACGAGTTTAACATTAAAAAAGACAATTTCACAACAGAGCCTCACTTTTTTCTAACATTTATATATTTTTCCATCTTTTTTGCAAACTTAGCTTCAGATTTGACCAAAAGAGAGAAGTTCAACACTCGGTTCCAACATAAAACTCAAAAACCAAAAAGAAAACGACAATATCTGAATATCTAGATCCTAATTTTCTTTCATTTCAAAGCTCCTGGAAGAAATTTGCTGTTATTTTATTCAAATGAGAATCTCATCCTGTTGTCATTTAGCTGTTAAATGTACAACCTAAATTCCCAAAATATTCGGATGCTGTACAAACGTTAATAAAAACAGATTTTCATGGTTGGCTAATCAAAAGTTCACTAAAAAATGGAGAAAAAATAACATTAAGTAATTAAAAAGAAAAAAATGTTATTGTATGAAGACGATACACTTATATTTTGGTCAGATGATATTAGGATTTCGCTGGAATATTAATAAAAACAGATTTTCATGGTTGGCTTATCATATGCTCAACTGAAAAATGGAGAAAAATGACATTAAATATCGAAAATGAAAAAAAATGTTATTGTATGAAGATGATACACTTATATTTTGGTCGGTTGATATTAGGATATTGCTGAAACATTAAAAAATAACTTTCATGGTTGGCTAATCGTACTTTGAAAAATGGAGAAAAAATGACATTGAATATTAAAAATGTAAAAAATGTTATTGTATGAAGACGATACACTTATGTTTTGGTCGGATGATATTAGGATGCTGCTGAAATGTTAATAAAAACAGATTTTCATGGTTAGCTAATCAAACGTTCAACTAAAAAACAGAAATAAAAGACATTAAATATCGAAAATGAAAAAAATATTATTGTATGTAGACGATACACTAATTTTTGTGTTGGATGGTAGCAACAGATTTTAAAAAATGTGGGACAGCGTCAACAAAATGTCAAGAAATCCACACAATGATACAAAAACAACACTTTCTAATGTAACAGGTTAGCTGACATGTCTTGGACTAAAACCGGTACAACAGAAAGGCTGAGTCTAGGAGAGGATCCCCACTTTGTTAGTAGACTGCATGTGCGAACAGTTTGGCAACTTCAGGGTAATGTTTCTCGGTGTAAAACTGCAAACAATCTGTGGCAGAGGCCTTTTGGACATTAGAAGATATCAGACAAAGTAGAGCCAAACTCAGGACATACTGTGGTCTTTCTAAACCCTTAACCACCTAAGAGATAACCTCGTCTCTTTTACTCTTTGTCTGCGATAAAAAAACAAAGCACTAAGGCCAACTGATGAGCACAACTGGGTCAAAATCTCCCACTACACAGACATGCAAAGCTAAGCTGATAAAAGGCCCAGTCTGACTTTGATGGTGCTGAGTTTGTTTCCCACTCAACACCTTTGCATAAATAACTTCAAGCTGAACTGGCTGAACCAAAAAAAAAAACGTAGTAAAATCACTTCCTGTTTGGCTCCTGCCCGTTTTAAGATAGATGGAAAAAAGACAGACGGCGTAAACCAAAATTCTCCCTCATCTGATGCTAAAAAAGGAGATGTTGGAAAAGACCAAAACAGTCTCACGCAAGTTTTCTCTGGCTCCCATCCCCCGCTTCATCAGCGACATATTGTAACACCTTGCAGGTGTGCTTGAATGCTTTCACGTCCATGTCTCTGTTCAACAGACACCTGCACAAGCCCACATTCTCACCTCTTCTCAAGCTGTTACCAATGTGTGAAAGTTGCACCGTCAACATTTTCATTTCGTATCACTGGCCTTTGTGTTATTAGAAATCACTTGTTTAGAGTCATACCCAAAATGTAGAGTATTATATCCTCTAACTTTGCACCAATGGCTTGAACAGCCTCAATCTACCCCTGGATTGTCAAACAACATTACTTTTTGTTTATCTTATCAAGAAACGCACAAGACACCTTTGACAACCATAAAAAACGAAGGGAATTAAAGCATATCCCAAAACAGAGATAAAAGGTAACTCGACAGAGATAAGAAAAAGTAACTACTGAGTCATTTTAGGTCTCAAAATCCCAAATTGACAACAGAAGGCAGAGAGGCTTCAGAGAGACATGAACAGATACCTCAAAACCATCAATTAAAGGTATTCTGCAACGTTATATAGATACTAAAACAGACTAAAACAGATGAAGAATAAAAGACGCATTGAAACAGACACTACAGTCCATTTTAAACAAACACAAAAAAAGGATCCTACATTCAGAGACGCTGAAAAGTGTACCTTAAACGGAAAAAAATGAAGGTTAGGGGTACCAAGGGGTACCCAGAAATGAGAACACTGACAAGACATGTTAAGGTACCCAAAAACCGAAGGCACGGGGTGTGAGATTCCAACCCAAAGTAAGGGAACACTAATCAGACACAAAAGGGTACCCTAAAAGGCATCAAAGGGGTACTAGGAAATAAGAAGTACTGACAAGATATGTTAAGGTACCCAAAAACAGAAATCATAGAGTATCACATTCCAACCCAAAATAGATTCCAGTTGGGTACTGTGAAGCAACAAATTTGTGGTACCCTAAAAGTAACGTTGACGTAAACCTTGCATACCTTAAAACAGAAACTAAGGGTACCAAAATAAAAAAACAACCAGGGTAGGTCAAAACAGACACTTAAGGGAAACACTAATCAGACACAAAAGGGTACCTTACTAGGCATCAAGGGGTACCAGGTAATAGGAAGTACTGACAAGATATGTTAAAGGTACCCAGAAACAGAAAACACAGGGTGTCAGATTCCAACCCAAAACAGTTCTCAGTGGGTACTTTGGAGCAACAAATCTGTGGTACTCTTAAACAGTAACATTGACGGAATCATAGCATACCCTAAAACAGAGACTAAGGGTACCAAAGAAAATCCAGGAAAATCAGGGTAGGTCAAAACAGACACTTGAGGGGAACACTAATCCGACACAAAAGGGTACCCTAAAAGGCATCAATGGGTACTAGAAAATAAGAAGTACTGACAATACATGTTAAGGGTGTAAGATTCCAACCTAAAATAGATTACAGTGGGTACAGTAGAGCAACAAATTTGTGGTACCCTACAACATTACCCTTGATGGAATCATAGCATACCCTAAAACAGAGACTAAGGGTACCAAAAATAGACAAAATCTAATCAGACACAAAAGGTACCCTAAAGGCATCAAAGGGTACTGCCAAGACATGTTTAAGTACCCAAAAACAGAAAACACAGAGTATCAGATTCTAACCCAAAGTAGATTCCAGTGGGTACAGTAGAGCAACGAATTAAAGCATATCCTAACACGGTACAGAAAAATCAGGGTAGGTCTGCAACTTGAGATATGCACAAGAACACATGCACAGGCTCATCAGGGCACACACAGGTCGCATTAACACAGAAGGCCTCGGTCCGGATGCCGGCATTCTCCACAGTGATAATAGGCCTGTATCCCACTGTAACGCACAGTTCACTGAAGCTGGCTCCGCTCCAGATGGAGAGGCAGCTCGGAAGAGGAACAGGATGCCATAACCTCCCCTTGCACAGTGGACAAGAGCCACAGCTGCAGACACACACACAAACACACATACTTATACACATGAGGATAAACAGGCCATAGCACCCACGCCTGCATCAACCCACATGAATGCTTGCATCTGCGGAATAACGGACACGTTTGACATATCTGCAGTATATGATTTCATAAAACACAGAAACAGACATGTGCATGCTCGGAAACACATGCAAATACAACGAATCCCACATTCTCAACAAAACTGCACAAACGCACACACACACAACCTTACATAACTTGATAAGAGTGTTTGCAGTAATGGTTCGGCTCTGCTGTCTGACAATAGCACAAAGTAAAGGTGGCTGTGGTGTTGAAAGTGGTGGAGCAGCGAGAGCAGGAGGAGGAGGAGAAGCTGTCTTTTGTTGTATTTTAAGGCTCCATGTGACAAGAGAGGCAGAGGATGTGCGAGGATTTGTCACTGAAAAGTAATAATGTTATTCTGCTCGGATCCGGCTTGTTTAGACGTTAAAGTTTAAAAGCCTCCTGTATGCAGTTTTCTACCTGGGGTAGTTTATTACCTCTGCAGCACAGAAGAGGAAATTGGAGTTTGTAACAAGGTCTGCACGACAAAGTCAATTTTCCGATCTGTGGTTACTTTTCAAACGTTGTTACTCCATTTCTTTATTCAGCTGTCGCACTGATGCAAGTAGAAATGGGTCCTTACATTAGCATGCTAGTAAAGCTACAATACCGTTCGCCAACAGTTCAATATATACTATGGAGATTCCCTGTCTGGTGATATCATGATTTGAGCAAATCTCATTCCGATCTCGCTGAATTCCCGCGTGACTTTCTGAACCAGCCATTCAGAGCCCCCTGTAGTCCCATCTGGGGATTACTCCAAGATATGTTAGAGGGATATTCCGGCGTAAAATTAATTCAGAGTCAAACACACCGTAACATCCAGTTAGACATCCCCTCGAGAGATGAATGTTGCCAACTGCTTGCTTCTCTGGTTATACCAACTTTAGTAACGACCGCACGATAGCAATACACAGCGGTCTGAGGAGTCATAAACAAACCTCAACCAAAATGCCGAATAATGCTCAAAACAGCACCTAACTTCATCAACAGTACATATAGGGTCCTAGCTATAGTACTAGCCACCCAACATCTTTTAACTTTGCCTGATATCTTAAGCAAAGTCTACAGTTTCCCATCGCCAGGATTACTTATAACACAAATGCAAAGCTAGTTCCAAGATGGCATCTTACCTTTTGATAATTTTGAGGTTATACAATTCTCACATGCCATCTTAAAATGAAACCCCACACTTTTACTAATCACTCTTTGCAAAGTTTTCCCATTTTACAGACTTTAATGAACGCAGCTGCATTAAATTTTATGGTTTTTTAATCTATTTCTGCAGGTTTTTAATGTTTTTTTATTCCTCCGATGGGTTTTAGTGTCTGGTCATAAACACAGCTAGCAAACACACGAAAAGACATTCACACACAAGTGCTCAACTGAGACCTTTGGTTACATAATAACAAATCCGTGCCTCTTTGTTATTTCTGCAGGACTCGAAAGTACCAGCAAGTGAGGTAAGGTATATTTTTAGAGAGTGAAGTTGAATTTTTGCCTTTTAACTAATGGAAAACCAACAAAACCAAAACATATTCAGGGTATTTCAGTGTTTATATCACAAGTTTCTACAGTTAATCAGTTTTTGTCCTGTAAGTTAATTAGTCTGAAATCAGGCAAACTGAAGGATTTAAGTCAAGGTAACTGTTTAATTAAGAGAGGAAGAAAGAAATCGGTTCTATCATCCACCTAACACAAAGCATGTTTGTGTGCAAGCGAAGTGTCATTGGTTATCTCCGATGAGTGCCGGGGTCAGGGTCTAAAAGTTAGCAAAATTTGTTCAAAAAACTGTGTTTTCAGGTTCAACAGCTTGATTTTCGGAAAACAGTGTTGATGGTTTGACTTTACCGTCATGCTAATCTGATTCATGCTGCAGAAACAATGAAAGATAATTTTGATCATATTTTAATTAAAATTTCAATGAATTTAAAATGTTTGAATAAAGTCGTTTTTAAAGCTCCCGTGAGGAACTTTGTGTGTTTAGGTTCTGGCGCCCCCTGTGGACAAAGCAGTGACTGTATATTTAAACTATAATATGTTAAAAAAATGCTTTTTCTGTAGTATCTTTGTCTGGCAGCCTTTCAAGACCTGCTGAAAACTCCTGATAGTAGCTTTATCTCATTCAGTGCCAGGTTCATTTATGCAATTTTCACCCAGTGCCACCGTTGACCGCAATGGTGGCACTGAAATTTCCGTATCTGTCAGGACCCACAGAATATCTTGTGCTTGGACTAGAATTTCTTTTCTTTTCTCTTCTTTCACCAGAAAAAAAAGCTAACCCGCTCCTGTGTTTAGTTATTGCCTGCTCAATAGTCATATCATCTTTGCCGATCTGGATAAAGAAACCTGGGAAAAACACATTTTTACGAAGGAGAGACTTTCAAGCAGAACTCTGATCGTCTATTTCATTTCACTTCAAACTACTTTACCGATAGGGTTGTCAAAAGTTTTGATACTTTGAAAAGTATCAATACTTACATGCCGTATCCAGATACGATACTAATTGGGAGAGCCCCCGATTGCTGTCCCACGTTTTACCGCTGCTAAGGGGGGGCAACTGCCATTCCGACATCCCGCCATTCCGACATTGGTCTCTAATTTTCGGAGTGGCGATATGGTACCATGCTATCAAACGTCCCATCATTCCGACAGCTCTCGTCTGCTATGGTCGGCCGCGGAGCCCTCTGCGCGAGTTCGGCGGGGAGCGTGCCTAGCTATGCCTGGGATGAAATGACGGACTCCAGATGTGAATGCGCACCCCCGCAACTCCACAACTAGGCTAATTGGCTCACTTGACGGCACATGTCTCACTGGCCAGTACTTGTTTTTTGTTATTGTAACATGATTATGACGTATTTGACAGCTTTTCTGCATTCAGAACGATCCCAAACTTAGTCGCATGTTGGGAGGCAGCGCCCTCTGGCGGAAAACAAAAAAACTGAAAAATCTGTCAAACCCTGTCATTGGCACTGAATGAGTTAATATCTTTAGACAATAAAGAAAAGGTTATTTTGAAAATGAAGCAGGTTATGCATGTAATCCTCCATAAAAAAGTGATTCAAAAAAGGGAATTTAAAAATGCTCCTTATCTTCAGTGGTTTACATTTTTAAGAGATAAATGAGCGTGGGTAGGGAGGACATTAATACCCCAAGCCTTAATCTACATTAACTGCTTTTCAAAGCAACAAGAGCTACTTCTGCGATGAATCTCAAAGGAATAAGGGCGATAACACGAGAGGAGGTGACGGTGAAAGGGAAGGAACGGAGAAAAAGGGAGGAAGGAAAGGAGGGAAGGCAGGATGGGAGATTGAAAAAGGAAGGAGAGCGGTAGGGAGGGGTGGGTTGTAGTCTGAGTCATCGTCAGTTACAGACATCATCTTAGCTGAAGGGGGGAACATACACACAGAAACTCACACTGCCATGTTTGTTTGTCTATACTAGTGGGGACTCTCTTTAGAGGGTGTTTTATTTTGTGGCATTTGAAAGAGGTCAGCTGATAGTTTTGTTTGGCCTGACCCGATAAATCGTTGAGTATTTGACTTTTACCACCCCAAACATGTTCACCAGAAAAAAGGCTGGTCTGATCTTTCCGAGCTTGTTTATGTCACGTTGATTCTCCTCTGTATTTGTTAGCGTTTCCGTCATGCAAATTTCCCTGCTGGATCATGCAAATTTCTCTGGGCGCGGGTAAAAGTGCACAAAGCATCCTTTGGATTCAGAGAAAATGGGCACAATAGTTTGATTTACAACATGTGGAAAATTATGGTTTATGGTTTATGGCTTTGGTTTCAAAATAGTATATATCATATTGCAGTTTTTCCAACTTGTAAAATTAATGCAATCTCTTTCATCTTCACCCCACTCCCAAGAGATGAACCTGAAAACCTCCAAACTTTTCACAACCGTCTGACTCTGCAGGTCCAAAATTAGGAATGGGACACTTAAAGGTGGGGTAGTCAGGATCTGAGGAAGAGACAGTTTTAGGGAGAAATCTTGAATGTAAACTCTACCCCCTCCCGACCAGTTTTCCCCTCAGCTCCTCCTCTCCCCTAAGCCCCACTCACAAACAGACGCTCCTGCTCGCTCGTATCGCTCCAATTAAATTCAGATCATTACAAATGGGGCCCAGTCAACGTGAAAGTAAAAAGCATTGGTGCTACTGTAGATGCCAACAGACTACCAGCAAACACAATGTTTGCAGGACTTCTACAACTAGGATAAAGTGACATAGTCCAGGACCCGAGGTCAACAGTTTAGCGGCGCTACAACACGCTACAGCAGGTCCGTTTGACAAGAAACACTTCTGTTACAGACACTTGTCTCACTTTGTTAAAGCGGTTTACCTGTCCAGCAGAAAGGTTACAGGGTCCGTAAGATCCCGAAGCGTTCCCCATCGTTAATGTTGACCCGGCTTTTTAGCTCTTGTCCGGTCTACCTCATTTTTAAGCGCCTGTTATTCCACCAGAGTCTCCGGAATTTACTTTGTTTTCTTGCTTATGTTTTCCGAACTTTCTGGTCGGTTTCTACTGGAAGGACAGATACATCATAGTCACACCATTTTACACAAGTCTGACCCCTTTAATGGTCTGTTTAAAGTGAAGACCAGATTAATCGTCCTCACTTTGCAGTTTGCACTAGAAACATTGGTCCCCACAAAGATGAATGAGCACGTTCAAACACACATACGGTATCCTCTCACACCTTACCCCTCCCCCGGCCCAACTGTAACCTAAGCCTGAAGACTGAGACTAAACCCAAAAACCTTTTAAAGTGAAAACTAGATAATCTGACCCATCAAACTTAGTCCAAACCCTTTAGGAGTCACTTTAAACTGAGGATGAATCTTTGGTCCCAAAGTATCAAATTGGTCATGGTCCTCACAAAGATAGATCAACAAGTTTATAAAAGCTTTCCCTCTCTTACACCAGAAGGAAAAAAACACAATTTAATTTTAAGCAACTTATCGTCTCAAAAGACATCATCTTGCTTTACGCATTCTCCAGCATCACACAAATTAAAACCAAGTGAAAATCCTTTAATAAAAGCCATGAAAAGTGGAAATAAGATGAGTATTCTCCTCCTCAACCCCCTGATTTAAAACATAGATCGGTCCTTATAAAGATAGTTGAGCAAGTACACAAACACACACATATGGGAAGCTACTCAAATGGCAGCTTCCTCTCTCTTTTACTAACGGGGACGTGGAGTCAAACGGTCCGAGGCTGTGGGGAATCGCTGTCTATGTCGGAGGCACTGACCTCTTTGCGAACACAAGCGCACACTCTCACAATAGACACACATACAAACGGGCCTTCCTTCACAAAACAGTCCATTAGAGATTAAACAGCTCGTTCAGTCTATGTTTTAGACTCAAGGCGTGACTCAAAATTTCTGATTACTCTGCCTCCCCTCGCTCCTTCCCTCATTATCTCTCCCTCTATTTCTCTCTCTGCCTCTTTCATTCACTCCTCTCTGTTGCTCCATTAGTGGATTGAGCGAGCAGGTACCGAGGAGAAAGATGGGTGCAATTCATAGGAAATGAAACTCACTCAATCACCCTGCCAGGGGCGGATGTTAGGCATCTAACTGGCGTACTTTACCTGCCCGCCTTTATCGCCTCTTCACGTTATGGCTCTGTTATTATGGATTTCTATAATAGCGCAACAGAAGATGAATTCACAGCAAGACGCCATGTGCAGCCCCGCTACTCCTCCTCCGCGTTATTGATGTGATAGCTCACAGTTAAATGAGTGTTTCTATTGCAAAGCAGGAATAAAAGGGTACTTATGGCCGTGTGGTTGCTTGGTACCTGCTGACTGGTGGATATTTACCGGCAAGAGCTGCAACACTTTCTGGTGAACGAAGACTAAAAAAACCTGCGGCTAAAATGGGAACGCTAGCATGGATTTAATTTTATCAGCAAATGAATCACCGTTAATGCACATGAGCTTCAGCTTGTGTAAATAACCAAGCTCACAACAACAACGACTAAAGCAGAGATGTAGACAAGTGAAATATTTGCCGCAATATCAAACTGTGTGAACACGCTAATTAGCATGAGGCTAATGGGAATCTTTTACACTGAGTTAGACACCCCATCAAGAGATGAATGTTGCAGACCGCTTCCTTCTCTAGTTATTCCAATTTTAGTAACGACCGCGCGATAGCAATACACAGCGGTCTGAGGAGCCATAAACAAACCTCAACCAAAACGCCACTCTATAGACACAAATAATGCTCAGAACAGCACCTAACTTCATCAACAGGACATATAGGGTCCCAGCCATAGTACTAGACACCAAACATCTTTTTAGCTTTGCCTGATTTCTTTAGCAAAGAGAATAATCACAACTCACCTACTCTCTTCCAGCAGCCGTTTGTTTGTAGCGAGACCTTGGGCCAATCCATTATTGAATGCTGTGGGGTGACGCAGCTCAAGGAAGAACATTTATGATCTTTAATTAATTACGCCAGAATATACCTTTGAGCCTTTAAGCAGTTTCAGTTTGTTTTCATCAGACATTGTTGAGATTGACAAATTAGTGAGGATTTGTTGCGTTTTCATTACTTGCGATATAATTTAACCTCCTTACTCACTTTATCTCAAACAAGCTCCTTGATATTCCTGTTTTATACTTCTTATGAAAAAATACGCTTTACCTAACTTAACAATTTAGGTAGAGTAGCTCAGGCAGTACCTCAGGAGGTAGAGCTGTCGTCCAGTAACCGGAAGGTTGGCGGGTTGATTCCCCCCCTATCCCGAGTCTGTCCATTGTGTCCTTGGGCAAGACACTTAACCCACCTTGCTCCCAGTGTGTGTCCTCCACTGGTGTATGATTGTGAGTGTTGTGTTGTGGTGGTCAGAGAGGCCGTAGGCGCAAACTGGCAGCCACGTATCCGTCAGTCTGCCCCAGGGCAGCTGTGACTACTGAGGTAGTTTACCGCCTCCAAGGTGTGACTGAGTGAGCGAATGAATGATGTATCCAAGGCAAAGCACTTTGAGACATTATTATTATTATTATTGTCATAATTATTATTCATTTTCGTAAATGTTTATTCTTGTTCCAAAGATCCGCATGTTAACATTGGTGTTAATGGGACTTTTAAGGCTTTTGGAGCCAGCCTCAAGTGGACACTTGAGGAACTGCAGTTTTTTTCACTTCTACATTAGCTTCAATTCTCAGCACCATACCGATTGTTGATGCTATGTGGGTATCCATTGAATAGTAACCAATAAATTCAACCTGCTTATGCCAACAGTTGTTTTAGGTTACATCCGTTGACGATAATGAATGTTTGTTCAAGATTTAATCCCATTCAATTTAAAAGTTTCTGAGAACTTCATGTAAAAAGCTTATGGAAAAATCTAGGAATAACTAAAGTCTTTGGGATTAATCCACCAGGTACTCTGAATATCTGTGATTTAATAGAAATCCATATTAAATTGTGGAGTAAGCTTCCTTTTAATCTATGTAGGACACTAATGCAGGAACCAACGATAGCAAGAACCAAAGTTTCACTAAAAATCTACTCCAGGGATATGACTACTCTCCTAAAAGGCATCACGAAACAATGTAGTTGTTTATTTCTTTCAATTACAAATCCTTGTTGTACTTAAGATGTGAGTCTTGATAGTGTGTGAGGAACAAGAACATCCCGCTGAATGAAAATCTACGAGCCGCCTGTCCAAACTGTCTCGAACGCCGACAAAAGACTGAGTAAAATCTGAGCAACAAAGCAGCGCTGCGATGACTAAGAGGGTTTTTGTAACATGGAGGGCAAATACAGTAGAGTGTGAGTCAGTTCGTCTACTCAAACATTAAGCTGCAAAGCTTCGACTGCAGGAGGCTTTGACATGATAGCACACATTACCAGTGGATGGCTGTCAGAAAGCGACTATCAAATATGAGGCCATTTTAAATCATTTTTAATGTAGCTTAGCAGGCTAACGAAGGGCAAGAAATTTGAAGTAATCGTACATCATGGCATTTCTTAACATTTGTTTGATTTTGAGAAAAACTGATGTGGTGATATTTCTGTCTTTACTCAGTAAAATACTGTAATTTAGATAAAAGCAGTGTGTTTGTAGTGCAGAGAAACTATAAGAAACTTTAATTATACAGTGCACTAGTCTTAATTTGGTAGTGATGGGCACAGCAGTTCTTTTAGATGTACTGAATCACTATAATCAGTTCACAAAAAAGATTTGTTCAAAAGATTTGTTCACCAAATCACCCAATCATCATGGGGTCAGTGAGTGATTAGTTCACTGAACTTTTAGAAGAATTCACTCTGAACATGAACTGTTCCTTCGCAAACTGCTGCAATGATAGGATGCTGCGGGTTTAATGGTTTAAAAAGGTAGTTCTGTCCGATAAAAATGATTCCAGAGAATGTAATTCAATGCGTGATTCGTTCACCAAGTGATTCAGGAGTCGGTGCATGTGGTCCCTCATTCGCCGGCTGCTCAACTGGCAATGCTGTTTCTTGATTCAGCTCAACTGTAGTGAGAAACGAATGAATCACCTGAAGAAGTGATTCGGTTCAGTACGTTCACTAAAAAGAGTCGGTTCTTTTGAACGAATCGTTTGTGAACGACACAACACTATAATTTGGATCTTTAAGTCTATTTGCAGCTTCTTGAATCAAACCCTCTGTCACTATGTCCATATATTCCATCTCTACTATTGTCAATGAATCCTTGACAACAAGGCGGTGGAGACAGCGTTAAGTGTTTAAGGTTATTTACAAGAAATGTATTGATCCCCTATGGAAAATTTGTTAGTCATTTCGGCTAACATTGCACATCCTGCGATGTAACTGTTGCACATGCACGCATCCCAATTCCCAGTTAATATTGGTGAATTTATAAAGCTTTGCAAAGCACTAGAAACCCTACTCAATTTGATGAACCCCTATAGGAAAACTCTGGTATTACAGGACTTTCTGCAACAACGTCATCCTCTAAATTCTTTCCAAAATGCAACATTACAAACAAAATTTCAGTGTCTTTAATTTTTATAACACACTCTGGAGTTAAAGGATGCTTTGAATGTTCACTGGCCTGGAAGCGAAATTTTTTTTGTAGGATGGTAGGGCAAGGTCCCACCCTCCTTCGCCTCTGATTGGCTAGAAGTGCTGGGCTCTGATTGGTTATTCCTTATGGCTGTGAAACCTCATTGTCTGTTGGGTTAGGGTTAGTGCGATAATGTTCTGTAATGTTCTGTTCGATGTACAGAGCCAAAAGCCCGCATTTGGCTTGAGCGTGTGATGAGATTTCCAGCTTTTCTAGCCAATCAGAGATGAAGGAGGCGGGACTTTCTCCTACTATCCTACAAAAAAAATATATATATCACAACCAGGGCTCTGCTGCTACGCTCCAAATACGCATCCTGTATGCGATACCCAATGCAGAGATGTCACTTGAGAGAGCTAATAGGTTATTTTTTCATATCATGGCTGCCGCTGAGAATTAAACCAAAACGTGTCCAGATGAGAATGAAACAACCACAGGGGGAAACACTGACTGTTGCTCACCTCAGGTTTTCCAAAAATGCTGTAGAACGGTCTGACATTGTCGCTTCTAGTCGTGCCTTTGTGTGTTACGGTACAATGCATTAAAGTGAGCTGCAGTGCCTCCAGCACTAGGTAGGTACACAGGTCCCCAGAGGGTTACATAAACCAGTGCACAGTGCAAGTTTGACGCCTGCATCGCATTTTATCTGTATGAGGGGTATGTGCATGTGTGTGCATGTGTGTGTGCTTGTGTTTGTCAGCTTTTTCATCTCTGTGGCGGGGAGGTTAACCTGTTTCCTGAGGCTTTTCTAAACACATGAACATACACACAAAACCCTGAACACGTATACACCAGGGACGGAGATGGAGGTAATGACGTAGAGGTAAAAGACACGATCTGAGCACAGATGCACAGATGGATGCACACGGCTGAGACAGCTGCGCAGACAGGAAATGACAGAGAACAGGAAACTTACAGCTACAGCACTTAATTCAACAACTGAATCTTACTGTAAATCTCCAGTTATGCATATTATTTCATATAAAGGCTGACATAATCCGTCTTTTAAATCCAGATCACACGGCTCACAGTATTTGGCGCTCTGTGTGCAGAAGTCTGGTCATAAATCAACTATCAGATATACATCCAAATTAAATTTACGAGCCAGATAACTTTGATTTACCAGGAATAAAACAAAAGTACCCGACAACAAAGTGAGTTTTGACTTCTCAAGAATTAAATGATCTAAATTATGACATACTACACCCTCCTCCTCCTGCCGGTACAAGAGTCACTTTCTTACTGTCTTTCTGGGACCAATTCCAAGTTTAGCCGAGTTTCTTATCAGTCTTTACAAATTAGCAAATAAATGTTTTTTCCTGCGACCGCACGATAGCAACACACAGCGGTCTGAGGAGCCTTAAACAAACCTCAACCAAAACGCCACTCTATAGCCACAAATAATGCTCAGAACAGCACCTAACTTCATCAACAGGACATATAGGGTCCCAGTCATAGTACATTACTGACTACAGCGGGGTTTCACAGCTCAAGGAAGAACATTTATGATCATTTCTTTATGGCCGAGACGCTAAGGCAGAAGAACTACCACATCTGTGGTGCAAAATTATTAATATGGTGATTATCACTTCAAGGGAATAATGAAAAAAAAGATCAGAAATGTTCTTCCTTGAGCTGCGTCACCCCACTGTAGTCCGTAATGGACTTGTCTGAGGTCTCGCTACAAACAAGCAGCTGCTGGAAGAGAGTAGGTGAGTTGTGTTTAGTCTCTTTTCTAAAGAAATTAGGCAAAGTTAAAATGATGTTTGGTGGCTGTGACCCTATATGTCCTGTCGATGAAGTTAGGTGCTGTTCTGAGCATTATTTGTGGCGTTTTGGTTGAGGTTTGTTTATGTCTCCTCAGACTGCTGTGTATTGCTATCGTGCAGTCGTTACTAAAGTTGGTAAAACTAGAGAAGCAAGCGGTCGGCAACATTCATCTCTCCAGGGGGTGTCTAACTCGGTCTTTCGGTGTGTTTGACCCTAAATTAATTTTACGCCGGAATATCCCTTTAAAGGTATTTTTTTAGGTCTATTCAGTTCATTTCAATGTAATCTAAATTAATGATTAAATGGTTCAATCTTTAGCGACAACAGACATCTTACTGCACTGTACAATCTAAAATAATTCTAATTCTGAGTTGTTTATAAACATTATTTTTCACTTTTACTGTTTTAATAACTTCTATTTCAAACAGTAGAAAGGTTTCGATGAACTTGACATTTAGGTTTTCCCACTAACACCCGAATGCACCACAGGTTCATTTTCTCAGCTTAGAGCAGTTAATGGAAATAAGTGGCTTGCCTGGAAAGCTACTTTAGGAAATCGACCTAAATGGTAAAGTAATCGTGACTCGGACTCTGTGTGTGTGTGCAGAACAGTTAATGTAGATGAGGAAGCGAGGAGAAATGCGTCAGCTCGACCTGCTCTGAGAGGGACTGGAGGGCCCTCGTGGAGCTGCTGATGACAGTTCATCCGCCGTAATGATGTTTCCCCAACTTTGATCCGGAGTGCGTTTGTTGCGGCGAGACACGTATTTTTATTGGAAAGCGAGCAGGGGAGGCAGTTTGATGTATCGTGCGAACATGCATCCTGCAAAAAACCCTGGATGTTCGCGCTCATACACACACTGCAGCACAGTATCCACCTGCCTCCTCTCCTGCTCTATCGAATCAGCTCTTATCAAATCCAATCAGACCCACTGAGGCATTTCATTTGGAGTCGAGCTGCAGAGTAGATTCTGCACAGGGGTGGTGGGGAGCGCTTGAATCAAAAGAGTGTACGCTAAACAGACAGAAAGACTAGTGCGAGTCTGTGTGTGTGTGTGTGTTTGTGCGTACCCTTGTGGTTGTGCATGTGTGCGCTCCATCCCATCTGCACTGTTGCTGTTTGTGTGGCTCTGCCCATCTGTGCGGGCTTTGCTGTACTGTACCAGTGTGTGCGGATCATCCATCATTCTGGCTACTGTGAAAAACTGCCAGTCGGACAGATTGGGGCTTACAAAACACTTCCACAACTGTGTTCAAGCTAATAACAGCCCTCTGTTTCCTCCGTAAAAATCAACATTATTACCCGAAATGTGCATAAATGTGAACCCGTGTGCGAAACTTGAAAACTCTGTTGAACTAGCACCGATGCTAAAATGCAAAGCAGATAAACAGCAGCCGCAGAGATAGCATTAAAAAGAACCTTTTTGCTGGTGTAGGCGTCACTTGTAGCTCAGCAACCGAGCAACCACGCAACCTAGCTGGAGGGAGAAAAAAAAATCTGTTTTTTTCTTTTTCTGCTGTGCGTATGCCTGTGTTTTGAATCTGCAGCCAGAAAGAGAGAGAGAGAGAGAGAGAGAGGGAGAGGCTTTTCTGAGTAGCCATCAAATTAATCACATTGTTGAATACATTAACCCAGAAATCAAACGGTGCAGAATCATAAACTAGAGAGCAAATAAGATCGTTTAAAATAGGAGAAATTCTGGCAATCGGAGAGTTTTTTACTGATTTGTTTCAAAGAAGGGGGGATATGCTTAAAGGGATATTCCTGTGTAAAATTATTTTAGGGTCAAACACACCATAACACCGAGCTAGACACCCCCTCGAGGGATGAATGTTGCCGACCGTTTGTTTCTCTAGTTAAACCAACTTTAGTAACGACCGCACGATAGCAATACACAGCGGTCTGAGGAGCCATAAACAAACCTCAACCAAAACGCAAATAATGCTCAGAACAGCACCTAACTTCATCAACAGTACATATAGGGTCACAGTCATAGTACTAGACACCAAACATCTTTTTAACTTTGCCTGATTTCTTTAGCAAAGAGACTAAACACAACTCACTTACTCTCTTCCAGCAGCCGCTTGTTTGTAACAAGACCTCGGGCCAGTCCATTACAGAATGCAGCGGGGTTTCACAGCTCAAGGAAGAACATTTATGATCATTTCATCATGGAAATACAATCAGACCGAGAGAGTGAAAACATTGGTAGTTTTGTCCAATAAAAATGATCCCAGAGAGAGTAGTTCAATACGTGATTCGTTCACCAAGTGATTCAGGCGTCGGTGCATGTGGTCCCTCGTTCGCCGGCTGCTGGCCTGGCAATGCTGTTTCTCACTTCAGCTCAACAAAAGTGAGAAACGAACGAATCACTTGAGGAAGTGATTTGGTTCATTACGTTCACTTAAAAGATTCGGTTCTTTTGAATGAATCATTCGCAAACTACACAGCACTAGTGATTGTCTGCACCTGTGTCTCACCTGCCTCTCGTTGCTCGTTTCTCTGTGTGTATATACTGTATATAGTCCTTGTCTTCCCCTGTGTCTTTGTTGGTTCATTGTATGTCTGTGTATGTTGATGTCTCTGCTGAGTTTTTGCCATTTGTGTCTCTTGGATTTTTGAGTCGGACATGTAAAGTAAGTTTTTCTTGCTTTTCTTTTAGGTCTTTTTTGAATAAATCGTTTTTGTTGTCCTGCATTTAGGTCCTTCCCTTTTTGTTTAACTTCTACACCGTGACACTGTATTTGTTGTTTTTTTCCCTCAACTTCTCTTCATCATGACATATCCTGGATAATTGTGTTTGTTTACATTTCCCCGCAGGGTTAGAAGGTGACATCCGCTCCGACGGCATAATCTGTAAATGGATACCTTCAACAGATCCGCGGAAAGTAGGTGGCGGGCGGAAGACGACGTAAGCGAGCAGCCTCGGCGCGGATTAAAGGCAGTGATGTAACTCTGTGACTGACAATCACCCCTCTGTAACTCATAGCTTCCTGTGAGCTCGGCGCACACATGGGGAAGGTAAACAAAGGCTGAGCAGGCGGGGGGGACGGGAAACAAAGGCAGGGGACGCTCTGAAAAGCTACATATCTGTTCCCTCTGTGCACAGGGGAAGATATCAGTGAATTCAGCGCTGCAGGAGGCGATCCTTTCAGAGTGATGGCGAGGCTGCTCTGCTGAAACACACAAGGTTGGTTTCATCATCAGCCTTCTACTTGAGACCATGTGTGTCTGTGCCGCACACATTCGCACACAAACCCTCAGTATAAACAAGAATAGAGAAACATATTAGAAAAAAAAATCACTAAATACATCCGAGGCGAGGACTAACTTTAAAAGACGTAACAAAGATGTCGACTTTATGAACCCGGAGTGTAATAAAAATCATAATAAAGCAAAAATCAAGGTTTTTCTCAAATCAAGAGGAAAAAAAAACATTAAGACCACTCAGCTAGCAGTCGTTGGAAGCTTTGTTGTGCCACTCGAAGAGGGTCAATGCCGATCACAGCAAAGCACTCTATAAAAAAGGTATTTTTCAACAAGTTTGAGGAACAACTTCTTCAAACTTCCTTTTATTTTTGTGTTGCTCAGGATTTAGCTTTAATCGCTAAGAGGTTAATATTGAAGTCTCAGGGTTTTTGACGATTTGTCGGTGTTATCAGAAAAAAGCAAGTTTTGCCAAGACATCAAAATGACAACTATATCCAAGATACAAAAACAGTGGAAGCATTGACTGGCATATATTCTTTGTATGTTTGTCTTAATCAAAAACACTACTCTGTTTGTCCACAGGGGGCGCCAAATTTGAAGCAAACCAAAAGTTCCTGACATGAGCTTCGAATGGATTTCTGTGACTCGCTAAGTTGACGCCAAGCAGCAACCTTCGGTGTCAAAAGATGAGGCCAACGTGGAACCGTAAGTGCAGTACCTCAAGTATCCACTAGAGCTTTGCTCCAACAGCCAAAAAAACCCTTAAAGCTCATAATAACCAGGGATGAGAATGGAGAACAGGTGGGAGCTGGTTCTGACTGGTTCAACCATCCTCATCGTTTGCCCTTATGCTCAGCTGTCCCCTTGTCCATGCCTTGGTCAAAAGTTTGGCTAACTTAAGCCCTGTGAGAAATTCATGGTTAAGTTCTTAAAAAGTTAATATAATTTAAAAATTCATGGAGACGTTCAAAAAATTTCATCCAAAAAGAGGAACTCTCTCTTTTTTTTTTTTAATATCCTGCCTTTTAAAAGAAACGGAATAGAGAATCGTAAAGAACGGAAATTGAAACGAGGAATCGGAACCTGAATCATTCGAAATCAAACGATACCCAACCCTACCTACAAGACAACCAAGGAGTAGAGATAGTGGTCCACTTCAACTACATTATACTGTTGTGTTTATGATAATAACCTTCAAAAATTGAACGGTACTGCTCAATGAATTACTGTAAAATCCACTCGCTTTGTGAGACCGGCAGCTCTCTGGGGATGAACTGTGTGTATTTTCAGACACTGTCCAGACAAGATTTCTCCAGTACAAAGACAATCTGAGATGATTCATTCATAAATTTTAGAGGAATAGTGTCATTTCTGCTGCAGGCTGAATGTTTGTTTTGGTCCGTTGACACTGGCATCAGTAAAACCATATGAGTCCCCATTCCAAATATCAACAGTGAAAACTGTGAGATCACCATCATTCATCCCCAAGCCAGTGCCAAAAGACACCATTTGATCCTTTTTGGCTCGGGTTCCTCACACTACTTCAGTCCAAATGAAACCAAAAGTGGGTGAAGAGGAAATGAATCAGAAGTCGGTGAGGCTGATTTAGTCTGAAAAAAGTTTTGGTTCCTCTTTTCTTGTGGTTGCAGACGTGCCCACACTGAACATGAGGCACTTCAAAAGGGTCCATTTGAGTCCCCATAGTCCTTATTTATATTAAGTGAGTTCCTTTTTATGCTGATGATACCATTATACTCTGTATTCTCGTCTTTCTTGTGTGAGCTGTCTTTGACTTTGTAAAAATCAGGACTATTTTGGGTTAGAGACGCCCTGCAGCAGAGATCTTGAGCCTTAATGGAAAAAGTCCTGGTTAAATGGAGGTCAGGTGTTGTGTAAGCTTTGGGTCTGCTGTAAAAATAATTTGGTTGTTGGGATGGAAACAGCAGCCACGACTTGTTTCCAATGGCTAGTGGTCCATTCTTCTCAGCTGACTCCGAACTGTAATGCGGGATAATGACCGGCTTGCTGGGAAGGAGAGTGCTTAAAAAACTGAGACGTTTCTTTCTGTTTGTTTTGATTGTTTCTAGTTTAACCAGTTTAAGCTGATCCTTCCCTCAAAAAAACAGTGTTTGACTCAGCGCCTGCAAACACTCAACCACAAACATTCCCCTGGCGGCGACATGGGGACAACCGACACCGCGAACACACACACTCAGAGGAAGTGAACCCGAGAGGGGGAAGCTCATTTTTGCTGCGCTGCCCAGTTTTCTTTCTGTCCGAGAAGACGGATCAATATGTATCAGAGAGGAGAGGAGACCGGCTCCCAAAAAGCTGAGTCAAGGCACACACACAGACATAGACACACACTTATTTGTACAGTTACATCAACCCGACACAACGACATGACATCACCTCAAATTCAAACCTGTAACTAAACCCCGTATCATGGAAAATGTCTCGCTTTTGGTGAATCAACATGTCCTTGGCATAATCTCACTTCCCTGTGGTTCCATAGACGTTTTGTGGTTATATCAAGTGTACTGTTCATGATATCATAGCACAATATATTGTGTTATACCTGACTATAACATACCTCGTTGTATCATACAGCACCCTTCATGCTGTTTTGTGTAATGTCAAACAGATTCGGTATCATGCATGTATGATGTATCATGTCATACATGGTGTATTGTATCATATTGCATTGGTTTGGTTTCCTATCCTATCTGAATATAATATCTAACTGTATCTTATTCAATCAAACCAAAATTGTAATAAATTCTGTTGTATTCATCTTATCAAACAATTTGTGTTGTATAACATCACACGACATAATGCATCATAATTGAATGGTAACGCAAAGCAATCCACGCTACGCAAAGCAATGTAATGCAACCAAACACAATGTAGCCTAATATAATGCAATACCAAAATGTATTGGTTTGTAACTAAATGCATCGTAACGTAAAGCATAGTAACATAGCACAATGTAACTTAGGGCAATGTAACGTAGGGTAACGTAATGTATAATCTTGTGTAACATCACACAACATAATGCTCCATAATTAAATGCATGGTAACGCAATGCAATCCACGCTACGCAAAGTAATGTAATGCAACCAAACACAACATAATGCAACAATACTAATATAAAAAAATATTGGTTTGCAACTAAATACATCAAAACATAAAGCATCATACCATAACGCAATGTAACATAGGGCAATGTAACGTAATGCAACGAAACTAATACCAAAATATATTGGTTTGTAACTAAATGCATCAGAACATAAAGCATCGTCACATGACGCAATGTAACGTAGCGCAACATAATGTGGCCCAACATATGTAGCGCTAGTGTAATGTAATGCATCATAGTATCAGCTTTGTAACTAAATGCATGATTACATAATTAATATGACATCATGTAACTTGAAAAATGCAACATACATAATGCAACGTAACATAACACCGCAAAACGTAATGCCACATAAATAATATTAAAAATATGTAACGTAACGCATCGTAGTGTATTGGTTTGTGACTAAATGCATCATAACAAAAAAAGCAATATAACGGAACACAACATCAAGTAACTACTATGATGTAACGCCCATATTGTAACATACTATGACATATGGCATAAGTGGACGTACTTATATGTCATTCAATGTCATAAAACATTAAAAATATATCATAACTAAGGTTACGCAATTAATGTTGCGTTTAACGTAACGCATCTTAGTGTATTGCTTTGTAACTAAATGCATCGTAACAAAAAGCAACATAACATAACCAAACACATCAAGTAACTATAATTGTAACGCCCATAATGTAATATAATATGACATATGGCATAAGTGAACGTACTTTTATGTCATTCAACATAATGAAACATTAAAAATATATTGTAACTAATGTTACGCTAGTAATGTAGCGAGACATTATGGATCTTAACATTCTTAATGTTATGTTACACACAAAGTTGTTCTATTATTGTTGTATTTTACTGTATCACTCAGCGTTGTATCACACTGTTTTATAAATGCTACTCCTAAAACTTAAAGGACTATTTCCACAAAATCAAACTGGGTCTTTTTTAGATTTTATTTGACTGTACTGGGGTTGGTCAGCGGTCTGTAAAATGTGAACACTGTGTCATGATATGACTGGAATGTAACACAACAGGAAGTGAACAGCCTGTTGCCACGCTGCTTAGGACAGTCCTGCACTGTAAAGGACGAGGATACAGTAGATAGATGTAATCAAATACATGCAAATATGGAGCTTTGAGTCATTTTAGTAATTATTTATGCAAAAATCTCAGACTCAAACTGATAGGAGCTCGAGAGCAGACATGACAGGGCTGTTAGGAAGAGAAACACGGGTCACACCCACCCCTGCCTGCATGCAGCTGCACACAAACTTCAGCTAGACCAGCTAGACCCATTCATAAAAGACACACCCCTTCCCCATCCGTTCAGACACACACACATCCTCACACAAACACACACACACAGCCATCCGGTTGGTCACAGGTGGTCGCTGCTGCTGGTTTCTTATCTCCTCTCTCCTCTGACTGAATGCTGTGTGAGTTTGGAGGCACAACACCCCTGATAATGTCGTCCAACAGAGGAAGAGTTATCTTTTTGAGTACAGTGAATGCATCACAACAAACCCACGGCGGAAAATAAAGATGTAAATAAAGTTACAGTACAGCAGTATCACTAATCCAAGTCTCTGTAGGAGTACGTGGGACGTAATGAAAAGGACTGTAAACATGAATGCCTTCAGGGACACCAAAGCAAATCCAATTAGTTTAATCAATGGTGTGTTAAATGCCCTCTTGAGAGTTGGAAATTCCCCCACTTAACCATTCAGAGGTGACATTTAGGATTGAGCTGTGCCAAGAGTGGCTTGTCCATCACTTTAAGACGCAAAGTGAGGAGAAATGTGATTATTTTTCAATCCATTTTGTTCGAATCCCAGATAAAGTGTCCTTTCAGGGGACTTGAACGCCTCATTTCTCCAACTTTTGCCTCTTAAAGCCGGAAAACCACATTTTACAAGCAGACTGTGAAGCAGGCGAGCCGTCGTGTAACGGTATGCGAGGAGAGAAATGATCCATATCTATGAATGGAGGAGGCTGACTCACTCACAGCATGGTCCGATAAATGAGCAACACCCCGGGGGGGAGACTGTGTGAGAGAAATACTCCACCTTCCAGAAGAAAATATAGAGAAATATAGAGTGAAAAAGAGAGATGTACTCACCCTGAGCGCAGCGAATATGAGTCAGCTACAGACAGGGAGAGATGCGGGAGTCTGCGGGAAGATAATCTCCTCTGGATGTCACAGAAAAGGGACTCTGTGTCGGGGAATTATCTCGGTTTGCAGAGAGGAGAGACAGCCAAAAAGTCCACCGCGCTGGTCTCGCCCGGTTCGGTTCACTTTGACGGTTTTTTGGGGGGTCGGTTCAGCGGTGGTGGGTTCGAGTTTGAGACGCGGCCGTGAAGGAGACACACGGGCTGGAGGAGGAGGAGGTGGTGGAGGAGGAGGAGGTGGTGTCAGTCAGTGTTTGTGTGGAGAGGAGAGAAGAGAGAAATATGCCTGGAAATAAAGAAGTAAGAGGAGGAGGAGGAGGGTCGTGGTTCCGCTCTCGGTCCGTTTGCTTCTCCGCTGTCCGCTGCTCTGTCACCGGCTGCTGCTGCTGCTGAAACGTGGAAACGCCTTTTCCTCTCTCTCTCTCTCTCTCTCTCTCTCTCTCTCTCTATCGGTCACGGTTAAGCACGCTGTCTGATTCATCCAGAGATCGTCTATGAAACAAGAAGGCCCACTCTTTCAGGAATTCACCACACGCAACGACAGCAAAGATCTTTGTATCGTCGAGAAAGCGATATCATATATGAGGAAACCAGACAAAATGATGAATGTTTGATTTATGTAATAGTACGGTGGCCGAGAACCGCCACTGCTGCAAATAAAAAAGAATGCAGAAAAAAACACAACGGAAGCAAAAAATAAGAAACCACAATGAAAGTTACTGATGCAAAAAAAGAAAGAAAGAAATAAACCAAAGCCTACTGCAAATAAAAAGAAATGGTGCAGATACAAAAAAAAAAAAAAGAAGTTAACAATGCAAAAAAAAAAACCCACAACAAAAGTTACAGATTCAAAAAAACAAAACAAAAAACAATGGTAAATACTGATGCAAAAAAAATAATAATAAAAAAATGAAACCAAAGCCCACTGCAAACAAAAAAAAGAAACAGTGCAAATAAAAAACAAAACCAAACAAAAAACAGAACAGAACAGAAGTTATAATGCAAAAAAAGTGGTGATGCAAAAGAGAAAAGCCACAAAAGAAATTTCTGATGCAAAAAAAAAAAAAAAAAACGAAGCCTACTGCAAAAAAAGGTTTAGATTTAAAAAAAAACAGAAGTTTATAATGCAGAAAAAGTGGTGATGCAAAAAAAAAAAGGGTATAGGGTTTGCCTAATTTCTTTAACAGACAGTCTAAACACAACTCACCTACTCTCTTCCAGCAGCCGCTTGTTTGTTATGAGACTTCAAGCCAGTCCATTACAGACTACAGCGGGGTGACACAGCTCAAGGAAGAACATTTACGATCATTACTTCTCCAAGTTAAAAAGATGTTTGGTGGCTAGTGCTGTGACTGGGACCCTACATGTACTGTTGATAAAGTTAGGTGCTGTTCTGATCATTTTTTGTGGCTATAGAGTGGCGTTTTGGTTGAGGTTTGTTTATGGCTCCTCAGACCGCTGTGTATTGCTATCGTGCGGTCATTACTAAAGTTGGTATAACTAAAAAAGCAAGCGGTCGGCAACATTCATCTCTCGAGGGGGTGTCTAACTCTGTGTTATTTTGTGTTTGACCCTAAATTAATTTTAGGCAGGAATATCCCTTTAAATCTGGAAAAAACAGACTGAATTTTAGATTTCTCACGGCTACTTTAGTGATTAAAATCTCCAGCAATCACAAAAATATATATATCTCACAAATGCCACATTTATACAAAGTACTTCTTACGGGACAGACGGTAAATTTTCTTTTTTTAGCAGAGTTTACCCACCAACCATGTGGACAGGATAGCTACAACAGACTAGCATAAAAGTTCCTCTCTGGCACCGACTCACTAAACATTTTCCTGGTTTCGTCCTTCTTTTCTTTGGTCCTCCAAAAAAGAAACCGAGTCAGCGCTCTTTCTCTCCTGCTCTCTCCTGATTCCACATTTTCCCAGACACACTCTCAGACACACATACCCTTGCACACACACATTTTTCAAAGCTGATGTCACCGCGCTATCCGGTCCACAAATCCCTCCTCCTGTGTCTTTCTCTCCATCACAACACGATCCAAAACACAGACCGCCCCCAACCCCTCACCCCACAACACCCCCATCATCCTCACCCTTTAAACCCTCCAACCCTGACTCCATTCTTTTAAAAGTGACAGCATGCCAACAGGCACGGTGCTGCAGGCTGTTGATCCCACAAATGAAGTTAAATCGTTGGGGATAAGTTAGAAGTTTATTAAAACCCCAATTCCAGGACTCTTCTACTACAGAGCCATGCTGTTGTAATATGAGCAGAATGAAATTGAAAGATTGTTGCTATAAAGGTCCTTTCACCCCGGGACCGTTTTTGTCGTGCGATTATTTCGGACGTCAATATTTTTTTTCGAACCCGTATCCTGTCAATACAAGCGTTCACATAAGCGACATTTTCCCCTCCTGCGATATTGCGGCATTTATTTTTTCGGATCATGGTCGATTTTTCTAAAGTTTCGCATACTGTGTGTCCACTTCTGACCAATCAGATTGCGTGTTGTTGCGATGTCTGATTCACCGGTGTATCCAACATGGCCGACCGGCTGATTGTTTATGTGTCGGAGAACAGAGTGATTTTTGATAAAAGACACAAACATTACAAAGATAACGACCTGAAGGACAACTTGTGGAGAGTCATAGCGTCGGATTTCTCATATGACGATGGTTTGTGTGCTTTAACAGTTTGCTAAACGTCTTTGTTTTAACTTTCATCTGTGCTAACGTAAGCTAAAGGTTGTTACCATAGTTTCATGTGCTTATCTTATCGCCTCTGATTGGTTATAAGTGCTGACCATTTGGCTTGAGTGTGTGATGACGTTTCCAGCTTTTCTAGCCAATCAGAGGCAAAGGAGGCGGGACTTTCACCAGGAAAAGTCTTCCCCGGGATGCGTCCCAAAAGTTGGAAAATCGCATCAGGCTTGATGTGTATTGTCAGGTTCATCAAAATTCACCTCCGAATATTTCGTAATTTTGCGTTCTATATTCGCGTCTGCTCCGGTGTGTAAGGATGCATCGGGCCTGATGTGTATAGTCAGGTGCGTCAACATTTCGTAATTTTGCGTTCTATATTCGCGTTGGCGTCGATGTGTAAGGACCATTAATCCATATGGCAGGAGATGTTGCTCGAAAACCTGATTTATTCAACCTTAATTTAGTCTCCCCAGGTGTGTAAACCACCTGAACATATGCATCTCTGTACCTTTCTTTCCTCCTCCTCTTACTGGTTGGTGTCGCTAAAACAATAGACACAGTGTCAGTAGAGTATGCAAATAAGAACAGTTATTTGTATTGCGGTTACAGAAAACGCCCTTTAGACTCACAATCACAAGATACACGTGCGAAAATATGGTGTGAAACTAAAATAAAAAGAAAACAACAACCTGTTTCTCTACCTCACACTTCAGTGAGTCATGTATGAGTCAGGCCTTATGTCGATTAGCATGCTGGGAGATGGATGAGAGCTCACCGACTCTGTCTCCTCTCGAAAGGAACAAACACAGAAATAATCAAATATTAACACCGAGTTTACAGGTGAGCGCCGACATCGCTGCGAAGTCAGGGTGTTAGCCGGAGGGGTGTCGTGTTGTTGGAGCTGAAGCAGAAAGGGGATTATTGATGTGTTAGAGCTGAAATTATACCGTAAACCAGGTTCTGCTGCTGCAGGTTGACAAAAATGAGAACAACTTCATTTAAACAGGAAGAAAAAAAAAATGTCATCTGAATTTTTTGTTTCTTTTTTCTTAAATTATTTTTCTTTCCATTTCATATCTTTCTTTCATTTTCTCGCTTCTGCCTTTTCCTTTCCCCATCTTGTTCTTTTCCTTCTATTTTTTCTTTTCTTTCTTTTTTCTTCTTTTTTAAAAACATATTTCTTGATTTTTTTTCCTCGTTTTTTCTTCTTTCTTGTCTTACTTCTTTCCTCTCTTAGTTTTTTCTAATTTTTCTTTTTTTCTTTTTTTCATTCTTCTTTCTTTTTTTTCCTACTTTGCTTTTCCTTCCTTCCTTTTTTCATTCTTTCTTTCCTTTTTTCCTTTCTTTATGTTTTCGCTTCTTTTTCTTTCTACCTGTTTCTCTTTCTTTTTTCTGTTTCTCTCTTTATTTCCTTCCCCTTTTTCTTTCTTTATTTATTTCTATCCTTCTCACCTTCTATTTTTTTCCTTTTTCTTTCTTTCTTTCTTTCTTTTTTCTTTGTTTCTTTCTTTTTTCTTTCTTTCTTTTTCTTTCTTTTTTTCTCCTTCCTTCTTTCTTCCTTCTTTCTTTTTTCTTTCTTTCTTTCTTTCTTTCTTTCTTTCTTCTTTTTCTTTTTTCTCTTTCTTTCTTTTTCTGCTTTCTTTCTTTTATTACCTATATATTCATTTCTTTGCTTCCTTTTTTTCTTTTCCTTTTTGCTATTCTATTTTAAACTCTTTCAAATTCTGTAAAAAAAATTTTTTTTTCTTTTTTCTTTTTGTGTTTTTTTTTTTAAATTTTCTTTATTTTCTCTATATGACAGGCTTATCTGACCTTTAAATGGATTGTTTATTTAATGTATTTAAAACTACGATTATAGAGGATACCGTATGTTCAGTGCACATACTGTATATGCCCGTGTGTGTGTGTGTGTGTGTGTGTGTGTGTGTTCCCTAAAACAGACTCAAAGAGGGAAGTTCTTGTTTCCCATCACAAGACCAGCTCATTTATTGAAGCGGGGAAAAAACAGAGGGAGGAAGTTCTTCCAAACAAACAGCTCTGAGCATTCAGAGCGGAGAGAAAGAAAAGGAAGGAAGGAGAGGCAGTAAGAGAGGCAGTAAGAGAAAGAGAGAAAAGCGTTGAGGAAGGACAGAAAGAAGATAAACGGGTAGAAGAGGAGAGAGAGTCAGAGAGGGGCCGTTGTGTCAGTGTTTGAATGTGCTTATTGAAAGGGATGAGTCAGTGGAAAGAAACAAAGAAAATGCAGAGTCACTGCTCTCTTTTCATTTCAATCTCTTATTCCGCTGATTTTACTCTCTTACCTTCATTTTCGCTGTTGTCTCTCGATACTGTACGACACCGGTGAATTTAGTGGTGGAGTTGGTGGAGTTAGGGGAGTTGGAGTGGCTGGAGTGAGTAGCAAAGAGATTTACCAAGGAAGGAAGGAGCTGCTGCATACAGTTCAACAAAGTACCTTATTTCACAAAAGTTGAGCCCATTAGAGTGCACAAACTACTCACTGAAGAGTAAAAAAGATAAATAACTCGGTTGTTATTGATTATCCCAGTCGGTTCCATCCCAAGTGGAAAGTCAATGTCTTGTTTTTCTTGATACGTTTTCAACAGCATCAGATTGACTCTCTTTCCTTTCTTTCTCTCCGTCTTTGCTGTCCTCCCGGTGAGGGTCTTTGGTCATCTATCATCCTGCCATCTCACCTTCCTACAGACATCCCTCACTGTCTGTTTGCCTTCGTTTAAAATCCCCCCGTATAGACATTTCCTACACTTGGATAGTCCTCGCCTGTGTTTTCATTGAGTCTTGCTCAGAACCTCTACCCTCTCTTTGCCCTTCTACACACTGACACGGACTCTGCGGCAGGAAATAAAGGACAGGCTTTAATCAAAGACCGCTCTAAAAGCAGGTGGGCAGCTCAGGGCATCAGACCCTATTATAAGCGCAGATAGATAGCTAAGAGACATAATGACAAACTGCACAAAGCGTCCACTTGATAACAGGGACTCAACCTTACCCTCTCTTGTGAAACCTTCAGATCGTTTAACGCTGTGTGCTCTGCCTGAATCTGGGATCTAACATTAAAAAGAAAGAGGGCTGTTATTGCTTCAAGAAACACGGTGAAAAATCACAGCTATCATCATGCCCTTTTAAATTGTTGTAATTAATTTCAACAGGTGGGGACGTGTTGAGCTCAGGGCTCTTGTGAGCGCCCCTTAATTAAAGAATAATACGGGTTTATTGCCGCCTGGTTCTTTGTAAAGTAAGGCATCAGTCATGTCATAATGATATTAAACTCAACAAGTAAACAGACGGGTCTTGGACTACAGCAAAAGCAGTAAAAAGCAACAAATTCTGATATTCAAGTTTTTCTAAACCTCAGCATCCTAAAACCCCCAACCCTGAGTAACCTCAAGCCAACAACACCCAAGAATCCAAATGCCTACATCACATCCTTAAACCCCCTACTTTCATACCCCAACCTCAAAACCCAATCTCACCCAGCCCTAAGAGCCCTGTGCCAAAAAAAACCCAAACCTTAAACCCACCACATCCCACAAGCACTTAAAAACCCTATCTTTCAAACCCCAACCCTTAAACCCCAACACAACCCTTTATCTTACCTTAAACATCTCATCCAAAAGCAGAACTAACCCAACATCAAAAACCTACCCCTCACCAAACCTCAAGCCCCAGCAGGAACAATTCCAACTCCACAAACCCCATAACCCCTCTGGTAATGAACCCCGAACTTCCAGAATGGCTCCGATCCGGAACTGCGGCGATTTTTGCTGTACGCCAATTCCTACCGGATCCCTTTGTGAGGCGAATTTCATGGTGGATTACGGACAGAACCTTTAACTTGTTTGTCCCCACCCATTTGCATGATGTTTATTTTGAAAAGAAGTCTGGTGTTTTACTCTGTGTCTGTGCTCGAATTCCTTTCCAGCACGGGTTAATCTGTGCTGAATTTATCCGGCATGCTCCAGTGTCCGGAAAAAATAGAACTCTTGCGATCAGCTGCGGAGTCCAGCGATCCACAGCAGAACGGAAAGAAGCCGGTGGAAATTGACACATTAACTCGAATGGTTACGATCAGCTACAATCGGCAGATACAGCCTTTTTGTAGCCGTTCCGGATGCGGTGGAAATTGGGGGACAATGACTCTGCCTCAACTGCCTACCCCTAGTGCCAAACTGATATAACCCAGAAGTCCTACACCCCCATAACCCCAACACCCCAACCAAAACATGAACTGCAACCTCAAACCTCATCAAACCAGGCAACCCCGACTCCCCTACCTTTAATTTCAACCTGTAAACATGCCACAAACCACAAACACCACATCCCACCAAACCTAGCTACCCTTTCCCTGAAAAACCCCAACCTCATACAATCCTATTACTTAAAAATTCGTAACTCCTAAAACCTCTGTGCCAAACGACCCAAACCCTACAAATGGTCAAACCCCACAACCTTTTACCAACCAACCTCAGCTCCCAAAACCCAACACAAACATCAGGCCACTATTCCTGAAGGGCTTCCAGAGTGATGCTTGGCGACACAGACTTAAAGTGACTCAAGTATAACATACTGTCATAGAGTCGTTTTTGCACATACTTCCTTAGATACCCTTACAGGAATTTGGTACCTCTGCTTTTTTTTACTGCCTGATTTGATAGTCTCCACATCTCTCCTCACCCCCTCACTCCCACACTACTCATGTTTTTTTTAAGGTACAGATTCAGAATCAGGGTTAGAAGAAAAGAGGCCAGATGAAGCTCGATAAGACAGGTGGGCTTTTGATAAAACACGTCTTTTAAAATAAAAGTCACGAGACAAGATCCAGTCCTGCTCGGGGTGACCTGAGTCATTCACGGTTTTGTTTGCCCTCGCTTTAAGTACTGAATGTGTCAGCCTGTCGTGACTCCTCAGCCCGGTTTGTTAATTACATCCCTGTGACGTGGCCTGCTGCCGTGATGAGTAATGACTGATTCAAATGAAGGATTTAGAGTCTCATCGCATGTTATTTTAATCGATGGCACCCTGAATAATGATCATTCATGGGTCTTATGGTTATGGAAAGAAAATGAAAGACAGGTTTGATGATATTTTCAGATTTATGGTTTTACCTCTGCTCTCTGTCTCTGCCGACAGACAGGCAGGTCTGGATTAGACATCCATTCAATGATAACTGGTCTCCATTACTGGCAGTGTCTTAATTCGCCCATTCCGACAAAGCCCTTTAGCCGGGGCACAGTCACAATTTGCAGTTACAGCCTAAAAGGCTTGTTACATTAGGTGTTTCCAGAGAGACTGATTACAGGTCATTAATCAGGACACAAACCGGCCTCTGCTTTTTATAGCAGTAAATGGTGAAAGGGTAAAAAGTATGAAGCAGAAATAAGAAAAAAGCTCATGGCTGTTTCAGCTCTGTTAACTCTGCTGCCTGTGCATAGATTTAGAGGATTTACTGAGGGAAAGGGTTTAAAATTAACTTAAGAGGGTTTGATGTTAGCAGAATAATGGTATTCATGAGGGTTCATGAGAATGATGTGTGGTATTTAGAAGTGATAGGAAACCCAGGGGTCACTTTTCACATGTTACATACTGGACTGACATCAAGGGCCATTTTCTTTACATTTTAAATACAGGTAGGGCATCCAGAGGGCGTGTTTTAATCACTTTTTGCACTGGGAGGGAATCTAGGGGTCACTTTTTACATTTTACATACTGGACTGGCATCTAGGGGGCCATTTTCTTTACATTTTAAATACGGGTAGGGCATCCAGAGGGCGTGTTTTAATCACTTTTTCAACTGGGAGGGAATCTAGGGGTCACTTTTTACATTTTACATACTGGACTGGCATCTAGGGGGCCATTTACTTTACATTTTAAATACAGGTAGGGCATCCAGAGGGCATGTTTTAATCACTTTTTCCACTGGGAGGGCATCTAGGGGTCACTTGTCTTTATTTTTAAATATCAGACGGACATCCAGAGAGCTCTTTGTTAACATTTACTACCTTGGAAGGACATCCAGAAGGTACTTCTTAAAGTTGTATACACTGGGAGGACTCTCATAGGTGCTTTGTCAACTTTAAGGACACTGTAGGGCATCTTGTGGGCACTCAGTAAGGTTAAACTCATTGAAATGGCATCCAGATTTTACATTTTATATACCTGAATTGCATTTAAAGTGCACTTTGCCAGCAGTTATTATGTAGGAATTGCATCTAGAGGACACTAGTCGATGTTAAATCCATCGGAAGGGTATCCAGAGGGCCCAGTGGTCTGTACAAGTTGGATTTGTGCAAAGGTTTTTGGGTTGTTATGATGTAACCTGATCTGGTCTTCTTGCAGTATTTGAAAAATAGACATTAGATATCCTACTGTAAGTTAACATCATGCTAAATCTTTTGATTTGCATTTACCCAAAGGTCATCTTTTACTTGGAGGTTGGACCAGTCACCAGTCCTGGCAACTTAAAGCTGAATTGCTTTTTTTTGTTGTTGTTGTCGTATCAGCTAAAAGTATTTTGTCATTTGGTTTGACGTAGGGTAACCATACGTCCTCTTTTACCCGGACATGTCCTCTTTTAGGGGGCTGTCTGGCCTTGTCTGGCTTTGTCTGGGGAAGTTTGTAAAATCCTTCAAATGTCTGTAGTTTCGTACGGAAGTGAGTTAGAAGCGAGTAAAAGACACTCAATCCAACCCGAAAAACTCTCAAAATGAACTTCGTGCGACTCTGTGACTCTGCCCTCGTATCATCGTGTCCTCTTCTTGGGAAGTCAGAATATGGTCACCCCAGTTTGATGAAGGTCCTTGGAGATTGACAGACGAGTTCAGAGGCTCCTCACTAAAACATCCCTGCTTATTGGTGGAAATATGCCAGCCTCGGTTTTCCTCAAACAAATCAAAAACAAGGTCAAGATAGTCCGAATGAATGACCATCTGCCTCGGTCTCTTGACTGCAGGCCGCCCGGCTTCACACTGACCAGACTTGTTGACCCTGTCGCAGACATTAGCATTTTCCTGATAGCACGGTTACAGCACAGTTTCACACAGTTTACACACACACACAGACCCAGAACACTTGTTGGAGCATGTATACTCATCCTACACACACCAACTGTTCGGTCTCAAGCTTGATCAGTCAGTCTGTCAGGTTTCTCGGTTACTAGGCAACATCCCATCCTCTAGTCATCAGCCTTCTGACAAAGAGTCTGTTCATATTGACATTTCTTGACAGGCAGCGCTGGCATTAGCATAGCACCAGTGTTGGGAATTAACCTCGGTTTGTGGCAGAGATGCCCTCAAATGTTCATTAAATGAGCATTTAACACCCCACAGTGTCTTGGATCATGTGCGCCATTTCTTGGCATTTCACTTTGCTGAAAATTTATTCACCAACTTGCAAAATATTCATGTCAGATGCAAATGAGTTTCTCCTGTGGGCCGATCCCGGTGATATGTGACAGGGGGATTGTCTCCAGTGCATTCTGGGTGAGGAAAATAAAGTGGTAGAATACCAAATGCACAGTCTGGATCAGCAGGAACTGTTGGCAGCACACAGACGGCTTCACTGCACTATAACCACTGCATCAACACAAAAAAATACAAGGTGACGGTAAACATGTCATACAGCAGCTTCATATCTCAGCGGATATGTCAGTGTTTCTGCTGAGCCGTTTTCAAACTGTGAATTTAAGTAAGCAGCGTGATAACGAGGCTCATCCGATGGGTTTAATGAATCAGTTTGTATGCAAACATGAAACTAGCAAATTGATATCATTAAAATATGTCCTGTCCATTGTTAATTGGCAAATAATGCTGCATTCCAGTTACTTTGGAAGTCACCTGGGAATGATGTTAAACCCCAGTTGACAGCGTTCCAGTTAACAAGTTGGAAAACCAAGATGGACGCCTACAGTTACCTGTTGTTAGCGGTTGTTAGCCGTTGTTAGTTGTCGATACCAGCTGTAAACGACGCATAACACAGTATTTTACTCTTACAGACACCATAGCACCGTGTTCACAGTTAGATGTTGGGCAGTACAACATAAACCACTTATTTAATTTCACAAAAACAAAACAGAAGTGCTAATAAATAAAACATTACAAGAGCTTTCACTGTTACTCTTGACTGTTGATGCCCTGCGCTGCCATCTTGGATTATGACGTTGTCGGGGTCGAGTCTTAAATCCGACTTCAGGGGGGCGTTCCAGATGAATGTCGGACTCGGAGCTCGGAAATCCCAACTTCCGAGTACTACTGGAACGCCGCATAAACACCATCAGTTTTACAAGAGTCAGTCTCTTGTTAGCTTAAAAACACATTAGCGTGATCAAGTATTGTAGACAGCTTTGGCTGAGGTAGCTGGAATGGTGAAAAGATGTCGTAGTTCGTCTTAAAAAGTAAAATCTTCATTATTACCTTAACTTGTTTTTGTCTCTATAGAAAACACTTCCAGCTAATGTAAGCTAACTTTGAGGTGTAGCCGTTAAGTGTCTAAAATAACTGGTGTGTCGTGGAACTGAGGCCTGAGTTCGTCTTCATATTTCACTAAAAAGTTCTTGACTAGTACCAACACCAAGCTAGGTTCTTAATTTTTAAAACTGTTTTATTTCCATCGTTTCAACAAAAACAAGTTTTGACCACAGTGGAATTCATCATAGCTGCCTCCTCACTGGGTGAAGCCACTCCGCGAACAGCACCCTCTGGTGACGGGCTGCAGCATAGGTCATAAATCCCGCCTCCTCCAGCAATCCCTATGGAGCTGTGGACAAACTTTAGAAAGTTATTACACAGAATATAAATTTTTCTCCCTCCTCGTTGCGATGTTGACATGTAGTTACTGTCAGACTGGTTTGTGCTCAAGTCCTCGTTTTTCTGTGAAGCTCTGTTTTTAAAAGTTATTAGGGAGTTCATGTTTTCTATGATTGACACTTGATACAGCCTATGGGCGTACGAAGAAGTTAGCCACCACACCTAAGTAAATGCTGCATTTATGTGTCAGTCAAACAATTAGCTTGTTAGGGGGTGTTAAAATGTCGAAAAATAGACTGTCTTTATCTTTAACTTCTATTTTTTTTATGCCTTTTTCATTATATTCTCAGTTTTTGAGTCAAGCCTGATGTCATCTTTGACACGACAGCGCGGTACTGAATCTTTCATTAAGTCGAACTGCGCTGTCTTTTTATCCACAGCTGAGTGCTTTTCTGGAAGACAGGCTGAGTCTGAGAGAGCCGGTCCAAGAGCCTCACCTGGAGGACTGGGGTTTCTGTCTGTAGACCGTTTGGATCACTCACTCTCTCCGAGCTACAAGTGTGCAATTTGAGGTGATTTTTGAGACAGTTTGAACGTTTATGTGGAGATTCAGTCAGAGTAAGACAAGTCTAAGACAAGGACTGAGTGCCGGTTTCATGTGGAGAAGCTGAAAGACATTTACGCCTGCATACGGACCGTGGGTGTGGGACAGAGAGGGACATGCACCAGGGCCAGACCGGTTCTGGTGGGTGGTGGCAATGTGTGCGCGGGGTTGTGACTTGGGTCTGATGTGGCAGATTACTCAGATTTGATGAACTAGCGGTCAAACGAATCTCTTATTAGACGCATTTACCCCTCGGATGAGCTCGAGCACGACGATGTGATTCAGCCGAGAATAAAAAGTGGCTTTAATGGGTCGATGTGGAAGCTGTGCGCCCACTGCTTTGTTTTAGATTGCCTGCGGGATACGTGGGTTGGCATGGATACCAAGCTGCAACCGCTATAGCTGCACTATGATACCGTACATCCTATATGAAGAAGGAACACTTACCATGGAGCCACCGTTGGGTTCAGTGACCGCTGTCTTGAAGGTGTTTTAGTCTTTAAAAAGAGGAATTGTGCTCAAAATAGTCATTTTGGAGAACAGGGAACAAACTTTACGGTAATTTTTTGACAGAAAAAGTTCAAGTGAATACCCCGTTTCCAAAAAGTACAACCAGATATAGACTGTGGTTGCAAAATGACAGTCCAGAAATAGCTGCATCCTTGAAGACAACTTCAACTTTAAAGCTCCTGTGAGGGGTTTTTGGTAAGTTACAAAACTGACTGAAATGAACAGTAAAGTGTCTCTACACTGACAGGACTGACCTTTTCTATATTTTCTTTTAAAGTTAGGGTAGGCAGGATCTGAGGAAGTGCCAGTTTTTAGGAGAAATCTTGAATGTAAACTCTACCTCTCCCAACCAGATTTCCCCTCAGCTCCTCTCCCCTCCCTCTTTGCTCCAGAAAGCCCCGCCCACACTTCAGATCATTACAAATGGGGCCCAGTCAAGGTGAAAGTAAAAAGCATTGGTGCTACTGTAGATCCCAACAGACTACCAGCAAACACAATGTTTGCAGGACTTCTACAACTAGGATAAAGTGACATAGTCCAGGACCCGAGGTCAACAGTTTAGCGGCGCTACAACATGCAGCAGGTCCGTTTGACTAGAAACACTTCTGTTACAGACACTTGGCTTACTTTGTTAAAGCGGTTTACCGCAAGGTGACCAGATGTCTGTAATGAAATCCGGGGACAATCGGTGCGGCAAGAACTGTTGTTCAGGACTGCTAACTTGTGCTTCCTACCGATTCGGCTACTGTAATAACCGTTGTTCGAGCCCACACACAACATTTTTGTTCCCATTCATGAAACGCTTAAATCTGGGACATTTTCGAGGACAGCTTTTGCCGGGGACAGGTCATCCAATTCGGGGACTTTCCCTGGAATTCGGGGACATCTGGTCACCTTAGTTTACCTGTCCAGCAAGAAGGTTACAGGGTCCGTAAGATCCCGAAGCGTCCCCCATTGTTTATGTTGACCGTTTATATCGTCTACCTCTGGTATTTACTTTGTTTTCTTGCTTGTGTCGGCAGTCGTGGCCAAACGAGGATTCAGACAATTTTCCGAACTTTCTGGTTGGTTTCTACTGTCTGATATTGTAGCACGCTAACTTTATTTGGACGACACGGGGGAGCAGCGTCTGTCTCACAACCAATCAGGTTGGGGGAGGCGGGGAACGGCTTTGTTTACAGTCAGAAAGAGCGGACCGCTCAAAAAATGTTGACTACACAGACATAAGAAAACGCAGCAATATCGTGATTTTACCAAATGTCATCAATAACTAATAGCTATTGACTGATATTAAAAGCTTTTTTGTATATACACCACAAAATTAGATGCTTCTTGAATTGATTCCTGCCTACCCTACCTTTAATGCCTGTGATGGGGGAGGATACACAGAAAATAAGCAGGTCTGTTTTTATGCACCACTTTCCTGATATCAGCCCTGATCAATCAGTATCCATTCGCCTCTAATTTTGACATCTGCTTCTAAACATTTGCATGTGTAGCAGGTTAAATTGTTGTCATTCTCATCCTCATTATCTTCCCAGTACCGCCTGATTATTACCGTCACAGACTCGTTTCCCCCTTTTCTACCCCTCTCATCTGTTGCCATCGTTCCTTCATTCCCTCCTCCTTTTTATAACCCTCCTCTCTCCGTCCGTCGCTCTCTCTCACCTATTTTCTTCCCTCTTTCCCCTCTACACCTTGCACTCCTCCCCCTCCTCCTCCCCTCTCGTTTTACTCTCCCTGACTCTGACGTGTGATAGGGCCTTAAGATCTCATTAGCGCCTGAGCTCAGACGTGTCACATTCTCGCCTTCTGGCATGACGGGGGAAGTGACGTGCGGCGTGGCGGTCTTTTTTCACCCTTGGAGACGTGCCGCGGGTCACCGATCTCTAATGAAAACTCAGGACTATCATTACTGTGACCCATAAGGACTGTGTCATTACTGTTACACTCTTGACTGATTGCAGGCCTATTTTAGTCCTGATAATTTTATCTCCCCCAGTTTAGTGTACAACCTTCCTGTAGGTTCTTGTGCGCGCAATATGATGGTCTTGCGAGAACAGGTAGAGTATCTTCTCTGCGCAAGATATTAACAGATGGATGGACTTGTAAGCGCTCGCTGGCTTTGATTCTGACCATATGATCCTGTGAATGACACTCATTCTCAGAGCTGTCCCCACTCAAGCTGTTTGAACCAGTCGTCCGGTCACTGTAGCAACAGCACCAACACACACAAAACACAAACACAAACACAACAGTGATTTGGCACGAGCCGCACAGATGCCTGCTTATTGCTCTTCTCACTTGGTTTGATTGAAAAACATGATGACATGAAGGGGTGGAGGAAAGAAAGAAAGAAGATGAGGTTGTTATTATTAGATCTGGAGGTGCAACCACCAGAGGAGGGTGCTGTTTGCCTCAGAGGGGGGTTCACGCCACCACTCATCAGACACCCACTAACATGTGAGCTGGACTGAAGGAAGGGTCTCATTCAGATGCTGTTTGAAGGCTGACGACAGAAAAGAGACGTCTCAGTCTGTCTGTCAGCCTCAGTCCTCCAGTCCCTCCTCCTGCCTCAGACTTAAAAACATTTACAAATATCTGACACTAAAAGCTTTTAAGTAAACCTGCTTGATGACTAAAGTACATCATTTTGCAAAGGTAACTCATCATTTAATTGTGCACACAGGATAGTTATCTTGTTTGAATCAGATCATTTAACCTGATTTTTTAAGCTCTTTCTCTTTTTGGAAAGTTATCTTGTATGTACAGGCTCATTACATTGTATAAAATTTCCCAAAATGTTCATGCAACAACAAGCTCTGGGCAATTTATCTTGCAAAAAAACATTTTACATTTCGCTTACAGGAAGCTATCTTGTTCACTCAAGATAGTTATCTGACTGCTCATGATCATATTCTATTAAGAACTTTATCTTTACATGGTCCCTTCTGTGATCATTTTCTTCAATTCTGTGTCATGTTGTGCACACAGGATGGTTATCTTGCTCTCACAAGATTATTGTGATTTATCAGGAAGATTATTTTCCCAGAAGTTTTTATCTTGTGTGCAGAGATTAAATTATGTTTTTATGAGGAGGATTATTGTCTTAACTTCAAAACTGGCTTAATATCTTGTTCACATCAGATTCAAATCTGATTGCTCAAGATCATGATCTTAGGGTAAAGTCATAATCTTGTGTGCACATGGTTTTTACCTCTGAGAAACAAGAATTTATCTTGTTATGGTATGAAATATGCTGATGCCCACAATACATTAGTTATGTTAAATCCACGCAATATTAAATTGTGCACACAGGATAGTTATCTTGACCACACAAGATAATTATCTTATTGCACCAGATCTCCACCTTTTAGTTAAGTAATTATCTTGTGTGCACTTAATTATTACCTTTTACAACCAACATATTGTAAAGATAGAGTATCATATTATGTGCACAAGACAGTTATCTTGTGGAAAAAACACAGGATAGTAATCTTGTTCACACCGAATGATTTCTCAAGTTAATTTTTTTTTGTGTGAAAATGATCTTGTTTGCATAAGATTATTACTTTTTGTGTGTTATCATGTACAGACAGGTTATTTTGTGAGCACAAGATAATTATCTTGTTGGTACAATAACACAGGATAGCAATCTTGTTCACAGCAGATGATTTCTCAAGTTAATTTTCTTTTGTTAAAATGATCTTGTGTGCATAAGATTGTTAACTTTTATGTGTTATCATGTGAGGACAAGGTATTTTGTGAATTCAAGACTATTATCTTGTTGGAACAATAACACAGGATAGAAATCTTGTTCACACCAGATAATTTCTCTAGTTAATTTTCTTTTGTAGAAATTATCTTGTATGCACAGGATTATAATATTTGTGTGTTATTGCATGAAGACAACTTATCTTGTTGGAACAAGTTAATTTTGCGTGAACAAGATAAATAGTTCTGCCACTAATGAAGCTGTTAGTTGATTGTCCTCAATGATTTGAGTTGTGCGCTTAAGATCAATACTTGTACATGCAAGACCATTGTGCACACAAGATCATTTTGAATGTGCACAAGATAAAATCATTCCCTTGCAGGATCTTGGAGGCTTTTAAAATTCAAGGCATGGCTTGTGTACAGAGTAATCTAGTGCACTAACTGCATGGATGTTGGATACTGTTGGTTCAGTTCAGTCCAGTTCAAACATTGTTTTAATATGAAGTGCTTCTACTCATCACATCATTATTTAAGGCTGTCCTAAATCCACCAATTATCTGAACAATGTAGCTATTTATATTTAGATGATATTCCTGTGTCTGACAGCTCACACTATCTTGATACTATCTGTATAATACCCAGCCCCTCCTCCCCACGCCCTCACTGGCATCCACACAGGCACACACAGTTTGACCCACCATGCTGGCTGGGCGGGAATCATGATCATATTACACACTGTTATTAATAGCCACCCTCTCCCCTGTCTCATTGTAACATTAGAGCTGACACGATCCTCAAACTGTCTGCTGTCTGCTCACATCTCTCACTCTCTTGAATTCCATGTTTCCGCCTCTTTCCTGTCCTTAGATCATGTCTTCCAGAAAAATCCCCACAAGTAACAGTGACGTGTCCACCTTTAGACATTGCCCACAAGCATAAAGTAAAGTACATTTTTTTTAAAGTCATTCTTAGTTAATTATTCTGAATCTCTTTTGACATTTCATTGGAGATTATTGCATCCATTTGTTCGCCTTATTCAGGAATAAGAGTCCCTTATTCTGGGTGCTTCAAGATGATACATACTCAAACTAATCGCTGTCAATGATGCTACCATTAATTTGCAGCAACGTTGCCTCAGGCCTTCTGATTGGGTAAAATATTTGCTATGGTTACAGTTCTGGCTTCCCGAAACTCGATACCTTTACTACAATTTCTGCAGTAATAAAATTTCAATATTTTAATTTAATGGACTGTGTGCAAATGGACTCAGTCCTTGAGAAGTCCTTAGCAAATCTAGATCATGCTGATGTTCGGTTCCCTCTTTAAACAGTTCAGTTGTGCAACCTGCATTTATCAATGCAACAACAGTGGTTTTTGGATGTGATTTTGAGGCAATGCAGTGATTTCCACTACAGAGCCAAGTCTGTATTTAACATCATGCCTGTCCAAGATTGATTTGAGCTGAGAGATGAGGTACAGGCGATGAAATCTCCAACTGCTTTGCTCATGGAGCCTCTTTCAGAGAGATGACGCCCCCACTATCTTTGCTTCTAAGGGACTCGGGCTCTCTAGAAAACCCTTTTTGTACCCAGGCATGTTACTTCCTTGTTTCTCCTTACCAGTTGGGGGATATTCCTGTGGGTATTTCTACCTTTCTTCCCTCTATCCCCCCTGCATGGATGCCATCTTGTCCACAGAGGCCTTATTTTTAGGAGTCTGACTCCTCTGCAAAACTTAATATGGGAATGGCATCCTGAAGCTCCTCTTTCCTCAAGTTGTTGTACACCCATCCATTCCTTCAGTCTTCAAGACACTGAGCTGGTATCTGTAGCTCTCTAAACACCCAACACTACCGCTGTCCCTTTTCATAGCCACGGCTTCAAACAGGTGGCCGTATGACCTAAGCTTGGCTCCCATGTTTCCACCCATTTGCTATTTTTCAGACCACTGCTCAGTACCCAACCCCCCGACCCCCCACCCCCAACCCAGCTCACTGTCTGTCCTACTATTTTGGCAGCCTCTTCAGCTCCTGCACAGCTCTTGCACCAGTGGGATCAGTGTCTTGCCTACTGGTGTACCCTTCCCCAAAAAGTGTCCCTCCCCTTTTCTACGTCTGGTGGCGTCAGCGAAACCACGTGCATCTCTTTTTTAAAGGGAGGTTGTCGCTGTCAGACATGCTCTTCTCTAGTCAGTGGGGAAAGGAAGCAGACTTTGTTCCTAGCTCTCCCTGCTTGACACCAACTTGCGTTAGGGACATTGTTAAATTTACTTAGTATATTCTTTCTCCTGCTGCCCCACATAAAGTTTAAGGCTTAGAGAAGAGGCGTTCCTCGTGACCACCAGGTGACGATAGCCATGAAGTGGGGTCTGGTGTTTTTGGGGGTCTTCCTATCTCTGGGGACCCTGTCCTGGGGGGAGAAGGGCTTGGAGATCCCAGAGTATGATGGCAAAGACCGCGTCCATGACCTCACCGCCAGGACCTACAAGTCCATCATGAAGAAGTTTGATGTGATGGTGATCTACTACCACAAAAATGTGGATGGGAACCGCAGTGCCATGAAGCAGTTTCAGATAGAGGAGCTGGCTCTGGAGGTGGGTCTCCATTAAAGCATGACTGTAGATGGATCTGTCGCTGATGTAGGGAAAGGGTCATGGTGGGAAGAGAGGAAGTAAGGGACGGGTTTCATATGGAGAATTTGGCTCCAGTTTGGGATTCCTGGATGCATTCGAGGTATTTGCACTTAGCATTTTAGGTAAGTGGGTTCGCAGTTGTTGACAGGTGATGAGGAAGGTAAACAGATCATGTGGAGATTGTGGGGTGAGGTGGGATTCTTGGACTTCAAGTATGACTTTAAAGTTGATGACTTGGAGAAAGCAGATTAAGGAATTAGGAGACAGGGGGAACTGGAATCTTTCTAAGCTCCACCCTGATAGTTTGGGGGATCTGGTCATTGTTGGTAGAAACTGTAACTCAAAGCAGAATTGAATTTCCTGTCCTGTTGAAACACATTTACACTTTTAACAAGGTTTGCGAGGGCTTTATCTGACAACGATCGCAAGTTCTGAAATCCTGCAGATATGGTCAAGTGGGTAGTGCTGTCTAGTTAAGACTTGCCAGTGATTTACCAGGCATGCAGTGGTCAGGAACTTTGACAGGAGTTGAAATCCTATCTCATACTTGTGCTTTGCTTAATTCTTCACGCATTATGTTTAGATTTTCGACTTTGTGGCGCACAATGGCAACCTTTGACAAAGGACTTCCCAAATCACCCCTCAATGCTCTTAAGGATGAAAGGCCAGTTGGCACAGCTGTGAACAGTTTTGACTTTGGATTACTTAGTTGACCTTTTGGCATTTCTTAGTTTGAATGTGGTGTCAACGACCTTTTGCTATAACACCGCTGTGTTAGTAGGATGAAGAAGAACCTCCCACATCATTTTTACAGTAGTTGGAGTCCCATGATGTTGTGCCTTTGCATAAATCCTAACATTTGCACTCGTCATGTTTGCTAATTATTGCATACTTTCAAATATCTCAGTATCTCCTCTAACTCAGTGTAGCATTTATCCATACAGCTGAATGGAGGCTCAAGCCACACACAGCCAATAAATGACCCCATCCATCAATCGATTGTGTTTTGATTGGCCAAAGTTGTGTCTGAAATGTGCATCATGGACCCAAGAGGACGTAAAAGAACATTTGACAAAAACATGTGCACTTCTGTAACGCTGTGTTTGGTTGGTTGTTTATATGGGTTGTCAAATTTGAGGCTCTTGTTGTGAAACGGTTGTCAGTCAGCAAGTCACACAGGAGCAGGCAGATGTCTTGCATACATTAGACGTGATTGCTTTGGTACCTTTGGGCGAAGCACTAATGCTAACATTAAGTCAGTTTTATTGCTCATCAAACGGAGGAAGAAAAAGAAAAGAAGTGAAGAAAACTCTTATTGAATGCATAACTCAAACTCTTAAAGTCGATGCACCTGGGCCCCACTATCAGCCAGTGTATCCACCATAGCAATCCCCTGCCTGTCAGAGCGGCAGTGTCTTCTTACAGACACACAGTGTACCTTACTCTAGCCTCCATAAGTCACCTCTGTAAATAGCCCAGGACGGCCCTGCATGCTTAGCAAGAGGCTAAAAGCCCCCCTGGGACAGACAGGGAGTTTAGGACCATATCTCACCTCAACTACTGGTCCCATTGCTCTGCTGGCTCTTTAGGAAACTCTCTCTGCACTGTTTTATGTTACTACACGCCCCTGTGGGTGCAGGCTGAAGTCCTAAACCATCATTTACACACACAAGTCATTGGATCTGATCAATTTCCTCTCGCTGCTGCCAAGTTGGGCTTCTTGGCTTGAGAAAGAGATCCTTACTGGAGCCGGTCCCTGTTGGACTGTTACTCTGTTACTGACATGCTGCCAGCTGGTCGTGACCATTCAGCCAGCCAATCAGGAAAGAGCACAAGAGGTGCTCAGGGGGGATGCTTTAAATAGCTGGTCATTACCACCTATGAATCAGGAAGTATGAATTATTAAAGTGCAGAGCTCAGGGAATCAAATCCAATGGTCTTTGTCTGAGGCTTGGATCATGAATGGATGATTGATTATGTCGTTTATGTTTACTTCTATTTTCAGGTGCCACAGTGTCACATTATTGTTACCCATTAAGGGGAAAAACAGTACAGGATACACTTCTTGTTTTTTGTTTCCTGCACCTGTTTTCTGATTTTATGACGATGGGGAATGTATTTCTAAAGAGCTGAACATTTGCTGCCGTTTCTTTTGGTGTTTCTCATTTTCCCCAGATAGCACTGCCATTTTCCATGCTGAGTGTAAATTGCCTTTCTCTATTTTCAAACGACAATTTTCTCCTTCGTGCCATAGTGACAGAATCGGGTAATTTTTGCAAATTAGTGCGGAGAATAATCTTGTGAGAGCTATCTCAACTCCAACAATAAGAGTTGACCATGCATGAAAGCCTTTGGCTGATTATTGCTTTCAGATTAAGACGTTTCGGCTCACTGGAAAAGAAACTATAAACATTTAACATCATAAAGCTTGTTGCTAATTCAGACTTTTTTATCCACTGGGTTGACTTCTAGCACTAGTGTCTTTGGTGTACTTTAAAGCTGCAGATGGGACTCATACATAAATGCTTTTGTTGGTCTGACACACAGAAATCTGTCGACATTAAAATGATATTTCAAAAAGAGTGAAACCTTGACAGCTACAGCAAATCATCCACAAACTCATCAATTTCGTCCTGTCACTCCAAAAATATGTCCAACGTGCCACCTCTGACCCCAGATGGAATTTTTCTTACTCTGTGAAAAATAATCCAGTGTATCCTCTCTGCTGTGAAAGGCTCTGGAAAGCTGAACTGCTGACACAACAAGGGATTGACAATGAAAGATGTCCGTGCAACGACCGGAGCGTTTGTAAAGTCGTCATTGGACAAAATAACATCGTGTTAGTCCGTTGTGTTTTTGTACAGGAATAATTGGTTGGATTAAAAGGAGGAAGACATATGGGAGAGTCAGAACGACACTTCCTGCTGGCTAGATCCCAGTACAGGTCCGTGGCTATTTGCACACTTACAAAAAAAGTGCGGTTGCCAACTGAAACCAGTCGAGCAGCTTAAACACAAGTTCTTGAATGATATTTAATTTCTGTTGACACAAAGTTAGTCCATGTAGTCCATTATAGCAGTAGCAGGGACAGGTAGAAACAACCATAGCTCAGTGGCGAGGTCCTAATGGAAGTATACTGGAAAGACACATGAACCAATCAAGACTTTTCAGATTTGGAAGAGCAAGTTTATGACGGCCTCCCTTATGTTGATATTACTGGATGTAACTCATCAGCTGAGACCCAATGACTATCGAAAATGAATGACACAGTAGCTTTTAATTGAGCTTGATTACAAGCGATGAAATAAACCAAATAATACAAAACACAGGTTAAAGCTCCTGTGGGGAGTTTTTAGCTGGTTTTGAAACGTCCTGAATTTAAAACTGGTGCCTCTACAGGACTTGACACTAACTTTTTTTTAGGGGCACAATGAAAACTGATCAAATAATGTTTGTCTTATTGGGCGACATAAGTACTATTATTTGAAATCAATTTTAGGTCAGTTGGTCACATAACATGGAAGCTATTGAAGTAAATGTTAAAAATGTGCCTTTAAATTTAACAAAAAAAATATTGGAGGAAAAATTTGGGAAATATTTGAAATCGATTTTAGGTCAATTGGTCACATGACATTGAAGCTATTGAAGAAAAACAGCCTTTTTTTTAGAACATCAACCGGTAATTTATTGATGGTCCCTTATTCAACACCCGACGTTGACAGCGAGGGTGCCGAGTAGATTTAACCGCACTGCTGTTGCTATTCCCGGTTATGGAGAGTGAGAGGACATGGGTAGATCTGCAGTGAATGTCCGTCAAATATCCGACCTAAAACTAGGAGACAAAGTTTATCATGTTTGACTGTCAAAGGAACCAAGATACTTACAGGACCAAAGAGATACGGCGCCAAAATTAACACTAACCTGGAGTTCCCCACTGGAGCTTTAATGCAATGTTCATTAGTCACAACTTAACGAAGGCTATTATGGGTTATTTTGGGTAGTTATTGATTCATGTTTGCTCTGTAAACACTATTTGTCAAAATCAACTTGTTAATGCAGCTTTGGTCCTTTGTACCACTTAGTCTTTCAAACTTCTCCCTCTTGTTTCTCAAATTTTGATAATAAGAGGCCTGAAAATGCACCATTTGTGGAGAGCCACATTCTTGGCTTAGCAACAAGGCTTAACATAGCTCTCAGCGGGAAATTTCTCAGTTCTGTTTGACATCTGGCGGAGTGATCGCAGGTGGCTAACATTCAATTTGTGCAAAGTAACAACGGCCATCCATTAAGTGAATTAGAAGCTGAAACAGGGGGGGATAAATCTGACCGTCCTGATGGTTTGGTCTCAGGATAAACCGCCTCACCTGCAGCAGCATAAACCAAAAATATCTCTTTATTCTGACTCTGGTCAAGTGTTGTTCAGCAGAAGTGTAACAGCCAGGGAACAAGAATTATCGAGAATACACCACAGGCTGTTGTTGTTCTCGCTAAAATGTTGTTTTCATCTCATGTTGTGACTTTGCTGAGCTCTTTCTGTCCTGTTTTCATATCCTCACACACTCTCTCTTTTCTGTTTGAACTCCGACCTTTGGCATACAGCTTACTGTAAGCGCCCGCACTCATCAATCACAGCCCTCTACACGGCTCATGTTGCAGCGATCTTTTACTCACCACCTCTCCCTCCTCTTCAACACACACACACACACATATTGTTGCTAGGGCACCCGAGATAGCAACAACCACACCTTACTCACCCTCTCTTTAATGTCATGCAGCACCCTCAGAGAAAAGAAAAACAGTTCATACAATATTGTGCAGGATTCTCTACCATTTTTGTATTCTTTAGTCTGCTGTGATCTTCCCCTTCCACCCAAATTCAGAAAAAAGAAAAGAAGAGTTTGTAGAGAGGTGTAGGAAAGAGGGAGTATATGTCAGAGCCAGAGTGAGAGGGCTGAGAATATCTGGATGCTCTACCTCCTCCTACTCCCACATTTCCGTGAGGAAAGTATGGTGAGAAGTTAAGAATCTTAAGTAAGGTTGTAAAAAGAAGACAGGGTAGGCAGAGCTTGGTTGAGAAGCCTGTTTGGGCTTTGACTTACACGCAATGAGAAGGCTGGATGTTCTACCCTCTCCTACTTTCACCTTTTCATGAGAAAAGAGGAAGGTAATAGTCAATAATCTTTAGCAAAATGCTAGAAAGAAGACAAGAGGCAGATCCAGACTGGAAAGAGTGTTTAAAATACAACTTAACCCAGCTGACTTAAACTGCATACACTTCCCTCCCCCTACTCCTACTCTCACTCTTTCATGAGGAAAAGGAGAAAAGAAAAAGTCAAGAATCTTTATAAAAATGTTAGAAATTAGACAAGAGGCAGATCCAGGGTGGAAAGGGTGTTTAAAATACAACTTATCCCTGGATGCTCTACCTCCCCCGTTCTTGATTTTTCATCAGGAAAGAGAGGAAAGATGAGAGAAAATTTAAAGTCTTAAGCCAGGGTGAGAAGCCTGTTTGGGTGATGACTTACTGCCACTAAGCTAGACTGGATGCTCTACCTCTCATTTCTCCCACGTTTACATGAGGGAAGAGAGAAAGAGAAAGCCAAGAGGTAGATGTTTCAAAAGAGAAAGAAGGAAGAAGTTTGTTTGAGAAAGTCTGGATGCTCTACCTCCCCCTACATCCTGTTTTAATGAAGGAAGTGATTACAGATTAGAGACAGCCAAGAGTCTGTAGCAAGATGCTACCAAGTATAGCTGGATGCTCTACCTCCCGCCTCTCTAAGATTTTCTTGGACGGAATTTAACAATTTGTGACCAGACTCTAGAAACAGGTCTAAGGAGGCAGATCCAGGGTGGAAAGACTCTCCCACCCACTGGTCACCCCCACTGAGTGCTCTACCTCCCCCTACTCCCTCACTTCATGAGGAGTTAACCACTGGCAGATTAATGTCATACCTGTAGATCATCAGTGTATTAGTATGATAACACATTTTAACGCTAATGCTAACCTTCCTTTTAAAACACTTTTGTCTTTGTAGACAGTCAAGAGATAGTCTTGATTGTGGTTAAAAATTTTGCACCAGATATTCAACACTGTTAAATCTGAGTAAGAAAACATGTTTGCCTTATTGTTGAACATGATAAAACTGCTGCCACAAAGGAACAAAAGAGTGACTCAAACGGCAGCAGAGGCTTGATTCATGATGACTATGTTCCTACAAAATACTCAGAGTACAGAGAAACACGACGAGAGCTGAAGGGCTCTCAGAGAAGAGCCCTAAAGACAGCTTCAGGGCTGTTCTTTGCCCAAACTAAATAACATGTTTAGATGACAAAGGTGACACTCTGTCGTCTCATAGTATATAGTGAATCTTCCAGGTTTTTTGGAGGCTTCTATTTTGTCTTTTCTGATCTCAATCCATCTTCGGAGAGATCTGGGAAAAAGGTCAGACTTCAGACTGTCGCCGTGGAAACCGTTCTCCAAACGGACGACTGGAGTCCTCCTCCTTTCGCTGGTACAATAAATTTTATGCTTACATTTTTAATAAGCAGTATGGAGAGAGACAGAGAGAAAAGGAGGGACGAGGAGTGTGATATTGTGTGGGCTATTTTTGGCGATGTGCCTGATAGCCTGCTGGATCACCATACCTGCTGTCTCCTGAAAAACCAGGCTCTGTTCGGGAGATGTCCTCGAAAACAAGTCCGCCTGAAGTTTCAATTTATAAACCTGTCAGGCAATCTGATAACTACTCTGATTTCAGGCGACAAACATCAACACCCCCACATCCAGAATGCCTAAGTAGGAATGGATCTCATTACTACATCTTGGCCGAGAGGCTAAGTCTCAGGGGTACTCAGGAGGGTCATATCAGGTGCTGAAGCCGCAGCCACCTTAAATCCCCTTGAAGATAATCAAGCATCTCCTCCGCTTCAGAGGACCACTTCCCGACCAGAAATACTCTGAATTTCCCGTTACTAAGTGGCCCCGCTGTCAAACTGTGTGAAGCAATGTCATATTTTAATAGATCTCCTCTTTCCTTTCTTGCTCTCCATCTCGACCCCCAATTAATAGTGTGAAAGAGACACTAAATTAAGAACTCATTTGTCAGATCTGGTGTGATTAAATGAGACAGGAGTTAAATTTAGATGAAGTGTCCTTGGTGTTATTCTCTGAAGAAATCTCATCAGTGTCAGTGTGTCTGCTGGTGATAATGGTGTTCCGGCTCCCCCAGTTTGTCGGGTGTAAAGGGCCACCTGTTGGGGGAAATGGTTACAGAATCTTTTCTTAATTGATTTTCAGGGTTAAGAGTTTCCGCTGTTGAATCTCGACATTTTTCTGTTACAATATCACACAACGCAATGTTTATTTCTTGTTGGTTTTCTTCAATTTGGTTGATGTCTCTGTCGTTAAGCTGCCTCCCCTAGTTTCTGTGCTGTTTCCCTAATTTCTTTTTCTCTCTTCTTTCTTTCTTTCTTTCTTTCTTTCTTTTCTCTCTCAATTTTTTCTTTTGTTCTTTTTAAAATTACTTTCTTCCGTCCTATTTCCTTTTGTCATTTCTTGTCTAGTTTTTTCCTTTTCTTTTTTCTTTCTTTACCTTTCTTTCTTTCTTTTTCTTTCTTCTTTCCTATTTTGCCTTTCTTCTTTTCTTTTCTCCTTTCTGTCTTTCCTCCTTTCTTCTTTTCTTCTTTTCCTTTCTTCTTTCCTACTTTGACTTTCTTTTTTCCTTTTTTCCTCCTTTTTTCCCCACTATTTCCTTTCTTTCTTCCCCATTTATTCTTTGTTTGTTTGTTTGTTTGTTTCTTTCTTGTTAACACTGTTTTCTTGCTGTTCAAATTATTTCTTCCATTCTTTTACTTTTCCTTCCTCTCTCTTTTGTTTCTTCTCTCTTTTTTCTTTTGTTCTTTTTAAAAATTTGCTATTTCTCCGATTTCCTTTCTTCCTTTCTTTTCTTCCTCTTTTTCTTTCTTCCTCTTCCTCTTCTTTTTCCTTTTTTCTCTTCTCTTTCTTCTTTTTTTCCTTTCTGTCTTTCCTTCTTTCTTTTTTCCTTCTTTTTCTTCCTTTCTTCTTTCCTACTTTGTCTTTCTTCTTTCTTTTTTCCTTCCTACTTCTCTTCTTCTATTTCCTTCTTTTTCTTTTCCTTTTTCCCTTCCCATTTCTTATTTTCTGTATTTTTTTCTTTCTTTCTTTCTGTCTTTCTTTCTGTCTTCTCTCTTTCTCTTTTCCTCTTTTTTCTTTTTTGGTGTCTGCTCAGCCATTTTACACTGATTGGATTTTGTTTAAGTAATTCTAAAAATGTCCCTCATGTTAATGACCAAATGTTAAAGAAACTCACATTTTTGCCACAGTGTCAACAGGCAGAGGTCTTTCTGTGGATTATTTTTGTTTGACATGTGGATTCAGGTTTTTCCTTGTTTCTCTTGGCTGTTAAAATAAAACATGAGTCAACAGGAATCGAGTGTGTAAAACAGGCAGCGAATAATTCAGGACTCTTGGTAAAGAAATCCCCTTTGTCTGCTTTTTTTCCCGGCACTTCTTTCTTCTTTAAAAAACAGAAATATTAAAGCGTATCACAGACATGTCTGCTCATCTGTGTGGTAGATGTAGATGACCTGAGGAAATACAGAAAACACAATCTTAAACTATTGTCCTCTTTGTCTATTCAAGACGGGCATTTCTGTGAAACTGCAGTTCTGGAGTAGATTTTTGTACCGTCACGAATCATTTCTCTAATCTCTCTGAATTGAAACATTTTTCATGTTTTTTCCCTGAAGTCAAGGTGTTAGCAGCCGCCTCTCAGGCAGATGAATAGGGATGAAAATTTGAAAAGCAGTCTCTACAGAGCACTTTGGAACATCTGTTTTGGTAAAAACATGAAATGGTGTTATTATCACCGGTGCTTTTCAAAGCAGCTGTCGACTGCGGCAGGCCGCTGTTTTCTCTCATTTTTAAAATCTGAGAATATATTTCTATCACTTTTTTATGGCAGATAAATCTCAGGAACATGGTTTTAACAAGAAAACATTAAAATCAGAATTTGGTGTTGGTGGAACTCGACCGTACATCCTTGACGTGAATGAAGGTGATATCGAAGTAGTGACCTTTTTATCATTTCTGTGAAAATTTCCCCAATGATGATTAGAAATGGATGATAAGTCAAGAGTTAAGTTTGAATAAGTAAACTTATATATGAACTTTTATATTGTGTTTCTCCATACCTGTATCGCCTGTTTTCAATTTTACTCACTGTGTTGTTTAAAATCTTACATTATCGATAAATATTACGATAATATTGTTATCTTGACAGCAAAGAGAGAACTGGATGCACAGTGATTTGAAGAAACGTTTCATACCGTCTCTGATTTAGTTTAGTCTGTGAACTTTTTGAATTTTTTTTAACTTTTTGAATTCCTCAAACTTGCATCATGAGATAACTACTGTTGTGATTTGGTGCGATATAGATAGAAATTGATTGATTGATGATTGAACTCTCAACTCTCTCGGATTAATCAGGAGCATCAATATCGTGAATTCGTCGTGTTTGTAGGAAAACAACAGAGTGGAAAGGAGTCACCTCAAATCTTGAATAAGGTTTTTGAAATAAAACTAAGCGTAAAATTGGCCATTTTTGATTCAAAAAGTTCAGTATTAAAAGAAACTCTTAACTTCTGTTCTTTATTTGATGTTTTCGTCTGAGAATTCACTCTGGCTCTGTTCTGAACCTGTTAATATACGTATTACAGAAGTCAAACATTTCATTCTCAACAGAGAAAATTAGAAACTAAACCTGTGAAATTTATATTTTTTTAAATTTCATTTCTAAACTGTCAAACAAACCAAATATCAATCAAACAGCCTGATATTTCTGTAAGTTTTTCCAAAAGTTTGGGTTGTTGTAGGAAATGAAATTCAAATAAAACTTAAAGGTTATGAAGAAATTTTCCCATTTTTGCTTAATCTACTAAAATGTGCAAAAATAGGAAGGCCTTCTTAAAGTCTTGATGAAGGTGGCGGACGACTAACCCATGATGAGGACCAGAGACAATTTGTGTTTTAGTCCAAGTATTTTGCAGAAATAACCCAATTTTTACAAGAAAAGAACCACAAACATGTTTTTCTTTTTACAGTTTCCAACAGTATCTCACCGCCTCATGATTCACCCAGGTCAGTCACGATACTTCTCAAATCCAAATAATCCTCAATTAAACAATCACTGCTCTTTCTGAGGAAAGTGTAAAGCACTGAACGCTTTTTATGGTTTTTATGTAACGCACATAAAGAAGGTCGACGAGCTCAGGAGGCTCTCTGAGTTTATTATCTGAGGCTGTTTCTAATGGGACTTATTGCTGTCACAGATCGTTCCAGACACTTCTGCTCGCACAGTTTGTTGTTGTTGTGAATCAGCTTGTGTGCCTGTGAGATTTCGGAGAGCTTTCCGTGCGTTTCGTCATGTCCCCGTGACACCATGTCGAGCCAGGAAAAGGAGGGTAGCAAACTCCAGGTTAAAAAGTCAGGAGATGAGGTTTGAGTTCGGTTTACGGCGTCTAAAAACATCAGTCATAAATATCTGATATCTGGGGGATAAGCCTCGATTTAGCAGTGCGTATGCATGAGGCGGTGGTTAAGTCAGAGTATGTTTTATACAGTATTGTATCTGAATCTTTCATGATCACCTCGGCGCAGTGTTATGTAACAGCCTGCTGTAGAGCGTCCTGATGTGTTACAGCAGCCATTACTAATTCAGAATCTAGCTGAGGGGAAAAGCTGCATGAACTTCTAATTTTGCACAGATCCCAGGACAGGAAGGCAGAAAACACGGCTGCTTTAAAAACCTTTAATCCTCCTGAGTTTTACAGATTCAACACTTTTTATTCAGGGTGCACGTTAGAGGTACTTTCAGTGTACTTGTGTAAAAAAAAAATTAAAATGTACAGTTTGGAAATCGTTTAAAAACAGATGTTTAAGTGAAAATTGAAAGGTCGAGACAGGGACGAGGGCGAAACATTGAAAATGTTACGTAATACTAAAAGAAAACCACATGTAGGAACATCCTCACTTAATAAGATTAATGTGCAACAAATCAGAAACATGACTCAGTATCAGAGACCGAGTCCTTCAGAAGTGGAAACAGACTGTGAGAGACTGCGTTAAAAAGTAGATCCACAGTTTCAGAATATTAAGATTTCATCATCTGAACAATTGCAGAAAATCCAGAAAGAGGTTGAGACTAAAAAACCTCAACGGGACAACTGTTATCTTTGGTTCTTTGGCAGCATCATGCTTTTAACAGACTTGACTTTGTAGTGGAAATCACAGCAGACCTGTTTTAAAAAATTGCATTTTTATATAATTGTGTTTTCACAGAAGTTGTTGTTTGTGGGAGAAACTAAGTTTATCATCTTGATTGGAGAAATCTGAGAGATTCACGCTTTTTGTATCCAAGAGGCCAAAACCTCACGACATGTCCTCAGTTTGCTCTGCATCCTGCAGTATCTGACTGTATGCGGACTTTCCTGAACACCTTTGAATATTTACACCCAGGGCATGAATATTAACGCCAGCCGAGCAAAGTTATTCCTCAGCTGTTGAAGAACTCGTCCTCAGGGTTTTCAAAGAGTGGCTTACATCACCAGGTGACGCACACAGACTCGTGTTTCACTCATCAAGAAGAAGAAGAATAAGAAGCGGTCTTAGAGGTTCAGATGTAGACCTCTGAAAGAAAAGATCAGACCTTTATTGATATAACACCACTAGACAACAAAACTAGCAGAAAGATGCGACGTAAAGATAAGTGGATCAGATTGAGCCTCATCCTGTAAGATCAGACCCACTTTGCAGCATTTAGAGAGAAAGAACTTCCTTTAACAGGCAGAAACCTCGAGCAGGAACAGACTTGAGATGACTTTGGAGTTAGAGAGGGGATAGAGGGAGATGGACCCAGACAAGATCAGATCAGACCCACTTTGCAGCATGTAGAGAGGAAGAAGCTCCCTTGACAGGCAGAAACCTCGAGCAGGACCAGACTCTTTTTAGACAGTCATCTGCTGAGATGGCTTTGGCATTAGAGAGTGACTAGAGGGAGATGGACAGAGAGAAGATCAGATCAGACCCACTTTGCAGCATTTAGAGAGAAAGAACTTCCCTTAACAGGCAGAAACCTCGAGCAGGACCAGACTGTTTTAGACAGTGAGACAGGTTTGTAGATAGAGAGCGGCTAGAGGGAGATGGACCAAGACAAGATTAGATCAGACCAGACCCACTTTGCAGGATTTAGAGGGTTAAAGGGTAGAGGAAGAAGTTCCTTTAACAGGCAGAAACTTTGAGCAGGACCAGACTCTTTTTAGACAGTCATCTGCTGAGTTTGCTTTGGATTTAGAGAGGGGATAGACGGATATGAACCAAAACAGGATTAGATCAGACCCACTTTGCCGCATTAAGCGAGGACCAGACTGATGTCAGACAGTCATCTGCTGAGATGGCTTTTAAGTCAGAAAGGGAACAAACAACAACAATAGTGTACAGACGCATGCTTACAATGCCAGAGATGATTGAAAATTAGCTCCGTAACTGTGTTGAAAACAGTGAAACTGATCCTTGTAGTTTTGTTTCTCATCCTTCTCTAACTTTAAATCCAAGAAACAGAAAGCCTGAATATTTCTAACTCTTCTTATCACCTCATTGACATGTTGCTCAAACTTAATTAAAAATTTGGTGTGGAAATTCAGTCAGTGATTGATCAGTACAACTTAGGTCTGAAAAGAATCCAGCAGGTCTAGAAATTACAGAAAGGATTGTAACCGGCTGAAAAACTCAATGCATGTCTCGGTGAATGGCGTGCAAATTACTGTAATTACGGCTTCATCGTTTTTTTTCCCTTTTCTTTTTCAAACCTGAAATGTCTCAGGAAGCCCGCTGAGTCCCCGTGCGACTTATCTCTGCAGCAGTAAAGGTCAGCTGTACGCGAGGGGAAGGAGCGCTTGTCAGAGAGGGTGTTAGGCGACGTGAAATCTTGGCATTTGGTAAAGAAATACTGACCTAACTGAGTCGAAGATAACCAACACGGTACTGTGATTAGAATTCATCTGCGGATCTGTCACTTTTGCACTTCGCCGCATGGTTCTTGAGCTTTCCGTCAGGAGCAACACCTGCAATTCAAGCTGCTTTGATACTAAGTAAACCGACATATAGGCCGACCCGGCACAGGTCACTGTAGAGCGAGTTTTGGGGGGTGGTCAAATTGCAAGAAATGTGACCCCCAGCTACTGCTCTGAAAACCCACCACTCTCTCCCTGCACGCCGTTTGGTGCCACAGCCAAGTGCGTTAAGGACCCAGGGGAACGGTTTTGACGACTCATCGTGGCACTCTGCCCGGGTCTTGTGTCACTCCAAGGGTTGACACCGAGTTGGGGCCAAGGGATTGCACTCTTGGCTTTGCGCACTCGGACTCCTGGATGGGTTTGTTTTTTATCAGGGAACAGATCAAGAGTTAAAGTCACTCGAGACTGAAAACAGCAAACGCTTACTCACTCTTACACACCTTGTGATACTTGATATGAGGAAAAAAAGGGGATCAAGTATGGATCCTTGAGGTACGCCACAAGTTATTTGTACGGTGGGAGACTTGAATGGTTTGTTTTTGTCACAGAAGATGTTCAGATAGACGTAGAGAGTGCGAAAGTAGACGGAGACCACGAGAGAAACCTCCTGAAAACAGAAATGGGAGAAGTTTGAGCGAGCGTGTAAACTGGCGTGTCGTGTGTCCTCTTCCATTCATCATCTGCCCGGCCGTCCCTCCCTCCTCCCTCCACTTTCCACGCCCATTTCTATATGTAACAGATCTTCGCCTTCTTTCTGCACACAACATGCTTTCTTACCCATCCTTATATAGCTGTGGGAGTCCATGCTTTGCTGGACACAGCGAGCACCAACAACCTCTTATAAATACCCCCAGAGTTACAAATATGGCCGTGTCCTGCTGTACAGGGAGGGGGGCAATATAGGGAAGAGCTTTGAGGATTAGCCGTGTCGAATTTTCTTCAAACTGCAAACTTTGTTGTTAAATTTCTGGCTCTCCAGGGAAGTTTCTTCTATTTTGCTGTGATTTTTTTTTATTTTTATGTTTTTGTAAGAGAAACCTTGACTTTGGTTCTTGTGCGGGTTATCTTTAAAGAAGCGAAAATGCATCAGAAACGGAGCTGTAGAAGTATTTTATTATCTCTGATGTCAAAATGTTGTTTTGGTTGCACAGAATTTTTTAAAATAAAAAAGTCTCCATAATTTTGCTTCCATGCAGTGATTGAAAATGTTTGCAAACAACACCTTCAATGTTGTCTACTTTTTTGTATTTAGTCCTATTCATAATCACTGATAATTGCCTTAACTTGTTGTGATGCAGAATTTGACTTTGAGGCTCTATAAAGCAAAAAAAAAAAAAAAAAAAAAACAACATCTTGATTCAAACTTAATATCCAAATCAAATCTCTAGATCTAATGGAAATTTTAAAAAAGCCTAAAATGTGAGTTTAATGTCTAATTTGAAAGAAACAAGTGTAGAAGATTGGGTTGTATTTGTAAATTATAACTGTAGGAATCCAAGAAACAGCTTATTATTTGGCTACCAACTAAATTTATCAACAAAATGACACTAAATTTCGGTTTTTGGAAGTTTTTTCTTTTGCTTAGATTTCATAGCACCTCCATGAATTTATCGCTTCCTTAAGGAACTTTTGATTTGTGATGATTGTGGCGCCCCCTGCAGATATATACCTTCAACACGCAGAGTTTTGATCATTTATTGTGATATAAAGCTAATTTTTTTTAGCAGATCTTTTGATACCGACCCCTTTGCGCCACAAAATAACTGTAAATAATTAGTCAGCCTTGTTTCTGGTGATCTTGTTGGCATGAATTTCACTTGGCATGAACAGGCAGATTTGATTTGTCCTGGACTACTTCCTGTGGATTGATTTTATACGATGTGTGGGATCAAAACTCTTCCGATACCCATCCAGCTTTTGCATGAATTTTCACTGCTTGTTAAAGTTGTTTGGAGTGTTATAGATCTCCCTGTGTTTTATCATCACGTTCAATATCACTGTTTTGAGTTTGGACCTATTTTTTCTCCTGTGAAGGCCACTCGGAATTGTTGTAAACCTGGAGGCTGTGACTATTGTGCTTTGCCCTAAAGCGTTACCTCTTCTTGCAGTTGGCAACAATTCAAGCGACAAATATCTTGCAGGTATGTCAAGGTCTGCCTTTTTGTGTCTGTGAAGCTCGGCTGTGAAAACAAAGATCCTCCTGCTGCTGCGGTATCTGCTGATTGTTCTGGTCCACTCCTTGACTGCAGTTTGGTCAACAACAAAAAAAGAGACGAAATTAGACAAAACGGAGAAGGTGCAACAGACCGGTGGAGACTGAACTGCTTTCAAAGCGGCTTTGGCTGTGCCAGAGTCTGTAATTGATTGTATCTTTGTATGCCACAGTGAACAGACTGAGAGACAAAGTGAATACTGGATGAAAAAGGCTGCTTTCTAATCTATTAATCAAGCTTTAACATTTACATCCATTCACCTTTCTTCCTTTTTGTTGAAGCGAAAAGATCACGCCAAAAAAATCGACTTTTTACGTATCAGTGACGGCTCATAGTACGAGTTTCATTCTTTGGAAGTTTGATAAATGCACCCAAGGCGTTCAAAAACAAGCGCACAACCACGCTAACAGAGAGCGCATTAACAGTTAGCAAAGCTACGCTATTGCTAAGCTAAGCTGGGTATATGCTAGCCTAGTCGGTGTAAGATCGAATGTGTTTGCTAAGCACATAAATCAATTAGAACAACACTCGTAAGAAATTAAGAGGCGAAAATGATAGATAATTAATTTTCAGCTTACAGAGGCTAGTTTGCTAGCTAGCGGCTAATTATGAGAATTTCTCTAGTTAAGTTTTTAGAAATACGAACCGGGCCTTCAAAACTAGTAAAACTGAAATTGTGATTTGGTGAAATTACCCAAAAACAGAAAAAAAGTTTGACTCTAAACATAGATCTCCACAAACTAGCTTTCACACGGTGATTATCTGGTGTTAAAAAATCCACACCCAGTCCAATCATGTTTTCTGGACTCTTGGAGCCAAAGGAATGGATGGCATGAAGGATTGCCAAATGAGGATCAAACTTGGCACACTCTATAAAACTGCACAGGCTTCTTGTGTAGTTGCTTTGCAGGGGTTTGGCCGTTTATGATTGTTATCCATTTTGCAATGCTGCTTTGCAAGCTGCCACATTTAGCTTTTGAGTCACTTGATACAAACTATAACCTTACAGTGAAAGGGGCAGACATGCTTTGATGCTCTGCTGGTGCTACATGGATCGCTAGAGCGCTAAAACTGGGGAGCGACTAGAGAGAAATAGGAATGGAATTGTCAAGAGCAGAAATTAATGGACAAGAGTAGATTTTTTGTTGAAGTATTAAAGTTAAAAATAGATGTTTGTTTCAATTTGTAAAAGTACAAGATATTTTATTGTCCTGCTCCTGATGTCAGCTTAATAAAATCTAACAAAACAGCGGAAACATAAATAAAACAGTTTTATCACAACATCAGAAACTTTAAAAGACGTTATTTTTGCATTTCAAAAATTTTAGCACATTTTTACCGTCACAAAATTTCACATCTATAAATGCTTATAAAATGTTTGTACATCTGTTCATGCACAAAGTTAATTCTAGAATTTTTTTGCACATTCTAGAATTTTTTTTCCCATCTGTTATCACATTCAAAAATTTTACGCATCATTTCTGTAACTTTTTTGCACATGGACTATTGTCGAGTCTTGTATTACACATAGAAAAACTTAAGCTGTTTATTACTTTTCAGGAATTTTGCACGTGTAAACGAACATTGGTTAAACTGGTTAACTCTATGTGAAAAATTTTGCACATTTGAAAAATTTGCCTATCATCACACTTGAACCTCTTTGATTTCACATTCAAATTTGCAAATTCATTTTCGCATCACAAAACTTAAAGAAACAGTAGCAACTAGATAAAACAGTTTTATCACTACATCAGAAACTTTAAAAAACATTATTTTTGCATTTAAAAAATTTTAGCACATTTTTACCATCACAAAATTTCACATCTATAATTGCATATTGCACAAAGTTAATTCTAGAATTTCTCTTGCACATGCATTTTTGCCACATTCAAAAATTTTACGCATCATTTTTGTAGCTTTTTTTGCACATGGAATATTGTCAAGTCTTGTATTGCACATAGAAAACTTGAGCTGTTTATTACTTCTCAGGAATTTTGCACGTGTAAACAAACATGGTAAACTCTATGTGATAAATTTTGCACATTTTAAAAATTTGCCCATCTCTCATCACACTTGAACATCTTTGATTTCACTTTCAAATTTGCACATTTATTTTCGTACACAAAAATTTTGCACATCTTTATTTGCAACTTAAGCTTTTACACTATTTTTACTCAATGAGGGGTGGTAGTGACTTGTGAATAAATTTACAGTCAGTGTGTTTGCGCATGTATGCGGCAGCTTTTCCCGTGAGCTCCTCGCCTTTCCAGCCACACCTGTCGCAGCGTCTCTTCCCCCTTGACATAGTTGGCTCAAGTTCTGCCCCTCTTGTTCTTCTGGAAACCCTGCTGTCCCCGCTCTTCTCGCTCTGGCTATGAGGGCTGTCAATTGTTGGCTTCAGTTTCACTCCGATTTAGAAAGTGCAAGGCAGCAACCCAGCGCTTTTTGCTTTCAAGGCTTTGGGATGAATATGAAATGTCAGGGGGGTGATTTGCATAAATGAAACAGAAAGTTTTATTCTGATAGAAGTTGAAATGAGGGAACTTCTGCGATCAGAAGAACTCAACACAACTTTCTTTGTATCTCCCTTACTTCCCTTTCTTGTCCCGTCTCTTTCACTCTTTTCTGTCTCGGCTTCTCTCTTTATTTTTCTCTCTCTTTTCCTGTCTCTGTCTCTCCATCCAGCTCGCGGCCCAAGTGCTGGACGATCTTGACGATGAGGACATTGGATTCGGCCTGGTGGATGAAAAGAACGGCGCCGCTGTTGCCAAGAAGCTGGGTACGCTTGCCAGTCACTCACAGAGACCTTACTGGTGGAAACATTAGGAGGGGAAAAAAGCGTTGGCTTGGTTTGAATCGTCTGTTTCTATCAAGTCTCCCTCTTTTCTCATGGCCTTTCCTGGAAGTTTGAACCCCTGCATTGAACAAATTGGCTAATGCAACAGTTTGTCTTGAGTTTCGGGCAACATTTTACTGCAGTTATAAACACAAACTGTCTTTAAAGCTCCTGTGAGAGTTTTTATCTGGTTACATAACGGGCTTGAATTAATACTGATGCCTCTTAATGATGTTATATACGTTAACTGAAACTATGAGTGAGTGTGGGGGGTAGGTGTCAGTCAAGCCAATGCTGCTGTTTTTACATTTACATTTTTACATGTTTAACAGAGGGCACAGGGGGTGCCAAAATCAACACAAATGGAAAGTTCCTCCCAGGAGCTTTAATAATAATAATGATGATGGTGATAATAATAATTGATAATAATAATGATAATAATAATAATAATAATAATAATAATTGATAATAATGATAATAATAAAATAATAATGGTAATAATAATAATATTAATAACAATAATAATGACGATAATAATAATGATAATAATAAAAATAACAATAATAACGACAATAATATTAATAATGATAATAATAATTATAATAATGACAACAATAATAATGGTAATAATAATATTAATAACAATAATTATAATGATAATAATAATAATACGACAACAATAATAATAATATAATAATAATAACAATAATAATAATATGTAGAATAATAATCATCATCATTGTCATCATCATAATAACAATAATAACAACAGTAATACTTATAATAATAATGACAGTAATAATAATAATAATAATAATAATAATAATAATAATAATAGTAATAATGATAATAATAATGACAATAATAATAATAATAATAGTAATAATGATAATAATAATGACAATAATAATAATAATGACAATAATAATAATAATAATAATATTTTTTTATTATTAACTTTATTCATAAGCACCTTTCAGGTGCTCAAGTTTACCTTACTGAACAATTAAAATGACAAATAAAATACACATCGACGCATCAAAAAGTTTTACATAAAATTTTTAAATCTTGTCTCTGAGTCTGAGTAGGCCTGTCTAAAATAATGTGTCTTGAGATGGGATTTGGAAATGGACAATGAGTCAATGTAAGTGTAATCCGTTATTGTTTTAAGGGGGTTATAATTAGCAACCGGTGTGTGTTCATACTTTTGTGGGAAATCAAATCCTGCTAAAACTTGAAACTGGGCTTTAAAAAAACATGTAGATGAATGTTAATCTCACTGAAAATGTCCTCCACTGTGATTTCAGAAGGTTTTATCTAGTCTTAGTATCAAATGTGTGTTTTTCATACAGTTTAAATGTTGTACAGCTCAGGGTGGGTGTTTTCAGCCTGATGTAGTGTAGTCTATAAATAAAGCAACTCTGCCCTCAAGTGTTGAGCAAAGATATTACAGCTTCTCTGCACCAGCAGTTCTGTAATGACCCACAAATTCAGCAGAAAATATTCATCCCAATATATCACAGAAAAGCCATTTATGAGTTTTAATATGAAAGAAAATACAGATGATACATTTACAAGCCTATTTATAACACATATCAGAGTTCCTCTTTTGCTGTATGTGAGATTGCAGAAAGTGATACTTGCAATCACTCTCAAATCGATTACTCTTTACCTCCTCAAAGTGACACTGGTATGACCTCTTTCCCACCAGGTCTGGATGAGGTGGAGAGCATCTACATCTTCGCCGACAATGAGATCATTGAGTACGATGGAGAGCTGGCTGCAGACACCCTGGTTGAGTTCCTCTATGATGTAAGTCATATATGAGAGGAGGCCGGGGTCGGATTCTGACTGTGAGGGGCTCAGGCAGGGGTTACAAAATATTCAAAAAGAACAAGCACAGAGAAAGTTGTGCAGCATTCATTAGGGAATTTCAAAAACAATCTTGAGTGATGTACAACTAAAACACTTTCGATCTCACTTCTGGGGGTGTTACCATTCTGAAGCAAACTGCAGAAAACAACATCTTTTAATTATCCATCCTCATTTCCCGTCAGGTGATTGAGGACCCCGTGGAGATCATCGACAACGAGCGTGAGCTGAAGGGTTTCCACAACATGGATGAGGTCATCAAGCTGGTCGGCTATTTCAAGAGCGAGAAATCCCCCCGTAGGTTGAAGATGGCGGTTAAAAAAGCTGAGCTGTAAAAAGAGAGTGCCGTCATGAATTTCAGTAATGAAGTTTTATTTACGTTGCCTCTTTAGACTACATCGAGTATGATGACGCCGCAGAGGAGTTCCACCCCTTCGTCAAGTTCTTCGCCACATTTGACCCCAAGGTTAAAACTTTTGGATTCATATATTATTATTTATAAATTCATACACTGGTAGGAAACGTTTGAAACAGCATTTTAAGATATATAATCTTTCTGATTTTGATTCTCTTCACATTATTTCAGATCGCCAAGAAGCTGAAGCTGAAGATAAATGAAGTTGATTTCTACGAGCCGTTCATGGAGGAACCCGTCACCATTCCAGGAAAGCCGTACATCGAGTCCGAGCTCGTTGAATACATCGAACAGCACGACAGGTGAGACCCTGTTTCAGATCTTTAAACACTGAGAATATTCATGGTTACCTGCTTAAAAACGAGCAGTTTATCATATTGAATAAACTTTGAATGCTTTTCTCCCTCGTTACCAGTCGAAGTTTATTCATATCGCGCCGATTTACAGCAAGTGTTATCCCAAGATACTTAAAAAAGCTGGTCTAGACCAGACTCTATTTAAAACTTCTGCAGCAGCGATCTACAGGAAACTACGGCATGATGGAGACCGCCAGATAAAAGAGAGATCGTAGTCATACATACAGAGGAAACACTGGTAGAGCATCCAGTAGAAACACCTCGTGGAGGTTTGGTTTGTTCAAGAAGACGCCTCAGTTTAATGGAGAGTGTGGCGAATTGGTCCCTCTGTACCTCCCAACTATCAGCGCCACCAACGATTACAACTGGTGCAAAGAAGAAGAAACTACACGTCTGCATAAAAAAGGCACATTTCTGACTGCAATGGAAGTCTTTATACTTGAACACACTTTAAAATATATCGATGTGACTTATACTACTGCTATACTACATTATTGTAATCGTTATCAAGGCTTAAAGGACTGAGCAGGCACTTTGGCAACCGCCATTCTGACATCCCGCCATCCCGCCATCCCGACATTGGTCTCTAATTGTCGGAGAGGCGGTATGATACCATGCTATCAAATGTCCCGTCATTCCGACAGTTCTCGTCTGCCAAGGTTGGCCGCGGATCCCTCTGCGCGGGTTTGGCGCAGGGTGCACCCAGTTGCGCTCGGGATTAAATGACGGACTCTAGATGTGAATGCGCACCCGCCCCCCCTTCCCCCTTATATGGAAAGCTGCGTCGGAATGCTGAGATGTCGGAGCGGCAGCATGTAACCACTTTGGTCAGCTCGCAGTACATTAAGTGAACTATCAAAATAAAACAATCTGAGTTTTTGTCGATATGTTTTAGACCCACCCTGAGGAAGCTCGAGCCTCACAGCATGTACGAGATCTGGGTAAGACACTTTTCTTCTTAAAATCTTAGAATGAAACTTGAGTTACCTTATTTATTTCTTTGAAAAATTATCAATGTGTAATAATAATAAAAAAGTTTTATTCCCTGTTTTCGGTCCACAGGAAGATGACATCGATGGCGAGCACATTGTTGCCTTCGCCGAGGAGGATGACCCAGGTAAACGTTCACTTTGGCAGCTCTTATTCGTAATCTCAACTCTTGCATTGTTCACATAATGGAAGATGCGTTGGTGTTAGTACAAAGCACAGAAACGATCATTTGAACTTTTCCTCAGACGGTTTTGAATTCCTGGAAATCCTGAAGGAGGTGGCCCGTGAGAACACTGACAACCCCAACCTCAGCATCATCTGGATCGACCCCGACAATTTCCCCCTGGTATGAAAACCCCACACAAAAACCGCGTTTCAGTAAGCAGTCACAGAATCGGTCGATTGATTGTCCAAGTGAGGCCTTCAGTTATGTTTCAACCTGATCTTACTGCTGTTTTTGTTCTCTCCTATGTTTGGAATTAAAACCTAAAAAATGTCAAATGGTCTCCACAAATTAAGTCCTCCTCTGTGTCTATATCCTCATCCAGCTGGTGCCCTACTGGGAGAAGACCTTCCACATCGACCTGGGCTCTCCTCAGATTGGCGTGGTTGACGTTGAAGATGTAAGCAGCCTTTCTGTTCACAAACATATAAAAAAAAGATGCGTATTACTACCGCAAATACGGTAAAATAGATATAGAAGTCAATCTGAGATGCCAGGGCTGACTTCAGCATTCGTGAAAACTTTTTCTTTGGGTTTAACAAACTTTTTTGATGAATTCTAAGTTCTTCGCGTTCGTCTCCTCGACAGGCCGACAGCGTGTGGATGGAAATGGATGATGATGACGACATGCCCACGGCTGATGAGCTAGAGCAGTGGATCGAAGATGTTCTGTCAGGAAAGATCGACCCAGATGATGATGATGATGACGATGATGAGGATGACGATGATGACGACGATGATGATGACGATGATGACGATGACGACGATGATGACGATGATGATGACGATGATGACGATGATGATGATGATGATGACGACGACGACGATGATGATGATGATGATGACGATGATGATGACGATGACGACGACGATGATGAATAAATGCTAACATCTTTAACATCCGTTTTGTGAAGCCAGTAATGGCAAAACCTCAACGAAGCACCACTGTTTTTTTTACATCTCACGGCAAACACACTTTTTGTTTGTTTGCTTCCTGTACGGTTTCCTGCAAGGGACAAAAGTAATGAACCTATGGGAACCATCAACCGTCAGATATTTAATGAAACGGGGGCGTTTGTGGCCCTGCTGATGAACAGGGTTGCAGGATTCTTCTGTTACTGTATTAAAGTAGTCTGACTTCTCATTTTCAAGTTTCACAATGACAGCGCACCACAACACTACGAGGGGTTAACTTCGTAATTTTACAGGTCAGGGTTCACCCCTTTCACAGTTCCTCTTTTAACTAACCACCATTATACTGTTTCAATGACACGTTTTCTACTTGATAAAGAGGAGAAACAATCTAATCTTGTGCTATTTTTAAGGAAAATTTACCTTAATTCACTAGACAGTCTTAAGATCACGATTACAATCTTACAGAACTTAAGTATCAGAGAATAAAGATTTCCTATTGTTTCTGCTCTCACATTAAAAAACTACGACAAAAATGAAAAAAAAATTAAGCTCTTGGTTTTTGTCGTTACTGCCGTGTTTTTTCTGCTTGTGTGTGAGTGTTTGGTGTCGGACTGAATCTGTAGAGCTGAGTATCTAGTGAAAAAATGCAACATCTAGAAAAGCACTCGGACAGCGCAGAGTTCCGTCAAGCAGCTCATGTCCCCCCTTAAACAAAAAATGCCCTGACCAGGATTCAAACCCAGGACCTTCTGGTTGTGAGGCAACAGTGCTAACCACTACACCACTGTGCCACCTATCTACACCACTGTGCCACCCATTTGTTATCTTTCAGCATTGAAAATTCCAACAACACCCTTATTTTTGTGTGTTCTGGATCACAGTATCCAGAATTTTGTCCGGATCACCACCAAAATTTAATGGGATCCTCCTGGGGTTGAGACGCACCTCTGGTGAAAATCCATCTGTTACTTTCTCCGTAAAGTTGCTAACAGACAAACAAACCAATGCTACCGAAAACATAACCTCCTTGGCGGAGGTAATAACATCAGCTACACTAAAAGCAAAGCTGATGTGGCATCTGCTCTCCAATCAGCCAGACTTTTTTTTTTGGTCTTGGGTGGACTCAAATCTTGTCTACTTAAATCTTATTTATTTAAGCAGCTTAAATGTTTTATTCTTATTTATTTAAGTGTTTTCAGCTATTAAAAAAAACGCAAAAAGTTCAAAATAGCGACATTTACATGAGCATTAATGTTGGGTTGATTCTGGTGGTCCTTTTGAAGGCTGCAAACGCCATCAGCCACTGTTATGAAAATGTGTCTCTTGCCAAAGTGTGCATTTGTTGCCGTAACATGTGTAATACAGTACTTCTTTATGCTTTTGCAGAGAGATTAGGCACTGCATTTATTTGTTGCCATAGCGATTAACAATAGAAATTGAGAGATGGACAGAGATAAGGCTGATACACGTCAATGAAGCAGCCGGAAAGCAGGCAGTCTAACCCCCAATTTCCACCGCATCTGGAACGGCTTTGAAAAGGCCGTGTCCGCCGATCGCAGCTGATCGTAACCATTTAAGTCAGTGTGTCAATTTCCACCGGCTTCTTTCCGTTCCATGCGGATCAGCGAACTCCGCGGCCAATCCCAAGGGTTCTATTTTTCTGCATGCCGCACAACTTCCGCACTGATTAGTCTGTGCTGGGAAGGAAGACACAAACTAAACTTCCGGCTTCTTTTCAAAATAAAACCGTGTTTCAGGAGGATCATATTTCACACCATGCAAACGGGCGGGGACGAACCAGTGAAAGGTTTATAGACGTCATTTCACCCCGATGACCCCATGGATGAGGAGATGCTGATTCTAGAGGTCAAGAAGTAGATTTCCTCCTCTGGAAGGACACAATCTACTGCTTATATGGTTATGTGGCTGTCTTTGTAGAGACGACTCGTTATCGCGCCACTGCAGTGAATCCATGGGTTCTTGTGAGTTCTCACGGTTCCTGCTGTCCGAAATCCCCCATGAAATTCGCCTCACAAACAGATCTGGTAGGAATTGGCAGACACGAAAATTTCCGCCGTTCTGGAAGCGGTGAAAATTGGGGGTAATCCTAACCTTAAGAGTAAAGGGGTCAATTCACACAGCCAACCAAAGTCATTAAAGGTTGAGAGAACTGATGAAATATCTATGAGTGAACTCTAATGAAGAGTTTACCGACTATCTTTGGAGAGTTCGCCTTTTTCTTGATGAGACAAGGGAAAAAAATGGCTCTCAAGGGAAGCAAAAGCCACACATAATGACAGAGCGTTGTCATAACTTCCTCTGAAGTTGATGCTTTTACTTTCACTAAGAGCGAAAGCATGTTTAAATGTCACAGGTCACTACTGGTCAGAGGATATAAAAGCTGCCTGACACAAACCTCTTCAACATAGTGAGGAGGAGACCTAGACTCTCTTAGACTCTGTTGTGAGACCGCCGAAATTTCAAGATTTCATCCGAAGCCGAATCTCTTCCACTGCAATCATGTGCTGTGAGCTTGGCGCCCTGAAAGAAAAGCTGGCAGCGTTGGAGGCCCGGCTGCAGGACGGCGAAAAAAAGATTGAAGCACTGCAGAACAAAGGTAGAGTCAAAATGATGCGTTTGAAGAGTCGAATGAATGAGGCGTGTAACAGAAGTGTTCAGTGGAAATGTTTTTGCTTTGCACAGAGAGGAAAACGGTGGTTTTCACTGCGGAGGCCGGACCGAGAGGGGATATCGGACCGTTTAACTCCGAGACGACCCTCGTCTACCAGAAAGTGATTACAAATGTTGGAAATGCTTACAATTCATCCACTGGTAAGGCCATCACAGAAGACTAGCGGTACTTTTTCATCAGATTATTTTAATCTCTAACAGAATCCTAGGAAGCGTACATTTACAGTCAGATCAAATTAGATATCTACATTATGCACTTTGAAGGGATATTCCAGTGTAAAAATAAGTTAGGGTCAAACACCGAGTTAGACACCCCGTCGAGAGATGAATGTTTCTTACCGCTTGCTTCTCTAGTTATACCAACTTTAGTAACGACCACAAGATAGCAATACAGAGAGCGACGCGCTCAACCGAAACGCCACAAATAATGCTCAGAGCAGCACCAACAGTACATATAGGGTCCCAGCCATAGTACTAGCCACCAAACAAATTTTTGACTATGCCCAATTTCTTTAGCAAAGAGTCTAAAGACAACTCACCCACTCTCTTCCAGCAGCCACTTGTTTGTAACAAGACCTCGGACCAATCCATTACAGACTACAGCGGGGTGACACAGCTCAAGGAAGAACATTTATGATAATTTCTTCATGATAATACAATCAAACTGAGACACTAAGGCAGAAGAACTACTGCGTCTGCAGTGCGAAATGATTAATATGGTGATTATTACTTCAAGGAAATGATAAAGAAATGTTAGTAAATGTTCTTCCTTGAGCTGTGAAACCCCGCTGTAGTCCGGAATGGACTGGCCTGAGGTCTCGCTACAAACAAGCGGCTGCTGGAAGAGAGTGGGTGAGTTGTGTTTAGTTTCTTTGCTAAAGAATATTAGACAAAGCTAAAAAGATGTTTGGTGGCTAGAACTATGGCTGGGACCCTATATGTCCTGTTGATGAAGTTAGGTGCTGTTCTGATCATTATTTGTGGCGTTTCGGTTGAGCGCCTGGCTCTCTGTATTGCTGTTGTGAGATTGTTACTAAAGTTGGTATAACTAGAGAAGCAAGTGGTCGGCAACATTCGTCTCTTGAAGGGATGTCTAACTTGGTGTTATGATGTGTTTGACACCATAAATTAATTTTACGCCAGACTATCCCTTTAACACTTTTCTGTCACCCAACTTGAACACTGTCAGACAACCTCTAAACAAATAAACATGAATTGGCAATTCACCAACCTTAACCAGATACTTGCACATTATTTTTGTAATAGAATCAGAAAAAAAGTTGGAAAAGTTAACAAGGTCCTCCCTTTCAGGTGTCTTCACTGCACCTTATGCTGGAGTTTATTACTTCACCTTCTTCCAACATGCTGGAGGGCGGCCCGGGACATTGCTGTTTCTCTACAAGAACAACGAGCGCATGGTGCAGACCCAGGCTCACCCGGCAGTCAACGAGACAGCTCATAACGCGGGAAACGCCGTGTTCCTTCAGCTGCAGGTGGGCGACCGGGTCTACGTCCGCATGGATCCGAACTCGCACGTGTACGGCTCCGGGTACCACACGACCTTTAGTGGTTTCCTGGTGTGAGAAAGCAGTCTCTGTCTTAATGAAGTAATAATCTAATCTAAAACAGGGTCCTCTCTGTGAAGTCAAAGTAAAAATGCATTTAAAACTATGTGATCTGAATAAACACAAAAATGTTATTGAAATAAAGTGAATTCAAACTACATTTTTTTTATTGCGTATTATCTTAACTGCTTATGAAAGTGACAGAATTAAATTCTCATACCTCTTTATGAGCCATAAGACCGCTGACGTGAGAACTTAGGGTAATACTTTACAATAACCATAACTTATAAATGGTAAATAGACCATTTACAAATGGTAAGCAGATAGTTTACTAATGTTTAATCATCATTTATAAAGAGGATATAGACTGTTAATAAATTATAAATTTTACCATTTTAAAACCCTAACCCTAACTTTACAATAACCAGCTAAGTAGTAATAGTAATTTGAGTTCATTCTTAAAGTTGTTTGATTCTGTGATAGCTCTTATTTTTCTTGTTGATTAAGTAAGATATCAGCTCATAATCTAATTTTTTGGTTAAAGTATTCAAATATCCCGCAGTTAAGGCAGACCTTGAACGCCCCATGCCCAGTTGTCCCTGTATTGCGTGATTGACAGGCGTCACGAGCGAATCGCCAATCATTGTCAAGTTTAGGTGAGGAGTGGGACCTGTTAGTTTTTGGGAAGGCGGGGTTTTCATTTCGGTGAGAGAGAGCGGTGATTGACGGAGCGGAAAAATGCCGGCCAGCGATGCCGAGAGAAGGCGAAATAATAGTGTGGAAGTTTGTTCTTTCGTTGTTAAGTGTTAAATGAAAACCCAACGGGATTGAGGCTCGGTGTGTTGGATCGGGGCGGGGTTGTGTGGTTGTTGCGAGACGTGCGGGTGAGTGTCGTTGGTAGATTCGGCGAGGTTCGTAAATGTGCTATATGCTAAATTGTTAGCTGACTAGCATCGACTGTGCAGGAGCAGAGGAAGACTGGAGTCAGGATGCATGTGCGAGGTCGGGTGTTCATTTCAACTTCCTGAGTGAATATCAGATAGGCCTGTCACGATAACAAATTTTGCTGGATGATAATTGTGCTACTAATTATCGCCGATAAACGATATTATTGACACCCTTTTTTAAAATTATAGATAATGATAATATATGGCATATTAATGCGAGTACACCATGTCAAAAGCAATAAACTTTAATTGCTCAAGATTAAGAACTTTGAACTAGGATGAACAAATATATAAACAAACAAGACAACCAAAAAACAATGAAAACAAAATGGACCCAAATTGTCTCTGGTACGGTACAAAAACTTCACTCCACACATAACTATTAAAACAATAAATAAAGTGGAGTCTCGAGACTGTAAACAAAATTGCACTAAATAATTCACTTTGGGTGCTATTCCTCAACAGGCCAAAGAACATGCATGTGCACCTCAAGCACAATCATCCCCTCAGTAAGTAACTGAACAAAAGTCAGCCTGTGTAAGGTTAACCTCTGTTCCCTGATATGGACTGTTATGTGTGGCAAAACGTTGGCTTATTTGTCTAAAATATCAAAGGTTACCAAACAGTGAGTAAATACAGCCAATACTGTTTTCTTATTGCACAGTTCTGAGTGATGTCAAAAATTAACAGGTCACCTCTAAACACTGTAACAGCAGATGCAGGACCAAGAATAAACCACCAAAGAAGATGAATTTCTCCATTTTATTGTGTTTAACACTGTCCTGCAGCTTGATTTTGGCTCAGAGTGACATTCATAACCCTGAAACAGGAAAAACCACTGAAAAAGCGTCATGTTTTCCTTTGTGTGAGCTGCTAAAAGAGCTCAGTGCCATGAAGGAAAAACTGGGAATCATGGAAACCAGGCTGACGGAGAGTGAGAGCCAGATTCTTGTGATGAAGGAAAAAGGTCATACCGATTTTTATGCTCTTTTATTTCAAATTAGATTAAAGAAATTCAATTAATAGACGGATGACTATGGTTCGAAACATATGTGGTTTCAATAATGTGTGTGTCTGTTTTAGAAAAAAAAATGGAGTAGCATTCAGCGCAGCAACAGGAGGAGGTAATAAATCCATCGGACCCTTCAGCAGCGCCACAACTTTAACTTCAGGAAAGTCTTCACAAACATCTGCTTAATGATTCCAGACCTTGAATGAATCAAACACTTCCTTTTCCAGCACGCTGATTTACGGACACGTGTTCGCCAAAAAAGTACTCAGCTTTCCTGTAATGTAAACAATAAATTCAAACACCGTTTGTCAGCTGCAGACTTTCAAAGAGGAACCAGCAGTTTATAGTGACCCCCTTTTTGCACTGTACAGTCAGGTACCGTTTGTCTCCTTAAGCTAGCGACTCTTCCACTTAAGGTCAAAGTCAACTTTAAACAGCCATTACAAATTAAAGCACTGAAGCTGGCACAACTAGTCTTGGGTCTCACCTTGTACTTGTGTAATCTTTAACTTGGTTAATCATCCAGCTTCATCAATAACTAAAAATATTGATAGGTGGTAAATGACCTGATGCTGTGGATTAACAACTATGATGTTGATTAGGGTGCATGCTTGACATGAGGAGTTTCTTTCCTATTTTCAGATTCTTTTTTAAGCATCTCACTTAAGAGGATAAGACAGTGGACAGAGTAGAAAACCGGCAATTGCAAGCGGCAAAGGACCTTGAGTCAGATTTAAACCCACGGAGAAGCTTCTGTGTACTGGGTGTGCAAATTAACTCTGATCTACACTGGCACCCTGATTTGAGAAGGTTCTTTTTACATTTTTCAACGGACTTGGAAACCAAGGTGGCATCTTTGACACAACACCAAGCCATAGACCCTCAGAGCCACCGTTACAGCCTCGTGGCACAGGTATATCTTGGCAATAAGATTGGTTTTCTACAGAGTAGCTGTTTCAAAGGAACATGGCCTAAGAAAAACTGATGGAGAGAGGGTTGTGATGGTCACAGTGTTATCTATCAGGTATTTGATAACCATGTTTTCTGTTTTGTCCAATTTCTGTGAACTAGACAGAAATTATCTTTACATTATTTACATAACGGTTTTAAAAAAACTCAGTTAATGGATTGATTTTTGTCAAATCTGGTCACGGAGAATGAGGTGTAATTAAATGCTAATTTATAAGTAAGTAACTGAACAAAAGTCAGCCTGTGTATTGTTACCCTCTGTGCCCTGATATGGACTGTTATGTGTGGCAAAACGTTGGCTTATTTGTCTAAAATATCAAAGGTTACCAGACAGTGAGGAAATACAGCCAATACTGTTTTCTTATTGCACAATTCTGTGCGATGTCAAAAATTAACAGGTCACCTCTAAACACTGAACCAGCAGACGCTGGAGGGAGGACAGGGGGAGAAAACAAGAACAAGAGGGAGACAGGGGACAGCCATCAAAAATGTAACTTTTGCATATTTATGTGTCAGATAAGGTCCATATTATGTTCGTCTTATGTTGTAAATGTGAAAACAAACCGTTACGTCGTTTGCATTCTGTAAAGGTTTAAAATAAAGAAACGGGTAAACCAGGCCAATTGAAAAAGCAGGTCAATCTGATGTCGCGCTGATCTTGCTCATTATTATTCACGAGCGTGTCCTCGGTGAGTCGCGCCCACTCTCTCGTTCTCGTACTCAGTCACAGTCATCATCACTCTCCAGCCAGAGCGAGACCCAGCTACCACTGTACCTGCTATGGGTCTCTTCCAAACGACCGGTGTTTCCTTGGGTTCACTGCCGGGAAAATGAACTTAAAGCTGGGCAGAATGAATGAAAACACCGCTGGAGATCTCCGGCTTCTTCTTCAACTTCCACCTCCTCTTCGGACTCGGGGTCTAAAATATATGGTTTAATACCTGCCATTTTTAGCCTTTAGCAGAAGGTGACCAGACGTCCCCGATTTCCAGGGACAGTCCCCAAATTGGACGACCTGCCCCCGGCAAAAGCTGTCCCCGAAAATGTCCCCGATTTAAGCGTTTCATGAGCGAAAATGTTGCGTGTGGGCTCGAACAACGGTTATTACAGTAGCCGAATAGGCAGGAAGCACAAGTTAGCAGTCCTGAACAACAGTTCTTACGGGGGTTATTACAAGAGCATGTGCTGCTACTAAATAGCACTGAGATGTTGTCTGTGATCACACAGCCCCCCCGCTGCCACACCAATTGTCCCTGGATTTCATTACAGACATCTGGTCACCTTACTTTAGCACACATTAGCAAAATGGATGTACCCAAATCAGAAGCTCTATACTAAAATAGTTTGAAACAAACCATCAAATAACTTTTCAGCTAAAATTATGTTGCAAACATGATTAGAGGACATCAAGGATTATGAAAAAATGATGGCAGGTCCCCTTTAAAACAACCGCAACATAAAAACAACAGCTCATACGTAGTTGCAGAGCTGCAAGTAATGATGAAATAATGAGTTTAAATCTGTTTTGGACCTTTGATTTTTGGCAGTTACTTTTGGCTTTATTTATTTATTACTCACTCATTAAACTTGTTAAAAGTTTCTTACATAAAGGTTCAGAAATCACACTTCTGATTGGAGGACAAAATGCTACAGGTTACCATGAAATACTATTTAACAGGCCAGGAGGGTCTCAGCAGTCACAGCTGGGGAGTCTTGTTCCTAAAACAACTTGAAAGATGAATTTCAACATCTTGTTTGGTTTCTGCTTGCTCTTCTGTGTCTCAACTTTAGCCCAGGATGGCGGCAGTGTTTCTCCTGCAGATCTGCAGAGGGCAGTTGGTGCAGTGACAGACAAAGTCAAAGCTGTGGAGGCCAAGCTGCAGGACACTCAAACCAGGCTGCAGGAAAGTGAGAACCAGATCAAGGAATTAAAGAAAAAAGGTAAAGTGACATACTGAGACTATGAAGAAGAAATTGTGATTAATTTTTGTAGTTGAGAGAACAATGTTTGGTTTAACATTAGTGGAACATGATCTTTGTCCAGTCACCTGTAATTAAAGTAGGAGAAAACTTTTGAGGTCTAAATGTTGACAGTGAGTCGTGTAGAAATCCAGCATACCAGGTCATCTGACTCAGTGACATGTTGAAGATTAACAACAAAAGTTTATGGTGATATCAACCTTGGCCGATACCGACATGATGCTGATCTACTGTTTAATCAACAGCAGATCTTGATTTATTGATACAATGATGTTTTATTGGACACAGAGGACACTAAAGTGGTATTCAGCGCTGCATCAGGAGGACCAGGATCAGGCGAAAACCTTGGACCATTCAACACAGACACAACTGTGATCTTCAAGAGAGTGATTACAAACATGGGCGACGCCTACAATGTAGCCACAGGTAATTACACTAGACTTCAACTGTAAGTTCAACTCATTACTGCAGCTCATGAAGAGCTAAATAAAACTGATTGAAAACACCTCCTTTCTTCAGTGGAATAAATTCTTTTAAAGGTGAGGACTATAGATCTGTGATCACCCTGTTGTGTCCACAGGTATCTTCACTGCACCTGTAGCTGGTGTGTATTACTTTAGCATGTTCTTACATGCTGGAGGAAGCAGTACAGCGGGAATGCATCTGTACAAGAACACCGAGGTGATGCTTCACGTCTATGATCATGCATCAACTGCTGACACAGCTGATAATGGAGGAAACGCAGGATTCCTTCAGCTGCAGCCAGGAGACCAGGTGTACGTGCGACTTCCTGCAAATTCTCATCTTTGGGTAAACGACCACGTCACCACTTTTAATGGATTTTTAGTCCATCAGGTGTGAAATGGATCTGTTGGTTGTCTTTTTCCATTCTAATGAAAATGAAATAAAGACGTAAACAGACAAATATTTAAGCGTCATTTGTTTTCTGTCTACATGAACTGTTATTAATTTAACAAGCAGTTTGTTTAAACTATTCAACAGCCATAACAACAACTAAACAGCTTTAACCAACTTTTCACTCTCAGATTCAGGTCAGTGAGTTTAACCTGGCCTAGATTAATCCACGGTAACTTCTAAGTAAAAGAAAAAAAGATTGTAACGTTGGGTCCTGATCCAGATAATAGAGTCCAGATCTGGGCTGCAGTCTGCCCACCTCAATTGCTTCCTAGTTGCCAATCCACTGAGCTGAGAAGTTGAACAACAGAGTCCTTACATCTTAACAAGACAAGTAAACCATGTGTCAAATCCAGTGTTGAAAATGAACCACTCATGACTCTAAATGGTAAATAGACCATTTATAAATGGTAAGCAGATAGTTTATTAGAGTTTAATCATCATTTATAAATGGCATATAGACCGTTAGTAAGTTAATAAATTTTACAAATTGAAAACCCTAACCCTGACTTTAAAATTACCATCTGAGAAACGTTTAAAGGTGGTTTATAAATCACTTATTAATAATTTACAAAGTATTACAAACATCCGTTGCAACTTTATACTAACCATTTAAGTAAAGTTTATAGATGGATTAAAAACCAAATATTAACCATTTACAAAGTGCTACTGACACACATTTTAATCTAGATGTTTTACAACCAATATCTTGACCCTAAACCTTTAATAAATAGTCCATCAATAATAAATGAAAATTATTAATCATAATTTCATTGCTTGTTAATTGTAAAGTAACTATTAACTTACATTAATAAACTATCTATTTGCCAATTATAATTGGTCTATATGCTTTTTTAAAATGATTATTAAACATTAATAAACTATCTACTAAATATTTATAAATTATGGTTATTGTAAAGTGTTTCCAAAGTTACTGCTTCATATTGTAGTAAAAAAAAAAAAAAAAATTAAAGTCTCAATCCAGTTTACAGCTCAATATACACTCACCGGCCACTTTATTAGGTACACCTGTCCAACTGCTCGTTAACACTTAATTTCTAATCAGCCAATCACATGGCGGCAACTTAGTGCATTTAGGCATGTAGACATGGTCAAGACAATCTCCTGCAGTTCAAACCGAGCATCAGTATGGGGAAGAAAGGTGATTTGAGTGACTTTGAACGTGGCATGGTTGTTGGTGCCAGAAGGGCTGGTCTGAGTATTTCAGAAACTGCTGATCTACTGGGATTTTCACGCACAACCATCTCTAGGGTTTACAGAGAATGGTCCGAAAAAGAAAAAATATCCAGTGAGCGGCAGTTCTGTGGGCGGAAATGCCTTGTTGATGCCAGAGGTCAGAGGAGAATGGCCAGACTGGTTCGAGCTGATAGAAAGGCAACAGTGACTCAAATAACCACCCGTTACAACCAAGGTAGGCAGAAGAGCATCTCTGAACGCACAGTACGTCGAACTTTGAGGCAGATGGGCTACAGCAGCAGAAGACCACACCGGGTGCCACTCCTTTCAGCTAAGAACAGGAAACTGAGGCTACAATTTGCACAAGCTCATCGAAATTGGACAATAGAAGATTGGAAAAGCGTTGCCTGGTTTGATGAGTCATTCGGATGGTAGGGTCAGAATTTGGCGTCAACAACATGAAAGCATGGATCCATCCTGCCTTGTATCAACGGTTCAGGCTGGTGGTGGTGGTGTCATGGTGTGGGGAATATTTTCTTGGCACTCTTTGGGCCCCTTGGTACCAATTGAGCATCGTTGCAACGCCACAGCCTACCTGAGTATTGTTGCTGACCATGTCCATCCCTTTATGACCACAATGTACCCAACTTCTGATGGCTACTTTCAGCAGGATAATGCGCCATGTCATAAAGCTGGAATCATCTCAGACTGGTTTCTTGAACATGACAATGAGTTCACTGTACTCAAATGGCCTCCACAGTCACCAGATCTCAATCCAATAGAGCATCTTTGGGATGTGGTGGAACGGGAGATTCGCATCATGGATGTGCAGCCGACAAATCTGCGGCAACTGTGTGATGCCATCATGTCAATATGGACCAAGCTCTCTGAGGAATGCTTCCAGCACCTTGTTGAATCTATGCCACGAAGAATTGAGGCAGTTCTGAAGGCAAAAGGGGGTCCAACCCGTTACTAGCATGGTGTACCTAATAAAGTGGCCGGTGAGTGTATACATACTGTTTTTATGTATAAATCATCTTTGCCTTATTGAGCTTAATGCCGCATTATTTCATTGTTAGGAGTCACAACATTACTCATGAATGTTGAAATGTCAACAGTAAATTTCAACAGTCATCCACATTTTGGGAAACCACGTGATTGACCCCAAACTGCTCGCTCATTTACCGGATTGTGAGATCACTGATAAGCTGAAAATCCTTTTTGTTTACACTTCTTGGAGTAAAGGGCAAACTGACTGCCGGTAAATTGAATAATAATGTTTAATTATCAAACAAACCAGAGCTGAAAATGACCTTTGACTGTTTAAAAAAAAAAAAAAAAACTATTGACTTTAGTTTGTAACACATTACAACCATGAATACGGATTAATAAGGGCATCCATAAATGTCCTGTAAGGTGAGAAGAGGTTCACCCCTTCCTAGGTTTCAGAATCTCAGAATGAAGTTGGCAAAAACTATGAAAAATTTGGAAACAGCGCTAAAAAACGAATTTGGAGTGCTCTGTTTGATAGAAAACCAAGACAGTATGGATGAAAGCTTCAAGACTTTAGGCAGCGCTGCATTAAAAACAGACATGAGTCTGGAGTGGAAGTCACCTGATGAGCTCAAAGTCCCATACAGAAACACTGAAAGTGAACAGAGTTATCAAATAGTCACTCAAACTGTATCGCAGACAGGAATGATGAAATGTCCTGTAGTTTGGCAAATTAATATCTGACATATCTCAAGGAAATCATAGACTTTTAACTCTGATGTGAAAAGCAAAGAGGAGATGGTCTTCCTGGCTTGTTAACAGCGCAACTTGTAAAAGCAGCATCCATCATAATACGAGGATCTATAAGTGCCCGAGGGGTGGGAAGGTGACACACCTGAATAGGCTGATCAAAGGTGGTGTAGGCAAGATCTGAGGAAGTGCCAGTTTTTGGGAGACATCTTGAAAGTAAACACCTCTCACCCAGTTTTTCCCTCAGCTCCTTCTCTCCCTTCCGTCTCTGCTCCAGCAAGCCCCGCCCACAAACAGATGCTCCTGCTCACTCGTATTGTTCCGATTAAATTCATATATAATGTAGATAAATACTTAAGATAATTATAAATGGGGCCCAGTCAAGGTGAAAGTAAAGAGCATTGGTGCCACTGTAGATATTAACAGACTACCAGCAAACACAATGTTTGCAGGACTTCTACAACTAGGATAAAGTGACATAGTCCAGGACCCGAGGGAGGACAGTTTAGCGATGGCGCTACAACACGCAGCAGGTCCGTTTGACTAGAAACACTTCTGTTAGAGACACTTGTCTTACTTTGTTAAAGCGGTTTACCTGTCCAGCAGAAAGGTTACAGGGTCACGAAGATCCCAAAGCATCCCCTATCGTTTATGCTAGCTTCATTGATGTTGACCCGGCTTTTCAGCTCTTGTCCGGTCTACCTCCTTTTTTAGGCACAGGTTATTCCACCAGAGTCTCCGGTATTTACTTTGTTTTTCTTGCTTGTGTTGTCAGTCGTGGCTAAAGGAGGATTCAGACAACTTTCATACCTTTCTGGTTGGTTTCTATTTTCCGATGTTGTTGCAAGCTAACTTTGTTTGGACTCCTGAATGCTATTGCGAGGGAGCAGCGTCTGCCTCACAACCAATCAGGTTGAGGGAGGTGTAGAACGACTTTGTTTACAGTCAGAAAGAGCGGGCCTCTCAAAGATTTTCACATGACGACACAAACATAACAAAACACAGCGATATCGTTATATTACCAAACTTCATCAATAACTTATAGCTATTGACTGATATTAAAAGCTTTTTTGTATATACATCACAAAAAAGATGCTTCTGTAATGGATTCCTGCCTACCTCACCTTAAGGCTTAACATTGTATACAGGTTTTTAATCTGCTGCCATCTGGATAATGAGTTTCGCAGGGAAGACTGTGCATATGTCAGTCTGACAATGCTAAACCACATTTTGAATATATAACAGCCAGCTCTGTAGAAGAAGAGGCCAGGTGCTAAAATGATCTGCCCGCACTCAAAGAAAATAATTCATGCATCATAAAAGCAACATGTTGATTTTTTTTGGCATCATGCAAGAATAAGACATTTCACCTTTAAAATGTCAGGAACTGGTTGCCAAATGTTGAAACAAGAATGTTTTTTGTTTTTTCAAAATTGGCACTAACTTAAGATTTTAGCCACAAATTTCAGAGTTGGGGTAGCCGGTGTGTTTATTGTTGGGATGCATCCCCTCTCGTACCAACATAGCTGCAAAAGGCCCTCTTGGTTCAGGGATGCCAAAAGCCAACTGCTTGTTTGATCCTGTTTCTTTGTTTCATCACTGGTCTTGATCTAAGAGGTTAAACATTAACAAATGAAAGACAAAAAAGCAGCTCAAATCTAAAGAACTGAGAGAACCGTTCTCAGAGCAACTTTGAAGATGAAGTTCGCTATTGTGTTGTTGAGTCTTCCGCTGTTGTGCGTTTTGACTTTAGCTCAGGACGATGGTGTAGTTTTTGGAACGCCAGCATGCCTCATGAACCTGTGTGGGCGCATGAAAGAGGTCGAAGCCCTGAGAGAGAAAGTCAATGCTATGGAAACCTAGAGACCTAGACTCTCTGAGACTCTGTTGTGAGACCGCCGAAATTTCAAGAAATTTCGTTGGTGGCCCGGCTGCGGGACGGCGAAAAAAAGATTGAAGCACTGCAGAACAAAGGTAGAGTCAAAATGATGCGTTTGAAGAATTGAATGAATGAGGCGTGCAACGGAAGTGTTCAGTGGAAATGTTTTTGCTTTGCACAGAGAGGAAAACGGTGGTTTTCACTGCGGAGGCCGGACCAAGAGGGGCTATCGGACCGTTTAGGACTCTGCTCAGGACTTTCTATGACTCTGTGGTAGCATCTGCACTTTTCTATGCAGAGGTCAGCTGAGGGGCAGGAAGAGACTGAACAGACTCGTCAGGAGGGCCAGTTCTGTCCTGGACTGTTCTTTGGACTCCCTGGAGGAGGTGGGTGAGAGGAGGATGTTAGTAAAGCTCTTATCTATCATGGACAGTCCCTCTCACCCACTGCACCAGACTGTGGGGGCTTTAGGCAGCTCCTTCAACAGCAAACTTAAACTCCCACCTTGCAAGACGGAGTGCTACCACAGGTCATTCTTCCCCTCTGCAATAAGACAACGAACTGTAATAAAACTGGACTCACACCACCACTTTTTTTCTGTCATTTAAATTGTGTATATTATATATAGTTTTATTTTTCTTCTCCCTTTTTCCCTTTTCTAAATTTTTTTCTTAATTATTACATTTATTTAAGTTCTTAATAAACTATCTATTTACCATTTATAAATTATGGTCATTGTAAAGTGTTTTCAAAGTTTCTGCTTCATATTGTAAAAAATAAAAAACTTAAAGTCATAAGTTTACAGCTCAATATATACAAACTGTTTTTATGTATAAATCATCTTTGCCTTATTGAGCTTAATGCCGTATTATTTCATTGTTAGGAGTCACAACATTACTCATGAATGTTGAAATGTCAACAGTAAATTTCAACAGTCATCCACATTTCGTGGAAACCTCACGATTGACCCAAACTGCTCGCTCATTTACCGGATTGTGAGATCACTGATAAGCTGAAAATCCTTTTTGTTTACACTTCTTGGAGTAAAGGGCAAACTGACTGCCGGTAAATTGAATAATAATGTTTTCTTATCAAACAAACCAGAGCTGAAAATGACCTTTGACTGTTTCAAAAAAAAAAATAAAAATATTGACTTTAGTTTGTAACACATTACAACCATGAATACGGACTAAAAAGGGCATCCATAAATGTCCTGTAAGGTGAGAAGAGGTTCATCCCTTCATAAGTTTCACAATCTCAGAATGAAGTTGGCAAAAACTATGAAAAATTTGGAAACAGTGCTAAAAAACTTAAGAGAATTTGGAGTGCTCTGTTTAAAAGAAAACCAAGACAGTATGGATGAAAGCTTCAAGACTTTAGGCAGCTCTGCATTAAAAACAGACATGACTCTGGAGTGGAAGTCACCTGATGAGCTCAAAGTCCCATACAGAAACACTGAGGGCTCTATTTTGGTGCCTCGCCGGAGACGTTGCGTAAGTGAGGTCCGCCGCGCCGACAAGGCGTTCCCAAGCACAATTTGGTATTTTGGTGAGCAGCGCAGCCAGGCGTAAGTATCCCCCCTCCCTAACTCAGCTCCTCCTAGCGGCGTAAGTTGTAGGTCTGTAAGATCCCAAAGCATCCCCTATCGTTTATGCTAGCTTCATTGATGTTGACCCGGCTTTTCAGCTCTTGTCCGGTCTACCTCCTTTTTTAGGCACCCGTTATTCCACCAGAGTCTCCGGTATTTACTTTGTTTTTCTTGCTTGTGTCGGCAGTCGTGGCTAAAGGAGGATTCAGACAACTTTCCGGCCTTTCTGGTTGGTTTCTATTTTCCGATGTTGTTTCAAGCTAACTTTGGGAGCAGCGTCTGCCTCACAACCAATCAGGTTGAGGGAGGTGTAGAACGACTTTGTTTACAGTCAGAAAGAGCGGGCCTCTCAAAGATTTTCACATGACGACACAGACATAACAAAACACAGCAATATCATTATATTACCAAACGTCATCAATAACTTATAACTATTGACTGATATTAAAAGCTTTTTTGTATATACATCACAAAATAAGATGCTTCTGTAATGGATTCCTGCCTACCCCACCTTGAAGGCTTAACATTGTATACAGGTTTTAAAGCTGCTGCCAACTACTTTATGAATATATAACAGACAGCTCTGTAGAAGAAGAGGCCAGGTGCTAAAATGATCTGCCCGCACTCAAAGAAAATAATTCATGCATCATAAAAGCAACATGTTGATTTTTTTGGCATCATGCAAGAATAAGACATTTCACCTTTAAAATGTCAGGAACTGGTTGCCAAATGTTGAAACAAGAATGTTTTTTGTTTTTTCAAAATTGGCACTAACTTAAGATTTTAGCCACAAATTTCAGAGTTGGGGTAGCCGGTGTGTTTATTGTTGGGATGCATCCCCTCTCGTACCAACATAGCTGCAAAAGGCCCTCTTGGTTCAGGGATGCCAAAAGTCAACTGCTTGTTTGATCCTGTTTCTTTGTTTCATCACTGGTCTTGATCTAAGAGGTTAAACATTAACAAATGAAAGACAAAAAAGCAGCAGCTCAAATCTAAAGAACTGAGAGAACCGTTCTCAGAGCAACTTTGAAGATGAAGTTCGCTATTGTGTTGTTGAGTCTTCCGCTGTTGTGCGTTTTGACTTTAGCTCAGGACGATGGTGTAGTTTTTGGAACGCCAGCATGCCTCATGAACCTGTGTGGGCGCATGAAAGAGGTCGAAGCCCTGAGAGAGAAAGTCAATGCTATGGAAACCTAGAGATCTAGACTCTCTGAGACTCTGTTGTGAGACCGCCGAAATTTCAAGAAATTTCGTTGGTGGCCCGGCTGCGGGACGGCGAAAAAAAGATTGAAGCACTGCAGAACAAAGGTAGAGTCAAAATGATGCGTTTGAAGAATTGAATGAATGAGGCGTGCAACGGAAGTGTTCAGTGGAAATGTTTTTGCTTTGCACAGAGAGGAAAACGGTGGTTTTCACTGCGGAGGCCGGACCAAGAGGGGCTATCGGACCGTTTAGGACTCTGCTCAGGACTTTCTATGACTCTGTGGTAGCATCTGCACTTTTCTATGCAGAGGTCAGCTGAGGGGCAGGAAGAGACTGAACAGACTCGTCAGGAGGGCCAGTTCTGTCCTGGACTGTTCTTTGGACTCCCTGGAGGAGGTGGGTGAGAGGAGGATGTTAGTAAAGCTCTTATCTATCATGGACAGTCCCTCTCACCCACTGCACCAGACTGTGGGGGCTTTAGGCAGCTCCTTCAGCAGCAAACTTAAACTCCCACCTTGCAAGACGGAGTGCTACCACAGGTCATTCTTCCCCTCTGCAATAAGACAACGAACTGTAATAAAACTGGACTCACACCACCACTTTTTTTCTGTCATTTAAATTGTGTATATTATATATAGTTTTATTTTTCTTCTCCCTTTTTCCCTTTTCTAAATTTTTTTCTTAATTATTACATTTATTTAAGTTCTTAATAAACTATCTATTTACCATTTATAAATTATGGTCATTGTAAAGTGTTTCCAAAGTTTCTGCTTCATATTGTAAAAAATAAAAAAATTAAAGTCTCAATCCAGTTTACAGCTCAATATATACAAACTGTTTTTATGTATAAATCATCTTTGCCTTATTGAGCTTAATGCCGCATTATTTCATTGTTAGGAGTCACAACATTACTCATGAATGTTGAAATGTCAACAGTAAATTTCAACAGTCATCCACATTTCGTGGAAACCACGCGATTGACCCCAAACTGCTCGCTCAGTTACCAGATTGTGAGATCACTGATAAGCTGAAAATCCTTTTTGTTTACACTTCTTGGAGTAAAGGGCAAACTGACTGACGGTAAATTGAATAATAATGTTTTCTTATCAAACAAACCAGAGCTGAAAATGACCTTTGACTGTTTCAAAAAAAAAAATAAAAATATTGACTTTAGTTTGTAACACATTACAACCATGAATACGGACTAAAAAGGGCATCCATAAATGTCCTGTTAGGTGAGAAGAGGTTCATCCCTTCATAAGTTTCACAATCTCAGAATGAAGTTGGCAAAAACTATGAAAGATTTGGAAACAGCGCTAAAAAACGAATTTGGAGTGCTCTGTTTGATAGAAAACCAAGACAGTATGGATGAAAGCTTCAAGACTTTAGGCAGCTCTGCATTAAAAACAGACATGACTCTGGAGTGGAAGTCACCTGATGAGCTCAAAGTCCCATACAGAAACACAGAGAGTGAACAGAGTTATCAAATAGTCACTCAAACTGTATCGCAGACAGGAATGATGAAATGTCCTGTAGTTTGGCAAATTAATATCTGACATATCTCAAGGAAATCATAGACTTTTAAATCTGATGTGAAAAGCAAAGAGGAGATGGTCTTCCTGGCTTGTTAACAGCGCAACTTGTAAAAGCAGCATCCATCATAATCCGAGGATCTATAAGTGCCCGAGGGGTGGGAAGGTGACACACCTGAATAGGCCGATCAAAGGTGGTGTAGGCAAGATCTGAGGAAGTGCCAGTTTTTGGGAGACATCTTGGAAGTAAACACCTCTCACCCAGTTTTTCCCTCAGCTCCTTCTCTCCCTTCCGTCTCTGCTCCAGCAAGCTCCGCCCACAAACAAATGCTCCTGCTCGCTTGTATTGTTCCGATTAAATTCATATATAATGTAGATAAATACTTAAGATAATTATAAATGGAGCCCAGTCAACATGAAAGTAAAAAGCATTGGTGCCACTGTAGATATTAACAGACTACCAGCAAACACAATGTTTGCAGGACTTCTACAACTAGGATAAAGTGACATAGTCCAGGACCCGAGGTCAACAGTTTAACGGCGCTACAACATGCAGTAGGTCCGTTTGACTAGAAACACTTCTGTTACAGACACTTGTCTTACTTTGTTAAAGTGGTTTACCTGTCCAGCAGAAAGGTTACAAGGTCAGTAAGATCCCCAAGCATCCCCTATTGTTTATGCTGGCTTCATTGATGTTGACCCGACTTTTCAGCTCTTGTTCGGTCTACCTCCTTTTTTAGGCACCCGTTATTCCACCAGAGTCTCCGGTATTTACTTTGTTTTTCTTGCTTGTGTCGGCAGTCGTGGCTAAAGGAGGGTTCAGACAACTTTGCGACCTTTCTGGTTGGTTTCTATTTTCCGATGTTGTTGCACGCTAACTTTGTTTGGGCTCCTGAACGCTATTGTTAGTAAAGCTCTTATCTATCATGGACAGTCCCTCTCACCCACTGCACCAGACTGTAGGGCTTTAAGCAGCTCCTTCAGCAGCAGACTTAGACTCCCACCTTGCAAGACGGAGTGCTACCGCAGGTCATTCTTCCCCTCTGCAATAAGACTTTACAACAAACTGTAATAAAACTGGACTCGCACCACCACTTTTTTTCTGGCATTTAAATTGTGTATATAATGTATAGTTTTATTTTCTTCTCCCTTTTTCCCTTTTCTAAATTTTTTTCTTAATTATTACATTTATTTAAGTTCTTAATACTACGATCTTTATTTTTATAACTGCATTTTTTCACTATTTGTCTGTGATGCTGCTGTGACAAAAAAAATTCCCCCATGGGGGATCAATTAAGGAATATTCTATTCTATTCTAACTCAGAGACGACCCTCGTCTACCAGAAAGTGATTACAAATGTTGGAAATGCTCACAATTCATCCACTGGTAAGGCCATCACAGAAGACTAGCGGTACTTTTTCATGAGATTATGTTAATGTCTAACAGAATCCTAGGTAGTGTACGTTTACAGTCAGATCAAATTAGACATCTACATTATGCACTTTTAAAGGATATTCCGGTATAAATATAAGTTAGGGTCAAACACATCTTAACACCGAGTTAGACACCCCATCGAGAGATGAATGTTGCCGACCGCTTGCTTCTCTAGTTATACCAACTTAAGTAACGACCGCACAATAGCAATACAGAGAGCCACACGCTCAACCAAAACGCCACAAATAATGCTCAGAACAGCACCAAACTTCATCAACAGTACATATAGGGTCCCAGCCATAGTACTAGCCACCAAACATCTTTTTAACTTTGACTCATTTCTTTAGCAAAGAGTCTAAAGACAACTAACCCACTCTCTTCCAGCAGCCACTTGTTTCTAACAAGACCTCGGACCAATCCATTACGGACTACAGCGGGGTGACGCAGCTCAAGGAAGAACATTGTCTCTCTGTATTGCTGTCATGTGGTCGTTACTAAAGTTGGTATAACTAGAGAAGCAAGCGGTCGGCAACATTCATCTCTCGACAGGAAATCGGTGTTATGGTGTGTTTGACCCTAAATTAATTTTACACCAGAATATCCCTTTAACACTTTTCTGTCACCCAACTTGAACACTGTCAGACAACCTCTAGACAAATAAACATGAATTGGCAATCCACCAACCTTAACCAGATACTGGCACATTATTTTGTGATTTCAAAGACTTGATCACTTGATGAATCACAAAAAAAGTTGAAAAAATTAACAAGGTCCCCCCTTTCAGGTGTCTTCACTGCACCTTATGCTGGAGTTTATTACTTCACCATCTTCCAACATGCTGGAGGACGGCCCGGGACATTGCTGTTTCTCTACAAGAACAATGAGCGCATAGTGCAGACCCAGGCTCACCCGGCAGTCAACGAGACAGCTCATAACGCGGGAAATGCCGTGTTCCTTCAGCTGCGGTGGGCGACCGGGTCTACGTCCGCATGGATCCGAACTCACACGTGTACGGCTCCGGGTACCACACGACCTTTAGTGGTTTCCTGGTGTGAGAAAGCAGTCTCTGTCTTAATGAAGTAATAATCTAAAACAGGGTCCTCTCTGTGAAGTGTAAACTGTACTTATAAATGAGACATGTTTCAGGTTTTCATACTTTTTGTAAAAATGCATTTAAAACTATATGATCTGAATAAACACAAAAATTTATTGGAAATAAAGTGAATTCAAACTACATTTGTTTTTTTATTGTGTATTATCTTAACTGCTTACGTTAATGGTAAAGTAACTATTAACTTACATTAATAAACTATTTGCCAATTATAATTTGTTTATATGCTTTTTTAAGTGATGATTAAACATTAATAAACTATCTATTTACCATTTATAAATTATGGTTATTGTAAAGTTTTACTGCTTCATATTGTAATAAAAAAAAACTTAATTAAAGTCTTAATCCAGTTTACAGCTCAATATATACATACTGTTTTTATGTATAAATCATCTTTGCCTTATTGAGCTTAATGCCGCATTATTTCATTGTTAGGAGTCACAACATTACTCATGAATGTTGAAATGTCAACAGTAAATATCAACAGTCATCCACATTTTGGGAAACCACGCGATTGACCCCAAACTGCTCGCTCATTTACCGGATTGTGAGATCACTGATAAGCTGAAAATCCTTTTTGTTTACACTTCTTGGAGTAAAGGGCAAACTGACTGCCGGTAAATTGAATAATAATGTTTTCTTATCAAACAACCCAGAGCTGAAAATGACCTTTGACTGTTTAAAAAAAAAACTATTGACTTTAGTTTGTAACACATTACAACCATGAATACGGACTAAAAAGGGCATCCATAAATGTCCTGTAAGGTGAGAAGAGGTTCATCCCTTTATAGGTTTCAGAATCTCAGAATGAAGTTGGCAAAAACTATGAAAAATTTGGAAACAGCGAGAGAATTTGGAGTGCTCTGTTTAAAAGAAAACCAAGACAGTATGGATGAAAGCTTCAAGACTTTAGGCAGCTCTGCATTAAAAACAGACATGACTCTGGAGTGGAAGTCACCTGATGAGCTCAAAGTCCCATACAGAAACACTGAGGGCTCTATTTTGGTGCCTCGCCGGAGACGTGGCTTAAGTCAGGTCTGCCGCGCCAACAAGGCGTTCCCAAGCACAATTTGGTATTTTGGTGAGCAGCGCAGCCAGGCGTAAGTATCCCCCCTCCCTAACTTAGCTCCTCCTAGCGGCGTAAGTTGTAGGTCTGTAAGATCCCAAAGCATCCCCTATCGTTTATGCTAGCTTCATTGATGTTGACCCGGCTTTTCAGCTCTTGTCCGGTCTACCTCCTTTTTTAGGCACCCGTTATTCCACCAGAGTCTCCGGTATTTACTTTGTTTTTCTTGCTTGTGTCGGCAGTCGTGGCTAAAGGAGGATTCAGACAACTTTGCGACCTTTCTGGTTGGTTTCTATTTTCCGATGTTGTTGCAAGCTAACTTTGGGAGCAGCGTCTGCCTCACAACCAATCAGGTTGAGGGAGGTGTAGAACGACTTTGTTTACAGTCAGAAAGAGCGGGCCTCTCAAAGATTTTCACATGACGACACAAACATAACAAAACACAGCGATATTGTTATATTACCAAACGTCATCAATAACTTATAACTATTGACTGATATTAAAAGCTTTTTTGTATATACACCACAAAATAAGATGCTTCTGTAATGGATTCCTGCCTACCCCACCTTGAAGGCTTAACATTGTATACAGGTTTTAAAGCTGCTGCCAACTACTTTATGAATATATAACAGCCAGCTCTGTAGAAGAAGAGGCCAGGTGCTAAAATGATCTGCCCGCACTCAAAGAAAATAATTCATGCATCATAAAAGCAACATGTTGATTTTTTTTGGCATCATGCAAGAATAAGACATTTCACCTTTAAAATGTCAGGAACTGGTTGCCAAATGTTGAAAGAAGAATGTTTTTTGTTTTTTCAAAATTGGCACTAACTTAAGATTTTAGCCACAAATTTCAGAGTTGGGGTAGCCGGTGTGTTTATTGTTGGGATGCATCCCCTCTCGTACCAACATAGCTGCAAAAGGCCCTCTTGGTTCAGGGATGCCAAAAGCCAACTGCTTGTTTGATCCTGTTTCTTTGTTTCATCACTGGTCTTGATCTAAGAGGTTAAACATTAACAAATGAAAGACAAAAAAGCAGCTCAAATCTAAAGAACTGAGAGAACCGTTCTCAGAGCAACTTTGAAGATGAAGTTCGCTATTGTGTTGTTGAGTCTTCCGCTGTTGTGCGTTTTGACTTTGGCTCAGGACGATGGTGTAGTTCTTGGAACGTCAACATGCCTTATTAACCTGTGTGGGCGCATGAAAGAGGTCGAAGCCCTGACAGAGAAAGTCAACGCTATGGAAACCAAATTGAAGGAGAGTGAAAACCAAATTCAGGAGCTAAAGAACAAAGGTAAGCTCCTGGAAATATTTTGTTTACTGCATAAAGTGAAATCAGACACGTGTGGTTTATTTATTCTTTACAATTAACTGTCCTTACTGTGTTTTTGTTTGGCTAAGAAACAACCCAGGTGATTTTCAGTGCTGTCGTTGGTGGAGAAGGAGGAGTAAGCCGAACCGTTGGACCTTTCAGCACGGACACGGTTTTAGTCTTCAAAAAAGTATTCACAAACATCGGCAATGCTTACAATGGAGTCACAGGTAACACAATTAACACCAAGTTGACCTTGTTTTTGTTGCTGCAATCAGATCTCAGACTTTTTGCAGTTGTATTGGAAAAATGAGAGTGTCAAGGACCCCCTATGACCATAAACACCTTATTGTGCCCTGCAGGTATCTTTGCAGCACCTGTCGCAGGAGTCTATTACTTCACCATCTTCTTCCACGCTGCCGGAGATCATGAGGGAAAGCTGTACATGTACAAAAACGCCGATCTGATCATCGTCACCCACGATCAGAAATCCGACACTGACCCAGCTGATAATGGAGGAAACGCCGTGTTCCTGCAGCTGCAGCAAGGAGACCAGGTGTATGTGCAACTGCCTGCAAACTGTCACGTCTGGGGATCTAACGGCCACACGACCTTTAGTGGGTTTTTGGTTTCTCAAATGTGAAAATGTTAACAATGCTTTGAGAAGGATCAACAAATGCAGAATCTACATGCTGGACCTAAAGTGGATATAGATCTATACAAAAGAGATTGCTTCATTGACTTTTATCAAGATACTGTGTCTTGTAAAGCCAGCTTGGAACAACTATGTTCCCAAGATGTTGAATTTTGTTGACCTAAGATTTCATCAAATAAACGTCACATTTGCACCATACGCAAATTCAGGCTAATGGATTACATGTTCAGTCAAAGTAAAAACACAATAAGAAGGGAGTTCATCAACACAAATGAGATGAAATATACACAAAAGTTGATGTCGAGTGATCGCTGCAATGTTGACTTTGTTGCATTTTCCCTCTACTTTAAACACAGTAAACCACTTAACCCAGGTTCTCTCCAATGGTTCTGACAGATAGATCTCTTTCCAGTTCAGTCCAGTTGCCTTTCCTCGGTTTCTGTCCTCATCACCAGTGGAGTACCTCAAGGCTCAATGTTAGCGCCTGTACTGTTTACCCTGTATATGCTCTAGATCAGTGGTTCTCAACTGGTCTCACTCTGGGACCCACATTTTACCATTGTCCTTAAGTTGCGACCCACTCTTATAAAATTCAAACCAAGCAAATTTATTTTTAATGAAAACAACCTTAAAAGACTCTAATCTTTAATATAAATACACCCATTTTTTCGAATAAGTGCATTTTAGAGCACATGAACCGAGGATGACAACTACTAAAGTTGCATATACAGAAAATATCAAATATCAAATTGCACAAAATAAAGACAAAAAAAAAGAACATATACTTTTACTGCATTCAGGCCACATTAATGAGAAACCAAGGAGGACCACGACGTAACGCATGCCTTTCAAAATAAGCTGTTTTTCAAAATAAATGACATCAGACATCAGATGCGCATGAAATATTTACTTTTTTTACCAGCTGTTCACGATCCATCCAGAACGTGTCCACAACCCACTTTTGGGCTGGGACCCACCAGTTGGGAACCACTGCTCTAGATTCCATTATCAAAAAACATCATATAGGGTTGGGCAGCATTTCAATTTGAACAATTCAGGTTCTGATTCTGATTCTGAGTTTCCATTTCCTTTCCATTACCATTTTAAACCAATATACACTACAGGCCAAAAGTTTGGAGGCAAGATCAGCTTTATTAGGATTTTTGTATGCAGACTCTTAAAAGCCAAAAAGTTGAAGTGAATAATCCAACTGTGATTTGTTTTTTTTACTTTTGCACTTAAGTTGTGACTCTTGCAAATGTTTTCAACCCTAAAACTAAGCCCTGATTATCTTTTGCTGACATATATTTAGCAATGGTCTGTTAACTACTCTTTGAACCAAAAGAAAAAAAATTAAATTCAAAAATCTGCTTAATGATTCCGGTACTGGACATTAGGAGCCAGTTCCAAATAGGAACCAGTTCTTGGTACCCAGCCCTAATTTCATACCACATCTATGTAGGTGATACCCAGTTATAGCTCCTGTTAAATCTCTCTTCAAATGCCTTTACCATGTCAAACAGTGAATTGGAAATAACTCATTACAGCTAATTTTTGATGCATCCAATTTGTCACTGGCTTCATTTGCTAATTAATCAGGATTTTAAAAAAACTCGGTTAATGGATTGATTTTTGTAAAATATGGTCACGGAGAATGAGGTGTAATTAAATGCTAATTTATAAGTAAGTAACTGAGCAAAAGTCAGCCTGTGTAAGGTTAACCTCTGTTCCCTGATATGGACTGTTACATGTGGCAAAAAGTTGGCTTATTTGTCTAAAATATCAAAGGTTAACAGACAGCGAGTAAAGACTGCCAATACTGTTTTCTTATTGCACAATTCTGAGCGATGTCAAAAATTAACAGGTCACCTCTAAACACTGTAACAGCAGACGCAGGAACAAGAGTCAAGCAGTCGAGCCAGGGGACATTAAACCACCAAAGAAGATGAATTTCTCCGTTTTATTGTGCTTAACACTGTCCTGCAGCTTGATTTTGGCTCAGAGTGACATTCATAACCCTGAAACAGGAAAAACCACTGAAAAAGCATCATGTTTTCCTTTGTGTGAGCTGCTGAAAGAGCTCAGTGCCATGAAGGAAAAACTGGGAATCATGGAAACCAGGCTGACGGAGAGTGAGAGCCAGATTCTTGTGATGAAGGAAAAAGGTCATACTGATTTTTATGCTCTTTTATTTCAAATTAATGAAATTCAATTAATAGACGGATGACTATGGTTCGAAACATATGTGGTTTCAATAATGTGTGTGTCTGTTTTAGAAAAAAACAGAGTAGCATTCAGCGCAGCAACAGGAGGAGGTAATAAAGCCATCGGACCCTTCAGCAGCGCCACAACTTTAATCTTCAGGAAAGTCTTCACAAACATCGGAAACACCTACAACACCGACACTGGTACGTTTCTGTAAATTCACTCTTTAAAAAAAAAAGAAGATACAAACTTCTTACTCTGACTTCATAATTTCTAGAAATGCTCGAAACTGAACTGGGCACATATACAAACTCAAATGCTGCAGGTGTCAGGGTTGTTGATAAGATCTTTCGGTCCCTTACTGTTGAGTTTTTGTACTTATTAGTTAATTGAATATTTTTTCCCCACAGGTGTCTTCACTGCACCTGTTAATGGCACCTACTTCTTCACCTTGTTCCATCATGCTGGAGGGACACACACAGCGAGTCTTTCCCTCATCAAGAACAATGAAGCTGTTGTCATGACCTACGACCACCCGTCCACACAAGACACCGCTGATAACGGAGGCAACGCAGTGATCCTGCAGCTGCAGCAAGGGGACCACGTGAATGTGCGCTTGGACGCAAATGCGCATGTCTGGGGAAATGACGTCATTACCACATTCAGCGGATTTCTGCTGAGTCAAGACTAGGACTTCAAATTTATATATGACACATTTTGTTTTATTACAAATAAAAAAACCAGACTTTTTTGAGAGTCCCAGCGAAGTCTCTCATGTTGTCAATAAATAATAAAATAAAAATACCTCAAGTGGTAATGGCTCATTTATTGATTGTGGATAGATTGATGTGTATAATCTAGAGGAAAAAAATCCCTAAAACTGGTCTATAGATATGCTCGAGAGGTCTTTTCATTCATAGTCTATGTGAGTCAAATCTCAAGGCTTTGAGGGTGGGGTCCAAGTCGAGTCTGAAATCACTGTTGTGTGCAACTTGGTCGGACTCAAGTCCAAGTCTCAAATTCGAGTCTCTGCAGACCACACAGTACAGGAGATGGCGACATTATGAAGAAACAGCTAAAAATGATCAAGTGGCTGCGAAATTGCAAGTCGGTGCCGTGGGCGGTGGACCCTGCATTATATCTGGCCATGTTTTGGTATAAAGTCAGTTAAATATTTGAGACTATTGGTTACAGTACATCTGCATCACTTTAGCGGTGTTCAGCAATGTCAGTCAATCAATCAATCAATCAATTAATCAAATTTTATTCATATCTTATCCCAAGATGCTTCTTAAGAAAAAGAGCAGGATTATCTTGAATTATCAAGACCCAACGCTAAGGTGGGACAGATTTGACCCATCTCATCCAACATGAGTGACAGTGGTGAGGAAAAACTTCCTTTTAACAGGCAGAAACCTTGGGTAGGACCAGACTCATGCTAGGCAGCCACCAAGCCGCTGCTGAGCTGGGGAGAAACAGGAGGGAGGACAGGGGGAGAGAAAGAGAACAAGAGGGAGGGAGAGAAACAATGGGCTCAATTTTCGAGCTTCGCCGGCGTCGTGACGCAGGCGCGGCGTAAGTCAGGTCCGCCGCGCCGACAAGGCGCACCCAAGCACAATTTGGTATTTTGGTGAGCGGCGCAGCCCGGCATAAGTATCCCCCCTCCCTACTCAGCTCCTCCCAGCGGCGTAAGTTGTAGTGAGGGAGGTGAGAGGGCGTGGAGTGGGTTTAACACAGCCGAGACCTGTATTGACCAATAAGATCAGCTCCTCTCCTCGCCTTTAAATCCACCACGGGCGAGGCATATTACAATTTTAGTGCAGTAGTCAAAGAGATCAAGAGATGTCTGAAGACAGCAATGCCTCACGATGGCGACAGAAGGCAGCCCCTCAACAAGTGTCGCTTTAAGCGCTGCAGAGGGCATCCTTCACAATGTCTCATATAAGCACAGATGGATTTGGTGTGTGTAAGGTTGGACCCAGCAGTAAGACGAACACCCTTTTCCACAAATAAAGACACTCACATAAAGTTGCATATATTCAAACCTCATGTGAAAAAGGTGGGTTGTGGGCACAGATCATAAATCCCAATAATGGCATTAAAATCAGAACCATCTGTGCGTTAATGACGCATCGCGCTCCGTGGCCTGGCTCATTCTTTCAAAGATGTTGGCATATAAAATAAATTTGGCTCACAAAACTGAATATTATAATATTCGTATGTAGGCTTATAGTAAAAAACTCATCTGATCACTGAAACAAATCATCTGTTCAGCCGCTGCAGCTGCAGCAGAACGGGGAGAGGACACAGAGACATGTCCAGGTCGAGCTTGTTAACTTCATCGTGTGTGTCTATTTACTAGATATTTAATTTAATGCGGTTTCAGCTGTGTTGATTCGGTCAAGATGAGTGTCTAAACAAGTGCCAAACATGCTCATCAGATCACATATAGATCAGAATATATCTGTATAGATCGAAAGTATGTGCGGACTCAGAATATTGGTTGTTGATGATTATTTATTGCGCTGAAATGTGCCTGATACTGTGGAAACCTGCCGGTGAGGCATCGGTGACGTATGCCGATATGCCGCAGGTCTACCAAAACACCACTAGCCCAGCTGCGCTCCGACATGCGCTGAAAGCTGACCAGGTTTGAATCGGCGAGCTTTCAGTGCACTTTACACGCCGGAAGCGAGCATGAAAATGTCACAGGAGACACAAAAATAGAGCCCAATGAGTAAGGGAGAGGTAGAGAGAGAGAGAGACAGGGGACAGCAGCAACATTAAAACAACAGCTCATACATAGTTGTAGTTGCAGAGCAGCAAGTAATGAGTCAAATAATCAAATAATGAGTTGTCATCTGTTTTGGACCTTGGACTTCTGGCAATGTGCACAAGATCGACCCTTCAGTCCTGCACAACCAACCAATGACCTTAAATTAATATGAAGGCGTTATTTATTTTTAACCCACTCATTAAATTTGATAAAAGTGTCTTACATAAGAGTTAAGAAATCACACTTCTGATTGGAGGACAAAATGCTATAGGGCATCATGAAATACTATTTAACCAGCCAGGAGGGTCTCAGCAGTCACAGCTGGGGAGTCTTGTTCCTGAAACAACTTGAAAGATGAATTTCAACATCTTGTTTGGTTTCTTCTTGCTCTTCTGCGTCTCAGTTTCACTTGAAACAAGCCCATGCTTGCCTGACGATGTGCTGAAGGAATTTGAGGTTATGAAAAAGGATCTCAAAGATGTGGAGGCCAGGCTGACGATCAATGAAATCAAGGTGGAGGTCATTGAAACCAAGCTGAAGGAGGGTGAAGCCAGGCTGCAGGACGTTGAAACCAGGCTGGAGCGCAGTGAAAACAAGCTCCTGGACACTGAATCCAGGCTTAACAACACTGTAACCAGGCTGCAGGACGTTGAAATCAGGCTGGACCTCAGTGACATCAAGCTGCAGGACATTGAAACCAGGCTGAAGGACGCTGAAACCATGCTCCTGGACACTCAAACCAGGCTAAGCAACACTGAAACCGGGCTGCAGGACACTCAAACCAGGCTGGACCTCTGTGAAACCGGGCTGCAGGACACTCAAACCAAGCTAAGCGACATTGAGACCCGGGTCCAGGAATTAGAGAACAAAGGTAAAGTGACATACTGAGACTGTAAGTATGAAATTATGAACAAATTTTGGAGTTGTGAAACCAATGTTTGGCTTGGCAAATTAGTGGAACTTTTTGATTTCTGATTTCCAGTCATCTTTTTGCTCTTCTGTGTCTCAACTTCAGACCAGTGTAACTGCACGATTGACCATGTGCTGAATGAATTTGAGGATATGAAAAAGGATCTCAAAGATGTGGAGGCCAGGCTGACGGACAGTGAAACCAAGCTGGAGGACACTGAAACCAGGCTGACGGAGGGTGAAACCAGGCTAAACGACACTGAAACCGGGCTGCAGGACACTCAAACCAGGCTAAACGTCAGTGAGAACCAGATCCAGGAATTAAAGAACATAGGTAAAGTGTCATACTGAGACTGTGAAGAGGAAATTGTGATTATTATTTGTAGTTGAGAGAACAATGTTTGGCTTCATAAATTAGTGGGACTTGATTTTTGTCCAGTCATCTGTAATTAGTAGGAGTACAATTTTGAGGTCTAAATGACGACTTTGAGGGGCATGGAAAACCATTTTTCCACACACATTACAATCTAGCATACATGCTCATCTGAGTTTGTGACATGTTGAAGATTAACAACGAAAGTTTATAATGATATATGCCTTGAGAGGGCCAATGGCGACATGTCACGATGCTGATCTATGGTTTCATCAACAGCAGATCTTGATTTATTGATACAATGATGTTTTGTTTGACACAGAGGAAACTAGAGTGGTATTCAGCGCTGCAACAGGAGCAGCAAGCGAAATCACTGAACCATCGGTCACAGACACAACTGTGATCTTCAGGAAAGTGATTACAAACATCGGCGACGCCTACAATGCATACACAGGTAATTACACCAGACTTCAACAATACAGAGATTTATAGACTGCAGCTCATAAGGAGCTAAATAAAACTGATTGAAAGCACCTCCTTTCTTCAGTGGAATAAATTCTTGTTGAGATGTTAGCAAAGCTTACTAAAAGGTGAGGACTATAGATCTGTGATCACTCTGTTGTGTCCACAGGTATCTTCACTGCCCCTGTAACTGGTGTGTATTACTTTAGCGTGTTCTTACATGCTGGAGGAAACAGCCAAGCGACAGTGGGTCTGTACAAGAACACCGAGGTGATTCGTCAGATCCATTGCAGTGCATCAGACACTGACCCATCTGATAATGGAGGAAACGCAGTATTCATTCATCTGCAGCCAGGAGACCAGGTGTACCTGCAGCTTGGTGCAAAAGCTCTTATTTGGTCAAGCGGCTTCTTCACAACCTTTAATGGATTTTTAGTCCATCTGGGGTAAAATGGATCTGTTGGTTGTCTTTTTCCATTCTAAAAAAAATGAAATAAAGACGTAAACAGACAAATATTTAAGCGTCATTTGTTTTCTGTCTACATGAACTGTTATTAATTTAACAAGCATTTTGATCAAACTATTCAACAGCCATAACAACAACTAAACAGCTGTCACCTGCTTTTCACTCTCAGATTGAGGTCAGTGAGTTTAACCTGGCCTATTAGATTAGTCCATGGTAATTTCTGAGTAAAAGAAAAAGATTGTAACGTTGGGTCCTGATCCAGATAGTAGAGTCCAGATCTGGGCTGCAGTCTGCCCACCTCAATTGCTTCCTTGTTGCCAATCCACTGAGCTGAGAAGTTGAACAACAGAGTCCTTACATCTTAACAAGACAAGTAAACCATGTGTCAAATCCAGTGTTGAAAATGAACCACTCATGCAGTGGCGGTTCTAGACTAAATTACTCCCCGGGCGAGCACCCCTCCAAGCCCCCCCCTAAATATAAACAAAAATAAAATATTTCTTAATTGCAGAAATCCTTCAAAAGAAAAAAACACAATCCCGAGGGCCATTTCGAGAAGGGTCCCCAGATCCTGAGGTTTTCTGAAGTGTTGAAGTTTACAAAAAAGCTGCTATCTCGGCCTCTGTAGTCGATAGAAACAAAATTCAAAAAGTATTTGAGAGCTTAAACATGTGGCTTTCAAGAAAGCTATCTTTTAGTTTTGTGAATCTTCATCACATTATTGAAAACCTTGAACAAACAAACTCAAATGAAATAAAGCACCTGTATAAAAATAAAAGTAAAGGCTCTGCACTGGAGAATGACAAACAATTTGTTTTCTGTAAAACAAGTGGCAGTCATGATAAAGTGTCCATTCAATACAAATGTAAATATAGAAAATAAGGTGTTGAAAGGGTATACAGCTGCCCCAGTATAGTGCCAGTACAAAAGCAGCTCTAAAAACCAGAATAAATACGTGGCTGACAGTGACTGACACTGACACTGACAGTTTCATCTCTGTTCTCACCATAGACTGTATATAAGATGGACACCGTGGTTCCGCCTTCCGCCTGTATACGGATTTGAAGCCAAAAAGCTCTCGGTAATTCCGGGTTCCTTGAAACCAGAGCTGTGCAGTAGCGTTATGCGCATTCGGCCGCGCAGTCGCCGAGAGTCCCTGTGATGACGCTCGGGTCAAACAGCGTATTCCCCCGGAAGAGCTACGCAATCCCTGAATGCCCATAGGCTGTACCAGGTGTCAATCATAGAAAACATGAACCCCCTAATAACTTTTAAAAACGGAGCTGTACAGAAAAAAAAGGACTTGAGCACAAACCAGTCTTACTGTATCTATATGTCAACATCACAACCAGGGGGGAGAAAAAATTATGTTCTGTGTAATAAATTTCTAAAGTTTTTCCACAGTCCCATAAATTTTGCTGGCGGAGGCGGGATTTATGACCTGTACTGCAGCCCACCATCAGAGGGTGCTGTTCTCGGAGTGGCTTCACCCAGCGAGGAGGCAGACCCTGTCCATCTTATATACAGTCTATGGTTCTCACCCAAAGTCATGCAACACTCACAGAAATTGCGATAGTGTGAGCCAAAGCACTCCATATGAAGAGGTTGTTCACACTGCTGGATGTTTCTCCTCCAAAGCTGCTCTCTGCCTCCGTCACTGTTTACTTTACTCATGAAGCGCATAGCAAGATCCGAGCATGAATCCGAGCGCTTTATTCGCCTATCAGAGGCAGACGGGTACGGTGATTTGATTCACCACGACTCCAGAATTTATAAAAAACGACAGAATGTTACAAAATGACGCGTCCGCGCTCCCGGTTTAAGAGTAGAAATGCACAGCCGCGCTCCCGCTGATATGCTGACATGTGTACACAGAGCAGAGCTGTCCCCCCGCGACTCTCTCCCCGCCTCGTCTCACACAGTCTGTCAGCCTCGGTTAAGAATTATTATTATTATCTTTTATTTTATTTTTTTGGAAGTGCTCGTGCCGCCCCCAATGAGTCATGACACAAATACCGCCCCAGGCGGCTGCCCTGTTCACCCGTGCCTAGAACCGCTACTGCACTCATGAGTTAAAGTGAGCTGATAGATCATATCAGGCAGACTTCAAGTGGATGAGCAGTCTCTTATCAAGTTGAAAGATGACTCTCCTGTTAGTGCTACAGTGCAAAGTGCTACTGACACACATTTTAATCTAGATGTTTTACAACCAATATCTAAACCCTATATAAACCTTTAATAAATATTCCATTAATAATTAATGAAAATTATTCATCATAATTTCATTGCTTGTTGATGGTAAAGTAACTATTAACTTACATTAATAAACTATCTATTTGCCATTAATAAATTATGGTTATTGTAAAGTGTTACCGAGCTCACTGCCTCACTTAGCGGTATTCAGCAATGTCAATCAATCAATCAATCAATCAATCAATCAATCAATCAATCAATCAATCAATCAATCAATCAATCAATCAATCAATCAATCAACCAACCAACCAACCAATCAATCAATCAAATTTTATTCCTATAGAGCCAAATCACAACAGTCATTATCCTTGGACGCTTCTTAAGAAGAAGAGCAGGTCTAGACCACGCTCATCGTTTGATGAATTATCAAGACCCAACCTTAAGGTGGGACAAATTCGACCCATCTCATCCAACATGAGTGACAATGGTGAGAAAAAAACTTCCTTTTAACAGGCAGAAACTTTGGGTGGGACCAGACTCGTGCTAGGCAGCCACCAATCCACTGCTTAGTTGGGGAGAAACAGGAGGGAGGACAGGGGGAGAGAAAGAGAGAGAGACAGGGGACAGCAGCAACATTAAAACAACAGCTCATACATAGTTGTAGTTGCAGAGCAGCAAGTAATGATGAAATAATGAGTTCACATCTGTTTTGGACCTTGGACTTTTGGCAGTTACTTTTGGCATTATTTATTTATTACTCACTTATTAAACTTGTTAAAAGTTTCTTACATAAAGGTTCAGAAATCACACTTCTGATTGGAGGACAAAATGCTACATGTTACCATGAAATACTATTTAACCAGCCAGGAGGGTCTCAGCAGTCACAGCTGGGGAGTCTTGTTCCTGAAACAACTTGAAAGATGAATTTCAACATCTTGTTTGGTTTCTGCTTGCTCTTCTGTGTCTCAACTTTAGCCCAGGATGGCGGCGGTGCTCTTGAAACAACATCATACCTTCCCAACATGCACAATCTGCTGAAGGCATTTGGTGCAATGACAGAGAAACTTAAAGCTGTGGAGGCCAGACTGCAGGACAGTGAAACCAGGCTAAGCAACAGTGAGAACCAGATTCAGGAATTAAAGAAAAAAGGTAAAGTGACATACTGAGACAGTGAATAAGAAATTGTGATTATTTTTTGTAGTTGAGAGAACAATGTTTGGTGTAACATTAGTGAAACGGGATTTTTGTCCAGTCATCTGTAATTAGTTAAAGTAGAAGAAAACTTTTGAGGTCTAAATGTTGACAGTGAGTCATGTAAAAATCCAGCATACCAGGTCATCTGACTCAGTGACATGTTGAAGATTAACAACAAAAGTTTATAATGGTATCAGCCTTGAGAGGGCCGATACCGACATGATGCTGATGTACTGTTTAATCAACAGCAGATCTTGATTTATTGATACAATGATGTTTTAGTGGACACAGAGGGCACTAAAGTGGTATTCAGCGCTGCATTAGGAGGAACAGAAGGACCCCTTGGACCATTCAGCACAGACACAACTCTGATCTTCAGGAAAGTAAATACAAACATCGGCAACGCCTACAACTCAGCCACAGGTAATTACAGTAGACCTCAACAATAAGTTTAACTCATTACTGTAGCTCATGAAGGAGCTAAATAAAACTGATTGAAAGAACCTTCTTTCTTCAGTGGAATAAATTCTTGTTGAGATGTTAGCAAAGCTTACTAAAAGGTGAGGACTATAGATCTGTGATCACCCTGTTGTGTCCACAGGTATCTTCACTGCCCCTGTAGCTGGTGTGTATTACTTTAGCATGTTCTTACATGCTGGAGGAAACACACCAGGGGTGATGCATCTGTACAAGAACTCAGAGTGGATGCTTGAGATCCATAATCATCCATCAAGTGACGTAACTGATAGTGGAGGTAACGCAGGATTCCTTCAGCTGCAGCCAGGAGACCAGGTGTACGTGCGACTTCCTGCAAATTGTCATGTCTGGGCAAACGAGCGCGTCACAACTTTTAGTGGATTTTTAGTCCATCTGGTGTGAAACAGATCTGTTATATGTCTGATTTTTTTCTATACAAAGATGGATTTAAACTCTAAATTCACTGATTGTAACTTTGGGTCTGATATAATCAACTTCAAGTATATTTTTGACGATTGTCGCTGAAATAAATTCACAATAGTATAAAGATTAATCAAAATGCTAAAACCTGAAGTGATAGATTTCCTGTTTCCTTTTTTGTTCATGCTGAATCTCATCTGGTAATCAATAGAATGAAGGCAGACCAAGTTTGTTCATACCCTCCAGAGGATGAACCATTGTTTCCTTATACTTTTAAGGTGTCAAATATTCTGTCATTATCATTTCTCATGCTCTGAATAAAGTCCTCAAAATTAAATGTACTCTTTAAATCCCTCTCCAAACAGACGTCATGAAGAGTTATCTTTTCCAATATGGGGACTGATTTTGATCGGTTTAAAGTGACATCATTGCGACTGTGTCTATGTGAATATTTAAGTAAATCTTCTTTTTCCATTCTAATAAAAAATGAAATAAAAACACAAACAGACAAATCCATCATGAAACCCGTCTTAAAATGCACATACAAGAATTAAAAAAGCATTCTTTGCCTTCATTTATTTTCTGTCTACATGAACTGTTAGTAATTTAACAAGCAGTTTGATCAAACTATTCAACAGCCATAACAACAACTAAACAGCTTTAACCTGCTTTTCACTCTCAGATTGAGGTCAGTGAGTTTAACCTGGCCTAGATTAGTCCATGGTAATTTCTGAGTAAAAGAAAAAAGATTGTAACATTGGGTCCTGAATCTGATCCAGATAATAGAGTCCAGATCTGGGCTGCAGTCTGCCCACCTCAGTTGCTTCCTAGTTGCTAATCCACTGAGCTGAGAAGTTGAACAACAGAGTCCTTACATCTTAACAAGACAAGTAAACCATGTGTCAAATCCAGTGTTGAAAATGAACCACTCATGAGTTAAAGCGAGCTGCAGCCATATCGATTCTCAAACATAGACGTGTAACGTAGCTAGCATAATATGAAGCTAAGCTAGCATAATATGAAGCTAAGCTAGCTTACTAACCAGCTGAGGGCATCTGTTTCAAAGTCCAGTAAACATTTGCACGAAAGAAAAAGCCCTTAACGGATTTAATTCACATAATCGCGTCGCGCCCAGTTTGTATAGAAAAAATTCGCCGGTGAGACATTCGCCTTTTCGCGTCACTTTGCCTTTTGCCCGGTGAGTAAAGACCAACAGTTCATGATTCACGTGGTGTATAGAGGGCTCTGGTTAATATATAACAGTTCAACCATGATATATGATGCTGTTGTTTTCCAAGAGAGGATTTAAAAAATACGTCACATCAGTGAATGTCTTCTTCATTTATTTTATTCTATTTTTGACATGCACAGAGATAACTCAGGTGATTTTCAGTGCAGCTACAGGAGGAGGATTCTCATAGATCGGACCTTTCAGCATGAATGTGATACTCACAAAATAAGTATTTTGTTGAGGTATTATTACTGTTAGTTTCCCTTTCTCTAAGAGTCACATTTTGGTTTATTGCAACTGTATTACTTTTCTTTTGCTGTCTAATTTATTTATGTGAGAAATTACAGAGAAACAGACAATGACATTTGGTTTTACAAAATGGACACTTGATGGCAGCACCGACCTGTGGCGTCACTGGGACTTTAAGGTAGGTAATGGGAGCTGGGCTGATTATCCGGGGTGAATGGAGAAAGAGGATATACAGCTGTCATGTTTTCTTGATTCCTGTGGAATAATCCTCATATTTCCAGGTCAGTTATTCATATTTTATGTGATCACAAATGTTTATAAGCTAAAGAGAATCCCCGGTGATGTGTTATTGGTGAGCTAAAATTGTGTTCCGCGTGTAAACATTGGAGTCTCCTGTTAGTGCTACAGTGCAAAGTGCTACTGACACACATTTTAATCTAGATGTTTTACAACCAATATCTAAACCCTATATAAACCTTTAATAAATAGTCCATTAATAATTAAGTTATTAATCATAATTTCATTGCAACATTAAAACAACAGCTCATACATAGTTGTAGTTTCAGAGCAGCAAGTAATGATGAAATAATGAGTTCTCATCTGTTTTGGACCTTGGACTTCTGGCAGTTACTTTTGGCATTATTTATTTTTAACCCACTCATTAAACTTGTTAAAAGTTTCTTACATAAAGGTTCAGAATTCACACTTCTGATTGGAGGACAAAATGCTACATGTTACCATGAAATACTATTTAACAGGCCAGGAGGGTCTCAGCAGTCACAGCTGTGGAGTCTTGTTCTTGAAACAACTTGAAAGATGAATTTCAACAGTGAAACCAGGCTAAGCAACAGTGAGAACCAGATTCGGGAATTAAAGAAAAAAGGTAAAGTGACATACTGAGACAATGAAGAAGAAATTGTGATTAATTTTTGTAGTTGAGAGAACAATGTTTGGTTTAACATTAGTGGAACGTGATTTTTGTCCAGTCATCTGTAATTAGTTAAAGTAGAAGAAAACTTTTGAGGTCTGAATGTTGACAGTGAGTCATGTAAAAATCCAGCATACCAGGTCATCTGACTCAGTGACATGTTGAAGATTAACAACAAAAGTTCATAATGATATCAGCCTTGAGAGGGCCGATACCGACATGATGCTGATGTACTGTTTAATCAACAGCAGATCTTGATTTATTGATACAATGATGTTTTAGTGGACAAAGGAGGAAACTAAAGTGGTATTCAGCGCTGCATCAGGAGGATCAGGCGAAACCCTTGGACCATTCAACACAGACACAACTATGATTTTCAAGAGAGTGATTACAAACATCGGCAACGCCTACAGTGCACACACAGGTAATTACACTAGACTTCAACTGTAAGTTCAACTCATTACTGCAGCTCATGAAGAGCTAAATAAAACTGATTGAAAGCACCTCCTTTCTTCAGTGGAATAAATTCTTTTAAAGGTGAGGACTATAGATCTGTGATCACTCTGTTGTGTCCACAGGTACCTTCACTGCACCTGTAGCTGGTGTGTATTACTTTAGCATGTTTTTACATGCTGGAGGAAGCAGTCGAGCGTCAATGCATCTGTACAAGAACACCGAGGTGATGCTTCACGTCTATGATCATCCATCAGTCGCTGACACAGCTGATAATGGAGGAATCGCCGTGTTCCTGCAGCTGCAGCCAGGAGACCAGGTGTACGTGCGACTTCCTGCAAATTGTCATGCTTATACACACGACTATGTCACCACTTTTAATGGATTTTTAGTCCATCAGGTGTAAAATGAATCTGTTGGTTGTCTTTTTCCATTCGAATAAAAACGAAATATAGACGTAAACCGACAAATCCATCATGAAACCTTTCTTTAAATGCATATGGAAAAATGAAAAAGGAGTATTTAATCGTCATATGTTTTCCGTCTACATGAAAAATTTTTACATGTAAATTTTACCTTAACCCTAACTTTACAATAACCATGTAAGTAAATTTTATGGGTGGTTTATTAACCACTTATCAATCATTTACAAAGTATTACAAACATCAGTTACAACTTTACAATAACCATCTAAGTAAATTTTACAGATGGATTAAAAACCAAATATTAATCATTTACAAAGTGCTACTGACACACATTTTAATCAAGATGCTTTACAACCAATATCTAAACCCTATATAAACCTTTAATAAATATTCCATTAATAATTAATGAAAATTATTCATCATAATTTCATTGCTTGTTGATGGTAAAGTAACTATTAACTTACATTAATAAACTATCTATTTGCCAATTATAATTGGTCTATATGCTGTTTTTAAATGATGATTAAACATTAATAAACTATATACTTAACATTTATATAGATTATGGTTATTGTAAAGTGTTACCGAGCTCACTGCTTCACTTAGCGGTCTTCAGCAATGTCAATCAATCAATCAATCAATCAATCAATCAATCAATCAATCAATCAATCAATCAATCAATCAATCAATCAATCAACTTTTATTCATATAGAGCCAAATCACAACAGTCATTATCCCAAGACGCTTCTTAAGAAAAAGAGCAGGTCGAGACCACGCTCATCGTTTGATGAATTATCAAGACCCAACCTTAAGGTGGGACAAATTTGACCCATCTCATCCAACATGAGTGACAATGGTGAGAAAAAAACTTCCTTTTAACAGGCAGAAACTTTGGGTGGGACCAGACTCGTGCTAGGCAGCCACCAATCCGCTGCTGAGTTGGGGAGAAACAGGAGGGAGGACAAGGGGGAGAGAAAGAGAGAGAGACAGGGGACAGCAGCAACATTAAAACAACAGCTCATACATAGTTGTAGTTGCAGAGCAGCAAGTAATGATGAAATAATGAGTTCACATCTGTTTTGGACCTTGGACTTTTGGCAGTTGGCATTATTTATTTATTACTCACTCATTAAACTTGTTAAAAGTTTCTTACATAAAGGTTCAGAAATCACACTTCTGATTGGAGGACAAAATGCTACACGCTACCATGAAATACTATTTAACAGGCCAGGAGGGTCTCAGCAGTCACAGCTGGGGAGTCTTGCTCCTGAAACAACTTGAAAGATGAATTTCAACATCTTGTTTGGTTTCTTTTTGCTCTGCTGTGTCTCAATTTCAGCCCAGGATGGCGGCGGTGCTCTTGAAACAACATCATACCTCCCCGACATGCACAATCTGCTGAAAGCATTTGGTGCAATGACAGAGAAACTCGAAGCTGTGGAGGCCAAGCTGGAGGACAGTGAAACCAGGCTGAAGAGCGGTGAAACCAGGCTCCTGGACACTCAAACCAGGCTGAACGACAGTGAGAACCAGATCCGGGAATTAAAAGAAGGTGTAGTGACATACTGAGACTGTGAAGAAGAAATTATGAACAAATTTTGGAGTTGAGAAAACAATGTTTGGCTTGGCAAATTAGTGGAACTTTTTGATTTCTGATTTCCAGTCATCTTTTTGCTCTTCTGTGTCTCAACTTCAGACCAGTGTAACTGCACGATTGACCATGTGCTGAATGAATTTGAGGATATGAAAAAGGATCTCAAAGATGTGGAGGCCAGGCTGACGGACAGTGAAACCAAGCTGGAGGACACTGAAACCAGGCTGACGGAGGGTGAAACCAGGCTAAACGACACTGAAACCGGGCTGCAGGACACTCAAACCAGGCTAAACGTCAGTGAGAACCAGATCCAGGAATTAAAGAACATAGGTAAAGTGTCATACTGAGACTGTGAAGAAGAAATTGTGATTATTATTTGTAGTTGAGAGAACAATGTTTGGCTTCATAAATTAGTGGGACTTGATTTTTGTCCAGTCATCTGTAATTAGTAGGAGTACAATTTTGAGGTCTAAATGACGACTTTGAGGGGCATGGAAAACCATTTTTCCACACACATTACAATCTAGCATACATACTCATCTGAGTTTGTGACATGTTGAAGATTAACAACGAAAGTTTATGGTGATATCAGCCTTGAGAGGGCCAATGGCGACATGTCACGATGCTGATCTATGGTTTCATCAACAGCAGATCTTGATTTATTGATACAATGATGTTTTGTTTGAAACAGAGGAAACTAAAGTGGTATTTAGCACTGCATTAGGGGAACCATGCAGAAGCGTTGGACCATTCATGGGCATGAAATATCTATCATGAAATACTATTTAACCAGCCAGGAGGATCTCAGCAGTCACAGCTGGGGAGTCTTGTTCCTGAAACAACTTGGAAGATGAATTTCAACATTTTGTTTGGTTTCTTTTTGCTCTTCTGTGTCTCAGTTTCAGCCCAAGAGGACAGAAACGCTCTTGAAACAAGATCAAACTTAAATGGCATGCTCGATCTGCTGAAGGAATTTGGTGCAATGACAGAGAAACTCAAAGCTGTGAATGCCAGGCTGCAGGACAGTGAGAACCAGATCCGGGACTTAAAGAACAAAGGTAAAGTGTCATACTGAGACTGTGAAGAAGAAATTGTGATTATTATTTGTAGTTGAAAGAACAATGTTTGGCTTCATAAATTAGTGGGACTTGATTTTTGTCCAGTCATCTGTAATTAGTTAAAGTAGGAGGACAATTTCAAGGTCTAAATGTCATCAGAGTTCTGTAAAAATCCAGCATACCAGGTGATTTGAGTCAGTAACATGTTGAAGATTAACAACGAAAGTTTATGGTGATATCAGCTTTGAGAGGGCCGATGGCGACATGTCATGATGTTGATCTACTGTTTAATCAACAGCAGATCTTGATTTTTTGATACAATGATGTTTTGTTTGACACAGAACGAACTAAAGTGGTATTCAGCACTGCATTAGGAGGACCAGATAGACCCCTTGGACCATTCAACACAGACACAACTCTGGCCTTCAAGAGAGTGTTTACAAACATCGGCAACGCCTACAGTGCATACACAGGTAACTACACCAGACTACAACAACAAAGAGATTTATAGACTGCAGCTCATAAGGAGCTAAATAAAACTGATTGAAGCACCTCCTTTCTTCAGTGGAATAAAACCTTGTTGAGATGTTAGCTAAGCTTACTAAAAGGTGAGGACTATAGATCTGTAATCACCCTGTTGTGTCCACAGGTATCTTCACTGCCCCTGTAGCTGGTGTGTATTACTTTAGCATGTTCTTCCATGCTGGAGGAGGCCGTCGAGCTTTTCTGTATCTGTACAAGAACTCCGAGGCGATGCTTGACAGCTCTGATCATGCATCAAGCACTGACACAGCTGATAATGGAGGAAACGCAGGATTCCTTCAGCTGCAGCGAGGAGACCAGGTGTACGTGCGACTTCCTGCAAATTGTCATGTCTGGGCAAACGAGCGCGTCACAACTTTTAGTGGATTTTTAGTCCATCTGGTGTGAAATGGATCTGTTGGTTGTCTGTTCTTGTTTTTGTTAAGTTTGGTTTTACCCTCCAGAGGATGAACCATTGTTTCCTTATAAGTTTATAATGTCAAATATTCTGTCATTATCATTTCTCATGTTCTGAATAAAGTCCTCATAATTAAATGTACTTTTTAAATCCCCCTTCAAACAGAAGTCATGAAGAGTTATCTTTTCCAATATGACGACTGATTTTGATTGGTTTAAAGTGACATCGTTGCAACTGTGTCCATGTGAATATTCAAGTAAATCTTCTATTTCCATTCTAATAAAAAATGAAATAAAGAAATTAACAGACAAATCCATCATGAAATCCATCTTAAAATGCACATACAAAAATGAAAGAGGAGTATTTTAGCGTCCTTTGTTTTCTTTCTACATGAACTACTATTTGGGTTTGAAAGATCTCTGTATTGACTTCTACTAATGATTTTATTGCTCTTTTATGTGAAATGAAAATTGGCTGGATGGAAGTTTTACATGCACTTCCCCACATTTTAACACAGTAGGTCAGATATGGAACAATAATCAAATTATACAAGAGGTACAAAGCTTTATTATCTAAGTAGTCCTTTACTTTGTTTAACATAACAATCGTTTTTGCTATTTTCACTTTTATTCCATTAATATGTGATTTCCAGGTCAATTTATCATCAATAATAACACCTAAAAATTTGATTTAATTTACTCTACTAATTTCAATACCTTTAACATTTACTGAAGCATTAATGTTTATGCCTTTGTTTCCCAAAAGCATAAAGTTTGTTTTTTCAATATTTAAAGATTATTTATTTATTTCAAACTAGTGTCCTTTTTTTTTTTCATTTCTTTTCTGACCACCTCCAACACACATTCTAGATTTTCTCTGGTATAAAAAAAGATTGAGGTCAGTGAGTTTAACCTGGCCTAGATTAGTCCACTGTAACTTTTTAGTAAAAGTCAAAAGATTGTATCCTTAGGTCCTGTTCCAGATAATACCACGTTAGAGTCCAGATCTGGGCTGCAATCTGCCCACCTGGCATCCCTCCAACTTCAGGAAACGTTGTCATATTTTTTTCTTCTCCTTAGAGGCCAGTTTTGCGTAGCTTTTCCTTTGTATACACGTTGTTGATTCAGTTACTCAGTGATAAGAAAACTTTTGCTCAAAGGTGAAGGGACCAGGAAACAGTGGTGGGTTTTTACATCTTCACGACAACAGTCACTTATTCTTGTTTCACTGATGACTCCTTTTTTTGCTGATTAAAGAAAACTAAAAACTTGCTTGTCATAAAGAAAATAAAGTTTTAATGATACCAAACATATGATTGATTAAACCGATTTTCAAGTAAACTCACTTGCTTCCTTGTCGCCAATCCACCGAGCCGACAAGTTACACAACAGATTTCTTAGATCATTACAAGACTGGTAAACCATGTGTCAAATGCAGTGTTGAAAATTAACCGCTCATGATTAAAGGTGAGCAGATAGATGATATCAGGAGGCAGAGCGATTTTAAGTCAAGTTGGAAGATGACTCTGTGGATGTTCTTGCTGTGCTGGGGCTTGATCTCAGCCCAGGAAGACGAAAACCCAAATGAAATAGTTCAGCTGGATGAAACCTATTCCAACTTTCTAGACATGTGCGAAGTCCTCCAGAAGTTTGATACTCTGATGAAAAATTCAGAGAAATGGAAACCAGCCCACAGGAAATTCAAACCAGGCTGATGGATGATGAAACCAAACTGAAGACCAATGAAAACCAGATTCAGGAGCTGAGGAACAAAGGTTAACTCCAGGGGCTCTTTTTTCATGCCCACCAGCGGCGAGGCAGAGGGTGGCGCACCCCGAGCAGTGGTATTTTCTTCTGGCAGAGCCAGGCGCAAAGCCAGTGTGGTATTTTTGTGGACTGAGGTGCGCCAAGCTGGGTGTGGTGACATGGTAGGGGGAGGTGTCCACAGAATCAGCTGGAGCAGTGACATTTTCTTGCTCAACGGTGGCATGGAAAGTGTGCTGAAAGCTCGCTGATTCAAACCTGGTCAGCTTTTAGCGCAGGTGGAGTGCAGCTGGTCTAGTGGTATTTTGGTAGACCGGCGGTGTAGTGCGCATACGTCAACAATGCCTCACCGGCAGGTTTCCACAGTGTCAGGAGCATTTTTGTGCAATGAATAATCAACAACAACCAATATTCAGTGCAACTATCTGACTCAGCACATACATTTAGATCTATATCAATATATTCCGATCTATACCTTATCTGATGAGCGCGTTTGGCACGCCTTTTGACACATCTGACTGAATAAAAACACAGCGGAAACCACTTAAAATTAAATATGCAATAAACAGTCACACATGATGAAGTTAACAAGATATTTAATTCGTCTCCCCCCTTTTTTCCCAGCCAGGCCACGAAGCGTGATGCGTCCTTTACGCACAGGTGGTTCCGATTTTAATGACATTATTGGAATTTATGTTGTGATCTGTGCAACTTTGAGTGCCTTTATTTGTGGAAAAGGATGTTTGTCTTACCAGTGAGTACAACCTTACACACACCAAATCCCTCTTTTATTAGAGAGAATGTGGAGGACGCCCTCCGCAGCGCTTACCATGGCACTTGTTGAGGGGCTGCCTTCTGTCAACATCATTTGGCATTGATCTCTTTATCTCTTCGACTACGTCACAAAAATTGTAGTACGCCTTGCCGGTGGTGGATTTAAAGGTGCAGAGAGGAGCCGATGTGATTGGTGAAAACAGGTCTCGGCTGTGTTGAACCCACTCCACGCCTTATCCCCTTCCTCTCTGCTACTTACGCCGCTGGGAAGAGCTGAGTTAGGGAGGGGGGATACTTATGCCGGGCTGTGCTGCTCACCAAAATACCAAAGTGTGCTTGGGCAAGCCTCATCGGCGCGGTGTACCTGGCGTACTCTGCGCCTGTGCCACGCTGCCGGTGGGGCACGAAAATAGAGGTTTCACTGATATTTCATATTTGAGACTGATGGTTACAGAACAAATACATCTGCATCACTTCTGTAGTGTTCTGCTGTACTCTCTGATATCTGTTTACTATGTTCAGTTGCCCTATTTTTCTCTTTTATGCCCTGCACAAACAACTAATGATTAAGTGTCCCAGTGAATGCTTTATTTCCTTATTGCTCCCTCATTCACTCTGATAATAGTTTACTTATAAAACAATACGAAGCCATGCATCTGATTGGAGGACAAAATGCTACACGTCATCATGAAATACTATTTAACCAGCCAGGAGGGTCTTTGCAGTCAAAGCTGAGGAGTCTTGTTCCTGAAACAACTTGGAAGATGAATTTCAACATCTTGTTTGGTTTCTTTTTGCTCTTCTGTGTCTCAATTTCAGCCCAGGAGGAAAGCAGTGCTCTTGAAACAAGATCAAACTTAAATGGCATGCTCGATCTGCTGCAGGAATTTGGTGCAATGACAGAGAAACTCAAAGCTGTGGAGGCCAGGCTGCAGGACAGTGAAACCAGGTTAAGCAACAGTGAGAACCAGATTCAGGAATTAAAGAAAAAAGGTAAAGTGACATACTGAGACAGTGAATAAGAAATTGTGATTATTTTTTGTAGTTGAGAGAACAATGTTTGGTGTAACATTAGTGAAACAGGATTTTTGTCCAGTCATCTGTAATTAGTTAAAGTAGAAGAAAACTTTTGAGGTCTAAATGTTGACAGTGAGTCGTGTATAAATCCAGCATACCAGGTCATCTGACTCAGTGACATGTTGAAGATTAACAACAAAATTTTATAATGATATCAGCCTTGAGAGGGCCGATACCGACATGATGCTGATGTACTGTTTAATCAACAGCAGATCTTGATTTATTGATACAATGATGTTTTAGTGGACACAGAGGGCACTAAAGTGGTATTCAGCGCTGCATTAGGAGGAACAGAAGGACCCCTTGGACCATTCAACACAGACACAACTCTGATCTTCAGGAAAGTAAATACAAACATCGGCAACGCCTACAACTCAGCCACAGGTAATTACAGTAGACCTCAACAATAAGTTTAACTCATTACTGTAGCTCATGAAGGAGCTAAATAAAACTGATTGAAAGAACCTTCTTTCTTCAGTGGAATAAATTCTTGTTGAGATGTTAGCAAAGCTTACTAAAAGGTGAGGACTATAGATCTGTGATCACCCTGTTGTGTCCACAGGTATCTTCACTGCCCCTGTAGCTGGTGTGTATTACTTTAGCATGTTCTTACATGCTGGAGGAAACACACCAGGGGTGATGCATCTGTACAAGAACTCAGAGTGGATGCTTGAGATCCATAATCATCCATCAAGTGACGTAACTGATAGTGGAGGTAACGCAGGATTCCTTCAGCTGCAGCGAGGAGACCAGGTGTACGTGCGACTTCCTGCGAATTGTCATGTCTGGGCAAACGAGCGCGTCACAACTTTTAGTGGATTTTTAGCCAATCTGGTGTGAAACAGATCTGTTATATGTCTGATTTTTTTCTATACAAAGATGGATTTAAACTCTAAATTCACTGATTGTAACTTTGGGTCTGATATAATCAACTTCAAGTATATTTTTATGATTGTTGCTGAAATAAATTCGCAATAGTATAAAGATTAATCAAAATGCTAAAACCTGAAGTGATAGATTTCCTGTTTCCTTTTTTGTTAATGCTGAATTTCATCTGGTAATCAAAAGAATGAAGGCAGACCAAGTTTGTTCATACCCTCCAGAGGATGAACCATTGTTTCCTTATACTTTTAAGGTGTCAAATATTCTGTCATTATCATTTCTCATGTTCTGAATAAAGTCCTCAAAATTAAATGTACTCTTTAAATCCCTCTCCAAACAGACGTCATGAAGAGTTATCTTTTCCAATATGGGGACTGATTTTGATTGGTTTAAAGTGACATCATTGCGACTGTGTCCATGTGAATATTTAAGTAAATCTTCTATTTCCATTCTAATAAAAAATGAAGTAAAGACACAAACAGACAAATCCATCATGAATCCCGTCTTAAAATGCACATACAAGAATTAAAAAAGCATTCTTTGCCTTCATTTATTTTCTGTCTACATGAACTGTTAGTAATTTAACAAGCAGTTTGATCAAACTATTCAACAGCCATAACAACAACTAAACAGCTTTAACCTGCTTTTCACTCTCAGATTGAGGTCAGTGAGTTCAACCTGGCCTAGATTAGTCCATGGTAATTTCTGAGTAAAAGAAAAAAGATTGTAACATTGGGTCCTGAATCTGATCCAGATAATAGAGTCCAGATCTGGGCTGCAGTCTGCCCACCTCAGTTGCTTCCTAGTTGCTAATCCACTGAGCTGAGAAGTTGAACAACAGAGTCCTTACATCTTAACAAGACAAGTAAACCATGTGTCAAATCCAGTGTTGAAAATGAACCACTCATGAGTTAAAGCGAGCTGCAGCCATATCGATTCTCAAACATAGACGTGTAACGTAGCTAGCATAATATGAAGCTAAGCTAGCATAATATGAAGCTAAGCTAGCTGACTAACCAGCTGAGGGCATCTGTTTCAAAGTCCAGTAAACATTTGCACGAAAGAAAAAGCCCTTAACGGATTTAATTCACATAATCGCGTCGCGCCCAGTTTGTATAGAAAAAATTCGCCGGTGAGACATTCGCCTTTTCGCGTCACTTCGCCTTTTGCCCGGTGAGTAAAGACCAACAGTTCATGATTCACGTGGTGTATAGAGGGCTCTGGTTAATATATAACAGTTCAACCATGAAATATGATGCTGTTGTTTTCCAAGAGAGGATTTAAAAAATACGTCACATCAGTGAATGTCTTCTTCATTTATTTTATTCTATTTTTGACATGCACAGAGATAACTCAGGTGATTTTCAGTGCAGCTACAGGAGGAGGATTCTCACGGATCGGACCTTTCAGCATGAAAGTGATACTCACAAAATAAGTATTTTGTTGAGGTATTATTACTGTTAGTTTCCCCTTCTCTAAGAGTCACATTTTGGTTTATTGCAACTGTATTGCATTTCTTTTGCTGTCTAATTTATTTATGTGAGAAATTACAGAGAAACACAAAATGACATGTGGTTTTACAAAATGGACACTTGATGGCAGCACCGACCTGTAGCGTCACTGGGACTTTAAGGTAGGTAACGGGAGCTGGGCTGATTATCCGGGGTGAATGGAGAAAGAGGATATACAGCTGTCCTGTTTTCTTGATTCCTGTGGAATAATCCTCATATTTCCAGGTCAGTTATTCATATTTTATGTGATCACAGAAGTTTATAAGCTAAAGGGAATCCCCGGTGATGTGTTATTGGTGAGCTAAAATTGTGTTCCGCGTGTAAACATTGGAGTCTCCTGTTAGTGCTACAGTGCAAAGTGCTACTGACACACATTTTAATCTAGATGTTTTACAACCAATATCTAAACCCTATATAAACCTTTAATAAATAGTCCATTAATAATTAATGAAAGTTATTAATCATAATTTCATTGCAACATTAAAACAACAGCTCATACATAGTTGTAGTTTCAGAGCAGCAAGTAATGATGAAATAATGAGTTCTCATCTGTTTTGGACCTTGGACTTCTGGCAGTTACTTTTGGCATTATTTATTTTTAACCCACTCATTAAACTTGTTAAAAGTTTCTTACATAAAGGTTCAGAAATCACACTTCTGATTGGAGGACAAAATGCTACATGTTACCATGAAATACTATTTAACAGGCCAGGAGGGTCTCAGCAGTCACAGCTGGGGAGTCTTGTTCTTGAAACAACTTGAAAGATGAATTTCAACAGTGAAACCAGGCTAAGCAACAGTGAGAACCAGATTCGGGAATTAAAGAAAAAAGGTAAAGTGACATACTGAGACAATGAAGAAGAAATTGTGATTAATTTTTGTAGTTGAGAGAACAATGTTTGGTTTAACATTAGTGGAACGGGATTTTTGTCCAGTCACCTGTAATTAGTTAAAGTAGAAGAAAACTTTTGAGGTCTAAATGTTGACAGTGAGTCATGTAAAAATCCAGCATACCAGGTCATCTGACTCAGTGACATGTTGAAGATTAACAACAAAAGTTTATAATGATATCAGCCTTGAGAGGGCCGATACCGACATGATGCTGATGTACTGTTTAATCAACAGCAGATCTTGATTTATTGATACAATGATGTTTTAGTGGACACAGAGGGCACTAAAGTGGTATTCAGCGCTGCATCAGGAGGATCAGGCGAAACCCTTGGACCATTCAACACAGACACAACTATGATCTTCAAGAGAGTGATTACAAACATCGGCAACGCCTACAACTCAGCCACAGGTAATTACACCAGACTTCAACTGTAAGTTCAACTCATTACTGCAGCTCATGAAGGAGCTAAATAAAACTGATTGAAAACACCTCCTTTCTTCAGTGGAATAAATTCTTTTAAAGGTGAGGACTATAGATCTGTAATCACCCTGTTGTGTCCACAGGTACCTTCACTGCACCTGTAGCTGGTGTGTATTACTTTAGCATGTTTTTACATGCTGGAGGAAGCAGTCGAGCGTCAATGCATCTGTACAAGAACACCGAGGTGATGCTTCACGTCTATGATCATCCATCAGTCGCTGACACAGCTGATAATGGAGGAATCGCCGTGTTCCTGCAGCTGCAGCCAGGAGACCAGGTGTACGTGCGACTTCCTGCAAATTGTCATGCTTATACACACGACTATGTCACCACTTTTAATGGATTTTTAGTCCATCAGGTGTAAAATGAATCTGTTGGTTGTCTTTTTCCATTCGAATAAAAACGAAATATAGACGTAAACCGACAAATCCATCATGAAACCTTTCTTTAAATGCATATGGAAAAATGAAAAAGGAGTATTTAATCGTCATATGTTTTCCGTCTACATGAAAAATTTTTACATGTAAATTTTACCTTAACCCTAACTTTACAATAACCATGTAAGTAAATTTTATGGGTGGTTTATTAACCACTTATCAATCATTTACAAAGTATTACAAACATCAGTTACAACTTTACAATAACCATCTAAGTAAAGTTTATAGATGGATTAAAAACCAAATATTAATCATTTACAAAGTGCTACTGATACACATTTTAATCAAGATGCTTTACAACCAATATCTAAACCCTATATAAACCTTTAATAAATATTCCATTAATAATTAATGAAAATTATTCATCATAATTTCATTGCTTGTTGATGGTAAAGTAACTATTAACTTACATTAATAAACTATCTATTTGCCAATTATAATTGGTCTATATGCTGTTTTTAAATGATGATTAAACATTAATAAACTATATACTTAACATTTATATAGATTATGGTTATTGTAAAGTGTTACCGAGCTCACTGCTTCACTTAGCGGTCTTCAGCAATGTCAATCAATCAATCAATCAATCAATCAATCAATCAATCAATCAATCAATCAATCAATCAATCAACTTTTATTCATATAGAGCCAAATCACAACAGTCATTATCCCAAGACGCTTCTTAAGAAAAAGAGCAGGTCTAGACCACACTCATCGTTTGATGAATTATCAAGACCCAACCTTAAGGTGGGACAAATTTGACCCATCTCATCCAACATGAGTGACAATGGTGAGAAAAAAACTTCCTTTTAACAGGCAGAAACTTTGGGTGGGACCAGACTCGTGCTAGGCAGCCACCAATCCACTGCTGAGTTGGGGAGAAACAGGAGGGAGGACAAGGGGGAGAGAAAGAGAGAGAGACAGGGGGACAGCAGCAACATTAAAACAGCTCATACATAGTTGTAGTTTCAGAGCAGCAAGTAATGATGAAATAATGAGTTCACATCTGTTTTGGACCTTGGACTTTTGGCAGTTGGCATTATTTATTTATTACTCACTCATTAAACTTGTTAAAAGTTTCTTACATAAAGGTTCAGAAATCACACTTCTGATTGGAGGACAAAATGCTACACGCTACCATGAAATACTATTTAACCAGCCAGGAGGGTCTCAGCAGTCACAGCTGGGGAGTCTTGCTCCTGAAACAACTTGAAAGATGAATTTCAACATCTTGTTTGGTTTCTTTTTGCTCTGCTGTGTCTCAATTTCAGCCCAGGATGGCGGCGGTGCTCTTGAAACAACATCATACCTCCCCGACATGCACAATCTGCTGAAAGCATTTGGTGCAATGACAGAGAAACTCGAAGCTGTGGAGGCCAAGCTGGAGGACAGTGAAACCAGGCTGAAGAGCGGTGAAATCAGGCTGCAGGACATTCAAACCAGGCTGGAGCTCAGTGAAACCAGGCTCCTGGACCTTCAAACCAGGCTAAACGACAGTGAGAACCAGATCCGGGAATTAAAAGAAGGTGTAGTGACATACTGAGACTGTGAAGAAGAAATTATGAACAAATTTTGGAGTTGAGAAAACAATGTTTGGCTTGGCAAATTAGTGGAACTTTTTGATTTCTGATTTCCAGTCATCTTTTTGCTCTTCTGTGTCTCAACTTCAGACCAGTGTAACTGCACGATTGACCATGTGCTGAATGAATTTGAGGATATGAAAAAGGATCTCAAAGATGTGGAGGCCAGGCTGACGGACAGTGAAACCAAGCTGGAGGACACTGAAACCAGGCTGACGGAGGGTGAAACCAGGTTAAACGACACTGAAACCGGGCTGCAGGACACTCAAACCAGGCTAAACGTCAGTGAGAACCAGATCCAGGAATTAAAGAACATAGGTAAAGTGTCATACTGAGACTGTGAAGAAGAAATTGTGATTATTATTTGTAGTTGAGAGAACAATGTTTGGCTTCATAAATTAGTGGGACTTGATTTTTGTCCAGTCATCTGTAATTAGTAGGAGTATAATTTTGAGGTCTAAATGACGACTTTGAAGGGCATGGAAAACCATTTTTCCACACACATTACAATCTAGCATACATACTCATCTGAGTTTGTGACATGTTGAAGATTAACAACGAAAGTTTATGGTGATATCAGCCTTGAGAGGGCCGATGGCAACATGTCACAATGCTGATCTATGGTTTCATCAACAGCAGATCTTGATTTATTGATATGATGTTTTGTTTGAAACAGAGGAAACTAAAGTGGTATTTAGCACTGCATTAGGGGAACCATGCAGAAGCGTTGGACCATTCATGGGCATGAAATATCTATCATGAAATACTATTTAACCAGCCAGGAGGATCTCAGCAGTCACAGCTAGGGAGTCTTGTTCCTGAAACAACTTGGAAGATGAATTTCAACATTTTGTTTGGTTTCTTTTTGCTCTTCTGTGTCTCAATTTCACCCCAAGAGGACAGAAACGCTCTTGAAACAAGATCAAACTTAAATGGCATGCTCGATCTGCTGAAGGAATTTGGTGCAATGACAGAGAAACTCAAAGCTGTGAATGCCAGGCTGCAGGACAGTGAGAACCAGATCCGGGACTTAAAGAACAAAGGTAAAGTGTCATACTGAGACTGAAGAAGAAATTGTGATTATTATTTGTAGTTGAAAGAACAATGTTTGGCTTCATAAATTAGTGGGACTTGATTTTTGTCCAGTCATCTGTAATTAGTTAAAGTAGGAGGACAATTTCAAGGTCTAAATGTCATCAGAGTTCTGTAAAAATCCAGCATACCAGGTGATTTGAGTCAGTAACATGTTGAAGATTAACAACGAAAGTTTATGGTGATATCAGCTTTGAGAGGGCCGATGGCGACATGTCATGATGTTGATCTACTGTTTAATCAACAGCAGATCTTGATTTTTTGATACAATGATGTTTTGTTTGACACAGAACGAACTAAAGTGGTATTCAGCACTGCATTAGGAGGACCAGATAGACCCCTTGGACCATTCAACACAGACACAACTCTGGCCTTCAAGAGAGTGTTTACAAACATCGGCAACGCCTACAGTGCATACACAGGTAACTACACCAGACTACAACAACAAAGAGATTTATAGACTGCAGCTCATAAGGAGCTAAATAAAACTGATTGAAGCACCTCCTTTCTTCAGTGGAATAAAACCTTGTTGAGATGTTAGCTAAGCTTACTAAAAGGTGAGGACTATAGATCTGTGATCACCCTGTTGTGTCCACAGGTATCTTCACTGCCCCTGTAGCTGGTGTGTATTACTTTAGCATGTTCTTCCATGCTGGAGGAGGCCGTCGAGCTTTTCTGTATCTGTACAAGAACTCCGAGGTGATGCTTGACAGCTCTGATCATGCATCAAGCACTGACACAGCTGATAATGGAGGAAACGCAGGATTCCTTCAGCTGCAGCGAGGAGACCAGGTGTACGTGCGACTTCCTGCAAATTGTCATGTCTGGGCAAACGAGCGCGTCACAACTTTTAGTGGATTTTTAGTCCATCTGGTGTGAAATGGATCTGTTGGTTGTCTGTTCTTGTTTTTGTTAAGTTTGGTTTTACCCTCCAGAGGATGAACCATTGTTTCCTTATAAGTTTATAATGTCAAATATTCTGTCATTATCATTTCTCATGTTCTGAATAAAGTCCTCATAATTAAATGTACTTTTTAAATCCCCCTTCAAACAGAAGTCATGAAGAGTTATCTTTTCCAATATGACGACTGATTGTGATTGGTTTAAAGTGACATCGTTGCAACTGTGTCCATGTGAATATTCAAGTAAATCTTCTATTTCCATTCTAATAAAAAATGAAATAAAGACATTAACAGACAAATCCATCATGAAGCCCTTTTTTTTCTAATTTCTTTTCTCACCACCTCCAACACACATTCTAGATTTTCTCTGGTATAAAAAAAGATTGAGGTCAGTGAGTTTAACCTGGTCTAGATAAGTCCACGGTAACTTTTGAGTAAAAGTCGAAAGATTGTAGCCTTAGGTCCTGTTCCAGATAATACCACGTTAGAGTCCAGATCTGGGCTGCAATCTGCCCACCTGGCATCCCTCTAACTTCAGGAAACTTTGTCATATTTTTTTCTTCTCCTTACAGGCCAGTTTTGCGTAGCTTTTCCTTTGTATACACGTTGTTGATTCAGTTACTCAGTGATAAGAAAACTTTTGCTCAAAGGTGAAGGGACCAGGAAACAGTGGTGGGTTTTTACATCTTCACGACAACAGTCACTTATTCTTGCTTCACTGATGACTCCTTTTTTTGCTGATTAAAGAAAACTAAAAACTTGCTTGTCATAAAGAAAATAAAGTTTTAAGGATACCAAACATATGACTGATTAAACCGATTTTCAAGTAAACTCACTTGCTTCCTTGTCGCCAATCCACCGAGCCGACAAGTTACACAACAGATTTCTTAGATCATTACAAGACTGGTAAACCATGTGTCAAATGCAGTGTTGAAAATTAACCGCTCATGATTAAAGGTGAGCAGATAGATGATATCAGGAGGCAGAGCGATTTTAAGTCAAGTTGGAAGATGGCTCAGTGGATGTTCTTGCTGTGCTGGGGCTTGATCTCAGCCCAGGAAGACGAAAACCCAAATGAAATAGTTCAGCTGGATGAAACCTATTCCAACTTTCTAGACATGTGCGAAGTCCTCCAGAAGTTTGATACTCTGATGAAAAATTCAGAGAAATGGAAACCAGCCCACAGGAAATTCAAACCAGGCTGATGGATGATGAAACCAAACTGAAGACCAATGAAAACCAGATTCAGGAGCTGAGGAACAAAGGTTAACTCCAGGGGCTCTTTTTTCATGCCCACCAGCGGCGAGGCAGAGGGTGGCGCACCCCGAGCAGTGGTATTTTCTTCTGGCAGAGCCAGGCGCAAAGCCAGTGTGGTATTTTTGTGGACTGAGGTGCGCCAAGCTGGGTGTGGTGACATGGTAGGGGGAGGTGTCCACAGAATCAGCTGGAGCAGTGACATTTTCTTGCTCAACGGTGGCATGGAAAGTGTGCTGAAAGCTCGCTGATTCAAACCTGGTCAGCTTTTAGCGCAGGTGGAGTGCAGCTGGTCTAGTGGTATTTTGGTAGACCGGCGGTGTAGTGCGCATACGTCAACAATGCCTCACCGGCAGGTTTCCACAGTGTCAGGAGCATTTTTGTGCAATGAATAATCAACAACAACCAATATTCAGTGCAACTATCTGACTCAGCACATACATTTAGATCTATATCAATATATTCCGATCTATACCTTATCTGATGAGCGCGTTTGGCACGCCTTTTGACACATCTGACTGAATAAAAACACAGCGGAAACCACTTAAAATTAAATATGCAATAAACAGTCACACATGATGAAGTTAACAAGATATTTAATTCGTCTTCCTCCTTTTTTCCCAGCCAGGCCACGAAGCGTGATGCGTCCTTTACGCACAGGTGGTTCCGATTTTAATGACATTATTGGAATTTATGTTGTGATCTGTGCAACTTTGAGTGTCTTTATTTGTGGAAAAGGATGTTTGTCTTACCAGTAAGTACAACCTTACACACACCAAATCCCTCTTTTATTCGAGAGAATGTGGAGGACGCCCTCCGCAGAGCTTACCATGGCACTTGTTGAGGGGCTGCCTTCTGTCAACATCATTTGGCATTGATCTCTTGATCTCTTCGACTACGTCACAAAAATTGTAGTATGCCTTGCCGGTGGTGGATTTAAAGGTGAGGAGAGGAGCTGATGTGATTGGTGAAAACAGGTCTCGGCTGTGTTGAACCCACTCCACGCCTTATCCCCTTCCTCTCTGCTACTGACGCCGCTGGGAAGAGCTGAGTTAGGGAGGGGGGATACTTATGCCGGGCTGTGCTGCTCACCAAAATACCAAAGTGTGCTTGGGCAAGCCTCATCGGCGCGGTGTACCTGGCGTACTCTGCGCCTGTGCCACGCTGCCGGTGGGGCACGAAAATAGAGGTTTCACTGATATTTCATATTTGAGACTGATGGTTACAGAACAAATACATCTGCATCACTTCTGTAGTGTTCTGCTGTACTCTCTGATATCTGTTTACTATGTTCAGTTGTCCTATTTTTCTCTTTTATGCCCTGCACAAACAACTGATGACTTAGTGTCCCAGTGAATGCTTTATTTCCTTATTGCTCCCTCATTCACTCTGATAATAGTTTACTTATAAAACAATACGAAGCCATGCATCTGATTGGAGGACAAAATGCTATAGGTCATCATGAAATACTATTTAACGAGCCAGGAGGGTCTCAGCAGTCAAAGCTGAGGAGTCTTGTTCCTGAAACAACTTGGAAGATGAATTTCAACATCTTGTTTGGTTTCTTTTTGCTTTTCTGTGTCTCAATATCAGCTCAGGAGAACAGCAGTGCTCCTGAAACGGGATCATGCGTTCCCAACATGTGCAATCTGCTGCAGGAATTTGGTGCGATGACAGAGAAACTCAAAGCTGTGGAGGCCAGGCTGCAGGACAGTGAAACCACGCTTAAGAACACTCAAACCAGGCTAAGCGACAGTGAGAACCAGATCCGGGAATTAAAGAACATAGGTAAAGTGTCATATTGAGACTGTGAAGAAAAAATTGTGATTAATTTTTGTAGTTGAGAGAACAATGTTTGGTGTAACATTAGTGGAACGTGATTTTTGTCCAGTCATCTGTAATAAGTTAAAGTAGGAGGACAATTTTGAGGTCTAAATGTTGACAGTGAGTCGTGTAAAAATCCAGCATACCAGGTCATCTGAGTCAGTGACATGTTGAAGATTAACAACGAAAGTTTATGGTGATATCAGCCTTGAGAGGGCCGATACCGACATGATGCTGATTTACTGTTTAATCAACAGCAGATCTTGATTTATTGATACAATGATGTTTTGTTGGACACAGAGGAAACTAAAGTGGTATTCAGCGCTACATTAGGAGGACCAGGCAGAAACATTGGACCATTCAACACATACACAACTTTGATATTCAGGAGAGTGATTACAAACATCGGCAACGCCTACAATGCAGCCACAGGTAATTACACCAGAGTACAACAATATAGAGATTTATAGACTGCAGCTCATAAGGAGCTAAGTAATCATTAAAAGCACCTCCTTTCTTCAGTGGAATAAAACCTTGTTGAGATGTTAGCTAAGCTTACTAAAAGGTGAGGACTATAGATCTGTAATCACCCTGTTGTGTCCACAGGTATCTTCACTGCCCCTGTAGCTGGTGTGTATTACTTTAGCATGTTCTTCCATGTTGGAGGAAGGAGTCGAGTGTTTCTGTACAAGAACTCCCAGCCGATGCTTGAAAGCGCTGATCATGCATCAGACGCTGACACAGTTGATAATGGAGGAAACGCAGGATTCCTTCAGCTGCAGCCAGGAGACCAGGTGTACGTGCAACTTGGTGTAGATTCCCATGTTTGGGCAAACGACTACATCACAACTTTTAGTGGATTCTTAGTCCATCTGGTGTGAAATGGATCTGTTGGTTGTCTGTTATTGTTTTTGTTAGGTTTGTTCATACCGTCCAGAAGATGAACCATCGTTTTCCCTATATAAGTGTCAAATATTCTGTCATTATCATTTCTCATGCTCTGAATAAAGTCCTCATAATTAAATGTACTCTTTAAATCACTCTCCAAACAGAAGTCATGAAGAGTTATCTTTTCCAATATGGGGACTGATTTTGATTGGTTTAAAGTGACATCATTGCGAGTGTGTCCATGTGAATATTCAAGTAAATCTTCTTTTTCCATTCTAATAAAAAATGAAATAAAGACACAGACAGACAAATCCGTCATGAATCCCGTCTTAAAATGCACATACAAGAATTAAAAAAGTATTCTTTGCCTTCATTTATTTTCTGTCTACATGAACTGTTATTAATTTAACAAGCAGTTTGATCAAACTATTCAACAGCCATAACAACAACTAAACAGCTTTAACCTGCTTTTTACTCTCAGATTGAGGTCAGTGAGTTTAACCTGGCCTAGATTAGTCCATGGTAACCTCTGAGTAAAAGAAAAAAGATTGTAACGTTGGGTCCTGATCCAGATAATAGAGTCCAGATCTGGGCTGCAGCCTGCCCACCTCAATTGCTTCCTTAATGCCAATCCACTGAGCTGGCAAGTTGAACAACAGAGTCCTTACATGTTAACAAGACAAGTAAACCATGTGTCAAATCCAGTGTTGAAAATGAACCACTCATGAGTAAAAGTGAGCTGATCGATCATATCAGGCAGACTTCAAGTGGATGAGCAGTCTCTAATCAAGTTGAAAGATGACTCTCAATCCTTCCCACATCCATACATCAATACATCCATACATACAATTTCCTTGTTCCTGACTCACTGAGTTGGCAAATGAAATTCCTTGTAAAAAGGAGAAAAAAATGTTAAAAATGAATTGTTCCTTGTTAAAAAAATATAAAACCCTGGATCAGAGTTGAAGTGACTTGTCCATGAATCAACTTGGAGGATGAATAGCACTACTTTTTTTTTTGCTTCCATGCGGGTTGGTTTCAGCCCGTGTCAATGCCAATTCTCTTGAATCATGATCATGCTCTCCTGGCATGTGCGAGCTCCTGAGAGCGTTTGATGATATGATGAAAAAACTCAAAGCTCTGGAAACCAGAATTAGGGAAAGTGAGGAGTAGATTCTGGAGCTGAAGAAGAAAGGTAAGGATCTTTTTTTCCTCTTTTATGTTTGAATGAGCGTGCTTAATTCGGATTAAACTGCAAATAAAGAAAAAGAGTCCTATCTGAAAACAACCTCAGGGCGCAATCCTCGGTCCTCTGCTTTTTAGTCTGTTGATAAATAACACGCCTACAACTTGACCTGATGCTGTAGTCCAGCCATAAATAGATGACACAGTCACATGTACCTCAGCTGAAAATTTTTTTAATGTTACAGGAAATAGTTAATAATTAGACATATAAATGAAAGAGTGGTAATCAGCGTGTCTGAATAAGGCTCTATTTCACTGTGTATTAAAACCACATTATATCCCCTCGTCCTTATTGAATAAAACATTCAATTAGTACTTTAAAACAAGTAAACTTTTGTCAATATCCTCAGAAAAGTCACAGAAGACTAAAGTTCCTTACACACTGGGAGCGAATTCGCAATGCGCAAAAGCAACTGTTATTTATTTGCTCTTGTGTCGAATTTTGTGGAGGCGAAAAGGCGAACGGCCAGACCTCTGACCAATCAAAATGATGTTGGTATGTCGATGATATCACATCCAAACTTTACTGGCAGCATCAGCCCTAGTCTGTATTCATTCATCATGACTGAGCGCTTCATCAGTGTGCACGACCGCCCTGCTTTATGGGACAAGTCCCTTAAAATATTCCACGACACTCTCCTCAAAGAAAATATATGTCAGGAAATAGAAGAAGAACTTACCTGGTGAGAATATTGATGTCATATCGATCCTCAAACATAGATGTGTACCGTAGCTAGCATAATATGAAGCTAAGCTAGCATAATATGAAGCTAAGCTGGATTTTATTCGCATAATCGCGTCGCGCCCAGTTTGTACAGAAAAAATTCGCCGGTGAGACATTCGCCTTTTCGCGTCACTTCGCCTTTTGCCCGGTGAGTAGAGACCAACAGTTCATGATTCACGTGGTTTATAGAGGGCTCTGGTTAATATAACAGTTCAACCATGAAATATGATGCTGTTGTTTTCCAAGAGAGGATTTTAAAAAATACGTCACATCAGTGAATGTCTTCTTCATTTATTTTATTCTATTTTTGACATGCACAGAGATAACTCAGGTGATTTTCAGTGCAGCTACAGGAGGAGGATTCTCATAGATCGGACCTTTCAGCATGAATGTGATACTCACAAAATAAGTATTTTGTTGAGGTATTATTACTGTTTGTTTCCCCTTCTCTAAGAGTCACATTTTGGTTTATTACAACTGTATTACTTTTCTTTTGCTGTCTAATTTATTTATGTGAGAAATTACAGAGAAACAGACAATGGCATGTGGTTTTACAAAACGGACACTTGATGGCAGCACCGACCTGTGGCGTCACTGGGACTTTACGGTAGGTAACGGGAGCTGGGCTGATTATCCGGGTGAATGGAGAATGAGGATATACATCTGTCCTGTTTTCTTGATTCCTGTGGAATATTTCTCATATTTCCAGGTCAGTTATTCATATTTTATGTGATCACAGAAGTTTATAAGCTAAAGGGAATCCCCAGTGATGTGTTATTGGTGAGCTAAAAGTGTGTTGCGAGTGTAAACATCGGAGTTTAGCGGTACGTGAGTATTGTAGCAGAGAAAATGGCGCCGACGCCGCAGCTCGTTGATTTTTTCCCCCGTATGTTTCTTTTGGCTTCCAGGTATTTGTAAGTTATTTCTGTGTGTGTTAAAAGCGGTTGTGTGTATGGGCATTGCAGGGCTCTCAAGTTTTGAACTAAGCTTAGAGTGAGATTTCCTTGGGGGGGGGGGGGGGGGTAGTATAATAATCTAATAAATACAATGGAGTATGAGGGCCACATTAAGAAAGAAAAAAACATTTTTAAATCTTTGAGATTAAAGTTATTATTTAGGAGAATAAAGTCATTAATGACTTTAAGAATAAAGTAGTAAAGTTACCTGTTGTGGAGGAGAGTTGTTAAAATCAGCACTGAGGAGCATTTAGATGAATTGTACTTTAGTATAGGTTTCACAGACATGGAGATACTTAATCCTTTGGTATATCAGCATTACACTGTCACGAGTATCGGAACTTTAAAAAGAATATATGAGAAATGCTGCTTTTGTGGAGGGGAAATGGCTGTACAGAGGCTAAATTCATCAATGCAGCTGTTAACAGCAATAGCATAGGGCTTTAGTTTATCATATGAGTTTATCTGCCATGAGGTGTTGAGGTCTCTGCATGTGTCGGTTACTGACTTACTGTAATCATCGGGTCTTTCTCGTCCTTATAAAAACCTGCTCTATTTCAGCAAGTGTCTGTCTTCTTCTGTAGTCAAACCGCAAGATATCAAAATCTATCCGGATACAGCAATGCTGCTTTTTGATTGGCTGTTCAGTAGATATACTTTATTTGATTGGCTTGCGCGTGGCACGCAGCTTCTGAACTCTCGGAGAAACTCCGTTGATTTCCCCCTGTTTCATAGTTAAAGAGGTGCAACTTGGTGGACATCACCATGTTCATTTAAATGCGTGAGAAATACAATGTGTGGCGTGTGAGCGTGTGAACAGGTGGGAATGCGTGTGTCTCACGCTGAATGCGTGAGACTTGAGAGCCCTGGCATTGTTTAAAACAGAGCGAACTAATGTAAATATGTAGTGTAAGACTGGATGATATTTGAAAAAACTAACATTGCAATTTTTTCAACTCTGCGATATATATTACGATATTAAAAATAGAGGAATTTTCACCAGATGACCAGAATAGCACTTTATTTTATGCTCCACTGCTGAAATCTTGAGAACAGATAACCTGTTTGTGAATGTTAGTAGAATGGCTTCTGTCTGTCTTAGAGATATTTTTAGCTTGCTTTTATTGTGCTGAGACTTATTTCTCAGAGTGGTAACTCTTCGTCGATAAGTGACATTGCTTTTCTTTTTGCCAACAACAAGTATTCATCTTAAGTGGTAAGTGATGTTGCTTTTATTTTGTCAACAACAAGTATTCATCTTTGGCGGTAAGTGACGTTTAGGCCTGTCACGATAACAAATTTTGCTGGACGATAATTGTGCTACAAATTATTGCCGATAAACGATATTATTGACACCGTTTTTTTAATTATAGGTAATGATAATATATGGCATCATAATGCGAGTACACCATGTCAAAAGCAATAAACTTTAATTGCTCAAGATTAAGAACTTTGAACTAGGATGAACAAATATAATAAACAAGACAACCAAAAAACAATGAAAATAAAATGGACCCACATTCTGTTTTATCAAAAACTGCATTCAAATAAAAAACACAATCACAACTACAAACAATAAAAAAAATAGACCTTGTCACTGGTACGGAACAAAAACTTCACTCCACACATAACTATTAAAACAATAAATAAAGTGGAGTCTCGAGTGTGTAAACAAAATTGCACTAAATATTTAGCTTTGGGTGCTATTCCTCAACAGGTCAACAAAGAACATGCATGCGCACCTCAAGCACAATCATCCCCGCGGATGATTGTGCTTGAGGTGCGCATGCATGTTCGTCGTATTCCCCTTCTTTGTCATCAAAACTTTCGTACAAATGCGACATATCGTCCGTGTTCGTGGGCTCGCCTCTTTCATTTTATTTGAAACCGAAATGTTCCCACACTGGGGCTGTTGCGTTGGGCTTAGACACCAAAGCTGTCGTTTCATCATTCATTGAGTTTGCTCCACACTGTGTCAGTAAGTCTGTGTGTGTGTGTGTGTCTGTGTGCGTGTTAAGTTTTCATCTCCCATTTGTGTTTAAGATATTGGAGTTACGAGTCTGGCGTATTAAAGCACAGCTAGCGTAACGGAAAGGCGGGAACAGAGTTGTGATTTGCGAGGAAGCTATTTACCCAAATCTGGAAAGTCAATCAAAAGTCATCACGACTAAAATGCTGTTAATATGCTTCAAAACTCTTCTACAGGTGATGCAAACAGGGCTACATCCATATACACTTTACCGTTTATAGTATCGTCTGAAGTGCATCAAAGACGAAAACAAAGGACTCTTTTTTTTTTTTTCTTTTTTTTTAAAGACTTAGTGTTTTTTTTCAGTGAGAGAAAATAATTCGGTTGTAGTTTTTGCTTTTTTGTTAACAATGTTAACCTCAGTCCAGAGACTAAATAGCCACAGAAAAAGCTTGATCTGTTTTTCAGTCTTGATGTGTGACTGAATTTGTGATCGTCCGTGGGATCAACCAGATAAGAAGGTAAGAAAAACTTTATTTCCTCGTGTCAAACGTTGCCTTGACATTTGCTACTGGAAATTGAGGGTTATAAAACAATGACTTAATGTTCCTCTGAATTCTGTTAGCTACTCATTTATTTACTGCCCTTGTATCTTATCTTGCTTCTGTTTGTCTTGTTGCTTTTATTGACGAGTTTAATAATGTGCCAAACACCAACTTGTTGATTACTTGATAACTGATAAAAAATATTTCCTTGTTCCTGACTCACTGAGTTGGCAAAAACAATTCCTTGTAATAAGGACAAAAAATGTTAAAAATGAATAGTTCCTTGATTAATAAAAAAAAGAAATATAATGTCTTCTTAATTTATTTAATTCTATTTTTGACATGACACAGAAACAACTCGGGTGATTTTCAGTGCAGCTACAGGAGGAGGATTCTCACAGATCGGACGTTTCAGCATGAACACAACTACAACACCTACAATAACGCAACAGGTAATTTTTCGATTTTTTTGAAAACTTCTTTAAACTTAGCCTTTCACACATGATCCTCCTAAACCTCCAAAATTTCACACAAACATTTAATAATCTCATACAGAATATGTTAAATATTCTGCTTTGTGGATAAAACTGCCACACCACATCTATTTTGGACTGTCCTTGACCTTTAAACTAAGTGGATGAGGGAATTTTATGTTGATTTACTTTTTCTTATCTATTTCGCTAAACAATAAAAAAAGGTTAATTATTAACCACGTTTGGTATACAGTCAGATTCAAAGAAAACTTGATTTCCACTGACATTGAATATTTAAGACTGATGGTTACAGTACATCTGCATCACTTTAGTGGTGTTTCACTGAACTCTGATATATGTTTAGTGTATTTTATTTTACCCAAAAGTGCAGAGATGTACCAGCAATGTGCCAAAGATCAACCCTTCAGTCCTGCACAACCAACTAATGACTTTAAATTGCAATGGAAGCATTATTTATTAATTGCTCACTCGTTAAGTTATAGCCACAGGTAACTACACTAGACCTCAACTGTATCGAGATTTATAGAGTGCAGCTCAAGAAGGAGCAAAATAAAAGTGATTGAAAGCACCTCCTTTCTTCAGTGGAATAAAATCTTGTAGAGATGTTAGCAAAGCTTACTAACAGGTGAACTAACTGCCCCTGTAGCTGGTGTGTATTACTTTAGCATGTTCTTACATGCTGGAGGAAACATTCAATCCTCAATGCATCTGTACAAGAACTCCGAGTGGATGCTTGAGATCGCTAATCATGCATCAAGTGACAGATCTGATGGTGGAGGAAATGCAGGATTCCTTCAGCTGCAGCCAGGAGACCAGGTGTACGTGCGACTTCCTGCAGAACGTCATGTTTGGATGGACAACTACATCACAACTTTTAGTGGATTTTTAGCCAATCTGGTGTGAAACAGATCTGTTAGTGGATTTTTGATGATTGCCGCTGAAATAAATTCACAATAGTATAAAGATTAATAAAAATGCTAAAACCTGAAGTGATTGACTTCCTGTTTCCTTTTTTGTTAATGCTGAATCTCATCTGGTAATCAATAGAATGAAGGCAGACCAAGTTTGTTCATACCCTCCAGAGGATGAACCATTGTTTCCCTATAAATTTATAATGTGAAATATTCTGTCATTATCATTTCTCATGTTCTGAATTAAGTCCTCATAATTAAATGTACTTTTAAAATCCCTCTCTAAACAGACGTCATGAAGAGTTATCTTTTTCTAATATGGCGACTGATTTTGATTGGTTTAAGACATAAACAGACAAATCCATCATGAAACCCTTCTTAAAATGCATATGAAAAAATGAAAAAGGAGTATTTAAGCGTCATTTGTTTTCTTTCTACATGAACTATTACTAATTTAACAAGCAGTTTGATCAAACTATTCAAAAGCCATAACAATAATTAAACGGCTTTAACCTGCTTTTCACTCTCAGATTGAGGTCAGTGAGTTCAACCTGGCCTAGATTAGTCCACGGTAACTTCTGAGTAAAAGAAAAAAGACTGTAACGTTGGGTCCTGATCCAGATAATAGAATCTAGATCTGGGCTGCAGTCTGCCCACCTCAATTGCTTCCTTAATGCGAGTCCTTACATCTTAACAGGACAAGTAAACCAAGACATCATTTAACTTTTACCCAGAGTGTCCCTGTCCCAAGTGCATATGTGGACACCCTTATGTCTGAACATGTTTTTTTTCATGGACAATCTGTGACGAGCACAAAATTTCAATTACAAAGCACCACTCTGGTTCAGATCGGGCATTCCTCCCAATCACGCCTCTCCAGGTCTCACTGTCGTTGCTAACAAAGGCAGTGAAGACCCCCGGCAGAACCAGGGAATCCCCAGGAAAGAGCACTCTCCAGCACCCCATCTAAAGACTCCAAGAAGAGTGGAAACTCTGAGATGTTGTGTGGAGCATAGGCACAAACAACAGTCAGGATCCATTCCCTCGACCAAAGATGAATGTAAGCTACCCTCTTGTCCATTGGGGTATTGACACCCCTGTGTGGCGCCTATCACCAGTGGCAACCCCAGAGTGGAAAGAGTCCAACCCCTCTTGAGAGGACTGGTTCCAGAGCCCACGCTATACATTGAGGTGAGTCTGACTGTATCTAGCCAGAACCTCTTCATCTTGCGCACCAGCTCAGACTCCTTCTCTGCAAGAGAGGTGACATTTTATGTCCTTAGAGCTAGATTCTACAGCTGAGGATCGGACCGTCAAGGTCCCAGCCTTTGGCTACCACCCCACTGAATGAGGGGAATTTTTCATTTCCATGGGACAATAAAAAGATGTCCTGCTGTATAGATTTATTAACATATGAACAAGAACAAGGAAACAAAATGAAAGTTCGAGTTAATCATTGTTCTTGTCTTTGTATACAGTCAGATTTGGGTCACTTTATCTCCAGGAGGACTGATAAAAATGGTTGTAAAGCACAGTCCCTGCTGATGCATAAAGAGACTCAATAAAAGAGTTGTTTCACCCTTTTTTATGACCCATGTTTGAAGAAGCATTTTCACAGAAAAACTGTTTTTCACTGATATTTCATATTTGAGACTGATGGTTACAGAACAAATACATCTGCATCACTTCTGTAGTGTTCTGCTGTACTCTCTGATATCTGTTTACTATGTTCAGTTGCCCTATTTTTCTCTTTTATGCCCTGCACAAACAACTAATGATTAAGTGTCCCAGTGAATGCATTATTTCCTTATTGCTCACTCATTTACTTTTATAACAGTTTTCTAAAGAAAAGATACGAAGCCACGCATCTGATTGGATTGCGAAATGCTACAAGTCATCATGAAATACTATTTAACCAGCCAGGAGGGTCTCAGCAGTCAAAGCTGAGGAGTCTTGTTTCTGAAACAACTTGGAAAATGAATTTCAACATCTTGTTTGGTTTCTTCTTGCTCTTCTGTATCTCAGTTTCAGCCCAGGAGGAGAGCAATGCTCTTAATACAAGATCGTGCAATCTGCTGCAGGAATTTGGTGCAATGACAGAAAAACTCAAAGCTATGGAGGCCACGCTGCAGGACACTCAAACCAGACTACAGGACACTGAAACCAAGCTGCAGGACAATGCGAACCAGATGCGAGTATTGAGGAACAAAGGTAAAGTGAAGTACTGAGACTGTGATGAAGAAATTGTGAGAAATTAAGAGAATATTTTTAGGATGAAAATTTTGTGGTTTAAATGATGCCAGTGAGTTGTGTAGAAATCTATTTTTGCGACACCTATTACAATCTAGCATACATGCTCATCCAAGTCAGTAACATGTTGAAGATTAACAACAAAAGTTCAATTTCAGCCTTGAGAGGGCTGATGGCGGCATGATGCTGATCCACTGGTAAATAAACAGTAGATTCTGAAGTATTGATATGATATATGTTTTGTTTGACACAGAGGAAACTAAAGTGGTATTCAGCGCCGCATTAGGAGGACCAGAAAGAAACATTGGACCATTCAACACAAACATAACCCTGGCCTTCAGGAAAGTGAATGCGAACATCGGCAACGCCTACAATGCAGCCACAGGTAATTACAGTAGACTAGAACAATGAGTTCAACTCATGAGATGTTAGCTAAGCTTACTAAAAGGTGAGGACTATAGATCTGTGATCACTCTGTTGTGTCCACAGGTATCTTCACTGCCCCTGTAGCTGGTGTGTATTACTTTAGCATGTTCTTACATGCTGGAGGATTCAGAACAGGGGCGATGCTTCTGTTCAAGAACTCCAAGCTGATGCTTCAGATCTATGAACATCCATCAAATTCTGACAGATCTGATAATGGAGGAAACGCAGGATTCCTTCTGCTGCAGCGAGGAGACCAGGTGTACGTGCAACTTCCTGTAGGTTCTCATGTTTGGGCGAACAACTACAGCACAACTTTTAGTGGATTTTTAGCTAATCTAGTGTGAAAATAAAGGTGCTGTATGTCTGCTATTTTCTATATGAAGATGAATTTGAAATCAAAACTCACTGATTGTAGCTGTCGGTCTGATTAAATCAACTTCTAGTGGATTTTTGATGATTGTCGCTGAAATAAATACACAAAAGTAAAAAGATTATTCGAAATGCTAAAACCTGAAGTGAAAAACTTTTAGTGGATTTTTAGCCAATCTGGTGTGAAACAGATCTGTTATATGTTTGATTTTTTTCTATAAAAAGATAAATTCACTGATTGTAACTTCGGGTCTGATATAACCAACTTCTAGTGGATTTTTGATGATTGCCGCTGAAATAAATTCACAATAGTATAAAGATGAATAAAAATGCTAAAACCTGAAGTGATTGACTTCCTGTTTCCTTTTTTGTTAATGCTGAATCTCATCTGGTAATCAATAGAATGAAGGCAGACCAAGTTTGTTCATACCCTCTAGAGGATGAACCATTGTTTCCCTATAAATTTATAATGTGAAATATTCTGTCATTATCATTTCTCATGTTCTGAATAAAGTCCTCATAACCAAATGTACTTTAAAAATCTCTCTCTAAACAGACGTCATGAAGAGTTATCTTTTCCAATATGGAGACTGATTTTAATTGGTTTAAAGTGGCATCATTGCGACTGTGTCCATGTGAATATTTAAGTAAATCTTCCATTTCCATTCTAGTAAAAATGAAATAAAGACATAAACAGACAAATCCATCATGAAACCCTTCTTCAGATGCATTTACAAAAATGAAAAAGGAGTATTTAAGCATCCTTTGTTTTCTTTCTACATGAACTATTAATAATGTAAGCAGTTTGATCAAACTATTCAACAACCATAACAACAACTAAACAGGTGAAGGGACCAGAAAACAGTAGTGAGAATTTACATCTTTACGACAACAGTCACTAATTATTGCTTCACTGATGACTCCTATTTTGGCTCTTTAAAGAAAACTAAAACTTGCTTTGTCTTAAAGAAAGAAGGTTTCAAAGACACTAAACATATGATTGATTAAAACAGTTTTCCAGTAAACTCACTCGCTTTATTGTCGCCAATCCACTGAGCCAACATTAAACTGATTTCTTAGATCATTACAAGACTGGTAAACCATGTGTCAAATGCAGTGTTGAAAATTAACTGCTCATGATTAAAGGTGAGCAGATAGATGATATCAGGAGACAAAGCGATCTTAAATCAAGTTGAAAGATGGCTCAGTGGATGTTCTTGCTGTGCTGGGGCTTGATCTCAGCCCAGGAAGACGAAAACCCAAATGAAATAGTTCAGCTGGATGAAACCTATTCCAACTTTCCAGACATGTGCGAACTCCTCCAGAAGTTTGATACTCTGATGAAAAATTCAGAGGAATGGAAACCAGCCCACAGGAAATTCAAACCAGGCTGATAGATGATGAAATGAAAATGAAGACCAATGAAAACCAGATTCAGGAGCTGAGGAACAAAGGTAAACCCCAGGACTTTATTGGCAAAATTATTTTTTTTCCCCAAACAGAAATATGACATTTTTAACATACTATACTATGATATTTTTGTCATACTATACTATGACCTGAATTTTCATGCTAAATTTTTATTTTTTTCTGCAGACAAAAATATTAATTTGTTAACATGCTACTATGACCTTAATTTTCATGCTAAAATTGGATTTTTTTTGCAGACAAAAATATGAAGTTTTTAACATATTATACTATGACACTTTTTTCATGCTAGAGAATGATTTTTTTTTTCACACAAAAATATGATTTTTTTTAACATACTATACTATGAATTTTTTTTTCTGCAGGCTTAAATTTTTTTTAATTTTTTTTCACCCTCAAATTGGAGACTTTTTACGTACTATACCATGACAGGGCGACAGAGTGGTGTAGTGGTTAGCACTGTCGCCTCACAGATAGAAAGACCTGGGTTCAAATCCCGCTCAGGACGTTTCTTTGTGCAGTATGCATGTTCTTCCTGTGTCTGCGTGGGTTTACTCCGGGTACTCCGGTTTCCTCCCACATCCCAAAAACATTCCTGAGTGCTGTTAGGTTAAGTGGACACTTTCAAATGGCCCATAGGTGTGAATAAGAGCGTGAATGGTTGATCATCTCTATATTTCAGCCCTGGCGACTTGTCCATGGTGTCCCCTGCCTTCGTGAAGATGCTGGGAAAGACTCACGTCCAGACCTTAATTTTCATGCTAAAATTTGACTTTTTAACATACTATACTATGGCATTTTTTTGCAGGCTAAAAAATGATTTTTTTCTTTCACCCTAAATTTGACATTTTTAACATACTATACTATAATATTCTTATCATACTATACTATGACCTTAATTTTCATGCCAAATTTTGAATTTTTTTTTTCCACACAAAAATATGACATTTTTAACATACTATACTATGGCATTTTTTTGCAGGCTAAAAGGTGATTTTTTTCTTTCACCCTAAATTTGACATTTTTAACAGACTATACTATAATATTCTTATCATACTATACTATGACCTTAATTTTCATGCCAAATTTTGAATTTTTTTTTTCCACACAAAAATATGAAATTTTAACATACTATACTATGGCATTTTTTGGCAGGCTTAAAAAATGATTTTTTTCTTTCACCCTTAATTTGACATTTTTGTCAACCTATACCATCATATTTTTATCATACTATACTATGACCTTAATTTTCATGCCAATTTTGAATTTTTTTTTCCACACAAAAATATGAAATTTTTAACATACTATACTATGGCATTTTTTTGCAGGCCAAAAGAAAGATTTTTTTCTTTCACCCTTAATGTGACATTTATAACCTACTATACTATAATATTCTTATCATACTAAACTATGACCTTAATTTTCATGCTAAATTTTAAATTTTTTCTTCTACACAAAAATATGAAATTTTTAACATACTATACTAAGGCATTTTTTTGCAGGCCAAAAAAAAGATTTTTTTCTTTCACCCTTAATTTGACATTTCTAACCTACTTTACTATCATATTCTTATCATACTAAACTATGACCTTAATTTTCATGCTAAATTTTTAATTTTTTTTCCACACAAAAATATGACATTTTTAACATACTATACTATGGCATTTTTTTGCAGGCTAAAAGATGATTTTTTTTCTTTCACCCTAAATTTGACATTTTTAACAGACTATACTATAATATTCTTATCATACTAAACTATGACCTTAATTTTCATGCTAAATTTTTAATTTTTTTCCACACAAAAATATGACATTTTTAACATACTATACTATGACATTCTTTGCAGGCTAAAAAATGATTTCCTTTTTCACCCAAAATTTGACATTTTTGTCAACCTATACCATCATATTTTTATCATACTATACTATGACCTTAATTTTCATGCTTAATTTTTAATTTTTTCTTCTACACAAAAATCTGAAATTTTAACATACTATACTATGGCCTTTTTTTGCAGGCCAAAAAAAAGATTTTTTTCTTTCACCCTAAATTTGACATTTTTTACAGACTATAAGATCATATTCTTATACTATTCTATGACCTTAATTTTCATGCTAAATTTTTAATTTTTTCTTCTACACAAAAATATGAAATTTTTAACATACTATACTATGGCCTTTTTTGCAGGCCAAAAGAAAGACTTTTTTCTTTCACCCTTAAATTTGACATTTATAACCTACTACACTATAATATTCTTATCGTACTTAACTATGACCTTAATTTTCATGCTAAATTTTTATTTTTTTCTTCTACACAAAAATATGAAATTTTTTAACATACTATACTATGGCATTTTTTCGCAGGCTAAAAAATGATTTGTTTTCTTTCACCCTTAATTTGACATTCTTGTCAACCTATACCATCATATTCTTATGATACTATACTATGACCTTAATTTTCATGCTAAATTTTTAATTTTTTCTTCTACACAAAAATATGAATTTTTTAACATACTATACTATGGCATTTTTTTGCAGGCCAAAAAAAAGATTTTTTTCTCTCACCCTAAATTTGACATTTTTAACAGACTATAAGATCATATTCTTATCATACTATTCTATGACCTTAATTTTCATGCTAAATTTTTAATTTTTTCTTCTACACAAAAATATGAAATTTTTAACATACTATACTATGGCATTTTTTTGCAGGCCAAAAGAAAGATTTTTTTCTTTCACCCTTAATTTGACATTTTTAACAGACTATAAGATCATATTTTTATCATACTATTCTATGACCTTAATTTTCATGCTAAATTTTAAATTTTTTCTTCTACACAAAAATATGAAATTTTTAACATACTATACTATGGCCTTTTTTTGCAGGCCAAAAAAAAATTTTTTTTCTTTCACCCTTAATTTGACATTTATAACCTACTATACTATAATATTCTTATCATACTAAACCATGACCTAAATTTTCATGCTAAATTTTAAATTTTTTCTTCTACACAAAAATATGAAATTTTTAACATACTATACTATGGCCTTTTTTTGCAGGCCAAAAAAAGATTTTTTTCTTTCACCCTTAATTTGACATTTCTAACCTACTTTACTATCATATTCTTATCAAACTAAACTATGACCTAATTTTCATGCTTAATTTTGAATTTTTTTTCCACACAAAAATATGACATTTTTAACATACTATACTATGGCATTTTTTTGCAGGCTAAAAGATGATTTTTTTCTTTCACCCTAAATTTGACATTTTTAACACACTTTACTATCATATTCTTATCATACTATTCTATGACCTTAATTTTCATGCTAAATTTTTAATTTTTTCTTCTACACAAAAATATGAAATTTTTTAACATACTATACTATGGCATTTTTTTGCAGGCCAAAAAAAAGATTTTTTTCTTTCACCCTTAATTTGACATCTCTAGCCTACTATACTATAATATTCTTATCATACTAAGCTATGACCTTAATTTTCATGCTAAATTTCTAATTTTTTCTTCTACACAAAAATATGAAATTTTTAACATACTATACTATGGCATTTTTTTGCAGGCTTAAAAAAAGATTTTTTTCTTTCACCCTTAATTTGACATTTCTAACCTACTTTACTATCATATTCTTATCATACTAAACTATGACCTTAATTTTCATGTTAAATTTTTAATTTTTTTCCACACAAAAATATACTATACTATGGCATTTTTTTGCAGGCTAAAAGATTATTTTTTTCTTTCACCCTAAATTTGACATTTTTAACAGACTATACTATAATATTCTTATCATACTAAACTTTGACCTTTATTTTCATGCTAAATTTGAATTTTTTTTTGAATTTTATTTTTTTTAATTGTATATACTGAGAGAGTTCACTCCTGTGCCAAGGAAAGTCATGTCTCTACTCATAATAGCACAAAACATAGCACCAATGAGCCAACACTTTAAGATTCTTTCAGCATGATATTTTCTATTTTCTCCTTAAGGGTGAGGCTACGTTTTGTCTTTGTAATGTATGGTTACACCCTAAGGCGGTTAAATACTATCCACACAATGACCTTATAAAAATGAATAGAAAACACCTTCAAAACTTGGCCATAAATGACTAAAAAAATAAACAAAGATCAGGTAATGAAAAGCAACAGGGTAGAAGTCCCCCTCCAAATGATGACTATGACTTCACATGAGCAGAGCTAGAATTAAAAGGAGAACAAGGACCAACAGGAAACATATGATAATGTTAACCCAGAAACAAATATCTCTGTTCACTGGAATGATTCCTTCGTCTCCCACTTGCCGTACGTCGAGGAAAAGATGAAACATTTAAGTTAGGAGAGCGAGTCCACCGCTGGATCCACTGCAGTCACAAAGAAACAGAGTCATGGTGAAAAACCAAACCAAACAGTCTTTAACAAATTACAGTAGCTAACCAATCCTTGACCACAGCGGACACATTTACTGAGATGAACTTTTAACGAATAAGAGAGGCCTTTTTTTAATTCTTTAATCCTTAAAAGAGCTTTAACATTTCTGTTTGAGTGTCAGTGACTGTAGGAAAAGAGTATGATTCACCGTTTAACACAGTTATGTACCAATTGACAATATGTTAATGAAGGCATATTACTATCAAATCTGAGTGTTCACCTGAAGGGATCCTATCCCTACCTTGGGTGCACCCATTCATGTCCTGGTGGATCTTCAGGCCATCATAGGTTGTGTGTTCGTGCCAGCCGCAACTGCAGATCCAGACGCTCTTTCTGGCTGGTTTGGTTTTCTGGGGGGTTAAATAAAGTGGATATTTTTAAAGAAATAACTCCAAAAGAAACAAAACTTCATATTATGCATCTCAGCACAGAGATAATTCAATTGAGACATTTATAATTAAATCTAAAGTGAGTCCCTCGAGTCTTGACCAGAAAAGAGCCTGAAAATTTTGCGTATCAGACTTTTTTTTGGACTTTGTTCTTTTGTTTTCTCAAAAGTGAGCCTGGTCCGATACACCAATGGGACCAGTACACAAGTACTGAATACAGAACTAAGTTCTTCATTGTCTTGTTCATTGTTTACCGAGCCAAAGGCTGCAGTTTCAGGACAGCTAAAACAAAGTGTTTCAGACGGAGTTTCCTGTTAATTAAGCTAAAACAACTTAATTGGCTAACGGTGACTGGCTGCAGGAAAGGTCATGAGAATTCTACAGTACCGGTTTTTCATCAGGGGAGGGAAAAAGCCTTCGCTGAGCGTTGGTGGCGCCAAGAGGACCTTTGATTGGTGTCTCAGATCCTGCAGATGAGAAGGACATCACAGTTACACAAGGGTCATTTGTGTTAAATTACCAATGCTCTGTGCCATCAGTTTTCTGATGTCACTGATATTGTGCAATATACCTGTTTGGTCTGTGGTGGCAGCACTTGCTTGGTTGTCAAAGGTCTGTGGTGTTGGCAAAAAAAAAAGTGTAAGTTGTGGTTTTCATTTCATAAAAACTCCTCTGTTTCTAACATCTGTTATTGTTTCTCAGTCTTTTTGGTTAAATATATGGTAGGTGACGACCCAAAGTTAATGGGCCATCAAAATGGAAAAAAATGGATTCTTGTATCTTTTGACACAAACGGAAATCTTTACCTGAGCATCACTGGAGACTGCAAGAGCTTCAACATATCTGAATGAGTTTGTTCCAATTAGCTGCAAGAAAATGGCTGTAGGAAAAGAGACTGAATCACTGTTTAGCACAACTGATTACTCAAACCTCCTGAAAAATTATAAAATCTGAGTGTTCACCTAAAGGGATGTTAACTCCACCCTGGATGCATCCATTCTTCTTCTGGTGGATCTTCAAGCCATCGAAGGTTTTGATACTGTACCAGCCACAGCTGCAGATCCAGAGGCTCTTTTTGGCGGGTTTGGTTTTCTGGTGGGTGAAAGTCAAAATGAAACAAACGTACGGTAGATATTTTCAAAGAAAAAACTCCAAAAGAAACACGGATCTACATATTATGCATCCCAGCATAGAGCTAGTTCAATTGAGCCATTTATAGTTATAGTAGTTTATAGTTAGTCTCTCGTTAAAGCTTTAAAATTTTGTGTGTGTTTTTTTGTACTTTTTCTTTCATCTCAAAAGTAAACCTGGTCCAATACACTTGTGTGACCAATATACCTGTACTGAATACAGAGATAAGCCTTGTGTATTTGCTGAGCCAAAGGCTGCAGTTCCAGGACTGCATCTTTGTGTCATGATCTGTGCTGTGAAATCCACTTCCTGTTTTATTTTGAAGATCCTGTTTTTCCTGTGTTGCTGTCACCTTTACTTCCGGTCTTTGTTCCTTTTCCCGCCTTAGTTAATTACCCCATTGGCTTCACCTGTGTTTTGTTCCCTTCCCTATTTAACCCCTCCTCACTAGCTCTTCCCTGCCAGATTGTCTTTGTCTCTTTAGCACAAGCTCTCTCGCGTTCTTTGATATATCTCTGCTCCCCTTGTATGACCTGTTTTGATCCTGGATTTTTGATTCTTGCCTGTCCCTCTGGTTTTTGTCGCCTGATTATTTGCTGCTCTGATTTTGACCCTGCCGGGTTTTTTTGTGACTGGAATAAAAGAGTTTGCCCTTTGGAAACTGAACTATTGCCTCACGTCCTCTGCTTTTGGGTCCACACACTCTCGGCGCCTCACACTTTGAGTCCCAGGTATTTGCATGACTGTTAGAGATAGGGTTAGGCAGTTCAGCACTCACTCCCTCGGCATCATCCATCTTAACATGAAAACTTGGCCTTTACTGACCCAGTGCACCAATGGGGGCGTCATTGCAAACCTCAGGGGTCTGAGGCTTATTCCCCCACATTTTATTATAATAACCCTTTTGGACCTGGTTTGATTAAAAAACTACTACTTCTGGTACAGAGAAGCAGCCTGAGGTCATGCCTCATGGTAACGGAGATGGTAATCCTGCTCCGCGGCATGACTCCATTGACCAGCCAAAACATGCAGCTCTGTCCCAGGTTGATCTCCAAAAAAAACCTCTGGAACCTTTTTGGGCCAAGACAATCTACCTCAGCTTCACGATTGGACAACTGCAAGCAAACAAATGAACCAATCCACTGATGTCTGCTCCATGGGGCTCACAGAGTGCCTGCCAGTCTGTCACCTAAAAACAGCCCTGCAATGTGACATATGTGTCCTCTGACCATGTCCTTACCGTGTTTGTGGTTGCAGGCATCTTTTTGCGGGGGGTGAGGTGAACCAGGTTGTGGTCTGCCTTACCAAGGGGGCGGAGGGATTTAGCATCATAAGCGTCCTTCAAATTAGCAAACAGCAAGTCCAGGGTCTGCTCCTTCCTTGTCGGGATGTCCACATACTGTGTGAAGGCAGTCAGTGTTTCTTCCATGTTGACACGATTGAAGTCCCCAGCAATAAGGATGAGGGCACTGGGGTGTCCTGTCTTTAGTTCGTCTATAGTTTCGCGGATGACATCGTGTACTGTAGCTCGTTTAGCATTGCACTTGATGTAAACAACCACCATGAAAACATGTGACATCTCCTGAGGCACACGATATGGGTCGAGTTCCAAGGCCAGCAGTTCAATATCCGTCAAACAGATGCGTTTTCTCTCAGTAATATGACGAGGGTTGCACCATCTGTTATTTACAAGCACAGCAAGTCCCCCACCTCTTTTCTTACCAACCTCATCAAGCATCCGGTCTGCCCGGAAAGTCTGGAAGCCTTGGATGGTGAGAGTGTGACACTCACGTAGCCACGTTTCCGTAAAACACATCAAACTGCACTCACGAAACTCCACCTCTTCCTTGACAAGACGCTTTAGCTCTTCAATTTTTTTAACCACAGAATTCATGTTGCTTATTATGAGAGAGGGTAGATCGTGTTGTTGCAAGACGGCACGGTCATTTACACTCAGATTTCCCATAGCACTTTCAATGTCAAAAGTGGTGGAATTGGGTTGCGTATCATCAGGATTTGTCATTCCCTTCGGCTTGTGTCCTTCCTCCCCCTGGTGGGTGCTTGGGCCTTGCTGGGTTGCCATTATGGATTAGCTGGAACTGCCAACTTGGAGGCTGTTGTTGGGTGATGTCCAGAGAACCTCTGGAGAAGTTGCTTATCAGAAGAACGCAGACTCATGAGAGGGGTGGGTCTTCGTTTTTTTATTATCTGAAAATCATGTAAAGCTATTAAAGGGCTATCAGAAACTACAGTCTAAACAAAAGTGTAATAACCTCTCTTTAAAAATTGTTTAAAGTGCAAAATAGTGGAGCTTTAAAAATGCTCATTTAAATGTTTTAAATCTTGATTAAGTTTGCATCATCTGCAGGTTACTGGGATCTTAATGAATAAGACGACACTGAACTTAGAGTTTCTCTCTGAAAGCTGCAATAAAATAACCTTTAATTAAACTATCATAACAATAATCAAGTTGAGACACATTATCCACTATGTTTGCAGTTAAATTACTTTGATTTCAAAGATTTTTTTCTTCTCCAGTTTTTAAAGAACTTGTTAAGTTTATTAAACACTGCAAATGCTTTTAATTAAAGACAAAATAAGCCAGAGCAGATCTTGAACAGCTCACCCTGATCTTCTGTCTCCTCGTCCTCCTGTGTGCTCTGACATCAACTTTCCTGTGGTTCCTCTTTATTTATTGCTCGATTGCCACAGCAAAGGAGATGGGACCAAAACATGTAACTCTGTCTTTGGATGACCTCCAAAAAGCTTCTAGGGAAGTGGCTAATCAGAAGATAACAGACTCATGAAGGGTGAATTTTTTTTTTTTTTTATCGGAGTCCGAAAAATGTTTAAACCCCCTTTTTAAAAATGGTTTTGAAATGCAGAAAAGTTGAGTTTCAAAGACGCAATTTAAAATATTTTTTTTTATTATTAAGATTAAACTTTCTGCATTCTATTGTGATATTAACAAACTAATCATTTACATAAATAAACACAAAAAGTGCCGTCTGCATGCCCTACCATTGGATACAAGAGAGATTATAAAATGAGGAAGACAAAAACGATGATTCAAGAAATGTTTGTATTTTTATTATCAAGATTTTGGACTTCATAGAACATTGTTCCCACTCAAAGTTTAACACACTGTTTATAAATAGTTTTTTTGTCTAATGTCGTTAAATAAAAGGCTTCATTCTGGAAACACACTGAGACTTTTGACATACATTTTCATGATTAGCACCCAACAGAAGGTGCCACATGTAAACAACTGTTCACATCGTACAACCTCAATGTCTCCAAGTAACAACATCCATTATGTTTTTCAATTGGGTATGACTTGTGGACCATAACATGTATAAGCATTAAGTGGGGCCCTTTTATTGTGGTTGATGACCGATCTCAAGTTTTAGTGAATTTATAACTATTCCACTAGAAATAGCAAAAACTCCGTCCGCCAATCACAGTTAGGTCGAATTCATTACGGTTTTGTTATCTGGTAAGTTTTGCCATCTAATTTTTCAAATCTGTTTCTTTTACAGTTAAAAAAAAAAGCTGTTAAATGTTTGTTCTTGTATTTGCATTGTTATAGGACACCAATGTATTCTTATCATAATTCACTTTGTGGACTGGTATGTTGAGCTGCTGACAGTTTCATTGGATTACCGCCACCTTTCCTTCTGTCTTATTAGTATCAGAAACTATAGTATTTTGCAGATATTGGATCCAAAAGGGTTCCACCATTGGTACTTTCAAACCCCCAATTCTGACAGAAAAAAATTGCAGAAAATGTACCATTCCCATTTGACCAAACCCAACTTTTGTACATCTGAGTTCCCTCACCAACAAACTCATGTAATCTTCATGACAAGTCCACGTCCCCTTCAAAATTTCTCAAAGGATAACCAAGGGATCTGCGTTTTTCTGACCTTTTTTGACATGTGGGCTGAAGTACGGAAAGATCTTATCATTGAATGAACACTTAGTAAAAGAGTAGATGTGGGAGTTTGCTCTCACATCGTAAAATGACACAACACCTTCCTCGTAGTCCACAAACACTCCCACCTTCTGAGGTTTCTTCTTCGGGTAAAGAGGAACTGGTGGAGCTGTCATGGCTGCATACTTTTCTTCTTCATAATGCACAGCAACCCAGTACCCATTATCTGGGGTCATTGAGAGATTACCTTTACGGTTTGCACCACCTCTTACCACCCCCAGATCCCACCCAGTTTTGTTCCTGACCTCAACCTCCCAGTAGGACTTCCCAAGATGGCAACTTGTCGAGCCCAAGGATGCTGCCAAACACATCAAACCGCTTTGGAGAATCAGCGACTTTCTGGTTCTCTCCACTATCTCTGACCTCTTTGCCATCTTCAGAAAGAGCAAGGCGTGGGTGTGCAGTAGCTGGGTCAAGCTTTACATCCACTGCTGAGAACAAGTTGCAAACAACTGTTACATCAAGACTCTACAGTCAATATTTGGAAGCATATCATGAGAGAGAAACAGACTGTAACACACACCTTTAAACTTGGTGATTCTTTGAAGTTCTATGAAGTAAAGAAACAACTTCAGATTAATGCAGTCAACAATAATCTTTTACTTTTACCGCTTTGGTTTAACTCTTACCGATGGGGGTCAGCTTCTCTACTTCCTTTTGAATTGATTCCATCATGGTGGTTGTGATTTCTTTCATGGTGCCAAATGACAGTGATGTGTTCAGCTCTACCTCTGGGCAATCTTCGATGCTGTCCAGGTCTTGGAGAAATGGGTAACCCTGAGACAAGAAGAGCAGATATGTAATTCCTATTGCATTTTCGGCAGTCCTAGTTATTTGGTTCCACTCTAACATCCCGCTTGTTCTTTTGAATGGAGTGTAAAGTGTCCATCTAACCCTAAAAACACCCTTTAAGTGAACTGTTTGCAGACACAGGCTTCAAATAGAGTCGCAGAGGAATGTACAGTTGCTACAGCCATCCACCAACAGTTTCATGACACGGTTCCAGTCCATTAATATTGGTATCAGCCTCTGGTACTGGTCAAATTCCCAAAGGATGGCACTACAGCTGTAGTTGAGAGATGGGTGCGTCGATATGTTCAGAGGTGGACCTTGATTGTGTGTATGAAATACCAATTAGATGTAACACTTTATGAGGGAGTTACAATAACTCCCTGTTTCATGACCGGATGTCAAAGTTTGGTCAAAGTCCTAGGGCAAGTTTGACACAATATCATCTGTGCAAATTGCTTAAAATCAGACGTTCAACTCAATTTGTAAAGACTTAGCGGCCAAAAACCACGGTCTGTTCCTCAGAAATGACCTCTCACCTGTAAGAATAGGATGTGATCCTCAAGTTCAGATATTTCCTTAAGCTTATAGAAGGTTTTCTCAAGCTGTTGGATCTCTCCTCTCAACTTCTCTTCAATGTGTTTAGCCTCCTCTTCCATAGCCTTCCTTCTGTCCTGGATTGGCTGAAGAGCTGCCGCACGGGCTTCCTCCACAATGGCAAGAACAGCTCCGAACACGGCATCAATGTCTTCCATCTCGTTGTTCAGCTGGTCCTTAAAATAGAGGCAAAGACAGATTGTCTGTTTGTGTTCTTTAACAGTTTACAACAATGTTTGTCACTTAAAAAGCAGAGACAGGGATTCTTTGTTTGGGAACTTCAACTCCTGAGAGGGATCAAATTTAAGACGATCCAATGAGCCCTGGTTTGGATTTTAGTCCACAAGGAAGTTCCATCATTTGACTTGCTCCCTTTTCTACCACACTGTTTGTTGACACTAACTGGTCTGATCCCCTTTCAGTTCGGGCTAATCAAGGACCACAGAGATTTAAACTCTTACAACTTACCTCGCAGTCCATCAGTGATACGTTTATCTCATCTGTCCGAGTCGTTCTCTTTTCAATTTTCTTCCGTAACTCCATCATTGTGTCATCAAGCCTCGCCTTGAGGTAACCAAGAGACAAAATCAGAATCCTTATCACCACAAACTCACCAAAGCATCAACCATAAAATGATAAGGCCATCCGTGTGGGAGCTCACCCTTTTCCCTTTCCATTCTTCCTCAGTAGTAACCACCCCCTCTTTATCTTCTTCCATACAGAGAGCACAAATGCACCTTCCCGACTTCCTGCTGAACAGCTCCAAGGGGCGTCCATGCTGGAGACAGGCCCTGTCATCCAAGTTCTCCACAGGTTGCACCAACTTGTGGCCCTTAAATCTTTTAGTTGAAGAGTGATTCTTCAAGTGGGTGGAACAATACGAGATGAGACACATGAGGCAAGACTTCAAGGCTTTCAGCTTGTTCTCCGTGCAGATGTCACAAGCCACTTCACCAGGTGCCCCGGTGTACTCATCACGTGTCTTTGCTGTCTCCTCTTTCATGTCTTCCTTATGGTCTTTCAGGATGATGTCCACCTCTGGGTTTTTTCTCTGATGCTGCTGCAGAGAGACACACCCTGTCATTGTCATTAAAGTTGCAGATCAGACAGTACTAACAGAAAGAGTGGCCACGAGCTGTTGTGACAGGATGCTCAAACAGATCCATGCAGATGGTGCAGATGAGGGGCTTCTTCGTTGATCTGGTCTCATGGGGTGACTCTTAAAAGAATCTTTGCCAGATGTTTTTTGGCTTTTACTTTTGGATTTGTCTAAATTCTGAGTGCATTTTTATTTCAGGACATTAAATTACTCTTGTCATTACCAAGTCATGCCTCTCCAGGTCCCACTGCTGTTGCCAACATAGGTGTTGAAGACCCCCAGCAGAGCAGGGGAATCCCACTCACCAGTACCCCTTCTAAAGACTCTAAAAGCGGCGGATACTCTGAGCTGCTGTTTTGAGTATAGGCACAAACAATAGCAAGGATATGTCCCCCCACCTGAAGGCAAGGGAGGCTTCCCTCTTGTCCACTGGGGTGAACCCCAACATGCAGGCACCAAGCCAGGGAAAGAGAAGTATTACCACCCCTATCCAGCTCTCAAGGGGACTGGTTCTGGAGCCAACACTATGGGTTGGGGTTGGTCTAACTATATCTAGCCAGAACCACTCCACCTTGCAGACCAGCTCAGGCTCCTTCCCCACCAGAGAGGTGACATACCACGTCCCTAGTACTAGCTTCTATCTCATTATTCTCGTTGTTGATGTGTCATGTTAGGATTTGCTCGCTAAAACACAATTTTTCTCCATTGTGTATCCTGCCAACAGGTTGCTATAGCCTACACTTGGTTTGTTTTAGATTTTGCACAAGCTTGTTACCACTGAAGTACCCAGGATAGACTGAACTTTTCAAACAGTCTTTATCACAGAAACACATCAGAAGGCACACAACCCTCTTGCTATCATAGCATTAACTTGATGGTTAAATTAATCTATGCCATGAGCTGCACTGTGGATAAAAAATATCTATTTCTTTAAAGTTTTAGCGGAAATCTGACTCAAATGCAATCCTGCAGAGTACGGGTAACAATTTCCAGATATAGGAAACAAGGACCAGACATGGACAACAAACTAGCTTCAGCTAGAAGTCCTGCATACCCAGCGTTGGTTGCTCTTTAATTTGATGCAACAATGCAAATAAAAAAAAAATTTAAAAAAATATTAGATGAACCCTTGGCTAACATGGAAGGCAAAGTCATAGCAAGCTTGAAACTTTTATTTTGTCTAGAAATTTATAAAATTTGGTCAAAAATGGGGGTAGTGGCTGGCAACTTTTCCCAAACATTACAGTACCTGTACCTGTACCTGTTTTTTATCAGGGGAGGGAAAAAGCCTTCGCTGAGCGTTGGTGGAGATACCAGAACCTTGCGTTGGTGTCTCAGACCCTGCAGATGAGAAGGACATCACAGTTACTTTAGAGTCCTGTGTATAATGTTACCATCACTCTGTCCCATCAGTTCTTTGTTGTGACTGATACTGTGGAGCGTACCTGTTTGGTCTGTCACGTCCTCTTCCATCTCTTTGGTGGCAACACTTGTTTGGTTGTCAACAGTCTGTGAGGTTTGTGCATTTTGCGCAGGCTAATGAAAGAAGTGAAATTGAGTAAATACGGAGCACAAATGAGTAACCTGGACAGTGTTCACGTTCTTTGGGAAACAATGACTGGTTTAGTTAGTTAGCTGGACTTTTCTGTTGGACACTCAGTAAAACTGTTTTCATAGAGTTTCCTGTAAATTAAGCTATAACAACTTAATTGGCTAACGGTGACTGGCTGCAAGAAGGTCATGAGAATTCTTCAGTACCTGTTTTTCATCAGGGGAGGGAAAAAGCCTTTGCTGAGCTTTGGTGAAGATACGAGAATCTTGCCATGGTGACTCAGACCCTGCAGATAAGAAGGACATCACAGTTACTTTAGAGTCCTGTGTATAACACTACCAACACTCTGTCCCATCAGTTCTTTGTTGTGACTGATACTGTGGAGCATACCTGTTTGGTCTGGCACGTCCTCTTCCATCTCTGTGGTGGCAGCACTTCTTTGGTTGTCAACAGGCTGTGGGGTTGGCGAATTTTGCACAGGCTGATGAAAAGAAGTGAAAGGTGTGGTGGTTTTCATTTCATAAAAAAACTGTTCAATTCTTGCAAACATGATATCATTTCAATTACCTCTGTTCATTACATCTGCTATTGTTTTTTGTCTTTTGCTTTCTTACTGACCATGCTCATAACTTGAGGTGGAACAGTAGTTGTTGTTTTATTTTTAATTGAAATACCTGTTGTGAACCAGCGGAGGAACTCAGATCTCCAGAAGTGTTGGTGGAGCTACCAGATTCTTTAGGTGGAGTTTTAGTTGCTGCAAGGATAAAGATCACAGTTAGACTAAGTCCCTTAGCCAAAGTTTATGAATTCTTTGCCCTCTGAGCTGTTTTTGTTTTTTGTTCTTCAGGACCCCCACTAGCTTTAGTCAAGACAAAGCTTGTCTTCCTAGGGTCCGACCAGGAAGACAAGCTTTGTCATGGCACATGGTTGGCCACCCCTGCTGTGGAGCATACCTGTATGGTCTCTCTTGTCCTCTTCCACCTTTGTGGTGGCAGCACTTGTTTGGTTGTCAACAGTCTGTGGGGTTGGCGAATTTTGCACAGGCTGATGAAAAGAAGTGACAGGTGTGGTGGTTTTCATTTCATAAAAAAACTGGTCAATTCTTGCAAACATTATATCATTTAAATCACCTCCGTTCACAACATCTGCTGTCATTTTTTGTCTTTTGCTTTCTTGCTGACCTTGCTCATAATTTGAGGTGGAACAGTAGTTGTTTTTATTGAAATACCTGTTGTGCACCAGCGGAGAAACTCAGATCTCCAGAAGTGTTGGTGGAGCTACCAGATTCTTTAGGTGGAGTTTTAGTTGCTGCAAGGATAAAGATCACAGTTAGACTAAGTCCCTTAGCCAAAGTTTATGAATTCTTTGCCCTCTGAGCTGTTACTGTTTTTTGTTCTTCAGGACCCCCACTAGCTTTAGTCAAGACAAAGCTAGTCTTCCTAGGGTCCAACCAAGAAGACAAGCTTTGTCTTCCTGGTTGGCACTGATCTAGTGCTGTTGACTTTACATGTTTGCTTTGTTCCCTTTCCGTCGATTTCTGTGGTTGCATCAGTTTGGTTCCTCGGGGTCTCCGGTGTTGTTGACTTCTAGAAGAGAAGTACAAACAGATTATTTTAATGAAACACTGGCTCAATTATGCAAATATGTAAAACAAATTATAATGGCGTTGAAATCCTATTGGTGGATAAACACTAAAAAATTAATGAATAGCTACGGATAATAATGAGTAATCTGGACAGTGTTCATGTCCTTTAGGAAACAATGACTGGTTTAGTTGGTCAGTTGGACTTTTCTGTTGGACACTCAGCAAAACTGTTTTTATAGAGTTTCCTGTAAATTAAGCTCAAACAACTTTATTGGCCAACGGTGACTGGCTGCAAGAAGGTCATGAGAATTCTTCAGTACCTGTTTTTCATCAGGGGAGGAATTACGTTGTTCACTAGTGTTGGTGGAGCTACTAGAACCTTGCGTTTGTGACTTAGACCCTGCAGATGAGAAGGACATCACAGTTACTTTAGAGTCCTGTGTACAATGTTACCAACACTTTGTCCCATCAGTTCTTTGTTGTGACTGATACTGTGGAGCATACCTGTTTGGTCTGTCACGTCCTCTTCGATCTCTGTGGTGGCAGCACTTCTTTGGTTGTCGACAGTCTGTGGTGTTGGTGAATTTTGCACAGGCTGATGAAAAGAAGTGACAGGTGTGGTGGTTTTCATTTCATAAAAAAACTGGTCAATTCTTGCAAACATTATATCATTTAAATCACCTCTGTTCATAACATCTGCTATTGTTTTTTGTCTTTTGCTTTCTTACTGACCTTGCTCATAACTTGAGGTGGAACAGTAGTTGTTTTTTTTTTTAATTGAAATACCTGTTGTGCACCAGCGGAGGAATTCAGATCCACTCCAGAAGTGTTGGTGGAGCTGCCAGATTCTTGTGGTGGAGTTTCAGTTGCTGCAAGGATAAAGATCACAGTTAGACTAAGTCCCTTAGCCAAAGTTTATGAATTCTTTGCCCTGTAAGCTGTTATTGTTTTTTGTCCATCAGGATCCCCACTAGCTTTTGTCAAGACAAATCTTGTCTTCCTAGGGTCCAACCAAGAAGACAAGCTTTGTCTTCCTGGTTGGCACTGATCTAGTGCTGTTGACTTTACATGTTTGCTTTGTTTCCTCTCCGTCAACCTCTGTGGTTGCATCAGTTCGGTTCCTCGGGATCTCTGGTGCTGTTGACTTCTAGAAGAGAAGTACAAACAGATTATTTTAATAAAACACTCAGTAAAACAGTATTCATGCTAAATACAGTTTCCTGTAAATGAAGCTAAAACAACTTAATTGGCTAATGGTGACTGGCTGCAAGAAAGTCATTAGAATTCTTTAGTACCTGTTTTTCATCAGGGGAGGAATTGCGTTCTTCACAAGTGTTGGTGGAGCTACTAGAACCTGGAGGTGGTGACTTAGACCCTGCAGATGAGAAGGACATCACAGTTACTTTAGAGTCCTGTGTATCACACTGCCAACACTGTCCCATCAGTTCTCTGTTGTGACTGATACTGTGGAGCATACCTGTTTGGTCTGGCACGTCCTCTTCAATCTCTTTGGTGGCAATTGGCATTTGGTTGTCAACAGTCTGTGGTGTTGGCGAATTTTGCACAAGCTGATAAAAAAATGTGAAAGTCCTATAGGTTTTCATTTCATAAAAAAAATAATTTTCTCTGTCTTTTGCTTTCTTGCTGACCTTGCTCATAATTTGAGGTGGAAAAGTAGTTGTTTTTATTCAAATACCTGTTGTGCACCAGCGGAGGAATTAAGATCTCCAGAAGTGTTGGTGGAGCTGCCAGATTGTTGAGGTGGACTTTCAATTACTGCAAGGATAAAGGTAACAGTTAGACTAAGCCCCATTGCCAAAGTTTAAAAACCTTGCGTTGGTGACTTAGACCCTGCAGATGAGAAGGACCTCCCGGTTACTTTAGAGTCCTGTGTATAATATTACCAACACTCTGTCCCATCAGTTCTTTGTTGTGACTGATACTGTGGAGCATACCTGTTTGGTCTGGCACGTCCTCTTCCATCTCTTTGGTGGCAATTGGCATTTGGTTGTCAACAGTCTGTGGTGTTGTTGAATTTTGCAAAGGCTGATGAAAAAATTTGAAAGTCCAAGAGGTTTTTATTTTATAAAAAAATGGTCAATTCTTTTTCTCTGTCTTTTGCTTTCTTGCTGACCTTGCTCATAATTTGAGGTGGAACAGTAGTTGTTTTTATTCAAATACCTGTTGTGAACCAGCGGAGGAACTCAGATCTCCAGAAGTGTTGGTGGAGCTGCCAGATTCTTTAGGTGGAGTTTTAGTTGCTGCAAGGATAAAGATCACAGTAAGACTAAGTCCCTTAGCCAAAGTTTATGAATTCTTTGCCCTCTGAGCTGTTACTGTTTTTTGTTCATCAGGATCCCCACTAGCTTTTGTCAAGACAAAGATAGTCTTCCTAGGGTCCAACCAAGAAGACAAGCTTTGTCTTCCTGGTTGGCACTGATCTAGTGCTGTTGACTTTACATGTTTGCTTTGTTCCCTCTCCGTCGATTTCTGTGGTGGCTTCGGTTGGTTTTGTTTTTCATCAGTGGAGAAATTACATTCTTCACAAGTGTTGGTGGAGATAGGAGAACCTTGGGTTGGTGTCTCAGACCCTGCAGATAAGAAGGACATCACAGTAAATATCGAGTCCTGTATATAAATACCAACACTCTGTGCCATCAGTTCTTTGTTGTGACTGACACTGTGGAGCATACCTGTTTGGTCTGTCACGTCCTCTTCGATCTCTGTGGTGGCAGCACTTCTTTGGTTGTCAACAGTCTGTGGTGTTGGCGAATTTTTCACAGGCTGATGAAAAGAAGTGACAGGTGTGGTGGTTTTCATTTCATAAAAAAACTGGTCAATTCTTGCAAACATTATATCATTTAAATCACCTCTGTTCATGACATCTGCTATTGTTTCTTTGACATTTGCTTTCTCACTGACCTTGCTCATAACTTGAGGTGGAAAAGTAGTTTTTTTTTTTTTTTTATTGAAATACCTTTTGTGCACCAGCGGAGGAATTTAGATCTCCAGAAGTGTTGGTGGAGCTGCCAGATTCTTTAGGTGGAGTTTCAGTTGCTGCAAGGATAAAGATCACAGTTAGACTAATCCCCTTAGCCAAAGTTTATGAATTCTTTGCCCTGTAAGCTGTTATTGTTTTTTGTTCATCAGGATCCCCACTAGCTTTTGTCAAGACAAAGCTAGTCTCCTTAGGGTCCAACCAGGAAGACAAGCTTTGTCTTCCTGGTTGGCACTGATCTAGTGCTGTTGACTTTACATGTTTGCTTTGTTCCCTCTCCGTCAACCTCTGTGGTTGCTTCAGGTTGGTTCCTCGGGATCTCTGGTGCTGTTGACTTCTAGAAGAGAAGTACAAACAGATTATTTTAATAAAACACTCAGTAAAACAGTATTCATGCTAAATACAGTTTCCTGTAAATGAAGCTAAAACAACTTAATTGGCTAATGGTGACTGGCTGCAAGAAAGTCATTAGAATTCTTTGGTACCTGTTTTTCATCAGGGGAGGAATTACGTTCTTCACAAGTGTTGGTGGAGCTACTAGAACCTGGAGGTGGTGACTTAGACCCTGCAGATGAGAAGGACATCACAGTTACTTTAGAGTCCTGTGTATCACACTGCCAACACTGTCCCATCAGTTCTCTGTTGTGACTGATACTGTGGAGCATACCTGTTTGGTCTGGCACGTCCTCTTCAATCTCTTTGGTGGCAATTGGCATTTGGTTGTCAACAGGCTGTGGTGTTGGCGAATTTTGCACAAGCTGATAAAAAAATGTGAAAGTCCTATAGGTTTTCATTTCATAAAAAAATTAATTTTCTCTGTCTTTTGCTTTCTTGCTGACCTTGCTCATAATTTGAGGTGGAAAAGTAGTTGTTTTTATTCAAATACCTGTTGTGCACCAGCGGAGGAATTAAGATCTCCAGAAGTGTTGGTGGAGCTGCCAGATTGTTGAGGTGGACTTTCAATTACTGCAAGGATAAAGGTAACAGTTAGACTAAGCCCCATTGCCAAAGTTTAAAAACCTTGCGTTGGTGACTTAGACCCTGCAGATGAGAAGGACCTCCCGGTTACTTTAGAGTCCTGTGTACAATGTTACCAACACTCTGTCCCATCAGTTCTTTGTTGTGACTGATACTGTGGAGCATACCTGTTTGGTCTGGCACGTCCTCTTCCATCTCTTTGGTGGCAATTGGCATTTGGTTGTCAACAGGCTGTGGTGTTGTTGAATTTTGCACAAGCTGATAAAAAAATTTGAAAGTCCTAGAGGTTTTCATTTTATAAAAAAATAGTCAATTCCTTTTTTTGCTCACGATTTGAGGTGGAAAAGTAGTTGTTTTATTTTTTTATTGAAATACCTGTTGTGCACCAGCGAAGGAATTCAGATCTCCAGAAGTGTTGGTGGAGCTGCCAGATTCTTGTGGTGGAGTTTCAATTGCTGCAAGGATAAAGATTACAGTTAGACTAAGCTCCTTTGCCAAAGTTTACGATTTATTTTCCCTCAAATCTGTAATGACTGATCAAGTGCCGTTGACTTTACATGTTTGGTTTGTTCCCTCTCCGTCGTCCTCTGTGGTGGAATCAGTTTTGTTGCTCAAGTTCTCAGATGCTGGCGACTTCTAGAAGAGAAGTACAAACAAATTATTTTAATAAAGCAGTTTCAATAGTTTTAATAAAGGCTGTTTCATTTTTGATAAACTGGTTACAATAATTGAAAATGGCACAAATGCTTTTTCTCTACAGAAAATACCTGTCGTATGGTGTTCCCGGGGTTTCCGAAAACGAAAACCTGTCAACAATGAGGTGCTTTAACATCAAGTGGTTTTGAATTTAGTATCACCCAGAAAAACTCTGACAGTTTTTTATTTTCTTTTTTTGTATAAAAGGCAATTATATTTATTATCAAGTTTCTTATTCTATGTTGATCTCATTATGCAAATAAATTCATGCATGAAAAATAAACAATAGCTGTCAGTTTAACTTAATAGATTAACGTGGATCTAGATCAGGTTATTGTTTTGTTCAATTTTTTTTCACTGAAATATGGTGGTCCAAACACAATTTTTTACCGGAGCAAGCGTGGGGATTTTAGGAGCTCCATCATGACTGTGTGAGTCTGATCCTGTTTGCAGAGTTTCAGGGACTGTAGAAAAAGAACATGATTCACGGTTAAACACAGCTAAGTACTCAAACCTCCTGAACAAAAGCGCTTTTTTCACCCTCTGTGAATAAGAATATTCGGACTTTTGTTTCAGTTTTTTTTAAAGCACAGGTGTCTTTTTTGTTGCTGCAAGAGTCAGCTGTGTACCACTTACCAGCACTGGCTGAGGGGTCGTTAAATTTTTCCTCATGATTTTTTCCCCCCTCCGGCGTGTTTCCTTTTTCCCCCTGATGGGTGCTCGGCTCTTGGTTGGTTGACATTTTTGGCAAGCTGGAACTATGTGGATGTTGGATGCACTTTTTAAATGAAAAAGTCAAAACAAAATAAAAGGTGAAGTGGAAACTTTTAAAAATATAACTCCAAAAGAAACAAAACTCTACACCTTATGCATCTCTGCACAGGGCCTTCTACAGACTAGTTTAATTGATGCAGTCATTATTAAATCTTAGGCTGGTCCCTCAAGTCTTGACCAGAAAAAATCTGTAAAATTTTGTGTATGAGTTTTATTTTTTTGTACTTTTACAAACCTCAAGGATTTGATCAATCACTCTTTATTTATATAGCACTTTTCATAAAAAAAAGATGTAGCACAAAGTGCAGCACCCTCATACCCAACAATCTAAGCTCAGTAGAAACCTGTATTAAAATGCATGAACTTAAAAAGGGCTCCATTCATATGAACAGGAATGTGTGCACTGAGGAAACCCTGTTTTAAAATTCAAGGTAAGGAAACACTGGAGGTTTAAAATCTAAAAACAAAGTAACATGAAATGAAATTGAAGAAATATTAAATAAAATTAAATATGAAATATAAACCTTTTGGACCTGGTATGATTTAAAAAATTCTGCTCCTGGTACAGCGCAGCAGTCTAACGTGATCTTGAGCAGCCTACCTTGATCCTCTGTGACCTCCGAATTTGCCTGATCTGACATCAGTTTCCTGTGTTTCCTCTATTTGCTCACCATGAAAAGTTTCAGTTTCGTTTCAGCAAAAGTGACCCTCCCCTACTTGTGTCTCAGCTTGTTTTTTTTAAGGCAGCTCTCATCTGTCAGGCTGGTATCTACTGAAGCGACAGGCTTTCATAGTGTGGATGTTACTTTATAATCTACAAGAGCTAATTCTATAAAAAGTTTTCAGTGTCTTCTTTATCCACATGAACTCCCTACTAACAGCGATCAATTCTGTTTCAGTAGCAATGGAAAGAGCAGCCTGATCACAAACATCATATTAATGCGAGGACTCTGATAAAGTTTGTGGTTCTTGTTGACACTATCTAAAAAAAACCAAGTTAGTTTGCCGTTGGTTTGGCATATCTCAGGTAAACTGACACCTGACATCACAGAAACTTTACCTTTGTGGAAATACTTTGATTAGATAATCTGTTGCAATCAGTGTAGAGATGTTGATGAATATGATCTCAGTGGAACCAACCAACCTTACTTTAGATATAAGGAAAGACATACCTGAGAAGTGTTGCACAACCACCAGCATCTACATCAGCACCTGTCCTTTGAAAGTCTCTGTAACTGTCTCCTGGTCCACCTCACACTCTGCAAGTTCATTACTGAGCGCCCAATATTGTTTGTTGTTGAACATGACGTAGGTCAGAGGATTGACTCTTGGGAATGCTGCATGTACACATATTTTGGTTTATCCAAAGGGTGTAACCATGAAAAATGAGCCAAGCTACTTCCTTGAAAATGAGCATCTAGGTGTGCCAACTGATCACAACCCGAGCACTGTAGTTGCTATCTTACATTGATTCAATGGTTTCATCGCAGTTGCTTAGATTTTTAGGGATGTGAACATTTTTTTTCCAACCAAGAGTCAGAAAGAAACAATTCTTTGTCTCCTTCAGCCTTGTGAAATCTGACATTTATTTCCTTTTTCCTCTTTCTGTTCATCATAAAAGGTTTAGGTTTCGTTTCGGCAACAACAATCCTCCCACTTCAATCATAATTTGTGTCTCAGCTTGTTGGAATTTGTTTTTCCAAGGCGACTCTCATCTGTGAGACTGGTATATCTACTGTAGCAACAAGAAGCAACAAGTTTTTCTGGTGTATTGATTTAAACTGGTTCATTTGTGCGTCTGGCACAGTGAAGCGAGCTGACCCCAGTAACCTTATGCTCAGCTGCACCGCCCCATTGACCGCAATAAAGGGGGCGGGAACAAAACATGTAGCTCTGTCCTCGGTTGACCTCCAAACATCTTCTAGAGAGGTGGCTTATCAGAAGAAAACAGACTCATGGGGGGTTGGGGGGGGGTTGATCTGGCAATCATGTTAAGCTATTAAGAGGTATCAGAAAGGAAGAACGGAGTCTGAAACAATGCAGAAAAGTTGAGTTTTAAAGACGCAATATAGAATATTAAGATTACACTTTCTGCATTCTATGGTGATATTAAAAAATCTATAATTTATATGAATAAACACAAGAAGGGCCATCTGCATGCCCTACCAGCAAATACAAGATAGTTTCCTCTAGATCCGCTTCCATTCTAGAAAAAATGTAACAAAGTTCCCTCTTTCTTGCAATCTTAAGGTCGTTACACACCAGCGAATTAGCTAAGTGAATTTGCAAAGCGAATATTAACTTTTTTTAAAAACCTCTTAAAGTCAATGCAAGTCTCCATACCGGCTACGAACTTCCACAGAGCGAAGAAGCAACTGTAATTTTTTCGGCCTGTAGCCAATTTTCCGTTCTCCTGTGGCGTATTTTAAGCAAACATGTGAATTGTATTTGCATCGCACCAGGTGTGTAAAGGAAAAGGCGTAACCACACTGTTGAAAAATGAAGAAATATAATGTAGGACTAACAGAGAGACTGTGAAATGAGGAAGACAAAAAAGACAATTCAATAAATGTTTGCACTTTTATTCTGAATAAGTTTAGACTTCTAACAACACTATTCCCATTTAAAGTTTAATACATTGTTAATGAATAGTTTCCCTTTGTATTGTAGTTGATGACCCATCTCAAGTTGAAGTTAATAAGATAAGATAAAGTCCCTCCACCACATTTGTTTTGGTCCTACTGTTTGTTAATCTTTCTTATTCATGGACTTTCCCCTCAGGGATCAACAAAGTTCCTTTTATTTGTATCAGAAACTATATCTTGCAGATACTGGATCCAAAAGGGTTCCACCATTGGTACTTTCAAACCCCCAATTCTGACAGAAAAAAATTGCAGAAAATGTACAATTTCCATTTGACCAAACCCAACTTTTGTACATCTGAGTTCCCTCACCAACAAACTCATGTAATCTTCGTGACAGGTCCACGTCCCCCAGAATTTCTCAAAGGATAATCAAGGGATCGGCATTTTTCTGACCTTTTTTGACATGCGGGCTGAAGTATGGGAAGATCTTATCATTGAATGAACACTTAGTGAAAGAGTAGATGTGGGAGTTTTCTCTCACATCGTAGAATGACACAAGACCTTCCTCGTAGTCCACAAACACTCCCACCTTCTGAGGTTTCTTCTTCGGGTAAAGAAGAACTGGTGGAGCTGTCATGGCTGCATACTGTTCTTCTTCATAATGCACGGCAACCCAGTACCCATTATCTGGGGATGTGGAGAGATTACCTTTACGGTTTGCGCCACCTCTTGCCACCCCCAGATCCCACCCAGTTTTGTTCCTGACCTCAACCTCCCAGTAGGACTTCCCAGATGGCAACTTGTCGAGCCCAAGGATGCTGCCAAACACATCAAACCGCTTTGGAGAATCAGCGACTTCCTGGTTCTCTCCACTATCTCTGACCTCTTTGCCATCTTTAGAAAGAGCAAGGCGTGGGTGTGCAGTAGCTGGGTCAAGCTTTACATCCACTGTTGAGAACAAGTTGTGAACAACTGTAACATCAAGACTCTACAGTCAATATTTGGAAGCATATCATGAGAGAGAAACAGACTGTAACACACACCTTTAAACTTGGTAATTCTTTGAAGTTCTGTGAAGTAAAGAAACAACTTCAGATTAATGCAGTCAACAATAATCCTTTACTTTTACTGCTTTGGTTTAACTCTTACCGATGGGGGTCAGCTTCTCTAGTTCCTTTTGAATTGATTCCATCATGGGGGTTGTGATTTGTTTCATGGTGCCAAATGACAGTGACGTGTCCAGCTCTACCTCTGGGTAGTATTCTATGTTGTCCAGGTCTTGAAGAGATGGGTAACTCTGAGACAAGAAGAGCAGATATGAAATTCCAATTGCGTAGTCCAATGAAGTGCAACTATTAAGCAGTCCAAGTTATTTGGTTCCACTCTAACATCATGCTTGTTCTTTTGAATTGAGTCGAAAGTAGTTGTTGTATTCATGCACCAACAATATTAAAACATGACATGGTCCAAGTCCATTCTGATGAATAACAGTCCTCTTGATACCAATAATGGTATCAATGGTATCTGAAACTGGTCAAGATGAATGTCTTGGGGCCTGATCTACTAAGATCCCAAATACGAGCACTAAAATTGCATGTGCAAACTAAATATTGCGTGTGGTATTAGTGTAGGGTGACACTACGTCCTCTTTTACCCGGACATGTCCTCTCTTGGGGACTGTCCAGGGAAGTTTATAAAATCCTACAAATGTCCACAAATGTAAGTTTGGAATTTGTGTCATGTGGACTTATTGAGATAGAAGCGCGCAAAAGACACAGCATCCTTTTAAAATTAACTTTGTGCAACTCCGTGACTCTTCCCTGCGTAGTCGTGCCCTCTTTTTTTGGGAAGTCAGAATATGTTCACCTAGGCCTGGACGATATAGAAAAAAAGCATATCGATAAAAAATAAATCATATTGATCGATATCGATAATTATCGATATAATTATTATAATTATTTAACATATATTTTAATTGCAGCCCTTGATGTTTTATGCTATTGCTTAATGACCTACTTTTAATAAAGAACACAGAAGCACTGAATTCAAATTCAAACCTTTATTCAACCACCTTTTTTATTTTACCACAACTGAAAGTTTTTTAAAAAAGAACAAAAAAAAAAAAGAAATCAACTTAAGGGGCCTGAGTGACGTCAGTAAATACTGACAAACATATAGACTAAAGTGACCAGAAAATCTGATAAATAAATATTTAAATAGTCTTTTGATGAAAATAAACAAAACAAACAAATATATAAATAAACAAACAGAATAGCTTTAGGTGGGAATAACATACTACCAGTTTTAACTGTGTGAGAAACTGCCCACAGCCTGGTGTCTGAACATTGAAACATTTCTCCCGGGGTCGGGAGATTTATTTATTTTTAATCATCATGTGATTGACTTGATACGCAAACTGAGCACGAGAAGCAGGACTTATCCACGCCGGTGTTGTGTCGTAGAATGCACCCCTGCCGAATGCACCCCCTGCTAGTAGCCATGATCCAAATACTCGCGTCTTTGTAAAATATGAGCTCATTTTCTTCCACTTTAAGAAGCTAATGAGTGGACGGGATGCATTCTTCTCACCTTTTCAACCCCTGACCCATTTTCATGCCTGAAGCGCTGTGTTTGAGAAATACTTGCGGCCGGGCACTTCATATCGCGGGTCGAGAGTGGCTAGAAGCTGGTCGAAGCCAGGCTTTTCAACGGTAGTTATTGGCAGTATGTCCCTCGCTATGGAGCATGTTACTGCATGGGTGATGTCCTTATGCCGCTCGGACGCTTTGTCGTATTTTGGCAAGAAACGAAGTCCAGTTTGGTCTGCTTCACATGCTTTGTGCTGGTGCTGGCAGCGGTTCCAGAGGATTCCTCCTCCGACGACGTGGAGCCGCGGCGCGGCCGACACAGCTCGTACTCCTGCGGGTGCGACCGGTTTAGATGGTAAAACAAGTTCGTTGTGTTACCAGACTTGGTTTTTACTAATTCTCTGCAAATTTTGCAAACGACCGCTGTTCGCTTTTTGTCAGACTTCTAAAAACCAAAACATTGCCATGCTGGTGAACTTCTGACAATGTCCTCCGCCTCTCCTTGCTGTATCATTTTTTCTAATACACGTGCTGTCTGTTGTGGTTTGATAGGGGCTGGGCTTGGTGCCGTAGCGTACCTGGGTCTGCGTTTGTGATTGGTTGGGAGGAAGTAATGACTGTAGTAAAAGCTACATGACAGGCTATGATGAAAAAGAAAGGGAAACTGTGTTTTTCTATCGAACTTTTTATCGACCCGTTTTTTTTCTATCGCAGCACACGTCTATCGATCGATATATATTGTTATCGAATTATCGTCCAGCACTAAGTTCACCCTATATTAGCGGGCGCGTTGCGGGTGATCTACTATGATTGTGTGATTGCTAACAGGCACAAAAGTGGTGTGGAACGCCCTATTTAAATGAGGATTTTGCGAGTGCTACTGGCTGTCACTGCGGAGAATTTGGATCAGAGATCAGAGTGGCCATAAAGAAAAAATGAAGTTAAGAAGCCATGGAGTTGAAGTTACAATAACTTCCTGTTATTGTCAAAGTTTGGTAAAAGCCCTGGGGCAAGTTTGATACAATACTGTTCCTGTAAATCACTAAAGTCAGACGTTCAACTCAATTCGTAGAGACTTGTTATTCAAAAACCATGGTCCGTTCCTTAAAAAAAAACCTCTCACCTGTAAGAATAGGATGTGATCCTCAAGTTCAGATATTTCTTCAAGCTGAGAGAGGGTCTCCTCAAGCTGTTGGATCTCTCCTCTCAACTTCTTTTCAATGTGTTTAGCCTCCTCTTCCATAGCCTTCCTTCTGTCCTGGATTGGCTGAAGAGCTGCCACGCGGGCTTCCTCCACAATGGCAAGAACAGCTCTGAACACGGCATCGATTTCTTCCATCTCGTTTTTCAGCCGGTCCTTTAAATAGAGGCAAAGACAGAATGTCTGTTTATGTTCTTTAACAGTTTACAACAATGCCTGTCACTTGAAAAGCAGAGACAGGGATTCTTTGTTTGGGAACTTTAACTCCTGAGAGGGGTCAAATTTTCGATGATGCAATGAGCCCTGGTTTGCATTTTTGGTCCACGAGCTTGAAAAGCTGAGTCCCTTACCACTTAATGTAGTGTATGTACTGTTGCATATTGGGTATTGTAGGCGAATATGCTATGATACAAAAGTGATGGCTACACATGGGAGATGCAATGAAAGATGATCTTCAATCTCCACCATGGACTTTTTTATTAAGGCATCGTCTGCTCATTTTTATCTTGGTGCTAATCTGGAACCACGGACCGCGTATCTGAACGTCTGGAAAGACTGCTGCAATTATATAATGTATTAATACACCCACGTCACCTGAGATGCTCTGCAATCGGACGGTCACATCACAGAAGACAACTGGCAATAATTAGAGCCTACCTCATTGTTTTTGGAGGCGTGCTTCCTGTGATTGGTGCGGATGGGGTTCACACCAGAAGTAAACCACTCAAGAGTTCACTTGATAGCAGTCTGAGACCACCTCTACCAGGAGAACCCAAGAGAGGTTGACTGGTCCACACCAGAATTTGAGGCCAGCGTTCACACCAGCCAAAATGAACCACACCAAGGAGGTAAACACTCCAGGGTTCAGTTCAACTGGACTAAACAAGGTTGGTGTGAACGCAACCTAACTGGTCTGATCCCCTTTCAATTCTGGCTAATTAGGGACCACAGAGTTTCACAACTTACCTCGCAGTCCGTCAGTGATACATTTATCTCATCCGTCTGATTTTTTCTCTTTTCAATTTTCTTCTGTAACTCCATCATTGTGTCCTCAAGCCTGGCCTGGAGGTAACCAAAAGGCAAAATCAGAATCCTTATCACCACAAACTTACCAAAGCATAAACCATAAAATGATAAGGCTATCCGTGTGGGAGCTCACCTTTTTCCATTTCCATTCTTCTTCAGTAGGAACCACCTCTTTCTTATCTTCTTTCATACAGAGCACACAAATGCACCTTTCTGACTTCCTGCTGAACACCTCCAAGGGCCGTCCATGCTGGAGACAGGCCCTGTCATCCAAGTTCTGCACAGGTTGCACCAACTTGTGGCCCTTCAACCTCCTAGTTGAAGAGTGACTCTCCAAGTGGGTAGAACAATACGAGATGAGACACAAGAGGCAAGACTTCCTAGCTTTCAGCTTGTCCTCTGTGCAGATGTCACAAGCCACTTCACCAGGTGCCCCGGTGTACTCATCACCTAAAACATAGGATATCTATGTTATCATTATATGGGTGTCTTAATCAGAGTGGTCCGACTCCAATTGGGGTTCTCAAACTCCGATTATAGTCAGACTAAAGGTGTTTACATGCACTTCAGTTGTCCGGTCTTCATCAGAGTAAGGCAATAATTTGGTTTTCTCAGGTGTCATGTAAACATACTGACTGATAGAAACAGCTATGGATCTTTAATTTACCGCAACAAAAAATGCAAAGTTAAAAATGTTTGATGTCTATATTAGATGTATGCAAATTTTTTTGTCATCATCCTAGAAAATAGATGTAACCTGCTCTGAACAGTTTGTTGGGAAATCACGCAATACCTCGCTGAGCCTCTGCGTGACTCACTAATGAGATGATTGCAGAAGTCTCTACTAACTAGTTCATCTGCTCCTCTGGCACTGAGGTGCCAAAAAATTTTTAGGTTTCGTTTCAGCAGAAAAAAACACTCCCACAACAAGCATATCTTGTGTCCCAGCTTGTTGGAATATGTTGTACTTTGGCAACTCTTATCAGTGAGACTGTTACGAAAGCAACAAGTTTTCATAGTGAGGATGTTGGTTTATAATCTACAAGGACTGGTTTTATCAAAAGGCTTCAATTTTTCCTTTATCTTCAGAAACTCCCTCACAGCAGTGGGTCATTTCATTTAAAATAGATTAAACCTTTACCCTAACAACAGTCATAAATTCTGTTTCAGTAGCAATGGAAAGGACAGTCTGATCACACACATCATGTTAAAGCTATGACTGATAAAGTTTGTAGTTCTTATTGACACTGTAACAAGAAAAACAAGTTAGTTTGCCGTCAGGTTGGCATAGCTCAGGTAAACTGACATCATACAAAAAATTTCTCTTTGCGGAAATCAATTACTCTGGCTAACGCAGCTTGAGGTTTAATTACTTTTTATCATCTCAGTCTGACAAATCTTACTTTAAATATGTAGGAAAGACATACCTGAAAAGCACGCACTTCTTCTCAGCATCATGTTGGCATATATCTGAGGGGACTAGCTTCCAGCATCTACATCAGCACCTTTCCTTTGAAAGTCTCGTAAGCTGTCTCCTGATCCACCTCACACTTGGCCAGTTCATTACTGAGAGTCTAATAACATGACGTGAGCCAGAGGATTGGTTCTTGGAAACGCTGCATGTACACATAGTTTGGTTAACCACGGGGCGTAACCATGTACAATGAGCCAAGCAACTAACTTGGAAATGCGCACCTAGCTTCATCGGTTGGTCACACCCTGAGTAGGGGCTTGTTGTCAACTTTGACTTTATTTTTACAGAGAAAAGAGTCGTTTAAAGGAGAAGAGAAAGTGAGAAGACATGGTCAGGAATTTCAAAAGAAAAACAGAACATGGCAGTGCAGTTCCTGGTACACATTTTGTTTATATATGATGTATTGATTCCAAGAAATACAATACGGTCTCCCCTAGTGTAGCTGCTAATTTTGACTAACTCAAAGATTTCATCCACATGCTTAGACTGCTTAGACCTGGTCAGCAAAATGAAATCTTTGGTCAAAAGACTTTGACTAATCATGTCGAAGACAAGACAAGCAAAGGCTTTTTTGTACACAAGGGGGCGCCAAAATGGACACAAGCTGAAACATCCTTGATGGAGCTTTGAATAATCATATTTTTGAAAAGTCTACATGACAAAGTGTTGCAAAACAAAGACTCTTTTATACTGATGTTGGTCTTGGGTATTAAAGGTGTGTAAGTCTGTTTGTTTTTTGTCTTGAAACTGATTTGCTGCCATCTTTGATGTCAACAGGACTAGCCTGGTTAAATATTTGTTAAATAAAATACATGCACCCACAGGATCATTGAGCCTGGAGCGTGTTCAAGTGTTTGTTTAATCACAGCAGTGGAAAGTTACTGACATGTCAGGAAAGTAAATGAATCTTAAAGATCAGCATACTGGGGTTTAGTTTACAGTATTTCCCTGTAATTCTGAGCATTGCAATGAGGATCCTCTTGTATTTAACATTGCCAACTAAAGTAAAAGACGTTTTACGACAAATTAGCTCTTGTGGACTTTCAAAGATGCAGATTTTAGATTGCGTGTGTGTGTGTGTGTGTTCACATCCTGTAGGACTTCCCTCTCTGTAAAGTTTCGTTTTTGTTCAGCTGGTCGTCCTCATTTTGAAAGAGGCTCGCCCACATGCAAACAGTGATTAAGCCGTTCCAGTTTTTTTTTTAGCAGCAGGATTTGTTTCACGTTAAACGATTCCATACTGAAAAAAAAGGCTGCACTGGGAAACTCACACAGATTGTGTGTTTACTCTGTCTATTGATTCATGTTGATATTGACTGGGAGAAAGTAATTCACAAGTTCATCATAAGTTTGACTTATAATAAATAACTTGAGTAATAAACATGGCTAATCATCTTTTTTCTAATGATGTATAAATTTCTGATTTATCCACATCACCAGGAAAGAAAGAGACAGAAACTTCTTAGAAAAACCTAACCACTTCTAATGTTCACACCGACAAAAAATAATTTACTTGCTCAATTTCCCACGAATAACTTGCTTCATTTGCATTTCATTTATCGTGTCTGCAGCTGTTCCCAAACATGTTTACATCAAACATGGCTGAGGTCGACTAAAATGTGAGGATCTGTGGTGTTCATACAACTAACCAGATCATCCGACAACACTGTCTTCCAGGCAAGCTTCTTTTTATTAAAAAAACAACTTGTATCCTGTAGCTCAGGTAGATTTTTCAACTCTTGTAAATAAGCAGATAGAGCGAGTAGTGCGTGGACAAATCACAGATACACGTCATTAACTTAAATTATTTGCGCGTCATGCCTTTCGTGTTTAACTGTGTCTTTACATCGACTTTAAATGACCAACAGGAACAATTTTATATAACATACAATGCCTGCTACAGCGAGCTAGCTAGCAGCTGCTGCTTCTTCATTTGTTCTTTCTTTGTTTTATGACATGTAGCAACAAGCCATAAAACAACCCTTTCAGTCACTTATATCTTTAAATTCATTTTTGTTTTATGTATTTTATTAAAAAGGCAAAACTAGACTAAAAACTCAATATCCCAACAATGACATGCTTAAAGTAATTTAGATCGTTCACACAAGAACAAATTACATTCAAACAGTATTTTTCATTCAGTCATTGTAATATCTAAGTTCATTAATTGATTTTTTTTACTTCAACACCAGCTCATGAACATGTTTTAACTTGTTATGTTTGTAACAAGATCGCATATTGATGACGTCGGATGAACGTGACCTGAGCATCCACGCTGCAGTCACATCGGATACATATCCCATTTATATCCACATACAAAAGAGGCCTGGGTCAGATTTGAAAAAATCTGTATTGTTCTGCTCACACTTACATAAAAAAAAATCAGATATGTGTCACATACGGTTAAACAATCGGAATTGACCTGCAGTGTGAACATAGCCCAATTTCAGGGGTAGCTGACTGAGATACACTGCATGTGACTCTGCATGTGCTGTGCAGCTATCCACCAATCACATTCGTTCTTTATTCAGTTGCCAATCAGACTACCCTGCCAGCCGTCAACCAAAATCAGAGGAGGAAACGCCCCTGCACATGGAGCAAGTCGCTGGCGCTCCCCTTGCTGTGCCGAGAAACAGGTGTACAGTGAGAAGTACTTTCGGAACATTCCTCATCACTGTTTAGCCCCACAAATAAGAACTGTATGGATTTTACATTGTACATTTCCGTGGACCCTTTTGCTATAAGCGGTGCACGTAGCGCTAAGTTTTATCGCGCTGAACAATGACTAAAGCTCCAAGGGGATTTGCTCATGGGCAAAGCGCTGGCCCCCAAGCGCTGGCCCTGCATGGGCAGCCCTCACTTAGCCCTCACAAGCTACACTGGCCCAGCATGGGCCCACTTGTGGCTCCACCTGTCGGCCTCTATCAGGACACCTGAAGATAAAGTGAGCTAAAACTTTTTTCACACAATGCAAATGGATGAAACGTGCTGACCAAGGTTGTAAACAGGAATAATCTCGGTGGATTATTAAACTGTTGGAGCCGGATGATTGATAATGCTGAATGTTTTAGACTCCAGAGTGAAGGTTAGAAAATTTTTCCTCAAGATTTGATCAATTATGTCTCTGTTTTTTTGAGAAAATAAGTAACTGCTTAGTGTGTGTGTGTGTGTGTGTGTGTGTGTGTGTGTGTGTGTGTGTGTGTGTGTGTGTGTGCAAGAGAAAAGGCATTTGAATTAATATGAGTTTGACTAACAAATGTGTTGCTTGATGAGGGTTACGGTTGTTATTTAGACTTACCAGTTACAACCTTCTTGAGCTTCTGGGACTGAAAAGCTCCTTTTGATTTGCGCCGATCCCATTTAATTGTTTGATCCCTGTTCCAAGATAGGCAATCTGGCAGGAAGGAAAACAAAACAGAAAATATGACATTATTGTCTTTGGTAAAAAGAAACAAACAAAAAAAGGCCCACTATATATATTACTATAAATATATTATACAATTGTCAAAATTTCTTTTTAGATATACAATTTCATATTTATATACACCAAATCTTTCCGACGATGTATGCACCTAACATGCCAGGACATTTTTCGACTTTTTTTTTTTTTGTATTTCAGGCATACATGTGAGACAGTTATCATTAAAGTATTTATTTTTTAGCAAAATGTGCAAAATAACATTTAACAAGTTTCTCCTTACATCAATTTTAATCTTTTTTTATTTTTTAACAATGTAACAGTAGCAAACAATGTAATAGTAGGCCTAATAGTGCTATACTATATGTTATAGCCTACTTATTTGTAAACTAAACTGTATTTCTTTTTTATTTTCAAGTTAAAAAAAAGTGCAAAATCACAACTGCAAAATCTTCTGAACAAAAAACCACCAAAATGCTGCTTTGAGTACAACAGCTAAACTGAAAACACACACAAAACACACAGACAGAGAAAATAGCACCACGGACAGTGCCAGCCTTCTCCCTATCTCTGTCTTTCCTTTAGACTCAAGTGTCCATCATTGGGAAGTCGAGGGTATATGTGACAGATTCGTACTGATTGTCTGAGTCACACGGTCAGACAGGCAGGCAGCCAGACACACAATGCGTGGCGCACATAGAGAAAAATATATGCATCTTCCCTTTATCCGTGCGGCCGGGACAAACAACGTCCCGTACAGGATTCGCCTCTTTAGGCTCAAATACGTGACGTACCAGCTAATACGGGACGGTTGGCAACCCTACCTACAGCACGAATCGTTTTTTCCGCCGTAAAAATGACTTAAACACGGTGAAATCTCAGTAGAATAAGCACGAAGTGGTATAAACACTTGTTGACCAACCGTTCTTAGTTTCCAAGTCCGGTTTACTCGACGGAAAGCTCTCGTACGTCTGCTAGCTAACATGAGTCAGCATAAATTATTATTATTAGCTAAAATCCGATGTAACGTCATGTCTTTGCTCGAGGGAAAGTATTGCCTATAAATGCTAAATTTACGCAACACGACCTCAACATATCAAAACACGTACACTTGCAAGTATTTGCGGGTAAACACACATTAATAATCATTAAAAACTCACCTTCGACGACCTCATCTTTGGCGACGCAGCAACTTCTGTGAAATTGTGAATCTTCGAATCGCGGGAAGCGATTTTAAATTCTGAACGCCATGATTCTGTCGACCAATCAGGGACTCAGAGACGCTCACGCGGGTTAGCGCTCCAATCACAATGCACAGACGAACTACAAAATTACGTCACAAAGTACAAGCCTTTTCTGGGAAATGCAGTTGTAGTTGCAGATACGTCCTGGACTTCGTTTCACACACACCTAGATGTGGAGATCTTGTGATGTGGCCTTCTGTTTGGCTCCAGAGAGAAACTGTTTTGAGGCATTTGGTTTTAGGGCCAAGTTACACAAAAAAAACATGGATTTTTTTTAATATATGTATATAGTTTTGGTTGCGTAATTTGCACCATGACCCCTCATGGTCAAACCTATGTTCCATATTTGGGAATTTCAATTTCATCTCTTAAAGTTGGTGTCTAACTCGGTGTTACGTTGTGTTTGACCCTAAATTAATTTTACGCCGGAATATCCCTTTAAGTCGCCTCTGTTCTTTCTAGGGGTGCCTCAGGTTTAACTATGTTCTTGTGTTCAGTTTGTATGCAGATGTGTAGGCCTCTCTGGAATCATCTGAGCTCAGACTACAGTTGTGTTGATACTTGTGAGGTGTGGACTGATGGACCCACAGGCTGCAAACAGTCTACAGAGATTCACTACCCCCCTCTGCTGGGCACTTCTCATAAATTGAGGAGTCTTTTCAACCAAACCAGCACTGCACCAACGTCGTTTATATGACTGTAAACCAGAGTTTCTCAACTGGTCTCACTCTGGGACCCACATTTTCCCATGGTCATTAAGTCACAACCCACTTTTATAAAATTCAAACCAAGAAAATTTGTTGTTTTATAAAAAAAACTTTAAAGACTTTGATCTTCAACATAAATACTCCCATTTTATTGAGTACAGTGCATTTCAGAGCACTTGAACCTAAGACGACAACTACTAAAATTGCATATAAAGAAAATGTCAAATATCAAATTGCACAAAGACCAAAAAAAAAAACAAAAAAACATGTATTTCTAATTTAGAAGATGAACATTAGAAAAGTGATGCTTCTGGCTCGGCCCACCTCACTATTTACAAAATATGCTTGCACCTTGAGGATTACGTTTCCCATGAGCACCTTTAGCCACTGTTTTGAATTATTTTAAAAAATGCCTCACAGTGTTTTTTTTTTTTTTTAATGACCCACAAAAAGTTGTAGTTTTAGAAGAAAACATTCCCCAGAATGTGAAACTTTCACCCAGGACCAAAAATATCATCTTTGAGGATAATTAACCAACTTTAAACACTAGAATAAAAATGCTCGTGAAGATGACTCCTGGACGCGTCACTGTGTTGAAGTCGTGTGTAGAAATCTCTGCAGAGAGGAGAGAAAGATTCAGATGTTGTCATGCAGTATTTGATGTATTTTATAAGAAGTTAATTGAGTTATAATCCATCTTTGGACTTTGTTTCATAAAGCTGACCTGTAGGAAATGGAGGTTGTCTTCAATCAGAAAGAGGGACTCCAGTTCTGTGTTCCTCCTCTGCAGCTCTGAGATTTCCTCCTCCAGTTGTTCGATAAGCTCTTTATTTGTTGTTTTTGTCTCACTGAAGTCTGCGGAGAGCCTTATTCTCTCAATAGCGCTTGTTTTGTCCTGTATCCCCTGCTGTAGTTTGATCTTTCTTCGTTTCAGTTTGACCTGTGTAAAGAAAAATCAGTGTTTTTTCCAAAGAAAACCAACAAAAACAGTCAACAACTGATCTCTTGTGCCTTTTACCTTCGTCCTTGAAGCTTCCTTGTTAACTGATAGTATGTGATGGCCTCTGTGGTCTGTCTGGGCACACATCACACAGATGCAAGTCCGATCACTCCTACAGAACCTGTTCAGCTGCTTTCCATGCACTCTGCAAACACGGTCCTCTATGTTTTTCACCACATCCACCAGAAGATGGCGCCCAAGATCTTCATCCTGGTAATGTGGCTCCAGGTGAGCGGTGCAGTACGACGCCATGCACTCCAGGCAGGATCGGACTGCTCTGTGCTTTGCTGGGCAGAGATCACAGAGGACCTCTCCGGATTTTAAAGGCGCAGTTTCTTCCTCGGTGTTGGAAACAAAAGGCAGTGTTCGGTCTGTTTCAAGCTGCGGCCTGGTGGGGTAAAAGGCCTTGCAGAGGGGGCACTGACAGGCCCCATGGACCCTCCAGAAGTCCCCTATACAGCCCAGGCAGAAGCGATGTCCACAGGGGAGGGATGCAGGTCTGGTGAACTCATCTAGACATATGCAGCACAGAGGAGGCTCAGACATGAGGTCCAAGCTTAGTGAAGTCTGGTTAAGAAATGTATTCCAGTATGTATCTGCAGAGAAAACAAAGACGAGTGTTAGCTAGGATCTCACGAGATAAGCACAAATTTCTAAAACCTGAGACTGTTTTATTAAACACAGCAGGGAAGAGACATGGCAGCTGTCATTAAACTAAATAACAGGATATCTATGAAAATTCAAAAATATAGTAGGGTGACTATACGTCCTTTTTTACCCGGACATGTCCTCTTTTGTGGGGGGGCTGTCCGGTCTGTCCAGTCTGTCTGGGTTTGTTTGGCTTTGTCCGGGAAGTTTATAAAATTCTTCCACTCTCCACAGTTTTGTACTTAAGTTTCGAGTTTGTGTCACGTGGACTTACCGAGTTACCCCCAATTTCCACCGCATCCGGAACGGCTACGAAAAGGCCGTATCTGCCGATCCTAGCTGATTGTAACCATTCAAGTCAATCTGTCAATTTCCACCAGTTTCTTTCCATTCCGCTGTGGATTGCCGGACTCGGCGGCTGATCGCAAGAGTTCTATTTTTTCCAGACGTCTGAGCATGCCGGAGAGATTCAGCACAGATTAACCCGCGCTGGAAAGGAAGTCAGGCACAGACACAAAATAAAACACCCCATGTCTCAGGCGGATCATATTTCCCATCATGCAAACAGGCGGGGACGAACAAGTGAAAGGTTTATGGACAGCATTTCAACCAGATGACACCGTGGATGAGGAGATGCTGATTCTAAAAGTCTAGAAGTAGATTTCCTCATCTGGAAGGACACAACGTACTGCTTATATGGTTAGCCTTTGTGGTTAAAGACAACTTGTTATCGCCCGATTGTGAATTCCTGCTGTCCGTAATCTGCCATGAAAGTCGCCTCACAAACTGATCTGGTAGGAATTGGCGGATGGCAAAAATCGCTGCCGTTCCAGGTCGTTCCGGGTGCAGTGAAAATTGGAGGTTAGATGCGCATAAAAGACACTTGGTCACCCTATATCAGAGGGCGTGTTGCAGGTGATCTGCTATGATTGTGCGATTGCTAGTAAGTCATCAAAATACATTGACATCTGCATTATAAAAAAACAGATTTGTGGATGAAACGAATCAACTGGAACTCCTGAAAAGTGCAAATGCATTAACCAGGAATTTCTGGATATCAGTAATTACAAACAAACAAACAAACACTGACATGACTACAAAATGGAGGTAGTTAAATAAATCAGGATGAATCCATGTGGTTTGTACAAAACCTCCAAAGTGGCCTTTTTATTGCTCTGATTTCCAGCCTCACATTTAAGAAACGTTTCTATGCAAACAAACAAACAAAACATTTGAAGTTGTTGATTTATGTTCTGACATGTTTTTAAAATTGACTCTGACTCACATCTTATATAAACACGAGTTTGTTTAATGATCCAGTTAATCAAGACTCCACTTCAACACTCTTAAACTTAAATTCTAAAATCAAAGCAGCGTACCTTTCACATTTCCTTCGTACCAGTTTGTTTTTCCTTGGGATCGGACAACAACATGTTACGCTCTCATCGGTTGGCTGCTGTTAGAGTACAGTTCAGTACAGGTAAAGACACACCTATGCCTGCTGGGTAAGAGGGTTGGCCCTGTTGGACTCTGTCATTTCCTGGATCCTCATAAAACGACATTCACCTGATAAAGCAAGTGATGAAACCTCCCTATGAAACTTTAAAAACAGAAAAATACAAATAAATATGATTGTTTTTTTAAAGTATTTATTCACAATCATTCAACCTTTCTTTCTTACAAGGATAATCAATTTAAGTCCACAAAATTACATTCAAATGACAGAAAAACAGCTGATAAAGACCACACAGTAAAGTTAGATAAAGATGTTGTTATAACTTCACCTTATAAGGAAATACTTGCAATGATTGAACTCTAAGCTGTGTGGAAGTTTAACACCTCTTTTTATAGAACTAATGCTGCGTTCCAGTTGTACTTAGAGGTCAGGATTTCTGAGCTCTGAGTCGGAAACTAATCGGGAACACCCCCTTGGAAAGTCGGACAATCCTCACCAACCCCAACTTGACGACAACATCATAATTTAAGATGGCAGTGCAGTGCATCAACAGTAAAGAGTAACAGTGAAAGTTCTCATAATGTATTATTTGTTAACACTTCTATTTTGTTTTTGTGAAATTAAATAAGTGGTATATGTTGTACTGCCCGACGTCTAACAGTGAACACTATGCTATGGTGTTTGTAGACTGTGTTGTGCGTTGTTTACAACTGGTATTGCTAACAACCGCTAACAACTACTGACAATGGCCAACGACAGCTGACAATTGTAAACAACATCCAACAATGGCTAACTATATGCGTCCATCTTGATTTCCCGACTTGTTAACTGGAACGCTGTCAACTCGGGTGTAGCGTCATTCCCAGCTCCGACATCCGACTTCTGAGGTAACTGGAACGCATGATTGAACTCGGCGTTTTAAAAAGAATTCAAAGTGCCTCTCTTTCCTCCGAAAAACTGTGGCGATATTTGGCTTTGACTTAGTAGCAAATCTAAGCGTTGAAATTTTGAGTTATCTTCGAAATGTTGGTAATGGTGTTTGAGTTATGTGACGCTAGCTCTGCGAAATGGTCCGCCAATGACGTGCCTATGTGGCAGCCATCTTGGCGGGGACATCGTTCCCATTGAAGCTACTGTATGTACATTGAAAATAAACCATAACTTGCTAATTTCTTAACAGATTTTTATGCGGTTTACTTTATCTTCAACGCCAAAACGTGCTATTATTAGAGAATATTTGATCTAGAAGATAAAAAAGAAATGTTTCCTCAAATGTTCTCTAGTAAAAGCATTAGCATCTCAATTTAGTTCGGCCTGACGAGTTCGCTGAGACCAGGTCCTTCGGATGCTGCTGCCCAATACCACCCCCTATTGTTACACTTAATAACTGCTTGCTCATTTTCAGCACATTATCAAAACATGCCTTTTTTATTAAGACCTTTGATGGTTTAAAAACTCAGCTAGAGATGTATTGATGTAACTGGGTTTTGTTCTGATATCAGGAATAGCTTAATATTATTCCGTTGTTTTTGAAGCCTGTCTGAGGGCGTAAAGACGAGCGAAGAATGTTGCCTGATCTTCCATAGAGGTAAGAACCAGTGGTTCTGACTTTTTGCCCCTGCTGAACAGGTAGAAGTATGGGAAGATTTTCTCCGTGAAGGTTATTCGTGAGAAAGAGTATAAGTGCAGCTTTCTATCCACGTCAAAAAAAGAGACCCTGCCTTCGTTGTAGTCCACGTAAACCCCCACTTCCCTCGGCCTGGGATTCAGATGGAGAACCGAGTTGCGAGAGCAGTGAACCTCATAATCAAAGCCCCTCTTTCCGATGGAGTAGAAGCCGTTTTCCTCTCTCAAAGCCACCTTCCCTGTTCTGTTTGCTGTTTCCGTGGCAACACCGACATCCCAGTTGTTCCTCAGTCCCACTCTGACTTCCCAGTAGTGACGCCCAGACGTGAAGCCGTTCTTCCCCAAAATCATGGGGCAGTTGGACCTCTCTGAGTCATCGGATGACGAGTGACTTGCATTGTTGAAGTATTTCAGACGTTTTCCAAATTCGGTCACGACAAGGCCAGAACCAGCAGTGGCAAGGTCAAAGGTCACCGACTCTGAATTAAGACAGACCAGCTTAATTTTGATTAATTACTCATTTAATCATAAAAAAATCAATTAATCCATTATCTTACCTTTATACTGTCTCATCCTGGTCAGTTCTGTGAGAATAAAAACATCACAGTCTTTGTCAACATCAAGAGATTTGAACTCACAGGTGAAAACAAGGATTCAGATTTTTACCTGTGTCCGTAAGAGTTTTCAGCTCTGACTGAAAACTGTGGACGAGGTGAGTCATCGCTCTCCTCACTGTCTGCACACACAGCTCTGAGTAAACACTGATCTGAGACCAGTTCTTGGTGACTGACATGGCCCTCAGGTTCTGCAAAGTCTGAAATGATTCACGAATGCATGATCATGAGTGACAGAAGGCTGGATTTAAGCCTGCTGTCTGTACTCTGTTAAAGGGACATTCCAATGTAAAAATTAAGTTAGGGTTAGAGATGAAGGTTGCTTCTCTAGTTATACCAACTTTAGTAACGACCGCACGATAGCAATACACAGCCGTCTGAGGAGCCATAAACAAACCTCAACCAAAACGCCACTCTATAGCCACAAATAATGCTCAGAACAGCACCTAACTTCATCAACAGGACATATAGGGTCCCAGCCATAGTACTAGACACCAAACATCTTTGTAGCAAGACCTTGGGCCATTCCATTACAGACTACAGCGGAGTTTCGCAGCTCAAGGAAGAACATTTATGATCATTTCTTCATTGAAATGCAATCAGATCAGATCAGATCTTTGTGAAAGAAATCAGGCAAAGTTGAAAAGATGTTTGGTGGCTAGTACCCTATATGTCCTGTTGATGAAGTTAGGTTCTGTTCTGAGCATTATTTGTGGCTATAGAGTGGCGTTTTGGTTGAGCGCATGGTTCTCTGTATTGCTATCTGCGGTCGTTACTAAAGTTGGTATAACTAGAGAAGCGAGTGGTCGGCAGCATTCATCTCTGGAGGGAGTGTCTAACTCGGTGTTACAGTATGTTTGACCCTAAATTAATTCTACACCGGAATATCCCTTTAAAGTCACGTGTTTCCATCAGTTTATACAGAATTAAGACTGTCTTCTCACCTGCAGAAGTTGAAGGTGGTCGTCACTTTGGGAGAGCTCCTCCAGCTCAGAGTTCTTCCTCTGCAGTTGGGCGATTTCCTCCTGCAGCTCCTCAATGATGGCGTTGTCCTTCTCTTGGGATTTTCTGAGCTTCTCCTGGATATTCCTTCTGAGATTGGTTTTTGCTTCATGGACACGATCTATCAAGGTCGTAAAGAGGGCCTCGCTGTCCACCATCTCTGTGTTTGCTTTTTCCTAACAGAAATAAACACAAAGGTGTCATCAGCGTAGAGTTGTATTGAGGTTGGTGCATGTTACCGTTTCCCCAGGACTTACTCTGCTCACTTCAGATGCAGTTGTGAATTCCTGTATTTTTACCATCCTGTCTTCAATCATCAGTTTGATTTCTTCCTTTTGGGTCTCAATCTTTTCCTGAAATTCAAACAAATAAAAGTGACTTAGCGGTAAACCTTTTGTTACTTCCTCTGAGTCATTTCATCAAATAGTGTCTCTCACTTTCTGCTGAGGCCCTTCTTCCTCAACAGGCACCGTCTTGTGGTCTTTGTGGTCCGTCTCATTGCACAGCAGACAGATGCACACCTCTTCGTCTCTGCAGAAAAGCTCGAGAACCTTCTCGTGCTTCTTACACATCCTGTCCTTCAGGTTCTCCACCGGGTCGATCAGCTTGTGACTCATCAGACCGGGGACTCTCTGGTGGAACTCCAGGCAGGCTTTGCAGTATGATGTCCAACAACCAAGGCAAGATTTGAAGGCCTTTAATTTCATTTCAGTGCAAACGTCACACTTCACCTGCCATGTGGCTTCAGCACTCTCAGATGTCTCAATTTTCCTTCTCTTTATTTGGGCTGAAATCTCCTCGATGACCTCGTTCGTGGAGATCTTAGGTCTCCCGTGGAATCTTTCATTGCATGTGGGGCAGTGATAGAAATCGCTTCGCTCCCAGTGATCACTGAGGCAGGCTTTGCAGAAGGTGTGGCCACAGGGGGTGGTCACAGGATCATCAAAGATGTTCAGACATAACGAACACTGGAGATGATCCCCTGGTAGTGACGCAAGGACACTGAAGGCCGACATCAGGAAAACTGAGGGAAGAGAAAGAAATCTTTTAAAGGCTTTGTGTGTCGTGTTTAATATTGTAGGAATACCACAAAATATTTTATCATTTCATTCTTAAAGGTTCATTTCAACATCAGCAACATCAAAAACATCAGTCAACAGCTATTAGTTATTGATGACATTTGGGAATATCACGATATTCACGATCTGACTGTAAACAAAGCCGTTCTCTGCATCCGCCAACCTGATTGGTTGTGAGGCAGCCGTGCTCCCCCGTGTCGTTCACGAGCCCAAACAAAGTTAGCGTGCTACAATATCGGACAGTAGAAACCAACCAGAAAGTACGGAAGATTGTCTGAATCCTCCTTTAGCCGCGACTGCCGACACAAGCAAGAAAACAAAGTAAATACCGGAGACTTTGGCGGAATAACGGACACTTAAAAAGGAGGTAGACCGGACAAGAACTAGAAAACCAAGTCAACGTCAACGATTAAATGATGGGGGATGCTTCAGGATCTTACGGACCCTGTAACCTTTCTGCTGGACAGGTAAACCGCTTTAACAAAGTAAGCCAAGTGTCTGTAACAGAAGTATTTCTTGTCAAATGGGACCTGCTGCGTGTTGTAGCACCGCTAAACTGTTGACCTCGGGTCCTGGACTATGTCACTTTATTCTCGTTGTAGAAGTCCTGCAAACATTGTGTTTGCTGGTAGTCTGTTGGCATCTACAGTAGCACCAATGCTTTTGACCTTCACCTTGACTGGGCCCCATTTGTGATTATCTGAAGTATTTATCTGCATTATATCTGAATTTAATTGAAATGATACGAGTGAGTGGGAGCGTCTGTGAGGGGAAAACTGGTTGGGAGGGGTAGAGTTTACATTCAAGATTTCTCCCAAAAACTGGCGCTTCCTCAGATCTTTATTTTAGGGTGTTTCTACTTTGTTGAAAATATAAAACTTTGATATGTACCGTACTCTGATTATCGCCGCAAAAATGAGCCAAAGGAGATTTTCAAAAAGTCAGAAGTATTTGGAATCGAGTCTATTTTAAGGTTTCAAACAATGCATCCTTGACCCGCCCGGTGACTCATATTCACATGAATCAGCTTGCACATCTTATTCTGCACAACAGTCTCAAAGTTTTTTGTATTTCCAAGCACAAAAAACAACAAAACACAGCGAAAAGTGACCTGAAAAAATGACTCACCTGACTTGTCCGAGTTAATTTAACTTACGGGGCTTTAACTGTTTCTTACAAAAGCTAAAACAGCATTTGTGGCTTCATGAGCGACTCAACACTCATCCTGAAGGCAGAGCTCTGAGAGGCTGATGCCAGTCCACTGCCTGTGGTGGGCGTGTTCAAGTTACATCATTTCAATGAAACGAAACCTAAGAGTGAAGCTTCAGAAGAGTCCGGAAAAAGGGCATTTCAGAGAGTATTTATTGTCATGACTCATAACCACACTTCTCTTTTTTTATCATTAACCACATCTTTATAAATCAACATGCAATCATGAAAGTAAAGACCTAAAAACTACAATTCAGCCCGATTTTCTTTCTCGTCATGCATGTAAAGGACCACAGTGTTCTTGTTTACAGGAGATGGTCTTCACCACAGTCAGGCCTTTTTCTGCACTGCAAAGTCGAGCCTAACTTTGTACTCAGTCTGGATAAGCAGCTCTTCCATTATTTCATAAATTATTCAGTGTTTATTTAACCCACACAAAAAACCAAAGCAATCTTCTTGAGTGTAAAATAAGTAAGTGAATTAGCATTTGGGAATAAAGTAGAGGTTTTATAACAAGAAAAAAAGGCAAAATAGATGAAAAAAAGTCTGAAAATGACAAGAAGTAAGTTCTTAACTAAAGTGGTTGAAATTAAAAGTTTACAATAATAAAGTCATTATATTGTCATATATTAGATTATTCTGATCATTTCAGTTGTGAGGAAAAAGTTTAAAATTTTTGGGAAGAATTTTTTTTTAAATCCAGGAGAATAAAGCTAATTAGTTAATGAGTTTAAATCCATAACTACAAGAACAAAAATAAAATTTTTGAGGATACAGCCATATCAAGAAGGTTGTACAAACAAAAAAAAAAAAGAAAATTAAATCTATGAGAAATTTTTAAATCAATGGAAAAGGTTTGAAATTAATCATAAATGTTGCAAATTTTGGAGAGGACAATCGTTAATTCATGAGCAAAAAATGTAATTATGAGAAAAAAAGTTTAAAATTGTAAAAGAAAAAAGGCAAAAATTAATAAGACAAAAGTTTGTAATATGATATATGAGAAAAAGTTTATAATTTTTTTTTCTCACAGTTTCAGATCCCTAACTACAAGAACAAAAATACAACTTTTGAGGATACAGCCATATCAAAAAGGTTGTACATTTGTGAGAAAAAAAATAAAATCTATGAGAAAGTTTGAAATTAATGAAAAGTTTAAATGAATGAAAAATGTTGTAAATTTTGGAGAGGACAATTGTTAATTCATGAGCAAAAAATGTAATTATGAGAAAAAAGTTTAAAATCTTAAAAGAAAAAAGGCATTAATAAATAAGAAAAAAGTTTGTAATATAATTGATGAGAAAAAGTTTTATAAACTAAAAAACAGTTTTATGAGAAAAAAAGTATTTTAGAAAAGTTGTCAATTTAGGAGGAAGATTTTCTAATTTACCAAAAAAATTATCATCCTTATTGTTTATTATTGTGTTTGCTTTTGAAGGCCATGCAGAAGCATCAGTATCAGTTTAAGTCTCAACCAGTTAAAAACCCCTTATAGTGCCTTTAATTCTTGTAATTTTACTATTTTATTCTCAAAAATCTCTCTTCCTTCCTTCTGCAACGCCGCCTTAATTCTCATTTTTGACAAAAATCTTAAATTATTTGAGTACTTGTATAATTAATGTATTTGTAGACACATTAACTTCATGTAGGCTAATATTTACACATAAAAATACATTCAAATACTGTGAAAACAGGCACATTCCCACCCTCAACAATCTGTTTTCACCTTCAGATGTTTTTGTTTTTTTAATTGTCATTGCGTCACTAGCTCTGCTTGATCAGGCTTTTCTCATTCACAGGACAAATCACCATGGTATCAGAGGCTTTGTCGCAGCAGTACAGGTAGAAAAAGGGTAAAATCTTCTCTCTGAATGTATCTTTGAATGTGTAGATATGGGTCCGAGCCCTCACATCGTAGAAAGACACTTGTCCCTCCTCGTAGTCCACAAACACGCCCACTCGCTTTGGTTTGGGGTTGAGGGGTAGCAGCATTGGCGGGGATGTCGATACCCGGTACCCCTGACCTTTCTTCATGGCCAGCGCCCAGTAACCCTGTGTGGTACTCACAGAGATCCTGCCCTTCCTGTTGACCGTGGACCGGGCTACACCCAGGTACCAGTCGTCCTTGTCCCCAACCTGGACCTCCCAGTAGTGCCTCCCTGAGACGAAGCCCTCGCGGCCCAGGACGATGACCACGGTGTCGAAGCGCTCAGGGTGGTCTGGGAGGTCCTGCCAAGCGCCCAGGTGTCTGACCTGATGCCTGTCCTGAGAGAGCTGTAACCAGGGATTGGCTGAGTCCGGGTCCAAAGTGACGTCCACTGCAGAAAGAGAAAACATGATGGTAAAACTGACTGTTACGAGTATTGACAAGGACCAGATATATTTAAAAAAGGTCTAATTAAAAACCATCGACTAGACTAAACTAGACTAGATTAGACTGGATTAGACTGGATTAGACTAGATTAGATTACATTAGACTGGATAAATTAAGGTTAGGTTAGATTAGATTAGATTAGATCAGATTAGATTAGATTAGATTGGACTAGGTTAGATTATACTAGATTAGATTAGATTGGATTAGACTGGACTAGGTTAGACTAGATTAGATTAGATTAAACTAGATTAGATTAGATTAGATTAGATTAGAAAAGACTAGATTAGACTAAACTAGATTAGACTAGACTAGATTAGATTAGACTAGATAAAACTTGATAAAACTAGATTAGATAAGATTAAATGACATTAGATTAAATTAAAAGTGGGTTATATTAGATTAGATTAGATCAGATTAGATTAAATCAGATTACATTAAACTGGATAAGACTAGATTATATAGGATTAAAAGTGGATTAGATTAGATCAGATTAGATTAAATGAGATCTGATTAAATTAGATTGGATAAAACTAGATTAGATGATTAAAAATGGATTAGATTAGATTAGATTTAAAGTGGATTTGATGAGATTAGATCAGATTAAATTAGATTACATTAGATTACATTAGATTACATTGGAAGTAGATTGGATTAGATAAAATAAATTTAGATTATAATATATTAGATTATATTAGATTGAATTAGATAAGATTGAAAGGGGATTGGATATATTCAGATTAGATAAAATTGAATATTGATTAGATTAAATTAGAATAGATTAGCTCGGATTAGATTAGATTGGATTAATTAGATTAGATTAGATTGAAAGTGGATTAGATTAGATTGAATTAGATTAGATTACATTACATCAGATTAGATTGAAATTAGATTAATTTAGATTAGATTAGATTAGATTGGATTGGATTAGATTGAAAGTGGATTAGGTAGAGTAGATTAGATTAAAATATTTCAAATTACATCAAGATTAGGTTACTTTATTTATAAGACAAGATCAAGGTAGACTAAATTAGACATGATTATCTTTGACTAATTGTTATTAGAATAATTGTGTAAGATTTGATCAACTAAAATTAGCAGAAACCAAAAGTTCCTCATGGCAGCTTTAAAAAAATTCTGTATAACTTGCTCCAGAGATTATTAACTTGATTCTGGATAGAAAATGAAGTGATTTCCAAATCTGGATCAGTTTTATGTAACAACCAAAACAAAATAAATCTTTACCTGTATATTTGAGAATTTTCTTGATCTCTGTTGAAAAAAAAGAAAAGATCAACTTGAACACAGTACCGAGTCTGCTTCAGTCACTCTCTCACTGTATGATCATGTATTTGTTGTGATGTAAAACACAAGAAGAAGTCCTACCACTGTCCGCCAGTTTGTAGATCATTTCATGTATGGTTGCCTCCAGTTTGGACACAGATCTGCGGATCATTCCTACACATGTGTCAGTGGGAACACTGGTTTCAGACCAGTCTTTGACAGCAGGAGTAGTGCTCAGAGCTGGGAAATTCTACATTAGGATACAAAACAAAAGAAAATGACTCCTAAAAAACACAGAACTGCATATGTGATGTTTAAAATACTGCTTTGGTGAAGATCAGGACTGTTAAATAATGTCGCAATGATGATTTTAGATTTGATGAATTTGTGTTGCAGTACATTAAAAGACAGGAAGAGGGCGGTGTTGTAACAGCAGAGTGAAAGTGAAAGAAACATGATACCTGTATGTGTGATAAGGGAAACAAAACAAAAGCACTTCCCTCTTTGTAAAAACAAAAAAATAAAAGCAAATGCTGTGAAGTTAAACAGAGTCAAACTTTACTGACCTTTAAGAAGTGGATGTGGTCAGCTCGAGCCACGTTTTCTAGCTCTGTATATCTCCTCTTCAGCTCTGTGATCTCCTGCTCCAGCTCGGCGATGAGGCCTCCAGCCCGCCTCTCCGCCTGTCTCTGCTTCTCCTCGATGGACACGACCAGCTCGGCCTGAGTCTTCTGGATGGAGCGCACCAGCTCTGAGAAGACCTGCACGCTTTCCTGGATCTCTCTCTGAGCGCTGGCCTACAACGCAGATGAAAATAAACCGTTCATGATGGTGAAATTTTCAACTCTGTGACCTTAAAACCGAAGCTAAAACTGACCTTGTTTAGCTCGACAGCCTGTTTGATGTCCTCCACTTTTTTCACTCTGTCCTGGATCATCTGCTGGACGTCTATTTCTGTCCTCTTGAGCTGGGCCTGCAAGACAACACGACAAGTCAATTCTGTTTTCCGCACTTTAGCTCCATCCACCCTCCTTTGTCCGGAAATCGGACGATAGACTTCCATTAAAAACGCGCTTTTTGACCGTGTGTTTATGGCACCATAACAACATATTACAACCTTCATTTTGCAGTCACTCGATCACCAGGACTCTAAATTTTAGTTTCCGACAGTGATACAACAGATTGAGCCGGCTCATCATTTTAACCCCTTTGGTGCCGCGCAAGCAAGTCTCCATCCATGGACTGAGGGTGTTTGAAATGCTATTTCATTCACTAAACATCATCAGAATTGAATGAAACTTTACATGACACTAAATATTGAGTGGGATATGTGTGTAAGGAAAAGTTTGTGCGCTCCTGCGTGTATGCACGGGTGTGAATCTGTGTCCATGTTTATAACTGGACATGCCGTGAGCGGAATTTTTACAGTCGAAAACCCGACATCCACGTTCTGCAGTGTGGGACAAAGAGAGGGGGACATTTGGACGATTTCAACTTTGCCCTCAACTAGTGATGTGGGACTGCTATTATTTTGAACACAACTGTGTAACTCAGGGGTGGGCAATCATGTGCCATGGAGGGCCGAGAGGTTACAGGTTTTCTTTCCAACCCAAATCACCTGGTGGAGTTTTGGGTTGGAAAGAAAACCTGCAGCCTCTTGGCCCTCCATGGCACATGATTGCCCACCCCCTGGTATAACAGCTCTGGTAAACTGAGAGGTATTCGAACCATCGTACCTTTTTGTCCGTCCACTCCCTCTCCACAGGTACCGTGTAGTGAGCCCTGTGGTCCGTCTCAGTACAGAGCACGCACACACACATCTGATCCTTCTTGCAGAACAGCTCCAGGAGCCTTTCGTGCTTCGGACACATCCTGTCTTCCATGTTCGCAACCGGCTCCATCAACTTGTGCTTGGTGAATCTGGCGGAGTGAGATTTCAGGTGCTCCTCGCAGTAGGAGGTCAGACACACCAGGCAGGATTTGATGGCTTTGGGCCTGCCATCCCCAAGGCAAACGTCACACAGGACCTCCTCCCAGGAAGAAGGTAGGGTTAGAGAGGGAGGAGGTGGAGGTAAGGATGGAGGAGCTGGACGAGCTGGAGGAGCAGAGATTAGAGGTGAAGGAGGGGGTGAGGTCTGAGGCTGCGGAGGAGGCGGCGGCTTTCGAGCTGTAGCTTGTGGCGAGGATGGGGGAGAGGTTTCAGGCGCGGCCAAAGGAGGGATCAGCGGTGGTAACTCCTCGCTTTTCTCCTTCTTCTTCCTCTCCTCCTCTTGCTTCTGCTTCAGCTCCTCCAGCAGCTCCTGTTTCTGGTCTTTCTCCAAAAGCCTCTCCTCGTCCTCCTTTTTCCTCCTTTCCATCGTCCACTTCTTTCCTTTCCCTTCCTCCTCCTCCTCCTCTTCGTTCAACTTCCCCTCCACGCTCCTCACCCTGATCTCCTTGAACTGCTCTGCGATCTCCCTCAGGACCGTGTTGATGCTGATATCGGGCCTTTTGTAGAAAGACTTCTTACACATAGGACACTGGTACAAAGGGCTGGTTTTCCAGTATCCCAGGATGCAGCCCTGGCAGAAGTTGTGTCCACAAGGGATGGACACCGGGTTGGTGAAGACGTCCAGACAGATGGAGCAGTGCACCTGCTCTTCAGAAAGGTTCCCAGTGGTGGCCATTCCTGCACGGCGGAGAGGCAGGGTCATTTTCAGCGCAAGCAACCAGGCTCTGAACGGGGCATCAAACCTGCTGTGATATTGAGGTGCCTAGGGTTAGGAGGCGGGACTTGATTCGGGGTCTTTACATGCAAATCAGAGCAGAGCATGATGGGACTCATTTATTACAACCAATACGAACCAAAGACTCCCAACACACGGTCAGTGAACCGTATTTATGGTCCTATTTTTGTAATAAATGAGTCCGTGCTGGTCTCTTAGGGAAGTGTTGAAAGCAGAACCATTAAATTTTGACACCAGACTTCAAATTCAAGCTAAAAATACCACACTTGGTTGTATTAGCAAGCAAGGATTAGCTTGTAACTTGTAATACAAGAGCTCGCAGCTTGAGGCCCAATTATTCATAGACCATATTAACATTTTTGCAACAGTTCCAGTGAATTATGAGACCTACTCTTCGGTGATTCCCTTCTCTTGAACAATAAATTTGAGATAAAGTAGGATTGTTTCTGCTGAATAGATGTTTTTTTTTTTTTATTCTAAATTTGGATTCAGGGATGGCCAAGCTCAGGTCACAGCTCTCAATCTGCCAAAGTGCGCTCTCATAATTAACAGAATACAAGCCAACACCGCCCCAAGAGACTCGAACAGAAGCAGATGTGATATTAAAAATGAAAATGCACGAGAGAATGAGGAGCGAGAGAAAAAGCAGAGGTATGGTGGGACTCACCAGAGAGCAGCTGCCTGAAGGCTCTGCAGTACACTGACACATGAGACAGGCTGTAACTACTGCCACCTCTTACTCCCCCCACACACACCTCAGACCCAAAATACACCCCCCTCCCTCCCTTTTTACCCCAGATACAAATTTATACTTGCTGGTCATGGCCCTTTGAGCTCAAGGAGGAGGGGATTTCACCCTCTTCATGCAGGTGGAAGACAACAAAACACTCTGAATGTGTGTCAGGCTCGCATCCTCGCAAACATCCAAACATTCATGAATCTCACTGCAGTGTTTGTTGGTCACAAATGTATTAAATCAGATGAGAACTGAGCTACTTTCACACTGTTGCTGTTCACCTCCACCAGCAGGAGGCGCAATAGATTCTAAGTTAAAGCTTTTTAATTTGGTTTTAGATTGTTAAGCTGATTACAAATTTGTAAAACAACAACCATTACCTCTAACAAACACTAGATCTGTCAGAACTGAGTTATCTGGGAAAACTTTATATCACCCATCGATCTGTTTTCCTCCTCATGATCTGGGTCAGGTTGAGGCGGCAGGATGAGTAAGACAAACTCAGACTCTCCTGAACAAGATTTTTACAGTTTCTGAGGAAAGATTTTGATTTACAGAAGAGATTAGAGACAAAAAGGAAAAAAAGGCACAACTATTCACATACACAATTTCTCAGAATTCCGAAGTATGAGTTTGTACAGAAGTACAGAATGCAGACTTCAGTCTCAGAATTCTGAGATCAAAGTGTCAGAATTTTGTTATCAAAATCGGAATTCTGAGATCAAAGCCGGAATTCTGTTATTAAAGTTGGAATTCTGAGATCAAAGATGGAATTCTGTTATTAAAGTCGGAATTCTGAGATCAAAGTGTCAGAATTCTGTTATTAAAGTCGGAATTCTGAGATCAAAGTGTCAGAATTTAGTTATTAAAGTTGGAATTCTGAGATCATAGTATCAGAATTCTGTTATTAAAGTTGGAATTCTAAGATCAAAGACGGAATTCTGTTATTTAAGTCGGAATTCTGAGATCAAAGTGTCAGAATTTTGTTATTAAAGTCTGAATTCTGAGATCAAAACCAAAATTCTAAGATTTTAGAATTCTGAGATTCTTTTCTAAAACAGAACCAACAGAATTCTGGTTTAAATTAATTCCTCTAAAATTGGAAAGTAAAAAAAAAAAAAAAAGACTTTTTTTCTCAGAATTCTTAGTTGATGTGAGAATTTTGGGATTAAAATTAGAATTCTGGGATTTTAAGGGGAATTCTCTTAAACTGAGATCTTGAGATTAAGGATGAATTGTGAGTTTAAAGTTAGAATTCTGACTTTAATCTCAGAGCTCTAGGAGCAACTCAAGATATATATTGTTTAATCTTGTAAATGCGACTTTTGATTAGAAAAAAGTCAGTTTGACACAAATTCTCTGTATTCTATGTATTTCATCTGCCATCTGTTTCAATAAATGACCAAACATTAAATATCGTCCAAATAATCAAACAAGGCCTGAAAACCATAAATGTCAAAATCAAAATAGTGTATTTCTTAATGATTTATTTTCTTTAATTCAAATGACAAAAATGTACAAAAGTAAACTTTTTATGTAAAAATACAGAACATATTTCAGCAATCCATGAAGACACCTGTGCCCTTATAAAGATATCAAAAAATGCCCATTATATATGTCATGGTCTTACAGTATACATACAAGAATGTCTCATTTAGACTCAGAGGCAATCCCAACCCCCGTAAGTGTGAAGTGAACATATAAGATTTAATCGGTTTAGTGTCCAAAGCCTTTTAGCTGGAGGTAAACAAAGACTTACACAGCTAAGAAAGTGCCAGAAGTTCAAAACAATAAAAGTCGACTTTAACCTCAACATGTCAAATCCTCTCTAATCCTTCATTTACTTCATTTTGTCTATTCTATATACATGTAAACAACAAAAAACAATGACAACTTGTACATTAGTTAAAACCTCTAATTATTAGCAGGGTTATGTTTTGGTTCACACACGATGGTAGTTTTCATTTCTGGTTAGCGTTTTCAACAAATCTTTTAATAATTGAGATTTATTATTTTGTTACTTTATCAGATCTAAAAATATTTGCTTCACATCTTTGTGCTTCAGAAACTAGTTAGACTGTTTTTAATTTGACTCTAAACTTAATTTCAGAGAGTTGAACCTACACTGGCTGTCTCAGGTGTGTTTCACTGGAGTTATAGCAAGAGGGGAAGTGTTCTTTCCGTCGTGGATAAGACAGGGGCTGAAGATGGGGTACAGACTCTCGGTGAAGGTGTGGCTGAAGGTGTAGAGATGCAGCCGCGACTTCACGTCATAGAAAGAAACATGCCCACCTTCGTAATCCAGGAAGATTCCTACTTTACCCGGCTGGGACGACAGCTGAAGAGGCAGGCGGGATGCATCCAATGCCTTCACCTCCCCGTTCTTCAGCCACAGGCACCAGTACCCCCCCTCAGGGTTCAGCTTGATCTCACCCTTGCGGCGAGCGGAGGTGCTGGTTACGCCGAGCGTCCAGGCCGTCTTGCGCCCCACGTCCACCTCCCAGTAGTGCCGCCCAGACCCGAGACTTTCCCTGCCAAGGACGAAGAGGGCCGGGCTGAAGCGCTTCGGGCCCTCTGAGTGGGAGGTCTTCCGTTCTTCATACCTCACCTGGCGACCATCTTCGGACACAACAAGGTTCCTCTGAGCCGTGACAGGATCCAGGAAGACCTCGCCTGGACGGGACGGGACAGACTCATCAAGAACATGTCTGGACCTCATCCTCTTTAGGACTTTATTCTTACAAGAAAATAGTGCTAACCAAAAGTACCTTTACCAAATGCGGTGTACCAAATGTACACCACATTGCTGGTTCACAACGATAGTGAACTTTACCCTCTAAAACTGGCAGCATTCCCTTGAACTACATCTGTGCTGTTGGAGAAGTTGTGCCGCCTTGTGGATGAGACGGAGAACTGATCTTATTCAGCTTTGTTTGCACCTCTAGGATTGTCAGAAACCTTCTGAGATCTCTTGAAACAAGAGTCAAAAAATCCCCCCCGCAAACAAAAAAACAAAAATCGATGTTTGTACTCACTTGAATAGTTCTGTACCTTCCGGAGCTCTGTGAAATCAACAAGCAGATAGAAAGAAAGAGAGAAAGTGAGCGAACATGTCAGCGAGTCATTCAGCTCAACAGTCAAAGTCAAAGCAGATGGCACGTGTGGGTGGTAAACAAGGAGATCTAAACTGGAGCTGTAAATGCTCCAGACATGTGCTGCTGTCACTCAGCTCTCCACTGTTGCCTCTCTGTTGATTCCAAAAGCAAGAACTGCGGCATCAACACCATCTCCATCTGTCCCACCATCTTGTATGTGTGAATGCGTGAGAGGGGGGCTGCTTGGTGCAATGATGAGTCACTTTTCTATTTCAAAGTGCTCGTACAGTGGCCTACATATCCTTGTTTTGCACGGATAGTGTGGTTGCTATCAAACAAGGGAGGAAGAGTTTTACTGTAACTTGACACAGATCTTTTATAAGAGCGGTCTTTCGCTTTGAACCCTGTCTACAATTATTCCCTTTTTTGCTGCTTTATACTTCAGATATGAGAAATCACAAGATATAATAACTGAGCAGTATTATAGGATATAGTACGATGCAATAAAAGGACTTCAAGGTGGACATGTTACAATCCAATAAAATAAGAAACACAGCAACAGGATGGAATACTATATGATACAAAACAGTACTATAAGATACAATATGATAAAGTATGATAAAGTATGTCTTTGATATTGATTATTACTGTATGATTTGATCTGATACAATACAAAGAACTGTAAGATGCAATGTGTTGATACATTATGATACAAAATTAAAAATACAATAGGACCACAATGAGATGGAATTATCTCTGATACTATCTCATCATGATAATGTACAGTATGATAATTGTTTTATACGATGCAACATTATCAGATATGATAAATTACATTATGTGATGCGATATGATGCAATACTAAAGGACACAATACAATGCAATATGTTCCATTAGGATAGAATTGTTAATACAATATCATATAAAATGATATTGTATCTATTATTATCATGCATTTGATATCAATAGATACAATATCATACATTACAACAGCAAACGATGAGATATGAATCAATGCGATGAGAGCCGACATAAAGTAGGATATGATACAATACGGTATAATATGATACAATATGATATACCATATTATACGCTCACGTAACATACTATAACATATAAAATAAAACGATACAAAACGCTTTTCTACACTACACCACGATACGATGCAATACAATAAAAAAACGATACAATACCATATGGAATGATACGGCACAATGTGATACGATACAAAACTATACGATATGAAACAATACGACACATTACGATACGTTACTCTACAATACAAAATAATACGATACAATATGAAACAACACGGTGCGATATGATACGATACAATATAAAAACAATACAATACGATACTAAATAATACAATACAATATGAAATGATACGATGCGATATGATACGATACAAAACTATACAATATGAAACAATATGACACGTTACGATATATGATATGATACGTTACGCTACAATATGAAACAACATGATGCGATATGATACGATACCAAACAATACAATATAAAAATGATACAATACAAAATAATACGATACAATGTGAAATGATACGATGCGATATGATATGATACAAAACGATACAATGCAATACGATATATGATAAAAACAATACATTACGATACTAAACGATTTATTTAGCTGTATTTACCGTCATATTTATAAATCAAATCTTTTTTTAAAAAGTCAAAAACTTTATAAATAGTAGTAAATAGTTAATAAATTATATATTATAAACATTACATTTCAGCAGCAGCACAAAACTCCAGGTTGAAAGTGTTCCCTACTGTCTGACAATGTCTATTCTAATATAGATGACTATACAGTGAGACCAACAGAAGTATGAAATTACACAATAGCCTGTGTAATAACCCTAACATGAACACTGCTAATATTAAAATATGTATATTTGTAAATATATTATAATTTTTTTTTTTCCTTTTAAATTTTTATTCACGATGAGCTAAAATCTCTATGCAGGGATATTTTCTTTGGTTTGTACTTTTTTATTTTGATCCAGCCTGCAGACTAAAGTCTGTTTTTTCTTTTTAACTTCCATTATTCATTGTTGAACCGTTCTCACCTTTCCCATACAGCCTCTTCAGCTCCTCCTGGAACTTTTCGATGAGGCTGCTGACGGAGGTGCGGATCGTTCCCAAGTAGAGGTCAGTGTTGATGGTCACCGCAGACCAATCAGCAGGCTCGGGCGGGGGCGACAGCGTCGCTATGTTCTGCAGGAAATTAAAGGAGGTAGGTTATGCAAGGTAAAATGAAATTAAATTATAATGACTCCTCAGAGGAGACAAAGTCCTCAGAGGAGACAGAACGACTCTTACTCTGCTGGTTCCTGCTGCTTTTTGCAAATTATCTTTTTAAATCGAAGCTAAACGCTAAAAGAAAAATCCAGTTAGAAGAGTGAGTGCATTTGAATGAATGCTCTTGGATTATTTGCATACATGTGCCTTCACTTCACACTAAGTGGAAAAACTCTGAACTTCAAAAGCCTCTTTCATGAGAACATCAACATTTTATCTACATAGACGGTCCGGGAAGAATACACCAGGGAGGAACTTCCGTAACAGCTGGCTCTGTTCACACACGCTTTTGATGTCGGGTCGCAAATCTCAGAGCAACCACAGCTGCAGCAACCATGAAAATCTGCAGGAAAACCGACTCTTTGGATATTATTTTATGCTAGAAAAAGACATATACTCTCAAAATATGAATACGGACCAAGCCTGGTGGGTCAAACTGTTAAAAACTGAGATTTAAGGTGGATATTGCTGCGTAGCACAGCAGCTAACACTTTGATTCCTGTTAACTAATTAGCTCTCTCACTGTGTCCTAAATGCATATCAAGTGTGTCTCGTGTTTGTTGGCTACATGCTGCAAAAATGACTAATTACGCCGCACTTCAAATGCCAGCGTGCATTTTTGAATCGCACAGTCGGTGGATGCTTTTAATTAGACATAAGGCATTAGTCGAGGTAAAAAAATGCAATGGAAACAAAAATGTGATGGGACATAAAGGACAATAATCAAAAACGACACAAGACTTATAATTCCTGAGGATAAAAATCAAGTTCTGCTGTCAGTCGTCAAGTTCTTCGATTAAAAAGTGTCGTCTGAATTTCCCTTTTTTAACCCTAGAACACTATCGCTAAAATTAGTAACACCATCACTATCGCCAGGGGATTTTTACCTGAAATAATATACCCAAGAAAAAGTACTTGTCATCAAAATTTATCAAAAAAGTACAACACATGACAAATTAAAGTAGTTTTCTTTTATTTCTAACTGTGCGGTGTCCAAAGGGAGGAAAAAAGTGCCATGAGGGGATACGGTTGGGCATTGAGTCTGGGGCATTGATGGGGACCGGGACTAAATTCTGATTCTTCTGGAACCGTTCAAATTTTAAAATTTCGATTCCAAGTTTCGATGCCGGAGTCCGCCGACCGGAAGGAATAGCCACCGAACACCAACAAAGAAGACGCCGCCAAACACCAATGAGGACGAAGCATAAGAGACGAAGCCACAGAGAGAGAGAGAGAGTGCATTGCAACCGACAGCAGCTGCGGCCAAAAGTTAGGCTAACTTTAGCAGGAGGAATGAACTCTTATCTCAGTGCAACATTAGCAACACAGTTATATCATCCAAAGGAGGATGAACGACCAACATGATTAAACACCTCAGGATTCATGGAGGAGAAATACCTGAGTGCCTGTCTTTGGCGAACTTTGCCGGTTCAGACTTCTGCTGACATTGAAGCAACAAACAAATTGAACTGTGTACGGTCGACTTAAATATCCAACTAACGTTAGCCCTTGTACTTTTTTAAACGCAAACGATCTGACAACAAAAATTGATATTTATATCCTGGTTGAAAATAGCCCTGAGAGAAATTCATGGTAAAGTTCTTAAAAAAGTAATATAATTTAAAAATTCATGGAGAAGTTCAGAAACTTCATCCAAAAAGAAAAACTCCAGTTAGCACCCTCAATTAAACCGTGCATTTTTTTAAATATCCTGCCTTTTAAAAGAATCGGAATAGAGAATCGTTAGGAATCGGAATCAAAACGAGGAATCGGAACTGGAATCGTTCAAAATCAAACGATACCCAACCCTATGAGGGGGCCATATAAAAATGCATCAAAATAACTGAAATTAGGCATTTATGAACAAAAAATTCCAGAATAAAAATCTTATATAGAAACTGTAAACTTAGTTTCTTTTCCATGTGAGTCTTCCCTGGTGAATTCTTAAAACAAAAAATCTTTAAAAAAAATTTTTAAATCGTAAAAATGACCAGCTGACTAAAATATTTCTCATCACCACATGAATTCCCTTGAAAATCCCTACTTAGTGATAATTATTCATAACCACTGCACTGAATAAAGATAGCATGCAAATTCCAGGACCACTCTTACTGACCTTATTCATCTACATGCAGCTATCAAATCCACCCAAACCTACTTTACCCTCTATATCACTATTGAACACGTGTCTGTAGGAAAAAGCAGGTTTTGGAGGGAAACAAATATGTCTTCAAAGATGTCAAAGGCTCAGACAACTACTCAGACAAACGCAACATCTTGAAAGTCACGTAAACATGTTTGGTTGGGTGAAAATACCCGACGATGGTGTTCTAGTATAAAACTTAAACTTCCAATATGGCCGCCGCTCTACCTGCAGGAAGATGATTTTGTCCTGGGTCTGCGCGAAGGCGTCCAGCTCGTTGCTCCTCCTCCTCAGCTGGCTCAGCTCGTTCTCCAAACCTCGGGCTAATTCCTGAGCGTGGCGCTCGGCCTCCCGCTGCCTCGTGGCGATCAGCTCCACGAGCTCCGCCTGACTCTGCTCCACCAGCCGCTGCAGCTCGGCGTACACCTGCCAGCTCTCCTCCAGCTCCTTCTGGGCGCTGGCCTGAAAAAACAGAGCCGTGAAGTTGACTTTTACTTGAAGGTGGCTCGATTTTCATGAGGCGTGATCGTCATTAACCTGATTTAAATGATCAGTCGTCTACTTTGTTCCATATTTGTCACTATAAATTGCTTTTAAATTACAGGCTTAGACCTGAAATGATATGATCAAGAGTCTGGTGGATTCACTCACAATAAAAAAACGGTTATTTCAGTCTTCACAGTCTTTTGTTTTCTTTTGTCTCCGAGATGTCTGTCTGCCTGCGACTGGTCCAACCAGACCGACAGGTTCGGTTTTCCCCCGGACAGGTGAAGGAAACCACCGTGTGACTCTCAGTGAGTTTGAGAGTTGAAGAATTTTCTCATTTCAGTTAAAAAAAAAAGAGAATAAAACTTAATTTTTGGCGCTGATTCATTTCTAAAGAAGTTTGATTTTGCGTTTTATTCTTACCCGCAATCCAGTCAGTCCTCGTCTTTATTTGTAGTCTTGTGTTTGTACAGTACACACATACACACACACAAACACACACACACACACACACACACACACACACACACACACACATACACACACACAAACACACAGAGAGATCCTGATATTCAATCCTCCTGTAACTGGATCTGTTTTGTATTTAGAAACGTGGATAAAAATGCCACAAAGCAGGAAACCAGATGAAGCGAAAGGAACAAAAAGTATCCGGTTGTTTGTGAAAATATGTCCGTTTTTTTAGATTTGTTGGGAAAAACATGAAAATCTCAATCATATCAGTTATTTTAAAGAACAATCACGACCCGTTTAATTTTAATCTCTTGTTTTAAACGCATCCTTCTGAGGCTGTGGGGTGTGGGGAGCCGAAGGTAAATATTTTAACACTGGTCGCACAAGTTCGACAGCCTCAGACGTGCTTTCATGTCTGTTTACAGACGTCAGAGAACAACAGAGCTCAGGTACGAGAGCGGCAAGTCTATTAACACGGATCCAAAGCCAGTCAGAGCTGAAGTCGTGTCAGCGTACGTTAGAGCTTCAGCTGATTAAGGCGTTACACCAGAGGGAACTGAGCAAATATTGAACATGTGGATCACAAGAGGATGAACACAAGACGACCTGAGTCACACAGACGTGAAAACTCTCAGGTTTAAAATCCACTTTCACCTTTAAACACTTAAAATCATCGATTATGATCTTTTTGTGCAACAAGACAGAGAATCTGAAAACTGTCAGGAAATATTGAAAAATATTTTATCCAACATTGAGTACTCTTCTTCCTTAGTATACGCTTCTTTTTCTAGGGGTGTCTCGATACAGCTCTTTTACTTCTGATACCGATATTGTGGCCTCAAGTATTGGCGGATACAGATATTGATCTGATACAATTACAATGTCATTTAGCAGACGCTTTTATCCAAATTAATGTACATACAAATAAAAAAACACCAGTGGAGGACACAAACTGGGAGCGAGGACAGTTAAGTGTCTTGCTCAAGGACACAACAGACAGATCAGGGATAGGGGGGAATCGAACCGCCAACCGTCCAGTTGTTAGACGACCGTTCTACCTCCTAAGCTACTGCCTCCCGATATTGACACAAAATTGTGCCTGACAAATATCGGAGTGCTGATATCGGACGTTTTCGATGCAGACCGATATAACCCGATTTTTTTTTTCCCGCTAATATCGGACCAAAATCTGATTTCATTATCGGATCAGGACATCTGTTTGCACTTCCCTGCCTCATGTCACATTATATCATCTAATACCATATCCGACCTTCATTGTATTACAGTACTAAACATATATAGCATCATTAATGTACTTTATCGTACTGTATAATCTCATATTCTTGTATGCCTATATTATGGTGTTATAGTGATTGTCCACCATATTATTGCATCATATCAAACAGCTACCTACTGTACTATACCATACTGAATTATAGTGTATTGTACTTTATGGTTCTGTACTATACTTTTATACACATATCAGGGTTTCCCCTACATGCAATTGATCATGGCGCACCACCACGGCTTAATAAAAGCCGCCACACCTGAAAAAAATTAGTTTTTATCGCACATGATTCTACCTCAAACTCATATGTATCAGCAGTGTTTTCCTTACATGCTAAATTATGTGCGCCGCTATTGAAATTTCACATGATCATTATTATCGATGCGCCACTAATGATTCTACTCGCACTGTGTGAGCACAACAACACACAACGTTATTTACGAGTTGTTCTGAGTCATCAAGGAGCGCATCAAATCCTGTCAGACCCTCTTCCACTAATGTGAATATTATATTATATATATTATACTATATTATATACTATACTATTATGCTATATATTATATTATACTGCATTATGTATATATATATATATATACACACACACACACACACACAACCAATTAATCGATTTTTATCCACATATCACCAAATCACAACAATCGTCGCCCAAAGACACTTTCCAAAAGATTCGGTCTAGACCAAACTCAAACCACCTGATCTGTATGTTAGTGTTTTTAATCTTATTTGAGTGTTATTGTGTCACATCCTGTCACCGTATCTGTGTCATATATTATCATATAGTATCCTAACAATTCTTTATGTTTTTGTTGAAAAGTTTTGTTGTTGAACCTTTAAAATAAAGTCTGATTTTAGTTTCCGTCATCGTCGTCTGTGAGCCTCCGTGAACTCACCTTGATCACCTTGATGGATTGTTTGATTTCATCCAGTTTCTTGGCTCGCTCTTTGATCAAGTGTTTGACCTCTGACCTCTTCTTCCCCAGATTAGTCTGCCAAAATAAAGAGTATTTTTATTTACTCAAATCAGCATTGCTTAATTTTTAAATGGAAAATATTCACATACAGTAAAAACTAGTAAAATACAAAAAAGATACTCTATGTATGTCGTATGTCTCACCATTTTCTTCTTCCACTCGTGGTCAGTTGGGACGATTTCGTGGGATTTGTGCGTGGCCTCGGCGCAGGCTGCGCAAATGCAAGTGTGATCGGTACGACAGTAGACATCCAAGAGACGCTCGTGTTTTCTGCAGATCTTGTCCTCCAGGTGGAAAGTGGGTTCAATCAGTCGGTGAGAAATCAGGGACTTCGCCTGGAAAAGAGGGAGCCGTGGGTTTAAATATAACCTTGCTAAGATCTGAGGCTATAAAAGTGCATGGACGTTCAAGAAAATGTTGCGCGTTCAGCATATCTTTCAAAATAAAGATGAAAAGGGGGAAAATGCATACGAGACGGCGGAGATAAAGTGATTTAAAGAGTGACAAGTAAGCAGGAATTCTGACTCGCCCAAAGGTATTCAGCGTTTAAAGGATAGGAAAGCGTTTTGAATTCCCCACAGAGCAGTTTTCTATCGAGAGTTATGATATCAAGATCTGAGTGCATGTGAAAAATCGAGCGAAAGACAGTTAGAGATTTAGTTTTATTAGATTTTAAACCTTAAACTGGTTTGAATAGTTAACAGCTTGTTTGAAATATGGACATAGTCTCACTCAGTGCGTTTACATACACAGTTTAATCGGACTAAGGTCATAATTCAGTTTTTTCGCCAAATCGGACTGCTCGTCTTGTCCGGGTAAACATGCAAGCTGAGAAATTTTAATTATTGACGTGAACGTGTCCTCCTCCCTAAAAGTAGGGGGCGATGTAGGTCTTTTAAGCTGCGTTGTTTTCGGTTGCAAGCAGGTCCGTGCCAGACGTTGAAACTGCTGCTGGGCATTTTGGAGCAAGAAGATGGCGCATCGTACAGCGTTGTTTTTGTCGTACATGATGTAGGCACTAATTTTTCTGCAATTGAGGCGCACGCTAATCCTCTTCTTGTCTTTTTGTTCCGGGGTTATGGGGGTGTGGCGCACTCGCACATGCATTGCCTGATCATACTCCGACCATGCCGGTTACACGGTAGAGAAAATCGAATTCCAATCGCATTATCTAGGTGTCGTAATCGGAGTTCTCAAACACCGATAATGCTAACATGCACTTCTATTTTCCGGTCTTAATCGGATTAAGGCGATAATTCGGTTTTCTTGAGTCCGATGTAAACGTACTGAGTGACGTCCATGTTGGAAATGTCGACTCTGACTGACATGAAACTAGTAATGAGGCGGCCAGAATGAACTCAGCTAAGCCACGCCCACTTATGTTAGTGATATAATCCAGATGTAATAACATAGTTACAAGAGGAGTTTACTCATAGATGGTATGAATCATGGATGTCGTCTCGGTTACATCACCGAACCGTCACTGAACTGAAGGACACTGACCTTCTTATGATGTCTGAGGTGAGCCTCGCAGAACGACCCCGGACAGTTCACACAAGACTTGAGCGCCTTCAACTTCCTCCCGATGCAGGCGTCACAGGGGACCTCTCCAGCCTGAGCGAACTCCCCGGTGTCAATCCCAGAGGAGCTTCCCTGGCTTGAATTTAAGCTCAGATTCATCGTGGATCCCCTCGAGGCCGCCCCGGCTCCTCCGACTCCCCCGGCTCCCTCGGCTCCCCCGGCGGTCATCAGTCCCTGGAACTGGGAGGAGATTTCCGCCAGGACCCTGTTGACGCTCATCTCAGGCTTCTTGGAGTAGCTCTTCTTGCACATGGGGCACAGGAACTTCTTGCTGTGGTTCCAGTAGCCCTGCAGGCAGGCCTTGCAGAAGCTGTGGCCGCAAGGTGTGGAGACGGGCTCCACGAAGATCTCCAGACAGATGGAGCAGCTGAACTGATCCTCGGAGAGGAGGCGGCCTCCTGGAGAGCTGATGCCTGGGGAGAAACGGAGACATTTAAACAAGGGTCTCTAATCTACATGAACTCATGTCTAGATTTCTTCTGGGCTGAAGTGGACTTGAACGAGGGTGACCATACGTCCTCTTTTACCCGGACATGTCCTCTTTTTGGGGGGCTGTCCGAGCTGTCCGGCTTTGTCCGGGGAAGTTTATAAATTCCTTCAAATGTCCACAGTTTTGTACGCAGGTTTCAATTTTGTGTCACGTGGACTTACTGAGTTAGAAGCGCATTAAAAAAAGACACTCAATCCGACCCAAAGAACTCGCTAAATTAACTCTGTGCGACACTGTCAGTGCGTTTACATGCACAGCTTAATCGGACTAAACTCATCATTCGTATTTTTCCACGGAATCCGACTTCTCTCCTTGTCCGCGTTTACATGCAATCTGAGAAAATTGAATTATTGACGTGAACGTGTCCTCCTCCCCAAAACTAGGGGGCGATATGGGTCTTTTCGGCAACGCCATTTCCGACCCCTTACAACCGTCAACAACAACAGCAGGTCGGCGCAAGACGTCGGAAGCGGCTACAACCGCTGCTAAGGACTTTCAAGCAAGAAGATGGAGCATCATACAGCGTTGTTTTTGCTACTTTTTCTGCAAATGAGGCGCACGCCACTCTTCTTCTGTGGTGTTTTTGTTCCAGAGTTAAGGGGGCGTGGCGCACATGCACTGTCCGATAAACCACATTACCTGGGTGTCTTAATCGGAGTTTTCAAACTCTGATTATAGTCGGACTAAGGTGTTTACATGCACTTCAGTTGTCCAGTTTTAATCAGAATGAGGCAATAATTCAGTTTTCTTGAGTGTCATGTAAACATCCTGTGTGACTCCGCCCCTTTGTAGTCGTGTCCTCTTTTTTGGAAGTCAGAATATGGTCACCCGACTTGAAAAAAAGCCTAACAATCCTTTAAAAGTCCAGTTTGAGTTCGACTGATGAATATTTCTAACATCATGTAAACATACTGGGTCCAATCAAATGTATTATTGTGGATTCAGGCCCCCCTAGGACCCCCTTATGAACACCCCTGTCACGGCAGCAGCTGAACCTGCAAACTTAATCTGAATATTGGACTAAAACAAACTTGTTCACATGGATACAGTCTGCTGCGTTCACAGTCTGAAGCTCAAATAGACTTAAGGTGTTGATTTTGGACGGAAACCAGATCCTCAAGCTGAACCATTGAACCACTTTACGTCAGCACACCTTCAAAATCACACGCCTGATGACACCAGTTTGATCAGACCTACTTTACTAACCCCGAGCTTCATTTGTGTGTATTTACGAACACGCCTCGTGCACAGGGATGCAAATACACACTACAAACAGGATCCTCTGGGCGTGCGTTAAGGGTGTCTACGACTTTAACTCTTCTACGGATGATATAATACAGAGATCATTAACAGTGAGAAGTGGGCTGAGGTCGAGTCGTCTCATGTGCCGCCGTCGGGGTCAAAGGGCAGTGAGTGCACATATAAATTAGGTCATAAAAACAGACGGATGGGTACAGTTTGTAGATACATGAGAGAAAACAGAGAAAGGAAAGAAATTGCAACATTTTCACAGGAGAAATCAAAATCTACATGAAAAAAATACAAACAGATAAAACAGATTTTTCTTCTTCAGGTTTGATTTTTTACAACCAGAGAAGACAAAGCCTCCCAACACAACCAGGAAATGAGTTTAAGACCATGTGAGGAATGCAGAAACTCAGGACCTTCTACCTCAGGTGTGAAAGAAAACAGTGACTCCCTCTGAAAGGTTACACTGTCCTATTTTGAGGTATGCGATCTTATTTAATCAGTATTTCTTTAAGTCACTCTTTGGTCATCGGTCTTCTATGTTTATTTAAAACATCAAGAGTTTCTTAACACACATTTGTGCTCTGTTTTAGGTTTTTAGTGGTACATGATATTAAAAGAAAACAGGTTAAACACATTTAAATCTTTGTTTTGTTTCAGTTTTTGCAAACAAAAGATTCAGAAATGCTAAAAGAGAGACGAATAAAAGATAAATGAGACTCACTCTGCATGTTTTCCTTCTGTCATGAAGCGGTGCCGTCCGTCACTTTGGGAGCTCTGTTATGAATCACACATTAACAGGTGCTGCTGCTGCTCAACTCTTCCTGAAACCTGGAGTGGGACACACCCAGACCGTGGTCTACGCCCTCCTCCTGTTTTCAGAGCGGCTCTCTTGTCTTTTTATTGTTACGGCCCTGGCCTGGAGGAACCGGGGCCGTACATGATTAAAGAAGAGAACCAGCCACTGAAGAGTTTTTAGATTCACATAAAAGGGAGTTTTTATTTGCTTTCGCTGGAGGAGCGACGCACAAACAGCTAAATCAAAAACCCTAACTTACCAATATTAAAATAAATGTAAAACAAAAGACAGATAACCGAACTCCTAACCCAAAAACCACAACTAAATTATCCTCCTCCTGGTGGTTGGAAGTGGCAAAGGCCAGAAGGGGGCGGATGATGGCGTCAGGTGGTTTAAATAATCCTCAGCCACCAATCAGCACGCAGCAGCAGCGCACACACACCTGCAGCTCGTCTCTCAATCAACAAATAAATCAAACTCCATAAATGACTACAGTCATAACATGTAAAACTGCTGCTTCAATTTCAGCGTCACCGCCGTCCAGCTCTCTCTTTGTGCGTCTCCCTGCAATATGAATAAAGACTGATCGGTTGATAATCAATACTTTTATTATCAATACTGTTAATACAGGTTAAACCAGGTATTTCAACAAAAATAAAGAAATCAAAATTAAAACAGTGTCAAGTGGAGAGAATAAAAACAGGATTGAATTTATTGTTGTTTTTTTCCAAGTGTAAGGTTGAAAATTTTTGCTCATTTTAACTTGTTTGACTTTCTTTGACCAACAATTTCAACGTCTCACTTTCATAATGTGACGAGACGCACCATTAAAAGACGCACAGGGTTGGAGAAAGGAAAGACGCTTTCTTCAGACGTGTTGACAAAAACCAAAATTACAGATTCAAGGAAAAGCAGGAGACGTGTGTTTGATTCACAGGTCAGACTTGTTTATTTAAAACTGCTCAGACTCTCAAATAAAAAATAAAAAAACCTAAAAGAAAGAACGAACATTTGTTACAGCACTCATGTTATTTTCACAGATTAGGTTCATAAATAACTAAAACAATTAAATCCTACTTTAAAAAAGTAGAGTACTTACTGTGGGGAGATCCCACCTGATCTACTACAGCATGCAAACAGGTGGACCCCACTCATACTCCCCACAGCTCGCACCTCTGTAAGGGAACAAAATAAAACAGTATCAGTTGATTCAGTTCACAGATAAATTGTCTCTGCTTGTACAAAAGACAGTTTTCCCAAAGCGTACAGTCTCACAGCGAGGTTTTCTCAGTCTTACACAAGCTGTAAAACACAACATCAGCTGACCGAGACACAAATATTCGAGTTTCTGTAGCAAAGTCAGGCAGGACAAAGGGTAGGGTTAGCTGGGGAGGAGGAGATTCAGAAGCAGGAGTCTGATGATTTAATCTGAAATGAAGGAAACAGAAGTGAAAATCATGGACAAACCAAAACCCTCCTACATGATCATATCAGTCTGTTTCTTTGCTCAAACTGGGAGAGCTAACAGGCAGGCTACTTTGGCTAACACAGGGGAGGGAGACAATCTCAAGAGGGAAAATCCTGATTTGTAGTCTACCTTTTCAGAAGACTACAAGTCACACAAATCAGAAATCCACCTCTAAATACAAAAGAAGTCCAAACTCGACTCCTCAGGTGTTTCTGTCTCTTACCTGCACACACAGCTAGCAGTCCTAGCTGCTACCAGGATCAGACAAAGAGGGGTTAATCACCCACACCTGGCCTTATGAAGGCAGGAAGCAGTACCTGGACCTACCTATAGAGGGGAGTGTTTTTGACTTCTTTTTTACTCAGCCCAGTCTTTTATTTCAAGAATTTGAGTCTTTCAAATTCGCTGGCTTAAAGTTGGTCTCTGATTGGCTGAATGGAAGGAGGCCTCTAATTAGTCGGTTGAAACATGGCTTCTTATTAGCCAAATAAAAATACCCTCATATTTTGGGTTGGATAAAAGGAGGCTTCTCATTGGCCGATCAAAAGCTAGTCTCTGATTGGTCAAATGGAGGGAGACTTCCAATTGGTCGGTTGAAAAAAAGGCTTCTGATTCGCCAAATAAAAATAGCCTCGTAATTGGGTTGGATGAAAGAAGGCTCCAAATTGGCCGATCAAAAGCTAGTCCATGATAGGCCGAATCAAATAAGGCTTCTGATTCGCTGATTGAAGGCTAGTGTTTGATTGGCCAAATGAAAATGACCCCTTGATTGGCCAGATAAAAGAAGGTTTCTGAACGACCAATGGGAAGCTAGTCTCTGATTGGCCAAATGGAAGGAGGCTTTTGATTGGTCTGTTTAAACTGGGCGTCTGATTGGCCAATCGGAAGCTAGTCTCTGATTGGCTGAATGAAGGCTTACCTCTCTCTACTTTTCCTCTTGTTTAATGACAGCTTGGATATTCTGCAATGAACCATGAATAGGAGATAACAAAGGAAGATAATCAGGCTTTCTTTTGCCTTAAATCTCTTTAGGTCAGACAGCCTAAGTGCATTATGGGTAAAATGTACGATTAAAGAAGTATTGTATGTAGTTAGATTCTTGATTCATACTGCTTATTAGTTCTTTAACTTATAAAAATAATAGAGGCATGGCATTCATATATTTACCTCATGTGTTTTTACCTTATATGTGAAATAAAAAACAATTGTTATATTTTGAGTCTCTGTGTCATAAAACAGAATTTAAGAGAGAAAAGTCTCCTCATAATGTGAGAATAATAAAACTGAATGATCCTGTAGCTGCTCTTGTAAATGCAGACAGCAGCACTGCACACGATGCAATCCTTTATTATCACCACTAGTGGGCGACCTTAGACTTAAACTGAGGCAGCAGCAGCAGCAGCAGCAGCAGACTCTGCCAACACTCTTTACATTCATGTTGCATTGTTATGCTATACTCCAGCTGCCTGTGTAATCTATGGAAATGTATGAGTGCAATTACAGCACAGCCTGGAGGAAATGATGATTTCTGCAACAAGCTTTTAGAGAAACGCAGTGAACCCTGCAGAGGTAACACTGTCACAATATCATATAGAAGTTTATGTCATTAAGACACATCTATATGTTGTATTTCTAGTCTGTTAATGAGAGTTATGACTCTTTAAAAACAGACTCTCTGCAGATTGATTCCTTTGCACTGCAGCGTATTGACAGCACTGATGTCAATAAAGCATTCAAGAGGGGGCTCTGTTCTAGAAAATGAGCCCATGTGCACATCTCCGAGATGTTATTGATCCCCCTCACTTCCTGCAAATGTCGCCCCATCCCTGTTTATTTGTTGCACCCTTATTGATTATGTTATGTCTTCATTTCCCCTCCGTTTCCACTGAGTAACTGTATCAGCCCGTGCTTGTCACACTCTCTTTACCGCAGCAGAATCCACTTTACTTGCCCAAAACAATTGAACTTAGTGTTCCTGCTTGAATTAGTGCGATTACTTCCATATGTTCGCTCGCAGCTGGATCTGCGCTCGTGCATTTGCATGCTCTGTATTTCAGCGTAGCCCCCACAGCACTGCAGAGATTGTGTCGCATGATGTTATGGAGCTACAATTTCTTGGAGTGGGGGATTCTGCTTTCTCTCCCTGTCGCAGTGTCAGTCAAGGTAAATGTATTCCTCCCCCCCTCTTTTTTTTTTTTTCCTCCCCCTTTTTTTTCTCCCTCTCTGGCAGCTACACTTATCATCTGCTCGTCTGTCCTTTCTTTTCCTCTTCCTCTTTTTGTTCTGCCTCGTTTTGGCTTTATTTTCCATAACTAAATCCAAAGATTCCCCCCCTCGGGTTTATAAATAGAAGCTTTACTCTCCTCCTTTGCTTCTCCAGTCTCTCTGTTTCTCCTCCACACATCTCACACTTGCATCTCTCTTGTGCATGCCTTAATTAGAAGAACTATGGAAAAACCCCGGTCTGAAAATAAACAGATTTTCCTGCAGAAAGTGCAGCTTCGGGTTACCCTCTGGTCTTTCCCTTCCCTGCTCGTGCATCTTCAGTTTCGCTCTCAAACACACGACGTTTAAAAAAAGCCAGTAATCTCTCTCTCCTCATAGTTTTCTCTCATCTCAGCATGTTGCTTCCTCTGCGCTATCTCTCGCCTCCCCTCCTGATGCTCTTTGCTTTCTCCGAGAGGGTATCAGTGCTCTCACCTCCTTCAGCGGATTCGGTAGCGCTTGTTGTGAGTCAGTGCGGATAGTGTCACACTCTCTGTGTTGCCGATAACCTGACTGTGCCCCCGCAACCTAAACACAAACACCATCGCTGAGATGATTTTTGTTTTCGTTCGCAGAAAAAGGTGCAGCTGAATGCAAAGGAGAATTTGACTGGAATCTTTGCACTGAAGCTTGAGAACATGATCAAGTTTACATGGAGGAGAGGATGTGAACGGATCAAGAGAAACAGAATAACAGAGGGTGATGTTTGTGCACAGTTAAAGGGATAGTCTGGCATAAAATTAAGTTAGGGTCAAACACACCGTAACACAAAGTTAGACACTCCATCAAGAGATGAATGTTGCCGACCGCTTGCTTCTCTAGTTATACCAACTTTAGTAACGACCGCACGATAGCAATACACGGAGCCAGGCACTCGACCAAAACGCCACTCCATACCCACTAATAATGCTCAGAACAGCACCTAACTTCATCAACAGGACATATAGGGTCCCAGCCATAGTACTAGCCACCAAACATCTTTTTAACTTTGACTCATTTCTTTAGCAAAGGGACTAAACACAACTCACCTACTCTCTTCCAGCAGCCGCTTGTTTCCAGCGAGACCTTGTGCCAGTCCATCATCGACTAAGGCGGGGTGTCGCAGCTCAAGGAAGAACATTTATGATCATTTCTTCATCATTTCCTTGAAGTAATAATCACAAATGTTCTTCCTTGAGCCCGCTGCAGTTGATGGATTC